GTTAACTAGTTAGTTACTGTAAACTAGTAAGTTTACTAACTAGTTAGTTAGCCGACTAGCGAGTTAGTATTAACTAGTAGATTAGCTAGCTAGTTAATAGATATAGACTTAGGGAGTTAAGAAGGAGATTATATAATCGATATTTACGTTTATAAGATTAGATATTTACCTACGTATTATTAATAGAAGCCTTACGCGTATATATACGCTAGAGCCTAAGGATTATTTACCTTTCGGTTTACTTCTATAGAGGAACCTTCTATCCGGGACTTTCTATAAGGATTCTACCGCCTTACTATAGTCCCGCCTATAATAGATATTTAAGATAGCACTTTATCTTCCTTATTTCTTCCTTTCCTTTTTCCCCTTCGTCTTAGTTTTCTTCGTTATATAGGACATAGTTACTTCACCTTCCTTCTTCTATACGTAGGTTATCGTAGCTATACTACCTAGGAGTTATAGGATAGTTCTAAAACTATCGAGGCTAATCCTAAAACTATCGAAAGTAGTTCTTAAACTATACCTAAGATAGGTCTTTAGCGTTTCTTACGAGTCCGTAAGAAGACTTAAGCGGCTATAGAGTTAGAGGAATATTTACGTTCTCTTAAGCTTTTAAATATAGCTCTAGCTAATTATATTAAATACGCTACTTTTTTAATTTATAGTATAACTATAGACTTATAACTACTTCTAAAGCTTTTATATTAAGCTTTAGCTTAGTCGACGCTATATAAACTAGATAGCTAGTAGGATATAATATAAAATTATAGTAAGGATAAATAGACTAAATAGATTAAAGCTATAGATAAGGAAATATAGAAGTAGCTAATAAATAGTACTTAGCGCGTATATAATCTTCCTATTAAGGGTACTAAAAAGACGCTTCTTCCGCTTCGATAGATCTTTTATATTAAGGATAATAGGACCTATAAAGCGCGTCTCGTTATAAAAGGGTTTAAGTAATATAAAGGAATTAATTATCTTAATATTTATATAAGTATAGCTAAAGCTTTAAGCTTTAAAATATTCTACGTAATCGCTACGTATTTCGGCTAGTAGATATATTATATTAACTTTATTACGGCGTTTCTTAACGTAGAGCTTCTTAAAGAAATCTATATTTAACTTCCTAATAGTTTTAAAGAGCCTAGAAAATACAGCCTTCTTTTAAAGACTTTATACAGTCTAAAACAGAGTCCTCGCGAATAGTATAATACTATCTATAGGGCTCTAATAGTAATTAGATTTATTCGCTTATAAGCAGACTATTCGGTATTTATATATATTAAATATAAGCTCTATCTTCTTATATACGTTAATAATATACTAATTATTACGCCTTTAGATATATCTCTTATATAGCTTAAGGACTATATTCGAAAATCCTTCGATATTACTAATAATAGTACTACTACGCGATTCCTTACGATTAATATTATTTATATAGATAGTAAGATAAAGCTCTCTTAGCTCGCCTATATTTAAAAGGTCCTCGCGAAATTTAATCTATAAGATATATATATAGTCCCTACGCTATTTTATAATAAGGAGATCCTATAACTATATAAGGATACTACTACTCCGGCGGAAGTTAAAGCTTACCGTAAGATAGTAGGCTTACTTATTTAGCTAATAGTTAATACGCGACTAGATATTATATTCGTAGTTATAAAGCTTATAAGATATATATATAATCCCTCCGCGAAGTATATAACTATATTAAAGCGTATCTTTCGATATCTTAAGGATTCTAAAACGCTTACTATCGCGTATTCCTACTTACTAGACCCCCTCTTTAGATTCGTTAATACAGATTAGGCCGGTAAATATACGGATAGTAGTATATTAATCTCCGGTTTCCTTTTTAAGCTTATAAATGGTATAATTACTTAGGCTTATAAAAAGTAAATATACGTTACTCTTTCCTCTATAGAAAGTAAGTATATAGCTATATCTTTAGCTATCTAAGAGGTATTATAGCTATAGCTTTTCCTTAAGGAACTTAATATAGAGTCCCTTTTATAACTTCCTACTATAATCTACAAGGATAACTAAGGCGCTATTTACCTTACTAAAAGCTATAATTTATACTAACGAACGAAGTATATTAACGTTAAATACTATTATATTAGAGACTAAGTCTCTAGGGAGGTATATAAATTCGTCAAAATCTCTACTACAGAGTAGGCCGTAGATAGCTTTACTAAGCCGCTATAGCGAGTCTAATTCGAGAGGTTCCTATACCTTTTAGGCATAAAAAAGCTCTAATTTAACGGCTATTTAACGGTTTTTTAATAGCCTTTATAGCGAGCTTAATTCTAAGGGTTTAAATATCTTTTTGAGCTCAAAAAGCTATATTAAGGCGTTATTAACATATTTATATAATCACTTTTCATGTTTTAAGTAAGATTAGTAGATCGAGGTCCAGGGGGGTGTTAAGATAGCTTAGTAGTCAGGCGTGTCACCAGCGTGGTACGCGCCCACGCACACTACCTTCGTAGCTTAGATAGGCACCTCTTACCAGATACAATCTCACCATTCCTTTCTCCCCTCTTTTAGGTCTACTACGATCTCCCTGTAGCCTCCAACATTAAGTAACCCTCTTCTTACTATACTAAAAATCTCGAAAATTATATAATAGTATAAGAGAGGACTTAAATCCTAAAAAAACTCTGCTCTACTATAGTTAGTATATAGGATATCCTTCTAGAAGAGACCTAATCTACTAGTAGTTAAGTAACTAGAAGTAAAACTAGAAGAGAGATATCCGATCGGAAACAAAAGCTTCCTTATTTAAATAAACTATAATCCTTATTAACTTACGGAATACCGAAGATAAGAATAAAGAAAACCTAGTCTTTATAGACCTAGCCTACCCGCTAGGGTCTAGTATCCCTAGAGGAGAGGATAGCTATAAGAAGACTCCCTTTATTAAAATACCCTATTAGATAATCTATAGCCTAGTAATTATTAGGTAACCCGTAACCTATAATCCCGGCCTAGCTATATAATAATTAGGCGTTAGGCCCTCCTATAGCTTCTAGGAAGCTTTTATCCCGGGCCTCCTCTACCTAGCCTCGGACCCCTATTATCCTATATATTCTAACCCGAAGGATCGTAACCTCTATAGTAGCTCCGTCCTACCTCTTCGGGTAGCCGATCGATCGATCGATCGATAGAAGAGGGAGTTAAGAGTAATCCCCTCGAGAGTATAGAGAGAGAGGACTATAAGATAGGCACCAGAGAAGGGACTAGTAGGGATCCCTAAGAATTAGTCTTTATACCAATCTAACTACTACGAGCTATCTCTTCCCTAACGATCAAGTCTAGCTACCTTACTAAAGTAGCTACCTTAACACGAGTAGTTAAGCACGGCGGCTTAGCTAATATAAGGGTTTACTACCAGATAAGATCCAGATGGTAGATAGGATATAGTTCTTGTAAGTATAGCTACGGGCGTGACTATATATATACGGAGGACTAAGGGTCCTCACGTGACCGAACGGAGCCGTACGGTGAGGTTATGGCTTATCTAGCTCTGGTCATCGCGAAAAGGAAGGGTTAGAATGCCTAAGGCAGCTACAGGCCCGTGATCACATTTATACTAATCTAACTACTACGAGCTATCTCTTCCCTAACGATCAAGTCCAGGTACCTTACTAAAGTAGCTACCTTAATAATATTCAATCTCACTATCCCTTTCTCCCCTCTTTTAGTTAGTACTACGTTTCATCGTAGCTCGCTAATAGTTATCTCCCTAGTCGTTAAGAGAGAAACCTTCTTTAGCGCTCTAATCGGAGAGGGTATTATCGGTACCTACTATACTAACTAGAGGTCTTTATCGGTTCTTTAGGGATCGTTCGGTTCGGTTCAGGGTTCGAGAGGTTCTAAGGGTAGTAGCGTAAATACGGTATCGTGCTACTCGTTAAGGGTCTTAGGGAAAGTTGTGGGTGAAGATCTCAGGATGGCTAGAGGATATAATACCTTACTGCCCGGCTGATGCTTCAAAAAGGGTTGTAAAAGGGTATATGAGCTCTTGAGATAATGTTGTACTCCAGTTTAAAGAAAAGTTTTAGAAGGACTCAGAAACTATTCATTCAACTTGACTGCGTGGTATCAAGAATCTCAAGAGCTGGAGAGGAGAAAGAAGAAGAAGTTACAGTGGTATCCTAAGTTTTGGGGTGGTGTGCGTGGTGCTGGCGTGGTGCCGCGTCTCCCCTCTGATACTGATTTCTTCTGCAGAAGAAATCCAAGTCCGCAACACCCAAGTCTTCAACAACAGGCAAAGCATGGTATACGATGAAAGAAACCATCGCCGTCAAGTTCTAGCTCTTTTGGCCAATCGCCCCGATCTGGATGAGAACTTTCACAAAGGATGGAGTAGATATTACAAAAGCCCGTAGGCCGGGCTCAGGCTTTGATCGGCGGCCCGTCACGGACTTTTATAATGTCTAGTATGGAGTTACAGAGCTTGATGAATCAGGATTGTAATGTTAAGTGGGGATGTTCCTATTTCAGATGGGTGATGGTAAAGGAGAAGAATCCCGAGACTAGCTATAATTACCAGCATAATACAAAACGTGGATGTCCAGTGGGTGGACGTTACAGCCCGTCTTAGTAAGCGGTCACCCCGCGTAAGAACATGAAAAATGCCAAAATCCCCCTCCCGAAATAGGGCGACGGTCACGTGACCGAACACGCTCTTAATGATCGTTGGACTTCCAGGACCTTCTTGCAACCATTTGCTCACTTACACCTTGACTCCTTGTGTTTCTTACAACCCATGGGGAACTGACAATTCCCCGTCGTTCTCCTCATACCAACAGTCTCCTTGTGTTTCTTACAACCCATGGGGAACTGACAATTCCCCGTCGTTCTCCTCATACCAACAGTCCCTGTGGAGAAAATTTCCAAGGGTGGCGTCGCATCTGAGTGACAACAACCACAACGCGACAATTTCAACGTGTTCAGGACGCTCGCTTTGGAAATCGCCAACCACGATGTCGGAGGATCAGTCAGTTCTGTCAGATGATGGGCGAAATGTCCATTTTTTCGACGGTTTGACGGGTGACATGCTAGGTGGGCTGTTTCAAAATGGATCAGTTACCCAAGCCAACTTTATCGACATGCTCAACATCGTCGTGGTCATTGTACCACGCCCGCTTCTTGGACCGCCCCCACCTATTGTGCCGGGCCCACTTACCGTCAACGCGAGGTCCGGGCAAACTCTATCACAAACCAGCCAACCCCTAACGCCTGGAGATTACGATATCTATGCCCCTGATGGCTGTAGGTATTCTGATGGTCGAAGTGAAGAGAAGAAAAATTCTGGCTAACTTAGATAGACTCCATCGAACTTAGTAATGAGCCATTCGTCCGTCGACTCCCTTCCTACAGTGTTAGTGGCCGCGAGGCGGATTTCAAGAGGAGCGTGCGGGCTAGGGATGGAAAGTGTGTCTTCACTGGGATCGTTAACCGTCGCGCTCGTCTGGATAAATGGGCAGGCTGGGAGGCGGCCCATATATTCCCTCTCGAGAAGGAAAGCTTTTGGGTTGAAAACAATTTCGGCCGATGGATCACCAATGCAGACTCGGGAAACCATCCTGCACCCATCCACTCTATTCAAAATGGGTTTCTCCTTCAGTCACACCTGCATCAGTTATTTGACGACTACTCGATTTCGGTGAATCCAGATGTAAGCGATTGTACCTAAAATACAAGTATACAAGAGATGTTTGCTAATTTATTTAAAGGAGGACTACAAGATTACTTCTTTTATTCCCGACGATGTGGGAGTGGATGGAAGAACCCTTGACCCTGTGTGTCGAAACCCCGACGACCCGAACCGTGTCTCAGACCACCTCCTTCGCTGGCACTTCAGACAGAGTGTTCTCGGAAAGATGAGGGGTGCTGGAGAGCCTTCTTTTGAACATGATTTCCCACCGCGATCTGATACCTTGAAGGAAATCCTGGAGGGGCCTTTTCCGGTTGAACGATTTGAAATGGAACTTTCGTCTAGACTGCGGGGGTGGGAAAAACCTCAGGACTTCGTTCAGTGACGTGATTCCCGCTGGGCCGGCCGGCGCGCGCGGGTTAAGATCAATGGAAGAGAAGGCTCGTGGATGGAGTAGGCAATGAGGGATAAAGATGGGGTGTCTATTCTGTTACTGTTTTTTTTCCTGATTGATTCCAGCATTGTATGTTTACTTGAACGATTGATACCCCCAAATGAGGCTTGAGTTTTTGCCCACGTACTGGATTATTTTTATTGCGAAAGAGAGAGAGACGATCATCCCAGATATTGGATATGATCATCGAGTCTTTAAGACTTCATGTATGATGCGCACTATGGATGGGCTTGCTACCACCATTTCTGAGCACTGTAGAATTAACATTAAATAGTAACACCCCGAGGACCAAGATTAGCACAGTTCACTCGAGATAGTGGGTAATGGATAGCAGACATAACTTCCAGACAAATCATTAAAGTAATAACATCCGTTGTGTGCCAGAGCGTTTACGATATCAACCGGGGCTGGCCTTCTTCGAAAGCAAACGTTGACAGACAGGCGCCATTACATGGCTGGCGATATGTCGCTGGCATCTTCCTCAACAAGTTCTCTCTCGTGTTCTATAGAACAAAAGGCCCTGAATCTTTCGCTCCACGTATTACAACTTGCGTGAATAATTTCCTGCTTAGTTCAGGCTCCTCTAAAGTAGTAATGCTCATAGTTTCATCTAGACTATCGAGGCCTAGTACCTGCTATTTCCTTAATATATCTAGTATAAGCTCAGAACGCTTCGGCGATGCCTAAGCAAGCCAAATTAGTAGTGAGTGAAATCCGTGAAGGAAGTTATTATACTCCTTATTCTAGGGCTAATGAGGCTATTCGATGTGACATAGCTCTTGAAGCTTAGCCCAATACCTATCCAAGGCAAGCAACTGTTGCATATAGTCTAGGTTATTCCGCCTTAGCTCTATATCCATTACGTCGTAGTATTCTCTGATAATCGCTTTTTGACCTAGAATTCGTCGGTAAAAGAATTCGACAACTTCGCGATGGCGCTTCTGGTAGTATTCGTCCTATAAGCGCCTTGCTACATAATACGGACTCAAGCTAATGGACTCCAGGCTCGGAAGGTATTCAGCACCCAGGTCTAAGAGCAGGGAGATAGTTTCCTTTTGACCATCCTGGGCAGCAGCTGATAGAGGTGTTCCCATTTGCCCCGATGGATGAAATATATCATAGCTATTCTTCAGTAGGACATGGGCAACTTCCACGTGGCCGCGCATAGCAGCAGCATTGAGCGGCGAGCCAATGATATCATCTATTTTCCATTCATACTCGTTCTCTACAAGGGTTTTGACCGCGGCTCTATGATCGAGCCAAGCCGCGATTATCAAGGGATCTCCGCACTCATACTTTCCTTTTTGTTCACTTTTTTTTGGACATGGTAGTTTCCCGTGGGAGTCCTAGCGCCTACTCTATTGGCTAACAAGATGTGATAGGGATCAGCTATGTATGAATACTAAGAGGGAGATTTGCGACAAGGATTGCCACCGCTGGTTCGGCAACCAATTGCAGTGCTGATCACAGAGCTCTCGCATGCGATCGCCGGCGGGCAGGTTCTTACTAGGCAAGGGTATCAACCAGAAAGCCATGATACCTGTAATCCATAATCACACATTCGCGTTCCCTGGTGTCCAGGTAAGCTAAAGCTGTATTGGTAGTATGCCTCAGTATCGCTAGTTTAATAGATTGAAAATAATGATTGGTTCATCAAAAGGGTAGAGATCAAGGGGACGGGTGCTAAATCATTAGCGCTGCGGATACTGCGTCTACGCCATACATCGTCGAAAAGATATATACGGCCCGGATGCTGATGAATTTCGCCCTTAGCGTTGGGAAAACGACGCCCTGGGGAATATGGAATGGGGATACTTGCCTTTCAACGGTGGACTAAAGATCTGTTTAGGTCAGGGCTTTGCGCTCTTGGAAGCGTGATTCACCATTGTGAGATTGCTGCAGATTTTTAAGACTATTCATGGAACAGAGAAGTCGTTCAAGTTGCCACTTGGGCAGGAAAAGCAGGTACTCACATTGGTGGTCTCGAGTGATGATGATTGTTGGGTCAGAATGAGAAGACACGGTGCTATGGATTCAGGTGAATTTCCTATTACAAGGAGTCACTTTCGCCTTTTTACCTTTTCCATTGAGGCCTATGATCTTTATGATCTTTTCGCTTCACAACGGCGAGTTTTGCCTCTTGAGATTTGTTTTACTTGTTGAACGGCATCTTTACCATACGAACCAGAAGCCATGTAGCAACAATATAATTTACCCTCTCGAGATAGGACCATTCAAATTGCAAAATCTCATTTGACTCGTCAATGGATGGATGACCTAGCCCAAAGCAAGACATTCTACCTAGCACGGGCTTATCTTGACGTCATCTCCTCCATGTACGGGCTGATCTTACCTTAAGACCTATCGGAGTGTTGAGATAGAACTCCGTATCAAGGGCCTACCTGAAACTGGCCCTGGTGCACCGATGTGCTCCAATATGTTCTCTTGTCTTTGATGTACAGCTGCATCAAGCTTTTTGCTATTCCAAATATTTTCAAAATATCCAGCCACCACCAGCATTTTGAGCTGAGATAGATGCTGAGGTGCCTTTATCGCCCCTCCGTGGGGCCTTCAGGTCTGATAGCCCACACATCCAGAGTAATCTATGCCCTTACCGAAGACGACAAAAGGTACGTAGCACTGTACCGAATTTAGTGGGCGCAAAGCAAAGGGCAAGATGGAGGAAGAATCTTTTTGGAAAGAAAATCCGCTAACATCTGATGTTTTCTGATCCATTCAAAGCATATGGAACGCATTCGATACATTCGCAGGAAAGAATGGCGGAGGATGGACCATAAATAGCGAATCTCTAGAGACACCCACCTGCAAGATGTCTTTACCGACGCCAACTTACCATGTAAGAGATCAGGGCTTCTCATCCGAAGTAATCTACAGTTAATCGCACAAAATAAAACAAAGTGACCGTAGCACTCGAGTGTGCATATAGCCAGGAGCCCCCTTAGTCTATGAATTTTGTCCCTGATGTGTGCACGTTGGTATCATTTCGCATGACAAACAATCCGGACGACCCTTCTAACATTGTGCGCTTCCACGATTGTACCGTCAATGCTCATGAGGGGGAAGATCTTGTTGAACTATGACCATTAGCTCCCATAGCAGTGCTTTAGCAATCTGGTTCATGTCCAGCCGTAGGCGCATGCTACATCGAACCGAGTTGAATTGAGACATGTACACCCCTCTTTGAAGACTAATTTCGTCGTAGCTTATTCTTTCGTAGCGACGATGATCCCCTCTCCACCGGCTGGAGGCTGGTGGAATGAAAGATCCTTCAAACCGACGGATGTCAGTAGGGCACGCCACTGCTTCTCCGTTCGCTCGAAGGCGCCGACTTGAACCATCATCATGATACTGATGCAAGCGGTAGCATAATCACAGTTCCGGTCGGGAATTATCTGGTCATTGATGATTAGACGAGAGTAACCTGGCTCCATCGCGGCCACGATGTTGCGGAGGATGTCGCTAGCTTGCTCGTCGCGCCAGTCGTGAAGGATCCAGTGCATATAATAAGCGCGAGCTCCTGTGCCGCTTATCAGTTTCTCATCATTCCAGTACCGAAAGTTAAAGAAAGCAGACGGACTACACAGTACCTTTGACTGGCTGAGGAGTGAAGAAATCGTGAGCCATTAGCTCTGTGTCCTTCGGAGCATCCTTCAGATCGGAGACCACCTGGGGCAAGTCCTGCAAGACACGACGGCCTGGAGCGGCCGGAAACTTCTCATTGAACGCATGAATATAGTGGCCTTCACCAGCACCCACGTCGACAAGCAAGACCTCGTCGGGCCGATTTCGTAGCCCGTCGAGGATGGCGGTTTGCACATCGAACCAGTCCACCCAATTCGGGGTTGAGCGCTGCTTAAGCGTCATCCATTGCTGGAAATCTTTTGCCAGGGAAGGGTTCTGGCCCAGCCATTGGAAATAGTCGAGACGTGTATTTTTGGCTAATTGGAAAGGTGTATCTATCGCCGACGTTGGAAACTGATTATTGTTCTTCTGGAAATATTCTGGGGCATATGTGGTAGAAAAATTGCCAATGTCGAAGCTGAACAGTGTCAGACGAAGCGAAGGGGGTGGGATTTCGGCATTCATATGGGGAAAGCGGTACACTTACCATGCTCTGGTGGTTGCTTCAAAGTTAGGGTCTGCCATTAGCATGGTGAGGGAAGATGGCTTGTATGTCTGGACATCAGTCTCCAGCACGTATCCAGAGGCAGAGAGCACTCTTAAGATTTGGTCTAAGCGAGAACACTTGATCAGCAGTAATTTTTGACTCGATGGTTCAGGATAGTGAATCGCTGTCTATCATCAGGGATCTCCGAACGAGCTAAAATTGCCCTTGACAGTCTTGATGCGCCAAGGTTTGTCGACCACCGCAAAAAATATCCCAGCGCACACGTGACCGCACCAGCAGTCGATTGATTACACCTACCGACAACAAAGACACTTGCTCCGGACCTTTTCGCAATCTGTGCCGTAGTAGCTCCCCTGTCTTGGCCGTCACAAATAGCCCGAAAGGCTTCAAGTTGAACTCCCATGCGAAGAGACATCAGCAGAGCGGGTTGCTGTTGTGGAAGTGGTCAGCTTTGAACTATGCTGCTCTGCATTGGGATCTTCCCCGGGGGACTGTCCATTTCCCGGGGAGATGACGATTAGCACATACCATGACCACATCATGAATGACAGTCTCCGGTGGCGATCCGAGAGCCTCCACCAGGCTTCGCGCAGCCTTCAGTGCGCTGTATCGGGTCGCATCGTCGAGCGAGTCTCGGTTTGCGCGAACGGACTGTGTGAGCGCAGCGATCTGGGCTTCCAGTGTTTCGTCTTGGGGGAAGGACATGATGCAGAAAGGAAAGCAACGAAAATCTGAGCAGCACTTGCAGGGGGAAGTTGCAAAAGATGCAGGAGAAGATAAGCGCAGCCACCACAGCGCAGGGAGTATTCCGGTGCAATTAGCCAAACTGAAACGAATCCAGCCATGGGCAACTGAAACGGTTCGCCGGTCCGCCGGCCGTCAGGAACGGGGTAGGGCCCGGACCCATCCCATTCGGAGGGGCCATAGCGCCCCGCAGCTGAAGGGGGCCAAAGCAAAGGCGGAGACACTCGTGTGGTCGCCGGGCGCAGTCGTCGACAAGTAGGCCGCTGCAATCTGCCGCACCTGCATTACCACAATAGCGTTTGTCTGGATCTCAATATCCACTTGGACCCTTCGATTGGGGGCCGAAGCAGATTAATCATCGCTTGGGTTCATGCACGAATCATGGCCTATGACCACGCTTCTGACCTGACATTAGGTTTTGCTTCCAATGTGGTGTGAGCTCATCAGCTTCGTGCAGGGGTGTGACGAGCGCGTATAGCAGGAATCTCGTGGGCTTTTTAAGATGAGGACCATGCTCCTCGGGGCATTCGTTTCCGTGCGCTACCCTCATCATCAGTGATGCAGTAACACAACATTGGTCTTCATGATGATGGCCGACCGTTCGGGACCTGTAGACACCTCATACAGTGGCGACTCGCTAATGGGTGTGTCGATCGCCATTGCAGTGTTCCAGGTGCTGATTGTTGGGCTGAGGTTCTATGCCCGCTTCATACAACGAGTCGCACTCGCATTAGACGATTATCTGATTCTTCTTGCACTGGTTGGTCTTGGTTGTCCATTTTCCAAATCTTTTCGATTCAAGTTACTGATCATCCTCCAGCTTGCCAGTCTAGGACAATCCGCGCTATATATAGTCTGTATGTGCAATAACTCAAGGGCTCAGCAAGCTATCACTAACCCTTGGACAGTGCTGAGGGTCGCGGGGATGGGATACCACCTTCCATATGTTTTGCAGACTCCCGAGAAACTCGTCGCTCTACAGAAAGGCCTCGTTGCGAATCAGATCCTCGATTTCCCTTTCTCGGTCACGCCCGCTAAGATCTCCATTTTATTGTTCTATGTGCGCATCTTCATCACTAAAAAGTTTCGCGTTCTCGCCGGCATTGTGGGGGCGATTGTCCTGTGTCATGGCATCGGCGTGTTCTTCGCCGCGATCTTCCAATGCTCGCCCGTCCAATTTGCCTGGGACAAAGAGATCCCGGGCGGTTCATGTTTTAACCAGCAGGCCTTTTATCGCTACGTGTCGCCGCCGAACATCCTGACTGACGTGCTCATCCTCGTCATGCCGCTGCCGTTCGTCTGGCGGCTGCACACCCGCCTGACACAAAAGCTCGCCCTAACGGGCGTCTTTATTCTCGGGGGCCTGTGAGTGGCATCCCGCATCTGCACACGGATCAACAAGACTGATATACAGTAGGGGCACGGTTGCTAGCATCTTACGCATGAGCATATTTTTCCAGGAGAACGCCTTGACGGATCCAACCTGTAGGTACTAGGTAGTGGTACTGGGTACCCAGCCGGCACACATACATTGCGCACCACGTACGGTTCCACTGCTAACCGTCCCAGGGGCCTCGGTCAACCTAGGAATCTGGACAGTACTAGAAGGCGGCATCATCATTATCGCCGCCTGTCTCCCGTCGATCTGGCCGCTGATCGTGAGGGTCCTTCCCCGCGGCCTGATGAGCAAAGCGGCCTCGCAGGATCGCGGCCACCGGTACACGACCAGCCATGCCAAGCCCAAGGGCGCGGACGGGTTCGCCCGCCTCGGCGCGCACGGGGCTGGAGAGACGGATAAATGGCCCCTCGAGGCGAATCCTTCGCTCGAGAACCAGAGCATTTCTACCCACGAGCCAGCGCTAGGCAACGCGGAGAGTATCTCGCTTCGGAGTATCCATGAGATTCGCCAGGAGCCGAGATTTGTATGATTCACTCACTATCCATGCGCCTCAGAGTAGATCTTGCCCATGGGAAATGATCAATGCCAAACACATGCGCCTGCTCGCGCTGCGTCTTGACGAACGTGATGCTAGCCCCGCGCATTCATGGTGCGGCCGCGTTTCTACGTGCCATCAACTAAGATGAGACTTCCATGGAAACACATAGACCGCGCCGAGCTAGCATGCGACGAGGAACTGGTCAATCATGGTGCGCCCGCTCAAGCTAGTCCTACAGTACAACTGAGAAATTACAGCGTCGCATTACTATTGATCAATTAATGCTGGGTGAAACCGCGCTTGCCGACGCTAGCACGTTGAATAGTTGGGGGCGGAGTAGTCGAGGTCAAAGCGCCGATGGAAGGCCCACTCTTTCGAAGCGAAGTTCCATTGTTTGCTCGGTTCGCAGATGAGAGGATCTTGAATCTACCATTGAGGTGGAGCAGCCTTGCTAAGCGAAGCTGCTAATGAATACAGGCAGAAGTCGGAATATGCAGCTGAAAGGTCTCGGTCAAGTCTTTCACTGAGAGCTTAGTCCCCAGCCATGTCGGAACTTCAGTTTGTCAGAAAGGGGCTACTCGCGAGGTAGTCCTTGCCACGAGGTGAGCATGGAAAAAAGTCCGGTCTCCAAGGTACGCTCAATCATCATATCACTTGACATCGCGTGGAGAACAATAGTACAGCCCACGGAACACAGCAAGGGCTATTCTGTGCCATATACGGTTGTATCAAAATTCTCCGATGATCACACAACCACCGATGGCCAATACCTCACCTGTGTTCCTTATCACTAGGTACCCTCATGATCTATGGATGTGTGTTGGTGTATAGAAAGCGAAGAGTATATACATCAGGAGATGGACACGGGGTGGGTGAGTACGGCATATCAAGTGAATGGAACTTCGTGAGTGCAGTTCCCTGAATGAGAACCTCTTCTCGCCCTGTGCCAATCGCTCGCTTCTCCAACTGGTTCAGATCATGACAACAGTCTCCTACCTAGCCATCTCGTCCGGCGCCTACTGTAAAATTTACTGAGGACTTGCAGATGTCACATCAGGACGATATGGTTTTCTGTGTAGTTCCTGAGGCGGGCGCGCCGCGATTCTTATCTCCGTCAAGGATGAGTCTACAATCTTCACTAACCTTAAGGCGCCTGCAAGCATCGCACGACCAGTCAAGCAGATGACCGAGATCCTCGTTCAACTATGGGGATAAGGTATTTATACCCCTTAAAAGGCAAGGTGGATTTCTCCATTGGGCCTTGCTGCTTGTACAACAAATATAGCCTCTTCGACGGTCCGTACCCAAGAGAACAGCACCGCCTTGTTCCAGCCGCTTGAGTCAAAACCTCATCATTCTCGTGATGTTTGGTGGTAGCTTGACTCGAACTGGAAAGTTGGCTCTCGGGCCGGGTATAATCAACAATATCACCATGGTGGTCCCAAGACATTGACGATGTTCCAACTCTTGATCCTTCGTGATATCAACACCCTCCAAGCACCTGGGTGACTGGCCAATCATTAAGACGGTCGGCGCATATCGTCATCACAAGCTGTTTGGTAACTTCATTGTGGACAGAGTATCGGCTGCCTTTGTACATCTTGACTGTCCCTCCCCAAGAGGGCATTCCTTCAGAACAGAGGTAAAGCCATGGATGTGGTTTTTCTAGCAAACACATGCTAGAGGACTTCAAGCTCATGACCCAAAGTGGTACACTCGATGTGTCAACGTTAGTCACAGGTTCTTGTCCGGTCTTCATCCGGACAGTCCTAGCAACAAAAGTGCCGCAAGGAGAACACGGGCACTAACCGATACAAACAGTCTATTTATTCGATAACACAGCGCTCATGTTGGGTGCGCATCTGCATAATAATGGAAGCTTTATTGCTCACGAAAAACAGTACAATGGAGGGACCCAAGATAGCTTGTTGGACCGTCTGAAACGCCACCAGAGAAATCCACGTTCCATTCCATGATGAACCAGGCTAATCCTCGGTCCATCCTCATGTGCTCGACCAGTAGCGCCAACACCCTAGATACATCCAAAATTGAGGCTCATGAATGACAAATCGAAGTTTTGTCTATCCCGCATTCTCTTGCCTGCGTCTCGGATTCAGTCTGGTCCTCTCATCATCGGGCGATCGATAAGTTCAAGAAGCACGATCGAGGACACGAATTTGAAAGGCTAAGAATTGGAAAAGGCGTGATGAAGCTACAGGACACGAGTTAATCTAGAGACGAATATTTTTCCCGGGCAGACTGCTCCGTGATTCGCGGTGACAGCAGATTGGGAGTACGCGCTGCAAGATTGTTGTTTGAGTTTACTAGGTAGGCCTCATCACGCAGAGGTGCAAAAACAGGAGAGTCCATGGATGATAACTTGCAGGAAGTAAAGAGATAATTCGTGAACAGGAAAGGGAAAATACTGAAGACTATTAGAAATATGACTGCTGGCTCGGCAACCATCAACCACAATGCCCTGAAACCGCTTAGGTTTGGGGCAGAAGCTGAACGCTGCATTGAGCTGGATCCAGATCCGACCAGCTGGTTCACTTGCTGACCGATTCCTCAAAAGAGCTCTCCTGTCTCGGCCTCAGGTAAGCCTTTTAAGATCTATCGGAGAATTGCATCGTAACATATTGCATGTAATCAATCTGCTGTCTTTCCACTTCATCCAAATCGAAGCGGGAAAATGTGTTTGCGGTGACGATTCATATTTCCGCGAGGGCAAAGCTACACGGTCTCAAATAAATACAGACGAGCAGATCAGTCATGATCTATTTCTCGGCAGATGATAATGATTTGTGAAAAACTCACTCACTTCTTGCCAATGCAAGAGTGTCTTCCGGCCCACAACGGATAGTACACTTGCAAGCTATCAATGGATGTAATGTTAGTGATCGGCTTGTTGTGGGCGGAGATACCGGGTGGAGCACAAAAGAAAAGCAATCCTCGGGCGGTGGAACATCTTTGGGACGATCTTGGGGCCATCTCTGTGGCCAAAATCAACGTGGCTCTGGCCAGTGTTTAGAATTGCGATGCAGATCTCCGTAAGAGATTGATACCACCGAATGAGGTGGAAGATCGTAACCCATTGGACTGATGGGAAGATCCCCAGCACGCCGGCCCATTTCCGATGCAATTAGGTGCAGTCAAAGAACTTCCTTTATACATGCTTCGAGATACTCGTACTTTGGCTCTGTTGTGACCGTCTTGCTGGTTATTATATGATCGTTTGGGGTTAAAACAGGTAGACTGCTGATCACCTTGGACTTAACATCGGGATTTTCTAAGATCTCCATATAAAAGCAAGCAATTGTCCCGGATGCTGTCTCTGATCCAGCGAGAAGGATTTCGGCCATCTGATCGATGACTTCTTTCGTCTCCATTTTTGTGCCTCTATGGGGACTGAGGCTTTCATCAATCAGATGCTGAGGAAGATCAGGACGGGCACCCTCATTGCTGTGGGATCTGCTGGATGTAACGGCTGCGATCGCCCTTACGCAAGTATTAGCAATTATATCCTGTCAGCTACCAAATCAACACTGACGGCGATCATCTCTCTGGGTCAATCAAAATGCAGATTTATGCCTAGACTTCCCAGGAATCGTTTGATGTAAACAAGCTGCATTTTAAGTAGACGTCAGCTTGGGAGTACCCGGACAGCGCAATAGGTGCATTACCTGATATCTTCGCGACATGCCTTTGAAAATTGCCGTTGGAATACTTCGCCATATTTTTGCATCGACTTCAAGCTCTAACATCTTCTTCGGATTCGTCTGGCCGAATCCTTTGCCGAAGGAGCACTCACCCATGCTATAGAAAACCAGAAAATATAAGACGTACTTGGTCAACAGATCCTTCTTGCTGTTAACTCACATGTCAGGAGCAAGATTGTGGAAATCCTCCATTAAATCTGTCACTACGGGTCCTTCACCTCTGCCGATCCGAGGAGCCAGCAGCTTGGTAGAGTAGTTGTGAATCAGATCCTTGATGCATGCCGAGAATAGAGACTCGAGGTTGTCGATATATCATATAGTGAATGCGGGTGACAGGAACTTCTTCAGACGCTTATGAGGGTCAGGTCGGCTATGACGCAAAGAAAGGCTGTAAGCGCTCGAAGGGTTCTCACACGGTTTAAAAAGAGGGAACAACATACATTTCTCGAAACAATCCAGGCAGGTTTCTATCCCTGGAGATCTCGGCGGTACATCTTCACCTTTGGAAGGTCTAATGTCATCAAAACTGTGTTTACGGCGTCCTTATCCGAGACCCAAATCTGACGTGGACCAAGAAAAAAGATAGGCCCATATCGCTTGTGGCATCACTCAACATTTTTGCAGATGAATCCTTTTGCAAAGGCATATTGGAGATGCAAAGTCGTAAAAGGCCCATACCAAGGTCTGAAGATCTGAGATAGAGGTGATTGCAATGGTTTGATCACTCCGTGGACATGATTCAAAAATAAAGCGAGAAGGATGGTGAAAAATACAGAAAGAACAATGAGATGCTTCTCAAACATATTATTCACACGGCGTTTTAGGTAGTGTGGAATCTCAAGGGCCATCTTTGTTTGTAGAAGCTTAACAATGGCTAGATTGTACGAGGTGTTTCTGTTGTTCAAGAACCCATAATTCGAAGTAGATGGGAGCACCAAGGGTATGGTCTCGGTTTTATGTTGCCCCAAAAGGTTAAAGACCCTTTCAATGCTCTAGGGAGGTACCTATCAGGTCAGAAATACATTTTTGTACCTCGAAGCTGATTCCCTCTCGTGAAGTTGATGCCCAACGTCAACGTTTCCAGCATGATCGATACGCGAAATTCCGTAAAACTTTAAGCCCCCATATGAGTAAGATGTTCTTGAATCCAAGAAGTCAGACCTTGCGTCGTAGTTACATCCTGGGTTGCACTTATGCAACTTGGAAACAATTTCGAATTCATGACGGCGAGCCAAGTCACATCTTATGGCTGAAGCTGTGGCAAGAATGAGTGACTAGAGGGAACTCTTATCACAATAGATAGTTCTGAGTAGACGCTTCGGGCGGTAAGCGTCAGAGTACTCATCAACAGCAAAAGCGAGAGGTCCAAAAGAGTCACCTGTAGGCACTGACGCGTAATTTGTGAGACACCCATTTTCTACTCGAAGTAAGAAACAACACATCTATAGTTTTTGCTCAAATCATGATGCGGGATCATTTCTCTCTTCGGTTGCCTAAAATTCCCTACATTACCAAGGCAGGTAGTGCAGAGGAACGGGTCTGATATGGTTCCGCGCGCGCGTGCATAATTGCACACCTACCAAGATTGGCTTTCGAAAGATTTGCTCGAACCCCTGCACCTTCTCCATGGATCTTGATAATTGTTCATTCGTTTTTCTTGCTTATTTCTCCTTCGAGGTAACACCATTTGATATGTGGCTTGGGTTATCATCGTGGTGCGGGAAAACTGATTCCGAATTCACGGATGAGATGGTGCTAGTTCGCAATTGCCTGCGGAAATTATTTGCCTATGTGTGGTAGGTACCTCCACCGGACTGTTTGTCATTCATGTAGGAAATTAGCCGTGCTATAAGGTTGTCGGTGAACTTATTGTGTCTAGAGAACGTGTAGCCAAGAGCGGCAAAGGAATTCGGGATCGAGGAATAAACCACCACTCTTGCATACTGTTCTTGCAGGCGCATGCTGGTCTGAAATGAAAGGGGTTGAGCTCTTTAAATATTGACAGAGCTGGAATTATTTGTTCATTTACTCGAGCAATCTAAATCACGAGCGCCTTCCTTTCCCTCCCACGTGCAGATAACTTGGTGTCGAGACATGAGACGTAGGATAAGACATCCGGGACATGGAACGCAACGGAAAGTATGCCTATCGAACATCCAGGCAGAGTGGAGGCCCAATAATTAAGGATTTGGCTTAATCAAAAATCAGAAATGTCATATTTCTGTGAGGGTGTGACTAATTAAATCGTGGGCATTGAGAATGACCCGGTGGTTGGTAATAAGTCCTAGAAAGACTAAATTATCCATCCCGTAGCCAACCAAAGGTCTTCCAGCTTTAAAAATTTCCGATAGAAATCTTGCTTCGAGGCCATTGTTCTTATATATTTTGAGTCACTCATTCATTCTGACCGGCTTGTTGCAAAGCAGCACCAAATATCGTTTCGTTCGAGTAAGAGTCAGCAGTTTGCGCCTTTTCTTCCCGCTTTCTTCGGTCCAGGTCTGATCGTTCTTAGATTTTGACCAAGATGAATGGGTGACCGAATGAATAGACTGGCGAACATTCCCTCAGCCCAACACACCCGCCTCAAGAATGAGTGAAACCATCTCATGGCCATCATGCAGCAGGACGGCAGAGGCTGACTACGGGCCCTGTCCGGCAAGCAGCCCATGTGACCCTATCTATCGCATGTACGTAGCCACTTGGGGCAAATGATCTCAATGAGCAAATAAATCAGAGAACCGACCTCACTCCAGAACCCTGGTCTGTATATAAGCTCGTGAATCTTGTACGCAATCCAAGTCCGATCCAGATATGTACACCGTGGGCACGAGCCACGCGATTGATGACAAGGTTATCAAAAGTGCTGTCCTCCAAGTTTACTTATTGTGAAAATGTATCCCAAACAAGCAGGCAACGGACTAGAACTATTGGCATTCATCTGCATCACCTGGGACCTCCAATTTCCGTGCATCAAGAAATCTGGCTTGACACCATATCTTCGGTTGGAAGTTGTTCTCACATATCCGGCTACCCCCTGGGCAGTATGTGCCTATTTTCACGAAGTTGGCCACCCTCAATCGCTCAATCAAACGGATGAGGGCTCTCATCATCTGCGATCGTGACATCATCAACCGGTGGCTCTAAAAAATCCCAAAAGAAAGAAAAAGTGAATGGAATTATTTGGACGCGCAACTTGATCTTAAGTGTGGCCTGGAAAACGTCTTTGCTTGCGATTCCCTTGACTACAGAGATGACATCAGGTGTGCTGTGAAGTCCCTCGGGGATATAATATTTCCACGATGGTTCAAATCATTCCATGTCGAGCCCCGTCTTTCTAGGATCTCCGGGATAGAGTCGACTCCAACACTCGCAACTGTCGATCTAGAAGCTCCGCCGACTCGGTCAATAGTCATGTCCGAATCTGACCACGCACCGCATACCTACATTCTTACCAGAACCAAAACTGAGGCACAGCGGTATCATTTATTTTTCTATGTCCCCTCCAGTCTCAAGTCGCAGCAACTGACAGAATTGCCCGCAGCCTAGATCGTCAATACGATGCTTGGCAGGCGAATATCAAATATCTCTTACATCCGGCAATCACCATCTATGATCATGCGCGTGTTGCAGATATTGGTAGGTACTGGAACTGCGTCAGTGTCAAAAACTTGTTTTTTACCATTTACTTAAATTCGAGATTATGGATGGCCAGATGACAGATTGTTCTAATATTGCAAGTTGGATCTGGCTCAGGGACATCTCGAGGGAGTTGCCAAGCTCTTGTCAGCTCCAAGGGTTCGATATTTCCGCTGCGAGGTTTCCAGATAGACAAACTTTATTCTCGAACGTCACTCTCTTCGAACACGACATGTTTAAACCTTTTGCCGAGGATTTTATGGGAGACTATGATGTCGTCCACGTGCGACTCATGATAGTGGCTTTGTCCTCTAACCAGTGGGCGATGGCTGTTCAGGATCTCATGACCTTTCTACGTAAGTTTTGATAAAAATTGACGGCCCGGGTGATTGATATGTACCTATTGACTTTTGCGCTTGAAAGGCCCGGGAGTTGGCTTCAATGGGAAGATTATGCGGGACATAATGCTACCTTCCACGAACCCTCTGGCCACAAAGATAGGTCAGATCATGCCAGGTTGTATCTTGATCTGTTCAGAAAGACTGCCATTGATTGCGAAAAGAACCAAAGTTAGTCAGTTCTTTCGGGACCTTGTTCGAGAAGTCCATTCGTCGAACTTATCTCTCTCTATTTGTGGTAAGATAGCGGAGTTGATGAAGATCTTCCAGAGCCGCGGGCTCGTAAGCTGCCAGGAGCATATACATTCACTCTTGGAGCCAGAGGCACGAGACGACCTCCATTTTGCTGTTCTGGAAGGCGTTCAAAACACGCTTGGTGCGGCATTTGACTCTGGGCATCGCAAATTGATCAAAGCCAAGGCAGATATTGCCAATTCCCGCAGAGCTGCCGAGACTGACCTGCAGAAGCATCATTGTTGGTTTACTTACAATGTGCACGTCGTGATTGGAATGAGTCCGCCCTGATCCAAGGCTGTATCAATCTTCGTACTCAGTGGCGACTGGAGAAAAAACCCATCAATATGAACTTATGTTTTCCTTGTTATGGAGATTTTTAATGACTGCGACGGGTTTTCATCAATGCAAAGGTTGCAGCATGCTAATCACATGAAATGCGACCAACGTCCAATCATCCTAATGATGCTTCCATATGTCTAGGCTGACGTCTCAGTACGATATCACGTATACAGACAATTCAGACAAGCTTTGAACTGATGGAACCATATTGGGAGTCAGCATGGGTTTCCTGTTCAGGTTGTTCTCGGATCCTTCGCCGATAGAAGCTTCTCCTTCAAACTAACAGGTCTCGTCCCATGTCCTTCGCATTGTACAGACGTGGCACTCAAGCTACTGAGCGTCGTCTGGCAAGTGAGACCTCCTACGCCCGACGAGATCAACGACATCAGTGTTACGCAATCACATGCATCTCCTCGAAACTTTTAGTGCGATGAGATACGGCTACGGTAGGGGCAGTTGTATTGTATGAGAGAGGGATAAGGATGTGAAATTGCTACCGAGGAGAGATTCTACCTAAGCTGTAATGAGCGGTGAGTGAATGGCAGAATCACCATATAAACCAACATAGTGTAAGATCGATGAGACCCAAACGTTTTCGATTCGCGGGAGGTTCAATCACTAGGCGGCAGCAAACAAGCAATATGCTTGACTATCAAATGACTCTTGCTGCTTGTGAAGACGACTGTTGTTATGACTGGTGGATTAGGAGACCAAAAAGTGTCCCATGCACGCTACACGAGTGCTGGTAGGATCGCGGATCGCCTTCTTCGGCAAACATTAAATAGTGCCAGGGATGACCGCAGACTACTTCTGAAGAATCTCAGCACGTAATTGGCGGCCTATCTACCGAGAACCCGCGTCGTTCGTCTCGATGATTTGTGGGTTCGCAGCGAGATTCCTTTCTGCCTCTCGGTCGGCGCGTGGATGCATTGCATCCAACGCGGCCTGTGGAGCCGTTCGGATTGTTCTCGGCATCATGAAAGGGTATTCATTGGGCTGGTACCTGACACCGCGGTGAAAAACTTAAACTGCGAGGCCCGGGAACCCGTCTATCATGCTGTGCTGGTGGGGTAACTTCAAGATCCTGATGTCATCCTTGCCGCAGCGCTGAAGATGTCCATGTATGGGACCCAGGGACAGCATCCCAAGACCCGGTATGAATCCCGCCGGGGAGTGGCTTTGCTGGGTCAACGCAATCCTAAGCAGGGAGGTTCGAGATCACCGACAAGTAGCCCCGTGGACCCTCGCCGTTCCAAATGACATACTCGATTGCTCGTCCCATGGTACAGTCACGAATGACAGAACGGCGTGTTTATCGCTTTAAAACCATGCCATGGCGCGCAGGGTCTCAACGTCGACGCTTTCGCTAATTTGACCTCCGACTTGAAACCCTGCTTTGACACACCAGACTCGTTGCTCTTCAGACTGTCATGAGCGCTGGGCCGCAGGACAGCGAGCGACAGACGGTCCCCGATCCTCCGCTGGAGACGATCAAAGAGACAAACAGTCCCCCAGAACCTCTTAGCCCACAAGGAGCGCCGAAGACTCAGGATCCAGCGTCACCGACGTCGCCAACGCCGCCAGATGATGTGAATCTGAATAACAGCTACCAAGTCGCCGAGCGCAACAACAAACCTTCACGGCCCGGTCCCCAGCCTGCGCATCGTCCAGACCCGCCGGCCACGTACGGCTCGTGGAGGAATTTCATGAGAAGACAGCCCACCGAGACCAGGAGCCTGTCTTACAGATCTCAACCACCATCGCAACTCGCCAGAAACCAGCCCAGTCAGAACACAATCACTTCATCGCCGTCCTATTCACTAGCGGGACCGGGGTCGACTTATTACCAGCCTGCGCCCGACAAAGTCTACGTGGACCCGGAGTACCAAGATTATAATCCCCGGTATGGTTGCAACAACGAGGCCCCCGTCTGGGGATTGGCCAAGCCCCTTCCGAGAGTAGTGAGGCCTGGAATGCGACGCGACCAGAGCCAGCAGAAAATGGCTTCTGCGGGTACCCCCAATGGCCAGACGCAACCGGCTCCTGAAATGGGCACGACACCGGGTATGCCGTCGGGCCAGTCGCCAGAAACTGTTCAGTCGCCTTCGGCGGCGCATCATGAAAAGGCTCACGAACGTACAGTTAATGCTCCTCAGCCAGGCGGATTGCTACGCCCGGTGCAGTCCGAGATCAGCTTTGATCAGCATGATCAGACCGACGAAAACTACGAACCCGGACCACCGTCGGAGGAATTTGTCAATACGTGGGCCAAGTATCGTCACCTCCTGAAGGAACCGCTCGCTGAGTGGTTAGCTGTAAGTCACGCCTCACTCTGTTGTAAGCCCGTCTTCCACGATAGAGATTAACCATGTGCATCGCAGACCTGTGTCGCCGTCTTCATCGGCCTGACGGGAACGCTAGCAGTTTCGACAGGCGGGTCTCAGGCTGGCAATCGTCTCTCCGAAAATTGGGCATGGGGTCTAGGTTTCATGGTTGGGATCTACCTGGCAGGAGGAATATCCGGTGCGCACCTCAATCCCGGCATTTCCATCTCGTTGTGGGTCTTTCGAGGGTTCCCTGGCCGTCGATGCTGCATGTACGTGGTCGCTCAGATTCTCGGTGCAATCACCGCCGCGGGTTTGGCATACTGCATCTACAGAGATGCCATTCTCGCTCTTGCTCCCAACGTGCCTGCCGGTGCTTCGGGCCTGGGGTTCTACACAGAGCCACAGAACTACGTTCGTCCGGTGACGGCCTTTTTCACAGAGTTCATTGCCGATGCGATCTTGGTCTGTGTGATCTTCGCAATGGGAGACGATAGCAATGCCCCGCCAGGTGCGGGTATGCATTCCTTCGTCATAGGTCTGGTGATCTACGTTTTGTGTATTTGCCTAGGATATGGCACAGGAGGGTGAGTTGCGCCATATGTTCTTCTTCCAATTCTTTCATTTCCCGGCCAAACTTCAGGCTCACTAACACGCCCTCAGATGTCTGAACCCCGTGCGAGACTTTGGGCCTCGCCTTGTGGCACTAATGGCTGGCTACGGATCCGAAACGTTCACCGCACACGGTGGCTGGTGGTTCTGGGGTGGCTGGGTGGCCACAATCAGCGGCGCTCTCACGGGGGCGGTCCTGTATGACACCTTTATCTTTATTGGAGGCGAGTCACCCATCAACTATCCTCGTCGACGAAGAAGAAGAGCGAAGTTGAAGAAGGAAAAGAAATGGCGTCGTCGACTCGGGATTGGGAAGGAAAAGCTCCCGTCGCTCGAGGAAGGCATCAAGAATCTGGAGGATTGAACGATGAGCGATTGGTTCCATAGGGGAACTCTGATATTGAAGCTCATGGCCTGAATTTCATGAAGTTACGCGTTTTGTATATTGCGGACCATCTACATAGGTCATCATCGTATTTTAAGGGACTTGCGTCCCACCGTGTTGATGTGGAGTGCCTTCCAGTCTGTCATGAGGATCTTGGCCAATTGGTAGCCCGTCCTTTGATCGAAATAGGTCATCCCCACGCCACCCAGGCGGCTGGAACCGCACGGGAGATATGACGTCATGCCCTAGTGGGTCGTAGAATTTGAAGTTCCGCCAGCTGTCAACAATAACAACAAAGCCATCCGAGGTTCAATTCACCCAGTGTTGACCCTCTGTACTGCCAATTCGGTAGTCTTCCCGGTTATCTTGGACTGATCCGAGTCATGGATCGAACATGAACTCCGAGAAAGCCCTAGATAGGCTCCTCGATATAGTTACATAAATTGGTACCTTACGGGCCAAGTTCGAATATTCTACCTTACTTCACGAAGGGACCGACGAGAGCCCGCTCTATCTTGGTTCGGGGAGGGGAGCTCATGGGAAATATATCAGCCCCCTCATGATCATGTATGTCATCAAGATGGTAAATATAAAGTTACCTTAGGCAGGGTCATGAGAAATAAATAGGCTTGTTGCGCGACAAGCTATAGACCGGCAGTGGTTTTCCAGTCCCTCTCTCCTCGACCCACGGTACCTCCGAGGTATTGCCCGAGTTCGGAGGCTTGTTAGGTGATCTTTAACTATGAGGTGGGCCACGTGACGCTCAAAGGTACCAAGAGCTCGTCATCCTGCTTCGGAACTTCGAGCTACCATATCTGACAGGCAGGTAAGTACCAACTCAGGGTTGCTATTCAGTAGTAGGAGCCTAGGAGGAGGTAATATCACGTCAACCGCTTCCTGCACCGTACCACCGACCTCTCGATGGAGAACCGTGTTCAAAGGTTAAGCGCCCGCCTGGTCTTATGTTGGATCGTAGTTGATGTGGGTGGAAACAGAGCCTCGATTCAAGCGACTGCCTCCAGCATCCAGACGACAACGGACTGTCATTTGCACCCAGAGGTCTTGAGTACCCGCACTTGGCCTGCTTCAATGATGGTCGGGCTCTATAAATACATATCGATGTACTGCGCCCTTGAATGCAAATAACAATCCATGGCGTAGAGCAGAATTTTGCTCTCACACGGTAGTCGACCAACGGTGGGCAAGGCGCGTCGAGTGTGTTGGCGCAAGCCGATCTTCTTGCGCCGCTGAGGTACGACTACCTCATGGAAGACGGCTGCACTCACTCCCCATTGTGTGGAAAGCTTTTGGATGTGCCGCATTTCCCTCGTCCTACTTACCCCCTACCTGCAAACGTACAGGAAGAAATGCGCAATAATCGAAGGGCTGAGTTGCACTGTGAGAACTGATGTTTCTGAAAGGCCCTCGATCCTCACATCGACACTACCGAAGACGATCTCGCTCGGGCCTGGATGCATGACGCATGCCGTTCGTCCAAACTCACCGCCACGGACGCCACGCAGTATGCATCTACGATGATCAGCGATATCGAGGGCTGAGACAGGTTAGAGATATAGACCGATGGGGCAACGGTCGCGAAGTCTGTCGCCCTCCGACGGCACCTCCATTCGTCCTTACTGGGCACGGCCCACGAAAGGATGAAGCGTATCTGCGCCCGTGACGGAGCTGTTCTTCTGGCTCATGAGCGACCTCTCTTGACAAGAGTAAGCTTTTATACTGCGCGAGAAGTCCTACTAGCTCAATGAATGTGGCTGAGCGTCAGTGCTTTGACGTCAACCGCGTCAGTCGGGAGCGACCAATGTGCTGGCCAGGAGGCAGAGGAAGTGAGTTGTCTTCGCCTTAACCTACTTGACACTTGACACCCTATTCAAGAAACCTGACGTCAATGCAGACATGGCACACTGGGGCCACCTGTCACTCCATAGCATAAGACAAAGCGTATAAGGAGCGTTCTCGTCAACCATGTCTGAAGAGAGCTCCCTGACCTCATTTGGCTCATTCATCTCTTCTCGCACTTTGCCTTCCTCACAGAGACCATTCCAGAACTCACATCTGCCCTCTTCTCCCACACCATGCCGCTCTTCCACCGTGACTCAACTGCGAGCTCCTCCTCAGGGCGGAGCTACGAAGAACCCCCCGAGGCGCGATCGCACTCGGGCCTCTTCTCCAGTCGCTCTTCTCATTCCACTCGAACATCAGTCTCCTCGGGCTCGGCATCTTCGACCACCAACTCCCGCCGTCATGGTCTTCTCCACAGGTCGCACGAGGACCCTTCCATCATGGCAGCACGGGAACAGGTTCTTCGAGCGGAGCATGCGGAACGTGAAGCCGACAAGGCCCTCCTGTTGTCGAGAAAAGCCGTGAAGGAGGCAAGGGATCATGTCAAGCACCTCGAGCGCGAAGCAGCTGAGGAGTAAGTAGTATCCGATTGCTAACCACCCCCTAGCCTGATCTTACCTGAGAATACGACCTTGACTAATACATTGCATTCACTCAAACAGAGCGCGTCTGGCCCGCATCAAGCAAGACCAGGCGAAATCTATTTCCAAGAGAGCCAAGCCCCTTGGACGTAAGTAAACTGCTCTCCTAACAGTGGCAAGCTTTCATCCGGGATTGCGATGCGACCAGACAAGATTAGACCAGACCAGTGACTAACACGATTCTATCTCTAGGTCATATCTGAAACGTGACCGATGAAAACGATTCATGACCCTGCGACGAAATGATCATGCAAATGCCGAGCGATTATTCCGTCGATGACCTTTAGCGAGCGTTGCGCAGCGCAAGTTTCGATCCATGTTCCTTTTGTCCGATATGTCCTCTTGCAAACTTCTGGATCGAGACAGTCTTGACTTCTTCGGATGCAAGTACGTTTGTATCTCGGAATGATTACATGCAATATGTATAATCATATGCTTGAACCCCATGATAGATCTCCAGCGCTAGCCTAGGTACCTTTCCGAGTGATCGTCTTAGATGATCTGTCCAGACCTGGTGTACTTTGCGAAAACATCATCTCTATCACGCCAGTTCTCGCGTGGGGTGAGGTGCATACCTGTACGTGGGTGGGTTACATTCGGAATGTTACGCGGTCGCGTCTGACCAGCAAGTTTGCAAACATGGCGAAAGTAGCTTTGCCCTTTCAACGACAGTCGGTCACACAGGTAGACGGCTGAGGAAGAGGTGATAGAAGAAATCTCTCAGTCGATCTCAAATCCGTGATTCTATTGGCAACCATTTTCTCCAACGTAGGTTGGTCGCAGGAAGAACGTATACTTTGGGAGGACTGTTTGTGCCTGGGAAAACAACCCGGCCACTGGGCACCAGCTACTGTACAACTACTGCTTTGACTTGCAGACCTGAACACGCGTGAGTGTTGTTTCTTTTTGTTCATCTCCGTCTCCAAATCAATGTGGCGATCTCCACAATAGCATGGCGAGTCGACGACATCTCAAATGAAGGTGACTCTTCGCAATGCAGGACTCGGGCACTCGTGAGGAAAGGTGAGGAAATGACCTGACTTAACCTGCACAGGCATGTCGAGATAGCACCCCAGATTAATGCAGGCGACGAGGTCGGGTGTAACCCATCCTTGTGGAGATCAGCTGCACCCCAGAATCATCAGAATTGTCCGACAAGGTACTTACACAGATCGTCTAGTATATTACAAGGGGTCTCCTTCAGGTCACGGATGTCTTGTTCAAGTCAGACAGGCTGTGTCATGAAACCACACATTTGAGACCTTCATTCAGGGTTCACCATGTTCATCCTCACGAAGTTTGCGGTCCTTTTTTTCACCTTGGCGGTGGTCGTCAGATCGTTGCCGGGAAAGGTTGTAGACTCGCGAGCGATTCATCCGCTAGGTCCAGATGGATTCAGTGATCATCTGGTCTTTGCACATTTCATGGCAAGTTTCCAGGGCCACTTGGCTTGTGCGCCTGCTCTGGGCGTGGGCATTCGGCTGATTTGTATCAAATTAGATCGGCATCACAAGCGATAGAAGGAGTGCAGCAGACTATGATGATGATATGCTTCAGGCCAAGTCGCTCGGCATTGATGCCTTTGCCTTGAACATCGGCGTTGACCCCTATACGGACCAGCAGTTGCAGTTTGCGTATGCCTCGGCGGCAAAGAACTCCATGAAGGTGTTCCTTTCATTTGACTTCAATTGGTGGCATACACCACAGGTTTATGAGATTGGGCAAAAGATTGCTCAATACGGAGCCTTGCCGGGCCAATTGATGGTGGATGACAAGATATTTGTCTCCACGTTTGCAGGAGATGACTTGGATGTTGCGGCCCTGCGGACATCTGTGGGCAAGCCCATTTTCTTTGCACCAAACTTCCACCCGTCGTACGGCACAAACATCTCTGCTGTTGATGGTCTCTTGAATTGGATGGGCTGGCCCAACAATGGCGACAACAAGGCCCCTAATGCGCTGGGAAATGTATCTGTCACAGATGGTGACCAAGAGTATTTGAAAGCACTCAACGGGAAGGCATATGTTGCACGTTAGTCTTTGATCCTCCCACACGCGTTGAGACCCTCAACTCCGTCATGTCTCATGACCAAGACCTATCTTCAGTGGCTAATCTCGTTGAACAGCCGCGTCTCCATGGTTTTTCACTCACTTTGGGCCGGAAGTGCCCTACAGCAAAAACTGGGTGTTCCCTTCGGACCTACTGTGGTATCGACGCTGGAACGAAATCCTCAGCATGAAGCCTCGATTCGTCGAGATTGTCACCTGGAACGATTACGGCGAGTCGCACTACATCGGCCCTCTTCGATCGCCTCACACAGATGATGGCGCTTCAAAATGGATCAATGACATGTCAGTCTCGCTCTTTCGGTTCTTGATTCGACCTCGGAAGCAGAGGGGTTCGCTGACTCTAGAACTCCAGGCCTCATGAAGGATGGCTGGAGCTTTCGAAGCCATTCATTGCTGCGTTCAAGGATGGCGCATCGTCGGTCAACCGGTACATCACGGACGACACCTTGATCTACTGGTACAGACCGACTCCGCGGGATGTGAACTGCGACGCGACGGATACCTGTATGGTGCCTGCCAATAATGCGAGTGGGAATTACTTCCTCGGTCGGCCAAATGGCTGGGAGACCATGTCCGATTCCGTCTTTGTGGTGACTCTGCTTACTGCTCCAGCCTCGATTGCCGTTGACAGTGGTGGCACGTTGTATACATATGATGCACCCGCTGGAGCATTTGCAGAGGCCATTCCTATGCACGTGGGTGCTCAGAGCTTTACCGTGGCCCGAAATGAGCAAGCGATTCTTTCAGGAACCAGCTTGAAGCCGATCATCGACGAATGTGTGTGTGGACTGTACAACTTTAATGCGTATGGTAAGTTTGTTGTCGATGGCCAATGACCATAGTATCCCAAGTATAAGGACTTTGCCTGAATTGGTCGCTTCCAGTGGGCACGCTACCACCGGGGCCGAGGGATGCTCTTCAACCTGATGGACTGGCTGCCTTCAGTCAAGGCTTGCGGGTCACAACATGCGAGGCATCGCCATCTTTAGGCACTTCACCACCTCCGACCGCTCCAGTCACATCTACGTCTGTTTTCCCATCCGTGACGACGACTACACCCATCGTGACTACCACGACTAGCACAAAGACAACCTCCACCACTCCCACCGCCACAACAACTGCGCCCACTTTCACTTGCTCACCTACGGCAACAGTTACCAAAACCCAATCAATCACTTTCACGGCCACCCAAGTCACCACACTTGTCATTACGCAAACAGACACGCAGACCCAGACCGTCACAGCCACGGTCACGGCTTGCACCACGGGCAGCGGAGGTATCAACCCAGGCGATGTCTGCATCGCAGGAAACGGGCCTGGGAATTACATCGGACTTTGTGAGTTTGCATGCAAGTATGGGTATTGTCCCCAGGGTCCATGCACCTGTACTCAGTATGGAACTCCTATTCCGCGCCCACCATCTACTGGAGTTCATGGAATTCCGCTTCCCGGGGAAGATGACTCGTACTTGGGTCTCTGTAGTTTCACTTGTGAGCATGGATACTGTCCCCCGACGGCATGTACAACAGCGTGATCTTATGTGCGAGCTCAGAGTGATGAACGGTATTGTGACTCTTGTTGTATGAACAAAGCTACGTTTTTTATCTGATGCACGTCATAGGAAATAGGTAGTCACGTCGAGAAGTTATACTTGGCACAGATGTCAGTGGGCGAAGTTGCAATTGTAATTATTGAATCGAGTTTTCTTTTTTCTTTCAACGAAAATAAACGGACATGATCGACATCTCTTTTCCATGCATTGCAGGAGGTAGTCGGCCTCTGATATGCTCTTTGTTCTTTTTCCGAGCGACAGGCCTGGCACATGATCGAGTCAACAAAGACAAGCAGCGAACTCTAATTTTAGTCTCTGACAAGGCACTGTACAATACCCTCCTCAGAAGCAAGCTTTGTTTGACTGTCCTCTCTATTGTTGTAATTCAACGATTTTCGTCCCGAGTAAAGCGCCACACGTCTCCTCATTGAGGCGTCGAGTCATGAATAATGTGCCTCATCATCCCCCTGGGATGCGCAACAAAGGTCTCAGTAAGTGGTACCATCTCATATGGACCCCTGGTTATCATTCACTATGTGTCGGGAAGATTTAAGAAGAGCCGTCGCATCTCGAAATGACGATCACAAAATGACCCCATCTGTCTTTATACTATCAAAATGAGCAAACCAGATTCAGGCAAAGGAAACACTTCTGCGCGCCAACAGGCACGTGTGGAACGAATCTTGCAGAATCGGCTTTATACCAGTCTTGGAATCACCGATGCGACTGTTCAGGCTTCGATCAACGCACTTCTCCGAGAAATTTACGATGCTGGTGTCGGAGATCTTCGATCGAGCGTTCGTCGAGAGTTGGTGCGGCAAGAAATCAGAGATCGGATGGATCGGATGCCTGATGCAATCCAAAATCACACTCTAGCTCGGCAGGCCGTCGTGGAGAATCTGTATCAGATTTTCAAAAGCCTACAGTCTCGATGGCACAAGGAGCGCACTTCTACTGCAAATGACAAGACGCTAGACTCGACAACAATCACCAAAGAACCGACCATCAAACAATCGACCACCCAACAACCGACCACCAAAAAACCGATCCCCAAACGATCGTCTGCGACACAGCAAACTCAGACGCAAGAGCCGGCGGCTCCCACAACTCCGAATGAGCTTTTTGATTACTTGCGTCCCGCAGTTGTACCTGATGCTGATGTACAGATCATTGTTCACGACAGACCCGCCCAGCCGTTGCCTATTCGACTTAGCGATCTTATGCAAAATGCAAACGACCCGGTGAACCGGAGCCGTAACGGTGACTGGATCAATGCCCTTTCTCTCCGACTCGGCAACCTGCGACAAGGCCTTGCAAGTGAGGGATTTGTGGATGAGGGTTCAGCACTTTGGTGGAGCCCTCATGCCCTAGAAACACTTGATCCTACGACGCTGGCAACTCCACAGGACGGTGAGACGCGCTTGAGCTCGTTGAACTTGGTCTCGACTTTGATCCGAACCATCACTCTGTTTTACCCTCAGTATCGAACACCGGCACCTCAAGACAGTCAGTCCAGCGCTCTAGCGAGACCCAGTTTCACCATCATCGTGAGACCTCAAGAAGTCAATGGTGGTGTACTGGGGTTGCAGCAACCTGGCGTTGCTCGACTGGGTAGTCTGGAAAGGGTCACCAAGATCATCAAATCTACCAGCAAGGTACCTTCATCTCGCTGGACGCCTTACCCAAGCAGGGCGCCCGATACTAAAACAGTCGACAGACTCGACACAGGTCGTAAATCAGGCCTTCAACCGCGCTCGTCTCTCTTTTGCAAGGCTCCTCCTTCCGGCCTAAATACTGCGCCGGGTAACAAAGCCCCTCCTGCTTTTAAATCCTCTCTATTCTCTGCCAAAACTGCAAATCCACCGCAGTCAAGGAAAATTCCTCCTGCCATCAAGTCCTCTCTGTTTCCATTCCCAATCGCAAGCTCTCCCTCTGGTAATAAAGTCCCACCTCCATTCAAGTCTTCTCTGTTCTCATCCAGAACACCCGATATATCGAAGCAAGCTCATCAAACCCAGACTTCGATTCCTCGTCCGGACGCTCGTGTCCAAAATCCCTTCAAAAGCTCCGCATGGAACCCTAAAGTGCCGCAAAGTACGACAAAGGTCTCGAACGCACCTGCAACCCAAGGACCGACTTCTATTCTACCAGGACCGAGCGGTATGAACCTCAAATCACTTGAACCGACGAATAGCCTGAATGACACGCAGCAGTTACACAACGCCCTCGCTACGCCTCGATATCAAACAACGGTTTCTCCGCCTCGCCCGCTCCAAAGCTCTATAGACGTGACTCGGAAGCGAGCTGTCGCGCATGAACAACAGAATCAAGTGAACAACGGAGAGCAATCCACGGCTCTACAACGTATGCCAGAGGCTACGGTCTCTAACTGTTTCACAGATCAAGAGCGGCCGCTGGGAATAACCGCAAATGTTTTTGGAAATGCTACCCAGGAACGATCTCGCCGGCTGTTTCTGAGCCGCGAGGATGTTTTCGGGCCGATAGGTCGGGCTTGGGTTGGAGTGCCCGAGCAGCAGATGCCACCTGTAGTCCAGAGAGAGATTGCGAGTCGGCGAGTGTCCGCTGAGATCACCCAGGGGACTGAGAGACTGGTACTTGCCGGTCTGCCTGATTCCGCTCCCAAGATTCCCAGGCCTCCGGTGGTCATTCCCAAGCAGCTCAAAGTCCCAATCACAGATGATCAGCGAATCCGGACGCGGCGTGAGAGACGCCGCCGATTCTCCGAGTATCGGTCCCGAGCCGACCGATCATCATCACCCGACAGCCAGGATTCCCCCCGCAAGAAAAGACGACTGACTTCAGATGCCGCTTCAAGCGGTTCTAGTCCCTCACTTGCGCGGAAAGCGCCTCGAGGTGTGAGGAGCCTGCCAAACTCAGGGGAGCGAACAACCACTTTGGAGATTGGAAGGGTAACGGCTGACTTGAGTCGACTCAGTACCGAGCCACCGCCATCGCCCAAGACAAAGCGTCGGCTGTCTAGCTGCAACGCAAATTAATAATGAGGTTGGTACCCAATTCATTCCATATGCAATCAAAAGGAACAATTTCACCTGGTAGTCACCACAAGCTTCCCTAGTAACGATCTCTCTTTGCTGGTGAAGTAGAGGCTGTCATTGACATGCAAGTGAATCATCTCTCGTCGAAACAGCCAGCCTTATCTTCAGCGAAATGATGCGCTTGAAGTTTCTGCGTTCACATGGAACTCACGTGAAATCACATCCGTCACTGGGAACTGCAATCATCGCGAGACGTTCCTCGACGGATATGATGCCTGAGTCCACCCTTGCCCACTCCGAGATCTTACTATGCTGACCTGCTGTCTTGGTCATTATGCAGCAGAATCTAAAAGTCGTTAAGCACATTTCTTGTACCGTGAATGACAAATTTCACTGAAAAGTAAGTATAGTGCATAAATCTCAGAGCACCTGTTATATCTATAGTGTCTTCTTTTCTGTATTGTATAATAACATCCTTGGAGTTTTGTTCCCATGAAGCCTTTGCTGACTTGGTTGCGTTCTTTCGCTGTTCTTAATGTTGTTCTTGGCTCTTCATTTTCATTCTTCATAGCATATGACTAATAAAACCGACGTGTTCTACATTGTTGAAGTTGTTCGAAAGCGTATCTGAACCTGTTCATTTTGACTACGTGCTCACCAAGGGTCTTCGTGCAACTCGAAATTTCCCATCGAACGTAACGGCCAGGCTCACGACTTGAAGTTTGAAAATGAATCAGTCCGGAACGAATGTCGACAAAGTCTCAGAGATCACCTATTCGCCTCGAAGACAATCTTCTGAGACTTCATAGTGTTGAAGTCGTCATAGCTATTCCCCATGTTAGATAGGTTTCCTCCAGGAGATGAAATGAATATCACCACGAGAACAAATGAAATCACGGTTTTGACCCTTCGGGGTCTGGACTCATGTAAAAGACTTACGCTTTTACGGCTTGTGAAAGGGGACGAATGTCTTCAGACATGAAACTTGGCAAAATCAGCGTCTCGGTCAACCAAATACTTTACACCCAAAATAGGACTCACTCGAGCATGTGCTGCTTCTTGGCTAGCAAGTTCATGGCTTCCCCGAATATGCCTGTGTGGTTGAGTCAATGGGGCTTCCGTTAAGGACAAGTCGAATGCAACACTCCTCGAGGGTCTTCTTACTGCGAACCGGACAACGTCCCATTTGCAAGCGCAGGTTCTTCCCATAAGCTTCATTGCCAGTCCAAGGTATCTCACCGTTGTGCACCCCGACACTTGACAGGACGCCCCAGGGACGAAGCATCTCGAACCCCATCCGCAGTGCACTGCTGTGGCCCACAACTTCTATGACCATATCGGCGCCTCGGCCGTCTGTCAATTCCTTGACTCTTTCACGGAGCCCGGCTTCATTCTCTTGAAAATTCCATGGCTCGGCTCCAAGGCTTTCTGCCAGCTCAAGGCGCGATTTGACGCTGTCAATCGCAATGAGATGTTGAGGCCGATACTCCAATGCACTGACCAAGGCGCATATTCCGACGGGTCCACATCCAAACAACAAAACCGTGCTTGTCTGGATTTTGGACGGTTCAAGTCCCCTGAAGGCGTTGCTCGCGGCAAAATATCCGGTCGGAAAGATATCTGCCATCAGAACAAGCTTTTTTTCGTCAATGGCCTCCGGGGCGTGAAACAAGGTCGATTCGGCCAAGGGAACCCGGACATACTCTGCCTGGGCTCCGTCTAAACCCGCACTTCCATAAAGCTGGCCTCTTGCGCAGCGAGATGAGAATCCTTCACTGCAGTAAAAGCATTCCCCGCAGCTGACGGTAAATGGCGACACTATACGGTCGCCAGGGCTGAATGAATGAACGTTGGGTCCAATTTCAACAACTTCACCGGTGAACTCGTGGCCCATGATGAATCCAGTCCCTGATGGCTGATGGCCACGGAAGACATGGAGCTCACTTGGGGTCTTTCTGTCAGTTCCGTGTTGTCTCTCGTCTTCGTCCATGGCCGACCGTATTATCGTGACTCACCTTCCACAGAGGGCCGTATATCTAACTATGACGATCGCGTCCGTCGGATCCTGGATCTGAGGACGGGGTCGCTCTTCAAGCGCGACCTGTAGAGGCCCTTTGAAAACGACTGCCTTCATATTGACGTGTACACAATCTCGTAGATCACCTTCGTCGCACAGCAATCGGGTTCTCGAATGTCTCGAAAGCAACCTCGCTCGCTGGCTCGGTGCGATTAAAGTTATCTGAGGGGTCGGATTAGTTAGTCCTGGCCGGTGTACCTCGGCTATGCTCGGCCCTCAACGATGTCCAGGAGAGACATGACGTTCGATGTTTTCAGAGAACGAGCATTTCGAGCAGGGCCCAGATCTGGTTAAGGCTTCGCGTTGACAGAAAGAACGCATTATCACGGGGAAGTTCCATAATTAAGACACAGAGCTATCTCATGTAAGAACCTATACAATTGCAAACGAATTCAATTTGCTACGAAATAAATTCAATTGACCGTGTTGAATGCATCGAATAATATTCATTCAATGTTGAGGATTTTCTTGAAAGTTGTCTACGACGCTCATTCTAGCGCATGGCGTTCGCCGCTCTTTTTAGAGACCAGTGGGTTCAATAGTCGGAGAGAGAGGCGAGCTTTGTCACGATGTTAGCAATCAAGACTTGCGCGGCCACAGTGGACTACGATGGTAATTTCACTACCCATTTCTCGTCGGACGGTCTCACGCACTGCCGGTTCTTTGGTGAGGTTGCCGAGTCCTTGATCCGAGTTCTCGATCAAAAGGGTCATTTCTTTGACGGCAACGTCTTTTCCTTGCTAATTGGTGGACTTAAAAGCTTCGGCGAGCCGCGGTACACCTCGAATGGCAACGCCTTTTCTAATTTTCTGGATCTGGACTTCCAAGGCGCCGATGACTTTGTCGGTATGCTATAAACAGCGTCAGTAAAGCGCGGACTGTTGTTAGTACACCAATCATTGTCTTGCCTCGTTGACTATAGTCCTGATTCTATGCTCGGCGTCCGTAGCGTATTCCTTCAGGTGAAGCCTGAGTGAATCGACACCATCTCCCTTGGCGTTGTGTAACTTGTCGACCTTGTCAATTCCTTTTCTGATGTACTGGGTGTCGACTTTCATGTACAGCGCAGCCACTTCGCTGAAGAAGTCAAAGTATGCAGCGGATTGCGATGCGTATTGGAACAGAGTCTGTCGGGAGTCAGCGATCGATGAATCTGTTCAAGGCGAATTGGCTGATGATGTACCTGAATACGCAGTGGCGAGAGGAAATCCCCATTTGATCGGTCTTTGTCCGAATTCCCAGCGTGGAGGAGGAACTGGCCAACTTTGTCATCCATGCTGGTTCGGACAAGGATCGCCACTCTGTCGAAGAATTTGATCAAGTCACGAAGATGAAGCTTCATGTCGACGAGGTAGTCGATGTAATCGCCCAAGATCTCCATAACTGTTTTCTGTCAAGCATGTGTGTTAGAGTTATATTTGTGTGTTTTTTCTTCACATCGAGAAATATTCGATGGAGCACTGTACCAGATTGTGCTGTTGTTGAGAAAGTTCGAGCAAACGTCCTCGAACTTTATTAAAGTCCTTTTGGATGTCGAATGCTTTATCTTTCAACTTCTCAGTTGTTGCTTGGCTTGTTGCCAGGGCATTTTCGGCGGAATCCAGCTTGGCCTGGGCCGCACACAGACTGTTCGCTGCCACATCAACCGTACTTCCAGAGCTGTAGTTGGGAGGGGTTTGAAGAACCGTTGCAGGTGGAACAGCGTCAGTCGTCTGTGCCTGGGTAGAGACCTTCAGCAGCTGTTTCAATACTTCGTCAACTGTCATCTGCCAGCTCTGAACAATGGACGACGAGGCATCCGGTTTCTTCCAGGATGACCCGAGGTGAGAGGCCTGTTTGTCCTACTCGCTTGACTGCTCCGCGACTCCTAGGGCCTTCACGATGTTGTTGTGGATGGTTGAGCCTGAGTCCCACGATTTTTCATCCGGATATCTGTTGATAAGCTCCATGATAGCCTCAAGCATGAGCCTCGTCACTTGGAGACTGGGTGTAGTGAAAGCACCACTTCCGGAAGCTCTGGGCTTCTTCTCGTTTTTCTTCGACTTAGCATTGTTCGTATTGCCTCCGGTGACTCGGTCCCCGTCCACGCCTTTGGAGTCATCCAAGATCTCGTATAGGATCTCGACGGCACTGATAGCAGGTCTGCAGAGTCGCAGGGCTCCGTTGTGAGCGAAATCAGGGCTTGTGGGAGCAGGGGTGGCGTTCGCTTGTCCCGAACTGTTCGTGTTCTTGCCGACGCTATCACCACCACTAGACCCGTTCAGAAGGCTTGTCGGGTTGGATCGACTGGCAAGGACTCCAACACCGACTTGAACTGCTGACATGACGCGAGCACTTCGAGGCACATGGGAGCAGCGGAAAGCACGGGCAGCCAGTCGTTGTTCACCCAATTGTCGGCCTTGAACTCTGTCCTCGAGGTGTTAAGAGCCTTGTTCAGACAGTTCTATGTAGATTGAATGGAAAGGTCGGATATACTTGTTACAAAATCTCTCACGGAGGAACTTTCACTGGCTTTTCGCACCACCTCGGCGGCAGCGGTCTGATCAAACGTCGTCATCGCCATGATGGGGAGTATGGTGAATCCTAAGGTTGGCGGGAGGTGCTGGTGAGTTAATTTACCGAGAAAGGGTTCCAGTTGGAGGGCGATCACTGTCTCGTTTGACGGAGTTGGATATGAGTTCCGAGCCTTGTGATCCTCGCGAGTGGTGCCTTCCCCTTTTAATGCTTCTTCTCAGCCAACCCGGACAGGCCGACGATAAGGCATCCAGGTGACGAGGCCGGCTGGGTGGAGGGGCGATTGACGTGCTCGTCGACTATCCTAGCGGACCGACTGGTCACGCGGGATGCAATCAGATCAATGTGATCGATCTATTGTCTCGAGTCTCGACCCATCCGCTGTGCCCCAACACCAAACACAGTCTTTCGTCCCCCTTGTTCCCCCTGGGTGGAATGGATGAGACGATGACTGCGTTGTATAGGTCGCATCGAAACAAATCATGAACCATGAACGTTGTGGTGCATATCTTGAAGCCAAACAGTGGCTCGGATCAAAAAATGCCTCGAGCATCCTGGGACTGGCGTGAAGCAGACCGCCGCAGCCTTGGTCAATCGATGCAACCTCGGAAGGCATCGGAGTCAATCAACTGCGTCACGAGAAGCCGAGAAGCCGTGTCACCAGTTCGAGACTGCATCCGCAAGACCGAACTTCTCTGCGTCTGCCTCGAGGGCATTGCACTGCGAGAGAACGCAAAGGAGCAGAGAAGCTTCAAAGTTGATCGTGGTAGATCTCCGAAAACAGACTCGCGGGCGGGGTTTCCCGACGGATGTTACCGTGGGTCTTGGCGTTGTCTCAGTTCCAAGTTTCAATGGTTCGCAGGTGGGTCCCGTCGATCATTCCATCCGCCGTGAACGCTGAGCGGGTTGACCAGCTTCACATGGATCGCCTCCAGAATCGTGGACTCGTGGAGAGCTGAGCCTAGTCTCCGGACCGGTCCAACCGTGGTCGGCAAGCCCGAAAATTGAAGAATGGTTCAGTGATCTGACAGATTCAGAGGGTGCAGAGACGTGGATCATGGATCCGGTCAATCAGGATCGTTGTGCACTTCACGAGCTGGACAATGATTCAATCTTAGCACCACGATGCGGGCCACTCTATCGTGTCATCAATGATCCCCCAATCTGTTACCACCTCGACAGTTACAGTTGAGCAAACGCCAGCTGCGGAGCCGGGTTCGGGGCAGACCGCGCTGTGTACAAGAGAAAAAAGCGACTGTTGATCAAAGTCTACTCTCTCTAATTGGCGTTTTTAAAAGTACTAGTTCTCAAGTTATGATCGCAGATAAGAACTGCCCGTGTTCTACAGCTTCCGATCAACTTATGAACAGCTCTTGACTCCGTTTGCTGCTCCCCTTGATCAATCCTATGCAAGAATGTCGCAAACAGTCAGCGGTCTGCTCATCCGACGCCAACTGTCCAATATCAGGCGCCACGGATGGCCAGTGATCTTACCAATTGCGTAGTTTTGCGAGTCGTCTCGACCAAGACAGAGATCGTCTCCTTTCTCGATATCAACCTTCCAGCCTCTAATCTATACCCGAGGTGCATCCTACAGACGTCAACAGCCAGAAAGTAAACTCGACGTGTATCATGACCTTGTCGAAAAGCACCGCAAACTCAGGAAAGCTGCCATTATCACACACGAACGGATTGAACGAATTGAGAGGGAGAATCCATTGGAACAAGACAAGAAAGCACTGGCACTACCTTTTTTAACGCGGAAAGCGGGAGCTGGCGACCCTGGCTGAACACATCGCAAAAGGTCTCGCTGCGTCACACTCGGACTTGCCACGATGCCTCTCAGACACAGCTGCGCGATTCTCTGAGGCTTCCAAGATGTATGATCGAACAATTGAGGACTTGGCTCGTCTACAGGGAAAGGTATGCCTGGGGGCCCCCAGATGACCTAATGGCATTCTCCGAGGCGGAGGTTCGAAGCTCAAGGCACCGAGAAACTGATCGCTGCTCTAGTACTTCGACTCTGCAGCAAAAACAGAAGACTTCTCGAAGCAACTGCAGCATCTAGAGAGAGATAGAGAGAGAGAGAGAGAGAGAGAGAGATCTCCGAATTCAACAGACCATCGACACGAAGAAATGCCGAGATCTTTGGGACAATTTGGTCCTCGTCATTGCCATTACTAGATGGCGAGAGACCGAGGAGCTCCTCGCGGCCGTGCGTAGCACCTTGGAAACAATCAGGGCCCAAAAAGCAGCCATCGGCAAGATCAATGACCGGTATCTTTCGCCCATGACCACAACAGCCAACAGCTATCTCATACACGACATTTCACGCAGAAAGATCGTGGAAGGCATCCTCCGCATTACCTGCCTGACGCCCGGCCGACGGCAATCGTGGACAGAAGCAAAAGAAAATCATCACCAGTGTGCGGCAGATGTCACCGAATATTTTGGTTGATCGGAAATTGCCAGCAATGTTCGATTAGGCAGTCCCCGGACGTCGATAACGGACCTTCTTAGAGAAGCCGACAGGCATGTGCAACGTCATGGTAGTTGACTGGAAAGCCACGGTCTCGATGCCCCGGTGAGGGTCATTGATCTTCACGTGAAATTGTGTGTGTTGTAATATATTGATGGCAGAGTGGAGGCCCAGGCAAAGGAAAGCTCCGCGTGGGATGCAGGGCAACAATATATATTGCGCCGAGCGGCGGCTGGGTAAAATCCATTGCTTCGTGGTTCAAGTTGGTCGTCCCCCGCCGCCCCATCACACTTTTCAGGATTATAAACGCAGGCTTTCTAAGAGGCTCGAATTGGTACCATTGGATCGTACAAGTATGCTGCCCCTCCCTTCTAATTCGTGGGGCAAGAAGTGCAAATTGTAGTATACTATGATATCTACCGATTATATCAATATTCTCAACTCTATATACGGGGGAGACCCCCGTAGACCCCCATTAACGTAAGTCAAATCGTATGTCTATAACGTAAGTTAATATTACAGGCACGAGTCACGTGATAAGTCATCCGAGAGACGAGGTAGTTGGACCACGTGACACGAGCGGAGTTCAGGGCTGATCACGTGATCGAGACAGGAGCAAACATCTGAAAGATATCACGTGATGTAACTTTGGGGGCGGTCAATTCTGCCACAGCCAGCCAATCAGAGCACAGGAATAAAATTCCAAGCACTTACATGAGAAGCAACTTCTCGTTCCACTCCAATTTGCAATTAAAACCATAACCTTAGCGCGGGAGTCCAATTGTTAAGGTTCCATCTATAGGTAGAGCTTCCTGGAACCACTTCCCGTCCACCTACGGGCTAAGGCCCAACCTGGGAAAGCGGGCCAACTTTATTGAAAAGCAGAACAGATCCTGCCGTATCAATTCCAGGTGATCCTTTCAAAGTTCAAGACATCCTTGGCCGAAATATTGCGATCGCGATGTTTCTCCAGTGATAACGCGGTAGTAGTCTCGACTTCAATCTGGGGTGGAGGGCCGAACCCCTCCTGACATCCATACCGGTCAAGAGGATGGGTACCTCCAGATGACCCTCTCGTGCTAATTAAATGCATGTTCAAGTTGAGATAGCTTTCTCCAGTCTGGTCAACGGTAAGTGAATCTATTTGGATAGTAGAAGGTGATGACGTACGCGGAGATGATGAAGATCTATTCAGGTACCTCTTCGATCCCTCGAACGTGCATTTCCTAGTTCTGCATAGTCGACTTTGTTTCAATCTTGGCCACCATGGTATCGGACAACTCGTGCCAAGAGTCACGGTGTGGCTTGAGGATGGGGTCTACCCGGCCTAGCCTGAATCAGCACTACTAGTAAAGTTAGTAAGTTTTGCAGTAGTAAGAGCAAGACCAAGTAGTGATTATTAGTTAATGTGTTAGTGACTATTAGGGAGTAAGTAGTCAGTTAGTACTAAGTAGTAACTTGTAAGTACTAAGTAGTGTACCTACTGTACTACCACGGTAAGTGATTGTGAGTGGCTGAGTGATGTAAAATGTCAACAGAACCGGATCCTGGGGAGTCAAACGTCAAGTGTGCCGCCCACGGCGCCCAGACGTCCCATCCCACGCTCGGGTCCGTATTCAGGGAGTCAAGTGGACGTGGTCGTATGCCGGGAAGCCGGGTCCGTATTGATCCGAGTTGACGGACCGCCAGGCACGGGACTCTGGCTTTTTTCTTGACATTTGTATCAAGTTATCAACATCTTGATCGGAGAGTTTCTCCGCCTCGTTGTCGACCTATCACCTAGTAAACCTACTGCCTTTTACATGGACACTGACAGAGTCTTCAAGAACATACGGCAATCAGGCCACTGGACAGTGGACATTCATGTGAATTGCATATCACATCATACCAGATACGGGTTTGCACTTTGTATATTTACCATGTAACCATCCCCGATGCCAGTTGTGAGTTGATCACCTGTCAGGCTGTCACGACTGGAATTACCCAACCCTTCAACACAGCAGCAGCATACTCCCAAATATCAGATGAGCCTTGTCTTATCATTTCAATGATGGCAGTCCCCAGGTCCAGCCCGCTCAAAACCCTAAATAGGAGGACTGGAAAGTTGAAACTAACGGGCTCGAGTTGGAAATTCCAAGTGGTGCGACTATTTCGGTGAACGACTCCATGGCTGGGTCCGGGCGAGTCTCCGCAGAAACATCCAGACGATCATGGTGACCAGTCCACGCCCATACATATAATATAGTATTCCCACTCAACACTCATATAGTACAGTCCCTGCACCTGCTGAATTACGAGCGCGAGAGAGAACATAGGTATAACTATACACATTACACAATCATGCCTGTGGCTGCATACGAGCATTGGCATCGGAGACCCAATGACCGGCGGGTGAGAGTGTCGCGAGCCGAACTGATCACATGATTGCTTGTATCTCCCAATCTGGCTACCCTGGCGAACACGAAGTGTAAGTTTTGTAATGTATCATACGAGCCGTAACATGATTCGTACGACGGACATTCACCGTAAGGGCCAAACTACTGCCCGGGAAAGACGGTATAATGTGTACTAGCGTGTCACCGTCCACCTTTTATGGATGCCAACGCTTGCCTGCCCAGCTTTTCGTCCATCGACAGTCGCTCAGCCCCGTCGAACGTCATGCCTCCGCTCCTCTGGAAATTTCACCAACTTTCCCACTCAACCTGGACCCAGCCATTTTTACTTCCGTCTGCCGCCCCCGTCGGTACATACTCACGCATTCTGTGGCTTTCTCTGCCCGGTTTCTTTTTTGGGGAGGAGGGCCTCGACTCATCCTTCCACTTGATGATGCCTGTGCAGTAACAAGCATCACTTTTCGAGATTCGGCCCACGTCCTTCAATTCACTCTTGCTCGGATCCTCTTTCCCTCCGCTACGCACCACTGCAATCACCTGCGGGCTGTCCGCATCGCTTCGCCCTTCGCTCGCTCTGCCGTTCTTTCGTGACTTGAAACCCAGCTCCGCTTTCCTTTTGCAACATTGATATTGGCGACCGTTACTCTCGATATATCTCGCGATCCCCGGATAGAAACGATTCAGCGTTGTTCAGCGTCATCCTTCACCACTTGGCTCAATACCCTGCACAGTCTCATCATTCCGGTGTCTCGAGACTCAACGGCGGCCATCTTCACGGCCTCGAAGTCGTTAAGAGGAATCCACCCCATCCTCTGCTTCTGATCTTAGCCCTTGCTCGACGGTTGAACATGGCGCACGTACACTCCTCAAGCGTCGCTTTATAACCCATCTAGCCGCATCGGCAATGCAAGGTATCTCATTATCGCCGCTTCTTCGCCTGTTGGGCTGAGCAAATCTATAATGGTCACCAATAGAGCGGAGGGACCGCGAGGGTTCTTGTCGCAATGGGCAGGTGAGTCCTCTCGCTCTATCTCTGAGACCGTGATCGTCGTTTGGATGCTGATCACAGCCACCCTGTCCAGCATTTATCGCACCGTTCTGTCCACTATCACCCACGCCGCAACGTCGGGGCTGGCGCCCGCTAGCCCTGCGTCCCCCTTATCTGCTGTCCCTCGTTTGCTTGGTGGTTCTGTTGGCGCTCACCATGGAAGGACTTCGACAGTATAGCTTACGTCAAGGTGGACTGGTTTTCTTCAACGACACGAGTGATGTGTCCTCTCTGCAATCCTTCGCATACAATTGTCTGCCAATCGTGGTTGCCCTCATTTTGGTTATGGTCTGGACGGTCACCGATTTTGACGTATTGCGCCTGGAGCCTTACTTTCAACTGTCGCTGCCGCAGGGTGCTCCCGCCACAGTCTTGTTCATCAACTACAACTTCGGCCAAACTTTCCTGACGCCTATCAATGCGGCTCGCCGCCGCCACTGGGTCGTCTTGTGGACTTCCATCTTATCACTGTCGATCCGTTTGATTCTTCCCGCCCTGCAAAGTACTCTCTTCGAACTTCGAGAAGTAACGACAAAAAGCCAGGTGACGATGAAAAGCTGGCCTGACTTGGTTGACCTAGAGACGCAGGCGTCGTGGATGATGACTCAAGCGAACAAGACGGTCGACTCCATCCTTTCCTCCGATGAACAGATTCACCGGTCGCGATCCATGGAATATGCCATCGCTCCAGTTGAGATCCCTGGCAATGACCATGAGAAGGAATCCACACTGTGGGTGTTGGATCAGGAGCTCTATTGGGCTCAAGTCGATTGTCAGACGATCCCGCTGGCAAACAAACTTTCCTTCACAATCAATCAACCCGATGACGGCTGGGCAAGTGTCTCCTGGAATGCCACCGACGTCGACCTGGAGGACGTGCATGGCCACGCGACTCCCTGCAAGATGGATTTTACCTACAACAGCGTATTTTTCCCAGCGACCGACTACATGCAAATCCGGTACTGGGAACCTGCAATCAATCCTGCTATTCTGTCTGCCGTAGACAATGAACCAAACGCTTTCACCATCAGCGGATGTGATCCTTACGATCTCTATGGCATGATCATTGCGATCAATGCCACAAATGTCGCAGATGCGACTGGCATGAACGCGTCTTACGTGGCTTCCGGAGTTGGCATCGCCTGTGATATTACTTACCGGAAGGCGCAAGCTCGCGTGTCCATGCACTCAAATAGTTCGATCGAGAGCATCCACATCGAATCCGCCACGACAACTGAAGTAACCGCCGCCGAATTCAACATCGAGAATTTCCAATCCTTACTCTCGCAGAGAGCTCCCTACACCAGCGATATGATCTTCATTCGTGAGAATGAGACTACAGGCGGTCGGACGGTCACCCAGCTCCCCATCATCAGTCAGGATATTGGTGAAATTCAACCATTACTTGTACTCGATACCACAAAATTGATGACCCCGGCAGCCTTTGAATCGAAGATCACCCGCGACGTGGAACAGACTTTTGTCCTCACTCTTGGCCGGTTGTTCGATCCCGGAAACCGTCCTGCTGTCGTTGCCGGCTTCAAGCTCACGACTCAGGTTGCCATCGCCGTTGTGCAGTTTGCGGCTATCTGGTCTGAACTGATTCTAGCGACGGCTGCCTTCACGGCTGTATATTTCCTTTTCTTCTACCGTTCACGTCAAACCTTCCTTCAAAGTGACCCTGGGTCAATTGGAGCTATGTGCAGTATCGCATCTGATATCTTCCACGACAACAACATTCTGGCGCAGCCCCACATTGATTTTCATCAGTTTTCCACTCGTCAGATGCGGCGAATCTTCAGAAAAGCTCGTTGCTACTGGCGTTCGGACTCATCCGGGAACAGATTGGAAATACTAGCAGAGGACGGTAAGTTTTTGTGTAATCCTTTGGCTTTTGCTCAACTAACCAGTGTCTGGTGATTTAGGCTCGCCAGTTCAGCTTGGGGAAGATTTGCGTGTACACGCTGATCCCATGCCCCATTTCTTGGTCATTCCTCTCTTTATCGTCGAATTCCTACTTCTTGCGGCGGTGATCATTCTCATGTCTCTTGTGGTGTCTTCGCTCGCCCGTAATGGGCGCTTTAAGCATCTGACACAGACCGGTTCATCGTCGCTGCAAGTCGTCTTGTCGATCTTGCCATCTATCGTAGCCTCGTCCGTGGGATCATTATGTACTTCTATTTATCGAAATCTCTGTGTCCTCGAGCCGTGGGTCCATCTTCAACGGGGTCAGGCACTGGCAAAGGCGTCCATCTCATTGAACTACGCGTCTCAAAGTCCCTTCGTCGTCTTTTTCAAGTCTCTGCGCGGCCGTCACGTGCTGCTCGGCCTCATTTCACTCGCCTGTGTTGTGAACATGGTCCTCACGGTGGTTGCAGGTGCTCTGTTCACCCAAGAACTGACTACGTCAACTCTCCCCACGGAAGACCTGAGGGCTAATTACAGTCATTCTGTGTTCTGGCGAACCGATTTTGCAGCGGAGTTTACCGAATATGACCTGATACAGACAAGTATCACCAGTGGTGTTCCAATGCTATCCTGGACGAGCCCGAACCAGTCCTTTATTCCATTAGATATTCAGCGCCGGAATCCTGACGTTACTTACTCTGCAACAACCCTCGGGGTCGGATCACATCTGAAATGCTCTCCGCTCTCACCGACCGAAAGTTTGGAACATAATACCACTTCTGGTCGCTCTTATTGGCGATATGCTATGTTTGAGAATGCCTCTCAAGAATGTGTTGCTGCAATGCCGACAGTGCAAAACGCGAATGAGGGAATTGATTTGTCCATACAGTTCCTGTCAGCAAGCGATGTCAATCACTCCGATATTTGCCAAACTTCAACGGTTGTCGTCGTCGGCCGTTGGAACTACATGGCTAACACGCCAGTAACTACGAACAACACCATCGCTCTGCACTGTGAGCCTCACGTCTTGCTCCAAAACTATACCGTCAGTTTTGATCATAAGGGTCAAATCGGCTATCATTATCCACTACCACACACCTCCATCACCGAGGGTAGGATGTACGAGAATGCCACCGTGAGCCTGGGACAATTCAACAAAGTCTTTGTCGCAATTCCTGAGGATTTTGTGGGCAACACCACCGCCACCCAGTCCAAAACTTTCAATATCTCGTCTTATGACTGGGCAGGCTTCTTGGTGGCACGGTTATATCGGCGCGCGGATCCTGAATTTGACTCCCTTGACCAGGAGATGTTCACTGACCTGACTCAAGCTGTCTACCAATGGGTGTACGCAACATACTTTTCAATCTGGCATGAGATTTATCTCCAGCCTTTGAAGGAGCCACAGCTTGCTGCCAATGCAACAGTGACGCAGAGGACATGGGGGATGGTGCCTTCTGTACCGGCACTCGCAGCGGCGTTTATCATCATCATATTCGATACCTTGGTTGTTCTGATCGTGTTTAGCACAAGACACGGTCGGTTTAGAGCGCCGCGTATGCCGCGGTCGATTGGCACCGTGATCCCTTGGATTGCCCATAGTCGTATGCTTGGTGACTTCCAAAATACCCATACTTGGACCAATCACCAGCGACGGGAGCATCTCTCCAAAATGGGCAAGAGGTACTCATTCCGGCAGTTCGTCGGCGCAGACGGACGTTCGCGCTATGCAGTGGACGAGGAACCTGCCAATGCTATCAAACATCCCACCTCGCCTGCACCGTCGCCACCTGGAGTCGGCGATGACTATCACGGATCGGAGCAGTGGAAATCATCAGCGGTCCAGCTCCGAGAACTGCCGGCCCAGGGTCCCCGACCGCGAGCCTAAGCAACGCATGCGATCTCTGTTCTTTCCAAGTTTCTCGGAAGCCGTATTGCATACCCCATCTATGCGCATATATTCTTCATGCCGCCTATAGAAATTCATTCCCAACCTTCTAAATTTCCGAGGTTCTTCGATCTAGGTATGAAGTACCTAGATCTTGTCAGCTGGCTGTGGCTCTCGAGTGAATGCCAATGGTCTGGAAGTCTGGCTGAATTGCCGCCAGCATGCACTCAGAGGGTTAACCTCGTGGTAGGGAGTCACGCAATTTTTCAGATTCTTCTTTGCCGCGTTCGTGGTGATTTTCTTTTTTGACTCGGGCTTCGCGGTTGGTTGTATATAGGCTCAGGAGTTCCTGATTTTGCTTTTGAGTTTGACAAAAATATATCCCTTAGCACCTGGAGAGTGCTTGTCACAATGAAAATATATATTTGCAATGAATGAATGAATGAATGCAATCGCTCAAACTCCAACTTGTTGTATCATTTATCTCCCCGATAATCCATCTGTGAGACAACCACTTAGAGCTCAATATTAGTGGATTCATAGGGAGATGATCTATAGTGCGGCCCGCAGCTTCTGGTCTATAGCCCGTAGAAGTACACACAAACTCTCCAGATACGGTGCTAAAATACCATGTTCCTTGGCCTTTTGAAGCGGAAATCCCAGGATGGCATCGATCTCCATTGGTCGTCCATTCTTACGATCGACCTGCATACTGCTCCCAATTCCGGGCATGGCCTTGATCTTGGCCATTTGTTGATCGATCAAGTCGTCCCCGAGAGGGACACCACAAGCTCGCGCAATTGTAATCACTTCAAACATGAGTTTCCGGGTAAATGGCTCTGCGTCGGGCGACGAATGCAGCCACGTTTGCGTATCGACCATCGTCAGCGTAGTGAGTGAGTTCCACGCTGCGTTCCAGACGACTTTTTCCCACCGCTTTTGTTGTATATCGTCGCAAATTTGAAAGCGTGTTTTACCATGTTCAAGAAGGGCGGCGAACTCGTTCAGGCGTTTAGTCGCAATTGTTTGATCCAGATGTGGGTTTGGGAAAGTTCCGATTTGCAGATTCTCGGATTTGGTGTGGTTCACGACGCCCGGTCGAGTCTGAGTGGCGCCAACCCATGTCTGGCAAATGAGAAGATAGTCAGTCTTTTCATCGACCTGCCAGCGATCCATGCGGTCCTTGAGCTGGAGATCACGGAATGAAAATGGGCCAAAAAGCTTCACTTGTCAAAAACTTACGACGCATGTGATGATCAGATTTCGAGGATACTGTTCGCGAAAAACTTCCTCATTTCCAACGCCATTTTGGATAATCACAATCGAGGTGCGATCTGGATCTACAGCGGGCTTCAAGACCGCGGGAACTCTGTGCTGATCAATGGCCTTGTTTGCGCAGATGATGTAGTCCATGGTTGATGCCTCATCTGGCGATTTGACGACTGTTGTGTGAATGTTAGAAAGAGTGAATCTGAGCATGCGACCACAATTCGGCATCATAACTCGCCTTTGAACGGGCGAAAGGTGTGTTGACCGTGATTTTCACTGTGAATCGTGATTCCCTAGGGTCCCTTCAATGAGTCTATTGAGACGAACGATTTGCGAATAGGCGGAGAGGAGAGAAAAGTCTCACATTCTGGCACACAGCATCGTAATTGGAACGCGCCACGACGGTGAGTCGCACGCGTTCTGACCTGTTGAGAATGAACGCATAGAAGGAGCCGATACTGCGAGATGGTCAATCAGCGAATCTGCCCGTCACGGGCCGCTCCTCGTTGATGGTTCATCGGCTTACGCTCCGAGGCCATATATCATGACATCAATCGGATGAGACATGCTGCGAGCACCTCGCCTTTGCTTAATGACAGATTGTCGATCCGGATGAAGAAAACAACCTGTAGATGCAGGAGACCCGTATCTCAAAAGTGGTTGACTCGGTATCAGATCGAGTATTCTTCCCCTCTCCACCATGTGCGGGGGAGTCGGGGGCATTGCGGGGAGCACTTTCAGTCGCGGGGGAGTGGGGGGCTGGGGCGAGCCTTTCCAGACTTGGTTTCGCAAGCTCGAGGCAGCGGATTTCCTCCGAGGCTCGTGTAAAGTCCTGAAACTCATGACGAATTGTCAGTCACGCCGAAATCAGTCATGATACTCATGCCGACAAGGCAGGAACTATCTACTGATGCAGGTATACTACTGCAGATGGTGGACACTCGATGCCATTTCAGTCAACTAGTAGGTGGACAGGTGCAAGTCGGCGATATGTTCCGGGGTTGACAAGAATTTGGGGATTTGTCTTGTACGTGCCATTGATGTCTTTCAATTTCCGCCTCTTGAGCCACATATATACCTGGTGCTGTTTCTTCCCATTATTGCTGCATGTTTCTCGAAGATAAATTCGTGGCCGCTGCCCGTCACTTCTGCTGATCATGGCGATGGAAATACGGACGGGACAAGAATGCGAACCCCCACGTCGAGTGGGGTACAACCGAGGTGTATGACTATGTACATGTCACATTAAATCGGTGGGTTGAACGTAGCATCCACGGAAACACTGCGAAAGAAATCCATGCACTTTCTACAGGCCATAAAACCCAGACCTCCCGCCCCTGCAAGATTCTGAATGATTTTGCCAAGTTCGCAGCTTCTGTGTTGCCGGAATTGAACCATCCAACTTAAGATGGCCCCGATCAAGTCCATCGAATATTTTCGGGTAAAGCCCCGCTGGCTGTTTGTGAAGATTGTTGACGAAGATGGGAATATGGGCTGGGGTGAAGGCACACTCGAGGGTCATTCACTGGCAGTAGAAGGCGCGCTGAGTGAGATCATCACTCGTATCATTGGATTTGAAGCAGAGTAGGTCATTGACTCTTCGAATATGGCAATCTAGTCCTCAACGCCCTTGCAAAAGCTGACTGAAAGATCCAGTGATATCGAACATATTTGGCAATTCATCTGGCGACTAGGCTTCTATCGAGGAGGACCGGTCTTCATGTCCGCCCTCTCTGGCATCGATATTGCCCTGTGGGATCTCAAGGGACGCCGCCTGGGGGTACCGGTACACCAGTTGTTGGGTGGTAAAGTCCGTGACAAGGTTCAGGTGTATTGCTGGATCGGGGGTGATCGCCCAAGCGACGTGGAAGCTATGGCGTGCGTTTCTCCCAATCTCAGTCACTACGAAGCCAAGTACTGATCTGAAAGACCGGGCTGATTCAATCGTTGGCAGTAAATCGCGACTTGCTCAGGGGCTTCGATGTGTCAAAATGAATGCCACAGAGGATCTGAATTGGCTGGATTCGCCGGCGACTCTCCAGTCTTGCGTGGATCGTCTGAAGCAGGTCAAGGCACTTGGTCTGGATGTGGGCCTTGACTTCCATGGGCGAGTGCATCGCCCGATGGCGAAACAGCTGGCAAAGGCTCTGGAGCCCTACCAGCCTCTTTTCATCGAAGAGCCTCTCCTCAGCGAGCACCCCGAAAGCATCAAACAACTGTCCAACAGCACCACCATTCCGATCGCCCTGGGTGAGCGGTTGTACTCTCGATGGGACGTCAAGAGGTTCTTGGAAGATTGCTCGGTCGACATTCTGCAACCTGATCTGGCCCACGCGGGCGGTATATCCGAGACCAAACGCATCGCAACGATGGCCGAGGCGTATGATGTGGCTATTGCGCCACACTGTCCATTAGGTCCCATCGCGCTGGCTGCGTCGATGCAGATCGCCATCTCGACTCCTAACTTTGTCATTCAAGAAATGTCGCTGGGTATTCACTACAATACTGAGGCAGGCGAGATCGACATCACGAGCTATTTGATTGACAAGGCAGTGTTCGACATTGAGGAGGGATACGTTGCGGCTCTCTCAAAACCTGGACTTGGCGTTGAGATTGACGAGGAAATGGTGCGCAAAATTAGCCAAGAGACAACTCCATGGCAGCCAAAGGAGTTCTTTGGGCCGGACGGGTCCATTCGGGAGTGGTAGAAGATGTATATGTATGCCATTCTCAATGTCTACATGATTTCCGAGCCTTTGAACTAGTCAGGGTGTATTTCATAAAGCTCGTTCTCCCGGACAGAGGAGTTTGCCTTCCCAATAACCAGGTATGTCTGACAGGAACATCAACTTTGTTGTCGTATACTGTTGTCTCCCGTCTGGAACCACACGCCACAAGGTCTTCGAGTTCGCTTTAGTCTTCAGCCCTAGTTCAGACACCAAGCTCCACTGAGTATGGAACATTGGCAACATGAGGTCCTGCAAATGTCTTAGTGACCACATGGACCAATTTCATCAAGCGTGTCTGTTGATGGTATTGAAGAGACAAATTACTGTTGTTTCTCTCTTTTGAAAGACTCGAGTCAATTGAAACACGTCAGCATTGGCTCGGCCACCTTCAATCCTTATCAGGTTCAAAGGTAGAAGTCTTTCCGAATATTTGGCTCATTAGGACTAGATACTCGCATGGATCTCCCTCGAGATGCACTCGGACGGAGTGGTAAATTGGGACCAGCTGCTGGGACGGTTTGAATATTTCAATCTGCAACCCACATTAAACCCTGCCTGTCCATTTCAGAGCATATGCTTCGAGTCAAAATACTATTCCCACAGCTCTCAGAATGCGGCAGCTGTTCGTCAGAACAAAGCGGGACTCGCATCAAGCATTGCTCAATTATTCGCACTCCCCTATGCCTCCTCTAGGTGGACAATCCACGGTTTGAGCGTGTTGTCATCCGGACAGTGAATGGTTTCAATGGCACGACTTCACAGGGAAGGGTCTTTGATTGCGAACTCGGGCATACCTTTTCCCAATAGTGGATGATCGTCACCATCACGGTAGTGCAGTATCACGAATTCACGGCTGATCATTCTCAGCTTGTGCACCGCGAAAGCGCTGATCATTACCCGGAGAGGGCCTCGCGACTCACGATCAGATTGCACCATGTACAACATTCCTATGCTGTACCACCCCAGTCACGAAGGGCTTTGGCGTCCTTCAGTGTCGCCTGTTCTTCGTAGGTATCACACGGGAATAACGGGACCTGATGTGATATGAGGCAATGGCACCTGCCGCAAGGGAGTTAAGGAAGTGCAGATTCCGCTGGGAAGGGGCAGCCCCCTGCTATCCTCACTGACAGCACGATGCAGGCCTTTGCAGTAACCCATCCTTCTTCGAGCACATGGTTCATGGTTCATGGTTGTGATGAGTCGGGCATGCAGGGTCGGCTGTAGCCAAAATCACTAGCTTGCGGTCTATCTCCACACCGACGATCCTCTAATGGTCTTGGCGATACAACACACGGCCATTTTCGGGGCTCAGCTGAGTCTATACCACTGCAAGTGCGGCGTCAGTGGGACACCTTGACTGATGTGCAAAGAATGCTGATCTCAATCGCTCATTGCATCGTTCCCGCCGGTTCTGTGCATGCAAAACACGCCTCGGACTCTTGTGCAGCGGCGCACGACGGCTGGAAGGCCAGCGATCCAAGAACCACAACAACCAGCAGCCGATCAGGGCCGGTCCAGGATCCTAACAGAAAAGACATAAATTGCCACGGCGCTCACACTGTTTCCTGGAGACTTGCCGTTCACTCGTCGATTCGGATTTTGAATACTTGGTGTCTTCCTCGTGTTGACTTATTCCGTCATGGCCATTAAGCTCGCGGGTCTGCTATCCATTGCGCTGTCGCTGAGCGGCCTTGCTCTCGCAAATCCGAATCCCAAGACTGACTACGATGTCATCGTTGTTGGAGGAGGTCCCTCGGGTCTGAGTGCCCTCAGTGGCGTCTCGCGTGTGCGAAGGACTGCGCTCCTGTTCGATGACAAGCATTATCGTAACGGACCAACGAGGAATATGCATGACGTGATTGGGAATGATGGTAAGCTCCAGTCGACGCTCAAGTTCACCGACGAAGATGGGCCACGGCCCTTCAACTAACAACGTTCCAGGGACTCCACCAGATGAGTTCCGCGCTCTGGCGCGCAAGCAGATTTCCGAGTATCCAACAGCTTCATGGTCCAATCAGACTGTTATGTCTATTACATCCATTGGCACGGACAAAGTCTCTGTTTTCCGCGTTGCAGATTCTGAAGGCAGAAACCACACTGCTCGCAAGGTGGTTCTTGGCACCGGTTTACGGGATCTCCTTCCAGATACTCCGGGGGTGAAGGAGAACTGGGGGAAGGGAATCTGGTGGTGCCCTTGGTGTGACGGTTACGAGCACCGTGATCAGAGACTTGGTATCTTCGGCCCCTTGGCCGATGTTGTTGGTAGTGTTCTCGAGGTCAACACCCAATACTCGGATATCATCGCGTATGTCAATGGCACTCAGAACGAGGCCACCGAGGCAGAGACCGAAAAGCGACGTCCAGATTGGAAAAAACAGCTGGCTGTGTGGAATGTGACCATTGACAACCGCACTATCTCTGCGGTCAAGCGACTCCAAGATGGTGCCAAAGTACAAAACCAAGCCACGCACCAGCAATTTGACAAATTTCAACTCGAGTTCACCAATGGTGAGACCGCTGAACGTGATGCGATCTTCACGAACTATCCCTCCGTCCAAGCATCGAATCTGCCTGGGCAACTCCATCTCAACGTCACCAACGAGAAGATTGTGGTCAGCTCATCCAGCATGATGACCAGTATTGCGGGAATCTATGGCGTGGGCGATGCCAACAGTGATGGTAGCTCCAACGTCCCCCACGCCATGTTCAGCGGGAAGAAGGCTGCTGTCTACCTCCACGGTAAGATCTCTTCCCGCCCTGTCGTTGAAATTTTTGATTTGAAAAGCGTGTTAACGTGTCTCGACAGTCCAATTGTCTCGCGAAGACACCGAGTCTAAGATCTCGAAGCGCACAGGCCTCAGCCACACGGAGTTGGAAGAAGAGGCAAACCGTGTCATTGGACGTAACCTCGAGCCTTTCTGGGATGATGTGATGGGCAGACGATGAATACCTGAGAGACGGAGAGCATTGATTCGAGAGAAAACATTCATAGCTCCGCTAACGGGCAGACCAAAGGGCGCTTCATCGTCTGACGCTGAGCGACTGCATCTCCTTGTTGTACCTTGAGTTCAAGAATATCGTTAGACTCGCGCCGTCAAGCTGGCATTGCAAGAGGTACGCCTGTGCAAATGTAGGCCAGAGGATGTTTGGGTCAAGTCTTTTTACGTTCATTATCAATACCACCTAATCAACCTCTCGCCAGTCAATACCTGATTCTCAAGTGATTCTTCATGCGCTGTGCTTGCACCTGTCTTCCGTGTCCTCTCATCCACAAGAGTGATGAGAGCGAGTAATCAAATGCAAGTAGTGTGCCTCGATGAAAGCAAGGGCAGACATAATTTAGAGAGGTTCATCAGATAAATCTAAAGTAGTAGGTTTGAGGTGGAGAAGTTCAGTTTGGCCAAAGCAGTCGGCGTTGCTCCGTCACGAGTGGATCCACATACTCGGAGCGCGTGCTGCACCGGACCAGCTCTCGTCTGCCAAACCCGCCCGCTCTTCCCATCTTCCCCAACGTCATCGCGAAAAGGTGCCCAATCACTCACAGATCGTCGAGATCTTCGAGATCTTTCTCCAAAGACCAAAGACCGCCACAAACCTTGCAAGGTTGCAAATCTCAACCCAGCGACCAACCACTATGGGCCTCCTCAGCCGCGTCCTCAAGGTGTCCGCCGCCGGCACTGTGGCCTCGGTCGGTATCTTCTTCGGCGCCACGCGCAATGATAAATTCGAGCCCATGGACATGACGGATCCAATTTTCTCGTCGCCGTTGTTCAAAAAGCTGAATCCGGACAACAACCCTCCCTTCCATGATCTTTGTGTGCGCCGCGTTCCGCTGGAGAAGATCAATCCTTCATTGCTTGAGAAGAAGGGCAAACTGGTGGAAGCCTTTTGCGCCGGTATCTGGGGTGGCATGGGTGAGCTTCAATTCCTTGCCAGTGGCATATGATTGATTGTCAAGATGAATAATATGACAGAGAAGAAAACGAAGGGGAAGGGCGCTAAGCTTTCTTGAGAATGACGAGGGCTAATATCTAATGATGCGAGGATCTCTCAACACAGGTTACATCCCCCAACGCGCAATTCTCGCCAACAAATACAAAGGCCCCGAAACCGCGGACCAACTCTGGGAGCGCAGGGAACTACTCTCAAACCGATACGACGTAGGAACTCGAATCACCGACCACTTTGAGGTTGTGGAGAAGACAGACGAGAAAATTCTCGTCCGCTGCGGCGCCTCTCCTCGCGAACAAGGCGTGCGTCCCTCGGACGGCTTGTTTGAGATTGGCGCTGTCATCAACGAGGAAAAAGAGGAGGCTGAATTCACCCTCAAGAGCTGCTTCTTCCAGGGTCTGGGCAAGGCGGAAGGTGAGCCTTTTGGTCCGGTGATGGTCTGGTTGCATCAACAGTATACGAAGCTGTGGATGGAGACGGCTATTCTGAAGAATTGCGTTCAATGAGTCGTGAATGATCATCAGCAGCATCTTCGGTGTTGTTCTCCAATTGTCAATATGTATTTTTATATAGGAAAATACGGTCGCCTGAACGGTACCGCTATCAACCAGACTGAGACCCGATATGCATAGCCTCAATCACCGACTCCATTCCCGGACTATGATTCCAGATGCCAGTAATCTCCAGCCCCACAGTCTGAAGCAATCTCCTCCACTGACCTTCTGACCGTTCAATACCTGCCCCGATGCTCATCATCTGAATGTCCAGCGACGCCTGAAGAAGAGGTGTATCAATATCCGGAAGTACACAGTCAACGATAAGAATCCGGGACTCGCCAGGAATCATGGCAGCCATCGTGTTTCGCAAGATCTGCTGGCAGATATGATCGGGCCAATCGTGAAAGATCGCACGGAAGTAGTATGCTCGAGCTCCTCGAACAGGCTGTTTATCCAAGAAGCTGTATGACACCACTTCAATGCTCGATTCAGAGCACCGCGTCTGTTTGATCACGTCCGGGAGATCTTGAAGGACCAACCGACCACGTAAATGCGGATAGGCCTTTCGAAACTGGGCGAGGTCGTGGCCCTGATTACCTCCAATGTCCACAACCAAGACCGACTTATCCAAGGGCTGCTTGGCGTTCAGTAACCGCGACACTGGGTATGTGTCGAACCACATAGGTCTGCCCTGTCTGCGACTGGCCATGTACGAGTTGAACCGTGCCTGCTGGTCTCGATGGGTAGCCAGCCATTCAAACTGGCTTTGACCCACTGCCCATCGCATCGGGGAGTGTGCATAGTCTTCGGGATTGCGGTAGAGATGAGATCGAAGATATTCGGGGAGCCTACTCAGTGTCGGAATGGTCAAATCGTATCTGGATTGCAACCAAGTCAGTCTCTCTCCGCTTGCCTTCAACTTGGCGAGACGGCTTGAGCGACATCTGGAACACCACTTACATGCAAGGTATGCCGTCTTTGGCAATGGACCTGGTTAGTGCAGCGGTCTTTTCATTTGCCCGGAAGACGCCAGGTGCAACCGTGGTGCACAGTCCCAGGGATGCCATGAGGCGCATTAGTCGCACTGCATATTCGGATTTGTCAGTCAGCCTTGATTCGGGAGTGTTTTTGAGCAAGACCACGCTGTAGGCCTCCACGTGTTGGTGGCTAGAGAAAATGACATGTACTCACCAATCAACGCCTCGTCAGCAGCGGTGTACTCTGCAATCTGAAGGGCCGATACGCCTTGCATGCGATGGGCCTTGTCTGTCAAGATCTGGAAGATACCAAGGTCCATCACCGTGCGAAGAGCAGCATTTTGCGGGGGCTAAATACATTGATATCTGTCAGCAAGGGGGTAGTCCCCCGTCCTCTTCGTCCTCAGTGACGTTTAATCCGATGCCATATGCTGGATTGGGTATCTTTCGCTCATACTTGATAGATCAGGCGCAGAATAGTCTCCTCGGGGGTCTCAACCGCCAGTCTCAGTTGGTCGAGGGTCTGCAAGAGCTCAAAATGGACCGCGGCAGAGGGATTGCTGTTCTCTTCGAGGGTCAATCGCTGCAGATGGTCGGCCATCATCTGCACCGATTTTGTTCTCACCATAATGAAGGTACAGGTGCAGCGTGTACAGGCTTTGTGTGGCTCAGCCTGGAGTTGGCGAAGAAGTGCAGAGAGGATGCAAGGAGAGAAAAGCCGAGGTCGTACGATGTAATGTAGTATACGTGAATGATCATCTCATGATGACTGCCGAGAGTTATATCCTCCCCGGCGAGAGCGAGACCGTCGACACAGCGATTGATTTACTTTTCACCCTTGCCCTACGCATGCGGACAAGACAGTTTGGCCGTATTCTTGGGGGGCACGGGTTGAGAGGAGAGAACATCAGACGAAGCTCAAGGCCCGTGGAAACCCGTCTCGCGACTAGACTGGCCATGTCCCTGAAATCTGCAACTATCCGCTACTGGCGGCACGTTCAAGACACATGATCGCTTGCTAGCATTGGATCTTTCCTGATTGCTGAAAACAGAGGCTCGTCTCCTTGCAGGATGATTCTCCGACCCACCTCTGCGTTTCCTATACCATCACTCCAAGGGAGTTGGCCTCTGACATTTGCCACACCCATACTCACTTGCATATGAATCCGTACTTGCGATATATTGTCAAGTGCTGCCAAACCACCCGAATCGAGCAAGAGTCGGGTGGAGCTTCATCTCCCCGGGCGCCAAACAGACCGTCGGAGGATGGCAAGTCTCACGTTTTGGCCCATTGGTAAGACGCATCGGGGTGATAATGACCAAATGACAGAAGAACAAAATGAACCAATATACCGCGGGACCCACCAAACGTCAAAAACGTCGATCCTGAAAGTCTGTGTCGATCTACCAAAGCAGGGATGCACTCGCCTGCTGCCCTATACATGTAGGGTATATACCATCTCGAAAATTGAGTCTGGGGTCGCAGACAGCCCGAGTTAGTGCAGGTGGCCACAGTCCTGTGACAAAATCATGCTTAGTTCGATAGGTAAGTTTCCCGTCTATTTACCACATCTTAACCTCTTCGGCTTATGAAGAGAACCACGTTCTGTGCTGTGGAGGGTTTACTGATCCTAAGACTATCTGGGAACAATGGCTGATGAATTAGGTCCATCGGCTCATCCAACATCCATGTCCGATCTTCCCACACCCCCAGCGGAGCCAGATCCGAGATGGACACCAGCCATCGCGACTGTCAGTCTGGGCACGGCCGAGTTCCACACTCTCCCGGCCAAGATTGAAGCGGCCGCTCAGAATGGCCAACGGGGGTTGGAACTCTTCCATGATGATCTCGCCCAGTTTGCCAAATCGCTGCGTGCTTCATCGGGTTCTCAAGCGGCAGCTCGCACCGACCGCGACTTTGAGATTGATGCTGCGCATGCAATCCGCGAGCTGTGCGAGCAAAAGGGGCTTCAGGTTCTGGCGCTCCAACCATTCCGACAATTCGAGGGCCTCTTGAACGCCGTTGAGCATGCGAACCGCATCGAGGAGCTGAAGCACTGGACAAACCTTTGTCTCATTCTCGGGGAGGACCTGTTCATCCTCATTCCGTCATCTTTCCTCGATGCTTCCCAGATCACGGGTGACCGAGATCGTCTGGTATCGGACCTCGCCGAAGCCGCAGACGTGGTCTTCCCCGTACGGATCGCCTACGAAGCCCTTGCTTGGGGAACCTACATCAATACCTGGGAAGACAGCTGGGAGATCGTGAAACGAGCCAACCGGCCCAATCTCGGCATCTGTCTCGACACCTTCAATATCGCCGCGCGGATCTGGGCAGACCCAACCAGTCCCACGGGACGCTTGCAAGCCCACGCAGACACCGACTTGACCGAGTCCATGCACAGACTGGTCCGGGAGGTTGATCCCGATCGCGTCTGGATGGTTCAGCTGGCCGACGGGGAACGGGTAGATCCGCAGGCGCCGTTCCTGCAGGTGCCAGGAATGCCCAAGTTGCTGTCGTGGTCCCGAAATGCTCGTCTGTTTCCCTGTGAAGAAGAGCGCGGTGGATATCTCCCCATCCGACAGGTGACGGATGCTTGTCTGTCAAGATTGGGTTACACTGGCTGGGTGAGTATGGAGGTGTTTTCACGGTCGACCATGGAAGCTCAGCCATCGGTCCCAAACGATCATGCGGCGAGAGCGGCGAGATCGTGGCGGCGAATGTTGCAACAGTTGGACTCGGAGAAATGAATCAAGGATATTCCGTTTTTGGGCATGCATCACTTAGGAATGGCGTTTGATACACATGAGGAAGAGACACGCTCATCTTACAACGTTCAATTGTATGATCGTCTAGAAGACTCGCAAATAGATAACACTAAAGAAGCCTGTACACCACGGTGGGTTGGAGCATGGCTGGCCTCAGGAATTCTTGACGATCCGGATCCAGTAAATGGTCGATCCACCGACAAACAGTCCTTCCAGACCGACGGGTCTGTAGAAATAACTTGTCTCGAACCCTCGTGAGTGCTCTCCGTCCTCACATATCTTGTCGAGGCCCGATCGAGCGGCCCGCATTCCTCCCGGCAAACGAGCAGATCAAACCGCGATAGACAGCCTTCACTTGCCTCCCCTTCTGGAGCCGTTGAGTCCCACTGTTGACACTACCAGCCTATGAATGCCACGGTTGACACGGCTGCCCTTGAGCCAACGCATTCTTCGTGAATCTCGTCCCGAGGAACCCGTTCGGATCCATTCCCATTGTACCGAGGATCGGGAATCGAGGATCTTCCTGAGCGGGTCCGATTCAAGCCCCGGAATGGGTGCCGCAGTCATACGTACCTCAATCAGGTAGTGCGAAGGTCTACAGTATGAATGGTACTTTTGTCATTAGCATGCACGAAATCATGGCTGGGACGCCAGAGTATGTATGTCTACTATTGACGGATTCTCCACCATGCAGAATTGCAGAGCAACATTGCCGTGTAACCAGCTTAGATGAGAAGGTCCAGCCTCGCTTCAATTTTCCTCTTATGCCAACGGCAGACTGGGACCGACAATCTCCGCTGTGTTTTCCTGGCAATAGAATCAAATGTTCGTCAAACAACCCATTGCACGATCAGAAATGATCGTCCCACCGAGAATCCCTCAACAATCCGGAAGCGTCGTTGATCTCAATCAGGGATTGTAAAACAATAGAGACCAAGGGTCAAACGCATCGTCGGGAAAGAGAAGAAAAAACTGGAATATTGTGAATCTGCAATGTGTTGTCATACCAAACATAGACATCAATCCCGATAGTACAGCTCCCAGTAGTAGATAGCTTACAGTGTGGACGTACTGTAGTACAGTCGGAGGAGCCTGACAATAGAAGAAGGTATACTAACCAGGGCTACTATCATTGATCAGGTGACTCGCTGGTAAAAATGCCCCCCCCCCCCCCCCTGCGGGAGTCGGCGTTGCCTAATTGGAATATCCTTCCATTGCACATCCCACCCGACAAGCTGCCACAAGTACAGAGAATTCATCATCCGAACATCGTTTTCGGGTCTGGTGTTCAAGTTCATAGTCGTCTTCACACTCACAGACTGTTTCCACAAGATGGAGAACATCTGAATCGGGGCTGACAAAGGCATCCAATTGCACGCCTCTGGTACCGAGTCTGATCTCCCGCTAAATTCCTCTGTGTCACATCGCAAACGATTGCGGCAATAAATGAGGCCCACTCTGGATGGATAGGTTGCTTCGTTCTGTTGACATGACTTTGCCCCGAGAGCACTTCCGGTTGAGGAAAAAAAGTACTCATCGACGCTAGCTCTGCTTCTCGATCTAAGGGATGAGGGCATTGGGGTTTGCAAATGGCATCTAGTGCCATCAAGGCGTCATTTTCGAACACGCTGACCGTTTGCAACCATACTTGGGCTGCACCTGACATCGACTGTACATCACAGGAAAACGCTCTGTACAAATCGACAACTGACAATGCTCTGGCATGACCCACCGACAAATTTCGTGATGCATGTCTAGCCCGTGTGACCAACATCTCCATCGACCGGAATCATTGGTGTCCTGCCTCGTCTGAAAACGGCCGGGTCATGGTCATAAGAGTGCGAGCAAACACGAGTTTCGAGGGGTAAAACTTACACCAAAGCTTTAAATGTTGGTAAAGCGTCAAGAACGCCCCTGAGGCATACTTGTCCACCCCATTCTAAGCATTGTGCCGGAAAGTCCATCTCTACTCCTCGGCCGCAGAACATGGGCATTCAACGAGATGAGCGTGGGGGAGCAGCATCCTCCTCCACTACCTACAACCCACTTATCCAGCAATTCGGACAGCTGAATGTGTTGGACGATTTGATCAGGCTACGGGCCGGGGATTATGTTCAACGTCCAATATTGGCCTATCCCACCTCGGAGACGGCAGCGTCGACATACAGCTACTATAGCGGCCGCGATTTGAATGATATGATCGATAACATGGTTACGGTCTTGGTGGATACTGGATTTACTCCTGTGAGATCATCAAAGCGCCAGGTTTCAGATAATAATCACTAACATGACCTATTCACACACCTGTAGCCGCGCGAGGGTCCAGCAGTCGTCGCTCTGTTGACGCTTTCGGATCTTAACATGGTGATTACTTTTTTCGCACTCAGTCGCTTGGGCTTCACCGTGATGATGCTTTCTCCACGCTTGTCCGGGGACGCGTGTGTTTCACTGCTGAACGAGGTCGAGTGTGATACGGTCTTGTATGGCACCACAGTCAGCATTCGAACAAGAATTGGGGAGATTCTTCAGCGCAAGATAATGGCCTGCCGACCACTTCCTCAAATCAACTCTGACAGGGTTCCTGAGCGGACCTTCCTGGCCATACATCAACGTCGCAACCTGGAAGCCCAGCGAAACAGAATCGCACTGATACTTCATTCCTCGGGATCAACAGGCACACCCAAACCACTATATCTCACCCACAAAGCTCTGATGACGCACCCCCTCCGAGGACCTGGATTGACCTCGTTCAATCCTTTGCCTTGGTACCACCTCCATGGACTCTCGACGGCATTACAGGCCATGTGGCAGAGAAAGACCGCCTTCATGTGGAACGCTGCGTTACCCCTCACAGCAAAGTCGGTGATTTGCGCCTTGGAGGCGACAAGGCCGCAGTCAGTTGCGGCCGTACCCTACCTGCTGCAATTGATGGTAGACCATCCAAGAGGAATCGATGCTCTTCGTGCGTGTGAGTTGGTGACGTATGGCGGTGCGCCCTGCCCCGATGAGTTGGGTGACAAACTTGTCAACGAGGGTGTCAATTTTGGAGGATCCTTTGGACTGTAAGTCTCATTGTGTTCCATTGTCTTTCAGATTTTTGCAGATCCGAGCCTAAATTTGGTACAGAACAGAGGCTGGGTTAGTCGCAGATTCAATATCTCGATCCAAAGATGACCCGTATTGGAATTATCTGCGCTTCTTCGATAACATCAAGCCGTACATCTGGATGAAACCCGTGGGGGACTCTTTATACGAATGCGTCTATCTCAAAGGACACCCCGCTCTGACTACTTGCAACTCGAATGAGCCACCTGGTTCATTTCATTCCAAGGACGTCTTCGCGCCTCACCCAACCATACCCGAAAGATGGAAGTACGCGTCCAGAATCGACGATCGCATTACCCTCGTCAATGGAGAGAAGGTGCTACCTCTCCCCATCGAGGGCCTTGTCAAGCAGGATGTGCTGATCCACGAAGCAGTGGTGGTCGGTATCGGGAAAGCTTCACCGGGTTTGTTAGTCTTTAAGTCACAGGAGATTGACGAAGCCGAGGTTTCAGACGAGGAGTATCTGGACGCCATCTGGCCTACTATCCAAGATGCCAATTCGCGGGCAGAGCGATTTTCCCAAATCTCACGCGACCTGATTGCCATTTTACCCTACACGGCAAAGTTTCCACGGACGGACAAGGGATCTATGATTCGTGCACAGGTTTATTCCGAATACGCGCCCTTGATTGAGGATCTTTTCTCGCAGTCTGAAGAAAAAGAAGGATGTACCCAGACAGATGTGCATGAAACACAAGCCTTGATTCTCAAGCTTTGCCGAGAAGAACTTTTTGTTCACATTGATACTGCCAAAAGTGATTTCTTCAACGCCGGTATCGACAGTTTGAAAGCCATTCAATTACGACGACTGATACTGCGCAATTTCAAGCTCGATAAGGACATGCTTAGGCAGAATGCGGTGTACGAGACAGGGACTGCCAACGCGCTGGCCGAGCACATTTGCGCACTTCAAGTTGGCCGTGCATTGTCTTCAGCGGATTCAGACAGCAATTTGATGAGTAGATGGATAGAGAAATTTTCCTCTTTCGGGAGTCATGTTCCGCATCCATCGTTCTGTTGGAAATTCAAGAGCGTGGTATGTGCATTGCTCGTATTGATCCCGGAAAATGATCTTGAGAAGTCGCTTACCTTTTTGATTTCCAGATTTTGACCGGAGCAACAGGGTCCATCGGCGCCAACGTTCTCCATTCGCTATTGCAGGACGAGTCTATATCGACAGTCTACTGTTTCACGAGGCAGGCCTCGCCTACGAAAGCAATCCTTGACGGCCTGTCTAACCGAGGGCTTGCCATCACACCCGCGCAGACATCAAGAGTTAAAGGATTACACTGTGTCATAGACCAGCCCAACTTTGGTCTCAAACACAAGACAATTGAGCATCTTCGAGGCACTGTAACCCAGATCATTCACGCTGCATGGCCCGTCAACTTCAATCTGCCGTTGACATATTTTTATCCTCATGTTCAAGGTGTCTACAACCTAATCCAATTCTCGCTATCCGTACGCCAACCACAACCCGCCGTGATGTTATTCTGCTCTTCCGTGTCCACCGCACTAGCATCATCATCGAAGTCCATCCCAGAGAGCCCTCTAAACCTTTCGAGTGCCTACATGGGATACGGTCAGTCCAAACTGATTGGAGAGCACATCATCAGTAAGGCCCGTCGTTCAGGCGCACGATGCTACTCCTTGCGTATTGGACAAGTCTCAGGCCACTCCAAGATGGGGTTCTGGAACGACAAAGAGGCTCTCCCGTTAATTATTCGATCCGCGGCGACCCTGAAAGCGCTACCTGACCTCTTCAACCATACGTGTTCCTGGCTTCCAGTGGACAAGCTGGCGTCTATAATTGTCGACATTGTTCAAGTGTGCTCATCTCCAAAGAAAACTGCAGTGTTTGACCATCTGCAACGTGCATTGCAAATGGGATATCCCCTCCCCGGCCTCATATGCTCCGTGGACTCAGATACGGTCACAGCAAAGAACGACAACGACAACGACGACTCCATATACAACATCAGCAACCCCCACATTTTCCAATGGTCCGCCTTACTGGACTCCCTCCGCCGCAATGGCTTCCAATTTGAGACTGTACCCTTCGAACAATGGTGCCGCATGCTCTGGGAGAGTGAAGCCCGTGGTGAAGAGCACATCAATCCTGCTGTCAAATTGATCAGTCACTACGAAGACATGTATGGAAAAAAGTCGGCGGTGAGACTGAAACCTTTTCAGACTGCGCGGGCTGAGAAAGATAGTGCAACGATGCGCGGGCGAGATCTGGATATGGTCGGCGGTGGAATATTAGATAACTATGCAAGAGATTGGCGTAGTCGGTGGATGAGCTCATGAGGGACTGACTTTCAGGGTGCATTATATTTTATGGTCTCAAATCACTGTTGCACAAAGGATGTGTGAAATGTGGGCTTGTGTCACTTTTTCATCACTTACGTGTCTAAACTCGAATATAAATACAATTGTGATAGAAACTTTGGATACCAGATGACCAAAATCCGCTCCCGGGAAGTGCTTAGTTCCGTGATCTGCAAGTAGCGGGAGTAGCCACCGCAAAGAAGTCAAATGTTGAAACATGGAAAATAACACAGCACGGGAATTGTAGAAGAATTCGTGACCTCCAGGTTCCGAGCGTACTTCCAGGTTGGACCTGGACCAATTCAACACCTGGTGCATAAACTCCCAAAACGCAAAATTGGCACAAAATTCCCCTCTATGATATGAAAGAGCGTTGACTTCTGTAGAGACGAAAGGATGGGCTCTGGAGAGATCCCCTGGTTTCAATGTATTTGATGATTGTAGTTGATTTGTATGTATCTAAATGATCTCTCAAGTCTCGCGAACCCTCTTCTAAAAGCAAAATGGCTTATTTTGTATCGGCACGGAGATGTAGCAGGAAGCAAAGAGAAAGAGTATCGAGAGGCAAAATCTAAGGTGCAATCGTATCGGAGGGGAATTGGACGATGAGAAAGAAGCAATAAGAAGCTGCAAAGAATGGCTATAGAAAAGGAAGAGAACACAAACACAGAAAAAAAAAGCAGCGGACGCTATTTTCAATAGACAATCATGGCTAGCATGAATGCCGCAATCACACTCAAAAGCTGGACTGATGTGCTGCCTGCAGCGCCGGTGAACGGCGTGAAGACAGGCGCAGCAGCAGTGGATGAACTTGAGAGAGAGCTGGCAGCAGCAGCGTCGACATTGCTGGCTGTAGCAATTGCCACGGGGGCAGGTTGAGTGTGGGAGGCAACGACCACATGTGCGGAGCTGATGGGGCTGATCGACACACCAGGAGCAGGAATGATTGTTGGCAGAGGTCGGTCCGACTTTGAACTGTAACCAAACGCACTGGCGGAAATGGCATCAGCGGCATTGGGAGCTCCGGTGGCCATGGTACCGGGGACCTGCGCGCTGGAAGAGTGGATTGCTGAGGGTATGGACATAATGGTCACCACCGCGGCGGTCTGGGTTTCGGGGTTGACATGGGTCGGCTCGACGGGGACAGTCACAGGAACGTGGGCGGCATTGTTAGAGGGACCAGGTACGCCTGAAGCGGCACTGTGTATGGCAGCTTGCGCAGCAGAAGCAGAAGCCTCGGCGATAGGGCAAAGAGTCGTTGTGGAAGTCACAAACTTGGTGATGAACTGCTTTGCGGGCTGCTCGCCAACAGACGAATCATTCCCACCCAGCTGACCGACAGTGCCTGCTGTCGTAGCGGGCTGGTTGGCTTCGGCGGCAGCAGTCTTTGTGGGAGCAGAGTTGGAATCTTGACCGGCAAGAGTCTCGACAGCGGAACCGGGAGCGGAACGATAGGCTGTCTCCCCAGAGGCGGCAGCAGTGGCGTGAGAAGCGCTGGCAGCGCTAGCAACGGCTTGAGTGGTTTGCGGTACCTCGGGAACAGGGGCAGCCTGGGTGGTGTGGGCAGCTTGGAGGGCTTCGGTGGTGTGAGTAGCAGCCGAGTGGATGGTGGCCACCTGAACGGTGGAGTGAGCGGAGCTCAGAGTAGGCACGGGCTGGAGAACGGCATTGGCAGCAACGCCCGTCTGGTAGATCTTGACTGAGTTGATCTCCCAATAGGACTGCTCAAATGCAGCGGGGTTTTGAGCAACGTAGTTGACACAGCTGGAGATGGAATCGGAGCCGGACATTGGGCAACCGGACTGACCGTAGACGCCACCAGCCCATTCGCCACAGAAAGTTGTATCGAAGGTGAATGACTGAGCCTTGAAGCTGCTGGCGACATCACATCCTTCCTGAACCAAGGCCATAGGGGTACCAAACTCGGTGGTATCGGGCTGTCCGCTTGTGATGGAGGAAGGGATCGAGGCCCGAGGGAAGAACCAGATCTTCACAAACGTCTCAGTCCACTCCATCGCATAGACACCACCGCCCTGTTTGTTGAAGGATGTGCCATAGCTGCCCTCGTGGCCCTCAACCTTGCAACCCACCGTTCCCAGATCCTCACCACATCCCGTAGCATTCACAGAGCCTGTCATTCCAGCATCCGTGATGCTACATGTTCCTGCGGTATGCATGACAATCTCGTTGTGAGCCTGCATGTTGACACCTTCGATAATGTCAATCTCACCGTCATGGGGCCAGTTCTGGCCCACCGACCAGAAGGCCGGCCATGTACCGCAGGTGCTGGCGGGCATGTGGGCGAGATCGGCAATTACCAAGGAATGATCGTAGAACTTCTTGGTGCCGATACGGACCGACTCGCGGCCTTTGTCGGTGGGCTTCAAGGTTGTCTTGTAGTCCACACCGATATAGACACTGCCGGTCTCCGTCACCCGGAGAAGACCTGCGTCCCGGGCGCTCTGTTCATCCACATACTGTACGAAACCCTTGGTGGGGTCTCCTCCGACATGGAAGTTGAAGTAGTCCAGGAAGGTATCGCCGTGCCAATTCTCCACCAGCTGATATTTGTCGGTCGCGGCCGCAACGGGTGAGGTGAGGAGAGCGAGGCACAGCGAGCCAGCGCTGAGCGAGTTTGCGAAAGTGAAAGACCGCATGATTGCCCGTCGAGGGTTCGATTCGGTAAATGATAGCAGTTGCAGGAGCGAGATGATCGCGAAACGACTGGATTGTCAATGAGCAGACCAGATGCCCAGTATAGAAATGATGAGTAACTGGACAAATAAGATCCAATGTCTCACGACGGGGTAGAGAGAGCAGAGCGAGGAGGGTAGGGATTGAGCGAGAGGAAGAAAGTGAGGGTAGAAATGAATGAATGAGAAATTTGCAGTCTAAACAAGGAGGAACTTGGTGAATGAAAGGCAGACGATCTCAGACCGTCAAAGAAAAGAATGAGAGAAAGGAATGTACGACGAACGTGGTGACGGGGAGGAGAAAGAGGAAAGAAGCTGGTTTGCGGCGCGAGATCGCTGCGCCTGCGGTATTTGAAGAAGCGCCCTGGTATTTGGGGACTCGCGGCTTAGTGCCTGTAGCTGCCGAGTGCTGCCTCCTGGAGGCAGCGATGCTCCACTTCACATGGCAGACTGTCGTCCTATTATCCAGGTCCAGACCCAGGCCCCTCCTCCACATGAGAAAAATTATCCCATTTTGATCGATCATGATAATAGTCATCAATCACGACACGTCTTTCGCTGCAGGTACGGGACCCCGGAGAGACTTAGTGTTCAGCCAACCCGAGGGGTATTCGCTGGCTGAGCCAATGCAGGGCATACCTTTTCCTCTGTCTCTCATGCGCTGATAGAAGGACCTGGCCCGTCGTGGCAGCTTGTCCGGCCAGTTTTTCGGCGAGTCAAGCGGATTCACGATAGGTGGGGATCCTGGAGTGATGGATGAACATCACTAGTCAGGGGCACCATCGGAATCTGATTGGAAAGCCACCACGGCGGCTACGGAGCGGGTGGATCGCCCGAGGAGCAACCTGAAACGCATCGTCGCGAGTCAGACCGCGTCGATTGCCGGTAGCCCGAGTAAAGAGGGGAAAAGGCCAGAAAGAAAGGCACTTCTCAAACGCTGGTCGAAACAGACTAGATCAGTCTCCTCCAATCACCACCGATCGTCACCTCCTCCAGGAACGGGCACGGAGGTCGCTTCAATAAGCCGGCCATAACCATTGCGTTCAAGACCTCACTCTTTCATGTCTTCATGAAGCATCATCATCTTAGTTTACTACTAATTCGGCATAGTAGAGAAGCTGAGCTCAGCCGAATCAATCGAGTTGACCAGGTGAATACCATGGCTGGTGTTCATTGTTGCCATATCGACCTCGCATTCCTGGAGACTGCCCCCGTCAGTGATATGGTTGCGTGGTGCGACCGGGCCAAGTATCGACCATAGGAAAGTGATGCCAAACCAATCAGGCTGAGCCACAGCTATCACTCACAGTATTGAACCGGCAGTGAGACATGTAGCATGAGACTAAATGATGAATTTTGAGATAAAGGAATCCGAGAATAGTATCAATGATAGAAACGAAGAGGGAAAGCGTCAAATAGTTGTTCTGACTCTTTGGTGTCCATCTTGGCGGTGCACGTGCCAGGCGCTGGCCCTTTGGCACGGGACTGAGTCAAGAATGGATGCAAAGGACACACACTCCAATTTAGTCCGAGTTAGCCGATGCTTGGCACTATATCCTCGAGTACTATGACACCAATAGTTCGGGCGATATTTCCCTAATTCGATGCAACCCGAAATGAGACCTCGTGGACAAGATACCAAAATGGCCTTTTTGGCATGGCTTATACCATTGATACATCATGGGGTGAATTTTGTCTAAGCCTCTCGGTGGGTATTCACAAGAATGCCCTCCTTGTGAATGCCACCGCTGTCTTAATAATTGCGCTGGGAAACTAACCAACTTATACAATCCCAAGCAAACTAATCAAACGGGTACCCTGCATGGATGTCAGGTGACCAGCTACCCATTGCAGGAGTGTAGACAGACACGGGTCGATCTTGACGATACATCGGCGTGAAGTGGGCGTGCCTTGAGATCAAGGGATCACCCATTTTAGATCCATTGTCCTGCGTCGAATGTCCATTTCCTTGCAAATTCTACCTCGTCTTTTCACCCCGGCGATGCACGACACATAGACCCGATCACCGATTTCCAGTTGCGACGCTTATGCACTCTCCACCATCGCCACCTCGCCGGCCATCCATTCATCCGTGTCCGGGTCCTCGATCGCCCATCAACTGTGCAACAACACAAGTCCAACTTCATCCGAAGAAATCGTACTTCAGCTTTTCGTTCTCCTCCGCCTTGTCGGTTTTTGACATTGTTGCGGGTTTAATATACCTCAGTCGATCACGTCCATTCAGAATGTGAGAGGGATCCATCGCAGCTTTTTCGTCATGACCTGTCAACATGAGCATGGATTAGCCAAGAGCTTCCAATGAGGGAACCCCTTCTTGAATCATTTTACTTACCCAGCTCACTGTTGACCCCGGCATGAGACGAGACCATGGGATCTTCCAGATCGAGCCCATCTCCCAACAGAGGGGGCTGTTGCTTCTCACCTCGACGGAATCGTCCTCTCCGCCTGCTCTGAGTGAACGTCAAGTCGATGGCGCTTCGCGGAAGCGGCGAGTCGCTTTCCCGGTCGTATAGGATTTCCACCTCGGTGACTGGGGGAGTCCGCATGACTTTTCCGAGCGGGACAGAAACCCGATTGCGCAATGCAATGGACGGTAAAAATTTGCCGAACACGGATGGTGAATGTCGGAGTTTTCTTGCGGTGAGACAGACAAGGTGATGTGATGCTTGCTTTTGGTGCGCCGGGACAGGGTCGCGCGGGACCAGGCGCCGGCTTGCAGAGTATTTATGTCTGCTAATGCCGCCCAGCCCTCCTGGGCTTGAGTGGCCACGATGGCGAAGTCCCAGGCTGGTTTGACGTTCACGTGGGTGAGTGAAAACAATGAGATGATAACGGTCTTTCGCCATCAGTTTGGTGTTCCAAAGTATCCGATTGATGGCGAGGCAGAAGGTGTATACCTATTTTGTTCCTCCCAGTCCAAGACCTTACTACAAGGTATACCATGTGCTCTTCTGGCTCTTTCTTGACGATTCTAAGTGGATCGACACAGACTCCCTTGTTTCTGCATCAAAAAGTCAGCTATAGCCACGAATGACACGCAATTGGGAATCCATCAACCTCCATTTGACTTTCTCACTTACTGCCCTGCGTCTATCTTGAGAATGTGGTACGTACCGACCCCAGAACCCATTTCGAATCGCTCTGGGCCGTGACCCGCCACCACCGGAGGCCACTCATCTCGTCTTGCCTCGTTGATGGCGATGGGAATGTAGGTCAATTACAGGTCCAGTGCGTGGGTGGCAGCCCGCAGCTGGAACGCCACTCCGAACCGCCTGTAGCTTGCGTCTTGTCATTCTCAGTCCACGGGCCTTCCATATGGAACTATGTCCAAGTAGTCGTGTAGTAGTCGAGAAAAAGGTGCATCCACAATCGATGCATGACAGAGCGTGAATAACACGAATGGAAGTGGGTCGGGGCAAAAATCACCGGGCGAGGTCATAGGCACGGTCACAGATAATGGAATACTCAAGCCTTGTGGAAGGCAGCAACGGGTATACTTCAACTAGCAACAAGGCTCCATCTTCTCGGCTGATGACGCTTTCCATGTCTAATCAAGAATTCTTCTACTGTGGACGACGAGACGGTCTTGCAGTGTGTTATCAGCTGCGGCGGGATGATGCTTTTTCGGACGTCAACATGGAGGATACGTCCAGGGATCAAAGGGGTTTCCCTGCAATCTCAACTTTTGGCGGGCCAAGCATGGAGGCAGCAGCTCGGCTTGCCATGACAATGGATGTTTCCGACTACTGACCCGGTTTAAGAGACTGCAAAGACCACCCTTTGCCGGTTCTGCGGCCGACTTGTTCTTAGTTGATGCCCCAGCCCCAGGCGAGTGCTTATGAGAAGAAAGAAGATACAGTCGAAGACAGGAATCGAAGAACTCTAACAACTTTGGCATGCTAAGCCATAAACTTCCAGGTGCTCTGCTGACCTCATACCCGCTTCTCCACAGTTGCGTCGATCATTCATCTCGATCCCGTTACGCGTCTTAATTTTGAGCTTTGCGGATCAGAATTTCAACCAGGGGACGATTTTCTTTTTCCTCTTCGTTATCGTTCTCGGTCATTTGTTCAAGAGAACCTGTAGCGTTGTTTTATCGAGGCATGAAATCGACCAGTGTTTTTCTGATGACATCCCCGGCTCAAGTGACCTCAGCCGTTACCATCTCTAGTCTAAGTGAGGGAGATCCTCCGGATCGGGCCACTTGCGGAATAAATCCTGCAAGTAATCCTTCGGGGCCGCAAGAAAACTCGAGATCGACTGGTACGGAGCCGCCGGAAGATTGGGATGTGCTCTGGTCGGCGCGAACCATTTTGTGCGGCCGTAGGATCTGGCCAGCCGCTGGCTTTCCTCGGCGGTGATGGCTCCCTCCAATTTGACCAGGTCCTTGGATTCTTCAATCTGGGCGTGAGAGGCGAGATCGTCCATGAGCATGGTCAGGGTTGGGACGAATCGAGGATCGGAGGTGTTGAGATCTTGGAAGACTTGCAGTTTTTCTTTGATCTGTAAAGAGCGAGCGCGAGCGTGAAGGTACGGGTCAGTAAGTGGGCATTGGGTCAGTGTTTCAGAACAGGACTGGGTTTCACAGGGTTTCTGAGGACATGGTGGAGTCCATGACCAAAGGGAGCACTCCCGTCGTTCTCGCGAAGCTTTACGTTCTCCCCGGCCGACTCCATCTCCGACTTACCGTTTGATGCTGGCTTCGATCGTGGGTCGCCTCACCCGGTCCCAGATATCGGTCGAGCGCAGGGAAGAGAACAAGCTCCTCGCCGACGACATGCCGCGCGAGGCCCCAAGTCAACTGATTCTGGAATCGAGTCTGCTCGTCGGGATCATCGCTGTTGACCATGCGATCGTAGTAGGCCTGTAATTCGCGGTGATCGGCGCTGATGACGTCCGTCAGACGGTTCGTGTTTGGAGTCATGGAGTGGTCATTCAAGATCTCGGGAAGGTTATCGGGTCGGACGGAGTCGCAAAGTATGCTGCGTCGCAGTGGTTCTCTGATCGGACTAAGTGTTTTGTATGCCTCTCTGGAGCTGCAGCTTCAGTCATACTCCAACCTTGTGTTGACGGAGTGTTGAAGTACATTGCCCTTCCCGGTTCCGGTCCCGCAGGCGCGTCTCCAGAGACATGTGTCGACTGTCAATATGGGATCAATGTGGGATCAATATGACGTGCAACTCGAATCAAACGGAACTGGATATCCGGGCGATCCCATCGTCATTGAAGAGTCTCGAGTCTGGACAACCGTGGTTTACCTTCTTGGGGGCCACTTGGACGCTCAGCCTCTTGGCACCGGATCGCATCCGAAGGCTCGACCACAGATTGAGGAGAAGCCAAGAATGTGAAGACGCGGGGGGATCGCCTCGACCGGTCGAGTCCACTTTCCAGGTTGGCTGTCATGCAGTCTCGCTTGGGTGCAGACATGACTCGCAAAGCAGACTCTTGTGCCGCTGTGGACACGAACACTCTCGAGAGTCTCGACTTGTCGGGGCTCAGATCGACAGAGAGAGGAGAAAGCCGCCCGAGCGAGTCTCTGTTCTGAGTTCAAATGACCCATCGAATGCTCCCCGCAGGACCGTGGCCCGATGCGTTGTCGCATGCAGACTGGCCGCGGATGGATGGGTGAGTCAAGCGCAGTGACATCTCCAACTCCAACTCGAAGGTACCGGCTCACCATCAGGATTCGCATGTCCTTCCCATCCCGCAGCTGCATCTCCCCGAGCAGGTGACCCACGGCAGGGAAATCATGCAGACAGGGTCACATTTGGAGCCTCTCCGGCTGCGGCCTTTTCGGGGAAAGGGGATTGTGGAATGAAGCAGGCCTGGGCCGAGTTGAGTCTGACTCCGAGTCCTATATCGGCTCCATTTTAGGACTCGCCTTCTCCTCCTTCTTCTTTTTTATTCCCTCTCACCTCTTTCACATGATTCTTGATTCTGTCTGTTTCTCTTTGAACATGCCTCTCATCATCGGTGGTTTGTGACTTTGCGCCCCCGTCGCGGCCTTGTCAGGCGACGCAGAGCGAAGCTACTGAATCCCCAAGTGACTCTGCTACCTCCCCCCCCCCGTTGTACGTCACTGGGATGTCCTCCGCCAAAGAATGTACGCCTGAAGCTGGAGTACTAATGAGAGATCGTGTGTTCATCTTCTGCAGACGGGATCCTCTCTAGCAGAGCCTCCCATCTCGATCGCCAGTCTCACACCCCGATTCCAATCCCCTTGGAAAACCCCAGTTTACCATTTCATTGATCTCGTTTCCACACCAACGCAAGCACACCCCTTCTCCGACGATGAGTAAAACTAGGATCGATCAGCCGGCCCCAATCTCGCGGGGGCTCTACACCCGCCTGACAGAATGGCTGTGGCCCGGTCGGGGGAGTAGTCTGCGTCTTCCCAGTGAACCGCCATCGCCATCCGCCAGCAGTCATGGCGCAGATATTCACGCAGCACGGGGGACGCCTGACAACCTTCACCCTCCGCGAGTACGACTGCAGATCGAGCCCCGTGCGAGCGTCTCGCTGGACTGCAAAGCCTGTCGAGAGCGGGGGATGGTGTGCGATCAGATTCGACCGCAGTGCGAACAATGCTATGAGCAGCAGACGCTATGCTTCTACGTGAGTCCGAGTTTCAAGGGCCAACGGCAGAAGAGGACGAGACGGACAGATAGGGTTATCGCGCAGGTTACTACAGATGAGACCACGAGGAGCGCATGTGTGCTTGCATGTGCGGCAACGGGCGACTGACGCTGCGGGGATAGAGTTTGGGACCTTGTGGGAGGTCCTACCACGATCCAACTGTTTCCAGGAAAACTCTCCCCCTGTATATCGCCAATCATGTATATACTATACTACACGACATATCCACGAAACTGAAACGGCGCAAATGGTGATTTGCTTTCTCATGAGCAATTGATGGTTTCATCAAGTTACCGCATCTATGGTCCCACTGGAATCATAGCAGTATGAGATCCGTGTAGCGGGACAGGAGACGCGAGTGTCATGACTACGTGAAATTTTTTTTTTCCAAGTACAGCGACTTCAAGAGTCGATATTATTTCAAACCCACTTACCCTCCAGACACTGGCGAACAGGGTGAACTGATATACATAACAGCGAGTCCATTAAACGGCGTGCCTCTGACTTGATCATCTTGTCATTCATGCCATACCTGGCGCTGGAAAGACTTCCCCAATACAACCGTAGCTCACTCCTTGACCTCTCGCTTATGGAAGACATCTGCTTTCATCAGCATCTCCACTAGTTGAACACAGCACCGAGCATCCAGCATTGAGACTCACCTGGAATCTCGGGCATCCACGAGGCTCGAGATTTGCAAAAGAACTCGCCCTTCGGTGGCAGTGCTTCTGGGTCGTCAAGGGATCCTACACAGATGTAGCGGAACTGTTGTTTGGCATTTTCCTGGCGAGCAGGACGATAGGATGAGCAATCGATCTCTCTTGAGATCATGTCGGGCTTTTGACTTACCCCAAATTCCAAGATGAAACTTCCACAGATATCGCAAAAGTGCCGGTAGATGGACACTCCGGACCCATTATCAGCCGCATGCTCCTTGGGCTGACCCTTGGTCAAGTGGAAGGCATCTTTGGACACTTTGGCCGTGAGACCGTAGTTGGTTCCGAATGCTTTCTGCATTAATGGCCGCTCAGACGTCAGCACCTCCGTCGTCACCGGCAATACTTTCTCTCCTTCACTATCTCGAAAAAACAATCACGTTCCCCTGGATTGACTTCCTCGACTTGCGCATTCCCTTTCAAAGGGTGATTGTACTGACTTTACAGTTCTGACAGTGGCAGAGTGTGGTGCGCGCATCATCTATTGAATTCAGACGCAGCTCGTACTCGATCTTTCGACAATAGCAGGATCCAGTCAAGGTGGGCATCTTGATGGATTGCGATCTACTCGGTATAATGGATGTTGTTCAGCCAGGGACACAGGAAGTCGATGGAAGTCTGACAGTGAGATCGTGTTGGAGGGAAATGAGGTATGGAGGACACACTGCTACGTGAAAGCACATCCCACTGGACATTCTCTGCCATTTCTATCAGGTTCCTCATCCCTTGAAACTGTTCGCCCGTCTTGGATTCTCAACTGGCAGGGACATCGATTGATCCATCCACTACATCGATATGACGTCGTGTTGGGCAGTCCTTGGCATGTTTGGACAGACAATCGTCGGGTTTGTCAAGCGCACGGGCCATACACTGATCGTAGCTGTCTCCAGTGTCTCGCTCTGGCTTTGATTGACAGCATCTCCATTCTACACGACCGATCTGGATGTGGAATAAAAGCTGGTCATGGTCATCTGAACTTGATGTTATCTGGTCGTAGATTCTCTTTCATCTTGAGTTCCATTCTGCTGAATTCCCGCTGAACTACTGCTGGCTGCCAGGACAGCACTAGGTTCAATCACATTCGACGCCCCTATAATTCTATGTAATCGGTGGACAGTGGACCTCCGTCCACACCCGCAGGAATATACCGATAACCATTGTCGGAGGGGGGGGGGAAATTGGGTATCCCACAGCTGCAACATGGAAAGACAGGCGCATTAATACTTTCCCCGCCCATATTTAACCTTCTCATTCTCTCAGTGTTGGGGTTCCCCAGACACTAATAACACAAAAATGCGCGACTGAAGGGCTGTGGCCATGGGTTGATCTAGAGTTCCCCCGATTTCCGGGCCCGCTGAAGACATGACGTACGCTTCAGTCTGCATCGAAGTAAATAAATTTTTGATCACTGGGATTTCCCACTTACATTTCAAGATCTACATCCATCGGTTCACCAGCTGGAAAAGCCTCCACTCGTCGAGTAGCTGTGATTTTCGTTGTCGACAACATGTCTCAACCGCCGTCCAGTGCCGAGTCACCGCTGGAGAAAAGATCGGTCGTCTCGTCCTTCCTGTTCTCCAGCAGCGCGGGATTCCCAAAAGTCGCGTTATTCAAGCGCAGCGAAAAAGTCAGAACTTATAAGTTTGTGTTTCCCCCTTTTAACCCAACTCCGACTACTTACCGATACCCCAACTGACCAAGCAAAGGCATCGTCTCGCTCCTGTCTCTGGCAGCATTGACAAAGGGGAAACACCGATCGCGGCAGCGTGGCGTGAGATCAAAGAAGAGACCACCCTGACACCTCAAGATCTTGAGCTGTGGCGCCAAGGGACACCATATACCTTTGGCGATCCTTCAGTCGGCCGGGAATGGATTATCTACCCATTCGCCTTCCGGCTCAAGGATGCAAGCAAAGGAGGACGTGGTGAATCCGCCATCCATATTGATTGGGAACACGAAAAGTGGGAATGGTACGATCCTCACGAGCTTGTTGATGATGAGAGCTTTGGAGGCGTACCCCGACTCGCCGAAAGTCTACGCAGAGTATACTTTGAGATGTGGTTGAATGAAGGAGCTAGCGGCGCCCTGCAATCTGGGCTCCAGCAGTTGAAGAGCGACCACTCGAGTGGCTCGAATGAACTCACAACTATTGGGATCAAAGCTTTTCGCGACGTCCTTGCTCATCTGGAGGTCCAGGAGAATTGGTGGGAGACTATCTGCGTCGCTGCCTGGCATCTCTGGAAGAATGGCCGTGAAAGTATGGGCTCCGCAACATTGAACGCGTTGCTCGGAATTCTCGAGGATATCGATGCCATCAGGAATCAAGGTCAACCTGATGATTGGAACAATATCCTTGGTGTTGTGGATCATCATCTCCAGAGCCGCCGGAAAACCACTACACAGATCATCGAATCCTTAACTGCCTACCTCAATTCTACCATCTTCACCGACCAGCCGCCGAAACAAGCCAGGAAGTTCACCGTACTGACTGTCTCGTCCAGCTCAACTGTAAGAGACGGCATTGAGGAGATATTCAAGTCATCACCTGAATCATCTCATCTCGACCTGCGAATTCTCGAATCAAGACCGTTGTTTGAAGGAGTGAGCATGGCTTCGGCGTTGGTGACCGCACTCGAGTCCTTTTCAAGAAACGACAGATCGAAGCGGCTGTCCGTGACTGTGTACACCGACGCTGCTGCAGCCATCGCAGGACAGAACATTGATTGTGTTCTTTTGGGCGCAGACCGTATCTCAAGTACCGGCTCGGTCAGCAACAAGACGGGTTCCCTGCCAGCCGTGCTTTGTGCCAAGCACGTTAGCCCTCAGGCCAAGATTGTCGTGTTGAGCTCCTTGGAGAAAGTGGCGGCGTCTGATCAGGACTCCGAGTCACAGGAAGAGGAGAATGATCCGGCCGAGGTGACCAGTGGCTGGGCCACGAGCGGTGTGCAGGGCTGGCAGGCTCTTGATGAACGCTCGAAACCAGAGACGACATGGTGTTCTGTTCGAGTGAGGAACACGTACTTTGAGTGGGTTCCGTCGGACTTGATCGATACTTTCATTACCGATCAGGGGCCACTGGGAACATCTGAAATACGTCGAACGGCCACCGAGGTACAGAAAAAGACAGAAAGATTCTTTGGGTCTCCTGAGTCCTGAGGAGCTTTAGCATAAGTTCACTGTATCAATCTGCTCTCGCAAAATACACTTGTAGCCTGTCTGCAATCCCTTCGGAGCTCCCGCCTGATTGACCTGATTGACCAGTTCGTATATGGCATTCACCGAGACCTGGTGACGCACTTGGGCAAATCCTATGACTGGCGCAACACACTACTAAAAGTGGGATAGTCGACTACACAAATTTGCTTTCTCAGCGGGATACCCTTTCCGACGAAAATTTTAGTCCGCAGCTGCAAGCGGATCTTAAAGTAAGAGGATAGAACCTTTTTCATTCAGCATACCAGGGGCGGGGAGCGCGAGCTAGCCACCTTAGGTACCTTACTTCACGCTGTCGTCCCCTCTAAGCTACCAATTGCACCCGTGAGGACACACGTCGAGCTGGCCAACTGCAGTCGGAAAAGCAATAGAGGATATGTAATGGTCATGTACACCAGTGTTAATCGAAGCTCAAGCCTACCACGTGTATGTACATGGGTCAAATAAGAAGAAACTCATCCCGACCATCTGCCATTGAAGGGAAACTGAAGGAGAAAGAGGACCTAACTTGAATCGTCGATATCCAAAAGAAGAAAAACAAGGAAAATGGGAAACGCCACGCATCCTTCCAGCTAGATATCAAAGACTGAGTAAAGCAATGGCAGAATGAGTAAGAAAGTAGAGATCATAAAGTAAGGCACGGCGGAGACGAGAGGACAGGATCGTCAAAAGACCTTTTGTCCACGCCGTGACAAAACCGGTAGTCATGGAAGATTATGTGCAGAAAGGAGGGTCACTGATCGTTGAGAATGAACAGGAGATACTGTGGTTCAGTATTCAGGAATCGCGAACACGCGCCTGGCGCTTCGCGGTACCGATGTGGGTGTTGTGGACTTTGGTTGCAAACTTCAAGCTCGTCAAGGTCTCAGAGAGATGAGCCTGCAGAGGGCTGACCATGACGAACATGAGCGTCTTGGAATTGCCACCGAGAGAGAATTGGAGTAGATATGTAAGCTGCAGATGAATGAGTGACATGTTCACGGGGAAAATTGTGGGCAACGGGAGGTTCGGATGAAAACGTACCTTGCTATTACGATATGGGATGTGCCCGCCATCCTTTCCCTGTCCAAGAGCAGCAATCACGTCGCCAAGCGAACTGAGACTGCGATTGATATTCTGTGTCTCCTTTAGGCGGTCACCGGTCACACCACTGTGGCTGAGTCGTTCGCTTCCCGCCAAGTCGACCAGATTGAGCGTGCCTTCACTGCGCTCGCCGGTGATGTGGTTCTCGCCGTTGAGTTTGAGAATGAACACCGAATGAGATCGAGAAGAGCGCTCATTTGCCTTGGTCGCCGCAACGGAGCGATTGGCTGCGGCATTCTTGAGGATCGTCTCGACCATCTCGGGAGATTCGAGCTTGACTGTGGTGATGTCGGTGATGTACGTCTTGCCCCGCTGCATATCATGACGGATCTCGTGTTTTTTACGGTCCAACTCATTCGGGTTGCCAAGGAGATCGTTGAGGTTCTCGTTATAGACCTCGACAAAATTGCCCTCCATGGTGTAGCGCCAGCCCTTATCCTCGAGACTTTGAGCAGTCTCGTAGATCTGATGCACGGCAAGTGGAATCATACCGTCTTGCGATGACATGGTATATGTTTTGCCACTGCCGGTCTGGCCATAACAAAAGATGCAGACGTTGTAACCATCCAATGCGCTCTGCACCAGCTGACTGATCTCATCAAACACCTCGGTGTTTTGAGAAGACGGACCAAACACACGATCAAACGTGAATGTGTTGTTCTTGCGAGAGACTATCCCAAGACTACTCCTCTCCTCAGGCCCCATCACGTTGATCTCTTTGGCATCTTCGGTCTCGTCCGGGTATTGCATCGGCGCAATGGATGAAGATGGCTCGCTGTTCAGAGGTGGCCGAACACGACAGAAAACTCTGATATTACCCTTAAGCTCCTGCACTTGGTTGTGCAGTTTGCGGCGAAGCGTCTCTTCCCGACGCAGCTTCTCCTTGGTGGCTTCAGTCTCAGCCAGAGCGTCCATCATTCTCTGATTGCAATGTTCAAATGCCTGGGATTGCTCCTCTCGTCCGCCCTCCAGGAACTCGATCCTTGCTTTTAAGGCTCTGATTGTTGACTCTAGCGCCACACTATTCGTACTGACAGTGTCGAGGTTGTGCCGGAGGTCATGAGTTGTCTTCATCTCGCGATCCAGGTCAGTTCTCATGGCTTGAATCTGGGCCTGGGCCGCGCGAATCTCGCGACTTTTCTTTTCCAACTCGATCTCAGTTTTCTGGATGTCCATGGCCGATTGAGTGGTAAGTTGACCTAGTTCTCGGACACGTGCAGCTTTCTCTTCCGCGACCTCAGTCTCGAATTTTCGCTTCAGACTTCGAATGTCCTGTTCGTGCCGGTCCGTCAACGAGTCCATCTCCTTTTTATTGTCTTGTCGTATTGTTTCCAGCTCGATGCGGTGCTGCCGCTCAAGATCATCCAGCGCAATCTCCTGATCTCTTTGGGCAACCCTCAAGGCATTTTCTGCCGCGTCGAGTTGCTGTGCTAAAGAGCCCATCTCAACGCGAAGTTTCATATTCTTCTCATCGATGCTGTCACGAGATTGTTCCAGCTCGGTGACTAAAGCAAGCAGTCAGCAATCAAGTATTCCACGTGGTATCGTTTCGGATTACTTACTTCTTGCTTTGTACACCTCGACGGCTTCTTTCAAGCCCTGGCTCTCCTGGCCTGACTGATTCACTCGGGTGAATACCCTGGCGATCACCTCCTCAATTGTCTTCTCTTTCGACTCAAGGTCCCACTCAGTATCTAAAGAACAGTTAAAATCTGTGACCGTGGAGTCTTTGGAAAGAAACATGGGAATGGGAGGCCTCCTAGACTTCTTGGAGGAGGACCTGCTGAAGTCTGTTGGCGTGGGCCTCGCCGGGCTAGGAATGGGTACTTTGGATTGCGGGAGAGACCTCACGGAGTGAAAGAACCGATCATTGGCGTCTCGTTTCTTCCGCTGCAGAGATGGTGGAGTATGGGAGGAAAGCTTGGGAGACACCTCCTTGCGGGGGCCTGGCGGGGTTGATGACTTGGGATTGACTGCGCGATGGGACAACCAACGAGAGACCTTGACAGGATGATCGTGGGGGCTTTCTTCGGGGATCATAATGGGACACGAGGAGTTGTGCAAAGTGTGGTAGATGGATTTTGGCATACCCTTACGTTTTCCAAGTATGCTAGCCGTGTGATCCTCAGTGTGGTGCTCCAAGGAAGTGGCTGGCCGCGCCATAGATGTCGAGGCACTGTGAGGTTTGCGTGTTCCCAGAGACGTTTGCGGGCGTGCCATCGCTGACGCTGGGCGAGCTCCGTAGGACATTGTGCTCGAAAAGTTGCTATTGTTCGGTCGCGAGGCGGTTGACCCGGATCGTGTTATCGTAGAAGAGGTGTATGAGTTCCCGCGAGTATGGGTCTTTGGTGCGCCCATCGCGGAGCGCGTTGTAGGCGGCTGCATCTTGGTTTCCACGGTGCTTGTTGATTTTGTTCGGGTCGCTGTCGAGGTAAATCAGTATCAAGCGGGACATCAGACGGGCGCAAAGCGGGATTTACGAGAAATTGCTTTCTTTGCAATGGTCCCAGGCGGCAAGATGCCTGACATGCCAGACCGCGCATTTGTAGTCGCAGAGTTCAGTTCTCGAAGGCCGACCTGCGGGATGCGCGAGCGAGTCGACGCGCGATGCTGGATGCGTTAAGCCCTTGGGTCAGTAAAAAAAAAAGAAAGTTGCGACCAAGATGATCGGGAGTGCAAGCGCACCATATTCTCGTCGTCCATTGTGCTGGTTTTGGCTCGCCAGGTCAGCGGCGAGTAAACTATCCTGGCGAGAAGGGCAAATTCGCGAGCAGCCACGGTCTATGCGATAACCTAAGTGGGGATGCTTCAAGCTGAGGTTCTCAAAAGCGATCATGTTAGCGGAGAGCATCCAGGCTCCGGTTTCTGGAGAGACGGCGGGTAAACAAACGCTGACTCAGCCAGGTGCATCCGACTAGCCCAAATCTGGAGTAGCGTGGAGCTATGTACCTCACGTGAGCCTCGCATCAACCGACATGAATTGCTCCACGTGAGCCTTGACGCAGATACGCTCGAGACAAGCAAGACCAAGTCCTTAGGGAGTTCAATACGATTTTTACAAGATAGAAGCCATTGACATTGACTCGCGCCGTCTTCGATGACCTTCATCCGCATTGACCCACTGCACCTTGTAGAGCGATCATAGTACAATAAATATAGTTCAGTATTCAAAAGTGACGACATCGTCTCGATGCGTTGTAGGCTGAAGTCTAGTCCACCGCAGGAGCAACTTTGTCCGGAGCATCGCAAGCGTGGACTCCACTCGGCCCGCTCAAAACAGAACAGCCTCCCAAGCCCCCCTCAGTTTCCGCATTCCTTGGTCGGTCGACGGCCGATTTAGCTCGCTGCTCTTCTCACCTCCACTCCACCAAAACCCCATTGCGAATCTCGTCTTCTCTGTTGACGGCCACCGACATCAATCATGTCAGGCCGGTTTGTGCGCTCTTCAAAGTATCGTGAGTCTATACTGCATTGACTAATGCGCTGCTCGTGGATCTCTCCCCCCGCTAACGAGCCTCAATCTGACAAGGCCACGTCTTCGGACGCTCGACGCGAAAGGTAGCGGAAAGACCACGCCTGAGCCAACCCAGTCCATGTGGTTAATTTCAATTCTAGGAACAATGCTACGATAACCTTCGCGTGTCGCGTAACGCTTGGGATACCAACCTACTCAAGGTGCGCTGCGACCCCTTACATCCTCTTTCTGCCCCCTAACTGCCATTCCATGCGCTCGCTTCTCACACCAGTGAGTCTAGGTCAACCCTAAGCACCTTGCTGTCAACTGGGAAGCTGGAGGTGGTGGTGCTTTCGCCGTCATCCCTCTTGAGGAACGTGGAAAGCTTCCTGAGCGTATCCCTCTCTTCCGAGGCCACACGGCGGTCGTTCTGGACACCGATTGGTGAGGCGCCTGACGAGTGAGAGTGAATTGAGCTGCGCACGAGGCAGGTGGTCTAATTGCATTTTGTTCTGCAGGAATCCCTTCGACGATGACTTGATTGCATCTGGCTCCGACGACGGAAAGGTCGGTTTTATGAATCTACTCTGATCTGCCACTGCCGCTCAGGGAACTAAGTCAGCAACAGATCTTCCTCTGGCGGGTTCCAGAGAACTTCACTGTTCGTCCGGATTGCGAAGCAGACGATATTAAGGACATTGCACCCGTTGGAAAGCTCACTGGTCACCCCAAGTATGTCGTTCTTTTCCGAGACAAATCAAGCTTTTGTAACAGTCGCTAATTCGTTCGCGCTATTTTTTTTTCTTTGCTCTCTGCAGAAAAGTCGGCCACGTGCTCTTCAACCCCGCAGCGGAAAACGTGCTGGCAACGGCCTCGGGAGATTACACTGTGAAGATCTGGGATATTGAGGCAGGTGCGGCGAAGCTCAGCTTGAACGTCGGTGACATTGTTCAGTCCCAGTCTTGGAGCGCCAATGGTTCTCTACTGGTTACAACTTCCCGCGACAAGAAGCTTCGCATCTGGGATGTACGTCAGGAACGGCCTGCGCATGAGACTAACGGCCACTCCGGAGCGAAGAACAGCCGAACGGTCTGGCTGGGTGAGCGCGACCGCATTGCGACCACCGGTTTCTCTAAGATGAGTGACCGTCAGCTCGCTCTCTGGGATATCCGTGCCGTTCGCGAGCCCATCAATGGGTTCAAGACCCTGGATTCGATCTCTGGTGTCTGCATGCCGTTCTGGGACGACGGCACTAGCTGCCTCTATCTGGCAGGGCGAGGGTGAGTGAACCGGGATGATCCTTCCTGACCCCAAGAGTGATTTACTGATACTATTTGCGTAGTGACGGAAATATCCGCTACTTTGAGCTTGAAAACGACAAGTTCGAGTTCCTGTCCGAGTACAAGTCCGCCGATCCCCAGCGTGGTATTGCGTTCATGCCCAAGCGCGGCGTCAACATGCACGAGAACGAGGTGACCCGTGTATTCAAGACGGTCAATGACAGCTACGTGGAGCCCGTCTCCTTCATTGTCCCTCGACGATCGGAGAACTTCCAGGACGATATCTACCCGCCTACCTTCGGCTTGACCCCTGCCATGAGCCCCTCTGAGTGGTTTGGTGGCAAGGAAGCCATTCCTCCGAAGATCTCCATGGCCAGTCTGTTCGATGGTGAGGGCTTGAAGGAGATTTCCGGAGTTGAAGAGAAGCCTACCGGCTCCATGACTGCACCTGCGCCAAAGCCGGCGGAGCCAGAGCCAGTCGCTTCCAAGCCTGCTGCCAAGGCCAGCCCGGAACCTACGCCTGCGCCCTCTCCGGTCGCCCGTCCAGCCCCTTCCATGAAGGAGCAAGGTGCGTCCATGGCCGCCATGGTCTCCAAGTTTGCTGATGATGAAGAAGTGGAGGGCCCTGCCGATGAGGATTCTTCATTCGAAGAGGTGTCCAAACCTGTGGAAGCTCCTGCTCGCTCCCCAATCACTGAGTCTGCTCCTGCCCGCGTCAGCACTCCCCCCCGCACAGTGCCGTCCCAGGAGCCTGAGCCCGAGGTCAAGTCCGAGGTGAAGTCCGAGGTGAAGCCCGAGACGAAGCCCGAGACGAAGCCACAGGAAGTCGTGTCTGTAAGTTCATTGACCCGGGGGCGAAAAGACGTGACACTGTGGAGCAGAGCGATTGTGAAAGCTAATATACATTCCATTAGACGACACCTGTCAACTCCACCTCCTCCAGCGACTCCAATGTCCCAGCTAGCACTGTGCACAAGGAGATCGAGGCCATCAAGGATCTGATTGCTCAGCAGACCAAGATCATTGCTGACCAGGCTTCTCAAATGCAGAGACTTGCATCCGAGGTCGAGGCACTCAAGAGCAAGCTGGATTAAAGCCGTGGAGTATTGAAATGGTCTTGTGGTTATTTGCAGATGGGGCATATGTGCTGTCTTTCCCGCGCGCGCTGATTACAGTGGTCGCTGCTGTCGCTGTTGGACATACAATCTTTGCGTATGTAAAATCTCTAGTGTAGTAGTGGACTTGATGTGCTACGGCCTGTCGATCGGTAGTCTTGTTCTCTTTAGCGAATTTGTCAATATCTCAGCTGGCGAAAGCAGAGTTTCCATGATCTGAACGATTCCTCGATTCCTTGTCCCGAAGTAGTCGGCCACCGACGTACCGCAATTAGCTTGGTTAGAATTCAGAAAATGTATCACATTGCGCACATTCTAACCCATTCACTGGGTAGCCGAATACCCTTCATCCATTTCCTGAGTCGATCGGGTCCAGCTTCGTGACTGCCCGCTATTTTATCCTTGCACGATATAATTCTGCAAGCTGGCACAGCACCCGTCTACATCCATTCATCCGATTCATTCCCAAGGTCCGCATGGAGGTTTGAAGCAATGGGACCACAATTCAGGCATCCGGAAGGCATCATTGTGATATTGAACATCCAGGCCAGGGTTCCTGTTCTTTGCTACCGTAGCACTCGGAGTTCGAATCGGCCATCTTCCACAGATAGGTCTCGTAGTCCGCCTGGTTGGGGGTGTGAATTCCATCCTTCTGCTTGTTGTGAATTTCGACTATCACCACGATCAGCAAGAGGCATATCAGATAATCCAATTGGTAAAACTTACAGTTCACAGCCGCAGGGACATCGCCTCTGAGATAGAAACCACCCTGGACAGTAGCAGCATGCTTCTGTCCAGCACCAATGATAGTAGACAGACCGTCCTGGCTGTGCGTGACGTGATAGCAGTACTGCTCGACAGCAGACCTGTCGTGGGCCAGTTCTTCAACAGCCAGACTCGCTCGGGTCGCCATGCCTTTGATGGTAAGGCCCTTGAGGTGATCAGCGACGAAGCCGAGACCAGACTCAGTCAAAGCCCGAAGGGTGGCAAGGTCCAGTATCAGGTCGACAATTTGTGGTGCGCAAACGACTACTTTAGCGAGATGAAGCACCTAGGAATGGATCCATGTGAGTATGGTGGAGTACGAGTATTTGGGTGAGACCTCGGCATCTGATTCGTACATTACCAACCAAGGTATATTTGTGACAATCCGCCTTTACATTTATTGCTATCCTTTACTTTTACCCTGTGGCTAAAATTTCCTCTTTTCTTCCATCGATTAGGCGTTCAATATGCAGACAAGTGGCCCAGCTACAACCTCGTCACCAACAACTGTACGGTTTACACCAAGGAAGTGTAGAAGAACATCCAGTGATGGAAATTAGAGCAATACACAGCTTCTGGTGCCTTCATTAGGGATTGATTGGGACATGGATGAGAATATTGGCGATTGTAGTCGTACATACTTCAGGAATGACGAGTTTCAGTACCCAGGGAAGGTGTGGAATAGCTCGCGATAGATTTGATGTTGATGTTGCAACTTTATCATACCCTGGATTTTCATACAAGATGGCTGCCCAAAATCGACTGGAATGGATGCAAAATGAAGCACTTTCCCTGGCATCAAGACCTCTTTTGAGGGTTTTAGGTTCAATAGTTGTCAATCCCCACATATTCTCAGTCACCGATCCTGAGTATTCTGCTTACGAGTTTGACCAAGGTTATTGCAATGTAGTGCGTCTATGATTGTAATTGATGCCCGAATATTTCTGACCATTCACAAACGAGGCACAAGCGAATTTTGAAAGAGATGGTATCGCGGTTGAGCCTCCCAGAACTCGTCCTACTTGACAATTGAAGAACTACAAATTAATAGAGGTCCTGCTCTTCCGTGGACAGAAAAAGGCTGATCGTCCTAATCGTTACTTTTCTGCCAGATTTCCAACAACTTCAGTGAGAATGCTTGTTTGACAAACCGCCGATAAGCATCTTGCTGCGCAGTTGCCGTGGCTTTCAATCCAAAAGTCCAGCATGCACCGACCGTCAGAGCAAGAAGAATCCGAATCGTGGGATTGTTATCCCAAATTGTCAAGACCGCGACGACACCAGCGAGGAGGGCCCTCTAGATGCTCAGACTTTTGCGAGAGACGGACGGGATTTGGTGGCTGATATCGAGATATGATATGCGAAAAAAAATTATGCTTGATGATAATGATTGCGGCAAGAGTGGAGTCAAAGGTTTTGGTAAATTGGTTTGCCGAGAGCAAGAGAAATTGACGGATAAAAAGGTCCCAGTCTGCGGCATGTGCTGACGGCAAGAGCAATTGAAATAATGCTTCGAATGCAGACTAATGGCTGAGATTCTTGCGCCATAATTTATTTGCTGAAGATTTGCAAGCAATGGCATGTATCAGAGCAGAAGAAAAGTGGAATTTTGATTTTGAGGATCAGAATGGAGAAAGAGGTTGGCTTTGTTCTACGAGATATGCTGGAAAGTAGACATCTGATGTCCGTCCAACAGTGGTTCAGAACCGCCCCCACTCGTGTCCCACTAGTGATTGCGCAGCTCCTCGCTCCCGCCGGCGCCGCTGTACTAAGATTAGGTCACCGAGGAAGAGGAAGATCTGATAAAACTTTAATGTGTCTAATTTGAAAACGAAACGACAATGGAGAAAATTGCACACAACACTTACACAGGATTTCCAAAAACCTAAAGTAAGCATTCTTCGGGACCCTCACAATCCCTCTCGTGCACCGGGAGCAGATCTGGCGTTGAAAAAGACACGCTGAACATTGTAGACCAAATGGCACGTAACTAAACGCGCCCGCCACCCCAAAACTGACGAGGACCAAGCCTGCGTATTCCTCTTCGTTCGACTCATCCTTTTGCCACGCAGGTCCAACTTGCACAGCTCCCGCATTCAGTACAGCCTTAGCTGCCAGACAACAGATTTTGCGTGGTCCACTCGTGGATCGAAAGCTCCTGGGCTATGCGCCTGGCTCACATCATGAACTACGGTCTCTTTGAAGCGCGAATAATTCAGAGATTGTAGATCTTGGGTGGATTAAATGAGATGGTAGGGTGCATCACCCGCGAGCAGGGCCCGCTCGTCGAATAATTTAGGATTCTCTTGAATGCGATCGAGTTGAGATCGATGAAAGGCCTCTTATTCGAACGGATCGCGCTTGGAGACACCCACTCGATGGAAATAGTCATTGAGACCGACGTCGGATGATTGACTGCAGGAGGACTTGCAGCACTGGTCCTTGAAGACAAACCTTGTGCATTGGTCGCGACGTACTTGTTGTTCAGTACTGCTAGAATTGAAGGCTTTGCCACAGTTCTCAAAGCAGCCCAGGCGGATGATATCCTCGCTTTGATTCAGGCATTTGCCGCACCCAGTGGCCGAGACGAGATGTGCTTGAAAGATAGTCAGACCAACAAGGTCTGTATGAAAAGTTGTATTGTGAGAGAGGTACAATGGTAATGATGAGTATAATTCAACGAGTGAGACTGTCGGGGAAAGGAGAATGATAAATAAAAATGGATGCTAAGGCTGTGTTTCAGCTGTGATGATGTGCCTCTTCAGCTAGAAATACCAACTTTGTGAGACTCTGGCTCGCCAGTTTAACATGCTGAAATATCGTCCCCGCGAATTTCAGTCTAGCTTGAAGCTCGGAGATTTTCGTTTCGCCAGCCTATTGATCATCCGCAAAAGCCACCGCGAGCATTGGATCAGGTAAACTCTGATGAAACCCAACAGCACCTCTATTTGGCATGGGGTCCATATTGGTTCTTTATGCTCCACAGCGACCGCTACAGTCGAGTCTATTCGTTTTAGTATCATGTTGATCTCAGTAGCGTCAGTTCTCTACATGGAGAGGGCGAGGGTCCTGTTTGTGAGGGTCCGATCAGCTGCTTGTCTGGTGCAAGTACATTCCGTCACTTCGTTTGGAATTACCTATCTACGCAACCTTTTCGGTTCCCGCCCTCCACCTCGCCTTTTTTCTGTTGTCTCGTCCAGATTTTGCAATAAATCACACTGTCTGCACCAGGCTACTACTTCGCTAACAAATAGAGTGTGCTTGTCCGGTTCGATCTTAATGATGGGCCAGAAAAGTGCGTGGGTGTCATGTCGGAGATTTTTCCTGATCGTGAGGTGCCACAGCAAAGAATTCTGTTAATCCAGTGTCTTGCCCGGCAAGAAATGACTTCTGAGCTGTGCCGAGGTCCGGTCGATGACTATCATCTAGAGAAAGCTCTAGCTTTGATTACTTATGGGAACCTTGGGCGCAATGATCGGCTCCCAAACGTCGTGACCCATGGACCTCGGTGTTCATCCATCAATGAATTTTCTTCTTCATTTTCGAGCTTGACCAGTGGCTCAATACCGGCGGCGGAGATGAGAGCTTTGCTCTGTCTAATACTTCTTACCCAACTCTATGTCGCAGATATTGATCCAGAGAGCTTCGTCTCCGCTCCATCAGAAATCGAAACTTCTGCGGACTGTTTGCTGGCATCATTCATTGGCGACGAAAGCTCATCTGCCACGGTGAAATTCATGGATTTTGACAGAGCAATCAGCGAGTCGGTGGTGAGTCACCTGACCTTCATCACGAGTGGCTTTAGAGATCCAAATTTCTGACTTGCTGCAGCCGAACCTGTTTCTTGGATGGCCTCGCATTTTGGGGCCTCTAAATGTGGCCAAAACACTACCACCTCAGCCTTCCCCGCCATGCGTGTCTCGAGCTTAGGGAATTATGCGTGAGCCTTTCACGCCTGGGTATAAGACTCCGAGTCTCCGACACTAGGCAATAGTCGTTTATTGACTTTGCGTCTGTCGAGCCAACTCTTGTTGGGCTTGCCCGATGAATCTCCCATTGAGGTGAAGAAGGTGCGAAGCTGCTTGGTCACAAGTGACATCGCCAATATCCATGCTCACATGTGGGAAGTCAACCCAGAAACGTGTTATGTACGGCGCGTCCTTTCCAAAGGACTCTTCGCCACAGACCAGACTGCGATCCGGTGTTAGCTTACAGCTAGCCCCTACTCAACAAGGCCTTCGTGGGATTGAGCAGCCGCGAATATCTGAGGCAATTGATGTCAAAGACGAGGCACAGTTGGCGATTGGACTTTCAGTCTGTGGCCTTGTACTGAAAGCAGATACTAAAGGGAACAGTTTTCGCGTGCAGACTGACGTTGGTCTCCGCTGTTCCTATCCTATTGACGGGGTGGAAGTTCTGAGCTTTGAAGGATACATGGTCCTAGATGAGGCTTTTGGATCAGTTCTGGGTACTTTGTGACTGGTGATGATGATTCCCTTTTGTCGCCGTTGATGTGAATTGGAACTTTTTGTCGCATAGTGAACCTATATTGGATTTCTTTTCTATGCAGTTGGAGATGAATTTGGGTCCGAGCCGTTATCGGTCTGGTCAAATAATGAGGCCGGCTCACAAAAAAGCACTCCGTTGGAACCGCGCCTCTTGACGCCTTCCAAAATGGTCTAGCCTTATACAGATGATCCGGATTGGGTTGCATCAGATCAGGTGCGTCGAGAGAAATGGTTTTGAGCACTAGGCTGCCCTCGTACGCTATTGGAGCTTCATATGCCTTGCGCCTATTACTTCGTCCAGCAGTGTCAGGTAAAGTCCGCCCTCAAATTGATCAGACTGAGTGACTTGACCAAGATGTGTCCGCTCGTATAAGCCCGCATGGCCCGCTAGGACCGAGATACGTCAGGCTTCTTGGCGTTCTCTGACCGAAGAGGCGTCTGCCGATCAACCACTTTCCGCCCCCAACGGCGTGTCGCCCCCTCTTTTGGGGACCATGATTGAGGCAAAACGTCGCGGTAAATTTGGAATGTGTACCACGGCAAGAATCCCCAAGTGCGTTATTCGCCTTTGAACCTTGACCGAGGTAATTGCGAATTTGCGAGTCGCGTCTGATGGGTTCACTCCCATACCAGAGTGGAAGAGCTACTGCCAAGTCCGCCACAGAGAGCCTCACCTGTGAATCGTTCCTTCTGTTGGCACTGCTTCTTGGCATCCGAGGTGCATGCACGCTACAGTACTAGTCGGATTGAAGGACCAAGTCTGTATTTGGGCATTTTCCCTCCCCCCGTCGTTCAGAGTTGTCAACTCCCTTCCTCCCAACCCGACGTTAATCTGAAGAGAGCGTCATGGGCGTACCAACCAGCTTCACACGTTGAGTTTCGTTGCCATCAGATTCGGAGGATACTCAAATACAGACAGACCGGGGACTTATCGACATGGAAGACAAATCTGACCTCGGGGGCCAAAATTGCGGTCACTGCAAGGCTTCTCGAAGAGGTCGTTCTCGGCGATGGCTCTCCAAATTGAAGGCGAATCTCTCCCCGCGGGTTGTGGGAAAGAGGAAAGCTGTACGGAACAACGTTCTCCTGTTTATTGTATTTGTGATTATCGTGGGAGGCATCATCGCACTGTAGGTCTTTGTTCACTTCTTACCAGCGATATTCGATTGTGTTGACATGCCGTATCGTTTGTAGTGTTTGGTTCTCCCTCGTGCTTGCTCTAATCCATCGACTGTCTCCGTCGACCCCATCAAATGGATTACAAAGAATTGTCCAGAGCTGGAAAACACCGTCGGATTCGATTTCATTATTGAGTCCATGGCCGCACGATTTCAGTCAAGGCATTGTGCCTGTCTCCTGCCATTCGCACAATGACTACTGGCTCTCGGTCCCATTGTTCGAGGCGATTGCGGCCGGATGCACAGGTGTCGAGGCAGACGTTTGGCTCCGGGAAAACAAGACTCTTCTGGTCGGTCATGGAGAGAGCTCTCTAACTTCAGATCGCACGTTGCAAAGTCTCTATATCGAGCCACTGTCCACAATCCTTTTGAACTTGAACGGCAACTCATCGTCAAATGATGTTACTTCACCTGTGGGTATCTTTGACATCGACACCACAGTCACTCTCACCCTTCTCATCGATATCAAATCCGATGCGATCACCACCTGGCCGGTGATTTTGGATCAATTGAGTCCATTGATCTCCGGTGGCTGGGTATCGCACTGGAATGGCACCACCAGGAAGCTTGTGCACGGTCCCATCACCGTCGTCGGGACAGGCAATACGCTCTTCCAGCAGGTGACTGCAGAACACGACCGATACGTCTTCTTCGACGCACCCTTGCACGAAATTTCTCAAAACTCATCATACTCCTCCGAGAACTCATACTATGCTAGCGTGTCGGTCAAGAAAGCAGTCGGTATGGTCTGGACGTGGGGACCCACGCAGAGTCAGAAACGGACTATGCAGGAGATGATTGATGCCGCCACGGAGAGGGGACTTGTCTCTCGATTCTGGAGCATTCCTTCTTGGCCGGTGAATTTACGCATGCAGATGTGGCAGTTTCTGGTGGAAAGTCGAGTAGGGATGTTGAACGTGGACAATGTTGTCGAAGCTACCAGATGGAACTGGGATTGGTGTACGGTGGCGGGATTGGTGTTGTGTTGAAGGAAGTGTTGGTGATGAGGTCTGGGAGTAATCTTCTTGTTAGAGCTGGCTGTCCCAACTTCCAAGTATCTCACAAATGACTCCCGCACAGCTTCACTCTTCAGATACCCATCTCGAGGCTTGCAGCTTCGTGCGCTTGGGCATTAGACATTCCCCGACGGTGGACTGCACACGACCTTCTGAGATACATTTGACGACTGAGCATTGCCCACGAGAATGGCCTTTCACTGGTCTTGATAAGCTAAGTACGGTAGTGAAGGCACCCCCGCCGAGTCAGAGACCAGGCCCGATTCACCCATCTACTCGGGGAGGGTTCAACTGAGATCGAATAGCTGGTCGAAAGAGAGCGCAAATCAACGGGATTGTCCGCAACCCCAGGTCCTTTTTTTTTCTCTCCGCCTGCTTCACGCTTCGTAGTAAGCCAACCTTGAACCATGCACATGTAAACCTGGACCGGATCCGTTCTATCGGCACAAAGATCTCACTCGCCCGAAGACGTGAGACTGATCTCGCCAAGGCGGATCGAGGAAGAAAACAAGACAAGACGATTCTCTGTCCATTCTTAGTCGAAGAGAGGTAAAGGGTACCAAGCTTGGCCGATGAAGTGTAATGCGGGGTGTATCATGCAGAATCTCGAGTTGGGTAATCCACAGACGACTTGCTCATCCTGGTCGGCCGTATCCATGGACAGATGACCCGTCTAGTCGGGCTTCGTGGACGCTCAGATTGGGTTAGTTCAGTCACCTGCAGTCCGCTGGTCTTTGCACTTGGAGCCAGCACTTGGAGAGGGTTATTCCTTCTCTTCGTCCTGCCGACTTCCTGATCCCAACCGAGATGGAGATAAATGCGGGGTACATGACCCCCTTGACCAGGTCTGGGCCCTGGCTTCCAACGGCCCGACATTTCCATCCACAGTTCAACGCCGATGCCAGACTGTCAGGACCCAGCAGTGCAGCACAGTCAACTCCCTGGTATTGGCGCATTCGTCACCTTGTCTGCAATTCTTGGGTGGATTGTTGACATGGCAGACTCCCGTCTGGATTTGCAGCCGTGACACGATCTTACGGGCTGAACTCGATTGAACCGTGACTGTCTAAAAGTCTCGACTGCTGCGAGAGATGCCCGAATCCGAGGTGCAGGTGGGGGACTGCCAAATGATGATGGATAAGTAAGATTGGTTTCTTATTGACCAGGCGAACCTCTCCCAGTGAACCGGGTCTTAACGAGTGCTATTCCTGGGCTCCTTGTGGACAATATGATAGGGTATGCGCTCGCGCTCTCTCTCTCTCTCTCTCTCCCGCTTGCACGGAAGACTCCTCTCCTGGACGTTGACACTCCTCTAAGACGCCCCGCCGTCACTGTATGTGAAGACCGAGACAATTGATGCACTCACCACCTCGGCACTGGGTAAGGCGACGGGATGCAGGTGGAGTGGAGCAACGCTGTTGGAGCGGGTCAGCCGTTCGATGTCGCTTGGAGGGAACCACCAGGTGAAACAGAGACTCAATTTATCCAAAACACGTCGGAGGTCTCTGAATGCACATGGCGGTACCTCAATGAACTCGACCTCTGAGATAATAATCAGGCTTGGGCTGCGTCCATAGTGCCATGGCAGTGGGCCACGATTTGGTTGATGTGGATCGATCCGAGGTACTACTACCTCTTGTGGGATGTTTGTTTGCTTTGAAGCATGGAGCTTCATGCCCATGGTAGTACTGACTACTGTATACTTCCAGAGAGCGGCGTGCTTTTTCTTCAGAGATGAAAAGATTTCGGTTTGACACAGTTCGTCCAGATTGGGACGGCGGCACCGTGGGATCAACAGGGCACTCCGCCCCGGCAGTCGTCACGATGAAGATTTGCCGGCGTCACTCCTTCCCCGGAACATCAACCTTCTTCTGTTGCCCGTCGCATGTGCACTCCCCGGTCCGATCATGCAACAAAGTGCCTAGTTCTTCAAATCATCTTCAGTGAACTTGTCAACCCCGCCTTGGACATACGTCGCATGCAGTCGCTGACTTTCTGGGCCGGTAATGACCGTCATACGGAGTGAGTCCGGTCTCAATGGGGAAGCGATTCCGACGACTCTCTCGCCCATAAGCACCGCCAAGCAACCAGGGACGGAAGTGAAGAAATACCTCCAGTGGTGAACGAGGGAACCCTCATCGACATCAGCCCCATGAAGAAAGTGAAACACCCAACTGGTCTCCGCCAACGGCAAAAAAGCTCATAAGGTTGGCTCTGCCGGGACTCATGTGGAGTCGGCTCGAGACCCTGCATTTGGGGACCCACGACTGACTCCTGCTGCCCTCTTCGGTAAACGGAGGAGGCCTTGCAGTTCTTCAGGGAAGTCCGGTTGGGGCGTCGGATGTACATTTCACACTACCTTCCGGCGGGGGATCTGCGTCAACAATAACCATCTTGAGAGGATCAAAGCACCATGGAGGGTTGATACCTGTTGGTCTGGTGCTGTGGACGAACAAGAAAAGAACCTGACCGTGCTGACAGGACGACAATACTGGCCGGACAACCAGAATGAGCCCGGATGGTAATTAGCCTGTCTTTTCCAAAAGGAGCAGAAAAGCCATCCGGGGCTGACTCTTCAGGGCAGTCTCGTTCTGGACCGACTTGGCACTGCGACACATTCAACGCGGGTGTTTCATGAAGGAGTCGGACAAACTGCCAAAGATCCTTCCACTCCACCGGTGGGGGTGGGGGGAAGGGGAAGGGGAGGACGATCCTATGTCAATGTTTTACGATACTTAAGCCAACTCATTTTCTTCACACCTCGAGTCGATCAAGCCAAGTCCTCTCAGCTTGATGCGCATTCACTCACAAGCCCAAGTTTTGACCATCACCACCATGAAGACCGCGCTTGTTCTCGCCTTTGCCGCTTCGGCCTTGGGTCAGCAGTCCGTTTGGGGTCAATGTAAGTCATGACCCCTCTACCTGGAAAGAGAAGCAGATACAAAGATACCCATATCTATCTGAACTCAACACTCATCTCTCGTGCTTGTTTCTCTAGGCGGCGGTAATGGCTGGAGCGGTGCCACGACGTGTACTTCAGGTAACTGCTGTAGCTCAATCAACCCCTGGTACTCTCAATGTATCCCTGGAGACTGCGCAGGTGGTGGTGGAGGTGGCCAAGCCACCTCCACCTCCACGTTGGTCACCACAACGGGCACCAGCGGTACCGGACCAACTTCCAACCCCAACCCCGGATCTGGCAACACATCCAAGGGATGTGGGACTTCGACCACTCTCAAGAGTGGCACATATTCCATCACAGTGAACGGCAAACAACGCCAATACATCCTTGCTCTGCCCGACAACTACGACCGCAGCAAGCCCTACAAGCTCATCTTCGGTCTGCACTGGCTCGGAGGTAGCATGCAGGATGTCGCAGGTGGCAACTACTACGGCGTCCGTCCCTTGTCCGGCAACAACGTCATCTTCGTCGCTCCCCAGGGTCTGAACAACGGCTGGGCCAACGCTGGCGGTGAGGACATTACCCTGATGGACCAGATCCGCGAGAAGCTCCAGGCGGAACTCTGCATCGACAACTCCCAGATCTACTCCATGGGCTGGAGTTACGGTGGTTCCATGTCCTACGCGCTGGCCTGTGCCCGGCCCGACGTCTTCCGCGGTGTGGCCGTCATGAGCGGTGCCAACCTCAGTGGCTGCAGCCCCGGCACTCAGCCCGTGGCCTACTACGCCCAGCACGGAGTCTCGGACACCGTCCTGCCCATCGACCGGGGTCGATCCATCCGCGACACCTTTGTCAAGGACAACAAGTGTACTGCCCAGAACGCTCCCGAGCCGGCCGCGGGCAGTGGAACGCACATCAAGACCGTCTACCAGGGATGTTCAAGCGGTCACCCCGTTTGGTGGATTCCCTTTGATGGTCCTCACGAGCCGTTGGCCACGGATCGGGGTGCCAGCTCCTCCTGGACTCCTGGGGAGATTTGGAAGTTTATCTCGCAATTCTCGTGAAGGGATGGAGGATAAATTGAGTTCAGGTCTCCTTTTGACATTGTTGTACCAAGATGGTCTGTCTGTCGATGTTTGTTGATCAAATGTTTCGGGAGAACTACCAGTCTTGACCAGCTTAACGGGCGAGAGAAGAATATGATCGCTGAAAGTTAATTCAAAGCATGGGAGTCTTTTGATCCGGGTTCCAAGGTTTTCTGAAGTGGAATGTAGACCGGACGAGACATCTGCGCAGTCTGAAGGTATTCTGATACACCGCCGAGAATATCGCAAAGACTGAGGACTACCTCCTGTGGAGCATACTATTACCATATCTAGTATGGTTGGTAGGAGGTATGTATGTAGTATGTACTTACTGTACTACGTTCATCGATTGTGGAACTGTTCATGTTCGCTTACATAACTTAGTCACCTTCCGGGCGTCCACTTCCAAAAATACATTCTCAAGCTCAACCATGACGTACGTACACATGTCGTTTTTGACAAAGTCAACCTCATCCCCCCAGAACATAGCAGTGCTTCTTTTTTCTGCGCTCATCGTCTATTGAAGCAACGACCCTGAATTGGTATTCACCACGCTGCCCGTTGCATTGGTGTCCTTCATCAAATAGACATACGCCTCCGCGACCTCCAAAGGCGTCCCCACCTTCCCCAGCGGCGTCTTCTCCTGCATCTCCGCAGGGACCCCGTCGGGCCCCCACATCGGGGTATGCACCGCGCCAGGACTGACGAGATTCACTCTCAACGGCTTCAAATCCAGAGCCAGATTGCGCGTCATCCCATGCAGACCGGTCAGATACCCCGCGATCAGGGACCAGTTGGGGAACGGTCTTTCCGACGCGGCCCCCGTCGTCAGAGTCAAAGATGACCGATAACCCGGTTTCAGATGCCGTGGTGCCAATTTACCCAAGAGCAGGGGCACGAAGAAGCGGATGTGGCCTGCGCGGTGGATAGCCTCCAGAGTGATCTGGTCGACGGGCGCGATGGGGAGAGGATCGCCGGCTGTGTAGACGATGTGATCCAGTGGACTGATTTGGCGCAGGAGTGTGTCCAGCGACGATTCGACCTCGGGCGTGGACAAATCAATGACGTGGCCGGAGATTCGACCCTCTGGATATTGGTGCTGGAGATCTCGGACGGTGTCCTTGACGCGGTCTGGGTTGGACGAGGCGATGTGCACGATGGCGCCTTCCATTAGGGCCTTTTCGGCGACACCCCGACCGATGCCGGACGAGCCGCCGAAGACGACGATTGTTTGATTTTGTAGAGCGGACATTTTTGAGTAGTGGGTAGGGGGACTGCAGTGGTCAACCAGGATGGTCGAATTTTGGGTGTAGTAGGTCGATTGATAAGAATGGGCGAGTGGTCTTTATAGTATCTCCACTGACCGCATGATTCCCCCCTCAGACGTACACCTACTTCAGGCCGGGCTATCCGGGATCGTCGCTGCTTTTTTTACTAAGCTTTGCATGATGAAATTGGCTCTGTTTTACCAGCTCGTGGGGATTCGAGTGATTCGAGGTGGGGAAAAAAAAATGCTTGGTTCGCTCGATCGATGCAGTGCCGCCTGCATGAATTGGAAAGAGACGGGATGTGGATTTGTCAGATCGTCATCTGTAAAGAGTAGGGACGAAGTTGAGTAAGTTCCACCATTCGATCCCCGGCTGATCGGGCTCTCGTTCAGTGGCTGAGCTTCTCTTTGGGTCCCTGGGATTCCACGTGAATTGCACATCGAACGCTTCACTGGAGCCCCGAGCGTGTGCGAGTCGCGTGGTAAAGGATTGACGATGCCCTTCAGTACTAAGCCATGAACCTTGTCTACAAATCCGCGCCGTTGATCTGGCAGCTTCGAGGCAGTCGACTCGAAATAGCTCTTTGTCGGGGAAGTAAAGTTCCTTGTTCCTTGAACTCCAGAAGCATGATCGAATTTCAATTGAGACAAAATCTGACCTGCCAAGTCCACCGAATCGAGATACAAAGATAGTAAATTGTTCCACGGGTCTTTCCTTCGAATCATCCGTCTTTTACACCTCTCTCTCACGTGGCAGCTGTCTGAAGGCACATGACTTGTTGGATCGCCATCCAAGATCTCTCCTCTACTCACACACCTTCTCTCCAGGTTGATCTGCTCTCTTGCTCCACTCACTCCAACTCCCATCATACAGCCGTGTCTGTACGGCCAACCCACTCGCCTTCAGTGCCATATCCAATCCCGCCGCCGTCACCCCAGTATTACAGTATAGCACGGTGGGGACATTCTGCTTCACACCCGCCGTGATGAATAATTGTTTGAGCTCATCTGGCGATCGCACCGTGTTCTCAGGCCCCACCAGTGACGAAAAGGGCACATTGATCGCAGACGGTATGTGGCCTCTCGGGAGGACGGACAGGTCTGGATCAACAGGGCCAGAGAAGCGATTGCTGGGTCTGGAATCGATGATCTGCAGCTCTTTCAACTCCTTGTCCTTCTCTTGGGTCAACCCATCCTTGATCATGCCTCTTAGTTCTTCAAATGCAACGACCCTCTCCGGGTCTGGCAACAGGGACTCCGGATAAGAGCCCACGCTGTCCCTCTCATTCTTACTCTTGTCGCATCCATCGCCGTCACCATCCAGAGCCTCAGTCCCAGAGAATCCGCCATTCACCGGGCCCTCGGCAACAGGATACCCCTCCTCGACATACCGGGGAAAGGTATTCAAAATGTGAACCGCACGGTGGCCGAAATACCGACATATCCAGGCTACCCGAGGCGACGAGTAAAAGCCCGGTTCCAGCGGATCGTAGACGACCAATACATCGTCTGGCTTGATGCGGAGTTTGGACATGTATGACGCGAATTGAGATGTGGTGGGTAGCATCATGGGATATGGAGATGAAGTGTCTCTCATGGTGTCCATGTTGAAGAATCTGGGGGAAGTATGGAAGTAAGCATGGAATGTTGGTTTCCGGGTTATTTATGATTTGATGCCAAATGCCTGAGCAGCAGATACATGTCTAGGACGGAAGATCTGTACCGCTATCAAGTCTGTAGCGGAACAGCGCCGAAGCAGTCAATCACAGAGAATATGAAAGCAACTGACATGGAACCAGGCACATGTTGCGCCTCAAAGGACTGAACGTTGGACTTCCGGCCCGCCACGAGTGGAATCACCCGCGGGCCATTGGGGTCGCAGTCAGACGTTCGAGACAAGACGCGATGAAACTCCGAGGGAGTCACAAAAAGCGATGTAAAGGGAGTGGAGGAAGAAGTCATCGTGACAAGATTTCGGGGGAAGATCAGCGCATGCGAAGACGATGAAGAAGAGTATCGCAACCACTTATTCTTGAATATCCGGGTTGGAAGAGGTATGTAAAGTCTGAAGTTCCAGGGAAGCGCCATCACGAAATGACGTGGTCGACAGTTCAGCTCGGGCAAGCCCACTTCGGCGATCTTTATAGACACCGCGTTGATCCACTTTGGGTGGCGATCTCGGGGATCTCGGGGGCATTCCAGATTGGACGATCCGGGGAACACGAGAACTGCCACTGGGCGAACTGCTACTACTAGTACTCACTCACTGAGTACCTGTAAGTCACGGAGTACTACTTACTCACTTAGTACTTACTAGTACTGCCATGTGTACAAAGGTAAATCCAAGGCCCCAAAAATACGTGTAGAGTTAGATAGTCACAGCATTGGCCATTACTCGCAGCTTGACTTCCAAAGAAAAAAAAACATTACTTTCGTAGTCTACCCTTTTCGCTATATCGTACAATCGAAGAACATACCACTCATAGGAAAGAAGCCCCACAGGTGGGATCGATAAACTCCGAAAAGAGTCGTGATGAGAAAGGATCCGTCATCAGCTCGTCGTCCATGAGCATATTACTGATAGCCGCATTATCCTGGTTCTCTCGAGAACCCGATCCATCCAGGGGTTGCGATTGCAAGGGCTTTCGTTCAAAGGGCGAATACTCCAGCACGACAGTCATGACCTGGGCCGCCACCCCACGTAGATGGGCATGTCCGATCTGTGCCAGAGACCACTTCCCACGCAGTTGCTTGAGACAGCCGAGGATGAGAACAATACGATTGTGGTGATGATCGGCACATTCGGCTCCGTGGGTTTCGGTGGCGGCGAGCTGGACGAGTCCGCAGAGGATGGCGACAAAGACTACACTGGGGCTGTATCCTCGGACATCGGAGCGGACTGAAAGAAGGTTGGATAGGTTTTTCGATGCCTCCAGGGTCTTGACGTCGTGGACTTGGCGCGTCAAAGAAGGGGAGAGTCGGAACGGAGTGATGGGACAGATGGAAAACATCGAGTCGGGAAATCGGGGACGAATGTTGCTGCGCGGTAAGTGCAGAAGCATGGCGGCGTATTGAATTGTGCAGTGGGCCTGGAACATCATCTCGTCGAGTGTGCCGTACATGTCCACGATTTCGTTTTTTCGCGGGGGCAGATGGTGAATCCAGCTCACGAGTGTGTTTGCCACGGCTTGCAGATGGTCATGATGGGTTTCGGGCACGGCATTGAGGATGACCACCCGGGCCAGTATTCGAGCCGATTCAATATAGTATGCAAACGACGAGAACTGACTGCCGTCCTCATTCTCGCTATAGATGCGCGACCGAAACGCGGCTAATGACTGCGGCGGAGGAATGGTGTCTAGCGAAGAATATGTGGACTCCTCGCAAGGGAGCTGCACGTCAGAATGGACATCACTACAGCGCAGTTGAATCACTTGACTGAGAGAAGTCATGTAGATTTCCCACGTGAACAAGGTCCACCAGGTGCGACGCAGGCTCTCCATCTCGTGGCCTCGCTCGGCACCCGCCGCCGCAGTAATGACAAACTCCTCCCGGTTCATCCCCAACTCCAGAGCCATGTCAATGGCTCGAGTGAGTGACAACTCGGCCTGGGAAGGCTCATTTCGCGCGCGCATTATGATGGAATACAACAGGAGTGCCTGGACCATGTGCGGCGTTCGCTCCGCGGTCGCATTGAGCATCATCCATGTTGGCTCGCTCAAGATATCATTATCAAGGACAAGGGAATAGTGGGTGCCGATGAATTTGACCACCTGTTGCAGATAGGGAGGATACTGCCATTTGTTGAACAGTGCTGCAGGCGCCAGAATGGGGTGTGCCGCATGAAAATTTTCGTAGTAGAGACGCACCAGGCGCGCTTCCGGCACGATCAACTTGGGCGTGGGGTCAGGCAAGTCCAGCCTCTGCTGGGGTTCACCAGCGTCGGACTCGCTATACTGGGCCATACTTCGCAGTCGTGTCCCTTGCTGCTGTGTAGTTCCCGGTGTTTCCAGTTGAGCCTCACGTTGCGCGACGACCGGTGGAGCCGCGAATGGAACGCGCGGCGGAGATTTTGCAATCTTCCGTCTGCCGCCACGCCGAGAAGGAAGAAAGACGCAATTGACTCGTGCTGCGGCGCATCGTGAGCACGTTGGACGCCGAGCGTCGCACTTGATGTGATGTTTGCGACATTCGACGCAGGCGAGGGATGACGGGCGCGCTTTGGATCTGGTCGAGATGGAGGTGGAATTGGAAGGTGAGGGAGAAGTATCAGGCATTGGAAATCTGTGGCCAGTATCGGGGGGGGTGAAAAGAAGGATAGACAGCCTAGGTGCGGCGGTCTTGGCGGTCTTGAGCGAGCGATCCGCGTGTCGGGGATCGCAGAGCGGACTGAGGTCGACGACAGATTACCCCGGCTTCAAAGGTGTCTTGAAAGGCTGGCGCGAATTTGTCAGGGTAGTTTTTTGCGAGATTCGCCCAATTGGCCACCATTCTTGGTTGTTGCTGTTGCATGTGGTGAGAGCGGACGAGGAGGAGGACTTGACGTTGTGTGAAGTTGTGAACTACCATCTGAATCATTGAATCCGAATTCGGTCATCCTCGGGGACCAAATCCCCGAGGGTCGAGACTCCCTCGCATGTGGCGAGGCCAAGCCAAGCTCAAGTCCCCGGCGGTAACCTGGACTGGCCGGCACTTGACGTCTGCGGAGGAATGGATCAATGGACACGCTTAATCTTCCACCGAAGGCGAGTTTGTTGACACCAGCGACCTTCCTAGTCTCTTGTAGATCCCGAGTGATTCGGGCCTTCTTTTCAGCCTCATGTCAAGTAACTTACAGGCGCCATGAAGTAGCGCAGAGATCTGAGCGCCCTCTTAAACATTGGACCTAAGAATCTACTGCAAATCGGTCCATTATCGCATGCCAACATGGTCGCCCAGACAAGTCTCCTAAGCCTAAAGAGGCTACGCTTCGGCCCCCAGTCACCAAGTCACACGAATCAACCTAGAGGCTTGGTGAGGGGTTCGACGATGGGGTCCAAGCAGTTGACCTGTGGTCACCATCATCCAGGACTCGTCAAGAACCTCCTTTTCAACGTCAGACGCGCGCCATGGCCGAGGAAGTACAGCTAGGCTCCATTCAAGAGCGGATCGCCGCTCTCAAAAGATCCCAAGCTGGCGGGGATGCAGCTGTCACGCAGCCATCCTCATTCCTGCAGCCGTCCATTGAGCGCAACAACAGTTCAGTCCACGGCTGTCTCTCGTACAATGTGAAAGCGTCTGCGCCTCAGCCAGCGTCGAACCCGACGCCATCCCCTCGACCTGAAGTGAGACCCAAGAAGATTCCGCCGCCCTTGCCTACGCGAAGTCGGACTGATCCTCCGCCTTCTTCTCGACCTGCACGCCCTGACCTTCCAGCTCGTCCAGAAGCCCCTGGCCGAGTACTGCCTTGTGCACTTCCGGAAGCTCGCCCGACATTACCTCCTCGGCCAATTACCGATCCACCGCGAAAACAGTCACAAGGGTCTGTTGTATCCGACTCGTCATCCTGCAGGGGCGGGACAGGCGTAAGGCACGCGCCCTCACGGACATCTCTCAGATCGAATGACACCGCTCGCATCAAGGCCCCGGCGTGGGGGAACCACATTGCCGGTGCTACCTCCCAAGCGACCACAGGAGGAACTCAAGCCTCTTCCGCGTTCCGAGTCGAGCTCGAACTCCATGGTCAGTGGGTTGAGCTCGAAGATATCAGCGTTGCGAGGCAAGGTTTCTAAAACCTCGTCGTCAACCTCCTCCTCGTCATCATCAGCGCCTCAGCCTCCCTCAACCCGGCCGTCTGCGGCAGAGAGACAATCAACCGAACCAAATGGGGAGGATGAAGAATATCGGCCCACGTTACCAGCGCGAAGGCTGCCTCCAACTTCCAGTACCGACAACATCGAACATGCGCGCCAGGCGGGCTTTGGTGGATTGAACAGGAGCACAGGCAATCCACCGACGCTGGTGGACAGACCCAGTGTGAACGGAGGTTTGAATGGAGGGCCGCCGCCAGTACCTCATGGATCGCGGCCCAGTGTCTATTCACCTCCTAAACCTTCGCCTCCTGTACCTTCGGGAACGGGGACGGTGACTAATATTGATAAGTGAGTAGTAAAAGGCCTCATGTTTGAAACAAGCAGTCGGTGTATGGAGAGACAAGTTGCGCTAACGCAATGTTATCACCGTGAACAGTCCTCGGACCTTCGAAGAACTCATCTCCTCCGGCTCAGTTTTGGTTGACTTTTACGCAACTTACTGTGGGCCGTGCAAGCAGGTGGCTCCCAAGATCAGGGAACTCGCAGACGCGTATCAAAATGTTCGGTTTCTTCAGGTCGACATTGAGGTCATGAAAACTCTTGCCCGGCAGTATGAAGTCCGAATGATGCCAACCTTTATCCTGATGCAAGACGGCGAGGAGGAGAAGCGCATTCTGGGCACCAATGTGTGGGAGATTGAGCAGTGGCTCAAGATGACCCCCGGAGCTCCCGAGGCGCCTACACATGGCTTGGTGCGCAACGCTAACCGGTAAATAATATACCCAATCCCTCTCGAACAGCCAAGGCTTCTCATCGATGGCCCACGATGCTAATGCCATACACAGGGCGCAAGTCTTTGCAGACCTGACCGCTTCGGGGTCCGTCCTCGTTGACTTCTACGCGACCTACTGTGGCCCATGCAAGGAAGTTGCCCCGAAGATCGGTGATCTGAGCCAGAAGTACCCCAACGTTCGCTTCGTTCAGGTCGATATTGAGTTAGCAAAGGCGATTGCTGCCCAATACCAGATCACAGCCATGCCCACCTTTGTTTTGATGAGGAACGGGAGAGAGGATCATCGCGTTGTTGGTCCGAATGTCTGGCATCTTGAGCAGTGGCTGCAAACGCAGCCTGCATAATTCTTCTTCGACGACCTATTTGAATGCTATCCAGTCATCAAGCTCCCTTCTTGCCTAGCTTTTACCTAATATATCAAGTCCGTCCTTTGCGACACCTGACCCAGGGCGCCGGGCCCTGCTCTTCCGCGGGTCACGAAGCCTGCCTACAAGCCCGATTCCTGTAGACAACTCAAGGGCCCGTTAGTCTCGCCAATGACATGCTCTACAGTCATCGACCCGAAGACTGATGGAGGATTCCGAGAAAACAAAATCGTCATCGGTGAGCTTGAGAGTTTGAATGTGAATGTTGTCACAGATGCGAACGGGGTTATTGGCCTGATCCATTCAATCCACATTAGGTGTTCAACAGTGTGTCAGAATCTGGTGACTGTATGTGGCAAACCCACCGAGGTATCACCAGATCGAATGTTAGCCAAGTGAGAGCTCTTCAATGAAATGGATGTCATCAGTTGTGCCACTGCAGGATCGGTTGTCTGATCATGACATGGTTACCAGTAGGCTCAAGTGGGTAAATGAATGTTGGTGTGATTCCCTCCGGCGTGAACACTACCTAGTACCTACTACCTAGTACCTACCAATACTGCTCTTTGCTTCCAATTGACCGTAGACAAGAACTGAATTCCTTCTCAACCGAGAAAGTCTGGTCTCACAAAAGTTGGGAGAGCAACGAACAGCCAAGTTCTGTCATAGACAGCTTCTGTGGCCAGAGTGCTGCTGTGCCTAGAGGCTGTTGTCCAGACCAAGGTGCCAGCACGTGCGTCGCATATCTAGAACTAGCTATCCTAGGACCAAAGTGCTCTTAGGACTGAAAATGTACCTCGTCAGAGGCCACAACAACATTCTGAATTCTATACACAGTGACACCGAGCCAGTATCGCAGCTGAATTTATACCAGTAACACAGCTAGCATCGGAGCCAGATCCGTTACGTCTAGCCAATCATAGGCTAGAGTTGATGCCATAAAGCCAAGGCGCGAGTCTATAGGTCACGTGTTTTGTGTTTTCTACACCGCTATGGCAGAACGCCTCTCCCCCTTAGGAGAAAAAAGAATACTATTATATGGGCCCCCTTAAGCGTATATCCCAAAGAAGTTAGCCAAAACTATTGTCGTTGTGCAGGAGTCTCCGAGTCTGCCATGCATTCCCTCAATCAACTTGCATCCTTCAATGCCGACTTCCTTCCTCAAAGGTCAATCTAAGTCCGACCTGGAACCATCATTTGCCCATCCTTCCGAGCAGACACGGTACGAGAAGTGGCCAGACCGTCTCATTCGCTTGTTCCATCAGCATCGACAACATAACAGTTGGGTCCACCCCCCTTGACAGTTACGCCCTTCTGGCTTCGGAGATAAAAGCTTGCATGCAGTATGTTTGTAGTACAGTATGTAGTATGTTCACCCCATTGGGGACACTGACCCCGATCGCCTCTGCCATTCATTCCTCGCTGACATTCACGACGCTCCCCAGTTGCCCTCGAAGGCGAAGAGCCGTCGAGCAACACGCATCAAGAGATCTGCCCACGTGGAGGCCAGCCTCGATGTTAATTGATATCCGGCCCGAAGCTGTCAGCGCCTTCAGGGCCTGGTGGAGTGCCAATGGTGGAAATTGCTCCCCCCCCCCCCCCACATGCAGGCCCACTATCCGAGCGCAAGCCACTTCGTCTTGAGAAGCTTACGCTTGCTTAAGCCCTTAGTCCCAACCGCAAACTACCGAGTGAGCAAAGTGCATATGCGGCTATCGCGGAACAATGGCTCAACCACCTGGGCTAGATGGGCCATCTGATTCGCAAAAACGGCCTTGCTAAGCTTTTCGGGAAGCACACATAAGCTCTGCGTTCCTCGCGTGGTGCCCGCCACTGCGCTGGTACCGCAATCCCTATTCAAATGGAAACACAAGCACAAGAAAGCCCCGATTGACTGGTTCGCCGTGGACGGGTCTAGTATGCGCTCAATCTGGTAAGGCGATAGGTGGAAAAGACCCTGGAATTCGCTTTGAGGAAGGTCCCTCGCGTGAGTCGATGGAAGCAACTCGGACGCATATATAAGCTCGCCCTCGGACACAGTACATCCCTGCAAACCAAGCTTTAATCCGACTCTCTCATCACTTTCGTTAACAAGATGCCGGCCATGTCGCGAATTGCCCTGACTCTGGGCCTCACTCTGGGTGCTGCTGTCGCTGCGCCCAACTCCATTCCTGCTCCCACCGCAGCTGAGCACATGACCCTTGCTCTTCTTGGAGGTAAGCCGAAGTCTGGAGACATGACCCCCAAGCCACCTGAATATGCAAGAATTTTAATTTGCTGACTTTGAATTGCTTCGATGATTCAAGATTACGGCTGGACTGGCTGGCAGCCTCTTCCATTGGAATTCTGCAAGAATGTTCTGCCTAAGCTGCAGAGCGCGGGTGTGACCGTTCCCAAGGAAATCGTGAATGACTGCGACCCTGGTGATCGCCTGGCCATTGGAAATGCTACCATCGAGGAGCGTAAGTCCTTTCTTGATCCTATGAAGTACCCAACGTCACTCTCGAAGCAGCCTTCCTCGTGACGAGCTCCACTACAGCCACTGCAACCATTATGAGTCCATGGATCCATGAGGAAACTAACCATGGACTGAAAATAGGTCGCACCGCCAAGTACATCGAAAAGGTCTGCCTGAAGAAGGATTGCGCGGCTTTTGTCTCCGTCGGAGACAACTTCTACGACAGTGGTGTGGCCTTCCACTCGGAGGGTATCAACCGCTTCTATGAGGGCTGGGCCAACATGTACGTCGGCAAGGCCTTTGAGGGCAAGCGATGGTACCAGGCCATTGGCAACCACGACGTTGTCACTGGCAAGGCGGGCGTTGACTTCCAGACCCGCATTGCTCCTCTGATGGATGACCGATGGTACTTTGGCCCCGAGAACAAGCCTTACTATAGCTACGATCTTAAGGGCAGCGACTGGACCGCCACTTTCGCCGTCGTCGACTCCGATTGCTTCGTCAACAGCTACCAGAAGCCCGACTCGGTCTACAACACCGACTACGTGATTGAATGCCACAAGGACAAGCAAACCCAGGTCGAGTTCCTGCGCAAGGCCTTTGCCGAGTCCGACGCCACCTGGAAGATCCTGCAGATCCACCACGGTTTCTTGTCCTCCAGCACCAACTACACCGAGCTGGCCCCTCTGATCGACATTGTCCGCGAGAACAACGGTGTCGTGGTCAACGGTCACGACCACTGCATGGCCCACTACGAATCCGAGGGTACCAACTTTGTCCTCACCGGTGGTGCCGGCTACGCCCAGGCAGGCGACTGCAACAACGGTGTTCCCCTCGGTCCCTTCACCAAGTGGCTCGGTGCCAGTGCCGACCAGGCTGCCAACGGCTTTGTCACTCTCGACATTTCCTCCAAGGAGTTGCTCTTTGAGTACTACGCTCGTGACATGAAGATGAAGGGTGCGGATTATTACCCCGTCGCCAACGACATGATGCCCTCTTACAACTTCACCGTCACCAAGCATGCCACCAAGGGTCTTCACAACTAGAAGGTCTGATAAGGTCTGCTGGGGAAGTTTTGGGCAACGGTGCAGAGAGAAAGGGGGTGAGCTTCAACTAGACGAGCGTCAATAGAGGATGTATATATAAGTACCTGCGAGCAAGAACTGAAGGCGCTCAATGAAGCCCTTAACAAAACATTTTGAGAAATGCAAACCTTTAGAACAGTCACATTGGACTCTCAAAGCAACGTGCTTCGACCATCCCTGGTCACGACTACTTAGTAGAGAGCGGAACTCAAGTCCGCTATGTAGGAAGCCATTACCTAGTGCTAATGAACTCTCATATATTCATTTACAATAAGGCTGGGTTCCAGTTACTGGGACGAACCACGGCCGAATGCAAAGGGAACAGAGCTACACAACGTCTTTGCAGAGGTTTCATCAACCTTATGATTTCCATTGTATCTGAGACTGCTTGTAGAGCTGCATCAAGTAATGTGGTATCTTCCAAAATATTCAGGATTGATTGTTCGAAGGGGACGATTTCAAAGTTCATCCTCGTACTTGTAATTGATTCGCCGACCACCCACGAGCCGTTCCTGACGACTATCACGGCGGTGACTAGGCTTCGAGGAACTTGATTTAGTATTACCTCGATTTTGTTGTTCACGAAGGAGTCGTTCACGGTTACGTGCCTCGCGCTCGAGCGTATAGGGATCTTTTTCCGACTCCGACTTGGCGGTCATAGGCCGCGTTTGCTCGCGATCCCGCGCGTCCCCGTTGGTCTTCACGCGGCGAGCTTGTGGCGGTTGGGCAGAGCTGCCGTTGTTGATAGCGGCTGATTCAGAGCGATCGCGACGACGCTTGCGAGTCATGTCACGGTCTGAACCTCGGTCATGACCACGACCACGATCACGCACTCTGTCCCTCTCCCGGTCCCGGTCATCGTGGTCTTTTTCACGTTGACGGTCGCGATCCCGATCACGGTCACGGTCACGAGTCTGACGAGGCTCGCGATCTGAATCCCTAGCACGATCTCTTCTATCGGAGTCACGATTCTTCTCACGGTGTCTGTCCTTTCGGTCTCGGTCTTTATTTCTGTCTCTGTCTCGATCACGCTCACGCTCCCGCTCGCGGCCACGGTCTCGGTCTCGTTCTCTGCCCTCGTCTCTCCGATGAGGTACATCTTGGCTGGACCGATGACCATTGCCGATGCGGCTTGCGAGATCCCCTCGGACACCACTCTCCACCGTCCCTTTGCCGTGAGCCTTTGACTCTACTCCTTCAGATATGGGCTTCAGACGGTCTGGATGACGGCGGTCTCCATCAACCAGGGGACTTACACTGCGAGCGCGACTATCGCTACGGCTCCGGTGACGGCGAGATCGATGCGAGTGGTGACCATTTCTTCGATCTCTGGGCTCGTCACGGTCTCTTCGACGGGACGACCGACGAGAAGACATCCTCGAAGGCGATCGTGAGCGATGACCGAGTCTTTCAATCTCCTTCACAGGCTCGGGTCGTACTTGAGCTCCGTCTTGAGCACGAGGTCGTCGCTCATCACCTTCAAAATGGGAACCAGCCCGTGAGGCACGATCATGAGATGGTGAGCGAGATACTTTTCCAATCTGCCGAGCTTGGGATGGAGCTCTGGAAGGAGAGCGGGTTCGTGTAAGTTCTCCAGGAGCTTCAGAGTTGGCCCTATATCATTGCAGAAGACCATGTTCGTCAGTACTTGCCTCCACAGGATTGAGGGTCATTGATTCTTCCTTTCACATATCACTGACCTCTGAGAAGAAGCGGGCGTGGTACTGCTCATGGAACCTTTGCCACGCATGTGAAATCCACGTTGCCGCAAGATGCTCGTGTTGGGAAGACCTTGTCGCATGGCACGTGGTGCAGCAGGCGCGCCTTCCACTCCGGGGTTTCGTAGTTCCACTGGACCCTGTTGATACATGTTGGGCATGCCACCCCAGTGTCCTCCACCGCGAGGGCCATGAAATCCGCCTCGCATGTACCCGCCTCGACCATATCCAGGAACGTTGAACATGGGATATCCATTGACTTCCATCGAGTCAGACGGCTGATCCAAACTGTCAATTGTAGGAATTCCTTGTAATTGCGGGCTTTGATCAGCGTTGTTGTCTGCTGAATCGACTTTGGACTCCGCTGCCCCTCTCGCAGCATCATCGTCAGTTGCCTGCACCTCCGCAGTCGATACTAAATCCGTACTGGCCATCTTATCCGTATCCGTGTGGGAGGAAGCGTCTTCCGTTTTCTCAGTAGGAGCATCTGGCTGAACTGGAATATCGTCTTGACCAGCGCCAGGCTGACCATTAGCAAGCCCAGGGTTACCAGTTTGGGGAAATTGGTGATCATCTCCAGCAGCTCCATATGCCCTGTGGCCAGGACCCGGACCGGCTGCATAATGCCCACGGCCGCGACCGCGATACCCACCACCCCGGCCATAACCTGGCCCGTAGTAACCAGACTGGAAGTCCGAGTTGGAAGGGTAAGACATATTAGACCCGCCAAAGGCACCTCCAAAGGGAGGGCCTGTGCCATTAGCGAAAGCATTTGGATTGAAATTATCTTGGCCGCCATGCCACATGTTTTGTTGAGAGCCATTCCATCCTAAGGATCCGTACATGCCTTGTCCATTGAAATTCATGCCCATATTCATACCCATGCCAGCCATGTTCATTCCATAGTCACCGAACATCCCCTGATTAGCGGTCATTGGGTCCATTGTCATAGGCATGCCTAGCAGACGGAAGAAAAGTCAGGAGGTTAGCTGAAAGTCATCAGTAAGGGAGATAAATCTTCGTATGACGTACCCATATTGTTGGGGAAATTGAACATTGGATTGGCCATCATTGCGTTCATGCTAGTAAAGTTGTTGTTCCCATTCCAGCCAGTCATGCCGGGGAAGTTTCCAGGCGTCACGCCCGGCTGTATGCCATTGGGTTCTTGGGATGGTTCATTTGCGCCATCTCTCTCGGCTGGAGGTCCCGTGTCTTCGACTTGAGTTTGTTCGTCGCCTCCGTCTTGATGATCTGCGCTGCCATCGAGCCCCTGCTGAGTAGTGGTTGTGGACAAGTCCTCAATTCCAGTCTGACCGAGTTAGTCTACCAGTCTTGCGTTGGGGTCGTGTTGTATAGCGACCTACCTCGTTCACAGCAGCCTCCAAATCCGGCGTTTGGGACTCTGCTGCCGCTGGATCTGAAGCTTTCGCGAGATCAGCCGAGCCATCAGCTGGCGCCGGGTATTGCGACTGGGCATTATGAGATTGCGCAGTGACGATATTTTCAGATTTTCCTTGATCCACTGTTGGCTGTGTCTGGGTGGCATTGTCCTCAACAGGGGATGTGGTAGTAGGTGTGACGGGAGCTGCCGATTGCCTTTCCTTCTCGCGCTTCTTCTCCTCGGTGCGCAAGAAAGCTTTCAGGGTCGTTCGCAGAGCCTTATTCGGTTTGCATAAGTCTGCAGAGACTGGATAATGGGCGCAGACTGGACAAGTATCCGGAAGGGAAGTTTGACCTATTCAAATCGCCAGAGCGTGACCGTCAGCCAGAAGTTCTCACGGGTTGTCATTTCCGAGGTATTGGTTTGCCCATTATGTTGACTTACAAATCTCACAGATCGACTGGTCACAGCATGGAAGGCGAAAAGCGTTCACTGCCAACTTGTTGCAGATGGCGCATCGCAGCTTGAAAGGAATCTCATCTTGCGAGAGGGTGCTGGAAATCAAGAACACATCAGCCGAAAAGCGCGCCTACCATATGTAGACTCGATGACAGACCTGGCAATGTCCAGAAGACCTGACGGCGGATCCGCCGCAGTCATGACTGGATCAAAATGGATGAGATATCCCAGATTCGTCGCGAAGGAACGTCGATTTCGCAATGACACAAATATTCTTGTCTAGCATGGACGGTTTGCTGAGGAATCTTGGCGGAAGAACGTTTGACCGCGGCACGAGCATCCAACGGCGGGGCCATAATTAACTCGTTTTAATTTTCGTCCCTTTTCTATCCGGCATTTCTTATTTGGGTTAGACTGGCTGTCTTGGCCATCACATTCAATGTAGGACAGCTCTTCAGCGCTGTCTAAGATTCTAGATGCCATCAGCCCTTTACATTACTGGCTAGAGCTACGAGCACCGTCCCTATTTGGATTACCCATAGTGAGTTATAACCTTACCATTAATATTCCCTCGTGCAGGAAGCTTTAAAGATCAACACAAAATTCCTTGTACAGCCAAGCGAGGCCCCGTCAATGCTGCCGGCCTGTATCTATGCTAAGGAGTGATGAATCTATGATACCTAGGATCACTGGCTTGTACCTAATACCTACTACCTAATACCTTAGTAGTCCCTTAGTACACAGTACCTTGCAGACATCAATGAACCTCTTCCAAATATCACTTACGGTAAAGTCGAAGGCTGTGGGACCGTAGGTGAACCTCAATTACCGAGGCCAAACCAATCAATCGCCACCCAATCAGCAGCACATGCGAGGAAAAGGTTTTGATAGACGAACTACTTTGCGAGGAACCTGAGTCACCCAGCCAGATCGGATAAGAGCACAGTCCTGGTATAATGGATGTCCTCCGAGCTGATGGCCCTGATCATGGTTACTATTTTTTGTTCCATATCACAAGACTACCTTAAGCCTGGGCTTACCTAGGATATAGCAGGAGTCGGAGGAGTCCGATTGACTCGGTTTACTTTTCCATGACTCGTATGAAGAGATACCCATCGTTTGAATCACTGCTACCTCTTTGCTGTACAGTCGTAGGTGGTATCACCCTGGAGTCCGTAAGTGTGGCCATGTGGATAACAATGAGAGTAGTATGATTCAATCTCGTGACGCCTAATGTGCTCGGTATAGATGATCTTCTATTTTTTTCTGTCTGTAATACACCTATTCCACAAGGCGTCTTGTTTAATGGCGTAAGGGTAGGAGAACTTGGAGCTGGAGGCTCTGGCAAATTGATCTGCAGGGCAGACGGGAAGCTCCGCTCAAACTGTCGTATCCCAGACTTTAGGCTCTAAACTGTCAAAGTGGGCGCCTGAGCATTTGAAGACTACTAGGTATCAGTATGTAGTATTGTAGTGACCTTCACATGCATGAGCGACCAGGATCATGGAATAGCGGATGAATGTTCTCCCCGGAGTTAGAAGGGCCTAGTCGAAGACTACTTCCATCCTTAGTGCTGAGGGAACATGGTCTAGGCGATCTATAAGAACAGCAGTACGCCTGGTCCTCATCACATGCTTTACTAAATATCTATAACAAAAATAAATTCTACTGCGTCTATGTGGTATATAGTATCAGATCAAATGAAGCCCCGCCATCAGATTAGATCAAGTAATTTTTTCGAGTCCATCACCGGGGATCAGCGATACCATCGCGTGGAGTCATCTGGATCCCCTCCGGACAGCCTTTTATCGTCATCGGCAGAGGTGCCACGGTCTTAGCTGGAGGTTCTGCTTTGTGAGAGTTGAACTGGCACCGTCCTAGCTTGCTCCCCTGGTAATCTCAAGAGGCGCTTTGAGCCCATGTCTGAGCCAGGGTTCGATTTGGATGCAAAGCCACCTCCACATCAAAGGGGTCTGTCCACAGGTGGAATCGATCCTCAAATCCACAACATATGCATGAATGGAGACTGGACAGGAACGGAACTGACTGCAGTGCAATGAATAACGAGTGATTGAAATACCCAGCCTTACTTCTGCGTCTATGTACATGCGCTAAGCCATGTAGACTGCCATCAAAGGCGCGCTAGGAGCATCACGGCATTGCGACCGTAGACATCACCCGAATGCGGCAGCAGAACTGTGACCAGATCAAGAGGCGAGTTGCATCTGTACCTGGCATACTTGAAACTGGGGATGTGGAACGTGATGAATAATAAAGAGAATGAAGGAGTGGCCATATCAACGAAAGAGACAACAGGGCGGCCGTTTGTGCCAGCGTGGCATAGCATTCAGGGTCGTACTGACGGCGTGTCCTGATCAAAGGGGCGGTACTGAATACTTGAGTCAGCCAGGCAGGTTAGCAATGAATTCTTTGACCCATATACTTGAAGAGCTGGCAGCCTGGTACTAAGTAGCAAGTACCATGGCTAGTTATATCACCATTGGCTTTATCATAGAAGACGGATGATGAGACGAAGAGCGAACCACAGGAGACTGAAAGGGTGGTTGGGCGGGAGGGAACATGGGTTTTGGTAAAACCAAGTTGATGAGAAAGAGAGAAATACAGTCGAGCCCAAGGTTGAAGGAACAAGGCAGAGTTTACGGTCGAAAGAGGAAATCACCTGGAAATACCAAGCTGAAAAGTTTCTAGTGGAAAAAAAAATTAAATTTCGGACCCGCTGCAGGAGTCCCACTTGAGCGGAGTTTTAAAAAGGCTCGGCTGCCCCCGTCAACTGGGAACCCTCGAAAAGGCACTTGCACAGCGGGTATTTTTCATCCAAAGGGAGTTCACCCCTCTTGTCTGGTACTGTACTGTACTGTCCTGCCCTGCAGACGTTTCATCAGCACTGTATCACCTCGAGTCAGAATCAGCTGAATAACTCAGCCTCGACTGATCTTGAATCCACTCCCCTCAGCCAACAGAGACCCGCAGAAAACCTAATATAGCACACGAGTGGTCTTTTTCGACTGCCGTAGCCGCACAGCAACATTGACTCGTTGAGGGTTCCGAACTGCTTACAATACACATTACACCTACTTTACGGTACTGTAAGTGATACAACAGTACGATCTGCGTCCGCGTCACACGGCATCTTATGACAAACCGATCAGCTGCCTCCTGAATCAGTCTCACGGTTGTGACGGTACTCCTGTACTGCGTCATTTCGTCTACGGGATATCCATGATCACTTGGTGACCTGGTCGATACCTCAAGCTTCTATCATCTTGCAAGCGGAGCTTGGACCCTGTGTGGCTCGTGACGAAACTGTCGAGTATATGGGTTTTGGGAATGGATGAGACTTGGCACGGATATACCGCTTGAAACCTCAACGTGGATCTTCTAGAAGTCGAACAGAAGCTGAGAAGAACACCATCAGACTTGGTTTGGTGACGAGTCTACGGCCTCCGGACTAAAAAGCACGAGCAAAAGCCAGACTGGGTGAGTATTAGAGTAGCGGGGCTTGTATCGTGTTTTTTTCTGTGTGGAAACTCCATTACCCCCCCCCCCCCCAACAGCATGACCGAAGAGAATTATCGTCCACGCTCCCCCGATTTCTCTTCTCCCACCCATCCCGACTACCGTTCATCCACCGCCATCTCCAACTCTTATTTACCCTGCAACCCCACTTCCTACGCGCCGCAGAGTCCCATCAACACTTCTCAGCGCTCCTCCTACGATTATCCAACCTTCTTCCCTTCTTCTTCTTCACCCACTTCTTTCTCCCGCCCCACCTCCAGTCGGGTGTGTCAACAATACATACCTCCCGCCTCCAACATTGAAGAGATGGCCCGTCGTTCGTCCCGTCTGCAGGCCGCGGACGCGTCTTTCGCCGCGGTGCCGCAGCCGCAGCCCGTGCAATCGATGCCTCCCATGCCGCCAATGGAGCCCATTCAACCCATCCAGCCAATGCAACAAATGATGCCAGTAACCGAACCATCTCCTCCTCCTCCTCCTGAGGAACACACCTTTGACGCGCGACCCGGAGCCGGCATTGAGGTGAAGACAAAGTTCCCCGTGGCGCGCATCAAGCGCATCATGCAAGCCGATGAGGATGTCGGTAAGGTGGCGCAGGTCACACCAATCGCTGTCTGTAAGTGATCTCCCATTGATTGTCCCCGATGCGCACCCCAATTCAGTTCAATTACACACCCAGCGCATCATCCGGTGCGAGTCTGAAGAAAATCCCATTGCAGGATCCCTGTTTCTAACCTCGAATTCTCTTACAGCCAAAGCTCTCGAGCTCTTCATGATCTCCCTCGTCACCAAAGCCGCTCAAGAAGCCAAAGAGCGTAATTCCAAGCGCGTGACCGCCACCCACTTGAAGCACGCAGTTGCCAAAGACGACGTCCTCGACTTTTTGGCAGACATCATCGCCAAAGTGCCCGATGCCCCAGCCAGCCGGAAACACGAGGACGACGGCAGTGATCAAAATGAGGGACGTCGGAAACGTGGCGGGCGACGGCCCAAGGAGGAGAGTGATTGAGGGCAAACACAGCCAGTCAAAACACGGGCTATGATTGATGAATGAGCTAGATGCACAAATGGCGGCCGGCGCATCGTTGCATTGGGAGGGGGTCTTCTCATTGGAATTGTTTTCTTCTTTTTTGGTACTCGTTTGTTTTGTTATCTTCTTGCCGTCTTCGTGATGGTTTCTTGGGTTGGCTTGGGTTGGCGTTTTCAGGAGATATCCTTGGGTTGAAATTTCATGCCAGTCATCTACAACCATTTCGATTTTATTATTATGGTGGTGAAGCTGAGCCGCCGCCTTTATTTTTCTTCTTCTCTTGTCTTCATGTAAATACTTTATGCAGCGTGCTGCATGGCTTGATCTGGCTCCGAAGCGGAACGGAAGGAATGAGAGCTCTAACGGCAACCGTCTCACGCGACCTTGGCGCACTCCAAGCATAGTTTTCTCTCCTTGTTGTTTCTAGCCTGCGTAGTTGACTTGTATACAACATGATCAACTCCATTGGCAACCCAAATCATTAGCTCCAGCGCTGTAGAAGTGCTGCTGGGTAAAGCTCTGCGGGTGCGTGTACCTCGGAAAGGGTGTGTTTATATTAGAGATCGGCGTGCGACACCCGCACCGAGCACGCGGATCCACTTCCTCGTCGACCCCATTAGCTCCTCCTGCTCCCCTCAGACCAGAGGGACCATGTTGCGACAGCATGGACTTTGTAAGTGATGGCGACCCTTCCATGATGTCTCTTCATGGTCACCAGGTCTGAATCTGACTCTGATTGTCTCTAGTGGTCTCGTTTGATTGGCGGTTCTCGTGCGGTGTCCAAACCATCGCGGGCCACGTCGCCTACGGAGCGTTTGACAGCATTTAAACGCTCCTGCAACGCCCTTCAGGTTCGTTCTAACCCCTCGATGTTCTCCTGATCGCCACATGTCAACGGTTCTCAAAGACTCATGCCTCTCGCGATAGCAAATATGGCGCGCCACCAACACCCCTTCCGCCGAGCAATCCACTACCCATGCGCGAACGTATCTGGACCGACTCAACGCCATCCTAAGCGATGAGTCTCGTGGTCCAGCACCGCACCCTTGCGTGGCATATGCGGCATCCTCACAGATTTTCGTGACCGTGACAAAATTGGCCCTATCATACTACGACGAAGTGGTTCTACGCTCCGCGACCGTCTTCTTCAACACCCTCATCGACGCAGAAGTGGACGGAGTCGTCGACAATCGTCTCTTTGCACGTGCACTGGTCGATCTCGTCCGCCGGGCAGACAAGGCATCTACCGAGGTGGAGGGTCGCCTGGTAGAGTTGTTGTTCGGAGTTGCTAACAATATCCGTCTGCAGCCTGCCATTCTGCCGGCGTGGTTTGTGCCGCGTACGACAGCGAGCCACGAAAGTGACTCAGCTGCTTCTGTTGGCACTGAATTTGCGGGTGCTACGCGTAAAGATGAGTTTCCACTGTTCTACTTGCTCGTGGAGTATGTCCACCACGAGGGGCGAGCAGGAGACTTTGCGCGAACGGGTTTGCTTTACTTGATCGAGACGGCGTCACGATCGAAGCATTTAGAGAAATGGCTCATCGAAAGTGACCTGGCCACGCTCATGGCCACGGGCTTGGGCGCCCTGTACAGTCAGTTGGGCGGGTAAGTTGTTTGGCCCCCAGTGCCTCGTTGAGGGTATTTGGCCGCATTGGCAATATGACTGACCTGGTGCAGGCTGATACTTACCTCGGTCGATGACGACGTCCCTCGAATCATTGCTCTTTCGGACCACTCCAAAGAGGAGACCGCGTTGCATCCGACCTTGAGTGATGCAATGGATGCTTTCATGTCATATCTCCTCTTCTGGCAGGATACTATTGATCACTGTAAATCCGCCGAGGTCAACGACACTCTCCTGGATCATTTTCAGGTGCTCTTCCTCGAGCAACTCCTGTAAGACATACCACCCTCGTGTCCAATTTGAACGCTCGTGTGGTGCTGACTTTCGCAGGTATCCTTCATTACTCGAGTCATCAGACGTAGCCGGTGGCTCCACGGCCGCTGTCATGACATATCTTTATCGAATCTTGGACTCCATTGACCAAGGCGAACTAGTTCATCGCATTCTGGATTTCCTCCTTGCATCATCACCGCCTGTGGAGGATCAAATGTCCATGTCTGCCAGTCGCCGCAAATCCCTCGATGTACTTGCTGCCTTAGCCTCAGAGGCCGCTCAGCCTTCCCCCTCCTTGTTCAATCTCCGTGATCTGGCCCTCTTGGGATTACAATCTTCTAATCGACAGACTGTGCTGGCCACTCTGCGCTTACTGAATGTAGTCCTTCAGCGTCATCACCATTTCGCCCGCGCGCTGATCCTCACTCTGCCGAACCAGCCTGTTCAGCAGCGCAGCGTGGGCGCCTTGAACGCCGAATTGGAGTACCTGTTTGATCTCGCAACAAGCCTTGTTGTCGAGCCTAATCTTGATCAAACGTACGAAAACTACGTTGCCGATGCGACGTGGGTGCTTGAGTCTCGACTTTGTCTACCAGTGTCCCTTGAAGAAGCTGACGACGAAGTCCCTCTACCGCGGCCATTGCAACAAGATGATCCGATCATTCAGGAGCTCCTCGGCCACGTTCAGAACTTCTTCACCAACAGCATCGTCGTAAATCTGTCGCTGACAGGGGTACTGATGAGTCTAGCGTCGTCTCATCTCTTTTCCTTGGACGGCTGGGTCCTTGTCGATCCGGCTCGATTCGAGAAATCTACAGAGTCAGGCCTTGAAAAGGACACATTTGAAGGAGTCCAAGCAGCGTACGAACCACCCACATGGCCCGCTAGTGCTGCGCCTACTCTGACTCGGGCTCTTGGGGGGCTCGTCAGCCAGGTGCGTCAGTGGCAAAGAGACGTGCCCGACTTCGATGTCCTGGTGGCAGCGAGGCGGGAGCTTCTGCAGCAAGAGGATCGTCCAGCAGGGCCGACCTCAAGCTCATCGCGGGAACCATCTCAAGCTCCAGCCTCCGTCGGCAGGGATCGCTCTCGCCCTTCCTACCCCGGGTCCCCCGATATCTCGACCCCTGCCTCTCGCGGCCGCTCCCCATCTTCCATCCAGTCTCGTCCGATGGACCCGTCGCGTATACGAGCGGAATCCAATATTCGGCCCCTGGACTCTCGGGGAACATCTTCATCTCGGTCCGCCGCCATGGATTCCCTCCGTCAGCGACTCGCCATGCCTTTCCCTGTTCACACATCATCGAAGCCGAGCACGAGATCTGCAGGAGCCACGGCGGTATCTGCCGAGGGTGAACAGAAAGAAGATGTGGGTGAAGTGGAGCAGGAGGATGAGGGTATTTCGGAGGATCCCAGGCCGGTGGCTACGTTGGGTCATGTCCTCACGAACGTAGTGGTTCTTTATGAGTTTTTGCTCGAGCTCTCTGCAGTGGTACAAACGCGGGGAAGTTTGTTTGAAGAGGCGGGCTATCCGTCTTGGTGATTGACCTCGGCGGTCCCGATTTCGAGAAGAGGCGAGGATTGGATTTTTTTTTTCGTAAAAAACGTCTTGATCCAGAAAACAACCTATGCATTGTATTGATACTGGACCACATCATATATAACTTTTGCAAGATTCACCCTGTATCTTTTTGCGTTTCAAAGCCAACGAGCTCCGCCTCACATTCCTCACATTGCACTAGTCTCTATCGTTTTCTGGTCACTTATTTGTGGCTCCTATTAAGAAGGGCAGCTCCCTACCTCGTGAACAACTATCGATGACGGATATCCTGTGAGCTTCTGTGGGCGGTCCAGGGTTCCGAGTCTATCCAGGACTCAGTCTTCACCAGGTGTGATGTCCACGATGTACCAAGTTCCCACTAATCGCGTTGAGCGAGCAGCCCGGAATGTAAGTAGTAAGTACTATCGGAGGGTTTCATGTTCATATTATATACCGGTTACTCGGACGCACCAGAATGAATATTCGAGAAAGATGAAGGTGAATCTTTCCCTTATCCAGCCCGGCTATTGAAATGAGGTACCTCTACAGTATTTTCGATCTACATAATTGCGCTGGCGTGTCAAGAATGACTGGACTAGGCATCGAGACACAGCTAAGGCGGCGGCTTTCTGAAGTGGAGACGAGAAAGACAACATATCTTGACCATGCCGTCTTTTCTTCGCGTACAATCCTTGAACTTCACTCCTTGGCCATTCATCGATGTCTTCAGTGACCATGGAAGCCTGGAATGATACCTACCTAATAGTAGCTCTGGCCGAGGTAGTACCTCTTGACCGGAAGGTGCATACATACATTCAGTTCTCTCCCTCTTCTCTCCCTCGACTGATCATCGATCAATCCAAGCTCAGAGTATGTATGATATGGAATATATGATTAAGGTTGACGCTTCAAACTAAGAATCACATAGTACCATTCCAACTGTACTAAGTTGTAACGTATCATCATCATCATTATCATGTCCACGTACATAGCGACCCTCGAGCCTCGATATTCCATCTTCAAGGTTTCCCCCCCCCCCTTGGAATGCCGAACGACGCGGGGACCGGCCCGAGAACGCAAACTAATCCGAAACGAGTATCGACGGAAGAAGGTCGGACCAAAAGACAATTATTAAGGGGCTGAAGGGCTGAAAAGGGTAAGAAGAAAATTGGGAAAAATCAAAAGAAAAAAACTTTAAACGACTCTCGGACCGACTTTGGTTATGCTCATTTTCCCAATTTTCAAGGGGGGCGTGCTGTCCATGCGAACGATCATTGGGGCGTTCTCTTTGCTTTTGGACTTTTCTGCATGACAATGCCAGGTGCGATACCGAATTCGTACTGCAATAAGCAATTGTCTCACTCTCAACTTATGTACTCATCTCATACATTGTTTAAAGACGAGGGCCGAATCTCATTACGACGTCTGAATTCAGTCTCTTGAGGTGGCATCATAGAATAATGACCAATCTTCATCCATGATGAATCATTGATTCAGACAACAGCTGAGACGACTGACTCGACTTGTTTGTATTTTGTAAAGTACATACGACCGTGACCGTACAATAACAAATGGATCACGATGAATCTCCGGGCCAAGTGGAGCAGTAGTCTACCAAGAGGTCACGACTCCAGTCAATGCGGATTCCCAGGGGGTTGTCATATCGTCTCACTTCTCCAGGCTCCCTTCATCAGCTCGGTATGACTCGGCACGAAGGACCCATAGCCCTGCGCTTTCTGCAGTGGGCGCCTGTGTGACCTTCAAAAGTATGAACTGTTGAGTATGTAATCAATCTTTAAGGAGTCGCACAACTGCCACCGACTCCTTAACGGTCTCTCAGCCCTGTTGCCGACTCATGTCCAAAGGTCCTAGACAACTACACTTGTCATTCTTTCAAATCTCACCTGCAGTCCTTCGACCCTTTTCGCCCCCCTGCACTCGACTTCCTGCAACCGCCTCCATTCAGCCCTTCTTTCTGCGCATCTGTCCTCTCTCCCTCGGCCCCCCCTCCTTCGTCATTATGTCGCGATAGACAACTCCGTCCATGGTCTGTTCAATGTGTGTGTAAGGGCGTCATAATTTGTGTGAATATTGTGTACCATCATCGTCGTTCCTTCAGCCCTACTCTTGGACATCACTGTCAATATCGAATCTTCCCCGGAACGGCATCTCCATCGTCGTCCGACAGTCACACCGTCGCTATCGGCGGTATCTACTCTACTTCCCGCGGCATGATCGACCGCCGCCGCCATGACGATAAACCCCGAATTGGATCATGAAGATCGCGAGGATGCTCCCTTCCTTCAATCCGGCATCAATCACAGCTCACCCAGCTCCTCACAACATCATCGACGTCCATCGCTCCGCGATGTCCCCGAAAAGCCCCCCCGTCCAGCCGGCGCCGACGAGGCCGCCGGCAATTCTGCCCGCAAGATCACCTTCCGCCTAAAACTTATTCTCTTCGCCATGGTTCTGGCCGTCGAGATCGGGTTCGCTTTCCTCGAAGGCCCGATGGTCCGAATCATGGAAGATATTGCCTGCCGGCAATACTTCCTTGAGACGGATCCCAGTAAAATTGGCACCAATGGGCAAATCCCCGAGGAGATGTGCAAACTGGCCGAGGTGCAGGCCGAATTAGCCGCGGTGAAGGGATATCATATGTTTTTTGATGGATTGTTAAGTAAGTCTTTGCCGTGTGTTACCATGAGACTTGCTCGCAGTGAAAGGCCTCGTCCGAGGATTGTTTCATCCCACCCCCACGAGAGGCATCTTTCATTAACAAAACTTCCCTAACAGGCGCACTCATGGCGTTCCCCTACGGTCTGCTGGCAGACCGCCGAGGTCGTAAATCCACCCTCATTCTCGGTGTTCCGGGCTTCTTTTTAAACTCACTTATCACCGTGGTCGTTTTGTGGTTCTCAAACGTCCTCCCACTGCGGGCCGTATGGCTGTCTTCTTTGGCGTGGTTGATTGGTGGCGGTCCCGTGGTGGCCTTTGCTATTATTTGGACAATGATGGCTGATGTCACGAATGAGGCAGAACGGTACGCATTGCTGATGGAATTTCTCCCCCGAGTGATGTATCAACATCTCTAATTTCTCCCTCCAGGGCTACACTCTTTTTCCAATTCGCCATTGTTTCTATGGGCACGGATTTCGTGTCGAGCACTCTGGCGTCCTGGCTGATGACCATGGATCCATGGGCTCCCCTCATCATAGGATATGCGATTGTGATGGGCGGTCTATTGTTCATCTTCATTTTACCCGAAACCAAACATGCGATTCCCTCGCCGGAAGTTGCTCCAGCGCATTTGGAGCTTTCCAATCTGACCGAGGACTCCAACGAGTCTACTCGTACCTACCGCAAGCCTGAAGAGGCTGGATTATATCATGACGAAAGCGACCTCGACACCAGTGACGACGAACATCGAAACGCGCACTTGTCCTGGAGCTATCCCACGTCAGATCGACCGTCATTCTGGGCCAGATGTCGAGTCAACTACCATCTCTACATGAAACCATACTTTTTCATCCTCAATCGCAAGCCGGTGTTGTTGCTACTGACGGCCTTTCTGGTCTACCGTCTCAGTCGCGGCTCATCCTGGTTCCTTACCCAGTATATCTCCATTCGGTATCACTGGACTCTCGCCCAGGCCAACATGCTCGTGGCCTCTCGGCCCACCGTCTCCATCCCCATCTTCCTCTGGGGCCTTCCTTACTTGAAAAAATACGTCCTCAGCCCACGCCGCACAGCAACCGAGAAAGACCTCTGGTTGGCGCGCGCGAGTATCTTCTGCTTCACCTTGGGCACGCTGGGGATCAGTCTCTCGCCGTCCGTGGCCACTTTGATCCCGAGCATGATTGTGCAAACCTCTGGATCAGGCTTTGTATTTTTGACTCGCTCCATCATCACCACGCTTGTTGAGCGGGATGAAACCGCCCGTCTGTATACCGTGATTGAGATCATTCAATCCTTTGGCAACGTTGTTGCAAGTCTCGCCATCACCAAGGTCTTCCAAGTGGGATTGCACATGGGGGGCATTTGGATTGGATTGGCGTGGATGATGACCAGTCTGTTGTTTTGCATGGTGGCTGTGTCACTTTGGTTCTTCCGACTGCCGCCCAGCCCACCGACTCCGGAGTTTGTGGTTGCGGAATTTGATGGCGCAGACTAAATAGGAAGGCCTCCTTCCCTTGCACTGTGCTTACATTTAATGGCACACTTAGATCTCTATAGACATACATAGCGGCATTTTCAATATTGACATGTCACATAGGACGCTTGGTATTTGCAATCTGATTGAGTAATCCGTGGCCGTGTTACAGTCACGGCAGTTGCCCATGTATGCTCAGATAATACGTCCATTTTCTGTCAGTCTCTCGCCATGTAAGCGGACGTCGGCTGAAGGAATGCTCATACTCGTAATATGTGTATGTCTGGCTGTATGCAGCCCGCGATTCGTGGGAAATCATCGACTTAACATCGTTCCTGCCAGAAAAGGCGACTCCACACAAAGCTAGCTGAAAGTCACGTGCGTCTCACATGCGATAGACAGTGGAAATTCACCAAAGCAACAACTTCTCTCCCCACCACAGTCGACGTTGCAATGGAGAAATTCTCGCAATTTCGGGATCGTGGTAGGTCTCGCCACTTTCTGCCAGGTGTCACGGTAGTCCTTCCATGCTCAGAGCTCAGCTGACATCTTGACAGGGTCGGGCATCGCGCCTTTCCTCCCCACTCCGAGCGAGTCGCTGGGGATCAAAGCTCCTTTGCGCTTCTTCCTCTTTTGCTTCCGACTGCCACTATTCATCTTTGTGACGGTATCTTATTTCCTCGTATTACAATGGCTTCCAATCGGATCCTTGGGGAAAAAGGCGGCGCTGTGGTGCATACTAGGTGTGCCGAGCATCTGGTGGATTGATCTTCAGATTGATGGAGTGCGAAAAGGGTACGTACCTACGACTTCACGCGAATGTTTGGAAAGTGCTACATGGGCAGAGAGAATTGTTGTCTCAGGCTAACATTCACACCGATATTGAATGGCAGATCCCTCTCAAGGCAGCAAAAAGCTCGATTGCCTCAACCGGGATCGGTGATTGCATCTTCCTTCACCTCCCCGATCGACGCAATCTATCTCGCCGCCATTTTCGACCCCGTCTTCACGGCCTCGTACCCGGAGACCCGCCAGGTTGAGCACATCTCGCTTCTTCAGGCTATCTTGCGCGCGTTTGCGTATCCTACCACGGAGCCCGCACCGGGCGTCAAACTGGTCGATGTGTCCACCTTGGTGGAGAAATACCCTAATCGAACCATTGTGGTCTTCCCCGAATGCACCACCACCAACAGCAAGGGGATCTTACCACTCAGCTGGTCATTGCTCGGTGTTCCCTCCAACACCAAGATCTTCCCGATTAGTCTCAAGTACACACCAGTGGACGTGGTCACTCCTTTACCGGGCACTTATATCAGCTTCCTGTGGACCCTGCTCAGCCGGCCGACGCATTGCATCCGAGTCCGGATCGCAGAGTGCATGACGGTGGGACGCAGCTCGTTTGACGCGCCTCCCGCTCGGTCGACTCGTAAGTCCACCTACAACACCAACTATCTCGACACCTTGGACGAGGACACAGCGACAGGCGATGTGACTGCCAGTGAAAAGGCGCTGTTGGATCAAGTTGGGGAGTCCTTGGCCCGTTTAGGTCGAGTGAAGCGGGTGGGATTAGGAGTGGAAGATAAGCAGGATTTTGTCCGAATGTGGACCAAGACACGACGAACCTGGTGATTGTTTTTCTTTTTTTGGCGTTGACAATGGCAAGTCCCGTCTTTTGGTTGGCTTTTTTCTTTCTTTTCCCCCGTCATTTGGGCTGGGGGGTGTCTTGTTTTCTTTTCTTCGATTGAGTCCCATCCGTCGGAGCAGGGTTTCCCTCAGCCCTTCTATCCGTAGATTATAGAATTGTGTATTACACAGGTTCATATTGATACAACATGACTAGGACGAACAATCAACAACCGCCAAGTTTATTCACTCAACCAGATTGATTTATCATAAGTCGATGGTTTCTCGCCAACGATCTTAGTCTCTCTCCACTCAACAAACCTTTCCGATTGACGGTATAGGTCAAAGACGCAGACAATGAATTCTCTTGAATAAGATTTTGGCATCGGGTACAAAGAAAAACACAATCACATTGCAACCCATGAAATGCCTTGGAGTACCATCGACGTCTACCATCGACGTCTTTTGCATGAAGGCAAGACCAGGACAAAGAAGCCGAGCCTTTGTCTACCCCTACTAATCTACCTCAACCCACATTCTTTCTGACCACTGCAATACCTTACCTTTGGCAGGCAGGTACTCAGGTAACAAGTAGGGTCTCTTTTGCAGACACTTGCATTGTAAAATGCAAGTCCCCTCGCACGGCTCGATGCATTATATCAGCTGCTTTAATCCATTCAGTCTACAACACCCACTCCAGAACAAGGTGGATGTGAGTAGATCAAAGAAACATGAACATTAGTTAGCACAGAAACAAGAGTCCGCTCCCTGAATCAATATGTTGACTTAATCCGTTCAAAGGTATCGCAAGGAAGAAAAGCCAGATCAGGGACCTTGACCTACCTTATCAAGAGAATCATACCCTCATACCCTCAAGCTGGCGGTATCCTGCTTAATAGGTAGGTAGTTTACACAGCTGCCTATATAGGCGGACCAGGCAAGAGCATCTATCTAACTTGATCCTCTTTCCCAACCACAGCCCTTTAGTGCAATGGATACGATAGTACACGGATGATTCATGATTCCTTGAATACTCTCCAGAGACCAGAAAGGCCTTTCTCCCATCTACGTGTGTCTCCCATCTCGTATGACTGTGCTTCACAGTCACAACCCTAACATTGAAATCTCAATTCCACACCCCGAGATATCTGGAAGCCATCGATCAGATCGCTCCAAGAACCCACCTACGAAAGAAAGAAAAAAGAAGAAGAAAGACCGAGAAAAAAAAAAAGAATGTGCACCCAAAATTACACAACCTACCTCGCCTGCAACCACACCTACCCCAGTCACAAAACACTCTGCCCCGAAGCCCGAGCCGGTATCCCGCTCCAAGCACGCACAGGCTGTGGCGCACGACTCCATATCCTCCGGGATAAGATCCGCGGGGCAGCCGAGACGCGGAAAAGCACATCCAAATACGTGCAGGGATTGGGTTCGGCGGGGACCGTGAACGGGGACAGGGACGGGGACGGAAATGGGAATGGGAATGGGAGTGAGAGGGAGAGGGAGAGTGGGTGTCAGGACCATGACCAGGACCAGGGAGGACGGTGGAATATGAGGGGATTGAATTGGTGGATGGGGTTTCGGATCCCTGATGAGAGACGGGTTGAGCGCGAGGGACTTTGTGCGGATTGTTCGTGGATGTTGAAGGTGGAGATGGGGAGGGTGTTGAGGGGGTGGGAGATGGGAGATGAGAAGAGAGACAGACGTGAGAGAGGAATGGACGGTGGCGTGGATTCGAGGGCGAGAGATGAGACCGATGGTGGTGAATGTGAAGGTGGTGGCCGTTTCCCTTCGACAGCGGAAGATGGGAGAAGTCCGGATAGCAAGGAAAGCAGTGCTGGTGGTATGTGGGCACGGCTGTTCTCGTGATGGATGGGATGGGAAAGGAGTGGGTGATTGACGATATCTTGCGATTGATATACCACATAACTACATATGAAGAAACATACCCTGGGATGGAAAGATCGAAATGGCACAAGGAATGCTAGAAATTCCACTCGGAATGATATCACAAAATACATCGCTTTTGGACCCAAGATAATCAAAACAACACCTCGATCGGTAACCCTCCCTTACTCTACAGCATCAGTGATGCAGCCCTGGCTGGCATCCTTGACATTTCTAAATCACGCAAAATCAAAGAATTAGCATCTGTCATATCCCACCACAAGAAAAGAGAGCCTCGTTCCAACATACCTGGCGTACTTGCCGAGGGTACCGCGCATGGTCAGACCAGTCTCGGGCAATTCACCCGCGGCCTTGCGAGCCTCCCAGGCCTGGCGACGCTCAGCAAGCTCGGACTCGGGAAGATCGACGTCCAGGACGCGCTTGTCGGCATCAATGGTGATGACATCGCCGTCGTTGACCAGACCGATGGGTCCACCGACCGCAGCCTCGGGGACAATGTGACCGATCAGGAAGCCGTGGGAACCACCGGAGAATCGGCCGTCGGTGATCAGGGCACATGAAGAGCCGAGACCGTAGCCCATAAGAGCGGCAGAGGGCTTGAGCATTTCTGAAAAAGAAAAAAAAAGGGGGGGGAGAAAGAGAATGTCAGTGTCAATGCTCACACAACAGAAAAAGGATGAGAGAAGGGTAGGAGTTCCTCTCCTCTGGAGAGGATCACTTACCAGGCATGCCAGGACCGCCCTTGGGACCACAGTAACGGATGACAACAACGGTCTTTTCCTCCTTCTTGATCTCGCCACGTTCCAGCGCAGCAATGAAATCATCTTCGGTATCAAACACGCGAGCTTTGCCCGTGAACACTGTGCCCTCCTTGCCGGTAATCTTACCGACACTACCGCCGGGAGCCAGAGAACCCCGCAGGATTTGAATGTGACCGGTGGACTTGATGGGGTTGCTGAAAGGACGGATGATCTTCTGGTTGTCGGGAAGATCCTGGACCTTTTCCAAGTTCTTGGCCAACGTCTCACCAGTCACGGTCATGCCGGACCCATCAATGAGACCCTCCTTGAGAAGCATCTTCAACACGGCGGGGGTACCACCGAGGGCGAAGAGGTCGGCCATGACGTATTTGCCAGAGGGCTTCAGGTCAGCCAGGAAGGGAATGCGGTCAGAGACGGCCTGGAAGTCGTCAATCGTCAACTTGATGCCGACGGAGTCAGCAATGGCGATCAGGTGGAGAACGGCGTTGGTGGATCCACCGGTGATGTTGACAAGGACCATGGCGTTCTCAAAGGCCTGACGGGTCATAATGTCGCGGGGACGAATGTCCTCGGCCAGCAACTTCTTAATGGCACCTCCAGCAGCCAAGCATTCCAGGTACTTGGCCTGAGAGTTGGCCGGGTTGGAGGACGAACCGGGCAGAGTCATACCCATGGTTTCAATCGCAGTCGCCATGGTGTTGGCAGTATACATTCCTCCGCATGCACCTTCACCGGGGCAGGCGTGTCGGATCACATCAAAGCGCTGAGGCTCGGTGATCTCCTTGGCAATGAATTGACCGTAGGCCTGGAAGGCAGAGACGATGTCAATATCGGCATTGTTCTGCGTCACGGCGCAGCCGGGCTTGATGGTACCACCGTAGACCATCAGACTCGGGCGGTTGACACGGCCCATGGCCATGACGACACCGGGCATGTTCTTGTCACAGCCGGGAATACTGATGTTGGCATCGTACCACTGACCCCCCATCACGGTCTCCACAGAGTCGGCAATCAGATCCCGGCTCTGCAGGGAGTAGCGCATACCCGTTGTCCCCATGCTGATCGCGTCACTAACACCGACGGTGTTGAATTGGAACCCAATGAGGCCCTGGTCTTGCACACCTTGGCGGACCTTGTTGTTGAGATCGAGCAGATGCATGTTGCAAGGGTTGCCATTGAACCAGACGGACGAAATGCCGACCTGGGCCTTGTTCATGTCCTCCTCGTTCAGACCGACGGCGTACAGCATGGCCTGGGACGCACCCTGGGACTTGGGCTGGGTGATGTGTCGTGAGACCTTGTTGAGTGCCTTGTCCTCATTCTGGAGACGAGGAAGTGTGGTGGTCAGAGTGCGACTGTGGACAGTGACACATGCATGGATTAGTTTCACGACGAGGTACCCAACAGAGCTAGGTAGCCAACGCAAATTGAACCACCGGACTAGAAACCTACACGGGCACAGTCGAACGAGACAAGCTCCGCAGAGCAGCGGGGACGCGCGCCCGGGATGGAGGCAGCATGTTGGCAATGGATGGTGCAGTTGATCAATTGGAAGCAGAGCGAGGAGACCAATAACAATAATAACAAAGAGCTCGGGACTTCCACCGCGCGAGTTTCCAAAGGCGGGGAGGAAGCGAGCTCTCGAGGAATAGCGATGCCGGAGTTGGCAGAATGACCCAAAGTGGGCGGGCAGCTCCCGCGCGCCGCAGACTCCAGCAGTCCCGAGTGCAGAGCAGTTCGCCGGCTCGGAGTTGGAGCGTGCCTCCCCGCGCTGTCGCTCCGACGCAAAAGTGTGGACATCCCCACATTGGGGTCGGCCTCGGCCTCGGTCTCGGTCTGGTCCAATCTCTGGTGTCTGATTGTCATGCAGCAGTCGGCGTTGGGTTGAAGAGTGGAGAAGATCAAGTCAGAGAGCCTATTGCCGAGAGAATTCGCAGCATTCCGAACGGCCACAGACCAGAAGCGGCGGACTTGTTGTGTCTAGATTCTTAAGGTACTTCCTGCTGGGGAGTTCCAACTGGTTTGCTGTGGATCACAATAGCATGGGCCATGTGGTTGTTGAGCATAGCAGAATCCACCGACTCATAGCTGGACAATATGTACACAGTTACGCACTCGTACCTGACACTGCAGTCTGCACAGTAAGCAACAAGCATAAGGTTCTTGTTGTGGGCACGTTTGACTCATTAGTGGTGATCTTCAACTCAATAGCTCTCCATCGATATCGGGGCCACGCACGCTACCTCCTCTGCGACAAGATACGTTGCTGGAGCCTCAATTTTTAAACGATACGCATCAATCAAGCTAAAGCGATTGAATCAAGACTCGCATTCTGGACAGGACAGGAAAAGCAGTCTCGCCTGCGGGAGAATGGGTATAACAACAGCATCCAATGCCCAATTGGGGCAGAGACAATGCGACGCAGCAGGAGAATAGTACTCCTGCGTGTCCGATTGACTCGAATAGACTGACCGTAAGAAAGATCCACGTTGGAGGAACGAATAGAAGAAAAGTAATGATAAGAAAAATTCGTGATTACATTCAAAGTCAAGATGAGATGAGATAAGATGGAAGGAATGTAAAAGTCGAGGACGAGGATCTCCAGATGCAAAAATGGTATTGAGGGTAAACGTAAGTGGAAATGAAGAGAGAAATGAAAAAAAAAAAGAGGGAGAAAGACGTTGGATAGAAAATTTGTCAAAGAAGATGGGAGAAAAAAAAGATGGGAAGAATCGTGACGAAAGAGCCAGTGCGAGACCTGCTCTATGGCACCTCTTTGTCACCACGTTTCAGACCAGCTGGCACTTCAATGGCATCGCGAACCCAGGGGATGGCAGCGATTTCATCTAATGATTTGCGCTTGGTGTTGCGCTTCAATAGTCCCTCCACGCAGTGCTGAGCCCCATCTAGGGCGGCGCCCTTCTCAGCATCCCATTCCTCGTCGTCGTTAGCAAAGCGGTACCAACTCCATTCGCAGCGAGCGATCCGATGAGGAGTTCGGGCGCGATGCTTCGCTGGATCGCCTCGGGTACCCGGAAGAACATCAAATGGCAGGCGATTCTCCATAATGGCATAGAGCAAAACACCCAACGCCCATGCATCAGTCGTGCGACCATCGTACGACTGACCCATCAAAATTTCCGGGGCAGCATAGTCCTCGCTCCCGCAACGAGTCTGCAATAACGGGCTTTCAGGTGGTTTGGGGATCCGTCGAGACAAACCAAGATCGCTGAGAGTGACCACTGCTCGATCGTATGTGCGCCAATCCGTGACAGACACCATAGCCGCGTGTGGCATGGTAAGCAGAACGTCTATTAACGCGAATATCAGCATTGTACTCTTGTCCATTCATGCAGGAAAATGGAACTCACTTTCAAGCTTGATGTCCCGGTGAACGATATAATTTGAGTGAAGATAGCGAACAGCGTCCACAAGCTCTGCGAATATCCGCCGGATCAATCCCGGGCCCATGGGTTGGCCGCCACCAGACGTTGCGTAATCGAAGAGATCTCCACCAGGGCAGTAGTCCAAGACGAGCAGAGCACGCTTCTCGTCGCTGCCAAAGGCCTTCAACTGCACAAGAGACGGGTGGTTCAATGCTTTCAAGATCTCAACCTCTCGTTTCATCGAAATTTCTAAACGCTCCTCGTCCGCTCCACCTGCCGGACCATGTTCAATGATCTTCACGGCAACGAGTTTCTGGGTGCTCGCGATCATCGTAGTATCCGCTGTCGTGCCATGGTCGAACTCTGGAGCTGGAGACATTGGCGTTTCAAGCGGTTCTTCCACCCTCGCGGCCAAATTGACTTGACTAAAAGTGCCCTGGCCCAGCACTCGGATCTTACGATATAACCTCGCCTGCTGAGTCCGCACGGACTTGACAGAATATAGCTCTTCGGACCTCGACGCGGTTGTCTGACGGCATACCACAAGCTCCGCGTCGCTATCACCTTGCCCGCTTCCACTGCTTCGGGGCGGGCTCAGCGGCCGGTCGGTTGGTATCGCAATGCCTCGATGCACGGCAAGGTATTGTTCGCGGTGCAGTCCATTCGATTTCGAGTCTGTGCTCGAGGAGGGCGCGAGATTGGGGCCAGCTCCAGAGACCGCGATCGGTCGAGGGAGCGCAACACGGCCTGGTGGTGGCGGCGCATAGTCGCTCAGACTCCGATTTCGAGAATGATGCTTGACGTGCGCTTCGCGGTGCGCGCCGGTAGACGGTGACAGCGGGCCGCCTTTCTCCAGTCCCGAATAAGGCTTGCCAGGTCGCGATCGCGATCGCGAACCTGGGCGCCCTAGCATATGCGTTGAGTCGCTGGGTGAAAGCATGGAATGGGTAAAAGACCCGGTGGGAGAGGTTCGCGAAGCTGACTGTGGATCTGATCGCTGCCATGGTGCAGTGCCACCTATCGGCGAGGGCAGCGGCGTAATGTCGCCCATGGCACGCAGCTGGGGAGAGGACATGATCGACGCTGGGGATAGCGAGCCGTTACTCGACATGGGAGGCGCAGCGAGAGCACGCAAACTCGGCGTTCGTTGCAGGAAACTGCCGGAGGACAGGCTCGTCGAGGTGACAGAATCGCAATCGCGGTGCGAGCTGGTTGGCCGTGTGCTAGGAAGATCGGTTCGAATCTGTAGGGATGGAAGACCGGGCACGTAAGATTTGAATACAGGGGCCATTTCTATTGGCGCCGAGGACGTTGGGGGCGAGTTCTCCGTGCCATACGAAGCCGGCACAGGCTCGGATCCATGATTGCTGGGAACAGCCCTGTGCGAGGCTGGTAAATTGTGAGAGTGCACATTTGCCAGACCGGACGCTACGGCTGGGCCAGACTCAGACTTCACCATCGACGTGAGGAAAGGCGCGCAAATCGAGAGGTGAGACAAAGATTCTGTGGGTATTTCCGGAAACGTCAAGAGAGAGGGAGGGAGAGAGAGAGAGAGGCTCCCCCAAGAAAATCCGAACGCAGGAGGGCCACCGGGCGATTTTCAAGACGGGGACCCAGAAGATAAGATGCCTCAGCCTCCCGACCGAACAGGGACTTAGCGTGGGGAGCAGCCCCGTCAAGGGTCAACGGTCGCTTTCGCAAAGTGGGAACTCGAGTGTGGCCAGGGACAAACCGTCCAAGAGGCTGGGCCAGATAAAAATAGTGTGCAATATGTGAGTCTAAATGATTGATACTGGCCAGTTTCACCACATAACGGAGGTTGCGCTGGCAGGGAGCTGGTTGGGGCCCACGAGGTGGCAGGCCATATTCCTATTCCACGATGACGACCGCATTACTGCAGATCTCAAGGAACTCTGCAGACGCAGAGAGCCTGGCCAAGTCTTTCGGGAGGCGCGGCAGGTCAGCTGATGAGCTTCCCCCGCATTCGGAGGCGCCTCCGCCAATTTGGCAAAATTCAAATTTGGGACGAACCCTTGAGACCTTTTGGTGTGCTGGGCCAAATTTCTTTTTTTTTATTTCTTTTCTGTTAGGCTTTATCTGCTTTCGTGCTTTGATAGGTGTTGAATGACTTCACAATGCACCGCAACAAAACAAGTTTATAGACATTAGCAATCATCTCTTCCTTCAGAGAGGGCCAAACAGGAGATGTCTATGTGCCGAGAGAAGATATTGTGTGTTTTATGTGAACCTCGACCACCGACCCTCTTCACTTTGCTAGGAACTCTCTGTCTACCTGTGACCATCCCAAAACCGATGATTAGGTACTCCCATAAGACATACTAGGATGAAGACAGCATTGAGACAGTTCTTGAAGCTGGGCCATATCAAGGCGCCCACGTGAAGTTTGGACTTCGAGGTACAGCGCCTTTTTCTATCACTGTTTAGGTATCGCTTCAATGTTTGATTGACTTAGCCACGGGCGGAAGCACTGTATAAGTAAGTATACTTCTCTGGGGCTTACCAGTACCTTGCTACTTGCCTATTACCTATGGAGATAGAATGAGATACCTCCTGGCCACCTTCCGGCTGGTCATCATGACTGGGAGCAGTGGGCAGACGGGAGCTTCCAATCCAACTGTTCCTGGATTTTCGTCAAGCTCCCATTCCGACTAACTTCACCATATCAGTCGAGGTCAGTATTCGCTGCAAAGGATGTCAACCCCAACGACTCAGGTCGGAAAGGGTTCTATCAACACACCCATGCTAAGAAACCCACTTCTATACTCAAAGAAACTAGGTGGACGTGCACAGGCATATGTTATTACCTAGTAGGTACTACCACTCATACTAGAGATTGGTGCATCATGCAAATCGACGCAAGGATCTACCTTAGGCAGCCACCAGTCCCCTGTGCATTCGCTTCGCCATACCCGAGTCTCAGCAAAATGCTTTCTATTTCGTGATGCGGCCCTCACAGGCACCCTGGGTATCGGATCCCAGTAATTGGCTTGATATGGGGGTCTGCACTCTGCAGTGCACCGCATGGAGTGCAGCGATCGTCAACATATTACACGGGTCGTTTACTGGCTGCGCGATTTATTAGGAAGGTCCAGCAATCGACACTGCAAAGCGAGGGGACCAAGCGGCCCCATGCATCTGCAGAGTGCAAAATGCAGCCCGTTGACGGGGGTACTTTAGCTGTAGTTATCAACAGCTTAGTGAACATATCAGGGGCCTGGGATGAGGTTGTGGTCGAGGGCTCGGCAAACCTGCCTTGGTTGATGTGATTGTGATTGTGTAGGAGGCGCAGGGCCTTCGCAACCCAGATTGATTCTTCACGAATAAGTGGATTGTGCAGCCATAAACTGAAGGATCTAAGGAGCTAGGTATCAATATAGTCAGGCTTGTTAATATCCAAGGCAGGACAAAAGTTTGTTCAACGATTGGAACGCTATTGCTCAAGTGCATTATCGGATGTAAACGATAGGGACTGTAGACTTGTACAGACTACAGTCCACCCTTTAAACTAGGTAGGGAATAGCCCGACTGCTGACAGCTTGCCACTTGTAGGTGATAATCAATGCAGTGCATCTCCCGTCCTCAGCTAATACAAGGCTAAAAAGGGACCGGAGAGCCTACATTACACGAGCGCGACATGAGTTCACTGGGAATATTGATATACCACCCAAAATGTGGTAGAAAATTTGTACATCGAGATATACATTAAGATCATTGGGGTATATAATAATTTGTCGAAACTCCTTGCCCCGAAACAGCCAGGCGTGAGCGAAGCGCAGAGCGACAAGCCAGGTAGAACGCTGACGCAACGAAAGATTCCTCCCATCTTCATCAACATAGCATGATGTCGAAATCCGCCTCCTGGGCGATTTGTTGCCAGTGAATATCTTGGCCAACGGCCTGGTCCCGCCTTTGCCACAGCTCTTGAACCACTTCGCTCATCACCTTGATGTTGTGTATGCCATGTCGACTCTTTCGATCAAAGAAGGCGGCTATTCGCGCTCGAAGGTCCGCACGCTCACATTCAGCAGCGACAACAAAGTTGGCCCAATTGTAAGCGCAGCCTCCTCTTTCGTTGCTGATCGTCTCGACAGCCTCCAGCTCTTCCACGGCCTTTTCCACCAGGTCTTGAACGTCAGAGGGGGAGGCATGTCGCAGGTTGCGACGGAAGTAGATGATTGAAGCAAAATAAAAGGAGTTCAGCGCGTGTTGGACAAGGGTGGAACCCGGCCCGCTTGTTATCGAGAGTAGTGAGGAGTGTTGGTGGAGTTGCATCTCGAGGCGATCCAGCTCCTCGGAATGGATTGATGCTCTTGAGTCGACAATGGATGTGATATAGGCTATGAACTGCACGAGAGGCCCATTGATCCCGTGGCTGAGTTCTAGGTAGTGACGCAGATCCGGCGAATCGTCCAGAAGGGGCATTAAGTGTGGTGACACGGGCAAAGCGCAGAGCACAGACAGTGAGAGATAGCTTTGAATCAGGCGAGACGCAGCCGGTCCGGGAACCCACCCTCCACGAATCTCGTGCTCCAAGAGAGCCAGTCCACCGGTGACATGCGCTCTCCATCGACGCCTGCGTCCAGACATGGCTTCGGCTGTGATACAGCTTAGTACAGCGGCCAGGGTGGGCTCGTCAAGCCGAATACCACGGGCGAGGTTGTGTCGTAGATGGCGAATCGCAAGTTGATCGTGATGGGTTGCCAGGGATTGATACCGTGTATCTTGGCGGAGATGAGCAAGGCTGAAGGCGGATGAAGCGCAGATGGCGTGAAGAATAGAGAGATGTATACTTGGTTCCTTGGGAGAAGCCTCAAGTCCCTGGAGGGCCATTGGCAAGAACACTGTTCGACAAGCATTGCCCGGAGAATCGACCAAAAGCATGTTGCCGGAGAGGAACGTATTCCAGTGGTGTATAAGCTCAGCCTCAGGCCGTGGGAGCTGGATTGAATTTATGGCCATCATAGGAGAGGGGTGCCTTGATAATGGCGACCCAGGCAACACATGGGTAGTGCCATATCGATTGACATCAGCGCGATCTCTGGTCATTATGGTGGGAAAGTAATCTCGCACGATTTCCTCGATGTCGCTGGGCGTCGCTGAAAGTCGCTCATAAGGCGACGATCGCGAGGACGGGGCAGCGCATGTATCATCCATCAACGAGTCTGCCTCGGGTGATGATGAGTCTGTCGTGGTGGACCTGATCCGGTGTTCCCAGGACGACGGCCTTAGTGGCAGTGAGGTACTACCGTCGCATGCATCGTGCGCGTTGTCCGTGCTGGGCGATGCGGCCGACGAGGAAGCGGAATTGCTCTGCGGGGTATCTGAAGACGCGACTTCTACCCCGGCTCCGTCGGCCTCGAGATTGGATAAAGAAAACACCGTAAAAGGCCCTCTTTCCTGAGACGGCCCTTCCCCAGACCAGCCATCCAAGTCGGCCAGGAGCGCATTCACAGCCGACGACGACAAGTTCGGCAGGAGTTGAAGCGCAGACCACTGTGTCTGCCGTCGCTGAGATCGGCTACCGGGAGTCTGAGACCATCCCAGACGCAGTCCGTATCCTTGACAGTGCCAGCCGCTTTGGCGACAGCGACGACAGACAGGCCGTTCATCATCACATTTTACCCGGCGAGATCGACAGGTCCAGCATCCTGTGAAGGTCTTGGTGCGCGTTTTGGGCACTCTCACATTGCTAGCTTGTGAACTCGCCGGCATCCCGACAAAATCGCACGAGGGATTTTCGGGGTGCGCCTGGAGTCGAGACCGTTGCGGTCAGAGATGGATGCTCGAGCTTGAGTGACTATGGCTGGCTGTCGTTGGGTGTAACGCGTGACAACGCGCCTCTTCGCGACCAGACGTTGGACTTTCGAGGTGGAGATGGAGGTGGATGTCGCCGGTGATGCTTGGGTCTGTCCAATTCGCCACTCCGCATCGGGCAGCGGGCCAGATTCTGTTGAGGCTCCTCCAAATCGGCGTTTTTCACCTTCCGCCAGATCTCTGCCGTGCGAAGTGCCGCAGGCCGCAGTCCGACGGGTGGGCCGTTTACACTGTTTACCAAACAGTTTTTAGTGTTTTCTGTTTGCAATGTGAAGTGTGTGATGGGGCAGATGGATGGGAACGATCGCTTCAGCGCAGCAAGTATCGACTCTGCCTCGCCGATACTTGATTGACACATATTGTAATGGTTCAGCCTGACAGAGCTGCCCTGCACGATCTCGATGCTTGGCACATGCTACGCGGCTCTGACGACTACCACGTCAACAGTACCTGGAAGGAAGAGTTTGTTTGATAGGCGATGCCCCCACAGACCCAGCACAGTTCGTTGGATGAGATGGACTGCGTATTAAGCTAGTCCAGACCAGCCTCTGAAAGCGATTGTGAAAGTTGCGCCTCACTTCGGCTTGGACGAAAGTTGACAATTCGTAGATACGCTCCAACATCCTCCAAGACAGGACCTCGATTTATATTGAGCTCTCAGGTTTGAGGTTTCTAGCGATGTGGAACCTTCTCCAAGCCGACCTTCAAACGTAATTCATGCGTCCCAGGGAGTCATGCTTAGCAATGGCTGCCAGGTTTGAAGCCCTGGGTATCATGATGGATCATTGAATCAGTAGATACAACGATGTCTTATCAAGAAAATCGTTTTATTTTCCCCACTACTTCACCGTGGCCTTGATCGGGAATGAGCTTTGATGTCTCGTGTCATGCAGTCTTGTGTTTCTCTACATGTATAATGCATACTACGCTCTTAGAGATCATGCCTGTCTTGTAAATGATCAACGGTGGGGCACCAGCATGTTTGATCACGTCGGTATCTGATCTACTGAGTACCTCCACTGGGATAGTTCTAGTCTCGGCACTACGTAGTATGTTGTACAAGCCGATTTACACACGGGCGCTCTTCCGTTGTGGTTTGTTTTGATCCATAAACTGTTTGAGCAGGTTCAGGCAATCTTTTCCCCTGCCACTGCACTGGCCAGGCTTGCACGTCCATCTTCTGGCTGGTGGTTATCAAATACTGGCGTGGGTGACGTGCTTGACTGATTGATAGGTAGAAGTCCAATGCTCGTGTCCGAGACGATTGAACAACCTCCACGGCCCAGAGTTCTGCGGTGACTCTCGCCAGTGTCAGCCTTGGACACTGGATACCTGGAGACCAAGACCGATTTTGGGACCGAGAGAAGGGATCGGAGTGACAAACCGTCAATACATGCGGAATTCTCTATTCGAAGTCCCCTCGCAGAATTAAGGTTAAATGACGAAGACACTTGGGTGCAGGTGTCATGGTCGATAAGCCCAGTGATGCAAAGGGACTTTTCTATGTACACAGACAGAGGAAGATGAAAAACGAGGTGGGTACAAAATACAAAATCCAGAATCACACCCCCAAATCCCAGCCCACGCAAAAATGCGAAATATGGATGCTTTAAGCGCCAGAGTGAAGAGATCTGCAAGGGAAAAGAATCGAAAAAGCCGTTGTAATACATTGCGGGTGGAAAGAAGCGGTTGACGGGTCAGTCGTCGCCGAGATCGTAGAGGTTATGGTGGAAGGGGCTCGGAGAGTCGGGGGATTGAGGAATAGAGTGAAAGGACAAGAGATGGTCGTGTCGGTATTATTTTAGAAAAGGGCCTTGCGGGTGACCTGGAGAAGAAAAGAGTCAGTGTCAGATTATTTCGTGAGGGTGCCGATAAAACGCTGTCCACTGATTACTCACAGCCCACGCGCCCGCAATGGACGCCACAATGCCTCCAGAGATCATCATGGGCTTGACGCCGCGCGTGCTCTTAAAGAGCATGCCGCTGAGGGCGCCAGCTGCAACGCTGTTGGCGGCATCATGTTTGCCCCGAGCGTATCCGATGGCCGAGTTGAATCCGTTATACACCATCGCCACCACACCGGCAGAGTTGCCCAGGAAGGGACCTCGACGAGTGATGGAGTTCAGCACGCCGTTCAACCGAATCTTGGGAGGGGCTGTGACTGGTGTCTTATTCAATCCTTCCGCGAGACCCCATGCGCCACCAACGGTCAGAGCGACCAAGTATGTAGTGCCGGCACCATAACAAAGGTCGTCGGACCAGCCGCGAGATGGCAAAACAGAACGAGAGCCGGGAAGAGAGTCAAGGGCAGAATCTTCAAGGGTCAAGTAGTCGAGAGTATCTTGGTTCAGACCGGCTAGGGGATGCAATTGAGTTGGATCGGGAATGGCGACTTCGGACAAGAATGAGGTTGCGTCTTGCGCGTTAGAGGCATCGTATGGCGAGGGAGCCGCGGTCTCCTTACGTCCGCCCAAGTTGTCCCAGATAGCCATGATGGAAAGGGCAGGAAAGATGACGGTATGATGGTATGCGACGGTGAGGGAAAGACGGAGAAGATGGACGAACTTGACAGTCCCTTGATCACAGCTCCACCGACTGCCGGCCGCCAGCAAAAACTTCGGTCCCGTGACTGGGGTGTTACGGAGATTTGTTCACCCGAGAATCACTCCAAGCGGTGACTCCTGCCGCATGTATTGACACCTGAGGCACCACGGTGATTGCGGGCAAGTCTGCATAGTCCTGTGCAAATCTTAAAAAAAATCATATTATTGAAGTCGACGTGGGAATATTCGGCATTAACAGAACCGGATAGGCCATGCAGGAAGGCCCCGTGTATAGCAATGCAACTTGAAAATTCTCGCGCCGAGTCCCGGGCGGCACCTATCAAACTTGACGATGTCGCACAAGAGGTGCAATTCTTGCCCGAAAAGACTTTGCAAGATCTTGCTAAGGGCCAACTTGTCAAGCTAGCTTTGACCTGTGAAGATCGTCCGTGAGTCTGGGATCCATTGAAAATTGTACGCACCATGATTCATCAAAGTACTAAATCGGAATTAGTAAAGTGGATCGTGTCTGGCAATCTCTGATACTGACTGTGTCAACGCCTTCACTATCAACATTGCATTCAGCGGCAGCTTGCAACGCCGTGTCCGCTTTTCTGGATGCTGCGGCAACCTCCAAAATCGAAGAGACTCGAAAGCTAGCTCTTTCACCAGAGACGTGGCTAGCTGTCTTCGAAGTATTCATGAGTCGATATGAAGACGCAAAGCCAAAACCCCTCAAGCAGCTCTTAGGCTCTCTGGTCACTCTGCTAGGGAAGCATATTCATGGTGCTGATGAGCAGCTGATTGTGAAAGCCATTGTGGACTCTATCGTCCCAAGTATCGTACTTGGTGAACCCAAATCTCGATTAAAAGCCTCAGTGGTCTGTTTCGAAATGTGCATCCGCAAAGGTTCTCTGTCAAGCACTGCCTTCATAGGCTTATTACAGGAATGGCTTGATGCCAACAAAGAGAGATGGGTGTACGATCTTGGAAAGGCTAAGGAGGCCGTGTTCTCAGTCAGTGCCTTGGACACTTCTACGGAGGTATCAGAGGAATTGGCGGCAAAGGTCTTTGTGCTGTGTCTTTTGACACAAACCAACAGTCGCGAGCTTTCTGGCGCATGTGGGAATGTTCTGGGCGCATTTCTGCAGAAAATGAAGGCTGAAAGCCCGGAAAAAATTGTATCGGCGATATGGCTAGCCCCTGTGCGATACATGATGCTGCACGTCGCCGACAATCTCGAAGCCATGTCGACCCAAATTCTCCAACCGGTGTTCTCCGCTGATCCTGCTGGTTTCATGGCTTTTGTGAACACACTACCTCTGCAAAGTGTTCTCAAAGGGAACATGACTGATGCAGAAGACAACGAGTACCTTCTTTTGTTCGCTGTCTTGCAAATAGGCAAAAAGACCAATCTCGTCCATGAGGATTGTTAGTCACCCCACTTGCTCCCCAGGTGATAATCGCTAATTCACTCAATGCAGATGACGGCTCGAAACAAAGTGATATCAAAAGCGATAGTTCACCGAGGCTTGTACTCAGAAGCGACGAACTGGGAAAGTTTCTGCTTCACAGGGAGCCAAACATTCGGATTGCAGCTTTATCACTCCTCGTGACAGCATTCTCAACCATCAAGCCTTTCACTACTCTTGCCATAGACTCAATAATGAGGGGTCTGCCATCGATGCACGCAGACTCAGACTCTTACAGCCGAGGTGAGATCATGAGTCTGACTAGAAAACTCATCGTGCGGGTAAAGAGTGGCATCCTTATATCGGTAGCGGACCAGGGCCACGATAGCTCTACATTGGCAAATCCCAATATTCCAGCAGGTTTTGTGAAGAGCGACGAGGAGGTCACGGAATTCTTGAAGAGATACGTCGACTTCCTCATGGGTGATCTCGTCGTGACCGCATCTTACCCTCGCCACATTAGTGCCCTCAAAGGATTGAAGCTCTTACTAGAATCCAACCTTGACCCACGAACCAATATTCCACCAGCCAAATCCGAGGTCGAAAGTCGGTGGAAGAGCCATCTGGAAGTCTTCAAGCCTCAACTCCTTCGGCTTTTGGTGGACTTGCTACTCGATCCTTTTGAGGAAGTTCGACACACTGCGCTCCTGCTCCTCAATCACTTCCCCCGCGAAATTTTGATGAACGGTTTCGAAGCTCAGGGGATTTCAGGTTCCTCTCCGGTCATGGGCGTGGCACACGCGCTATCACGCGCCGAACTGACCGCCAGCAATACCAGTCGGGCAGACCATGCAGATACTGTAGCTCGCCTGTACCATATCATCTTCTGCGCCGCATTGCCAAGTCACCCTCTATTGTCCAGCGAGATGTGGTGGTCAAGCAAAGTCTCTGTTGTCAATCACATTTTGAGCAAATTAGAGGAGCGACTCTCATCTTCTAAGGGCCTCTTTAGCGCGACTTTGCGTGAAGCTCCTTTGCACGGTTACATGTCTGGACTCAGGTCAGCCACTCGATCACGTTCAATTGCGTAAGCTCTGACTAATGAATCATACAGATATATTATTTCAATGCCGAACTTCCACAATCTTCTTCTAGATGGGCCAACAACCGAGTCATGGAGGTCAATTCATGACCGTATTCTCTTCATTTGTAACAGAGTTTGGGAAGAGGTCAAACCTATCCTGTGCATCGACTCTCCAGAGGGCCACACGGATGATCCTGCCGAGGATCTAGCAGTTGGACCAAAGGATATTCTTTCGTACTCATGGAGAGCTCTTCGGGAATCCAGGTATGTCACTCCCGTGTGCCACTCACTGATCGCCGTGAAGAGTGTGGCTTACGTTTCCGAAGCCTTTTGCTTCACGCTACTTTGTTAAATACGACATACGGACCGTCTGGTAAGGATGGACTTCAGCTTGCCGACTTTGAAAACATCGGTCGAGCAAGCTTCATCCAGCTTGCCGAACTACGCCATCGCGGAGCCTTTTCCACCGTATCGCAAACATTCGCCACCTGCTGTGAACGATGTACGAGATCGAGTGACCTAACAATTCAAGAACTCCCAAGGGGTTGGTATCAAGACGCAAGAAAGACTATTTTCGAGTCTGCTTCCAAATTGACTCGAAGGTCCGCCGGGTTGCCTGCACTTATGACCGGAATTCTGTGCTCTCTTCACCGCACACCTTTCTTTGCTGATGCCATGGAAGATCTTCGCCAAATCTCACGTCTTCCCGTGAAATATAACAAAGAGGAGCAGTATTTGGAGCTTCCGCAGGTGCATGCTATGAATTGCTTGAAAGACATATTCACCAATACCAAGCTTGGTCCCTTTACAGAGCCTTTCATAATGCCTGGACTGACCCTTTCGGCGGAGACCCTTGGATCACCAATGTACGTGAAGGCAATCTACCCTGTTTGAGTATACGTACTAACGCTTTGTCCCCAGCTGGGCTCTTCGAAACTCTGGTCTCATGCTTTTCCGTGCTCTCCTCACGAGAATGTGCCGCATGGTCCCCGGAGCCGTGGCCGGATTCGGCGGTACGTCTGGGTCAGAGCCTGGCTCCAAGATCTCTTTCCCCAAATATGCTGGTCTTTTCGAACTGCTGGCGGCATTGCTCGCGTCTTCGGACGGCACAACTGCCCAAGATGGCACGGACATCATAACCGAAAGAATCTTTCCAGCGTTGGAGCTCATTGGCGAAAAAGTACCTTCGGTTGGCGACGACTACGATATGCAGCTCCGCCAGCTTGTTCTGGTTCACTTCAAAAGTCCAGTATGGGGTATTCGCGAGCATGCGGCTCGAGTCTACGCGTCTTTACTCACAAGAGAGAATATTGTTGAAGATATGAAAGATCTGGTGAATTTGCTCGACGATGACGCATCAGAGAACCTCTTACACGGCACAGCTTTGTGTGTCCGCTACTGTGTCCGGCGCTTCTCAGCTTCAACCAATGCCTACTGGAATAGTAAGTTTCATTTACACTTAGTATTCGACCGAACACACACTGATCTTTCTAGGCAATCTGGGAGATCTCCTTAGTGCGATGCGCTTGGTGCTCTGCAAACTTTTCACAGCCGCTAGATCGCCCGCTGTGGCAACGTGCCTGATTCAAACAATGAACGACATAATCGCTCGTGGCATCGCTGCTCAAACTGAGGGTACGTTCTGATGAAACGGCAGGCTTCTCAAATACTAACACTATTTCATAGACCGCCTCGTAATTTTCATTCTGGGAATTTCCGAAGAGCACGATATTGACGGCATCTTGAGTCACCACTTCGATGCTAGACAACCAGGATGGAACCTTGTCAGTCGTACTCGAGCATCTGCCCTCCTCAGGAGAGCTTTGGCCTGGTTTGTATTGCTCAGGACACTCATCTCACGGTCTTGGACCGAGATACCTGCATTCTTCACCAGTGTCTCACAATTCGACGTTGATGTCAGCTGTTGGATTTTACAGCAGCTGCCGGAAGTTACCGCTGGAAACGACAGGTATACCACACCACTGAGTGGTCTCTACTGCGCAGTAATTCTGGGTGACTATTCAAGCGAAGCAAAGTCACTTGCGTCTGTTAACTTGGCAATCATTGTCGAGAAGTTACTGGCTACGTCAGAACGAGAGCTCCATGCATTGCATCTGCCTTGCGATCAGCTCCTGAGCCATTTCAGGCCTGAGGTGGATATACAAAAATGGAACAGACAGTCTACGGATTCAGAAATTCGTCTTACGGGGTGCCTCTTGGCCATCCGAGCTCAACGGCCCCCAGAAAACTCGAGTCTTAACGTATTGGTCGTGTTGCGTTGCTGGATCCTCAAGCTCCGTCACGCACTCAGTGAGGAAACTGTGTGTCTGACCCATATTTTCTATGTTTTCCCAAAAGATTGAAACTGATCCCAACTTTGTATAGGAATTCACAACCCGACATGCTGCTGCGGTTTCTGTGCAAAGCTTCTCACGATTTCTTCGTGATGGGATACACGAACCACGAACCGATGAAATCCTACTTGAGGTTTATCTTGTTCTCTATGATTTGCTCAATGATGATGATGAGGAGCTCCGAGACATCGCCGCATCTACCGCATCGCGAATTTTCTCTGGGTCTTCGATCTCTCCATCGGCTGCCCTTGCCCTCGGTCCTCTGAATGCCAGCGAGACATTGTCACACTTCATAACAGATCATTACTCCGACTCGATGTACCTTGCCCGTCGGGTCCTGGAATATCTCACCGGCCAAGAGCCTCACATCAGCGGTTCTGACATGCAACATCGCCTTACTTCCGTCTCTGTTTTAATGGCCCAGTACCGACAGGAAAGTCACGTCCTCTTTGTGGAGGAGAAACAGAATCTTTTCATTGATGAAGTACGCGAGGTCGATCTATGGTGCCCAGTGCTCTTGCAGCTGAAGCGAAATGCCTATCCTCACACACAGACACGTCACGTTGCGACTTGGGCATCGGAAGGCCTGGAATACCTCATCGAGGTGATCAAGCACGACAACGAAATGGATGGGTTGCTGGGTTGGACTTCCAAGCCGGAAGCTTTTGCTTTGATTGTGCGAGTTATCAGCATCGCCTCTGCACTTTCATCGAACGATTTCCGTGCACCCAAGGCTCTAGACGCGTTTCCGGTGATCTTGCAACAACAATTGCAATCTCTTCTAGATGTCGGCAGAAATGTTTCTCTCCACGAGAATCTTTTGTGCAGGATTCAAGGGGCACTCGGCAAGTTGAGCGCGGGTGGGCAACAATAGATTTAGCGCACGTCGAGTCTCATGCTAGTTATGACCAAAAATTCAAATAGACTCTGTTTTGCTGACGTTCTATGGTTCACGTCGAGAGCCCCCGAATTGTACTCTGCCTTTCTTTCTCCAGTCCTCCACTTTCTCAGCACTTCTACTCCCTTAGCCTTTCACTGTCACGACGGACGAGAACAATGTAAGTTGGCTCACGCGTCCCATCAAGCACAACTTTGAACCTTTGCAAGTAATCCGACTCTGTTTGCACCCACCCCCAGCAGAACTGACAGAGCTTTTCCATTATTGCTCCCACCTTCCGGACTCCTTCTTCTAGGCGCTCGTCGTATACCCCATCTCATTCAAGCATTCCACCTTTGATCTGCGACGCACTGCGCTGCATACTTCGGCTAAGACGCATCGCTCAGTATGAAAGGCAACGTGATGATCACTCTGCTGATATCCATCCCGTTTTCTATTGTCTTTATTGGCGCACTGGTCCTCTTCTGGTATCGACACCATATTACCAACAATGTAACTCGCCATCGAGTCCGCCTGCAGTTATTCCGTCACATATCCCGTGAGCGCCTTCAAAATCAAGATGTCGAGCGAGGAGGCCTTTACTATGGTCCACCCATGCCAAGATACACATCACACGGATGGATGCGGCCCTCGCGCAGACATTACGGTGAACCTGTGGAGCTGGAGTATCTGAACAGACACCGTACCTGCAGGGATCCGAGTCGTCATCGTGCGCAAGACTGCAGACGTGCTGGCGCTCCACACTCTTCGTCAAGTGCCGAGCAGGGTCGAGGCAAACCGGTAAAGACTGGTCAAAAGAAAGGCAAACCGGTAAAGACTGGTCAAAAGAAAGGCAAAGCGAGCCAAGATAACAACAAGCAGAACAACAAAAATGAAGGCCGTGAGCCTCCACGAAACAGGAAGAAAAAGAAGAAGAATCAGAAGGCCGACAATGACGATGGCAACAAAGACAAAGATACAAACAATGAAAACACTCAAAATTCATCCCAGCAGGAACAGCAAGAACAAACGAAGAAAAATAACAACAATCGCCGCCAAAATCAGACTCGCGATGAACCGTCCAAGAAGAAGCAAAAGGACCAAGGAGCAGAAACGAGCTGGGGCAACCAAAGTCAGAACAATGACGACCAGGACCAGCCTCAGAATGCCAATCAGCAACAGGATCAAGCTGATATCAAGGAGAGTCGGCGGCAAAATCGAGGTCAGAATAAATCGACTCGGCAGAATTGCGAGAAAAGAGCATCAGAAGAGGGCTGGGGGAACCATAGCCAGAACGATGACAACCATGGTCAATCTCACAATGAGAATGGGGGTTGGGGCGCAGATGAGAATGAAGATTGGAAAGGTCAAAACAATCACGACCAGGATCAATCTCAGAATGATAATTGGGGCACCGCGGACAACCAGCAGCCTGAAAAAGCCCCGGAGAAGGAAGATTGGGATGGCAATGGATCTGAACAAGGCAGCTGGGGCCAGCAGGCTGAAAGAAATGAGGCGATGGACAACGCTAAAAACAATGATGGTTGGTGATAGGAGTTTATTCGGTCACATCTGAGCGCACGCTATGATTGACCATGGCCACGACTCACGATTGATTCAAGCTATATACATGAAATGTTCAATCACGATTGATACCGTCTTCGCACCAGCACGGAGAACGACACACATCAAGACACTTATATCACAGGCTTCGGCCTAGACGTGATCTGTTCAGACATTTTCTCAGCTAACAATTCGCGTCCACTCAATACAACATGGCGTTGAGCGGTCGTGAAGCATAACATATATTAACGGGTCAGTAAACATTCTCTAAAATCGGACTCTGCATGGCACAATGTGATGGGCCATGGAAGAGAATGTAACTCGCGCGAAGGCATCAGGTTCCTAGTATGAAGCAGGCTCAGTTTCCATGAATTAAACCTACAATGTATGACTCAAATCATCAAGATTCCTGGTCTTACCGACATTCTCGTCTAGATGAAGATGTAATAGAGCGAAAAGGGACAAGTTTGATCCAGGGACCAGGTTGTATTACAGCGTTGAAGTATCTATCGCGAGCGAGCACCGGTCCGCATCTATTAGTATATTACCCGGACAAGGTTACCATATCTGGTTATAGAAAGCTTGTTGCCAGCATATGTTGTCCTTGAAAAGGCTCCATCATGTCACTTTCGACGCGAATATCATGTGAGACCGTATGAAAAAAAAGCAATCTTCCATGTATTCCACTGATCATTCCTATAGTGTCCACCTCAAATGCAACATTATTCATTGGTACAGTAGTGCTACTGAGGTACAACGCTGAAGGTACAAAGGTAGTACGACACTGCACCATTCCGTCAGCGGCATCCACTTTGCAGTCCCACAGTCACGTGATCCGCTTGCAGTCTGGCGGTCGACAGATGCCAACAGTGCAGTTGTCTCGTCCCGGTCGGTGACGGTGACGGTGACGTTGGTTCTCCCGGTCCTCGATTTCTCCCCCGCAGATCTCCAGGCACACAGCTTTCTTACTTGAACATACACTCCAGTTCCACCACGTATTTCGCCCTCCGCGCCTCTTGTGTCCTGGACTGAGGGCTCTTCCAGGATAATCGAAAGAATGTGGAACGACGAAGACAACAACCCATACGGGGCATTTGACCAACACGAGTCCCATCTGTCCGACTCGTTGCATTCAGCCGCCCTGTCTCCACGTAAGCTACCGCCATGAAGGAGAGCTCCGAATTGCGCCGCAGCCGTGCTAATGACCAACACCTAGCTATCTATGAGCATGATTCTACACCTCCGTCCAGTCGTGGTTCCAATGCGGACCCCCCTGACTTTATTTCCCACCCCGAAGACCTGAGTGATCCCGAAGAAGCCGATTATGGCGCTGCTAGCCAGCAGTACCCTCGGAAAAGCTCCTATGACAGCCGCATTGAGCAAATACTTTACGAAAACCCTGAGATGCCAATTCTGATCACTGATGCCGGCAAGAACCATGAAGGAGGTGGAAGTTTTATTGTGTACACGATTCGCACTGCGGTACGTCTTCTCACAGCTGCAGCTTGGTGGGGTGAAACTGATGGATTCGAACTGGGTAGGATCTGGAAGTTCGTCGCCGATATTCAGAGTTCGCCTCATTGCGCCAGACCTTGGTCAACTTGCACCCCACACTGATTGTTCCTCCTATCCCCGAGAAGCACAGCATGGCCGACTACGCCGCAAAGCCGACAAAGGCCAAGGAGGACACCGCAATCATTGAACTAAGAAAGCGAATGCTCGCGGTCTTCCTGAATCGCTGTCGTCGCATGAAGGAGATACGAGAAGATGGAGTTTGGTGGCGCTTCTTGGATCCCAATGTCAGCTGGGTAAGTTTTCTTCCCGTGGAGCCGGCAACGACTCCAAAGAAATGAATGCTGACGATGTCTCCTTGTTCACGGCCATTATAGAATGAGGTGCTTCATTCTCATCCGGCGTCATCTGTTCCCAAGAACAATCTCAAGGCGCCTCCACTCGACCCCGCAAACCCCACACAGGCACACGGCTGGCTTCCGGTGCCATCTTCGTCCGCCAAGCTAAAGCATGGTTCCTCATCAAACGGAGGAGCACCAAATTCCCCCGGCGAAGGTGCTGAATCAACTGTAGTCAATCCTGGTGCGGATGTTCTTGGTCGATTCCCTCCCGAGTCACGTAGGCTGAGTGAACAAGAGCTGGACCCATACTTCATCAACTTCGAGGCCTCGACGCGCGAGTTAGAACTGCTTCTTCAAGGGAACATCGAGCGGGTGAACCGGCGAACGTTGTCTCATCTCTCCTCCCTTTCGGCTGACTTGATGGAGCTTGGCGCCCGCTACAATGGATTCTCTCTTTCTGAGCAGTCGCCTACAGTAGCGGCCGCTATTGAAAGAATCGGCCAGGCCGCCGACACTTCATATATCGAGACGGAAGAGTTGTCTACCGCGCTGAGTGCAAGCTTTGCCGAGCCCATGCGAGAAAGTGCCCAATTTGCCAGCGTTGTACGCAGCGTGTTACGCTATAGAGTTCTCAAGAGAGTGCAAGAAGACATGACGAGAGACGAGTTGGCCAAAAAGAAGACCCTATTGGATTCTCTCGAGCGCAGTGAGCTGGAAGCCAAGCGGATTGAACAGTATTTGAATCGAACATCCCAGCAGTCCAGCGGTCCTCGGCCACAACGATCTCTCTCCACCTCATCTGCCAGAAGTGATGAAGGCGGTGCTATGTCTGAGGCCTCCAATGAGTCTGAATTCCCGCCCACGCACGGGGAGTCTGTCAGCGGTACTTCGCCGCCTTCACAAAGTATGGCTTATAAACGGCCAGAGCCCGCGCCTTCTGCTCCATCACACCGCAAGACATCCAGTGGTAATTTCGTGACAAACAAGATCTTCGGCCGGATCAGCCACGCTATTCATGGCTTCGCCGATGTCGATCCTGAACGCACTCGTCGCGATCAGATTGGCAAGACTAAAGAGAGTCTCATCCAGGTGTGTATTCATCTGATTTCTATCCGAGACCATGAGTTAGAAGAACGTCGATATACTGACCACATTTTGTTTTGTAGCTCGAGCAAGCGCTTGAGGTATCTGAGAAAGACGTCAAAGACGCTAGCTCGGGTGTGATGCAGGATCTGCAACGCTTCCAGAAAGACAAGGAAGCCGATCTGCGCCGGTACATGGTAGGTTCAGCCCCCAATTCTTTCTGTGGAATCACGCTTCATACGGATATACCTGGCTAACTGCCATTATCCTCGTTCGACAAAGGTCGCATACGCGAGGTGTCACCTAGATTGGGCGCGAAAGAATCTCGAGACTTGGACCGAGGCGAAAGACGAAGTGGACAAGATTGTCGCACGGTAGCTGGTGACTGTTCTCCCGGGTTCACTCTTGGACTTCACTAGATGGTTTGCTCTTTTCCTTTAGCCATGGATGAGTATGGCGTTGGCGTTGTGTCGAAAATTTTCTGTCCACTTCAGAGTTGCACCTTGGAGCCCCATATCCCCATATAGTTGAATAATACCATTTCTATGGACAATTCTCGCGATCTTCTGAGCTGAGTAGCTGGCTGAAAAGAGAGACATTACAGGACTGCTGTAGCTCGGCAGATGCCTTACTTTGACCCTTAGCAACCGGAAAGCCTCGTTGTAAACAGTGAGTAGAATAGCAAATTGGTCAGGGGAACCTTTGATTGAAAGACTGGCAACCTACTCAGGCACACATGGCTGACGTAACTGTCGTTGAGGCCCATCAATGAACCTCACCCTTGCGTCCCCCTCGTGTAGCCCAGGCCAGGCGGTACGTAAACCTCGACGCGCCTGTTCCTCTCCGTCCTCCGGTATACACTTGCACTAACTGTACTTTGCCTTCTTTGAATGTTTCAAGGCCGAAAATGATGAAGCCAGAAATTCTCGGGTATCGAGGCTTCTCGAACTCGGCCACATCACATCGTCTGTTGAAATTGAAGCCTATTTCCTTGTCATTCTCGCCATGTCCCGCTTAACATTTCATATCAGTCACAAGGTCAACGACCCACCCAGCATTCCACCCCGATGTTCGACGGGATCATGGCCTTGTTTGAGATGCCTCCAGGGGCTGATATCTCCACGGAGCTGACGAAGTGTGGCTACATGCCTTTTCTCTGGATGCAGAGTCCTGTGTCCATCAGGGATCATCATATATATGGCGTGTCTCAACCCGTAGCATGGTATGTTATTCGTGTGAAGATTGTCGTTGACCCCACGCGATCTGATTTCAAGAATAGACGCAGGGCATCAGTCAGAGCTGCTGAGACAGTCCACCGTCCTATAAAAGTCTCCAGTGTCCTTCCGGGTGAGATGACTGAGATTCATGGGTAAATCGCGGGCCAATGATTGCGAACTTTCTGGCTCGTCTTTCCCTCTGCAGCACGGAACGACGATGCTCCTACGGCTTGGACTGTTCAGTCTGGCCTTAGTGACAAGTAGTCACAGCTTTGGAACTTATATTGAGCCTCGACCCAATCTGCTCAGGACAAATGCCAACCAGACCTTCCCACCGTCGCGCCAAACCCACCAGCATACACACGACCCCAGTATAATTCTGTTCCACGACACATTCTACTTGTACAATGTGGGCGAGCATATTGTCATTCATACAGCGCCGAGTCTGGCTGGTCCTTGGACTCGTGTTGGAACCGTACTGGATGCAAACAGTGTGATTCCCAAAGGAGATCGTGCCGCACCCTGGGCCCCGACTGTAGTCTCTCACGACGGCACCTACTATTGCTACTACAGCGTCAGCAAAGCTGGATGTCGTGACAGTGCAGTCGGCGTCGCTACCTCCAAGTCTCCGGGCCCAGGATCATGGGTCGATCACGGGATAGTTATACAGACTGGAACAGGAAATGGTTCCGAGATTGCACCATACAATGTCTCGAACGCCATTGACCCTGCAACATTGATCTTGCCCAATGGGTCCAGCTTTATGACCTTCGGTAGCTACTGGACGGGTATTTACCAGATTCCATTGAGCAAGACTTTACTTTCATCAGCCAGCACAACTCATCCAGCTGCTCAACACCTGGCTTACGAGCCCAAAGCTCAGAGCCCTCCAAATCCCCAAGCAGACTCGATATGTGGCGATCCGACGGGTCCGCACGCTATCGAAGGGGCATATACATCGTACCGTGACCCGTATTACTATCTATGGTTCAGCCGGGGTCGTTGCTGTGATTTGGATCGTGGCGCACTGCCAGCTGAAGGGGCAGAGTATAGTATTCGCGTCGGTCGATCAAAAGATCCACGAGGCCCATATTTTGACAAAGCTGGACACAATCTTATCCACGGCGGTGGAACGATTATCTATGGTTCAAATGCGCAGACGTATGCTCCTGGTGGGCAAGGGGTTATACAAGTCGATGGGACAGACTACCTGTATTACCATTATCGTGAGTCAAACCCAGACCAGCAGCCTTACTTTGAAATTTGAGATGATCGATCGGACTAATATCGTCTTCGTTTTCTGAGCCCCATGCAGAGAACAAAAGTGTCAGTCTTTCATTCTCTGTAAGTCATACTGCGTTGTTCGCGTTGAAAGTTTCCATGATCGATTCGGATGCTCAGAAATGCTGATCACTTGGTGAGGTGAACTTGATTGCTGATATGTTCGTAAGGATGCGTTGTTGGGCTTCAACCCTCTCAAGTACGTGAATGGATGGCCTGTCGCCCAAGCGTGAAGCTGCACGGCCCTTAGCGAGGGATTCCATCATTGATCTTTGCCACGACTCCACAACGCCTTTGGGAATGAGACGACCTGGGGAAAGAAAGCTATCCAACCCTGATTTTGGACTATCCTGTCAGCAAAACCATGAGTGTAAAGTGCAAAAGAATGGGGGCAATGTATCTGTGGAAATAAAGGAGAACAAAAGCCCTGGTCAAAACTCGAGAGATATACGTGATCCACACCGCAATCGCCATTCGCAGCAACGAGGTCTTGCATTCCTACTATGGACATAAACAATGAATACTGTTAATAGTTGTAGAAGTTGTAGGGACATTCGACCGACTCCGAGGTTAGAAAGAAGTGTCAGAATAGCAAGGCTCGGTGTTTGAATGGCCATCCGATGAGGAACAGAGACGAATTCGATAATAGGTGGCACCTCTTCTGCACAGTACGAATAGCAAATTCCAGGATAGCAGGGGATATGCAAGCATCAGTTCTCAATGTGTTCGTGAGGCTACCAACATTGGTGCAGCCATGGATGGTAGCTTGCAAGTCAAAACAAAGCTTCCGAACCGTGCACTATTTCACCACTTCACCCGGATTCCCCTGTCCCCGAACCCTGATATGAAAATTTCAGGAGAAAATCGAAGCCTCTCTCGAAAACCAATGCAACGCAAATTCGTTCACCGTGCGGAATCCGAGTCAAGAGCTCATCTGTCTGGCCAGTGGACTTGATGCCGTCAAAGCAGAGAATGAAACGAAGACTGAAGAGAAGATCGATCCGAGTCTTAACCTTCGGATTCATCGGTTCGATTGTACCCAGATGAAAGATCGTACAACAGGTCGGAATTTCCAGATTCATCAAACAGCCGCTCGCAGAGCAGCGGAGTCAAATCTCTTTATACCATGATAGAGAAGAGGGATCCGTCGTAGACATCTCAGTTCCTCGTTGTCTCTTTCGCGGTGAGCTAGCTGCTCCCCATTGCGCTCTATCTGCGTCCTGGAACGAGCGAGTTTGTTTCCAAGTCTGCTGAAGCTTTCCCCGAGGTAAAGCACTTTGAAACAGTTCTCGAAGGGCTACGTTAGGCTCGACTGCTGGCCGTTCGACTTCTGCCCGTGGTACATCGATCAATAGCTTTCCGCTATACATCACGCTGAGATAGTCCATATGATCGAAGGTAATCATATGATCGAATGTAATCAGACGTGAGAGGCAACGTCACATGAGCCAGAAGGTCACTATAGGTCACGCCGGCGAGTCAGGATGTATCCACGTACGAGTCTGAGTCTGACTCGAAGTTGAAGTCCGAGTCTGGATCTATCCAAATTACAAACGGGCTCTACTCATACATCAGATGGAACACGGTCACATGAGAATATCCAGTTCAAGCCGTAAACCTGACGCTTGTCTTATTCTGCGCTTCTTTATTACATACAAGGAAGCGATTGCTGGATGGACAGTGTCTTCGACTGCCCCCACGACGGAAGATTGAAATTTATAGACGGCGTCAAGCTTCGACTCGGTATTCTCTCCAGCCGTGTACTGCTGGATGGATGTGAAGAGGTCCATCCCATGGGAAAAACAAGAAAAAAAAACTTAAAAAAACTTGTTGATCTACATCCAAAAAACAGACAGCATTCACCCTAGTCTAGATGTTCGGTGCAGGTGTTGGATCGAATGATTTAGCTGTAGAATCGTAATTTCCAGAGAGATGGTCTTTCATTTGAATCATCCAACTACAACATGCCCAACCTCCACTGATGGAAGCGACTGCAACACTGCACTTGATCACAAGGCAGGGAGGGATCCAATTCCCAGTCATAGGTACCTATTGACATCCATTCTTGAGTCCCTATTAGGTGGTAAATGAGAGCGCAAAGTACAAGTAGGTGTGGATGTTTCGGGAGTTCGATTGGCACTCGTTGGATGAAGATTGGAAATCCATGGCTTACAGGTCGCTTTCACTGAATCAGAAGCTAAGTCGCTCATCATCCGTAATTGGACTCTACCACCTAGAAGAGGCAGCTGTTCTTATTCAGTCCTTAGACTCCTTACTATTGGAAAGTCTCGCGTCGGGACCTTCAGCTCCATAGGACCTACACATCTACAGGACACGGATCAGATCCATCGATTTTATCAGCTGACAGCTGAAGAGTCTCCTTGAATTTGAAACACTCTAGGTAGACTGAGAAAAGGGAAAATGAAGATCATCCAATGGGCATGATGATCATCGGAGGAATAACAACAATGCAAAATGAAGCGAGTACCCCCACGCGAGTACCCCCACTTTTTTGTATCGGCCCTTGCTTGAGGTGCCGGAAAAACAAGCAAAATGCCAAACGCCATCATGAACATTAGGCAAGCATGAGCCACTGTGTTACATGCATGCATCTAAAAACAAAAGGAAATGAAACAAGAAACACAAACGATGCGCAAGGTCTTGTGTCAGACACCTTGATAATCAGGATTAAAAATTGACATCCTGATAAAAGACCAAAGGGAATCGAGAAACGCAACCAAAAAAAAAAGGGAAAGAAACACCACAAGGACATCTCCAAGCACCAGACAACTCAAGCTTCAGAGTGTGCCTTCTCGTCAGAGTCCACACGGAGCTCAACAACCGGCAAGTCTTCATCCGAGCCCTCATCCATCATGGTCAGAACATCCTCGAAAGACCCCTCGTGATCGGAAACTTGGCGTGAGTTTCCAAGACCGTGCAGCCGCTCCTCGGCATCCGAGCCCTCATCGACAGCCACGTTGCTGTCGTTGTCTTCGAAGAGACCTTGGTCGTCTTCGGGCGAGACAGGGCGAACGGAGGTCAAGGGACCGAGGGCGAGGGAACTTTCGCCGGGGCGTTCGAATGACCAAGAGGGACCTGAGAACATGTCATCCAATGGGTTGGAGGCATCGTGCTCGTCATCACTCGACTTCGTCTCCGGAGTCGCGGGTCCCGAACCACCACCGTCCACCTGGCGAGATGCTCCGCGCCTGGTTGATGCGCGCGACGATCCATTGCGGGAGGAGCCACCGAGGCGCTTGCCGTCCCCCAACGGAGAGCTGGACCGCGAGTTCTCAGCGGTGCTGTCGTTCTCGCCGTTCTTGAACTTGGTGATGATGTTCTGAAGAACGGGACCACCGAGAGGCTTTTCCGAGCGACGGCGGTAGAAGAGGAGGTAAGCTTGAGGCGATTGCATTCGCCCCAAGTCCCGGATGATCGACGCCGAAGAGTCTAAAGTGAGAGTTTAGTGAGTGAAATCCGATGTCAGACAAAAGCAGATCTGAGCTTACCGTTGAAACTACACCAGTCATCGGTGATGAAATTCTTGGCGTAGGCAGTGTAGTGGCCACCAGACATGCTGCCTGAGTGGTTATCTACGCCAATCAAGTCATACACCAATGACTTGTCTTGCCCCGTCGGTCCTGTCACCCAAGGGGAAAGATCCAAGTTCTCCACGGGGAAGTCCACCTTCGTGCCCAGCTTTGCACGCGCGTATCGAGACTGGGTCGTAAACCGCTTCAGGTGAATGACCAGAATGTCGGGCGTCGACCAAAGCTCAAACTTCTTGGAAGCTTGGCGATGGGCCTTGCAGCGCGGGCAGTACCACGCATCATCCTCGGACAGGGTCTCCTCGCGGCTGAACTCGTCGAGACACTGGTCAAGCGAGACACCTTGCGTGGCCCGGGCATCGCGCTGAGCGCGGCGATCAATCAGACCTTGATCATGAGTGAAGGGCATTTGATCGCAAGTGGCCGCACCACGCAGGTGGTCTTCGGGCCCGCTCTTGCCGAACAAGGCATCCTTGGCGTCCTCGTTCCAGTCCAGGATGATGGAGTCGGACTGCTTGAGCAGAGGCCGGGACGAAGTGAGGCGACGGGATTCCTGCTCAGAGTCATCTGACGCGCTGGTGCTGGCGTTGGTGTCTTCGTCAGATCCACGGGATGAGTTCTTCTTCGAGGCCTAAATGAAGTTAGCAACCCTTACATTACACGTTTAGTTAGGAAAGATCTCTTCTCATACCTTCTTCGAAGATGACAATCGGGACAGGATCTTCTCCGCGGAACCGTTGATCTGACGACCCTTGGGCATACGCTCCCCGCTGGGCATAACCTTGACCTCGAACAGGCTCAGCAGGTCGGAAGGAATAATCCCAGACAAAGGATGGGCGGGAGAATCGGCCATTGTGTCCGTGGCCTTGGGCGAAGCCGCGCTTGGCGTTCGCGACCCATTCTGCACCGAGATGTCAACGATGCCATCCTCACCTTCCACCGATCCCGTCTGAATCTGCGAGTCCCCGGAGTTGGCATCCTCCTCAGTCATCAAAACGGCATCCGAGTCTTCGACTGGCTGGTCAGCGTCTTGAGAGGGCACCTTCTTTTTGACCCGGAAGTTGGCCTCGCCCATGATGTCTCGGGTGGTCATGGTGGCAACATGTCGCAGGATCTTGCGATAAATGGTGGCCATGTCCTTAGACTCCTCGCGGGTGAAAGAAAGGATCGTAGGCTGCGCAAAGGTCTCGTACTTGGCGTGACCCTTGGCGTGCTTGGCCTTGGTTCTGCTGAAGACCGGAACCAAGATGCGATCTTCCGCCACTTCGTCCAACTCGATGAAGGTCATGACGTCCTTGGGCGTGAGGTGCAGATCTTCGTATGGAACTTTCAAGCGAGTCCACACTTCCCAGAAATGACCGTTATCGACCTCTGCAGCGATGAGCTGATTGGGGTTGAGGTTCAGCTTTTTAGCCATGGCCTCCTTCCAGGTCGCCATCGTGCCCGTTTTGTCCACTTCAGCCGTGAACATGCGCGGGGGCTTATCGAGTGCCTGGAAAACCACGTTCCGGAACTCAAGCTTCTGCTGCGGAATCGGCAGGGTCAGGCTGCTAAAGGGATCGAAGATGATGCTGACTTTATCACAACTGGGGCAGACCAGCGTAGATTTATACATGCCAGCAAAGAGATCGGTGACGACAGAGTCATTGCGAGCCTTGTAGATGTCCCAGTTTCGAACAGCGAAGTCTTCCAGGGCCTTGCGGTCAGTGACCATGTCATCCGTGGAATCGGGCTTCTCAATGTAAGGCTTCTTGAGGATGCGATTGAGATCCTCTGATAAGCCATCCAGAAGGAACATCAAGAATTCCTGACTGTCCTGTTGCTCCCAGCCTGCCATGGTCGGATTGTTGCGGCCAATCTGGTTGCGGAACTTTGAGGGGTTGAAAGACGCTGGAGGGGGTCGCGGTAAATGCCCTGAATCAAGCCAGCATACGCCTTGGCCAGCTGTCCAGAGTAACCAAGAGGATTGGAAGGGTTGAGGTCCTTCTTATGGCGATTGGCAAGGAAGTAGTAGGTCAATTCTTCCACAGCCCGCACGCACTGGGTCGCGGCATTCTGATAGCAGGTATTGCCCAGGTTTGAGAGACCGGTGACACCCAGTCGATGTCCAGAGGGTTTCTTGCCAAAGGGGAAATCGTCGGTGACAGGACTGGTGCGCCCACTGGCTGTCTGGCTTTTGGTGACTTCAGCCCCCGAGGATGCGAGCTCCTTCTTGGTCTTGGTGATGGGTATGCCCAGACGCTTGAGCTTCTCCGCAGAGACCGAAGACACCCACTCTCCGCTCTTTGTGCCAACCTGCTCCTCGAGAACAAATACGTCGGATCCCATCAAGCCAGCCATGCTGAGGGTCATCTTGCCATTGTAATTGCCGTTGCTCGTCTGGTCCTTAAATGTCTCCAGAAGCTCCCTCTGAGTTCCCTCGTTCAAGTCCAAGAAGGTGTTCAGATCTACCAGCAATTTTCTGCTGGAAGCCGAGATGAGTGCGGTGGGAGGGGCGGGGGAGACGGCACGAGAGACGGCGCGGGAGACGGCGGGGGTCGTGGAGGTGGACGGATTCAGGCTGGGCAATTGACCGATGATCTTCCACACGCGCACCTTGGTCGACAGGTCGATGCCAGCGAGCTCCTTGGCCCTCTTCAGCCAGGCCTGAATACCGCTCTGACGTCCAGCCAGCATGCGAACTGGCGGCCGGGCGTTTTCTTTGAGCGACTGAGGCGTGGTCGCAGCGGCAGGGTTGGCAAGCTTGAAGATGGTGAAGATGGGTGGATCGAGCTCGTACATGACGTTCTCGGAGTCGTCCATGCTGGCGTTGTGGGCGAATCGAACGATGACGGGGGACTGAGGGGCGAGTCCGTATTCCTTCATGATCAACTGCCAAGCTTCCTCCGGAACAATCTCGTAATCCACGCCCAATGTGAGATTTGGACGAAGTGGCACGTAGGCATCACCGCTCTCGTATTTAAAGTTGCTGTTGGCGGGATCCGTGTCGAGCACGACGTCGCGATTGTCCACTGGGCCCAATTCGCTGGACATGGCCTCTTTGTCGGCTTGGTCGGCGTAGGCGGTGCTTCGGGCGTAGAGGGTCTTCACCCATCGGGAGGAGACGACGTACCCCTTCTGGCCGTCCTTGAGCGGCTCGTTGGCCAGCGCAATCACCTTGCTGATCTGGTCGTCGATGGTGTCCGCCGCCATGACGTCCACGGTGGTGCTAACACCGCCCTCTGGATCAGGGTCGGTGATTTCAGAAGCCGACCGTTTCTCGCCTGGGGAAGGAGAGCGCGCATTCGCAGGTCTTGGCGAGGAGGAGCCGTCGCACTGGTCCATGGGCATCATGTCGGACAATTCGCTGGCCAGGGACAGACCAGCGGTCGCAGTGGCGGGGGTTGGCGAGCGAGCAGCACCGGACGGGGATCGGGTCCCGGGGACGAGGGATTGGAGGTGCGCAGGCACGTATCGGGGAGGAGAGGCCGATGAGCTGTTGCGCCAGGAGCTGGAAGCGGAGGAGGAACTGCTTGGTGGCAATGGAGGCACTTGGGAAGGGTCGGAGCGGCCGTGACGTCGTGCCTCGCCTGGGCTACTGCGACCTGGCTCGGGGGAAACTTTGCGACGCTTTGTGGGAGCCGTCGTGACGATGAGCTGCGCACGTAAGTGGCAGCTCTGGGACCTTCTTTTTGGAAAGAGAAAAGAAGAAGAAAGAGAGTGAAAGGAGGACCGGGAGACTGTCGTGTTCCCCGCAGCCTTCTTTTTCTTTCTTTCTTTTGACTTTTCTTCTTCTTTCGACTTGAAGAAGGGCCGAAAAGAGAAGAGGCGCCTTGCAGCGAATTAAAAATTGTGCTGGCAGAAAATCAGAGCCGGTTCAATCAGAGAATTTTGGGGCTGTTCTCCGCTCCGGAGGCACAGAGCAAAGCCCTACTACGAGAGAAGGCGGTCTGACAGTCCTCACTTACCCAAGGCGAGTCCGAGAGAAGAGCAGGTGGACAGAAGGAAGAGATGTGAGGCAGACTAGCTGCAAGAAGAGAGGTGACCGAGAGAAGGTCGAGACGAAGAAAAGAGAGAGGCGAGTCAAACCGAACGTGAGGTAGCCAACGGTTCAATGGAAAGGGAAAGGTTGAGGATTGAGACAGATGGGTAAGTCGAGGGGTATTTGTACTCTCCTCGAGAGCATCGAGCTAAGAGAGGCATCAGCACAAAGTCGCGTCCAATTCCAGAAGAGGAAATGCTACGACAGGCAGAAATCGTCACGATACACGGTTGGGTCGATGCCTGGTCCTTTTTAGGAAATGGTAGACTCGTGGAAGCAAACATTCGCGCTGTGTCCCAATTAGGCAATTATTGTTGATACCCTACAGGATAACATCGTCACGTCGTGCACCAACATACAGGTTGCTTCCCTATGATAACATTACATCCTCTGGTAGTCTGGAGCATCTGCCTGAATATGGTCGAATGTTCGTCTCGAGGTTTTTACTTGAGATTTTTGCTTGATAAGCCAAGTCCCACCCATTGAATATGACCTTATAGCGTCGGGATTAAGGAGCAAAACCTTCAGGTCCACAGATGGGGAAAGAGCCACAGATGTATGATGGGAATGGAAGGAAGACAGCGCCGGCAAAAAACGTAAGTCAATTTTCATTGAAAAGTACTACTCCTCTGGTGCTACTCGGGCAGGGCATGACATTACACTCACAGATGGTGGTATTAACGTTTTGATATTTTTATTAAGGACTAAGTATGGATGTCGGCATAGTAGAAATAAGGCCTCTCTCTAAGACTGAACTGTTCCCACAGAAGAAGACTGCCATACGGTCCAATTGCCAGCCCAGTGCAACTTCCTTGCAATGAAGAACTTGTCAGAACCCATAGCGACGCAGATTCTGGCGGAGCAAGTTCCGGCTGATGTCGCGGAGAATGTAGTCTATGTCTGCACGGAGTGGCGCACCATGCTGGCGATCCCACTGTCCCCAGTAAACGGCGAGGTCCAGATTTCCCTGACTCATGTAAACCAGGTTTGCACAATGTTCACAGAGCATCAGGCCACAGCCACGTTGAGGTGGTTGAGAAGACCGTGACTGCGAGTCGAGAAGCATGGGAAATTGAAGGACGTCACAACATCTGGTGGCAGGCGACTGACAGAGACTGCACCAGACGTGTAACGGCGGGGGCACTGGACGCCCGAAGCCTGGGTCGTAGGGATCGTGTAAAGCAGCATATGCTCGATTGAGCTCCTGGTGTGCGTCAAAGACGTTGCAAGCCACGTTCAGGCTCCGGGTCTCGGCATGGCTGCACTGCATGATGCGGCCCCTGGTCACGACGCAGACCCTACACATGTGACTAGGTGCTCTCCCCTCGCTAATGTGACCGTCGGCGATCTCAGCCAGTTGTCCAGTCTGGGAGTCGAGTACCTGAGGGTATCTTTCACCAAGACCGACGATACCATATGCGTGATTGTTGCACCAATCACAGAGATGGCGCTGGGTTTCGTCGACAATGATAAGCGGATGAGGGTAGAACGTGCGGATGCGACGAAGGGCGCCGTGAAGGTTCGGGGGTAAGAAGTCGAAGCTGGGAAGAATCGTCGCTGGCAGTGAAGTAGGATTCTGCTCAGGTTGATAGCTGACCACTTGAGTCCCTCCCTCCCGTACGTTTTCCTCCACAGAGGAAGTTCTTGTCAAATGAACATTCTCATCCGGAATGTTCTCCAGCTCGGCATCCTCCGGCACGCCAGTATCGTCCATCTGAGTGCTCTCGCCTGAAGTTCCCATCTCGAAATCCTTCACCGGCATGTGTTGCATCCAGGTGCCATCGGCCTGTAAGGGACTACTTGCCGTGCCGTCTTCGAGAACACTCATCGCTGTCGACGCTGGGCGTTCAAACTGGCTTGAGGAAACCGTGGAAGATGAATGAAGATGAAGGCTGCTGTGATACTCTTCATCGGAGTGCTCATCATTCATGTCCACATCGCTGCACTCAGAAGACCGATTACCAGTTGGAGTGTGTCTCGCCGGACCCGCAATGCACCGGAAACCGTGTTGCTGACACTCAAAGCAACTCTGGCGGTGATCGTACTCTGCGGAGACATAGGAGCATACAATATCCTTGTGTTTCCTACAATATTCGCACGGTCTCTTCCACTTGGGTGATGAACTTTGCTTACAGTCAAGTTCGTCGACTCGGCAGGCTTCGCACGGGTATTGTTCAGGCTCATAGACAAGCGAGCAGACAAGGTCAAAGGCCTGGCAGTTGAGACAGGGTTCTGTGGCTTCGTCGTCTCGTTCTACTGTATTACCCTTCTCTTGGTGAGAGGATGGTGATGGCGTCGTGTACTTTCGGGGACGGAGGTGGTACGCTTCATTTGGATCTCGCTCGGTTGCTGGTTTCCAATTCGATTCAAGACTGCTCGCACGAACTTCATCTGAGCTTCCTGAGATCTGCTGAGAACTGGAGGATTCTGTTGTGCCTTCGTCGTTAGTCTCTTGCGACTCAGGTGTCTGGACCTGCATGAGTGGCTGTGTCTGGGCATGGAAGACACCGGCGTCCTCTGATTGACGGCCATGATCGGCTTCACGGTGTCGAGAGGGTATGTAATCTCCATCTTCCTCATCAGTGTCGATCCAGGACAAGGCAAATAATGACCGATTCTGGCGTCTGTCTCCCAAGAAATATCTACCATCACAGTTTGTTTCCACTTCTTTCTTGTTGGTGGGACCTTTCTCGGGGCTCGAAACTTCATCCTCTGAGTACGACATGATGTCGATCGATGAGTGCGTAACGTAAAGTTGTAAGAACGTGAGGTGAAGCTCAGAGTTAAACAAATGTAACGAGAGTGTTGAGGTAAGGAATATTAGAAGGTGAAGTGATGTGGTTAAGCGAAAGGTTTGTGGGACATAAGAGTGTTGCTTTCCTAGAAACCTTTTAACATTAGTAGGAGAATGCAAACAATAGAGGTAGCCCGTTCAAGAAGGGTAGGGTGGTGACGCGTGGGTTTGTTGACACAATATCAAGCAAACAATCTGTGCTTGTCTATTGACATGAGTAGAAGGTGCGGATATCCAAGATTAGGCAAATATTCAGTAATATAGACAAGCGATAAGGTGTCAGGCGAAAGACTGTACATACAGTCATGGGTCACGATATTAAGCAAACATTAACGGGTTCCATTCTGTCAGCCTGTCGATACAATATTTAGTAAAAAGTTGGAATGAGGTCGCTCTCTATAGATCTTCGAACGCAATGCTATCCTGGTACGCTGCCACAGATCTAAGGATAAACATATTGATGAATGGTTCTATCTTAATATTTCAGTCTTCTGCCCGTGGACCATCTCGACTGCCTTAAGGTCCCGTAAACACAGGGCCACGATCTGTTACTGATTGCAAGAACTTCAGATATCGTGTGGCAGTGATTATGTTACTTTGTCTTAGAAGTTACTGATAAAAAAAATCGGATATATCCATGTTTTGTGATGTTCTCTGCGCATAGAGAAAATTTGCTGCAGCGAGAATAGAGGTACCCAGGCAGATCAAGAGACTACATTTGATTACCAAGCCCCTCGGGTTGAAAGCCCATTCAAACAAAACGATCTAGGTAGTAATATAATCTAGAAGTGAGATATATCTCGAGAAGAAGACGAAACCGCGTGCCACGTAAAAACTTCATTTAAAACAAGGTATTTCAATCTAGGATGTCAACAAAGTTGATAAGTTGACTATCCACAACAGTTTATTCACTGCCAACCAGCAGAAGATGCGCGAATTTTGCCGCTTCTTATTTGGATTTTCCGGTCTCTTGCTTCCACTCTATCACGGAAGCTGCAATCCTCCACACGAGGTATGTGAGCACCAAAAGGCAGACGAGGATGACTAAACCCCAAACTGCCCTTCCACTTCTCGTGTGAAAGGTTCGGTATGCTCTCACACAGCGAGAGACTCGGGTCCAGGATCGCCAGCGGTGAGGCTTCTGGGAAGCATCCTCAATCTCGCTCGGGGGCAGAGAATCTGCAGGCACCAAGGACTGAGGACTCTCTGTTTGCTCGTTATCAGTAAAGAATAGAAAGGTCTGGTAATCACAAGAGAGGGTTCACACTTTCTTTATCTTTGATGCCAGACTCATGCTTCGACTGATGTATTTCCTGGCAGTCTCGGAAATAACAGGAGCGTGGTGGAGTTGGAGGGCGGTAGTTTGGTTCAATCATCTTGACGGACGGGTGGTATGAAAGCCAGTGTCAGATGAGTGCGGGATCGGAGTGATAGATTTGACTTTGTTTGAAGATGAGATGAGAGTGGGATGAACTGAGACCAAGAAAGAGTGAGAAGAGAGAGAGAAAGACTCGAAAGTGAGCGAGCAGTCGATGGATATATACCGCTCAGTTGAGTGCACTGTGACCGCGACCGAATTCAGATACTGACGATGGCCCACTGTTTTGATATACTACTTTTCCTATTTGGGTAAGGGCTGTAGGCCTACAGAAGATTTTATGATTAGTGTTTGTATGGCATGTGATACTGCCGACTCACCGCAGTCCATAGCCTAGATAGAATCTCTCCCCCATAGCAATCTCACTCCTCATCCCTCTCACACATCAATACTGCTGCCCCTACAGTAGCCGTATCCCATCAATTAGCATCCAAACGTACTACCTCTTTGGGCAGTCCCGCCCACACGAAATACCCGAGATGCAGCTCTGTACTCATGGTCCAGATATACTTCGACAGGCCGTCCGTGGATCCAGCATTCCTTCCGCGGTTACAGCCCGCCTACTAGAGGTATCTTACTCATCCAGGTAATATCAGCCCTAAAATGTTATCTGCTCATCCTTTACTGATGGAAATTCTCCCCTAGACCCAATAAGCTGAGCAGTGAAAATCCTGACTCACAAATGTCGTCTGTGGCCTGCCAAGCCATGCATGATGAGAAGATCTTGCAGCATCAGTCCGGTTGGTTGAACCATCGAAGTATGGCCTTGCTGAAGCCTACCCAAGCTGGAGCCGGAAGGCATGTATGTATGTAGAACGCCAGTGTACCCTCCGGAGAATAATGTACATCTTCACCCATCCATCCACATAATAGCCATGGTCACTCTCAAGTTGCCTGACTTCCGGTTCTCATGGTGCTTCCCTTGTCAAAGCTCGCGAGGGGAGGTCTCCGGAGTAGTATCTAATCACATATCCATCATTCCTGGATTGACACATAGATTAACTCCCGTCCGCACTTGTCAACCTTGAAAGGTCTGCGCAATAAAAGCCGACATATCAGATTGTCAGCGACCCCGTCCGGCTACGTTCCTGCTCATCCAAGCTTGCTGCCCATGTTCCAGTCCGACCAATTTTCATCAGGGCTGTTCCTCACGTGGAAGATGGCCAAGCTACCTAACTGAGCTAATTTGACGGGTTCAGAAAGACTGAGCGGGGTGTCTACAATCATGGAACCTGAGCCAATCTGGTTCAATTAGATGCAAGACTGTCAACTATGTTCCAGTCACCGGGTAAATGTTTCTCTTGAGAGCGGGCAATTATTTAGGGACCACCTTCATCTCCTCGACCTGAAAATTATCGCAACTTGTATGCACGGATCCCACTCTGGAATGAACTTACTGAAAGTATATACGTATCTACCAGGTAGGAGCATCGCAGACATTACATGATAAATTGATAATGGATGTTCCGTTCGCAAGTTTAGACAGACATGGGAATTCTACTCAATCACTTTAGAGAATCGTGTGTACTACCTCGTCAGCAACTATCGAGACCTTCAAGCAGCTCTTCCACGGCATGATTTAACTAGCAGTGATCTTACTTGCATATTGATTCATACCTACCGAGTTATATTACGGTACGTGTAGGTCGCGCGAACGATGACGTCACTTGAAGCTTGGAGTTCCCAGAAATTCTGCCCACCCAAGGATTACTAGTAGCCTTGAGCCTTACAGCGGTGAGGAAGCGGCTAGGTTTCATGGCGCCAAGATGATCTTATCGATAGCCGACACGCACGTGATCATGCTGTCTTATAGCTCGTCTCAACTCACCACCACCGCATCACATCCATGTTGATCAGAGTGGAGCTGGTCTCCTACTATTCCATCGACAAAAAGCATTCCTGAGGCTCTGTGAAGCTCAAGCATACATTTCCGAGCAAAATTATTGTTATGCAGGTAATGACAACACTGACACAGACTGGACCTCAACCCTTGTCATCCTAGCATCAAAGGAGCCCACAGTATCCCCTGATAATGAGCTAGGTAGTCTGCACTCTTAGTCCCACCTCTAAGAACAGGCACACATTGCGGGGTCTATATATGCCGAAGAAATAGTGCGTTTCTTAAGCTGCCGTACTTCTCCGGAAAATTCTGAAAGCGGCCCCTAAAGCGTGAGGTTTCGACTGATCCTGGGAGCTGCCTCCTCATACATACTTTTCGTCGCGAGTCCCATCACCCATCTTGCGCCCTCGGAACACAAGATAGTGTCTCAGCTAGAGACCTTCAGGTCTGCGCGTCCTGACTCCAGTATTGGATTCGTCTCCCCGTCTATACAATTTGTGTGAAGATTAGCGTACTACTTTTGACGGCCTGTGTCGTCACCGTTTCGCAGTCCGTAATGGATTCCTCACGCTCCTCAGTGGCATCGGATGAAACTGGCGGCAGTCAGGATAATCTGCAATCTGACAACATGCCCCAGCTGAAAACACTCATCTCATACCTGGTGGCCGCTAAACGATCGCTTTCCTCTATCAATCATGTGTGGCGGGCCAACGAAATTGTTACTGCAGCTCGCGTTGCCCTCGAGGAAAGCGTGACTATTTCATCCAGAACTGGTTTTCTGCGTCGAGGTCTGAATAGTCAGCTTCGGCTTCTTTATAATGTTCGGACAGAAGTAGAGCACATCTCGCATCGGGGACGGCAGGACTTTGCCGATGCTCTCAAGAGCCTCGATGCCGCTGATGCTCAACTGAAATCCACACTCGGAACGTTAAAAAGCACCATTGTCCACGCATCATTCCGTGCCGAGGAGCAAGAGCCCAAATCGCTGCGTGATTTTGTTGATGAGCGTGGTGTAGAGAAGCTCCACACCGCTATGAAGCAGTCAATTGATCGGACCAACGGGGCCCGAGTTGAGCTTGACACCTCAAATAAGCGATTTGATGACGAGCTTCAGTCGATCAAACAGGCTCTGCGGAACTATCGGTCAGCTACTCGGTTAGCCTCGTCCCGAGCATCAGCTTCATCATCTACCTCATCGAATTCTGACTCGGGTCTTCTCGCTCTCTCAAACATGCCCAGCCTGCTTCAATCGCTCGAAGCCCACGCACAGGAGATGGCGGTTCTGCTCGAGGCTCTCGTTCGACATTTCGACCTCTGTGTTACTGCGGTGAAACACACGGAGGGTGGCGGGGCAGCAGCTCGATCCATTACCCAAGACGTGCCTGCTCAAGTGCAAGGCACCAGCGATGCCATGCCGCACATTGGTGAGGAGATTCACGCGAACTTAAATGCTCCTTTAGATCCTATGACAGACGCAGAGTATGTGGAAATGGTGAGTGTCCTCATGAAGGATGCTCTTGAAGCTGAGGATGTCGTCGCGGAGATCCAAGATCGCATTCTGGAGATGGAATCAATTCATGAGCGAATCAGCGCCCAACGCGGCGCGCTCGAAGCTGTCTCCAACGCCACTCTGGAAATTCATCAACATCTCTCTACCTTGGCCATAACGCGTCTCCCGCAGTACATATCGCAAGCACACAACTTCACCAATGTGTGGAACGAAGAGCACGATCGGATCAAATCTGGTCTGACAGAACTTTCGAACCTTCATTCACTATATGAAGGATTCCTCGACGCATATGACAGTCTGATACTCGAAGTACATCGCCGCAGCCAAATTCGCTCGCGGGTGGAGAAGGTGCTGCGTGACACGAGAAATAAACTGAATCACCTGTATGAAGAAGATGTTGCGGCTCGAGAAGCGTTTCGTGTTGAGCAAGGAGACTTCCTTCCTTCCGACATCTGGCCTGGCATCACTCACGCACCCATGCAGGTTCAATTCTTGCGCCTCGCAGGTGGACAGCTTGAGCGTGTCCTTGAAAACGCCCAGGATGGAGAGCCAAGCGACAGTACTCCCAGTGCGGCCAAAAGTATCAATACTGGCTTTGGCGAGGGAGAAATTATACCAAGCTTACCCAAAGACGTTGTGGAACAAGCTTACCTGAACCTCAAGGAGCGCACCAAGGCCTTCGAATAGTGCGCTGTCGTTCAGATTTGCTCGAATTCTTCAAAGACGCAACGACCAAGACATGTTTCTAATGAGAATATTATTCAGCGTTACGAATTGAGCGTGTTCCAAGGGACAAAGTGGTCCTCGTGGATGTAGCGGCCATGATCTGTGTTACTTTTGCTTTGCTGACAGCTTGACACCCTTATGATGAAACAAAACCAATTGGTCTGATGTGCCATCCAGATCACCCAAGGTGCCTGTGCTACTTTCTGTTTGTTGATGCATACTCTCTCCAGACGCGAGGGAGATGTAAGCACAGCGTTGGAGGGCCAGCACTAGTGCCTGGGATGTGAGGACCGTACAGGTGATTTCCAAAGAGAGCTCTGAAGGGTTTATACAGAAAGCATATGATCAACTTTCACAGTCAATATTGCCAGTACAGAGGGGAATGTGTATGGTAGACCCAGATGCGGTACAACAGAATCCTATTTTTGTGATGAACCAGGTATCTTTATCCAAATGCTCCAAGTATATGCTTTTTTGTCATCAAATCATGGCACAAAATTCCGTTGTTCGGGAGACAAGAAAAAATAAAAAACAAGGGGCGCAAGCCCCATGAAGGGGCCGAACATGAAGTAGGAAACACAGTGAAGCTTGTTAAGAAACACGCATTGTCGCGTCTATTTCTTCTTGCGAGAAGACGTGGACACCAAGCGTTTCTTGAGGTGTTTAGGCATCTTGTGGGCACGCTGCTCGCGCTTCTCCTCCTTGACCTTAGCCTTATGCTCACGCTTGGACTCCTTGTCCTCGAAACGCTTGCCGCGCGGTGCCTTCTTCGCAAAGGGATCACGCTCGGCACCGTCTCCCTCTTCGCCTTCAGAGTCAGAACCTGAGACAGAAACTCCACCAGATGTGTCAGAGTTCTCATCGTCGTCCTCGGCCTCCGTTGGCTTGGACTTGCCCGTAGCGAGCAGGTCTCCATAGACGAGATCGTCACCTGCTCCATCTCGAATCTTCTCGGCATCACGCTCCACGTCGTAGACCTGCTCAAGGGTCTGCGGGATGTATTGCTGTCGGAAGACGGCAGTGTCAACCTCCTCATTCTCCTGATCACCACCCTCAGCGCGAGCGACGTATAGCTTTTCGATCTCCTCAAATATTGGCTCGGTGCCTTGGCTCATGTCCGTGGTCCCTTCAGGGGAAAGAATGAACTGGAAGGTTGTGCGTTCGGGCAGAGTGTCGACGCCCTTTCGGCGGAAGAAGTCGCCCACGTTTTTGACATCCATGCGGAGAAATTCCAAGCTGCGAGGGTGATCATGTTCCACACTTTGACTAACATCAATGATGTAAAGTTTTTGCTTGTGGTAGAGAATGTTATACTCGCTAAGATCGGCGTGGACCAGGCGACAGGTTTGGTACATCACGCGCATATAGCTCAGCAATTCCAGATATAATGATCGCCAGCGAGTCTCAGGCTCTGCGATATCAAACTCGACATCCTTGAGGCGAGGTGCAGGAAGACCCTTGGAGCTACCAAGGAAGCCCATTACCAAGACATGAAGTCGCAGATAGATTGGCTCCGGGCAGGGGATACCGGCAGAGTAAATTCTCCGCAAGTTGCGCATTTCCTTCTCGGCCCAAAGCTTGACCATTGCGCGATTGTTGCTCTTGTTGTATCCTTGGCGGAACCGGAATTCGCCAGTAACGTACTTATCGCGGTCCTTAAAGACCAAGATGCTGGTCTTGTAAACCTTGATGGCACGGTGTTCCGGGGCAGCATCCAGGTCATTTTCGGACAATGACATAGCATGGTAGACATTGGCCTCCTTTCCGGTAGACAAGCAGCCGTGAATTTCGGACACCAATCCGCGGTTGATCATTTGCAGAAGGATCATTCGAGTACGAGGATCCAACACCTGTTCCGATGTTGCGCGATCAGCGCGATCTCCACCACGTCCACTTCCACCGGACAGGCCGGCTTGCTGATCGTCGAGTTTGATTTTGGCAGCATGGCGAGTCAGAGATTTCACCTGATCGTCAACCGAGGCGTACGTATTGACTGTCGGCTTCTGCGTATTCGTCTTGGGATAGGTCCACCTCGGTGCGTTCGGGTCGGAAGCAAGATCATTTATCTTGCGCTGGCGGTTGTAGGCCTTTGTTAAATCGGAGGGATCAGATGACTGGAAATCCTCCTGGTCCATTTGTTCCTCCTCAAAGATATCGTCGTAATATTCATCATCATCATCCTGTTCAACATCCTCATGCTCAGTGGGTTCCTGCTTCGCCACTTCGGTGTTCGTGTCATCAGGCTGAATGTACCCTTCATTTTGGACATAGGTGTATGATGGCTGAAGCCCACCGGCGACACCTGGCGCGTCGCTAGGCGATTGCGTTGAACTCATATTTGATAGCGGTCTCTTGAAAATATCATCACGATGGAGGGGCTCAAAGCGCCCGCATTTACTTTTTTTTGTGGATAGACTTGTCACCGCCCGGCAGAACCCCGCGCCCGCGGGCGCGCGCCAATCTGCGGTCCTTCGCGTATGCGTTCTCAGGGTCATCGCGACGCAGCAAAACCCGAAGGCGTATCTCATATTCTAGGATCTACTTTCTTCAGTGAGTTTGAGGTTCGACCAACAAGCGTTGAAACTAGATCCCAGGACCTGCAACTACTGCTGCGTAATGCGCTGTTTGGTTTGATCATCGCGCCACGCGTCGTTCTCCAAGATGTATGTGAAGCAGATCATCATCCAAGGCTTTAAGAGGTATGCGAAAATACACCGACCATTCTACACTTTCAACGCCACTCACATCATTTTTTTTGCTTCATATAGCTACAAGGATCAGACAGTCATCGAACCTTTCTCCCCTAAGCACAATGTGATCGTTGGTCGTAATGGATCCGGCAAAAGTAACTTCTTTGCGGCCATTCGTTTCGTTCTCAGTGATGCCTACACTCACCTTGGCAGGGAAGAGCGCCAAGCTCTCTTGCACGTACGTTTACCCTGAATACCGTGATTTGAAGGCTGCTAATTTGAAGCAGGAAGGCTCGGGCTCGGCCGTGATGTCCGCGTACGTTGAAATCATCTTCGACAACTCAGACGAACGATTCCCAACAGGCAAGCCGGAACTCGTGCTGCGCCGCACTATTGGAATTAAAAAGGACGAGTACACACTTGATCGCAAGAATGCGACCAAGAACGACGTCATGAACCTCCTTGAGTCCGCCGGTTTCTCTCGTTCCAATCCTTACTATATTGTGCCGCAGGGTCGCGTCACGGCATTGACAAATATGAAAGATTCGGAGCGTCTCGTTCTGTTGAAGGAAGTTGCCGGTACTCAAGTCTACGAAGCTCGACGTGCCGAGTCCCTGAAGATCATGCAAGAAACCAACAGCAAGCGCGCGAAGATCGACGAACTGCTTGATTACATCAACGAACGATTGGCTGAGCTTGAAGAAGAGAAAGATGAGCTGAGGAACTATCAGGAGAAGGATAAAGAACGCCGATGTCTCGAATACACGATCTACTCCCGTGAACAGCATGAGATCGCCAATGTCCTCGAGAACCTTGAAGAGCAAAGACAGAACGGAGTTGAGGATGCGGACAATAATCGGGACCAGTTCATTGAGGAGAGAAAAGGCAATTGCGCAAATCGACGCTGAGATTGCGGAGTTCCGTCAACAAATTGAGTTCTTGAAGGTTGACAAAGCACAACTAGAAGACGAGCGACGCGAAGCGTCAAAGTCATTAGCGCAAATTGAGCTACGTGCAAAGGCATTGTCTGACAATCAAGCCGCTGCTATGGCCCTGAAGTCTCGCCACGACAACGATCTTGAAGCCGTACAAAGCGCGATTCAAGAGCGTGAGGAAGAGCTTCAAACCCTTCTCCCTCGATTCAATGCCTCCAAGGACGAGGAAGATGCAGTGAAGGCTCGGCTCACGGAATGCGAGACATCCCGTCAACGCCTGTACGCCAAGCAAGGGCGTAATTCACGATTCAAAAACAAGTCAGAGCGGGATAAGTGGCTGCAAATGGAGATCCGGGAAACACATCGATCCATCGCAAATGTGCAAGGTGTCGTGGCGCAGACACAAGAAGATATCAAAGACCTTGAGGGAGAGATTGCCCTGCTTGAACCCGAGACCGAGCGTCTACGTAAGCAAATTGAAGGTCGCGGCGATACCATGCACTCTGTGGACCAGCAGATTCAAGATGCCAAAGACGAGCGGGATCGACTGATGGATCAACGAAAGTAAGTTTGACAAAGAGATCGAGCCCCCATCGGAACTAGCTTGCTGACTTTGTTTGAAGGGAATTGTGGAGAGAAGAGGCAAAGCTTGACTCGGTCCTGTCAAGTGCCTCGCAGGAGATGGAACGTTCTGAGCGAATGCTCTCTCATATGATGGACAATAACACAAGCCGCGGTCTTGCGGCAGTCCGTCGCATCAAACGTCAGCACAATCTCGAGGGCGTCTATGGTACTTTGGCGGAACTGTTAGATGTTAGCGACAGATATCGAACCGCAGTCGAGGTAACAGCGGGCCAAAGCTTGTTCCACTACGTCGTCGATAATGATGAAACCGCGACCAAGGTGCTTGAGATCTTGCAGAAAGAGAAAGCTGGCCGCGTGACATTCATGCCTCTAAACCGTCTCCGCTCGAAGCCTCTTAACATGCCTCGTGCAAGTGACACTATTCCAATGATTGAGAAGATACAGTTCGACCCGGCCTATGAGCGAGCATTCCAGCACGTGTTTGGGAAGACAATCATCTGTCCCAATCTGCAGGTGGCTGCACAGTATGCCCGAAGCCATGGGGTCAACGCGATCACTCCCGAGGGAGATCGTTCTGATAAGCGCGGAGCATTGACTGGAGGTTATCATGATTCGCGCCAATCACGGTTGGATGCTGTCAAGAACGTTGGGAAATGGAGAGATGAATACGAATTAAAGCGCAACCGCGGCGGAGAGATTCGCAAAGAACTTGAGAAGCTTGACCAGCTTATCACCAAAGCTGTCGGCGAGTTGCAGAAGCTGGAGCAACAAAAGCATCAAGTGCAAAACAGCAGTGGACCCATGCGACAAGAGCTCCGTAACAAGCGTGATCTTCTGCAGAAGAAGACCGACACGCTCGACGCCAAGCGCCGCGCGCTGCGCAATGTCGAGTCTAACCTGGCGGCTCTCAATGACCAGGTGAATGCCTTCCAGGGTGAAATGTCGTCTTCCTTCCAAAAGGCTTTGACAAACGAAGAGGAGGCTCTGCTGGAGAAATTGAGTGGTACAGTGCAAGAGCTTCGAAAGCAATACCAAGAGCTGTCTCATCGGCGGAGTGAACTTGAGGCACGTAAATCTGTGCTCGAGGTTGAGCTTCGAGAGAACCTGAACCCTCGTCTCGATCAGCTCCAAAATCAAGATGTGGATATGGCGGAAGAAGAGGTCCAGGGCAATCTTAAGGAGACCCAGCGGGAGCAAAAGCGTCTGAGTAAAGCCTTGGAGAAGCTCAATGGGCGCCTCCAACAAGTTGATGCCTCTATCGAGGAGGCCACTGCCAAGGTTGGCGAGTCGCAGCAGCGCAGTGCTGACTTGCGACGTGAGATGGAAGACTTGGCCCGATCCATCGAGAAGCACCGGAGACGTATGGAGAAAAGCATGCAAAAGAAGGCAGCTCTAACCAAGCAGGCCGCGGAATGTGCTGCAAACATTCGCGACCTTGGTGTTCTGCCTGACGAAGCTTTCACGAAATACAAAAACACCGATTCAAATGCGGTTGTGAAAAAGCTGCACAAAACCAACGAGGCCCTGAAGAAGTATTCCCACGTCAACAAGAAGGCATTCGAGCAGTACAATAGTTTTACCAAGCAGCGCGAAACCCTGACAACCCGTCGCGAAGAACTGGATGCCTCGCAAAAATCCATCGACGACCTGATCTCGGTCCTGGATCAGCGCAAGGACGAGGCGATTGAAAGAACCTTTAAGCAGGTTTCCCGGGAGTTTGCCACCGTCTTCGAGAAGCTGGTACCTGCCGGCCGTGGACGATTGGTCATTCAGCGCAAGACTGATCGAACGGCCCGTGCCGAAGATGAGCTCGACTCCGAAGACGAGGAAGCCCGACAAAGCGTGGAGAATTACGTTGGCGTGGGCATCAGTGTCAGTTTCAACAGTAAGCACGATGACCAACAGCGAATTCAGCAGTTGAGTGGTGGTCAAAAGAGTAAGTCTTCCTTTGCACCATGTAGCACATTTTAACAACTGAGCCAGTGTCTGACAAGTGTCTAGGTTTGTGTGCTCTTGCCCTCGTCTTTGCAATTCAAGCTTGCGACCCGGCGCCTTTCTACCTCTTCGACGAGATCGACGCCAACTTGGATGCACAGTATCGGACGGCTGTTGCTCAGATGCTGCAGTCCATCTCGGATTCCACCAACGGCCAATTCATCTGCACTACTTTCCGCCCGGAGATGCTGCACGTGGCTGAGAAGTGCTACGGCGTTAGCTTCAGTCAAAAGGCCAGTACGATCGATGTGGTCTCGAGGGAGGAGGCCCTCAAGTTCGTCGAGGGACAGAAGGCCTAATCCAATGCACGGCTACGCTAGCTTGTATGATGTATATTTGTTTGACCTACCATCCTACTTTCCCGACGCGGCGGCGGAATGGCGTTATTGATACCGGAAGTGTTTAGTCTCTTGTCATTTCTGTTACCGACCATAATATCTCCTCAGTCTTGCTCATGATAGATGTTTCTTAATTTGTATGTGCACGTTGTATATCTAGACAAGCAACCCACGCTGTCCTCATATTGGTCGCTTATCACCTGGCTGTCTCTCCAGACCACTCGACCAAGATTTCTTCTGGAACATCACGCACCAGGATATGTACATGTTCCAATGCGCGCACGCTTTGCAAGCCCACCCAATTCTTGAACCACAGCACCTGAGATTGCGGGTCGGGGAACCTCTTCTCCGCATCCTCGGCCAATCGTTTGACAAATTTGTCCTGGACGAACTTGTCGATCAAGGCGCGCGATTCATCGGTCAGATGGCCTTCATCCGACTCCACCGGAATGCGCGTTCGCAGCCACACCACCAAGTGGGAGATACCAGGCTCGAATCCGTACGGCCAGTCATTGCGCAAGATCGTGTAGTCCGCGGGGTCCGCGAAGGGGCGCGGATCCTTGTATGAGAGAGGCCCACTTGAAGTGGCTTTCGCCACGGATGTGCATGTGGAGGATGACTCTCCCGTTGCAGGCCCCCCGTTGGCCGGGTGCGTGCTTCCGTTGGGACTGTCCACCTTTGCAGGGTCGGTCGAGTCGGAGGAAGTCCAGCGAAGTCGCTCTTGACAAATGTAGTTCATCATAGAGCCGTACTTGGCCTTGGTTTCGGCCGACCACGCTAAATATCGGCGCAAGTCGGAAGGCTTGCGCTTGAGTGCACCAAGATCATTCCGCGCTGATCAATTCAGACCTTGCATTAGTTTGGGGAGCAGTCGAGGTAGGTAAACAACTTTCACGCTAGCAAACCTGGCTCTGATGTAGAACATATCGTAAATTAATCTTCTAGGCAGCAATCCTGGCCAGATCATTTTATGGAAAGAGACCGTTCAATTGAACGAGTGTTGTACAAGCAATGAATGTATGGAGAAGAAAATATATTGAAGAATGGGACTGAAGGTCGGGTCTTCCTGTACTTACCGATAATGTCACGAAGGTCATCCCAGCTGTGCGGGATATACTCCTCGTCAGTCATCGCCAGCAGCTGCAGATCTAGCGGGGTCAGATTGAAGGCCGGTGGTTGCGACATCGCCGCGACAGTAAGAGGAGCGAGAAGTAAATAAACAAGGTTGGCCTTTTCCGCTGGCTAATTGCCAAAGATGGAGACGATGAGGAAGACGGACTTGTGCAGTGACTAGCCTCAAGTTCAGCTTTATCAAGTGTGATTGGAGACTGTTCAATTATACATGGAGCCAATGAGAGGAATTGAGCTCGCCGGAACGTGCTAGTACGCAGTTATCCAAGAAGAATGGCAGCGATGAGCTTCTCCAGAAGAAAAGACACTCCCAAAGCGGTGCGGGTACGTAGTTCGGCAACTGATTGACCAGTTGACGGCACCCACTGCGAAAGCTCCCCCGAACTCCCACGGAGAAGCTCGTGACTGTCCCCAACCGTCTTCTTCTTGACGCCGACCCGCCTCTTCCTCCCCTCCTCATCCCCCTTTCCCTCTCGTATTGCTCTCCTTCTTCACTGACAATGAGGTATGTTTCTGTTCCATTAGTTGGTCGCCGACCCAAGATGCAAATCTTGCGCATCAATTCCCCGTCAATTGGCTCACTCAATAATGTTTTTTTTCCGTTTCCAGCGCCGCCACTGTTGGCACAGCTATCGTGCCCTCGGCCCTTCTGGTCGCAGGTGTCTATGCTGTGAAGCCCGAGTATATCACCTACGCAGTCGCTGCGGCTGCCCTGATCACCAGCCTGGCGCTCTTGGCCGGTGGAAGCAGTAGTATGTCACACCACCTTTGCTTCCCGAATTCCGACGTCCTTTCCGATCGCGCGCAGGCTTACCTGCCGAGAGCTTGCAAAAAAAAGTTTAAAAGGCTAATCATGGTTGTGTGACATATAATACAGAGCCGCGCAAGGTACTGAACCCGACCGAGTTCCAGGAGTTTGTCCTCAAGGAAAAGAACGAGATCTCCCACAATGTCGCCATCTATCGCTTCGCTCTGCCCCGTCCCACCGATATTCTCGGTCTGCCTATCGGTCAGCACATTTCCCTGGCTGCCACTATCCCTGGTCAGCCCAAGGAGGTCGTCCGCTCGTACACCCCCATCTCATCCGACAATGAGGCTGGTTATTTCGATCTCCTGGTCAAGGCATACCCGCAAGGCAACATCTCTAAGCATCTTACCGAGCTGAAGATCGGTCAAACCATGAAGGTCCGGGGTCCCAAGGGTGCCATGGTGTATACTCCCAACATGTGCCGCCACATCGGTATGATCGCTGGTGGTACCGGTATCACCCCTATGCTCCAGGTCATCGAGGCCATCATTCGCAATCGTCCCCGCAATGGTGGTAACGACACCACCAAGGTCGATCTGATCTTTGCCAACGTCAACCCTGAGGATATCTTGCTCAAGGATAAACTGGATAAGCTGGCCCAGGAAGATGCGCAGTTCAACGTCTACTATGTCCTGAACAACCCTCCTGAGGGTTGGACCGGTGGTGTTGGCTTTGTCACTCCCGATATGATCAAGGTAAGCCAAATAGCCAATTTGACATGGTCTAATGATTCTCAGCTAATCTCCTCCCCAGGAGCGTCTCCCGGCTCCGGCCAACGACGTCAAGATTCTGCTCTGTGGTCCTCCCCCCATGGTCAGCGCCATGAAGAAGGCCACCGAGTCTCTCGGCTATACCAAGGCTCGTCCTGTAAGCAAGCTCGAGGACCAGGTTTTCTGCTTCTAGCTGGACATGGACATTTCTTGGTGTCTTTGTGGCGTCATTCAAGGGCGGATTCTGATAGTTTCTACATTCGCGTTCCGTTGCCACCACGAATGGAGGGGCCAAATTCGAGGAGGCAGTTGGAAAGTCCTGATTTATAAAGTGTAAAGTGGCCGACGACGAGGCAGCAAACATCATACAAGGCCACTCAAGAAAAGAAGATTAGGATTCGTTTGATTTTGTGATCTTTGATTGAGTCTTTCCCTGTTATTTTAACGACTAATGAAACACTCACACAAGGCCTGTGTCTTTCCGAGACATTTACGAACATGTTCAGTCCTGTATAAAACGGAGGTCCGCAGCGAAACGATCAATCCAATTCTCGATCCAGTTCCCAATATAGCAAAAAACCCCTTCTCGGTCTTTCTCCCAATCTCTAAAAAGTGGTGCCCCCCCCCCAATTCATCCAACTCATTCAACCCTCATACCAAAAGTCCCCATCGGGCCGTTCCCAAACCCACCCCTCCCCATCATGTTCCAACCGTTTCCCAAAATGAACATAATCAACATCACCCGCTGGCGCAGGCGCAGGCGATGCACCTCGCGATTCTCCCCCATCACTACACAAGCTGTCGTCAAACTCGCTCTGACAAACGTTAGCACCATCCTCGCTCATGTAATCAATCAGGTACAGCAGATCGTCGGAGCTGTAGGGGCCCTCATCTTCCGAGTCAGTGTATGTGTAAGTATACGTGGGTGCAGCTGCAGGTGGACTCGAGACCTCGTCGTCGCTACACGAGAAATCCGTGTTTGTGTCTTCGTATTCCTGGTCTGTATGAGTGTAGTCAAATCGACCCAGTTTCGTCTCGGGCATGCTCGTGCAGGTGGTTGAGCTGGGCATTTTGTGAGTTTGGTTCACAGGTTGGCTGGTCATCGAATGCGAAGGAGGTCCACGAGGCTGTGGAAGGAAGGGCTCTACTAGGTTAATTGAAGCCATAGCGAGGATGTAAAGGTATACCTTGGTCTTGATGAAGAGATGCTGGGAGTAAATTCCTGCGGTTATGCTTGAAAAGATGAGCAGTAGGAGGTCGGGAATGTAGGTAGTGTCACTTATGCAAATCGGGAGATTTGGAAGTTGGTGATGAGGGTTAGAAGTGAGGTATAGACGACTTCTTATATAATTGATCTCCTCCATTGTATCACCAGCAGGGGGTCTACGTGTACGTGGAACGTGGAACATAGAACAATGATATCGAGAGAGAGTCGAAAGTAGGTAAAGACTTGGGAGTCTACAAAGATACCTCCAAGGGGTGATCTTTTCACGGACAATGGATCTCTTTGCGCATCAAGAGATTTAAGTATGAACTTGTTTCTGAGCCAGGCTTGATGAAGTGCCATTCGATGGCGAGGGTATCATGCAGCTTGGGATTCAATGGAACGAGCTTGAGGTAGAAGCGACGGCTTTCAAAGACCTTCTATGGTGTTGTAGACATCTTGATTCATTCTCGTAATGGCATTGGTCCAATTAAAACATGTACATGACATTCTTTTAAAAAACTTTTTCTCATCTCCAAGGCTCATTCATCCTACCTTCCATAAAATCCTTTTCATCAAGACTTTTTCAGCAAGACTTTTTCAGCAAGACACAAGACCACAAGACTAGAACAAAACCTTTGTCACGTCCTTGTTGTCCTTTACCTTGATGTTTCTCATCATGAGAACCCAAATAATCGACAACCCCATCACAGCAGTTCCTGCAATCATCATGTTCCGCTGACTAGATGCATACGCGTTCTGAATGGCAATCCGAGTTGGGTCACCTACAGGATAGCTGAGCTGGACATCCAAGGACTCATAGATATCCTGCCACATCTCCTTGGTCTCATCTGGTAACATCTGTCTCAGCTTCTGAGGCAGCGTGTTTGTCCAGATAGCGCCGGACACACTGTTGCCAACGGCACCGCCCAAGTTACCGAAGACGCTGAGGAGAGCCAGCATGGAAGCGTAGTTCTCGTGCTTGGCGGCAGCCAGAACGGCAACTTGCTCGATGAGGATCATGGTGCCACCGCCAACGGCGAGGAAGATCTGGACCATGCACATGTACCCGACACTGTGACCAGGTGAACGGAAGTAGATCATCAATCCGCTGGCCAGGAGATACAGGGGTACCGCGGCCATCAGGAGCCACTTGAATCGGCCCGTGACTCGAATCAAGTATCCACAACCGAGAAGCCAGATGGGATCCATAAAGTCGAAGATGGCAGCAATGTAGCCGGCTTGAGTGAAGCTGGTGTCAAATACAACCTGCAGGAAGGAGGTGAAGTAGCTTGCCCAGCAGTAGTAGGAAACTTGGTACGTAATGTCGAGCAGACAGGCGCCGATGACGGTACGATCGCAAAGAAGCTCAAAGGGAATGAATGGCTTGGGTGCGCCCCAACGCTCATAAGCTGCAAAAGCGAGGAGAACGCCGAATCCGACGACCATCATGGCGATGACTTTGGGGGACTGCCATACACCTACGGTGTTGCCGGCAATGTTAAAGGAAGTGAGGAAGAGAATGAGGCCGCCAATCATCAACATGACGCCAATGACTATGTAGAACAGTGTGTCAATATTGATCCCCGAGAGAGCTCTGCACAGTCAACAGTTGACTAATAGTCGAGGGTCACTCACTGTCGAACTCGATAACGTAGAACCAGACACTCTGGGCCCAGGTCCGCGTGCTGCGGGGCTTGTAATGCAGCCGGCCCTCTCGGGCTGCCTTTCGCTTCGCCATTTGCCAAACGATGATCAACGGCATAGCCGCAACTGGTAGAATGATACAGGTAGTTCCATATGCCCATCTCCAGTTCGACTCATGGAATTGGTTTCCCAGTGGTGATCCGGCAAAGGCAGTGATCATATAAGGCGAGGAGGTAAAGGCATAGGCGAGACCTCGGTCTCGTAGCGAAGAGGTATCAGATGTGATGACGTCCACTGAGAAAATGACGCCAGTGAAGCCGACCGTGTAGAAGGCCTAAAAGATGGAGCAAAGTGAGCATCTTCCTCCCAGTGTTCAAGGGACCAAGGGGCGGAATAGCGAGGCTTACCTGAGCGGCACAGTAGGTTGCAATATTCTCACAGGCAGCCATCATGATCAGGCCCATGATGGCAATCACGACCATGATACACATTCCAAGTGTTCGATCCCATCGATTCAGGACTTTGGCAATGGGCATCACGCATGCTGAGCATTGAGATTAGCGACTGTCCACAGTTGAAGCTATAGTCTCACACGAATACGTACCCGCACCCATGACGCTGGTCACAACGCCAATCACAGTGAGCAGTGAATGCTCGGACCATTCACTGGTGATATAGGGAGACAAATTCGCAGTGAGGCTGCTGTTGAGGCCATTGACAAAGTATAAGAGCCACATACTAGGTTCGGCTGTTGTTAGAAAAGTCGGTTCGGCAATGACTGCGCCTGGAGCCACTCACGAGGCATAAGCCATGATCAACGAAGATCTGGACCACGCCGATGTGACGGCTTCTGCGACCCGTACACCATCTTGTTGGTCCTGATCCCGAACTACATTATGGGGAGTGTCTGACTCTCGAGACAGAGATTCTTCGTCGACTCTAACAGCTCTGTCCTTGTCCATGGTCGGGTCCATGATTCTGTTTTCTCGACTGTCCAAAAGAGCATCAAAAGCCGAAACGATGGAGTGAAGATCAAAAGAGGAAGAAAGAGCAGGTAGAGGGATTGAAGTACCTTTAAACCACAATGGACCCCATGCACAGAGAAGCAACAGGTCTCCACTTTCGATCTGATAAAAATTTACCCTCTGCAGTTGGTGTAGCAATCCGAGTCGAGGACCAGTCAGAGGCCAGCTCGCCAGCAGTATTGGATCCGGTCTCCAATGGAAACAACGCTTCGGATAATACCTTGGCAGGTCCAAGTTGGGTAATCAGCATGAGCCGATGATCGGATGCTAGGCGATGTCTCCATCGACATACAGAGACAGCCTGCCTTTCTCGGCTCAGCTGATCGAATTGGAAGCACGCCCGTTCTCCACAGAGGCAAGCTCCAGTTCATGTCAGTAGCTTCTCGCATAGAGGTATCGCACGGTGCGCTGTTGAAGATCCGCTGTGGGCACAACTTCCAGGCTCGAACTTTGAGTCTTGGGTGTCGGAGATCATACGTTGAATCACACACCACGACAATGTGTCATCGTTTGGCCCCAGTGAGACTGGGCTCAGAATGCTCTACGGAAAGTCAAAACCCACAGTGGTCTGCCTTTCCCCCGATGGTTTCCGAGTCATCTCGGCCCAGGTGAGCTAGCGAAGAGGATAGAATGGGTCGAGCTCATTCTTTCGCTCTCAGAATTGTGGATCAAACGTGGAAATAGCTGGTCTCCGCGCCCTTGGCAACGTAAGAGAATGGAGACAAAAGGCCGCGCATCGCTTGGGAACACAGGCCCAACTCAGATAACCCGAAAACTTAGCGGCCGCTGGAGCTTGTGTTGTGACAGTCATGCTCCAGTCAGTCCGAGGCAGGACTCGAGGATCCTGGGCCGAGTCCTCGAGCAGATCATGCAGCCATCACCAATGTGGGTTGCTCAGATATGGTCAGGTCCTTCGAAGGTTGGGAGGATTTCACCGGCGCTCTCAAGGGCTAAACAATAGCCCCCTCCTCGTACTGAAGTTCGAATTATGCGACGGCATGAGATTTTGCCACTCACGAGCCCATCAGCTGAGAAGGTCGAGAAGATGCGGGATTGAATCTCTCTCTGTCTACTAAACATCACGGAACTATCTAAGACCTGATGAAGACGCGCCTCGAGAGACAACAGCAACCGGGTGAGGTTTCCCATGTGGGCGCGGGAATTTTTATCAATCAGAAGCCCTCTCGGCTCCACTCTGTGGACCACGGAAAGGAGATTGATAAGACAAGCCGTCCTGCCGAGACCGGAAGAAAACCGAAGCTGCGAAAGATTGATTAGATCAATCTGTTAAGCGAGCTGGAGGACCTCAAATCGGGACCATTACGGTGAGGGATGGACACCGTCGGAAATGCATAAATGCACAACCAGAACGAGGAATCTGACTTGCAGAGTCACAGCAGAAGGATCATGCTCGAACGTAGCTCTTACCGAAGAGTTATTGCGTTGTACTCGGCGTCGCGGCGAACCATCCATTTTATCGTTCTCTAGCTTTTCTGCGAACGCCGGCCGACTAGATCAACTAGAGCGAGTGTATACTATTACGCAAGAACGCGGCCATGAAATCATCTCCGGTGTCGAACTGTTTCGCTCCACAGTACCACGTCTATGCACATGTCAACTCGGAATTCCGGATGAAGCTCCACCCAAAACCCACGGTGACCGAGCCCAAGCTGTGACGAAACAGGGTTGTCACTCGTGGGAGGGAAGAGGAAGGAGGAAATTAAATAGTGCCTGAGGCGAGTAGCTCCTACGGGGATGCGCTTGGCGGGGTCCGTCCTTGAATTGGTTCACAGTCCTGCTGTCCCTATGAAGCAAGGGGGTTCATTAACCGGTCAATATCGCCCGAGCTCGCATTTCGGCCTTGCGGTCACGGTGGAATAATTGGTTAGAGAAAATATCATTGTCAGGCTGTGTACTTGGATCTCATTCTAGTCTAAGTCAGATCAGAGTCTAATTCACTTGGCATTCAGGGCAGTCTTCGCGGCTGAACATTACGATCATTCATTCCTTGGACTAGAGCTCCTGACAGGCGATTCGGAATTGTATGTGGAACGTGCATCTAGCTCAAGTAGATTTGAGAAGTATTCAAATTCCTATGAGAAATGGGAAATTGACCGAGGGATGTGGTACCTACAGGAAAGCTCGATCTTATCACTAGAGATTCTTAGAGTGATAACATATTACTCTTGGATGCGGGACAAGCTCGTAGACGAAGTTGCAGATGGATTGAGTCTATAGAAAGCATACTGGCCTTGAGCTTCATCGATTACGATGATGAACGCTTTACTCTTGACAGCTCCACCCAACTTCTGGACATTCTTGTCCCATGCGACAATTCATGTGGGAGCCGCTCATCGGATATTTGTGAGCTCGCCTCAGACGGTTCTACCGCGGTATCGTGCAACTCTAGATCCTTGACCGAAGAGATGGATATCCTCGTCGTGACCAGCGGAGGTGGGAGTCCGGGAGACTGATCGCCCGCAGCTGTCGTGCTATATGGCGTTTTGAGGTTGTACGTGTAGCCCCGACGACGGCTTCCAGTCGCCGTGGATTTGACAAAGCGAGTCGTGAATGGTCTGAAGACTGGCCAGACTGGTGGGATTGACATAGTGATCAAGACGAGCCATTCTTCAACTTCTCCCCAGCAGAATAAAATTCCAACGCCATCTGGCAGGAGTGAACGAATTAGCAATGAGACTTTGGAACATCGTGTTGAACTTGCGAACACCCACAGGAAGAGTCCTCGCTAAGAATGAACTTGGCTGCCCAGGTGCGAACAATGGCAGCCACGCCGGCAAACACACCGCAGCCCATGAGAAAGCTCAATCCCCATTTCAGCTTACGGTCAATTTTGACCGGCAATAGCATGTGAATGGGCACAACTGCCAGATAGAGATCCGAAAGCGCGGCAACCGATCCAACAAAATAGTTGTAATAGACATTCTTTCGATAGTCACATTTGTCTTGTTGAAGAGGATCCCAGAGGGCGTTTGTAGGTGAACACTGCACCCAAACCAGCAATGCTTGGGGTATATTGACGGCAATGTTGGTAGCCGCGACAGCAATCAAGCTCTTCCTTATTTTCGGGTCTGCCAGAGCATCGAATCATAAGCGAATTTGTCTTTATATGTATCGGCCCCGGTGGAGTGAATGATCATGGTTGGGCGAAAATCTGTAATACGTACTGCCTTGTCCATTCATCTCAATGAGAAACGCTGCAACTGCCACTTTTCCCGTGGGAATGGCCAAGTTGAAGAAGAACACAGTCATCCAAGTGTAAAACAGAAAGTTGCCGAGCTCGCCGACTTGGGCAATGCTAGTGACATGATTCCCAAGGCCATGGAGGACCGCGAGGACTCCAAAGGTTTGTGTAATGGCCGTGAGTAGCTGCATCATCGTCAGAATGCCGGTGCTTTCCTTTTTCTGACAGTGGAATGCGACGTACCCATGCAATGAGTGACAAAATCAACGCCGTGGTTCCGAATTTATTGATGAAAAGCCGTACATAGACACGCAGACTCATGAAAATGGTGGCAATGATAGCGAGGGTAATGCCGAGGTGTAAGTCGCCGGGTCCCCGACCACCATAGGCAGGGTATTTCTCCTCGAGCGACGGCATTGCCAAAATCCTTCAGCTTCGAATGAGTGACAGTCGTAGCCTCATATAGATGGCCTCTTCTTTGAAAGAGGAGAAAAGCAGGGGATAATGAGTCCCTTCAAGGGATGCATTTTGTGGGCGCTGTGGCGTGCATTTTTGACCACCTCGGCTTTCCCCACGAGAGAACTGGGCATTTGCGGAGACCGTTCAAATGGATCTGCAGACATCGTGGGCATTACCACGCGAAAGACGAAGCTTTCGGGGAGGGTCAAAAAGCACAATTGGTAGAAGCGTGGACGATCATGTGGAGCGGAGCAGCAAACTATTGATACACTTCTCTCCCGTGTTTCTTTTACTCGATCTGCTCTGCGCGGCAATTGTCATTTTCTAACCATTGTCGATGAGTGCGATAGTCTCGAGGTATGATTTCTGCCGAGTTGACGCAGTTTCATCAAAGTTAAACCCTGAGCCGTTGACTGGATGAAGAAGATATGTGAGAGGCGATGAAGGTGAGTTGTCCTGCCTCGATATTCACCGTTCTCCCACTAGGAAGAGGGAAAGCCAGCCCCACTGTCAGCTTCAGTGGAGTATTTATCCAGCCAAAGATGACAGGACGAATGGATCCTCAACATGGTTTGGAAATGCTTCATCGCCGGACTTGTGGAGTCGGTTGTGGGTGAGTTTTAATTGCGCTATGCTGTCGCTTGCCCTTTTCAATGCCTTTCATGCATCAGCAGTGTGCATTCCAACAAACAAGGTTTTGAGATGTGCAACGTGGGAGGATCTGATCGCGCAGCATAATGCATGAACCCCGATCGTCATCTTCAGGTAAGGCCGGAGTCGCCTTGGTTAGAAGACCTTTCCCGGTTCAGTGTGAGTCTCAACTGACCTTTGAGAGCCATAGAAAGACTCACGAGAGACATGAAGAGATGCACACTTCCCCCAACTCCACTCCACGAAAAATCCATATTTCTCATTCCGTCTCCAGTCCGAGGGTGCAGAGGATCACACAACATGGAATCTCTCTTCCATAGAACCTGGCCCGGGCACTCCAGGACACTGTGGTCCACCACATAAATTGACAGCATTTAGACAGCTGGATTCTTCCAGATCCACGAACGCCCACCAGACCTGAGTCGACGATGCTGTATATGATATCCATCAAGGTCGCAGGGAGCAATTGCCAGGGTCTGCACGATATGAGTTGGCTGTACAATCGTTCTTACCCGGAGCGACGGAACAGTTCACTGCTGCTTGTACTCAAGGCGAGCAAGTTTGCCGACGTGCTCGACCGGAAGTGATGTTCGTTGATATTCCAAGCTGTGGGGATGTCGAAACTCTCAGTTCCACTCCTGTCCCGGTCTGTCCTACACCTGCATTGTGTTCATCGGGTAACGATCGTCTACAAAATGTGTCACCGAGCTGCCAGAAAGTGGCGATCATCTTTTTGACCCCACACGACTACGCGGTTTTCGACTTTGGCGGAAGGTGATTCCAGGAGTCTTCGGCATTGGAGGCGGCTCATCGCTAGTAAAGTGTGATCCTCGTTATCAAGAACAAACTCCTATTGTTTCCATTATCACTTTCATACAACATGAATCAGGGGTCGACTCGTTCGATCAGAGGCTATCCCGGGGGGTTGAGAAAGCTGACCGCCGGTCTCGTCTGTAAATGCAATACACTCCACCCAGTGCTGTCATGGTCAGATACTCGTCACTCCATTCTTGCAATGCCAGTGTTCGAATTGGCACCCATGAGGTCACGGAGATAATGACTTTTGATGGGATACGGCTACTGTAGGGGCAGCAGTATCGATGTGTGAGAGGGATGAGGAGTGAGATTGCTGAGGGGGAGAGATTCTACCTAAGCTATGGACTGCGGTGAGGCGGCAGTATCACATGCCATACAAACAACTTTGTTGTTGAGGTTCCTTGTGTCTGCTCACAATGGCGGGAAATCTGTGCTTTGAAAATCCCAAACATCTCTGGAATGGCTCACTGAAGATACGTTCTGTTCGGCATTAATCAGGATCTGGTTAGTCGGCAACTATGCAATACCGCGCTTGAGAACAAAAGTCTGTTCGCTTTGCAACAGGGCGATCATCAATTCCCTTTATAAGCAATACCAAATGATCCGACGAAAAACATAGGCTTGACTCAAGGTCCCTTTTTCTCCGAGCCAAAATGGGTGGATCCAACAGCCATGTTTGGGTCTCGCGGATAAGGTTGAGGCGTCACATGGGATCTCTACCCATCCCGAAAGTATCATTAGACCCTTCAACTACGCATCCAACCCTAGCCTCATGGATTCAATATAGGGTATCGACAAATCCCGGTGCCTCTAAAAATGATCTAGCCGATGCAAGTTTTCCTCAATGTCCAACCACGGGCCTTTGTCCCATTCACAAGACCTGATTGCTGCTTTCCCCGATCTCGTCAGATCAAGACAATTCTATGAGCACGCGACTCTCCTGGAATTGCGCAACCACCTCGGTCTTGCTGCTGCGCCAGGGGGTGAAATCCTCTCATCTTGAGCATGTGGCTCTTGGATTACATCACTTCATGACTTACCGTACTTTCATCTCATGTTTTGCTCGTTCTTACTCGCAGTAAGCTCGCAATGACTAAGGATGACATGTCTTGGTTTGTCTCTCAATGAAATTTCCCACGTGGGGTTCAATATCTTGCACAGCTCAGCGCGCTCAATTTTCTGCTCAACGTGAGAATGAAGCGACTGCTGGCTCGGAGACTTTACGATTCTCCTGAACGCCACATAGCAAATTACCACCAAGTCTTCAAAGTGACAAGGAGTGACTCGAGACTAACTGGTTGCCCAATAAGGAGAATGGTCCTCGACTTGCCAGGTGCTTCAGCTGGAGCGGGTGACGATCAGATGGAGAACCACACAGCCTCAAATGTGAGCCTGGGCCCATCCACCGTCGCTGGAGTGAGTAGGATCCAATGAAACGATCGGGCTGAATCTGCAACAATCTTGAAGGGTATGTTAAAAAGCCATCCTCCCACCGATAGGCTTTCTGGCACATGTGTGGAGTAAGAACTGCAGGAGACGAAGCCAATATACAGACACCATCACCGGTCGGTGCCTGTATGTCTCGGCGATGTTTTCTTCCGAAACATAGGCCACTGGTGATGCTATTGCGGGTGGCTCCCGATCCGTGGAGATTTGAGCGTTTAGCGTCTCCATCTGCACGACCATCACAGACATCTCGAATCAGATTCGGCACGGCTGAAGAGCAGGGCTCTCGTATTCTTGGGGGTCGCTTTGAGTTATCCGTCTCGAAAATGGGTTGAATCTTTTTACATAAATGGGGCGACCTCCGACGTTCCAGCCGTCATATGTTCGTTCACTGCCGCGTCGACCTGAGCCATCAATCCATTGCCTCCCCTTGTATCTTGTCTGCAATCGTTGAGCTCTCGCCATGATCGCTTCCTTCCAGCTCTTGACGGGCCTCTTGGCCCTGACCACGTCAGCGGTGTCTAGTGTTGTTCAGCCGCGGTCCATCACACCCCCCGAGGGCTGCCCAATCCCTACATGGGTCGTCAACAACTTCCAATGGCACAACGCCTCTCACAGTCTAGACTGCGTGCACCATCCCTACGACTACCCCGAGGCTTGTCTGTGTGGTTCAGGCTGGTGCAAGCCTGACCCTGCCACCTGCAACGGCACAATGGTCAACCCATGCTACACCGGCATGCCGAACTATGAACCGTGGGGCTACGGACCCCTGGAGACTCTCGATATCGATTTCGCCGATGGCTTGCAATGCCACGATCAATACATTGGCTACCGCATTCATGATATCGGCAACGGCGCTAGCAACTGCGGTTACGCCGACCGAGGTCAGGGACGCATTGTGTCCTTCTACGGCACGTCGAACCTTGATTCTTCGATCGGTCACATGGACTATGTTCTGGGTAGTGGACATGCCCTGACCTGCGCCAATGGCAGTTCCATTACTTATTCGGGGAGCGTGGACTTCCCGCTGACCTGCACTCACGATGCGTACTTTAATGCCACTTGCACAGCACCTGTTTTCGAGATTCCCGTCTTGAGCTATCAGTGGGTTTAAGCGGATTACGCGTGCTGTGGGAGTCACCCAGGAAAACATGAAGATCGTTATGGCTACCACGGCACTTCCATACCCAGAGAGTCGTTTGTGCTGTATGTACTTGGAACTGTCGAGAAAGAGTCTACTGGCGGTACTTGCTGTCTTGATTGTCAGTCCAATGAAGGCATTGCGGCAGTATCTGCGTCGATTCAGTATTCACCAGATGCGAAAGAGGGGACGGTTGGACCTGAAACTCCATATATCAGAGCGCATTACACGCCAATTCCTTGCGTCTACGTGTTTACGTGTACCCTTTTTGACGGCTGGATAGTCCCAGAAAAAAAAAGCAATGTCATATGCAATTCATTTGAACAAAAAGTATGGGTATATCAATGTATCTGAATCATTCCTTCCACCATCGCCAAGAACTTCTCCCGATAATCCGTCGAAGTAGTCGTGATCGACATGTGCCCCTGACGACCTACAACATTAAACGTTTGCACTACACCCGATAACGCCTGAGCATGAAGCTTATGCTTCGCCCAAAAAAAGTCAAGTATCACGGCGCGATACTTCCACTTTCCATCCGCTGACCGAATACCAGCTCGCCACGGACTCTTCCGCCCTAAACACTCCGGCGTTGAGCTGGCTGGGATCCTGACCAGGAACATAGAGTAGTCCACCGCATTTGCATCTTCCAGGAACTTTGTGTCTGTCTTCATCGCTTGTATGAACGTATTGTAATCCTCCCTTGACAGGTGAAGCTTGTCCTCGAAGTGATCTGACAACCTGTTCAACGTATCCTCGCTGACGAGTGGCTCGGGTACCAGGTCTCGCTCAGGGTAGAAGTATTCGAGCGGTTTCAGGTCATAAGTCTCCCACTTGTTACTGGCCAGATCGTCTGATTTGCCGCAGAGAATGTTCTCCATGATGATATGATGTGCTGGTGTCCAGGATAGGACGGTGCCGAGTGTTGAGTACGGTGCAATGAGGTAATCTGTGATCCATACGAGCATCGAATCAGGATGGTCGCGCATGTGGTCATAGTACGGCTCGAGCAGATCTGACTGGAAGAATGTGTATTCAAAATGACGAGGTATACTCTTGATCACGTAGCGCCCATCAAGAGTACCAAAAAAGGTCTAGAATGGTTCAATTGTCAGTATACATATCATTGGAACTGGTATCGAGTCGCCGGCTCGAAATGGTTCAATAGTACTTCTTACCGAGCCCGAATATCCCAAGTCGCCCATTGTTTTCAGCGGTGGTTGGCCACCAGACGTGCGAAAGCTATCTTGATATTCATTTTCGTCGAATTGCCAGATTTCTCGACGGAGCGTCCTGAACAACTCCTGGTCATGCCTGACCAGCTTGATTTTGAATAAGCTGAAAAACGCCAGGAGACGTCCCCAGGCAGTCTTGTGAAATTGTTGAGCAGGGTCGCGCAAGACGCCTGTTTGTATTGATTTGGTCAACGCAGACTGGCGACGGTTTTTCCCCATTGCGCGACTTTGGGGGGTTGCAGCGACGCTGATGAGAGGTTTCGACTTGGAGAGAATTCGATAGCAATATTGATCAGAATATAGATAGATATGCTTGACTCTCAACCTTGCTTTGTGTTGACGCGCAGGGGTGCCCGTTCCTGCGACGAGACATGACGTAATGCATTATCGGTGATTCTCTTCCTACTTAGGTGCGGCTGCACCCGTGACTGGACGGCAAACGGCCCAGACTCAAGATAGGCGCAAGTTTCAAATCAAATGTACACACTACACCCAGACACTGGGACAGTGCGATCAGTTGAATCTCTTGGCCGGAGACTTCTGAGCCTGTAATGGACGTCTTGACTGCACGTTAGAGTAGACATTGGTTCACATCCAGACATACAAAAAGCCTTGACCGCTATGATAGAATCTTCTAATCAAGTATGATCATGGTCGCTGATCAGGCATTGTGTAGACAATGGTCTTCTATGTCGATACATGGCTTCAATTGAAGTGTGATTAGTAGATTCGAATGCATTCGCAAGCGATACGGCTCTTGCATTTATACGTACATGCAGGCGCATCGAGGTAGGTATTGATAGTGTGCGATAAGCCAGATCGGGCAGCTAAGTACTTCTATACGCACCCACGTGACATACCGCCTCGGAGCTTCCGCCTGAGTCACCAAAAAAAAAGTGACCCCCCCAATGGACCAAACGACGTTCCCCTCCTTATGGGTCGGATATTGCTAAGCGGGGCCAGTCGATTCACAGGCGTCTTTTTCTCACGATTCCGACTCTGCTCATACGTCCCAATCGTTCCATCGCGACTTTTCTCGAGCCCCTCGATCATGGCTTCCGCCAATTCTCTCACAGCCTCGGTGCAGGCCTTGACCCTGCAGTCCACCACCCAAACCTCCAAGTTCGCCGGCTGCTACCCGTCGCTGAACCCGATGGACATCTACCGCGAGCACATTGCGGAGCAGCTGGGTAAGGCTGCTGATATTGATCCCGAGTTGATCTTCTCCCGCCTAGCTTGGACAAGCACTCTGGACAAGGGTGATCTCTCATTGCCGGTATGTTCGCGACGGTTCTTCTATCTCTCTCCCCCGAACATGGACCGATTGACTCATATATGGTTCACCGCATGCTACGTAGGTTGCAGCTCTTCGCATCAAGAAGAAGCCTGATGAGCTCGCCGTGGAGCTGGCCTCCAAGTTCCCCGAGTCAGATCTCATTCACCCTCCCACTGCCTTCGGACCGCACATTCAATTCTTCTGCAAGCCCGATCCTCTAGCCAAGACTGTCCTCGGCCGCGTCCTCACCGAAAAGGCCGCCTATGGTACCAACGGCAACATGGGTCTCAAGGATCCCTCTGATCCCTCCAAGGGCAAGAAGAAGATCATCGTTGAGTTCTCTTCGCCCAACATCGCCAAGCCCTTCCACGCCGGTCACCTGCGCTCCACGATCATTGGCGGTTTCCTGGCCAACCTCTACACTGTCATGGGCTGGGATGTCACCAAGATGAACTACCTTGGTGACTGGGGTAAGCAGTATGGTCTTCTGGCCAACGGCTTCAAGTACTTTGGAGATGAGGAGGCCCTGACCAAGGACCCTATCAACCACTTGTTTGACGTCTATGTGAAGGTCAATCGCATTGTGGGCGAGCAAGAGGGCCCTATCAAGGAGCTGAAGGAACAGATTAAGGTGAAGAAGGAGAAGGGTGAGGACACCGCGTCCGAAGAGGCGGAGCTTGCCAAGCTGGTGGATGCTAGTGAGGACGAGAAGGCTCGCCGCTACTTCAAGAGCATGGAGGACGGCGACTCAGATGCCCTTGCCCTCTGGGCCCGTTTCCGTGACCTCAGTATTGCCAAGTATAAGCAGACCTACGCTCGTCTGAACATCGACTTTGATGTCTACTCTGGTGAATCACAAGTCAAGGCAGAGAGCATGGCGAATGCCTACAAGGCCATGGAGAAGGCCGGCGTGACCGAGGAGTCTGAGGGTGCCATCATTGCCGATTTCACCAAGCACGGTGCGAAGAAGCTGGGCAAGGCTATTATCATCCGTAAGGACGGTACACCTCTCTATCTTACTCGTGACATCGGTGCCATCCTGGAGCGTGACGAGAAGTACCATTTCGACAAGATGATCTATGTCGTGGCTGCCCAGCAAGATCTTCACCTCGCTCAACTCTTCAAGGTGACCGAGTTGATGGGTCGCAAGGATCTGGCCGGCCGTTGCCAACATATCAACTTTGGTATGGTCCATGGCATGAGCACACGTAAGGGTACCGTCAAGTTCCTGGACGATATTCTGCGTGACGTCGGCGACAAGATGCACGAGGTGATGAAGAAGAACGAGACCAAGTACGCGCAAGTTGAGAACCCCGAGGAGACTGCCGACACTCTCGGTATCACTTCAGTCATGGTTCAGGATATGACTGGCAAGCGGTACGTTATCCTTCTGTGTTTGTGTTCGTGGCGGATTTGTGGAGCTCAGGACTGACAATAGCAAATTAGTATTAACGGATACACCTTCAACTTGGACGCGATGACCTCGTTCGAGGGTGACACTGGACCTTACCTTCAATATGCTCACGCTCGTCTGTGCTCTATGGCTCGCAAGTCCGAGCTGAACATCGATGAGTTGAGCAGCGCCGACTTCTCTCTCCTCACCGAGCGTCACGCTGTTGATCTCATCCGCCTTCTCGCTTCATGGCCTGATGTGCTCGTCAACACCGCCAAGACCCTGGAACCCGTGACCGTGCTGAGCTACCTGTTCCGTATGACGCACATGCTCAGCTCCAGCTACGATGTGCTCAAGGTGATCGGCAGTGAGCCCGAGTTGAAGAAGTCTCGTATGGCTCTATACGCCGCTGCCCGCCAGGTTCTGCACAACGGCATGCGCGTTTTGGGTCTCAACCCCGTGGAACGGTTCGTTCTCCCCAGTCGGTTGGAATGGAAGTTGAACTTTTACGCTAACCTTTCGTCTCACACTCTAGCATGTAAACGGCGTTTAGCATTTCTCTCTTTCCTGCATGGTATGACGATATCTCTTTCCCTTTTTTTTTGACTCTCTTGTCTAGACATCAGTGGCGCTATCAAAAATGGGTCCACCAAATATCACGATTCTATAATTTCATTCAGCGATTTGTATGCTTCCTAGTAAAATGTACACCTGAGTATTTTGGTCACTTGCAAAAGTTGCTGAGATCGTTCTTCTTCATTATGACTCGGGCTTCAGATTGATTGTTCCTGGCGAGACCCGGAAGGACTGTAGTCAGTGTACAATCCAGCAAGAGGCCATCCACCCCGTGACGGGAGCAAGAGCTCCTTATTAAGAATATGCTTTTTCCCTGCCCAGGTGGATTCAATACCGACGGGATGTTTTGAACTCCGTGTTGGATGGATGATGTGGGCTTGCCCGGAGGCTTGGACTTTTGTGTCCCCGAGCAAAGCAGTCGATCGGCGATCCATCATCAACGCATTGCATGCGCATGCGGGTTCGACCCAGACTTTGATATACACTGTACACTGTACAGTATGTTGTCCAAGGTCCTCCAAGTTGCAGACTTGAATTGTTCTCTGCCCACATTGGCTTCTAAGAACTAATTTAATGACACGGGAATTTGAACCGAAAAGGATCACAGCACCACGTGCGCCCACGTAAACCTTATCAGCTTAGCCTTGTCAGCGGGGGCCGCTTTATCTGTCACACTCCCAAGGGGCAATTGGCAGCCTCCCACGAGTGGACTTCCAGTAGGAGTCCGACCACTCCATCACCGAAGTCAACGGGACTTGGTGGCGGCCTCTGCGTTGTTAGTCGACCGAGCGTAAAGAGGCGAGGCCTAATTGTGTCTTGTGAGGATGGGGCCTGAGAGCACACGGTTTCAAATGTGGTGATATAGAGTTTTGAGGCTGTCGTTCAAAGCTGTTCTGTCCGAAGGCCAGGGTGTTCACCTTGATTTATAAAGCTCAGGTCGTCCTCACTTCTGGAGCACACAAGAAAAGCGTCGATGTCGAAGGCGAGGTGCTGACTTCTTCCCAGGGACATGAGCGTGTCCGTCCCACGTCGGGTCCATGTGTCCCTGGGCAAACCGCAGCCTGGCAGTCGGCGATCCCGCTCTTCCGGCACGACAGCCACCGGCGCTGAGACGGTATGAGAAGCGGTAGAGTCAAGCTGAATGCCTACCAAGTCTGCAGTTGGGCATCCCGTCTACGCTCCAAACATAGCCGACCAGGGTGTGCATCACTGCATTCAACCCACCCACTCCATCTGACCCAAAGTCGTCGACTCGCGCTGTTTTCCGTCCCCGATTCAAACGGCGTCCAGTCGTTCATTCTCCGGCCTCATCGGGGAACACTCCCGTCATGGACAGCTCGCAGATCGCCCGCGCGGTCGTGCTCCACTCCCTCGAGAATGCAGGTGGTAGGCTTCGCACTTCGCAGCGACTGCAGTTCCAACGGACAGCCCGCATGGAAAAATGACACTTGGCGCCAGTCATGGAGACTCTGCTCGACTCAGCTATGAGTGTCCCTGCTCAGTGCTCAGTGCTCAGTGCTCGCTCAGTATAGCGCGGAGATCCCATCTAGTAATGCAGGTATAGTAAGGTTTCCACTTATGCGGTCAGTAGTGTCACTCATGCAGCCTAGTCCTTCAGCTGCCCCATCTGGCGCACCCACCTTCGTATCCATTCTGGCCGATCTATTTGCTTTCTTCAGATTGTCCCGGTCGAGCGCGAGCAAGCCTGCGATCCCAACCAGTTATAACGGCCGGAGTATTCTGGCGAACAGGGCCGTTGTCAGGAGATCGGGGACCAGCTGGAAGCATCCATGCGGCTGAAGGAGCGCCCGTCTCCACTTTATCGCATAGTTCGACGATCTGTGAGCGTGGGTCGGCACTCAGCGGATGATCCTTACATGAATCATCGCATCATCATGGGCTTCCCAAACTTCGGAGAGGGAAATGGCAGCCCCGGTAACGAATCCCGAGTCTCTCACCCGGGCCAGACATACCGTTCCAATTTTCCCTCGTTCACGGGTTGAGAAAGTGGGAGCTCCTTTACTTAATAAGGAGAGGTCCCCCCCCCCCCACCACACAGTTGAACAGAAGCTTATCTGGTCGCCCGTCAATATCTCGCTGTATATGAACGTCCGAGTCCGTGTACTACACGAGACAGGTATTATATACACCAGCAGCACCCTCAGCAGCCACACGCCCACACGGACATATCTGCAACACTCACGTCTGCATTCAACCCCGCTGAGATCATGGAAGACACGTCCGAGACACGGGACGGGAGCCATGCGCCGCCAAGTCCAACGCTGGACGTGGAATGGAATGCCGACAGTCGCTTCTTGATGAATCATTCGGTCAAGAATTTCTCATGGAATGGCCTGACGGTCACCGTCAAAGATCGTCAGACCAAACAAGCGAGGGATCTGATCAATGACATTACCGGCGACGTACAGCAAGGTGAGTCTCGTGAAGGACTAAGCCGGCAGACTTCAAGGCGCAGCAGACAGCTGATTATCTCTTCTTTCGATTTGCACAGGGGAGATTGTGGCTCTCATGGGACCGTCGGGATGCGGCAAAACCACGTTGCTCAACGTGTTGGCTCGACGACCTGCCGCATCGGGTGCCAAAGTGATGGGAGACACTTTTGTCAATGGAACCAAAGTCGACACGGCTGCCTTTGGCCGGATGACCTCGTACGTCGAGCAGGAGGACGCATTGATCGGATCCTTGACCGTTCGTGAAACATTGAAGTTCGCAGCGGATCTTTCCTTGCCCAGGTACGCTCGATCTTATCAGATGCGCTGTATTGATTGCTGTTGGCGAATTCCCCTTCCACATGGATGCTATGCACCAAAAGAAAAAAGTCTAGAACTGACCTGATTGATTTCGTGGTACTAGCTCGGTCACCAAGCGTCAACGCATGGAACGTATCCGAACCCTGCTGGAGTCATTCGGCATTCAAAGCCAGGAAAATACTATTGTCGGAACACCGATTCGCAAGGGTATCAGTGGAGGTCAAAAGCGACGGGTCAGCGTGGCCAGTCAACTCATCACCTGCCCGAAAATCCTGTTCCTGGATGAACCAACAAGTGGATTGGACTCGACCGCCAGTTATGAAGTCATGTCTTACGCCAAAAAGCTCGCTCGAGAGAACAACGTATGTGATCATCTACCACAATCTGACGCTTCGAAAAAAAAAAAAAAAAAAAAAAGGCATACTCCAAGGATCCCCTTTTTTCTAACGACTGCATGCAGTTGATCATCATTGCCAGTATTCACCAACCCTCCACGACTACCTTCGAGCTCTTTGATAAGCTGCTTCTTCTGTCGGCTGGAAGAACATGTTACTTTGGGCCGATCGATCATGAACTCGAAACTTACTTCACCCGGATTGGACACCCGATTCCCACCCATACCAACCCAGCAGAATATCTCCTCGACATCGTCAGCTCAGACTTCGGGGGTGCCAAAGAAGAGGCGCGAGACCGTGTGCATCGCATCCAGAACGAGTGGAATTCTTCGGCCGAAGCTCAAGCCATCTCGAGGCAGGTCATGGCGCGATCTCAAGGCTCAGAAAAACATGATAGTGTCTTGACACCTGAGGATATGGCCCGTCCGAATGCGATCAGAATCACGCAGGCTCTACTGCATCGACTCTGGATCAAGAGCTACCGGGATGTGGTGGCTTACGGTATTCGAATTTTGATGTATCTTGGTAAGTCAGAGCCAGGGAAAGGAGCCAAGGGTGAAATGGAATGGCCGCAGCTAATCTTTCGATGACTCAGGGCTTGCGATCATGATGGGCACAGTCTGGCTCCGCCTTCATCCGTCTCAAGACTACATTCAGCCTTTTGTGAATGCCATTGTAAGAAAGCTGCGAATTCGGACTGAAGCTACTGGAACAGAGCAAAACTGACTGATCTTGGACCCCCAGTTCTTCGGCTCGGCATTCATGTCCTTTATGGCTGTGGCCTATGTCCCAGCTTTCCTCGAAGACCGAGCAACTTTCGTCAAGGAGCGAGCCAACGGTCTCTACGGTCCCACGCCATTTGTGGTGGCCAATTTCCTCATCGGTCTTCCTTATCTCTGTAAGGCTTTCTTCTCCAATCCATACATGTCATCTGTTCTCTCTTTCGGAGAGTCACTTCACTCACTTCCCCCCTTCTTTGCTCCTGAGCTAAACAACATGCGTCCAGTCCTCATCTCCATTCTCTTTTCGGTCGTCTCCTACTGGCTTTCAAACTTCCGTCCCAGTGGCACAGCCTTCATGACCTGGGTCATGTGGATTTTCCTGGATTTGGTAGCCGCCGAGAGTCTTGTGGTGTTCTTTACATCAATCTTTCCCAACTTTGTCATTTCACTGGCACTTGTCGCCTTTGCCAACGGTCTCTGGATGAGCGTGGGCGGATTCCTCGTGACACCTACTATTCTCAACCCATTCTGGAAATACGTTTTCCATTACATTGACTATCAGGTAAGAGGGCCCTTCGCCCAAAAAATCAACCTTCCAACTGATGGTTTCCCCAATTCTGATCACCCCGTTTGTCCAGGCGTACGTTTTCCAAGGAATGATGGTCAACGAGTTCTCCGGACGAAACTACTCTTGCGGACCTGGCTGTCATTGCATGTACCCCTCGGACCTGGCAGACCAATGTATGATCCGGGGTACAGCTGTGCTCTCGCAATACGGCTATGCCACGGGACGAACGGGCAAATGGGTTGGAATCCTGATTGGCATTGTCGCCGTCTACCGACTCTTTGGATGGATTGCGCTTGCTTTGCGCCGAACCTGAACAGGCGAGGAGGGAGAAGAGCGTCCGTGACGTGCTGCACTCGCGAGACGTGGGATGTATACTAGATAGATGTGTTGGACTCGGGACTCGGCGTTGATCTTTGAAGGGTTGCTGCTTTCTGGGTTTCAATTGATCCGTGTTTGTCGGATGATACTTTTTTACCTTTTTTAATTAATGTGTACTTATGTTTTCAGTCATGCTATCTGAAAAGTCAACCATACTATATCTTTCGAATGGACTTGGCATACGACCGGGAATAACCGAATTTGATCATAAGTGATCACAACCTTCATGGTGTCTTTCTTTGAGGGGAAGAAGAACCTTCAGATCAAAGACTCCATGGGCTCTGGGCTATTCCATTCTCTTCCGCACGGTCACACCATCTATCAAACTTGTGTTAAAGGTGCCTCCGTAATAACCACTGCTGGCGGACCTTCTCGTGCACGATTTTTGTTGGTGACAGACCAAGTCCTATCAAAACACGATGACCATTATTCAAAAGCAATGAATGCTGGCCAGTCATTTCACACGAGACTCTCACTATGGCTTTTACCCGTCCATTTGACTCCAAAGTCATTCGCCACTCTGGCGGAATGGACTGGATTCACTGCAGAACAACCGCTGTACGCCAGACGGAGCGCAATCCACGCTGGCGATGGCAACCCCAAACCGCCCAGTGATCCATCTCCATGAAGCTTCGCATTCGAGATCTCTGCAAATCCATCGACCTCTCGGGCCATTCCTTTCAATGCAAGTCACGCGAGTCATCCACGGTCTCCGGCCCCAGTTCCGCGCGCACATCCTGTACAAGTCAACCATGGCGAATGACACGGGCTGTTCACGAGTTCTGCACGTCGTGCCCACGTAGCTGGAATGCCGGGCATCAAGTGCCACAGTCAAGAATTCTAGACCCCTTCGGTTAGCATCTGTCTGTCTGGCCAGCGAAAGACCCCAATCATCTGTCTCAATTCGACCATTCTAGTCGATCCGTGCTTGTCGGGTCCCCTCTCCTCGTCTCCATCAGAGGGAGATTCGCCTTCAAAGCAGAAAGATGTCTGGACTGAGTGGGCGGGTGCAAGCGGGGTACAGAAAGTTGCGGTGTGAAAACGAGTGGACACTGGACAGTGCTGCCTTTTGGGCGGGCTTTACTTCGGTTTGTTAGTAAGTTGTACTGGTACATCATGATGACATCGCGGAGCAAATAGGCACTACCGCGCTAACAGGAAGTAAGGGGTGAATCTGGGGAGGGGGAAGAATTGCTGGTCCATGATATAGTTTGGCGGTAATCAGATTGTGGCGGCATCTTTCGAATGCCAGAAATACTGCGGTGATGGGGTTGAGCCCATCGAGATCGTGGCCCTTTTTGACTTTGTGGTGGATCTTTCGGGGCTTGATCGACGGCAATGGATCGAGGACTATTCCTTAGTCCTTAAACTCCTAACTACTAACAGTAACTAGTAGGTACCTAGTAAGTTACTGTAGTGATAGAGTTTTCTGAATGAGCTCCGCAAAACCCCACTTTGTAGTATATGGCACAGGAAAGCTAGACTACTTGAGCCTGGGATGAAGGTATCTGAGACCACAATGAGAGGTAGTCATTGTAGTCGATTCGGCCGGCTGAAGATCAGGAGTAGTAGTAGTAGTAGTAGTAGTAGTAGTAGTAGTAGTAGTAGTAGTAGTAGTAGTAGTAGTAGTAGTAGTAGTAGTAGTAGTTGCAGTAGGAGTAGGAGTAGGAGTAGGAGTAGTAGTAGCTGTAGTAGCTTTAGCTGCAATCATTAGTAGCAGCCATAACATAGAGGCGATTCAAACTCAATTGTACTCAGCACCGAGTCAAGCGAGTCCTCAGAGAAGGTGCACTCATTGGGTTTTCGATGATGAAACTCAATGCCAATGAATCCTTTCGCTAGTACTGGATGCATTACTCGTGACTTGATGTATAGATTACACTTTGTCCGATGTGTTCAATGCCCCGAAGTCTATGTCTTATACCGTTTGAATCGATTATACGAGGAATAACTCCCGAGTCTGGCTACCTACTTGACTCGACCACCTACAGAGGTCCTCATAGCCCAAGCATACCAGAGGTCCCATTGGGGCCATCTTTTCTGCACTCCTCCTCGTTTCAACACTAGAAACAGCTTGTCTGACACTTCCAAGATCATGTGGACAAGCAGGAATTTATGCATTTTGGGTTCTGCTCAATGAGCCATGTTTGGAGTCCGGTTCTCATTGGAATCAACTTACCTCCCATAGGTTTAGACCTCCCGATTGCATAGTGATGAATCAAGTCGGTGCCAGTATCATACTTTGGTCTTCCCCTCTGAGCCTTTGAAATGGCAGGATTTTCCTTCGCAGAACATCAGATTTAATCATTCTGAAGGTTTTTTGACATGCGTTTAGAATCTCGTCGGCCAAAATACTAAGGATGCTGGTAAGCTTGATTTCACCCTCAAATTTAGGGTCCACTGAGGATACAGGCCCGCGAGCCATCACAACTGCCAACTGCATCCTTTGCAGGCTGGGGGATTTGTAATCGATGATCTGTTCACCCTTTATCGCCGAAAGCGTCCGGCTATCACGGAAATTCTGCTCACCAGTCAACTTGTGTTTCATTGGGGGGAGGATCACCCAATAACGATCTTGGAGGGACTGTCGGTTATCAGCTTGGGTGACAGTACGCTTGTGACTCATATCTTTAAGTTTCTATTGCCTGTTTCTTTTATCCTGGAGGGTGCTCTTGGCCTCCGTGTCCGCTGGCGGTGATCGATTCCTCGGAACCTAGAGATGGGGAAACCCTCATTTAGGTTAGGATCTGAGTGGTCAAGCGATACTCAGATGTCGCTCGCCAAATACAGCTCTTTCAACGGAATTTGATAGATATCCATCGGACCCGATGGCTTCAAGATTGCCTTCATAGTTTGTCAGCAAGCAAGGAAGCTGAAGATGGAAGGAACTTCGATTTCCTCCGAAAAGGCAAAATATATGGGCGGTGCGAGACCTGTGGGAGTTTGCTTGTGCCCTGGATTCTTTTTCTCCTAGGACTACGCGCACTCACCTCGCATGCTCTCCAGGGCTGTGGTCAGCTTTAGAGTATGCTCGATGGAAGCTCGGTAAGCTTGGTCACTCTGAATATACCTAGTAGCCAGTAGCTATAGTACTGGTCAATGCCGATACATGATTGGGGGGGGCATCACTTTAGAGCCTCATTGTTTTGTTTTTCTCGCCCTTCCTCGGCCCTCAGCAGCGTGATGGTCATTGCTGACGAGCTTCGCTTATACATGCGGGGATGATCATGGGTGTTGATACTCCGGGTGCGGTACTAGGAAATTCGAATGAGAGTTTGCCACATGTATACACTTCTAAGGTTGTCCCTCACGACGCAAGGGGTCGGACAGACCCAGATCTGGGAAGCCATGATGATTCATTGTTGCTGAGGGTCACTCCTGTCCCCGGCAGAGGATGGGTTGTCCGAGCCCGTCACTCTGACCAGGACAGGCAAAAGAGTTCACTAGTTTGATGATGGATGATCATGCCATAGAAAACCCAGTCAGGCTATATCGTAGAAGTACAACTACACGCGTATTTGATGGAAGTTTTCTAAATCAAGTCACTGCGAAAGACCTTCGATCAGACTCTTTGTACTACTCCAAATACGAGGAGGAAAACTCTATGTCTCCGCCAGCTTATTCATTGACTAATCCGCAAGAGAGGGGTGGTGGCAGACAAAGAGCCTCGTGTCATGACTTTCAATTTCTCTCTCTGACGAAGAGACCGAGCCTGTCATGACTCACATGCAGCCAGCAGATAATGCCACCCATTTAGCATCTGCCACGAGGACCTGCAGCCTTGGTCCGGAGTCGCCGCAGCGCAGCCTGGAACGGACATTTAGTGGACAGTGGACAGTCTATGACACGACGATGATTACCGGGATGCTGAAGTACTACTCCTACTACTCCTACTACTACTACTACTACTACTACTACTACTACTACTACTACTACTACTACTACTACTACTACTACTACTACTACTACTACTACTACTACTACTGCCACTACTCCTACATAGTACATAACCACATGCATACTGGAGTTTGCTTGTGTCTTTCCGCCCATCTGTGGGTTTGTTGCTCTTGGAGTCATATCTTGCTCGGTACCGAAAAGTGTGCTGCGAGGACAAGGACAGCTTGCCATGGTTCTCAGCCGAACAAGGACTCTCCAAGAATCTGAAAAGCTCCCTTCAAAAAGTTGGCTGGGTTGGGGTTCACAGAACGACTGGAGAAGCTTGTACTCGAAGGGAAAAGCGTGTGAGATGCATGACATCCCGACCGGACTCGTGCTGGCTTCCCGGCGCCCGCACCATCAGGTACAGACTACGGACTACCGAGTACAGACAGTACAGAAATACAGACAATACAGACTGGATCCCTTCGGTGTCCAGTGACATTGGCATTGTCTCTGACTCTTTGCTAAAGATCAGACCACGTCAAATCAGCAGCGACTGGTGCATTTGGGCAGAGTGGCCTCGGATGTGTGCAGATGTCCTCAGACTTGTGGACGTGATCTCGGTAGCAGAAAACAAAAACTTGGATTTTGCCGATGACGCCGGCTGGGAGGTACATACCTTATCTAGCCACTGCAGGTCTACTAGAGGTCAATGGCTAACAGGGGAAGAGATATGGATTAATTCTACTGATTGAGCGGATATATTCTCCTGGAGAAATCTGTCCCTACTTGTACAGTACCATGTTCTTCACATTATTTGCCATGTATAACCACGTACTGTAAAAGAAACAAAAGATACTGAGAATCCTCATACCGATCGGTCAGTCTCGATCTTGGCCTCCTTAGTGAGAGTAGACGCGTCAATGACACAATCCGTCTCTCACACTGGAAGAAACAGCGATGGGAAATCGAATCCAGGTAGAAGACCAACATGTACATTCCATGCTTCTAGAAGTCTCCACTTGGTCTCTCCAGGATGATCTTCTACTGCGTTCTTTTTCAGTTGTGTGGAATAAATCTCTCAATGCTCAATGTTTGATGTTTTCACCGGGTGGAGATCAAGGAATTGATCAGTCATGCTAGTTCCCACTAAGATCCTGTCCATCGTCCACTGTTCTCGCGCTCTGGCGAAAGTTGCAAGTGACAGGGATATGCGATTTTGTCGTTTGGTGGGGGGCAAGCATTGGGCCGCAACGCTCCAGCGTTGGGCGCTGAGCGGAGCAGAGTCAGAAGGATTGGACTTTGAAGTGACTACTTCAGTCGTCAGGGTAGATCGTCGCAGACCACAGAGGGGATGGAGTTTGGAGGGCCATCATGGAGCTGGAAGCGCGCTCGCGAAAGAACTACAAATATGGTATTTACTTGGAAGAACCCTGGGTAGGCCGAAGTGAAGATGTTGGCTACGAGCCTACGACAGGTAAACATTAGTACTATGACTGCAATCAGTACGCTCAGACGCTGTACAGTGTATACACCATCCAGTAGTCACTGTACAGCTGATGGATTGACCCTTTTCTCTTGGTGGGCAGGACTGCTGTTCCTTTAATTTCCGTCCTACCATCCATCCCTGGGAACGTAGTGATTCCTACCCATGCGCGACCAGCAAGGCCAGACCATGTCTGCAGACCGCGTCATCATCAACATCGTGAAGTGATTCATATGAGTGTCGATGCCTTGATCATGGACCCAGCAGGGGTTTGATGAGATTGAGGGGTGATACTGATCAGAGATTCCCTTCTCATCGTTGCGCATCATTACTGAATTATTACTGCTACTAGTAGGGAGTAGTGAGTCGTGCGTATTGAGTAGTGAGTAGGAGTACTGTTCTCTACCAACACTGAGTCGTAGACTGTAGTATCCTAGTTCGTACCTTATAGTATAGTTGGTGAACCAGGGAACACACTTCTTTCTCCAGCGGGTCCCGAGCTTGCCTTTGCTTCGATCCACGGTTCCACCCGTCCTGGTGATTCCCGTGCGCGCACAGGCTGAGGCCACCAGACGATCCCTTCATCAACCGTCTCCGCTTGGAGACAGTATGATGAGTATTCCAACGCCTCCCGACTCAGTGTGATCCTGTGGTGATCCGGACGTTGACCCGGAGAATAGTGAGGTCCACGAGTACCCTCAGACTCACCCTGTAGGCTGTGACCTCTCCTTTACTGCCGCTTATCAACAGTCCCTCGTACGCGTCGCTGAATACTTGCAGAAATAAAGTTTGAACGGTGCTCCTCCAGTCGAGTCACCTGTTGTACATATCCTCAACGCATGCAGCTGTCCACTCGTACACTCCTACAGTGTACATTGTACACTGTAGTGACTGTACACTGTACCCTTGTACAGTGTACAGTATAGTGTACAGTGAACTGTGCCCTCTCTGGATGTTGCTTCCACAGGATCTGAATCTGAAAGACGGTCTATCGGACCGTGATTGCTCTCTTGTTTTGATCCGAAAAGCACGCCAAGTAGATACCCTACCCTCCGCTTCTCTCCCGGTTTTACGAGTTTCGCATGGCTGGAATCGAGTGTCCTGCCATCGGTACCCAAAGAGATCAGCATGCGGTACCAGGTACGGGCCTTGAGGCTCCAGGATCCTTTCTGGGACGCTTCTGGGACGCGGAATAACTCGTGCGCCGTCTGATGAAGAACGAGGAATTGGTGGACTTGCAGACTTCACTTGCTCTCCCTCGATGCCAGCACCCCCTCCGAGGCATTCGGTAGTCTGTTGTAGTCTGTACCATACCCTTGTTGGAACCTCGACAGCCCAGCGCTGTTTTGCCGCGCCCATATGGACCATCTGTCGGATTTGCTTCCCGTCTTGCCTGCGGAGGGCGTACTGCGTAGTGCGTACGCGTGCAATCCCTCTTCCAGGCCCTGAGCAGGTGATCACTTCTCTTGTCGCCCGAATCTCGTCCACAGACGGTTACTTTATCCCGTCTGGTTGCTTCGCAAGACTCATCCTCTCCCGCTTCATCATCTTCTCCCAGGCCTCAAGCTCCCATCTGCAGATGGTCGACTGCTTATCTACCACTTCCCTCCCCTCCTTCTGCAACATAAGTCCCTTTTCCTTTTTCCTTCCCTCTTTGGGACTCGCATACCTGGGATCGCTGCCCATCCGACTCCACTCTTCCCGAGATTTTAACTACTGGTCTCTACCCAAACCATCCCTTCCCCAAAAGACCCAAACGAACCCCACCGTCCACTCCAGAATCTCTTCGCCCGAATCCACACGTTCAATTCCCTCCACTCCAAGACTCTTCTTCCCGTCAGGTTCTCTTTGCCCCCCCCCCACTTCCTCTTCCACTTGACACCCGCTGGGTACCCAAAGGTCAGGCACATCCACAGTCTCCAACCACCTCAAAAAGACACCAGTGCCCAAAAAGGTCCCAAGACGCAGCCATCGTCGACGACTTTCGAGAAAGTCCTGCAGCTGCAGTCGGCACTCCACCACTCATCGTCCACCGGCGCACGGCGCTACGGTCCTTTGCTGGCTGTCTTTCCCTTTCTCATTCTTCTCCCCCCCCCCTCTCCCTCCTTGCTTGTCTGCTGTCATCGTTCGGACCCACGCCTGACGCTTTGCCGCCCGATCATCTTTTTTTTTCCGCGGCGCACTTTCGTTTCTATACCCAACCTGCTCAGCCGGCTCTCAGATGGAGACATTATTGCGATTTGGAAACTACCACCTCGCCTCCGCTGCCCGCTGACAGATTCGGATCACGCCCAACCACCTGCCATCGCCCTCGCGATTGGCGGGGTGCACCGTCGGTCATCGCATTTGATAGAGACCGGGATAGGGGACGTTGAGAGACAGAGGCAGAGAGAGAGAGAGAGAGAGAGAGAGAGAGAGAGAGAGAGGTGGAGAGAAGGAGAGAGCGCGAGAGAGAAGAGAAGAGAAGGAAGCCCGAGGAGTGCGTGTGTGAGTGTAAGAGAGTGCGTGTACGGGGTCCTCGTGTCAGAAGAGAAGAGACAAGAGGCAGACCACGAGCAAAGGTTGTGTGTGTGTGTGGGTGGGTATACGATCTCTCGCGAGAGACGGCGCAATCAAGCAATTCACACCACCGAGCTATACCACTCGGATTCCCACGGCCATCTCGTGTCTGGGGAAGCCAGTTGCCTGTTCGTCGCATCCAAGAGTCGCACTGACGCTGGAGATCCAGCCATACGCCTCGTGCGTTGTGATATACCGGACATTCGTCTCCATACCTTCATGCAAAGTGGGCTTAGGCCAGGAACACCCGCCCGATACACCAAAATACCTGCCCGATCGATTCTCCAGCACTGACTCATCCTGAAAGAGGGGACTGCGATCGATCTTGTTCGAGAGGGGAAAAAAAAAAGTCAAGGGGATCTGGTTCTTCCGCTGTAAGTCTTCCCAATCCTTTCTGATACCCGTCCACTGCTGCCCAGGTGGAGTGCTTGACGCACCGCTTGCCATCAAATCGGGCGCAGGCTTGGTCGTCACCGAACCTCACCCAAGCCCTCCCTCCCCCCACTTATCCCCTGCCTCCCTCATACAGCCATCACCCCTGGAACTAATGGACTGACGTTGGGGCCCGGTCAGATCCGTCGTCATCGAATCGTGCCGGAGAGCGATGCCCGGAGGCAGGATCCCTCAAGCGGCCTATGTCGAGGACTGGGACGAGGAAGGCGGCATCGTACCCGACAGTCGGCATTCAGCCAACGCGACAGCCAATTCGGCTATCAAAATTTCCTCCAGGTTGGCTCAGAGATTCCCAGCGGAGCCGCTGATCGACGGCGCCAGTGACTCAGGCTATTCTAGTCGTACCGCCGCCACCGGCACCAGCACCCAATCCGGCCCGTTGGGCGAGAGAAGTCCCCCCGGCCCTCATAAGCTGGACATGCCCAAGCACCGCAACGACCTCGTCCGCACTAGTTCCAGTCGACGGCCTCGAAAGGACAAGGAGCGAGAACGTCTTCGACCCGAGCACGTCGACCAGCCGACTGGGATTCCATCCCATCATCATGCTCACGTGCAACAGTCCTCCAGACCTCACCGCACCCGGGAGTCCGCTCAGATCGCTGAACATTACCCCCCTCCAGAACGATACTACGAGGATTCCGTCCGTTATCACCAGCAACAACCCTCCACCCCCGTGGAGCGCCAGTTCGGGATGGACTTTGCCGCCCCTTATTTTGCTCACCCGCCGGTGCCAGATTACCCACCGGCCGAGTATCATCGTTACCCTCACGCCATCGAGGAGGTTCATCGCCCGGTAGGCCGATCGAACCGATCAAACTCCTACCAGATGTATCATCAAGGCCGGCCCGCAAGCATGCATGCCGGAATGATGGCACATAGCCCTGCGCCTGGGTATCTCCCTCATCATCAGGGCTCGTATTATGAACATGGACATCCCGCCGCCGCCGCCGCCGCCGCCTCCTCCACCGCCTACGTCCACCCATACGCCTCGTCACCATATGCAGGGTCATATTACGGCGGCTCTGAATACGGACACCCGTCTGATTACCCGCCTGAGCGATCCCGCTCTCGTACTCGAGAACGCCCCCCAACTCAGTCTCGTCCTCGTCGTTCATCCTCGATTTATGGAGGACCGCCGCAGGTGGACCATGACATCTTTCCGCCGTGGTTCGATGAGCAAGAGGATTCTTACTTCCCAGAGCCCAACCAAAGGAATGCTCCCCGTGAACGCCGCTCGAGGGATATACCATGGGAAAACCTTCGTGAACCTCAGTACGACGATCCTCGAGGCCGCGTCCCCAAGCCCCATCGCGACGATGACAGATATAAGATGCCTCCACCGCCACCCCCGCCTCCCTCGCATCTCAAGCACAAGGCTCAGGTCCATCAAGCAAGGCGGCCCGAGCGACCAGAGCTCCCACGCAAAGCTCATACCACTCAAGTAGCACCACCGGCGCCACGTCGCCAATCGCGTGCGTCGATGGACATGCGTGAGATGGTTGCAGCCTTGCCTGAGCCTAGTCGACGGGCCTCCCGAGACACCAGGTTGCCTCAACTTCGATACAATAGTCTTCGAGAAAGCCGACGGCCGACATCCTACTACGACAGTGCTCGCGGCGCCCAAGTGGCTGTGGCAAGCTCTCGTCGCCGTCGTCGAGAACAGTACTACTCTGAAGAGGAGGAGGAAGATGAGGAGGAGGAGGAGGAAGAAGAAGACGAAGAAGAAGTTGAGGATCATATCCCAGTCCCAGTCGACGGACTCGAACGTCGTGAAAGGGAGGTTGAACGTTACCAGGCGCAACAGTCTGGCCGAACAAAGACCATGCCTGCCTCATCCGAAGCCCTGTTAACGAAAAAGGCCATTGGTGCCGGAAGTGACAATGCCAGTCAGAAGAGTGGATCCAACAGCAGCCGTGGAAGTGGTAGTGGGAACGGAGATGGCAAGAACATGAATCTTCTGGTCAATGGATTGACCATTGGGTTCACCGAAGAGTCTGTTGCAGGAAAGAACATCAAGATTCAAGCTGGCGACACTGGTCGTGTGCAATTGTCCATCGCCGGCGAACGACGACCGAAACAATATCATGGCACTGGATCTTCTTATTCTGACCAAACAGGCCGTTCAGCGCGTCGTGAGCCAACTGAAGTCCCACGACGTCCACGTGATGATCGTCGCTCCGAAAAGGCAAGCCGTCGCTTGAGCCAATCGACGTATGGCGAAAGTCGCCGATTTGCTCGATGATTCAAAACACGGATCAGTCTTCCCTTTTTACGACGCGCGATGATATCTATGGTGTTCTCTGCTTCTTCGTCTTTCCACACGTTCTCCAGGGTCAAGGCTCCTCGAAGTTCTTTGGTTTATTTTTTCCTCTTTTTTCTTCCAATCTCTTTCTTTGGAATTGTGATTACCCAAAAGTTGGTCGGGATAAATTGTATCTCGGAAGTGGTTTGCTTCTCGGAATTGGTTTGGGTATTTATGATGATGATTTTGATGTTGATCTTCCTCTTTCTGTTTCTGATGTCCTTTATTTTTCATATCTTTCGTTTCAGTTCATGTCGCTTTTCCTTTTCTCTTTCTTTCGCTCAAGGGCAGTCAGGTCTGGAAAAAAGTGATTTGGACGATTCGGTCGGTTATTTTGCGCCTCCGGCTACGGTCGGAGGAGACGCCAAGGTCCTTGCTGCAAGTTACAGCATGGACCGAGGTCCTTCTTGGGGAGTCTCCTGTGCAACTGCTACCGATCTTCAGTTCTCGAAAGCGAGGAGAGTGGGATATTCTGTGGAGAACAAGAAGTTCATGGGCGAAGAGTTGAAAAGGACTGGCTCCCACAGCTGGCCAGGGATTGGGCAAAACAAACACATCTTTCCTGAGCTTAATATCTGCTTCTCCTGCACCAGATCTGATCTTGATTGAGTTCTCGATGGGGATCTGGCAGGATGCAGGAGATGAGACATGAGGGTATGATTTGTGGCCCCAATCTAGGCCTTGTGAGTGGAAGCAAGTCCGGTGACAAACTCCGAGGGCCCATGCAGGAAGATGTTTGTTTCCCACGAGTCTGGCCCAAGTTGATGCTCGTTGCGGTGATATGATTGTACGATTTCTAATGACCTACGATGACAAAGTTCGATTCATGTGATGCATTGATGCGTTGTGTTGCCCTGCGTTACCTTGGTACAAGGAATTTGCCAGCGTTGATGTATATCCCCTTTTCTCTTTGTTGTCATCTCATGTCTTTTGATCCTTCTTCTTTTGCTCCAACAATATATCCTCTGCATGAACGATGATACGGTGGTTTGCGCTTTGTTGCTTTCGATGGAGATCTTCTCTCTACATAATCTTTGTGTTTGGCTTGATGGTCTTGTTCGCGCAAGGGCTGTCTTCCCAACTTCCCGGTCTATTTAAATTTCTTGATATTACAGTATACAACCTGTGTTGTCTCTTCTCTTATGTGTGAGCCATCATTGGTTCATCAACATGTACGTCTCCACGTGGAATGAGTCGGAGTTTCAGCTTTGCCCATGTTGCGAGATCAAATGGTTCGGTGGCCCGCTGGGTGCATTGGTCCTGTCATGAAAGTTCTCCCACACCCCACGCACCGTAGGTTCCATCGACGAGCGACTCTCACACAGGTAGAGAGAAGACCTTTAGGGGTTTCATTCAAGATGTCCCTTTGAGGGTCTAGAATCACCATGGCACCGATCCTATTTTTGTTTCCAAGGGCAAGCATGCCATGTAATTTAGTTCTCGAGCTCTCGGCAGCATCTACCTGACCTATCGGACAGCTCACGTCAACCAGCTGTATCTGAACCTTCTTGCAGACCGAAACGTGCACATCTCCTGCTCTTCAAGTGTACGGCAGATCATGCGCCGGGGTTATGACGAATTTGAACATATATACTAGCCTACCTGGATACATTCATTAGATCCATAGATACAGAACAGGGGCAAGTGAGATAGAGCCCGGGGAACTTGCGATTAGAGCAAAGAAGTTAGGTAGATATGAATTCAAAACTTGACGGTGGAAATCAGGTAGGTATCAATATCGAATATCATAATCCTTAATCTGGACTAGTACAAAAAAAGCGATTATTTCCCGCTCGGGGACGCAAAAAGCCTGTACCATCATTCAAGTCATTAAAAGCAAGTCGTGTTGTTAAGCTAATCCCCTTTCTCACCATACCCTATCGCCATGTCAGGTGTTTAACCTATCTGACCCGGTGATCGAAGCCGACTCTAGTTCAACTTTTTGTCCCCGACTTTGACGGGACGGCCCTGACGTGCCTGATATTGCAGGTACCCGAAGACGCCAGCGGCTATGAGCGCAATCACCACGACGTTGCCTACATATAATATCAGACAACCGTAGCAGCCACAGCAATCTCCGAAATCAGTGTAATCACCCCGTCCCGTGTGACAGGCCGCGGGACCCGTGGATTTGAAAGAATGACCTGGAGATCAGGTTGTTGGGAAACGTACTTGCAACGAATTTACCCACGTCGCCCGCGGTTTCAAAGACATTTCCTACGGTCGAGAGAGCCATGTGGAAGAAGCCGATGATAGTCTGGAACAGGCCGGCGACGAAGTTGGAAACTAGATCGAAGGCGCCGTGGAAGACGGAGAAGATCACCTCGAAGACCGAGGTGATGAGGTCTTTGATTGAGCCGAGGATGGATGACATGTTGGTGACTTGTGACTTGCGGGTTGTGAGGTTGGATTGAAGTTCAAAAGGAGAGTGGGATTGGTAGCCGGGGTTGGAGCTTCTAAAGATGAAAGATAGGTTGGAAGTGGTTGAAAGATGGCGGGATGATGGTGTTGAGCCGAGCAGCCCAGGTCAAGTGAGGTGATTGTGTATGTGATGCGGGATTGAAAAACACTACACTGATACTTTGTCTTTATGCGACCATACACTTTCCTGGACATATATAAACTCTAGCACAGCCATACCTAAATGGGTGGCTCAGGTTCCCTGTTTCTGGGGTCTGCCGCTGTGAGATTGCAAAGGGACCGCTGATGGCGTAATGACGTGATGTTGATCTCGACACCGTTGGAACAATCTTGGTCTGCCAGTCTGCTTTCAGAGAGAAATTGATCAAAGTGACGGCGCCACACAATGAAACCAGTACTATTCCTCGTAAGCAATATGCATTATGGAATGATCCATGCTACAGCATTTCTTGGGTATCTATGTACCGTCGTGTGATTTAACTCAAATGTTAAACATCCGAGATAGTCCACTTTTGTCTTAGTCTCTTATCTTAGACTGGATCCGCTGGGAGGGGGAGGGCAAATCATGCTTCTGGGGAGAAACTTGCATAACAAAGCCGTCGGGCTCTAATTCAGCTATGCAGTAGTCTCAGTCACACTCAGGTAATCAGAAACTTTTGTAACAAGATCCCAATGATTTTCTTGCCTAAATTATAGATTCATCCTTCCAGGCCGGCGTCTGTTTGAAAGTCAGCAGTGATTGGTCACGTGACAAGAATGAAGAGGTTGGTGCCTGAGGATGATATGGAGCACGGCCCAAGGTGGTTTCCCCACCAACATTCAAAGGTAAACACTCAATGTACCCTGTACCCCAGCCTCCTCCAGCCTCCTGCATTTATCGATCAACTTGTTCGTCACTCAAGCACACGACTTCACATAACCCAGGTTGATACCCATTTCAGTGAATAGCCTCGAACCTGACAGAATCACTTCCATACCAGGGCCTACCCACTACCGCAATCCATATTTCATCCCCACACATCAAGACTAGGCTGTCACTTCACGGAAAGTGTGCACCCTACTCGGGCGCTGAGGTCAAGGTAAGAATGACTCCACTTCTCTCTTGAAGCATTCAGGAATGTGACGATCCAAGTCTGACATTCTTTGACAGAGTTTTCGTCTGGCACCGTGTGCTTTAGGCCACGTGCATCGTCCGACATGGCGCCCGTACAACAGAACGCAGAGGCATCTAATGGTCTGGCCCACAGCTTGGCCTCTCTCGCCTTCAACCACTTGGCCCGTCGAGATGGCTCATCAAAGCAAGATCCAAACAAGATTCAATATGGACAAGGCACCATTGACCCCAAGAGCATCAAGATGCAAGGGCTGATGGCCCTTTTCGCGCTTATTGGGGCAGCATTCGTTCTCGGTGGAATCTGGTTCTTCTTCTGGGCCAAGAATGGCGGGTTCGTGTGGCGCAAGGGTGATTGGGAGGATTACAAATCGACTGTACTTCGACGAAAGGGTCCCGATGGCAGGACGCTGAGTAACGCCACCAAGAGTACCAAACTGGGCAACGACAGTGTTCTAGGCTACAGCGACGACGGATACACTTATGCCGACGAGACCGCGACTTACACCGAGACCGCCACAACAATCAGTGAGGAGAAGCCAAGAAAGAAGCGCAATTTCCGCGAGAAGCTCCTCCGTCGCAACAAGGAAGAGCGGTGGGAGGGCGAGGCAGACGACGACATGCGCGCTTATCGCGAAGAGAAACCCGCGCGCATTGGTGGCATGAATCGTGAAGCCGATGGCACCTATCATGGCAGTGATTACGATTCCTCCGCTCCACCTACCCACTACAACCGAAGCGACATGAGCGAAGTCCACGACTACGCATACGAACAACCCCAACGCTCACGTCGACGTGACCCCTCGGGCTTCTCTTTCACTGCGGGCAGTGAGGACGTGCTCAGTCAAACTACCGAGGAACACCATCTTCGTGCACCATCTTCCCGACGCCACACTCGTCGTCATGACCACCGCGAGCGTCGCCAGAGCACCGTTCGCTCTTCCGTCCCTTCGTCCCGCACGAGCAGTCCCAAGAAGAAGGACCGTCGTTCTGCCGCACCGGGATACACTGAGCCCTTGGACTTTTCCTCTGCCGGTTCCCGTTCGGAATATCAGTACTCTAATGTTGATACTGAGGACTCGCACGGTACCAGGAGCTATCATCATCCGATCCCGGGATTGACTAAAGGGTACCGTCGCGATGGCCACCATCGCCGCCGCCGTGACAGCCTGAGTGATAGTGGTGACGAGTGATGGAATGGACTTTTTTTTTCTTCTTCCCTACTTTGAGTCAACTTCCAACATGTGCGTGGTCTTTGTCGTCCTACTGTGCTGTGTTGCGCGAGGAATTTGAAACTCAACCTTGCTTTGGACATCCTTGTTAGGAAATGATTGGGAAACTTGACGAAACTTTCATTGTAAATAATGATAAAGCTTTACCATAACGGAATCGATAAAACCTCATGAATCAAGTTGAACGAATAAGTCGATTAATCAAAGCTCGGCTGTCTTGTCCACCTAGTGCCGAGGCTAACAGTAGCGGCTCCGGACCACAATCTAGTGAGCCTTGCCGAGTGCCCTTTGTAAAGACCAGCTCATGATCACTTGCGCTTGCTTGTGTGATTTTTGAAGTTGGAGCCCTGAGAGGGTGCAAAAGATTCCCCTCGAGGTCTCTTACGACACAAACGATTGCTTTGTCGTCCACGGGCTTGCACAGTGTCATTCGCCGATCCATGTGCACTTCTCTGGCCGAGTCGACATTCCGAGGGGGAATGGGTCACCATGCGCTTATGAAACGGGCAGTATACTGACCCTTCTCTAGGTCCCTTCTTCCCTCCGCCCCGGTAACAAAACTTGGGCTTGGCTGGAGGAGCCCAAGAAGGAGACACCTTCATGGCTTGTCGCACAAAAGCGGAACACACCTGCTCCATCAATTTTGGATCATCCAGGTCGATCTCCATCCGAATGAGGAAATCCGAGATAGGACCATTATTTGCGACAGCGCGCATAAATTGTGCAAATACTATCTTGGCATCAATCTCTCCGTTGATATCTTCCAGCTCTCGAAGATTCTTTCCGAAGCACCGAAGAAATTCGCCAGGAGAGAGACCGGCTGTATAATGTACGCTGGTCCATGCTGCCCACCGAGCGGCGACGGAAAAGTGCCTCGGCTTACTGTAAAACAAATGGAGCTTCGTAAATGCCCTGCAAGGGCTGCTGGTGTTTCGTATGAGGTCTTTGGCCTCGTCGCCGAGTGTAGCCCAAAGGGCCGAGAAGGCTTCTTCTCGTTCTTTGGATCTTGTTTCATCGAGCATGTGGATCAGACTGGCGACTGGCTTCGTAGTATTTTGTCTCGACAGTATTGGATCGTGCGCAATGGAATCGGTGTCTTGCAAGGTGTGGTGGAGGGGAGGATCGTACGGGAACATATCATGCCGTGGCTCATCTTCCATCAGGATCTTCAACTTTGCCGGACTGATGTGGCAGAGGAGAGAATGGAGCCATGATGAGAAGTTGGCTTCTCCTTGAAGGATCAGGGTAGAGTTCTGCTGGGGTGTAGCCTCTTCCTTCTTGACGTGTCCTGCCATGATGGGTGATGAACAGATGGTCCTCGACTTTGTCGTTTCCAAAGACTTGAGGCTAGAAGCTATTCACTGAACATCACGCTTGCCTTCAGAAGCTTCGATGTAGGCTCTGTGTCACTGGTCGAGAATGGCGAGAGAAGAAATGGAGTGAAGAAAGATTGTGTGAAAGAGGGAGATATCATGCTCTTTCATGCGGGGTCAAGCCCTACTTTACCTTACCTGGTCTGATCCTCGGAGTGGTATTGTCAAAAGTATTACATACCCTAGAAGATCCTCAGACCCAACCTTTCGCATTATAGCAAGTTTTGTCCTGCTCAAACGATTGGTGATCTAGGTAGAAGCTGAGATGAAAGGTGTTTTGAGTCCGACTACCGTCGCTGTCGGCAAACGTTGTGCCAAAGCTACATATTGATGACATGCGCTTGGAGCGTACAAGAGCAAAGGCTGACCTCGTCATGTTCAATACAGAAAGATAAAGACACAGAATTGACTGGCCATCTTGATCATGCAAATGTAAATAGCCTTCCCTGAATTCTAGGATCTTGAACTATTCAATCAACAAGCTATGGACTCAAGCTAAGCTGCTATTGACAGTCAGAACCGAAAATGTTATTTGGGTCCTACCCAGCTCAACAACAGTAAAAAGCAATCCCAAGAATGACAATCCCAAACTGATCTGTCATTTGGGGAAACGTCCCGTCTTGAAAAGCTCTTCCTATTGAGGTACCACGGTAGCTTGGGTGCATCTAACCTAACCTCGCTAAAATGAATTACTGACTTCTTCAGATTGGCGCACTGACGAAATGCACATGCTCATTTCTCGGAAGACCTCTGAGCGCTGTTCAATTTATCTACTACAAATGGAATAAAATATGCATTGTCATATGCTGGACTCGACCACATACCAGCGAATGGTCGTCCGCCAAGAGGCTGTCAGGTATGGTGAGTCGGACAGTGATGCATAGTAGAAGTAACGAGGTATTGACGAGTGTTCAAAAAGATGGACGGTAGGAGCCATGTCCACTGGGCTATACAATGAGGGCAGCTTCATTCCATACCTGAGCTCCGTGGCGGCAGCCGATAGATTGAAATTGGAAGCACTTGAAAGCAAACGTTTTCTCACAAGAATATAGAAGGAAACGGGCCGACTTTGAAAAGGCCGTGGAATTGAAAAGACTGTTCTGGTGATAGGTAAGACTACGGAGACGATCCTCTGACTGAACGGTCCAGCCATCGTTGGTAACCTGATCAACTTCGACCTTCCCGCTTGAGGTTACATACAACTGGGCTGCATGAGTTGGAGAGCCCTCCAGTTTCCGCCTACTTCGAGCTCAATGGGGGCCACTGATCTGGAATATTCAGTCTCAAAGACCAACGTGAGCTGGTCGATAAATATGTTGATCAATCAAACGCTTCCCCTACCTAGGTAGGTCCGACATTTCATCTGACTAGTCGTGCAGCCCATCATGATAGATGGAAGGATGATATCTTGGGTGAGATGCTGCGCATGTCACTCATTTCTACTCTGCCAGGACTTGACTTGAAGGCTTTGCTACTGGCCAACTTGGAGCAATTTGGGCTTTGATCATCGAGGCGTGTTTGCATGTAGTGGTGGAGACAATCATCTGGGCAGACTGACACTTCCAAGGAATCGATCAGCGCGATATCAATACATAAGTGACATTCTCGCCAGGGCCGAGTCTATCAGTCACTGTACGCCTAAATAAGCCAAACGCATACTCGGTGTGTATCCTTCACGCAATATGTCAATAGCACCTACAGGACGGACCGTCGTAAAGACTCCACGAGTCCACGAGTCCACGGAGGCTTTCGTTTAATGTCATATACCGAGGAACGCCAAGGACTTCGGTAAACCAGACCGGGACGACCGAGCCGACAACTTCCCATGTGGATACTGTGGAGATGCGGATACAGCAGGGAATTGGTCGTCACTCATCAATGTATTTATTGCTTTAAACCGGGTCTGCACTTTGCACTTGCAGTGTTAGCCTGGTCAGGTCATCTGCAGGCATCCTCGATCAACTGTACATAGTACAAGGCGAACTGGACCCTGTCGGTAACACACAGTCCAGCTACCGTAGCATCTATTGCTCGCATCAAGAAAGTACACGCTTCATCAATTCATCTTCGCCATGGCCCCAGAGCGCGCCAAGTACACGGACGCGCAACTAGAGGCGTATCTCGAACGCATCGCCTATTCGCCGGCTGACAAGTCAATGCCAAATCTGGTTGAAGAAGCTCGCGCGCGAATTCAGAATTATCCGCTCGAGATCCTGTCAGAGCTACAAAAGCTCCATCTTGCGACGATTCCGTGGGGTAACTCGAGCCTCCACTATTCGCAGCATCACACGATCTCGCTGCATCCAGACAGTCTCTACGAGAAGATGGTAGAGCGCCGCCTGGATGGGTATTGCATGGAGAGCACAGGTCTCTTCTTCACCGTGCTGCGATCACTGGGATACCATGTCTATGCTACTGGCGGCAGGGTGAGCCCGGCCACATCGAGCGGAATTGATACTGGACTTTTTGCCTCCTTGTAAGTAAATTCGAGCCTGAAGAACCGCCGATGCATCTTTTTCTGATATTCGGAGTATTTTTGAAGGGGTCACATGATCTTGATTGTTATCATCGACGACGCTAGATATATGGTGAGCCTTGCCATTCCATGTCTGAAATTAAAAGTGCTCGGAGATTCGTTAACGAGTACGATATAGGTGGATGTCGGGTTTGGCATCAACTGCGCCACAGCACCACTACCACTTCAAGAAGGCGCTACAGCTACTTGCATTGCTCCCTCGGAGATGCGGCTTGTGAAGGAGACTCCAATCGAATTTATCGACAAGTCGCAAAAGATCTGGATTTATCAGACGAGAAAGAACCCCGAGAGTCCATGGCTTCCTGGGATTTGTTTCTCCGAGGTTGAATTCTTGCCACAAGACTTTGAAGCGATGAATTTCTCCGTGAGCCAAAGACGTACAAGTTGGTTCACACACCAATTTGTCTGCGTCCGCATGATCATGGATCCCGCGAGCAAAGAGATCATCGGTCAATGTATCATCTCGGGCAAAGAAGCCAAGAAGCGGATCGGGGGTGAAACACAGACTTTGCAAGTTCTGGAAAACGAACAAGACCGAGTGCATGCCCTTGCCAAATATTTCGGTGTCCACCTTCGGAAACACGAAATCGAAGGCATTCGGGGCTTTGTGTCCGAATTGAAATAGCTTGTTTTGACGTCAAGCACTACCAGAGAGATGGGGTGAATAGATGTGCAGCTCAATGGTATGGTACAGCAGTTGATTCTAAAAAGATATAGCGGCAGAAGGTATGTATCGAGGAACAAATTGAGGGCGCAGGCATAAGGGATTGAACATTGCAATTTTTGATTTAGAAAATCCGTTTCTCGACCTGGACCATTGATGTTAGGAGTCTGTGAAATATATGGGCTCCGACGCCGCATCTCTCTTCCTCTAGGGATACTCACCTTCCACGGCTTGCTGACGTCGAACCCGGGAGGTGCCTGGTGGTTGCTGGATTGCCCACGCAAAGAACCAGTAATGCGCAGGTCGCGCTCCATCACTATGGACAACAGATGGGTCAGCCGCGCCCGACCATGACTTCGCCAAATGCTCGTTATCCCTTCCCCATTTCCTTCTAGCTTCCGCCGGATGTTACTTACTTTGCTGTACAAAGGTTAGTCAATTTGTCCGAGTATTGTAAATTCCCGACCGGAGCCCACGGATGGAGAAGCCACTTACCCTGTCCCAGAGGTCTCGGTTCCAGCGAGGCTTCTTGCCGTCATTGGCAAAGCGCTTCACAACGTACAGGCCGGCGCCAGTGACGCCGAACATCTGCAATGGCTCATTAGTTTAAAGCTCGGAGGGAATCAAGCAGGCCAGACGCACGCCGGTGATGATCGCATAAGGAAGGAGGGCCTCGAAGGGAACACCCATCTTGACTGACGGCGCAGGTTTGTGGTATGGACGAGAAAGAAAGAGCAACGACAATTGTCAGTCAAGAACAGGACTGGACTTGTCACCGCGTAGCAGGTATCAATTCGCGGAGAAGTTGAAGGTGGAGGGGAGCCAGTCACTGGGCGGAGGTGTTCAAGGCGAGGTCTGCGCGACCTTAATCGGGTTAGTGCGCCTGACTCAGCCGCCCGCGACGTCGGACATTCTAAGTGCCAAAGGGGGCAGCGCAATGCGGCTTGATGGCGAGAGAATCCCGCTACTACAAGTGCCTGAGTATCCGTTGCAAACGCGTCGTTTGTTTATGGTATAAGTCACAGGCATATTTGTCTGGTGCCCGCTCTCATTTTGACGCCTCTTGCGACACATTTCCACTCGCCAACTTCGCGAGATCATCAATCCACCTTCGACCTGGATCCTTAGCTGCGCTCAACCTGCGCCTCCCGCCTTTAATCTCAAGCTTGAATCCCCCAAGACGCGCCCGAATTTTTCGTCAGCGAAGAAACGTTTGGAGCTTGCAACGAACCCCCATGTGCTGTCGGAGCATCATCAACACGAGCGGAGCGAGACTCTTAGCTTAATCCCGCCCGGCCTTCGTCCTCAAACAAAGACCCTCGATCGCCCCAGCGCATCCACCCTAGAGTTTGACTGCGAGGAAGAGCTGGCGACTGTCGCAACACCCAGTATGGCGGCGCCGGTGCCGCCAGCGATCGATGACCCGGATAAGCTGGACCCTCCTGCCGATCAAGCAGACAGTGACATAGACGCCGAGGGAGAGGAAGAAACAGATCTATACGATATGGACCAGCAATTACAGCACGCAGTTCATCAAGCATTCTCGGGCGAAGTCGCGGAGGAAAACGTTGATGCGGTAGTACATGGTGAAATACCGAGCCCCAGGAATCGCTACGGACAGCAAAATGGCGGGGACAATGATGAAACGGAACCAGTCGGCGCGGTGAAGCTTCCCAATCTCGAAACGGATGAGCATGATTCGGAAGGTGGCTCAGAGAACGGCGATGTTGAATCTGAGACTGCGGATGGCGAGGTCGATCCTGCATTTGAGGAAGAAAATCGACGCGCAGCCTCACAATTAAGCGAGTCCGAGTCAGGAGCCGACGATGACTGGGAAGGGGAAAGCAACGGCCATGAAGACGTCGAGATTGAGAATCCCAATGCAGCTCTTTGCATGTGAGTGACGGCAATATTCAATTGCCCAATACACTTCCCGACGACGAGTGTCAAAATGCTAACTAATTCGCCTAGCTTTTGCACACAAGACGAGGAACACGATCCAAGTGAGGATTTCGAGGAATGGTTTACTTGTGCAGTTTGCGGAGATCATTGTATGTCAGGACTTACCGGGCCTAAGCCCAGAGAGACAAAGCTCCATTTATATCCCAGTTTCCCGGGTCAGCGGCTGACTACGTTATGCAATAGCTCATCGACAATGTGCTCGGGAACAGGAAGCTCATAATGAACTTGAAGGTACGGACGAGCGATGTTTTGAGATCCCACTATTTGCTAATATCACCTGCACAGGGTCTTGGAGATGTCCTTCATGCGTCCAGAATAATCTCCAACCTGACAACTCAGAATCACCAACAACTTCCAAGCCCAAAATGACTCACCTAGCGAAGGAGCTACTTCCTGCCCACTCAGGGAATGAAGAGGAGGGTTTCCATTCGATATTTGACAACAACATCAGTGACGAGCTCTTGAACAGCTCACGGTCACTTCGGAAGAGGAAAGCCTCATCGATCGAGGCGGAAGAGCACATCCCAATTCTAAGAAAGCGGCGACGACACAATGACCTTTCTGATTTCCCACCCCCTGCAGATGGTGTTGGGGATGAGAAAGTCCACGATTCGGGATCTCCTGCTCGGCATATGCGGCCCCGTCGAACGCGCGCTGTCGATCGCGAGCATTGTCGAGTGGTGACAAAACAATCAGGCAAATTGATTCTGAGCTTTCGTCTGGACGAGAGTAAAATGACCAAGATCTTGAGTGGTCAAAGCCGACCCTCGCGCAAGAAGAGGAAACAGCCGCAGCTGCCAGCAGTGCCGCAAGAAGTGCAAGCCCATTTTGCGCCAATTCCACCACCACCTTACAACAATTACTACCAACCCTTCCATGATCGCGAGATTGACGAATTGAAATCAAAGCCTTACGGTGGTATCCTGACCGAACCGGAGGCTGACACATCCAAAACTTTGCCTTTGCAGGCGGACCGAGAGAAGTTTGAGCAGGCTCGTCAACGTGCAGAAGAGGAGTGGCAGCGAAGAGTCCAAGAAGAGGAAGCCAAGGGGGAAACGACGCCTACAGCTTCACAGAAAGTCTCCGGGCCCCCATCGAAAATCAAATACATCAATTTTGGTGGATATGAGATAGAGACATGGTATGCGGCTCCTTACCCAGAAGAGTACAGCCGCAACCGAGTACTCTACATCTGCGAGTTCTGTTTAAAGTACATGAATTCGGACTATGTTGCATGGCGGCACAAGCTCAAATGTCCCGCAAAGCACCCGCCCGGCGACGAGATTTATCGGGATGGCTCAGTTTCGATCTTTGAGGTGGACGGCCGCAAAAACCCGGTTTACTGTCAAAACCTTTGCCTGCTGGCCAAATTATTCCTTGGCTCCAAGACGTTGTACTACGATGTCGAACCATTCTTGTTCTACGTTATGACCGAGTGCGATGACCTGGGCTGTCATTTTGTTGGATACTTCAGCAAGGAAAAGCGACCCAGCTCCGCTAATAATGTTTCTTGCATTCTTACCCTTCCTATTCATCAGCGCAAAGGCTACGGCAACCTACTCATCGATTTTTCCTACCTTCTCACACGCATCGAAGGTAAAAGCGGATCCCCTGAAAAACCGCTGTCGGACATGGGTCTGGTATCTTATCGCAACTATTGGCGTTTGATTTTGTCTTATCAACTTCGCGACCTTAAAATGCCAGTCAGCATTGCGGACCTTTCTGACCGCACTGGCATGACTGCGGACGACCTTGTATCTGCCTTGGAGGGACTACGTGCTTTGGTGCGAGACCCGGTGACCAAACTGTACGCTCTCCGTCTCGACAAGGATTACTATGAAGAAGTCATCGCCAAGTGGGAAAGCAAAGGCTATGTTCAACTGAATCCCGAGGCACTTACTTGGACACCGTATGTCATGGGCCGCAACAACCAGTCTCATTTCGATAGAGCGCCACTACATGCGGTCGCACCTCGCGATGACCATGAAGACGAAGACGAGGAGGAACTGGGAACGGGGGGCGTCGCAGATGAAAACGCGATACCGGGTGGGAAAGATACCGATGTTCTTGGGGCTATCCCCGGGCCCCCTTCAACCGCTATGCTTTTACAAACAAATGGCACCCACCAACACGAACCAGATTGTGAACCACCAGAGCCTGCATCACCTCCCGACCCAGCAGCCGGCATTCCACCTTCTCGCTTCGAGATTTGGCCTCCCATCCATGTTCCTGCAGCGTCGAGGAGAAAGCTCGGTCGTCCATATGGCAGCCTGAGAGGGACCATCTCTCGTACACCTCAGGCAACAAGAACAAGTGGTCGCAATACACCGCGCCGTGCTTCAGCGTTACCTGGATTAGTGCCCAATACGAGTACCCCAACTACTCGTCGAGGTCGGAGCGCTATGGCACTGGGATCTCCAGCGCCAGATGCCACGCCAGTCCAGGCTAATGGTCATAGTAGAGGCGAAGATGAGGAAGATCGTATTGAGGAAGACGGACCACATGATCCAAGTCTGGAAGAGCTTGGCCTGGTGGTGGATGACAGTCGATCGTTCGACGATGTCGGGTCAACCCAGATAGCGCAGGTTCAGGCGACTGACGGCAGCGGCGAAGTACAAGATGAGCTTCCTATTGAGTCTAAAATCAATGGTACCGAGCACATCGTTTCCGAGTCCAGCAAGGGTCGGGATAACGAAGCCGCGATCCAACAACCTCCAGGTTCCCCCCAAACGCCAGAGAAAAAAAGGTCATCGAAGTCCAAGTCGCCACAATCGTCCCCCCAAAAGTCGGAGGACAAGAAATCTGCGTCGCCTGTCAAGTCTCCTCAAACTGTCAGTCGAAAGACGCTGATTGAAAAGGTCGAAGTGGTGGTTTCAGCCGAGCCCGAACCTGCTGCACGCCGCAACAGCAAGATCAGTTCGGCTGACACCGCACGCGATGTGGATTCAGATGTCGATGCCGAAGGCGAGGACGATGACCTGGACGGTGAATACGAAATGGACGGTGATGTAGTGATGGGCCAATGAGCCAGACGAGCGGGCGAACCACAGTGGCATTTCTCTTGTTGATGATCATGATCGAGTCTGGAGGCGCCAATGATTTCCTCTCGCCTTTGCGATGTTTTATTGCATCAGGACACGGCGTTTCGTCTTTTGATTTCCTGCTTGGCTTGAGGCGTGTTCTTTTGTGACAATTTATTTTGCATCAAGACCACGCTGGATCGGGGGCATGTTTGTGTTCTCTCTTTTTCTTCCCACCTGGCGGCTGGGCAAGATGGTTTTCCTCTGTTATAGCTGGCCTCTCGCGATACAAATGGCGGCTTCGGACCCTGGGAGGCATCCCAGCCGCACGGCATGTATGTACGAGAGATCTTGACCTAGTCAAACTTTGAAACACAGCAAATCTTTCTCACGTGCATATTGCCCTGCCCGATTTATTCTGTAAGCCAAACACTCGGAGCCTGGCTCCGCATCCTTCCAATGATTATAAGTACACCTGATGTTCGTTGATTGATGATAAACCTTGGGCGACGAAGAAGGTATTTTTACATTACAGTCTTTATTCGTTTCCTACTGCCTCGAAGAAGTCTCAAAGTAGTAGGATCTTGAGAATGGGCTCTTCGGTGTCTGGAAACAGCAGAAATTCGTAGTTTGTAATCCGCAGATTGGGCGAGTTTAGCCTTCAGGTATGACGTTCTACCCACTTGGGTAGGCAATTAGATGTAAGTTAGTACCTAATTTACCTGCACATCGATAAATGTGGAATCAATTCATCGAAGCTCTGGCTCCAATGGGCAGTCGCCGAGTCAAATTCTTTCTCTTCTCCATTCCGTCTTCGAATGCTCATACATGTGTAGAGCTCCAAGTCTGGACCGATTCGCACCCAAAATATGACAGCCCTACCAGCGGAGGAGTTTGAACCGCATTATATCAGCGGCAGAAGTGTTTAATTGAATCTCTCCAGTCTTTAGCTTGCCAATCACACGGGTAAACAATGAAAAACCGGAACAGTCGCACAAAGCTATTTACTAGTGTCCCGTGACTTATAGCGTTCCTTCGATTGAACCGTTTTGTCTCGGCAGGCGGACCCGACGGGACGGTACTTCGGAGAAAGTTCTCGATTGAGAGCCCCGTCCTTCCGCGGCAGGTTGTTCCTTGCGAAGATGCATTTTTGAGTGGAGCGCGGGCTTTGGAACTCTGCTGAGCACAAAGCCCGGTCTGTACTACAAATTTCAGATGAGCGACCAAAAGGAACTACTGCATGTGTGAGGAGGAGAGGTGGATAGGTCTTCGTAGATGAGATCAGGTGCGTCCTGTTACAAGTAGTTTGGTTCGCGATCGGCGCAACGCCGCAACCAGTGCCTCCGACTCGGAACAGTAGGTTAGATACCGAAGCAACAAACGACAATTCTGTCGCTGCCGAATTGAAACGTCTACGAAGAGTCTCCTGGCCATTGCATTATTAGCGAGGAGCCAAAGACACCCAAGATTTATAAAGACGAGATATCAGGGGCATTAAGGGTACGGGATCGACCTGTACCATCTGAGTATCCATGGAACGTTCAGCGCCCCCAGGTTTGGGACCAAACCGCGGGCCATGCGTTTAAGCATAATCGTATAGCGTTCCAGCTGGCGAAGATGTTTGGGTCGGAGGAGCCGCTGTCAGATGCCGTGCAGAGAACCGGCCTTTTTGCCTTGTTTCAAATTGTTCGGAGAAGATATTTCTTTTTTTTTTCCTTGTCAGGTTTTTGAAGCTTATGTACATAGTCCCCGATGGATGCTCTGTGGATCCAGGCTAAATCCAGGTACGGATGCTGATGGATCCATTGCTTGTGCTTGGGAGGCAGCATGGAGCCTGGACGAAGGCCTGGAGGCAGAAAGGTCGGCCACAATCTTGAATCCTGCGTAATATTCTCCGGCTCTCTTGGCTCCCAGGTTTGGAGGAGACGAACGGTTGTCCATGTCATACTGCTCTGGTGATTAATTGACTCAATTCAGATTGCGCAGGATTCTCAGTCCATGAAAACCTCTCATCAAATGTCGGAGGTTTACCGAGTCGGTCTGCAAGTCACGTACCACAGGGTCACGGACGCCTCTTTTCGCATGCGCTCGACGAAGCATCCCCGTTTGAATCCCCCGATGGGGACGGGCGCACTTCATGTCCCACCGGCTGTCCCGCTTATGAACAGCAACTACCCGCGCAAGAAGCCTAAGAGGAAGAAAATTCCCGGGTGCCACTTTGTCGTGCGTCAGAGCAGACGAGCCACTGTTTGTTTTGGACTGATTATCCGACGTTCTCCTTCCCCTGATTCAGCATCATTACCGTTATCTGGGCTGATTCGGATGAATCTTGCGGTGGATTTTTGATTATCATGCGCAGGGTATCCTCTTTTTTCGCTCCCATATTGGCGGGCTGTTCGCTCGCCAGCTTCGGATCCTCTTGTAGCCACAGTGGTATGTGTCTGGTGGAGGCACATTGATTTCTCGTTAGCGCGATCAAAAGGAAAATTACGCGCTGCTTGGGATTTTCTTTTCCTTTCTCTTTCCGTCTGCTCTCTATCTTTCTTTCTTTCTTTCGTATGCCTTGACGAAAATTGAATGTCAATCTCGTGAGCCTGGTTTCTTGTTCGGTAGCTCTTCGATCTGCTCACCTGAGTTGTCCGGTTTGGTTGCAATACTCAAGTCATACTTTCAGCCTTACCTTGGCTTATCGAGATCGACACGCCTTGTCCTATTGAAAATCATCACACGCCTCTCTGCGCTCATCGACAAGAAGAGTTCTCTAGACGTCCACTCAGGGCCTCGTCATGATGATTGCTTGTGTCGAGAGTGAAAAGGTCCGAGGGCTTAGCACAATGCAAGCGAGGCCCATCAATCTTGTGTCCCAGTCGATCAGGAAGATCACTAGCCTGCAGTTATGATATGAGCTGGGTAAGATATTTTTTGTCTGACAGTCTTTCCCACTTCAACAGCATGACCACTGGATCATTCTGCCCGTGATGAAAATCTTCCAACCTCAATTCCCGCCAGCGTCCGGACGATCTTCGGAGGACCGTTTTTTCTGTCTTGGCTCAGTCTGTCTGGACGACGGCGGATCCTATCGGCGGGGCCACTAACGCCGCGGCGTTCCTGGAATAAGAAGCTCCGACCAGCGCATGGCTGTGAGGCGAGTTGTCGATCTGATGGCTAACTGGGCGAATGATTGCGCCCTCGCATCCCATCTCTACAACACAACGGAGATTTCGACTGCATCATCAGAAACGCTCGACTCGTCAGAAGCCCTATCGTCTGACAGCAACCCTTGCAGAGGATCACCGCACTATCGACTCCTTCAAACTCAGCTGACAGTACACTCGCCAATGAAGCGTGGCCGTGTCAAAGACTTTCTCTCTCCATCTGTGTTCCATCCTTGTCGAATTTTTGCAAGCAACTCTGAACCGAAACTTATTCGGGAGATACCCTGCGTACTGAAGTACGAACCCGTCGCCGCAATTCCGCACTCTGTCACGATTGATTCCGATCTTCGCCGCGTTTGTCGCTTACTGAGTTGACAATGAAGCCGCCGACACTTTTCGCCGGAGTAACACCCCGCACCCGCTGTTCGCTTTTCTTAGTGTGATGGTTGGCAGTAATCATCGCAATTCAGGTGGCCCCCATCCGAATGTCAGACGTAGGGCGCACGCAAACTCTGCAGCAAGACAAAAACCAAAGAACAAAAGTTTCTTCTGCACAAGTCAAGCCTGGATCTTCCTGGACATGAGTTAATGCACGAGGCCCAATGGGTGCGCAGTTGGAAAAGCCCGGAAGAATGCTCCAGGTGCTGACGCATGACCGTGTCGGCGGATGGACTCTAAGGTCGTGCGCCCGAATCAAATCTGGGAAAAAAAGAACTCGCAGAAAAAGTTCGAGAGAGCGTTCGACCTGCAGGAAGTCCGGCGAAATTGGGATCGGTTTCCAGAGTGTCGGGTCCGGCTGGGTTCTCGATCTCGCTCCGTTGCAGTAGTCACAGGCGCCACAGCTTGCATGACTAGAGCACAATGTGATAGATCGAAGCATGCGACAACAATGAGTGTTTTCATGCTGAGTTTGCCTCCTCAAATGCTGCTCACTACTGACTTTACGTCGACTTCGGATCGGAGTTGTTGCTTTGCAAACTTTCTCACCCCATGAAGGTTTCCCAATTCAGAAGCTCTGCTGTGCCCTCTCTGCGTCCTCTCAATTCAAAAAAGGTTCTTTGGCACTGTCTGAGGACCGGAGTACTTTTTCACACAACAAACCTCGCTCAATCCACAGCCACAGGCAGTCAGATCGATCCCGAACGCTTTACGGCAAGGGTCATTTCCGTGGTCAGTTTCCCACTGTGAACTCGACCTCAAGTCAGATCAGGGGCGGCGGCTCAGGAGAGTGAGACAGAATACCCTGATGGGACGAAGTCGAAAACCTTGAGTGGATGCTTGTGGCGAGAAAGAATCGATCTTCAGCTGCGGGTTTCGACAAGCTCTAGACAAAGGCACGGGCATACCGTGCGCACAGGAACTTGGTAGTTCCTTCTTGCCTGAGATCCTAATTATCACGGACTCTGCGATCTTGGAGGATACTTGGTGCGAGTGTGCCTTGTGATACATCCTTCTTGGACATCTATTTTGTCCGCCATCCAGTGATCTGGGAATGATCTGGCTCTTGGCTTCGCTGGTCGGAATTGCGCGAGTTTGTACTCTCACAAACCACCCTGCGAGGGGCTTCAGAAGTTTAGACCAAATCGCCAAGTCAGATGACCTCAGGCCGACCATCGGTCAGGCTCGGCGCTCAGCAGACTTGCACGCCCTCCTCGTGATCGCACTCAAACCACTTCGATTTTGATTTTGCTTTTTTTTTATGTCATCCCGTCTTCTTTCACTAAAGTCTTCCATCTGAAATTTGGGCTGATCATCTTTCCTCGAATTGATTGCCCCGGTTTCAAATTATCACATCCTGGTACCTCGTGTCGACGGCTCCGCATCGTCTTGTGTCAGGTGTGTACCACAGACTCAGAGTGGGTGCGAGAACAGCGATATTACTTGGTACGCGTGCAGGGCCCGTAGCTGGATCTCCCGCTCGAGAAGCTCCGCTCTTCTGTGACGGCCTTGCAGTGCTGCTGTGCCCAGCCCCGGACGTGACTGGCCCTAGTGCTTTCACTGAGAAAAAGCTAATCAGGCTTGCGCAAGGACATCTTCCCCTCCTGCACGAAATACAGTACTTTCACTGCATTTGGGAGCCTCCCATTCACCGTGAGCCCAGCGGAGTGACGAGCAGTGACGAGCCTAGGTCCATCTCCATTTCTCGGTCGCCTTTCCCCAGATCTTGGTCGAGCATTAGGCCATGCGGCTTGAATCGTGCATATCCTGGAATCCACTCTGACTGGAATGTTTAGACGCCGGAGCTGGGACCGAGTCCACTTGTCGGAGTTCACCAGTAGCTCATTTGCTGTTCACATCCGTGATCCTGGCATTTATTGCCTGTCTAGCCGAGAAGGGCGGTTTGGACGCTTCCTAGACGGTGCTCTTGCAGACGCAGGCCCGGACTAGCTCACGGACTCGAGTCGATCACCAGGGCCACCTCTCTTCTAGCTATCCTGATTCGGTGCCGTCGAGAAAACCTTTTTTCTTTCTTACCATCGTACCATTGCACCGTCTTGCTCTTGCACAAGGGGCTTCTTTGTGGGAATGAACTGTACTGATCAACCTCTCTACTTTTTACTTACTCTTACCTCCCTGGCCCTAGTGTGTTCCAATTTGTTTTCTGAGCATTTGACCCTTTCGCACATCATATTTTCTTGCGTGCATACTGTCCCTTCTCTGGGACTAACCAAGTCTCCGAAGTTCTGACGACGCTCGGCCACCCGGCCGGTTGAATGTGCGCATCATCCCGATCGTCGCCAGCGTCAGTGCCATCAGTGCCACCAGTGTCCACTCCAACCGTGGTAGACTTCGGCGACCCAGTTCAGGCCGGACCTACCACCAGCTGAATCCGTTTCGGCTTTGCTTGGGTGATTCGGTTTTTTCTTATTTCCTCTTCATTTTTTTTTTCAATATCCATTTTGCACGCGACTATCGTTGTGCTCCCTTTTTCTTCCAGTTCCTTGCCGGCGTAACCGCCTGCTGCTTTCGATCGTGGGCGACCCATTCGGATTCACAACGGTCCTCGGCCACTGAAGCCTTCTCGGGCTCCACTCCCCAGCTGGACACTTGAACAGAGTACCTAGTGAACTTACACTACTAGTACTACGACCAACTTGCTCTTACTCCCCAAGTCGGCGTCACGCACGCAGCGTGCTGGCTGAGACCGCCCACACTCCACTGTGTTCAGTTTACACCCTTCTAGTACATGATCACGGTGCGAACAGGTTCTTGAGACGGGGGATTGATCGCTGTTCGGAGGTTCCTGTTGCCTCAATCGCGCCTGAACATCTCGCTTCCTCCCGGGACGGGACCTTTATCCCCTTGCTGCGCCGGCTCCAACCAGGTGCCGGACACGCGATCTCCATTACTCATTCACTCGCCTCTTGTGGCTCGTGCAAACTCTGCGGCGAGACAACTGAGCCAGCGGACTTGGCAGGAGTTTGTCCCCCATTCTTCTCTCTGTGCCCCTCTCTTTTTCTCCCTGCATCTTCCGCCAAGTTCCAACTGCCCTATTGGCTGCACCTTGTATAAAATTTTCAGGTCCAATTTTTCTTCCTTCTCCGCTAGCGTCGACGCGAGGCTGAGACTCTTGAGGCTACTAGTCGATTCCCGACGCTGATTTGCCCGCGTGCAAAATATCGACGCCCAATTGCGGTCCGCGCTGAATAGACTGTGGAGGGGCCACGTCCGGGACCTGCATTTGCTCCTGCAGCATTAGATCATCATTCCAACCGTCCGCACTCTCCGCGGTCGGAAACGCCTAGTCAAGGTCTTGGTCGGTGCTCTCAAGGCTGATCGGGTACTCAGCCAGTATCTCAGAGGATCTGAGAATTTGACCATCCGCGCACCCTCTGTTGAAGCATTATCTGCACCACTGCTCCCGTTGACACTTCCCGGTGTCGACCTGCCTCGTCCCAGAGATCGTTCCGGCCTTATTGCCTTCCGACCCCAGCGATCGCTTCCGCGACTTCCACTGGACTTCCTCTATCGTGACAAAGGTCACTCACTCGCCTAGGACTTGATCTGGCGTCTTCCAGTCGCATTCACTTGCACATTTTATTTCCCTTCTCGTTCTTCCCCTTGGACCATTTCCGATTTCGAATTTCTCTTTTCTGTCGCAGTGTGTCACTTTCTTCCGCGCTCTCAGCTCTGCTGCTACTGGCCTATATTTCTTAAGACGGGGTGCTTTCGTGATTTTCGGGGGTGCTGCATTTGTAGTCATCTCATTCCGTTCGCAGCAGGTACCGTTTGCGGCGCACCCGCATTGGTTTTTCCACCACCGTCACAAATTGACCTATCCCGCGACTTCTACCTTTGTTGCATTACTCGACAATCCAAGGGTCCATCCTCCTATAGTCCTGCTGCTTCATCAAAAGCCCTTGCTCGAGATCTAAGAGGAAATTGTGGGAAATCTCGGAGCAATTTTTTCTTCCAACTGTCCTAGTGGTCTCGATTCATTACCTACGTTGTGACACTCTCTCTCACCCTCTTGACTTCTGCGTCATCAATTTGCCAGAAGCTCTAAACAGATCGCGTGCCTCTGCGGGTTGACTCTGGTGGATTTTTTTGTGCTTTTTGGCGCACATCCGACGGTAGTTGCTGGGTTGCTTTCCATGGGACCTTATTTGTCGTGGACGACTCAACGCTGGTACTGCACCCGGAACGCTCCATCCCAAAGTCTGGATTCGCCTTCCATTCTTCCTGCCTCATCCCACCCCCCACTACAGCTAATCTTTCCATCCACCGCCGATACCACTCGTCGTCTACCATCAAAGTCATCAGTTGGAACCTCCCGCCGTCAAATCTTCATCCACCGGAGCGCACACACTGTCAACGACATCGTGACTCGTCCTGCGCTCTTGAGCTTCCCCGGGCCCATTCTTTTTCCTTGCAATCGCCCTCCTGTGTCCATCCTCATTCCTTGTCCCGTTGCCTTTTTCTCCCTCCCACTACTTGCGCATCCGTGGACAACGCGCTAGTATCGCTCCTCCCGAACCAACCTAACTAATTCCGCCCTCAACTCGAGCTCGTTTCCCCGGTCTCTTCATCCGCGGACTGCTCTTGCCTTGGGTCTTCGCTGATCCCTTAATTCTTTTTGTATCAAACCTTTTCAATTATCTGGGTCATCGGTTCCACCTGTCCGCCTTGATGAGTGCATCGACGTTTACCGACGCCTCTCTTTCGCGCGAAGCTCAGAGGTACGTAGCCAAGACACAGCTTCACCAGCTGGAAATGTCTCCTCCGTTTCTTTGATGATCTTGTCCTGTACTTGTTCGTTGCGGCTCCGTCTTCTTAGACAACCCACGTCGTTGTTCAGTCGCTTGCTATAGTTCCCTGCGTCTTGCTGCTGGTATCTTGAGAGCATGACCGGGTCGCAACTCTTACTCGTTCATCCAGGGAACTCCACTGACCATGTTGTCCCACACCAGTTCTGATTTTGATCTGATCATCCGCCAGCAGCCCGACCGGGCGCGCGTTGCTGGGGGCAAAGAGAAAGGTACGTGATGGTCTTGCATGAAGCACGTCCGGTGTGATGATCTTTGCGGGTGACGGTAGTCAACGCACCAAGATCGTTGCAGCCCCTCGCAGAACGGATGAGACCAGCAACGTGGGTGCTGGACTGAGGGGAAAGAGGACTTTTGGCGAGACGTGCTGGCTGGTGATGTACTGACGGGCACTGACAGAGCGCAAACCCATCGATCCGCCCCCGATCGTCCAGCTTCGGGTGCGCGAAGAAGGCTCCTACCTGGCCCAGTAAGTAGACTGCTACACGATGGTTTGTCGATGACCTTGGGTGCTGACGTTCTCGACAGACACTATCTGCAAAGTCCGTACTACTTCATGTGCTGCAGTCTGTACGATGCCACAGAGGATCGTCCGGTGCCTGTTGCGCCTTCTACAGCTCTAGCGGGAACGCTCGTTTCGTCTCTTCACCGGTTGAAGGACGTGGATAATAGCGGTATGATTTCCCAGGTCGGACGCTTTTCACTTGATCTAAGAGTCACTGTTGCTGACTGTGGGTTTAGATGGTGGGTTCTTCGTGTTCGGCGACTTGTCGGTGAAGATCGAGGGCGAGTTTCGTCTCAAGTTTACCCTCTTCGAGATGCGAAAGTAGGTCATCTGCTATCCACCTTTGAGATCCGGAAATTGACGCATGCGGCTAGGGATGTTGTGACATACTTGAAAACTGTCATCTCAGATCGATTTAAAGTCTCGCCGCCTAAGAACTTTCCCGGAATGATGGAATCTACCTTCTTGTCGCGGTCTTTTGCAGATCAAGGTGTCAAATTGCGCATACGCAAAGAGCCTCGAACGATGATGTGAGTTCTGACGGAAGCCCTTCTCGAATGGCCTCAACAGTCTGGCGCATTTTACCGGGAGGTGTACACTAGAACCTTCGGGATTCAATGCTCACGGCATGTACCAGGAAACGGTCTGCGCCTCGTCCCGATGAATTCCCTCAGACGGCTGCGCCTCGATCACCTGAACGTCAACCGGTGCAGATGACGCCTGCTGTATCTGGGTTTGCGGCCTATCCTGTATCGGCCACGTCTCGCGACTACAGCCAGTACTATGGAGCACCTCCCGTCAAGCGCCATCGCACGTCGATCGACTACGGGCGACAAAATATCTACGAACAAGATCCTCGAATGGCGGCTCGTCCGATCGATCCATACAGCCAACCCACGCCAATGTACAACCAGCAAGCTGCCTACCAACAACCAGCAATGCAATCTTATCAGACAAGTCAGGTGGTGCCAGACTATGGGGTTCGTCCAACAAACTGTTCTTCCAAATTCGCGCGCGGCGCGATTCTCCAATTCTCATGTCATCTTGTTTACTGACATTCTTTGTGAATTTTCACCTTTCAGATGTCATACGGCCTTCACCCAAGCGCCGCCTCAATGTCGCAAATGACTGACTCATCTGGTCAATCCCGTCCCAGTCAGCAAGCCTCAGTTGGGCAGATGATGACTATGAACCAACCTGGCACACCTGTACGGCACCCCAAAAGTGAGTATTAGATGTGAAAAGCTTCGGGGCTAAGACTTGTCTTCCTCCTTGGAACGGATAGCAGACACCGGACTCTACCGCAGCAATGATGGTGCATGGCTACCCTCGATCCGGATATCAAACGCCCGAGGCCACGACGATTCTTCCTCCATTACAGCGCGGCTACAACCCTGCCCCTAATGGATCCGGTGCACGCGGCCTGTTCGAACAACCTCCATCGGCAACTTCGATTCTCCCTTCGCAGATAGGACCTGAAAGTAACCGTTATGGCCCCGTGAACGAAAGTCCTCAGTGACCCGAGACACCCGCGATTGCCTCATATATCTATCTCGGTGATCACGAACAGTGCAATTGCAGGACTTTGAATTCTACGACCGAAACGCTTGCCGGTGGCCGCTGTGTCAAATGCATCAAATCTACCAACAATCTCGACCTTCTTGTCTCTCCTTTGTCACTCAGCCGGGCTGTTGACCTAGACGGTTACATCCTGGCTTTCACTTCCTCTACTTTTTTTTATTATGAAACTTGCTTTCCTGTCTGTCTGGATAGACGGAGAGACTTGCTAGACTTTGTGCTTTTTGGGTCCCCCTCGACATGACTTTACCGAACGAATCTGGGTTCCATTGGTCTGGTGCTCTGAAAGTTGTTGACTTTATCTTTTGCTCTGTTATTCTTCCTCGTTGAGTAGTTGGCGCTGGTGGAATGGATAAACTCGAAAGAGCGGACGGAGGCTTGAATCCTTTCATGTTTGCTGTTTGCTTTTCTACAAAAACAGGTGCACTCATCCTGACGAATTGTGGATGCGCTCACCCTTCCATGTACATACACTGGCGCTCTTGCTTCTCGCTTTTCCTCGCTTTTTCATTTCGATGGAGGTAGTGTGTGCAAATTCAATGCTTTGCGCTTTTCCAATCATTAATTTTTCTCTCTTCTTATTCCGAATTTCAGCTCAGGGAAAAGTTCTTATCGTGCGACTACATACTTCCCCGTGCCAATATTTTCGTCTCAAGTGGATCTGACTGTGTGTTCAATCCTACCTACCTACCTGCCTACTTTGTCGTGTGCTTTCCTCTTTCCTCATCACTTCCTTCCGAAACATCTCCCTGATGACACTAAGCTCTTTCCACGCATCAATGTTCTGGGTGACCTTTCACCCTACCTTCTTCGCCATTTGCTCTTACAACCTCACCATCAACAATCGGCATCATGGAGACTTTTCCGAACCCGTTTTGCAATCTTGATCTGTGGTGTGACTGGTCCGGCGATCCCCTTGACACAGTCAGTGTTTGTATGACCGTCGAGGTATGTTGACTCACCACAAAGTCTTCTTTGTCGAGCCTTGGATGCTTACAACAGCTGGTGTGTTCAGGTCTGGTGTGACCCCGGTTCTCGGATTACCGTGATGGACACTCGCCATCCATTAGTTGAACATTTTTTGGAGTTCACAATCAGCCCAACCGAGAACAGCGAAGAGGACGACAGTGCAAGAGCTTCGTGCGACAGCCCGAGAAGACACAGTGAACAATATGAAGAAAGCAAAGCAACTCCAACGCCGTCAGCTCGATGTGGAGAAGAGATCCCGATGACAATGAAGACCGAGCTCCCTTTTACTCCAGAGACATCTCCAGATCATGCAACCCTGCAGTTCGGCTCCACAGAAACCACGTATCACGTCCCGGATCTAGGTCGAGTGTTCCGAATAGATAGCACACCTGATGGGTCTCCGGGACCTGATCTCGACGACATCTACGCCACGGTTTTGCGGGGGGGATCATCCCCGGGTCATCAGAGTGCAGGCGGACAATCCCCCTCAAACCCGCGCAAGCGAACTGCCAGGGCAGCTTCCTTGCCTGACTCCGTGACAGATTCGGAAAGGCCATACGGGGGTGAGACGCTCAAGAATCTACAACGGGCTGAAATGAGAGGCAGACAATCATCGGCCTCGACAACTTCTTCACACTCCAAGCTTTCCCGCAAAAGTCTGATCCCTCGGCCGATGAGCTTGAAGACACCACATGTCCAGCTTGACTCCTCCCAGATCACAACTTTGGCAACGTCTGTGCCGACTTTATCTGCTACTGAGTCCGAGCTCTCGGCTTCAGACGTAGTGCCTGGTGAGAAGATTTCGCAAGATGGCTGCGCGAAAATCGAACAAACATGTGATTCTACGCAAAACACAAAGGATGTCTCCGGTTCTCACGCAAGTTCGATCGCGTCCGCTGGATTTGTATCAGAAAATGATCTCGGCGATGCTCGCTCGTCTTTGAACGACATTGAAACACTCTCAACAGTCGCATCGGCTGGTAGCTCGTGTGACCAGACCGCACTCTCGAACCCAACTTATGCGTCAATTGGAAGAACTCCGGCCTTGAATGGGGAGATTCCGGTCCGCAGTGATCGCGTCGAGACGCCTCCTCCGCGTATGTTCGTGTCAGACCAGCCGATCCTTCGTTTAACAGAACAAATTCTCCACATCAATTGCTCCTCAAACGTCAGGCCATCCTGGTACAAGGTTCAAGCAATGTTTAGTCTTCGTCTTCAGACAAAACAAACCCGAGGCTGGTACTCACTTGTGGTTCCTGGACTGCCTGATCTCAGTGCAACTGACCATGGTTATGTGTACCTACGGATCCCGGATGGTCAGGGTCTAGAATTCCGAAGTTTACACTTTCAAAAATACGAGATCGTTCAAGGCTGTCTAATTGCCCAGTTCCGACTCATTCAATCACAATTGGTTATCCCTCTTCGTCCCTGTGACGCTCAGTTCTATGGATTTCTTCGCGACTTTAGGGTCAACCATAGTATTTCGAGCCGCCTGCTTTCAGAATCCGGTCACTTTGGTGCTCCCATGTTTGAGTACACTGCGATTTGCTCATTGGACTTGATACACCGTGACTTCTGGGCAGAACAATGCGGCTTCCAAATCTACATACATGGAGGTCCAGATGGGGAGTTCAGCTGTCATCTTGACACACCACTTGCGGACTTTCAGGTCATTCAGTTGGACTCGAAGCCCCAAGCCCAGATGGGGATCACGCAACTGCAGGTCATCTGCACCTTGGCGAATCTTAACTTTTTTGTGATCACTTGGCAAACTTGCTTGCCCGAAGCTGAAGGTGCAAGCTGGACGCCTCGTATCACTGCCACTAGGGATGGTTACCAGGTTGAGGAAGGGCTGCAAGCTCGATACTTTGCAGCTGAGTATGATGAGCATGAAGTGGTGCGCGCGGAGGCCAGATCGCGACTGGTCACCTTCAAGGGAACATACTATCGCTCGAAACCCAGATCAATGCTCGGCTGGTTGGTGTTGTTTTTCGTTGCTCTCGTCGCATTGACATTCTTTCAGGCCCCGATCAATATTGACTTGTACAATGAGTTCAATCGTTTGAAGCCGGTTGTGGAAGACTGGGGTACTCGTCTCCTCAATATGAAATTGCCCGAGTCGAGACATCCAGCAAGCGACAAAACGCGGCAGCAAATCGATACGACTGACGTGTCTCGTGAGGTATCTGAGATTGTCGCGAAGTTGGGAGACGAACCATTGAAGGCCGTTCATGGTCCGATGCATTCCGAACAGGACACAACGCACCCATCGTCGCAGGTAATGAGCAGCCAGCCTCAACTCAATATGCGAGATCGGTTCGATTACCTCTTCGGCTGGAGGGGCCCAGTCAATGATGGGATCTGACGAGGGTTGGAAACGCAGCGCGGCTTCAGGCTGACAGAGAGTGCCTAGGTGGTAACCATCTGTGGTGTTTATGGAAATACCGCGTCACGTATGTAGAGTTCACCGATGCTCTATAATACTGTAATCATCTCTCTTATCAGACATCCGTGAAGTCCGGTAGTGTGGTTTGCCAATTGAACAACAACATTCTTAGCGATGCAGGAGATTAGGTCTAGCCAATCTCAGACCGAAAATAGAATAGGGCTCATTCATTGAAATTGATCATATCCTGCCTATCATCCCACGATTCACCTTTCGAGTCATCTTCAATCAATGTAAAATGACATAATTTCATCCACTGCCCATCGTAACACGATCTCCATTCCCACGGAGCCTTTCCCCGGTGCTACCTTGATACCAACATCGTGGCGAACCTCGACACCTTCTCCGACCCTTGCTTGTATATCCTCGCCCTTCTCTGTGGGACCATCTCCACCAACCAGTAGCCATGCATGATCACGCACATATCGAGGCCAAACAATGTCATCAACATAACCAGGTGGATCAGTCCAGAAGTTCTGCGGCGGCCGATCATCTTCGCCTTCAAGGTCAACCTCCTGCGGCTTCCCCGTCTCGTTCACCATCTCCGTTTCCGTTTTCTTCCCTTCTTCAACTGCAGCTGGGGGATCCGGCGCCGGCCCAATCGTCACATACCCACTCCTCCCTTCCCTCCTCGCCTTGACGGTCGAATAAGCCGCCGGCAAGAATAACGGCAACCCAATCTGCGCATGAACGGGCTTCAGTGCCCCGTGATCAGTCGGATAATGCTTATCACCTGCCATCGCGGAATGACCGTCCTCGCCCCTGGACAAGGCATATCCGTCCGGCGGTGCATATAGCAAAAAGCCCTCCATGAACACCAGAGTCGGAAAGTGCGGTTTCAACCGCGCAGCAGCGGACAGGATGCGTTGCTCGACCTCAGAGCGGATCTCAGCGAGCAAGGTTTCTGAGACACATGGCCCTGCTTCCTCGTTTTGGTCTTCTTTACTTTGGAGGCGGGGTGGGAGATGGCCGTGGGTGCGGACGTAGGAGAGTGCTTGGGCGAGGAATGATGTGTCTATTGCGGAGGAGGTATCCCAGTCTTGGACAGTTTTGCCTGATGGGGTTGTTGTGTATGGGATTCTGTTGGCGGGGAGGAAGATAAGTTAGAAGTTACGACCTGGTATTATGGATTCATGACATGACAGTAACCGGGGCATCTCATGAGTGCAGGATGTAGACTACGTACTTGTCATCCGGGTAATAGAAATCATCCTCATGAATGATAAAGGTCTTCAATCTTGGGTTCTCCGAGCTCACGCTCTCATCCGACGCCGAGGCAATACGAACTCCCGAAAAGATGCGCTGTAGAAGTCGTGCCAGAGTAGTCTTGCCGCTGGATGAAGGCCCTGAAATGCCGACAATGACAGCTTTTTGGACCTCGTCCCTTTGAGAAGGCATCACTGTCGTCTTGATCTTGTTGCAGTCGAGGACTGGGATCCGTCACTTTTGAAGTGAGCACCTACAAGATCTCATTTGAGGGGCTTTGTGGGGATATTATTGTATGGTTGTTTATGGAGGGGCTTGCTTATCGATAGCGGGTTGTGATGGATGATGGCATTGCTTATCTCATTGTCTCATTGATAACCTTAGCGGGTGAGGTTCCTGAATATGAATTATGTGCGTAGTTATACGAATGATGATGGCATCAAGTTCACAACATCTAGCTGAATAAGGCACGCTGCTGAAATTATCAATTTTTTGTATGGCATCGTGTTTACGTGATCTCACGTAGTCATTGTGAGTCAGCTGATATATTATTGACCACAGAGACGACAACAAGGCGAACAGCATCCAGCTGTAGAGCGACAAGGCACGTGATAGTCACAGCTGCAGCGGGCGCTAGCCGCATACAGCTAGCGGTTTCGTTGTTGGCACAATCGGTGATGTGAGCCTAAGCGCCGAATCCCGGATCCTACACCCTTATCCATCGCACGATGTGAGGCTAAATCGCATCTGAAATGAGAGATTCATCAGCTGATCAAACCTATGGAGAGTGAGGGTCAATGATCTCATTGACCACGATGCTCAAGATGACTACCACAGCTGACGGGTCCCCCATCCCCAAAAGGCGCGAGTTAGATCAGCCTGGATCATCTGGAGATCCTCAAAGCTCATGGTGTCGCAAGCATGACTCTCCAGATGTTTGAAGAGATCCGTCAGGCTATGGAAAGTCTTCCGGCACCAACCAGAGCTGTCTGGGCACTGGTACTGTCTCAGAGGAGAGCGACTCGGATTCGACAGGGGGAATCTCGTATGCCATTCCAGGTCGTGGCGTGTCTCGAAGAGCCGGAAGCATATAAAGCACCGGTGACTTGGATCCTCGCCCGGCTTGCTCGTGTCTTCCTCAATCCATTGAACCCAATAAGGTGTCCATCTAAGTAGCTGGCCCGGGGTGCCGATATCCTTCAACAAACAAAGGATGCTGTGGTGATTCAGGCCGGGAGCACCAGCACAGTGTCCGTTCTCGAGGTGGCCCATGAGGATGCTGGCCTTGGTGAATCGGTCGCCGCAGAATGGGCAGAGGGTGAAGCCCACTTGGTGCACATTGGAGATCAAGTGCTATGTCCGCTGGTCAGTCAGTCTATGGGCTCTGATGGAACGGAGGGTGACAATCATGGCTTCTTAACGTACGCTTCGAAGCGCTTCAGGAGTCTTGCAGTCGATCTCGCACCAGAAACATTCATTTGGCCCCAAGAACTCGGGATCCTTGGCCATAGGCAGAGCCTTACTGAGCTCGGTGTTGACATCCTGTGTTTCTTTGCGGGCCGCTGACGGTCGGTCTTTTCGCGTCCAGGAACCTCTGTGACCCATGATTGGAAGGTGCACGTGTGGTCAAGAAGACGTGGTATCTGTGGATGGTCAACGAGTTGAACGAAATTGAATCGCTTTCCAGTGATGGAACGAATATCTTATAGGATGAAAGAGAATACACGAACAGGATGAAGGGGATAGAAAGCTATGACGAGAATAACGATGTGAGAGGGGGCGGTTTGGGGCTGAGACTCACGACGAGAAGTAGAGAGGTCTTGACAGCCAGGCGAATTGCCAGATACGAAGTTCAGTTATGGCGCCGCTTTTGAGAAGGACACTCGCTCGTCCTCAGGCAGATCACAAGTCTCCGGTGCCGAAGAGATTGGAAACTCCAAGCAATCCGCTGCAATTGTATTTTTTGTCATGATTGCGCCTGTTAGATACAGACTCGAATCATAAAGTTCACTTATCCTGGCCTGCCTTTTGGGAATATGCTATATTGTCAGAGGAGACTAGCCAAAAGCGTATACTTAAGGGTTCATAAATTCTTGTTGACTTTTCTGATCTCGACCACATGAGACTAATGTACTCATCTCATAGAGCAAGGCTTTGCAGCGCATGAAGCTCATCACATGAGGTCATACCCGTATTGTTCAAACACCAGCTCTTTTGTATGAAGTGTTTACGACTTACCATTTCCACCGTGAAGAACTTGCCCTCGACTTGCCCAATTCAATAGGGTCTTCTGATGATTCCGGCAGGAGGATCTCGAAGTTCTGTGATTTTACAATCATATATATATACTGAGGTAGGTATTCTCACAGTCGGCGACACCGAACATCGACAGAGAGTCCTTTGATCTAGCAATTCTTCATTTCCGCACATGAGTCCGTTAGAATACGTCGATAGCCCTTGACGTGGCTTAAGGATGCAGTGTCTGTGTCCACACTCCACGCAAGCCAGTCACAGGCGTATACCATGCCTGAATAGGCATGCCAAGCTATCGGCTGAGCGGTGTACGTTCTGCCACTCACTAAGTCCATGTCGCCGTCAGTCCCCCCCCCCCCTCCCCCAGGCAAATGCCATGCTGCATGAATTTGCCAGACTCATATCATCTGTGCGGCTGACCAGGGCTGCTTTTTGGTGAGTCACTGCAGGCTCACCTGGCAAGCTCGCCTGTAATGAAGCTTTCTGAATCCAGATGCGGGCAAGAAGTGGGCGATGCTCAGCCCTGTATAGAGAATGTGGATCCGGGGCCGTTGGACAATCCGTCTTGGCACCAAATGAAGCCACAGGACGTGAATACTTCAACTGACATTGAAGTTGATCACGTGCTCGAAAAAGAAGACCCCATTTGCTTAGAAGCGTCAGAAAAGGCTTCAAAGACAGTTCAAATCCCTCAGAGTCAGTCGTTCAACACATCCAACGGCATGGCTCCGCTACAATGGACCCACAAGAAGACACAGGATATGGAACTTGCTTCACTCTTACCTATCGGAGTGCTTCAGATGATGTTGCGAAGAGAGGGCAATGTGCTTGAACAGGAGATTCAGTTACTTCAAACCCATTGTTGGGTTCACTCGGAGGTCTCCATCTGCACCAATTATCTCCGAATATATGTGAACCCCATCATGACTAGCCGCGGCAATACACAGCGGTCGATCACAAAGTTGCGAGCTGCGCTGAAGTCTGTCATGACCAAGGTCAACACGTCTCCTGAAGTGTGGGTTAATCCACATGTTCTTGCCGAGCTTAGCGATTGTCAGCCTGAGCCTGCAGATTCCGAGGACGAATCCCTATGGTACATCTTCAATACACTGCAAGACCCATGCCCTCAAGTGGAGAAAATGAAGGATGCCTGGTCTCAAAGGGCTATTGAGCAGCTTTTATCAGATGACGAGCTCGTTGACCTGGGCCTGCGGACAAATCTATACCCCTATCAGCGCCGTTCGGCTGCGACGATGGTCCAACGGGAGGCACAACCAGCGCAAATGTTGGATCCACGATTGCAGCGCTGCCAGGGGCCAACTGGCCGCGAATACTACTATGACAGGGAAGATGCTTATATCACGACTGACAAAGTGCTGTACTCTGAGGCCTGCGGTGGTGAGTCATCTTCGATTTGGGGGGAAATGAACAAAAGAATTGTTAACGAAAAGCCAGGTATTCTTGCAGAGACTATGGGCTGTGGCAAGACGCTCATTTCTCTCGCGGTCATATGCGCAACTCGAGGCCACGTCCCCAAGATTCCGGTAGAGTATATGTCTACACCACAAAAGCCTGACTTGACGTGCTTTAGAGAATCCACTGGGTCTCTTCTAAACATGGCTGCTGCCGCAGCAGAGAGGCACTCTGAACCCTGGAGAGCGTTCTTCCGTGACATGAAACGAGAAGGAATGCACTACGAACGCTGCATCAGAGCTTGTGAGGCTCACCGAGCATCATACGAAATACATCCGCCCCAAACAAGGTACCACGGAAGGCATAGTCAATCCTACCCAAGACCCCCCGCCAAACGAGTTTACTTATGTCCCGGGACTCTTGTCATTGTGCCAAACAATTTGCTGGATCATTGGCAACGGGAGATCCGAACACATACCGAGGGCCTCGATGTTCTCGTACTCGGCCAAAGATCTGGCAAAACTCCGTCCGCCGACGACCTGATACGCTATGACATTGTATTATTTGCGAAAAGCCGATTTGAGCGAGAGGCAGGGGAGCCGATGAACAATAGACGGGATAAATTCTTTCAACTGAATTCACCCTTGACAGAGCTGCACTGGCTCAGAGTCATTGTTGACGAGGGTCACAATGTAGCCGGCCATGGCTCAAAAACCAACATGATCCATCTTCTAAGTCAATTGCATTTCGAGCGCCGATGGGTCATTTCGGGAACACCGTCTGCCGGGCTTTACGGGGTTGAAGTCAGCCTTGCATCGCAGGAGGTGAACGCCAGCGACACGGATTCTGCTGCAGATATTACGGTTTCCGCTTTACAAAGTCGAAGGAGAACCGGAAACGCCGTCAACAACGAGTTGAAAGACCTCGATCGGCTACGGCGAATCGTGGTCGAGTTCCTGGACCTCAAACCGTGGTCAAATTCCCGCGCCGACGACCCAGCAGACTGGGCTAAATATATCAAACCCATCGGTGCAGACGGCCAACGGCGGAAAACGTCCGCAATCAGAGCAACACTCCAAGGCTTAGTTGTGCGTCATCAACTGAACGTCGTCAGCCAGGAAATATACATACCTAAACTGTACAATGAAGTCGTATACTTGGAACCCACATTTCATGATCGGTTATCCATCAATCTCTTCCTCTTCGGTCTTGCTGTCAACGCTATTACTTCAGAGCGCCAGGGGCCAGACTATATCTTCGATTCGAAGAATCAAAAGCATCTGAACCAAACGATCAACAACCTCCGTCAGGCGGGCTTTTGGTGGGCTAGTTCGGAAGGAAACCCCCAAGACACGATCGAGCACGCAATTAAGTACATGGACAAGAAGCGGCAGGATATGAGTGATGATGACATTGATCAATTGACTCGAGGCATTGAAATTGCACGCATGGCGCTGGGATCCGCCAGCTGGCGGGAGTTCAGACATCTTCATGAGCTTGGAATATATATCGACGATTTCCCCAGGGAACAGCGTCCTCACTGGTCATTAGACCAAAACAGCGTTGACGAGGAACCCTTGCTGATGGGTATCACACAAGCGCGGCGCGCGCAGCAATTCGTCACTCAGCATCTGAAACTCGCCGATCCAACCCAGGGACTTGCAGGTGCTGGTATCAAAGTCCGCCATGAACTAGAGCGTCGAGATCAACAAGCAGCTCCTCGAGGCGCACCGGAGTCTGCGAGTAGCACGACAAACTTTTCCGATATTTCTCCTACTGTTGCTGCTGCCGCCGCCACTCCTACCTCTCTGCACCACAGTACAAAGCCACAAACAAACAAATCACCCAAAAAGACCTTCACCCGCAATCTCTTCCAATCACTTCCTCAAGACTCCCCCCTTCAAAAGACCCAATTCGTCGCCACCGCATCCGCCAAACTAACCTACCTTCTCAACAAAGTCCTCGAGCTCCAGGCTACAGAAAAAATCATCATATTCTACGACAACAACAACTCCGCCTTCTGGATCGCCGAGGGCCTCGAACTCCTCGGTGTCGAGTTCCGTATCTACGCAAGTACCCTCAAACCCGAGCTCAGAAACGAATACCTCAAGCTCTTCCGCGAAGCCGAGGACGTCCGCGTCCTACTCATGGACCTCCGTCAAGCTTCGCACGGACTACACATTGCCCAAGCGTCGCGGATCTTCATCGTCAACCCGATCTGGCAACCCAATGTTGAAAGTCAAGCCATCAAGCGAGCGCATCGTATCGGACAGACCAGACCAGTGTACGTGGAGACATTAGTCCTGCGGGACACGCTCGAGGACAGAATGTTGAAACGGAGACGGGAAATGTCCGAGGCGGAAATCCAACATGCAGGGAAAAGTCTCTTGGATGATGGGACCATGAGCGGAATCATACAGAGGGAGCCCTTTTTACCGATGGGCTTGGAAAGAGACACAGCGGCTGCGTTCTTGAAGAAACCCGTCGGGTTTCTTAATCGGCATCGTCTGCCGATTCCAGATGACGAAGGGGAAACCAAGACATTATCGAATATCGAAATGAACGGTAGCCCATCAAAGGGTAGGGGTCAGTGGAAAGGGAACATGCTCTCATTCTCGCGCGGTAAAGAACCCGCCGTGACTCTATCACAACCCATGCAAGACACGGCCTCGCCCATGGCCAAGGTCAAGCGGGCGCGCGTCGGATTTGCCATCGACCCTTCAGATCCCGATGAAAGTGGACCGCCATCTTCTCCAGATATAGAAGAAGCCGCGAAAAACGCATCGAAACGTTCATTATTTGGCGGGTCAGATGATTCTCCCAGCGCTGCCGAGCCCTCGATCACCAAGAAGCCACGGGTTGGCTTTTCTTGCTGACGCTGACGCTGACGTCGGTCGATTTTCTTCCTCTCCAGGAGTGGAAGTGTCTGTTAATTTGCCATTCTCATTAAAAGATACACTCATGTAGATATTGAAGATATCTCTCGACAAACGAATGAAGAATGAAGTTCGAATGTCTGTTTCCGATACTTTTGAAAGCCACCTTGGTTCCATCTCTTTGCTACGAGTGATTTCTTGCTCTCACATTGTACCTGCGTCAAAGCTATCTCCGTCTACATCTATCAGCCGTATGAGCATGGATCAGGCTCCATCTCGATGTAGGAAGGAGGTGGCTCTACCCCAGGAGTGAAGGAGATGGGCGGCAGCATATAATCAACACTCACAGGCGCGCTTATCAGGATGCCAAAATCGGGAAAGATCAATGTGTGATTACAAGACGATTCAACTGAAGACTCCATCAATTCTTTCACATAGAGACGAGCAGCTCATTATCTAAAAGTTATTGCTCACCCAGTATCCAAGTAGCCCCTTTCACGCCCTCAACGCCCACAAGAAGCCACTGTCAATTTCAACCCCATCCTCAAATTCAAATCACAAGCGCAAAACAATCAAGTGTGGAACAAAAGGGGTAATCAGGCGCAGATAATAATAGAATACACATCATCTAGGGGCAGTACACGTCAACGAGACAACACCACCTCACTGAGTCAAAAAGTCCTCAATCTCAAAGCCCATCCTCTTCAAAGCTTTCTCCTCAAAAGTCGACGCACCAACAAGTTTTCTCAAGATGACCGTCCCGGCGTCAGCCAGTCGGATTTCCACTGTTCCAGATTGCTCAATCTCCTCGCGAGAACATTCCCTTACATAGACGGTAATGTCGGGACCGACACAGGTGCGCCAAAGACTGGCCATCCATTGCCAGTGATCGAGTGGAGCATAGGAATCATTGATGGGCACGCTGCAGGCGAATGTGTCTGCGGTGGTGAGCTGATAGCGAGGCACTAGAGCAACGGGGACGCGAGAGGGCGAGGATGATGATGGGGTGGGCGTGGGAGTCGGTGTGAGAGAAGGGGTAAGGCCCGGCATCCGGGATTGACTTTGATCGGTGTGTTCATTGGCGAGGACAGATACGCTGGTGCTGGGCGATGCACGAGGGGATTCAGAGTCCGTCGGGATGGATTCAGGGGAGCCTAGTTGCAGAGAAGCTGTTCTTGGGATGATGGATCTTGGAGAGGGGGAAGGGTCCGGGCTTGGCCGGTTGTGCTGGATGATTGAGTCGATCTGAGTGTTGGGGCTTGACTCGCCGAGCACATGAGAATGGGCCAGTATATTCGTCTCCATCTGTGTCGCGTGATTGGTATCATTCCTCACAAATTCAATGATCTCGTCTGAGATGCGGTGCCAGGCAGAGATTGTGTTCAGATAATCGACAGTGGCATCTCTCATAGGACCTCCATTTTCAGTTGTTCGGGGTGTCTGCAGCTCAGGCCCATCGAATATACGCGCGCTGAACTTTTCTTCCTTCGCAAGAAGACGCTGGATATACTCAACCGCGATACGGACCAAGTTCGCGTCTTGACCGTCTACTGCAACGACGGGCCCTCGGGACGAGCTGCCTTCTCTGAAGGACGGAACCAGTGGGGGTGATATTTTGGCCAGAAGTTTGATTTTGTTCAGGAATGGAATCGTCATCACTGCCTTTTCAACGCTTGCATTCACGGTAGGGCGAGGAGTCATTGGCGTGGATGCAATGGTGGTCTTTAGCGGTGGGAGTTTTAGGCTCGGGTCCGGCATTGGCGGAGCCTGCGCTTGCACTGGAGTCACGGATGGTGCAGGATGGTAGATCATTGGATGTGGTGTCTGACCTGGCACGGTGGGGACTGCTCGACTGTGCACCAAGGGCATCATTTTGCGGGACGGATGAGCACTGGTCACGGTCCCGTGAGGACTTCGGGGATAAGGCGACTCAGGGCTGATCTCTCGATGACCAGAGGTGGATGGTTTCAATCCAGTAGAATGAGACACTCGACGTCGCTTCATGTCTGGAGAGACGGCATGTGCGTCCTCCAACTTTCGGTTCCTGTTTCGGTCTATCCGGTCAAGGTGAATCAACTTGGGAGGCTTTTCGGCTTTGCTGTGGCACTGCGAACTGCTCGCCGTCATCACAGTCGTGGTCGTGGTGGTCATGTGCGGAAATGACGACCTCGTTGATAAGTTCTCTCGCGAACCTGAACCTGAACCAGCGACAATGGGGGTAAAGGGAGTCATGGGTGAAGCTGGTGCGTTCATGATGCGTCCACCGCAACGGTTACATGTTGATCCTCCGGATGGATTGTGGCTGATCCCCGAGGCCAGGTTGCGCGTGGATCCATCGCGGCCAAGTCTTCTGGGTTGATAGCGATATTCAGGGTATTGTTGAGCATGGCGAATTTTCTCTTCCTGGCGAAAAGTCAGTCTTGAGTCGGTGCTGGTCTTTAATCTGCATACGCACCTCTGCGAGAGCCTTCCACTTGCCCTTTTCATCTTCGGATAGACTCCTCCACTGCTCACCAATCACCTTGGAAATCTCCGGATTGGCCATACCGGGGTTGTGGGCCACCACGATGGATTGATAGTGCTGTCTATACAGAATGAATGCTAGGAGAAAAAAGTGCGACGGACAGTCAATGTCAGCTTGCATTCACGTCGCTCGTTGATTGTGCGCCATCCTCGCTGCTCTCCATGTGCCTTGCGATGGGTTTAGTGCACACATCGACAAGACAGCAAAGACCATGTACATCATCACTCGGGCATTGCTCATGACAAACACATTGGTTACTTGATAAGAAGAGATTCGGACTCACCATTTCGAGGACGGGGAATTTTCGGTTCTGGCTGACACAAACAGAATTGGAGACCATCACTCTTGGCCGATTTTGCCGGGCTTGAACTTTCCGAGGGCGACACACTGCGAGGCGGGCCGAGATCGCTCGTTGTGATCGTTGGACCGGGCTTGACGAGACGCTGCCCGGGTGACGTCGCGGCTCTCGAGTCCAGTTTCCCTAGACTTGGCCGTGACTCAAAGGACATGAGATGCTGATGCGTTTGGGACACATTGTTGGGCTGGTCGTGAGATAAAAAGCATACCCCGTCAGACATGGTATTTTCCACGGTGCCTGGATTAGGACGATGTGGCAGCGCCATGTAGGGTTTTGCCGGTGGACCGGCCATGATTTTGTGATCGAGGAGATCGCTGGGCCGGGGCAGGGAGAATAACGAAGCGGTCTCATGGCGAAGAGAGACCGGGTTGGGAAGAACTCGGTCGTAAGACATTATATCTTTATGATGGCTGCAACGGGGAAACGGGATAACCGGCACGTTGGAGAGAGAACAAAGGTGTTGGAATCACACCTGGACAGCCCGTTGCGCCCAAAAAGAAGAAAGAGCAAATCAGAAGGAATGAGCCTGACCGAGCAATGGGCTCGATTGTGTCGATGTGTCCTTGATGGAAATCGGAGATCAAAGAAACAGTGATCAAAGGAGGGTGGTCAACAGCGAGTATTGGATCACGTGGGAGCAAGGATGAAGGATCAAGGGTCGAAATGACGCCACCCCGTTCGATGCAAGACCCGGGGGAGAAGAGAGAAGGTTGAATGGATTCCTTGGAACTGCTCTCCGAGTCTTTTCTTTGAGATGGTGAGAGACAAAGTCGTGGTCGTCAAAGCCGGGAAGAGAGATGTGTGATCTGTGGACGGTTGCCAGTTGACACAATCCTGCCCACTTTGGGCTCTGACGAGGGAGAAGCAGATATCTGGGAGGTGGAAGGATTGAGCGAATGTATGAGTCGCTTGTTGCTCGGATCGGGTTCTGGGAAGAGAAAGAGCAAAAGGGGAAGCAAAGGAGGAACGAGTGAAAGGAAAGCTTAAAAGGACCACACGATCCCAATCAGGCAGCTTCCACGTTCCGGAGGAGAGATGAGTTGATGAAAGAAGGCCCACGGTGGACACCAGCGCGTATCAATCGTTTGTGCTCTCTCGATCTATAGCGACGAGAGCGACGGGCCAATTGGGGCCGACACCCTGACAGCTCTCAAAATGGGGAAAGCCGAGAAAGTGGACCAAGACAAAGGGCGATGCAGATCCGAAGAGCATCAATCCAAATCCAGACTCCACAGTCAAGTCGCAAACAAGGGTGAGAGACTGCCACCGAAAATGTCAAACAGTCCCAAAAGGGAAACAGAAAAAAGAAACGAAAACAAGGGAAAGGAAGTCTTGGACCCGACGGGGACAAGAGAACCGAATGGCAGCGAGACCAATGATAAGGATCAGAATAATCAAACAGGAAATTCAGGCCAAATCAAACACCACAGAAACCACCACCTCAGTAAATAGACCGTCTAATCCCTTCGGAAAAAGGTGAAAAAAAGAAAATCAAAAATCAAACAAACAAAAATGAAAAAGAACCAGGAAACAGCCGAGGAGAAGATGAGATCAACCAAGAGAGAAACGATGAAAACATGCGAAGATACCCGCCAATCAATCCAGAGGCCAAGGGTGTCCACAACGTGAGAACAAAGAAGCAGCTCAGCCGCCCGAAATTTGCGAAGGTTTTCTTTGTTCTCCGTCCCTGCAACTGCGGGCGTTAGCGCAAAAAGCCAAATGGAGAAGTGGAGGCGTGGAGAGAGGATCCAGATGGAAAAACACAAATTGAAAAGAATCAAAAAGACACGAGAAGAAGAGATGTGTGATGAGCCAGAATCAGAATCCCTGTCACGTCGGTTTCCACTCGGCTTTCCACTTGCTGTTGCGCTCTGGTTTGGTATTCCAGTCGGTGATGGCTCTTTTGCCCCCCAAGTGGGTAGGTGCTGGGGTGCTGGGGACTGACAGCCCCTGGTCTGTCTCTCTTATCGTGGTGATCGGAGGGGGAACGATGACCCGTCGTACTTTTGAAAAGTATCGCCTTACACGTCTGCCTATCTCTCAAAGGATGGGGGAAAGCAGTCAGGTTGGTTCTTTGATCCCGTTGGCGCTAATGACTCGAAAGTGGAGGAGGTGAGGAGGAGGAGGTGAGAAAGAGAAACCAACAATCGATGGACGAGTCGAGATGTGTGTGGAAGGACTCGTGACTGAGAGAAAAGACCTCGTGACTCAGGTGATCAATAGTGCTGCCACTGATCACGAATCGACCAGGGATCATCGATACGGGACACTGATGACAACAGGGAGAGGGCTGACAACGACAACAATGAACTGATCAAGACGAGAGCAGGAGGAAGACTCACCAAAGGACAATCTGATTCAATACTGGAAGGGATTCTCGTGTGCATGGGAAAGATCAACTGGGATGTAGGACGACTGCGAGGGGAGTCAAGGGAGTATATCAAAGTCTATTATACTATACTACCTTCCATAGTATCTGATTGTATCCCACCACCATACCGTAGTATAGGGGCCTATACTACAATGCAAAGGCTATCCATTGTATTAGTCACTATACATGACGACGTGAGCTGGATAGATCGATCAGACTCAGAAACCGGAAAATTCACCCAGTTCAAGGGAGCCACGTTTCCCTGGAACTCGATTCGTCTATCCAGTCTCTTATTCAGAGAGACGAGCGCGCTCAAATGGAGCGAGGTAGAGACGTCGAACCACTACCCGCCTCGGCATCCTCATAGTCTGGACTCTGGAATCCTACGCAAACTCCTCCCGATGACTACTACAACTCCGGGAAGAACCAAGAAACCTGGGCAAACATTGTCCATGACAAGCACATACAGAGAAGCAGGAGGAGGCACACCCAAACATCTCCAGACCACGCTAAACCCAAAGGAAAGGAATATGACATGGTTTAGGGGGGGATCCGATAGAGGAGATGATCAGGGGAAGTAGAAGAAGTACCGGGAAAATGGTGTCAAAAAGGATTCACGATCGCGTCAAGTTTGAGAGATGAGCCAAAAGGGGAAGAGGTGGGAACAGAAGGCATGATTGTGAACAAGACTAGGACAACCCAGCTAAGACAGGGGAACATACTCCAGGTACTAATGACCGATGCCGGTACTCCTACTGCTGCGAATACAGTAGTACTACATAAGTACATAGTGCATAGTACTCAGTAACTGGAGTACTGTTGTAGCTGCCCTGTACATCATCGAAGCAAACGAGGGGAAAATGAAAAAAAAAAAAAAAAAAGGAAAAAAAACCATATGGGAAAATCAAAGTAGTAGTCTGGTCTGGCCCGTTGGATCATTGTTGTCTTTGTCTAACCATGACTACCAGTACTATCACCGGTCTCTCCCTCTTTCTCTGGTCCGACTGTCCTGTCTCCCACCTGTCAATCCAGGTTCCACCTGAACAGTCATAGTGGGCCCTCTCAACTGCCAGGCCGTGATGTCGGGTGGATCCCATCTGAGATCCTCCCGGATGCGGCGACAGGCAGATCAGCCCAGCCCGTGCACCGGCATCGTGATAGGACGCATCGAACAGACACATGCGCGGTACCCAGACATACTCGTCGGTTCCCCGGCAAATACGTAGTATGGAACAACGACGGACCTGTCCATGCTCATACTGACCGTGCTTGGACTGAGTCCTAGTAGTAGGACTAGGTACTTAGGCAGGCACAGGTCAGTGATGACTTTGTATTGTCTCTAATCTGAATGATCCGGCCGGAATTTATTCTTCTCATGCTTTACAGCATTACACAGATACGAGCAACGTGTATTGGCTGTCTACTACAGTACTTGAGGTACCTAGGGCAGACTCTCCCTAGTGACTATCACTGCACTGAGCACAGTGATAGAGTCGTCTAAATGTGTCACCAAGTGTGGACCGTGAACTATGGACCCCTGAACTCGGGAGAGCAATCAGGTAGGTGCCAATTTGAAGAGGGTACTTCTGCCCAAGGAAATCATGATCAAATGTCGTCGTCTAGAGCACCGCACACCAACCACCGAGCGCTTCGGATGGATTCTGTAATTCTGATTTGTTCAATGAAGCAAACATTTTTCCCCCTCCAATCCCCCCCCCCCTGGTCAACCCCCCACTCCCCACCAACTTCCGACCAAGCGACATGCATGGACGTATTCATTCTGTCGCGGTCGCTTCCCAAAGAGGGAAACGCCTGAGGGACGAGTCGGGCATGGAAGACCAGGATTCTGCAGTATCGTCCTTGCCTCGGAAGTTCTTGAATTTCCCAATCAAGGATTCAAGTGGCATCACACTCAATCGGACAAACGAACTCCCTTCCCTAAGAAGGAGAAGACAGAAAAAGCATGGACCATGAGCCACGCATAGACTCTCGGGTAGCCACACCTCAGCCGCAATTGAAAGAACCATTTACCTCATGGCTGGTACTACTACTACTACTACTACTACTACTACTACTACTACTACTACTACTACTACTACTACTACTACTACTACTACTACTACTACTACTACTACTACTACTACTACTACTACTACTACTACTACTACTACTACTGCTGCTGCTGCTACTACTACTACTACTAGGGGGGGAGTGACCGAGTCTAGCAAGGTAGCAAGGTAGTCATGACGAAGGGTGATAAACACCCTAGCAAGACTGATTTCCTTTTCCTCTATGGGCTAGAACTAGATTGGATCTACCATGGCACTCGTGAAAGGCCGTGAGCGTACCAAAAACGATCTCCTCTAGTCAGCGATCGCATGAAACAAGCGCTTTCTTCTAAGTAGATCCTCTACCGCCCACGAATGGACGGGTGTATTAAGGACCTAAGTACCCACCCCCAAAAGCAATGCAAGATTGATGTTCTAGAGCGCCAATTGCTCCTTTCATGCTACGGTCGGAAATCTCCAGGAGAGACGGGCAGGAGGAAGGTCCAGGCAGGTAAGGTGGCGGTTGATTGTTCTAGTTACCTGCAGAGGATGAACGGCTATTGTGATCACGGAGACTGGCCACGGACCACGGACTGCCGACCATGCAGTATACAACTATACATTGACCCAAAGAGAAGGGAAAAATACGATTTCTTTATGGTTGTGCCAGCAGTAACAGGTGGTTTTGGTATGACTTATTGGTAGAGATGGGAAAGTAGAAGATGGAACATCCATTGGAGCACCAGTCGACACATAAGGTACAGTAGTACCGTAGTACTACCTTGGCCCAATCCGTCCGTTTCAAATACCCGCATCCACATCAGGTACTCTCATCGATCTGAAATTATCGGTCTAGATCTCTTCCATAAGGCTGGTTCTTGCTGGTACAGACGATCTCAATCTACCCTCCAGCTCATGTCGTCATCAGTCAGTAGACTCAGTACTACTACCCGAATTACCGAATTCTACCTATGTGGCTAGGTAGTCAACCCTTTCGACAAAAGAAAAGAATACTGCCTGTTCCACGTCCGTTTAGCCCGGATGCTTCAATTTTACCTCTCCATAGAAGGATATATCTCTACTCCATTTTCCTACAGCGCATCAACTTGACTCAACTATCCCCAGCTTCAGTTATCCTGAGCATAAAAATCTGTACATTGACAACACTCTTGATGTTTGTGCCCCCTCCCCTTCTACTGACCCAGTCTCATGGAAATCAAATAGGTCTTTCCTTTTCACAATTGTCATGTCGGGTACTTGTCCATGTATCTGCCATATCCGCATTAGGCCATAGCGATGTGAGACGGCACGACCCGATCTCGTGCAACATGACGCCAACACCAACACCAACACTCAAAATGGATGGAACCTACGGTACTCTTGCAACGTCTCAATCTGCAGCGCAATCGGGCAGAGTTCAAGGAGAACCACCCAGCTAAGACCAACGGAGCGCTCGAAACCGGGGCACTGACCGTCCTCCGGTTTTTAACAGTCTCATCGCACGCGATCCGACTGGGCGACTAGTACGGTCTAGCCTCTGCCCTGTCGATCAGATTGCATATTGTTCCGTGCAAAACGGGATTGTTCCAATTGCATCACTGTACTTCATGAGATCAACCACTGAGCTATCATCTGATGGGGTACTATCATTGTACGAAGATGAGCTGGAGCTGTGCCCCGTGTCAAATCACTGAAAAAGTGAGAGATGTTTCAAGATTGCTCTTCTTGGAACGTCCAGCTTGCCCACTGTAGCTCGTTTGATGTCTCAGTACGGGTACCGGCCAAAGACCCCACACCTGGCCAGCGCGGTGCCCACTGCATAGTAGGGCTCTCAGTCGAGCGAATCGAAGAATGACTGGATTGAGCATCAAAGACTAAGGTCGCACAGGCCTGACGGGCCCAAGGAGTGGGTGATGGTATGGTGTTTGAGGTGGTTGCCGGTGGATTTCCACTTGGCATTCATTGTTGTGGCTAGATGTACTAGATGTACTAGATGTACTAGATGTACTAGATGTACTAGATGTACGAGCAGGTAACAAGATCAATGTCTTGCATCCTTGCCTCATGTGATGACAATGTCTAACACGCAGCCTGCCGTCGGTTGTGGCTATGTCCTTTTGACAAGGTGTGCACGGTTCATGTAAACGAGTCTGCATGGTGATGCTGGTTTTAGTCGGGTACTACTGCCGCTGCTGCTGGCATCTCCAAATCCCGACGAGTCGCTTGTTTGCGATGGATGCCAAAAGAGAAAACGAGAAAGAGAAGATCGCAAAGGGCCCCTCGTGTACCTTATTTGGGATCTGCAGGGTTGAGAAGAACCCCATCAATGCCTTGGTAGATTGCGGTGGCCATCAGACGATGGGCACTTGGTCCAAGATGCATCTCATCCCTAATTCAAAGAAACCGGTGACACCGAATCAGTCTACAGAAACATAGTCGTGTCTCACCATGATATGGGATCTGGGCGCACCTCCGGAGCGATGAAGGGCAATGACTTACCAGAACAGATACTTCTCCGGATTCGTACATTGTCTCCTCGATGGAGACATTCCCTTGGGCAGAAGAGCCTGAATTCGACTCTCGCTCTCAATGCACGGGTCGACCACATTCTCCCAGCCGGGATCTCGATTCGTGCCCAATCCATTCTGCTCCTCAATGCCCGCTGCATACAATTGCCAGTCGCGAATGCGATCCAGCACAAAGGCATTCGTATCAAATAGGTAGATCGTTCCCCGATCCCACGTCTGAGAAGCCTGTCGCAACTTCTTATTCCAAACCTCCAGAATGCGCACCGCATCCTTGTAGTCCACGCCCGTGGCCATTACGAAGCCCGGCACAAATGTCACATCGACGGTCTGCGTCAGAATCACCTTGAGCTTGTTTGACTCGGAACCGGAACCGGCACCGGAACCGGAGCCAGACTCAGGACTAGAACCCCAAGTCTCAGCCAGCCGACTCAATTGCGCCATGAGTGTAGTGACCCGACGCTGAACAGCCCCCTCGGCCACATTGTAGTCGACAGTCAACAGATTCCAAATATCCCAGAGGCCGAATGACACTGCAAAGACGGTTCTGTCTTGACGAGATCGAATCTGATCCTCGGTGAGACCGGCCAAGGTCTCGGACTCGGCGTCCAGCCACAATTGAACTTGGGATTTGAAATCGGGCAGCGGTGTCGCGGACGGGCGAGCAACTTGTTCCAGGTCGGCGTTGTCCACCACGGAGCCAGTCAGCTTGCCTTTCCAGCTAGATTTGGCTGATTGTGCCAGATTCTCTTGATGACATGAAAACTAGAACAAATGGGGCAACCCCCTCCCCGGAAAAAGGGAGGGGCCAATGGAGATCAGTCATTGTCTTGGATATGGAGGGGCTCAACTTTGCTGGTCTCATCTTCTCTCTCGGCCTCGTCACTCGCATCGACGCGCAAAAAGCTCAACGGAAGCCAAGTCAAATGGGGTTTGAGATGATTCAAAAAAGCAGAGCTGAGACCATACTCGAGTGCTTACCTGTTCGCAAAGCCAATCCGTCCAAACTCGTCCTTGACCGTCCACCGTTTTACTATCGCTCCACGAGTCGCCAAAGACCACTAATCGCCGATCAAACGACGGTGCGGTCCGGAACTGCAATCCGGCAAAGGGCTGTGCATTTCCCAGAGTTCGCGACGTTAGCACCCACGCCGAATACAGAATTGTACACACCGCCAGGGCGCATAATGTGTAGAAGCGATTGAACAGTCGCAACATGGTGGAATCGGAATATATTTAGTGGCGGAGCGAAACAACACACTCCGACCCGTGATTAAGCGACGGCGCTCACGGCTGGGGAAGACAGCCGAGCCTGTAATTGGAGGCTTGGTGTGGAGAGTCGATCCAAGTCGGCACAAGATGAGTGGGTGAATGGCAGTCGGTACTCCGTACTAATCTGTGGTTGTGAGAACGCTGGGGTCCTGAAGAATGGACAGGCAGTACGTGAGTATTCGGCGCTATAATCCCGAAATATAGTATGTACTGGTCCGCGTAGTAGTTGTAGGTGCAATGAATTTCAATGATGACTGTCAGAAGTTCGAGAACAATTGTGGACGGCGTAGAAGTCCAAAAAGCGCCGAGTGAGAACGACTTTGAGCACGAGGCCGGACGCTTCGGCTGACGCTAAACTGTGGGGATTCTCGGGGGATACGGCGCAGTGCTTGGCAAGGCGAGAGAGTTGCCGACGTGTGGAGGAGCTGTCAAGAATAAATCACACTAATGATATTCAGGGGGTGAGCGACCCGGTCTCTTTGCGATTGTGATGGATTCCGCAAAAGAGAAGATGGGTTGGCGACAGTGTGAAAATCCGACAGAGCCGCGAGTGTTCAAAGGCCCTGGTGATGCACTGGATCAATGGCGCTTGGGCAGGTGTGAAAAGTGTGGCTCACCAAAGCGAAAAGCCCGGGAGTAGAAATCCGGTTTCCCGGAAAAGTCAGTAAATGTACGAGATATCTATCCGCATTCAAAAAGGCCTGGAGGGGATTGGGGGGGGGGCTTTTATGACCATTTGAAGGAGGGTCAAACTTAGGCCCATGGGAAGGCAATAGATTGTGGATGAGCCACTGGATCAAGGATAGACTAGATCAAATCATTCGAACGATTGAATCCGTGTGTACCTTAACTCCGTTGGGACTTGGGGCAAGAAATCCAACTTGGGCTGCCAAAGGTGGGATCCATGAGCGGTTGAGTCCCACTTCGGCGGCTTTTCACAAGGAAAAGCGTCTGGGCCGACTTCAAGTACCGAGAGAACATAGTGCAGTATATTAGTGAGTATATCGTATCGCAGGATCCGTCATCTGCCATCTCCAATGGACCGACGAATCCATATAGATGTGTATAGAGCCATGAAGGCACGCGACTGAGGACACTGCGAACGTATTTTGATCATAATCTCAAGATCAAGCCTTTGAGGCGTCGGCCGCGTGGCCCGGCGGGTCCGGTCGGTTCTGAAAGGAAGGCTATCGCGTGCGATATTGATCCAAGGCGAAGAAGCATCTTCCACTTCAAGTCGAGTGTGCCTTTCTGATACAATGTGCGCATAGCCAGTCACCACGATTCGACATGATCAGGAAGCTCGTTGACAGGCAGTAGCGACGGAAGACACACTTGGGCCCGGTCGCATTGCCTGTACGGTAGTGTTTCGTACAAGGTCACCGCAACAGAGTTCGATCAAATGCTAGGTGATCCTGCCGTGACGAGACGAATCCAGCAGATTCCCGATTTCTGGTACGATGAAACAAAACTTGGAGTAAAGCCGCGTAGTAGTTCTGGTCTTGCGCCCATCTAATAGGCAGGTAGTTTCCTTGAGCTGGCTGATCGGGATTTTGGGAATGCGAGGAACGGCCTCCAATAAGAGGAATGGGGCCATGCGGCCAGACAAGAGCATATGAAGAGTCATAATGACAGTGCATGAATCACCGAATACCGTTCCATCGTTCCCACGGGGACGATGGTTTCTGACTCTCTACTAGACGCGATTGTAGTTGTACAACGTAGAGGGCAGCCTCGTGCAGTTTGCACCAACCCAGCCACAGATACGTTGTAAGCGATCGGCCTGTCCCGCATGATCCAATCGTGATGACGCCAGTCATGCCCCACCGAGGCTAAGCAGATTGTTGTTCTGAGCAACGAGTCATGAACTCTGAAGAGGTACAGCGGAGACTCGGAGGACATCTGCGTGTGCTCGGCGGACGCGCGTACCCAGTCACGCTACCGGGAACAACAACCAGTCAATGCTACGGAGCGAACATCGAGTTATCGACTGTACATGTACAATAATCTTGAATGTACATGCCATCCCAAAGCAGACAAATGTACGATAATACGGCTGCAGCTCGCGGAGCTTGTGCCAAGACTGGTCGATCGACTTGTAATTCGCCTAGAGGACCATGGGTGGGCTCGTGGACAACTGTCGAGTGCAACGCATCTAACGCAGTTCATCACAGCTTGGTCTTACCCGAGTGGAACTTCAATCAACAGTTTGCGAGTCATCTTGAAACATGTGCCGACAAGGAAAGAGGTTCAGATCACGAGAACTGTATCGCAAATCGGCGAGATTAAGTCGTGATGTCCGCGCAATCAATCACTCTCTGAGCCTGGACCGTCCAGACTAGGTGCCGGGAAAGTGTCTCAGCAAAACAGGGCCTATATCTATATGACCGACGTTCTGCCGAGCTGTTGTTGATCGTGGTGGCTGTGGCTCCCCAGGTGAAAGTCCTGGGCAGCATGATCGCTGCTCAGCGCGACAGCGACGGATAATCAGCCTTGAATTCAAACACGCCTATCTTTGTTTCATCTCATGGAAATACAAATCCTAAGGTAGTCAAGAGAAAGTTGTTCACGAGCGAAGGATCGCACTCGGCTCTTCCCCGCTTTAATTGAACGAGCACGAGGGAGCGAACGATCATTTGTCCTCATCCTTCCTCACGGTCATTTTAGACAAGACCTCGAAGGGCTTCGATGCCATACTGATGATAATTTGCGTCGCCTTGTAGCTCAGATATAAGAACGAAGATGGTATGAGCCACTACTACCCGGTACGCTCTGCCCTCGATAGCAAGGGGGTTGGGTAAATCTTCGGGACGATGCCGACCCAGCCAGTGATCTAAAGGAGTGACAGGATATTTTGGCCTCAGGCTATATAGCACAAATAGGCTCAAAAGGCCCGTGACCATTGCGGATCAGGTGATACTGGCCAGGTACCCCAGGTCACATGATGGGGTTAGCGATACTGACTAAGGTTTTGTCCCAACTCGGTTAGTTGCCGCTGAGTCAGCCACACACAACTCGCTACACCAACCCTCAGCAATCCGAAAAATCCACAAAGCCGAACCCTTCAACCTCACCTGTCGACAATTTCCGCGCTACCGTCTTGACCGCGCAACCTCCGTCAAGATGAAGCTCAACATCTCCTACCCGGCCAATGGGTCGCAAAAGATCATCGAGATCGAAGATGAGCGCAAGCTCCGCCCCTTCATGGAGAAGCGCATGGGCACCGAAGTCAGCATCCCCAGAACCTCCCCGAATTTGAAGCATGCACACACGCACACATTTTCCACGTCTTCGGCCGCAAGAAATGAATGAGCGAGCACCACCTGCCTATCCCGAAACACGCACTATCTTCGCGACCGCTCAGACTATCAAACACAACGGCCAATGTACAGAACTGTTGGACTGATTGGTTTTTCTTTTTTCGATTAGGTCTCCGGTGACTCCCTCGGCGATGAGTTCAAGGGCTACCTGTTCAAGATTACCGGTGGTAACGACAAGCAGGGTATGATCATCCTCCTGTCTTCGATTTTTCATGCAGAAGCGACCCGCGGTAATCTTTGGGTCTAAGTGGAATCAATCAACTGACCGAATCGCTTTCCCAGGTTTCCCCATGAAGCAGGGTGGTACGTTCTGAATCTTCTACGACTCTAAAGCGACACGACAAATCGAACGCAAAAGAGTCTCGACATCTCGAAAAACGTCTCATACTCATTCACTGCTCTAGTTCTCCTTCCTGTCCGTACCCGTCTGCTCCTCTCCGACGGCCACAGCTGCTACCGCCCCCGCCGCACCGGTGAGCGCAAGCGCAAGTCCGTCCGTGGTGGTATGTCTACCCTCGCAAACCCAATCCGTCTGGCCGAATCGTCCATTTGATTGACATTTTCTCAATTTCAGCCATCACCGGTCTGGATCTGTCCGTCCTCGCTCTCTCCATCGTCAAGCAGGGTGAGAACGACCTCCCCGGTCTGACCGACACCGTCGTTCCCAAGCGTCTCGGCCCCAAGCGTGCCACCAAGATCCGCCGCTTCTTCGCCCTGTCCAAGGATGATGATGTCCGCAAGTTCGTTGTCCGCCGCACCGTCGCCAAGGAGGGCAAGCCCGAGTACACCAAGGCCCCCAAGATCCAGCGTCTTGTTACTCCCCAGCGCCTGCAGCGCAAGCGCCACCAGGTTGCCATCAAGCGCCGCCGCGCCGAGGCTGCCCGTGAGGCTGCGTAAGTTTCAGCTCCATCACACCCCAGATGAATGGATCAATCTTAAGCAGCGATTTCTAACATGTGGTCCTTGCTCCAGTAACGACTATGCCAAGCTCCTCGCCAACCGTGTCCACGAGGAGAAGGCTAAGCGCGACGAGCTCCGCAAGCGTCGTGCCTCTTCCATGCGGAAGTAAATCTCCCCCGCGTTATCATGATTCATTTCTGCGGGACGGGGGTTTAATGGATAGGCAAAGGGAGAAAAGAGGGAGCTTCACGTTTTCTGGGCCTTCCTCAACCGGGAAGGAGGGTTTCATCAATTACCCAGCAGACGGTGGAAAATATGTCTGATAAAAAAACGGAGAAAGAACAAAGGGAGGTGAGGCTCACAAGAAAACGCCCAGATGAGGGGGGAATTGGTGGATCACCCCTTTCCCCAGGTGTGCTAGTGATACGCATATCTGGTCTGATATGCATGCTGTGTTGAACCTACCTTTTGACAACCCTTTTTTTCTCAATGGAGTGCATGCAAATTTCAGTTTCTTTTTTCTGTCGCTCTCATGTTTGGCCTTGGCGTAGTGTAGACAGTCACTTCGACTCGATGACCGGCGTTGAATATGACTTGATTTCTTCTAAACTCATATCTCTGGCGTCAACACGACATGCCAGATATAGAGATGTCTCTGAAGGAAAATTATACATTGAGTGTGCTCTTTGGGTTAAGGTAGACAATCGAGTCTGAAGAACGGTCTATATCAAGTCAAGCTCACCTCTCATTTACCCTAAAAGGTCCACTAATGGGTACACGGGTCTTAGACACCTGCTTGTCTCCATCTCCAGCTAGATAGATCTCGGATGATCTCTACTAAAGCCCTTGATTCAGTAACGTGAGACGACGGGAGACCTATTCGCCCCGAACGGATGTTTTTTTTTTTTTTTTTTTTTTTTTTTACAGGACAATGTAACCCTCACTTCCGAAAGACAAGCTACTGTCTCTCGAGTGAGATCTCCGATCGCAGTCATGTCCACAATCCCGAGACAGTTCAGTGTAGTTCCCGTCAGAAGTCTCACTTCTACCTGTTTGTAGGTCCTGCAAGGACGTCGAAACTTCAACCTCATGGACTACCACTACCCGGCGTAGTGCCGCTTCGAGCGTGTGTGAGACTGTGAGTTCTCCCATGTTCACCGACTAAATAGAATAAATGTGAACTTCTGAGCTGTCTAGGTATGCGGCAAAATAAGCTCGGCATGATCGGGTAAGTTGTATGACATGCCAGATACGCTGTAGACTTTCAATCGGGAGCTTTGGTGATAACCTTCCTTAGGACACACATGTCAAAAGGGCCACTTTTGAAAAGAGTCATACCAAGACCAATCATGGATTTGCGACTGCTGAAAACGGCTCGCCGTTAATCGTTGTATACTAGGTACTACCTCTATTTGTTTGTGCTTACCGGAATATACTCGTAGGTTCAAAAACACATTGAATTGGAGAATTATTCCGGAGAAATGATAAACCTGAATCAGGGTAATGATACTCGATCAGCTTCTCGGCTTGGATAGAATCGAATTTTCAGAGAAACAATGTGCTATCATATAGAATAATCATCACATGCAAAATGAGAAACAGCGTGTGAGCTGAGGGCACGTACGGGTCGAGTCGCAGTACACAGCGAAGCGCAGTTTTGCACGCTAGTGACTAGCCCAACTCAGCTCTCAGACTCGTAAAGACATGGTAAGAAAAGATCTCAACTCCCGCATTTGAATATGGACCCCGACCGGTGTAGTAATGAAGACAGAAAGAATGGAAGAAAAAGTCATCGCAATCGTTTGAAAGATTTTTGGCCCCGCAAAAGATGTGTCTCGTCTTTCTCGCTACCACCCAAAAAATAACCAAAGAGCATGTAAAGGCAAAGTGAAAAGACCATCGAGAATGGTTGACCCCCGCAGGAAAAGCAGATGAAATGCTGAATACAATTTACGCGACGGCGTGCGAGAAGAGGAAGCTCACAGACTCTCCGTTGTGAGTACGACGGCAAGCCTCAGCCAGTGTAGGTGAGATATCAATAGTCTCAATCTTGTCGCACTGCTCTTTCTTCTCGGCATGAGGCACGGTATTGGTGACCACAAGGCGGTTCAGGCGGCTGCCGTTCAAGTTCTCGATGGCCTTGCCGGACAAGATACCGTGGACAACGATGGCGTTGACTTCCTTGGCCCCATGCTGCATCACGGTATCAGCAGCCTTGACAAGGGTACCGCAAGTATCGGCCATATCGTCAACAATGATAGCAATCTTGTCCTTGACTTCGCCGACAAGAACCATGCGGGAAACCTCGTTGGGGCGAGCGCGTTCCTTGTGAATCAGAGCAAATTGCAGGTCAAGACGGTCGGCGATGGCAGTTGCACTGTGGGCGAGCAAGGAAAATGTTCGTTAGATCCTCAGCCTACAGTAACTGAGTAGGGATTGTGCTTACCGTTTGGCACCACCAGCATCGGGGCTGACAATGACACAGTTGCTCACGTCAAGGTTCTCACGGATCCACTTGAGCATGCTAGGCTCAGCGTACAGGTTGTCAACAGGAACATTGAAGAAGCCCTGGATCTGGCTGGCGTGCAGATCCATAGTGATGACGTGATTGCAACCAGCAGTCTGGAGCATGTTGGCCATGAGCTTGGCAGTGATGGGCGCACGGCTCTTGTCCTTTTTGTCCTGGCGAGCGTAGGGGAAGTTGGGAATGACAGCCGTAATGCGCCGGGCTGAGGCAGTCTTGCAGGCGTTGATCATAATAAGGAGCTCCATAAGACCATCGTTGATGTCATTAGGCCGTGTTGATTGCAGAATGAAGACTGCATGATTCAAGAGGAATCTATCAGCACGATCTCGTTTTCCCCCTACGCCCTGGATTCTTGGAGTCTATGCCATGACTTTCCATGGCCGGTTTCGAAAACGGGGATTCAGGAAAATAGCGTACCATCTTCGTCCCGAACACTCTCTCCGATCGTGACACTGGTCTCTTGGTTGGAGTATTGCAGGACCATGATTTTAGTCAGCTCAATTCCGAGACTATATAGGTTTTGAATATTAGCTATTGCCAAATCATACAAGTAGCTTGCCGCGCACCCGATTATCACGGCCACCCGCAAGCGTGCCGGGTGGTCACACAGCTATGAAGATACAGACAGTGAGAAGACTTACCGGTCAGCCACGAGCTGAGCTAGCTCTGGGTGACTGTTGCCAGTCAGCAACTTGATTGAGTTGGCTGTAGACATAATGATCGTGGAACGTCAACGGCTCTGGAGAAGAAAGATTGAATTGGGGTATATGCGGCAACTGATCATTTTCTAAAAAATCAATCCCGCATCTGCCAAAACGCCCCGCGTTTTTTCCAGATCCCGTGACTTCTCACCGCCTTCGGTCGCCATCCGACATTCACATGGAGCATGTGCTTCACCTAGCAAGAGAAAAGAACGGTATATACATTATCCTCATGTTACGTCCGTAGTAGTCTAGATTAGTGATGGATTACATGAAAGCCCCCACTTCTATATTCATAATTCTGTTCTTGAGAAACTATTTTGCTTTTATTGAGCTCAGATATTAAGGAATGGTTTCATTTTTGAAGAGCTTACTCGTGAGTTTAGATTGTCGAGGGCAATGTAGGAGGGCTAGTAGCCGACGCAAGGTTGCCTGAGGCATCATCTGGAGTCGAGATATCAATCTACACAGGTAGCCAGGTTGAACAGGCCAACAACCTTCCAGTTTACTTAACTGCACCTGAAAATACGTTGAGCAAATACAAATACTAGCAGCATGCTTGATACTTGCCCTACCATCGTCGGCTCATTGATTGCACATGAATCTCGAAATTAACCCTTAAATTATGACTACTCCAAGAAAACATGCAGCAGTCTAAGTACATACAATAAAAAGAAATAGAGGAAAAACAAGATTGAGGATCAAGAAAACGGTCGACCTGCACTTCGACCGAACACCCATATCCATCAATTCAGTGCTTGCCCCATCACCACGTCTTCGATAATTTTTAATTTCCTGGGAAAAAACGCCCAGGTGAAACGCCATCCGATGTTTGCGCCGAAATCAAGTGCTCAGAGGTAGCCTCATTTAGGCGAAGCCGAAATACTCACTGCCGGCTGTCATCGCGGTGTAGAGGCGCTGGCGAAGATCTTCGTAGCTTTCGTACTCAGGAATATCAAGTTCTGCAGTAGAAAAGGGAATGTGTTAGAACAAAGTGTTGCGAAAGCGTAGGGGACCTAACTGGAACAACTTACGGTTGAAGCACGTGTGTGCACTGGGAAGACGATCCTTGTTGCCATAGTCACGGTGAATGTTGAACTTGCTCACACCATTCATACCCTCAAGCTCCTTGAAGCCGTTCAAGGGAACCTTGGAAGTGCCAGTGACAAATTGGAGCAACTTAGCACGCTCTTCCTTATCAAAAGAGCGAACAGCACGCCAGAACCACTGGATCTGTGGCGAGGAGGCCGAATAGTTGTGGTATTCAGTGTTGTTCTTCCACTCGTCAACATCGATCTCAGGAAGACCGGAGATGAGAAGCTCCAGCTCTTGTTCGTTGAAGATGGAGATCAAATCAGGAGGGATGATCTCGTGGAAGCCCTTCAGGAAGTTGTCCAGCTGCTCCCGAACCGACTCAACGAGTCTGTACTCAACCACCCTCTGGATATACTCTTCCTTGTTTTCCTGGGTGACAGGAATGTTTCGGCCGTTGGGAATCAAGTCAATGACCTGCTTCTCACCAAAGGCGTCTGTCTCGATGGCAAAGTTTTCAGTGATGATGTCGGTGATGTCATTCTCCAACATCCAGAGAAGAGACTTGTAGTAGTCCAGATCCAGCGTCTCCATGTCCTTGATAGAGACAGTGCGTCCGAGAATGCACTTGTAGACAGCACGAGAGAAATGGCAGTCGAGAACCCGGCCCTCGTACAAGGCCTTACCAATAATACGTCCAATGAACTTGAAGAACATCAGATGTTCTGAATTGACGCCACTCAGACGGTTGGGGTGGAAGGTCGTGCGGTCGGCAGCAACGGGAATGAAGAGAGCGTAGTTAGGGTTGAACATGCCGCGAGCCAGCACTTGGAACCACTCACGTGTGACACCACCTGCGTCAACACCTTCTTCCCCGTGGAAGCGAACATTAAGCTTGCCGTATTTAAGTTCATCCGCCGACTTGAAATACAAGGACTTGAATGAGTCGAGGAACACCTGATCTCGGCGGACGGACAATTGGAGAGGTGCGTGAGAGTGACGGGGCTCAGCGCCCCGAGCGTGGACACGGCGGGTGAAGTAGTTGCGCTTGTTGTCGAACTCGAGCACCTTCGGGTTCTTCACGAGCAGCGAGAAAGTGCCGCTCATCAATCGAGGATTCTGACGGACTAGCTCATTGAGTATCTTGCGGTGCTCCTCGGTGAACTTGAAGAAGAGGTTCTCCATACTCAGCCCAGCATCTGCCGCGGCGCTGTTGACAGATAGTTCGCGGCTTCCACGAGAAAGAGGTTGATCCTTCAGTGTTGTGTTCTTGCAGACAACCATCAAAGCTTCGATCAGAGGCAGAAGAATAGTAGCCACGTTCAGCATGTTCTCCTTCTGCCGGATGACGGTAAGACAGTCACTCAGTTTTGTCCACAAGGGGCCAAAAGTAGCGCTCTCATAGAGTCTCTTCAATACGTCTTCTTTGGGTGCCGATTCTGGCTCAGGCACCTTGGTTTTGTCGGCACGGGAAGGATCAAAGAGGTAGTCGAGAGCAGTAAGAATACGGAGCAACTTCGCTTGATCAGAGCTTGCTGGAGAAAACTTGGCTAGTGCGAGACCTTGCATATCAGTGCCCGTCTTAGCTTGATGGATGTGGCTGAGCAGCTCTCCAAGATCAGCAAGGATGGTATCACTCAGGGTCTGCGCCTGAGCAACAAGCTCTTCGCCGATCACATCGCGAGCTCCCGGGATGACGGAGAGGTTGTTGATTGTCGAGAGGGTGTCCCGGAAAGTCTTGCCATTGCACTCACGAGCCGCGAGAATGTGCACGACCAGGCGGAAATTATGGTCAGGCACAACAGGAGGCTCGATGGAACGACGCTTGCGCTTTTCGTCGCCAGGTTGCTCTCCCTCTGTCTTACTCTCATCTTTGGCCGCATCCATATCTGTGGTAGTGCCCTGATCCTCGGCATTTTCAACAGTTGGCAGAGGAGCATCGGTCATAGTTGTGTCGGTGCCAGATTCAGCACTCGGCTGATCATTGGTCTCCACTGCCGTCGGTGCACCCTCGGGCTTCTTGCCCTTGTCCTGATCTTCTTGCTTTTCCTTTTCACGGCGGAGAAGAACTGTGAGCGGCTGAGTGATGGTGCCGAGCAGGTTGGACAACTGCTCCATACAATTGGGGCTGTCCATAATCAATTTACGGTCGAGCAAAGAGAGCAAGGCATTGAGTGCAAATTTGTTGGCTCTGTTCTCCTTGGCCTTGCCTTTGCGAAGACCCTTGGGCTTGAGGGATGAGGCGGAGTCGTGTTCGGTCAGGAAGAACCACGGAATGTGGGGGTTGAACTGGGAGAGAAAAGATAGCGTGGACAGACATTGCTGAACCACCATGATCGGTGTGACCTCGCTGCTGACGGTGGATGTAGGCTGGAAAGCCGTGTTGCGTTTCACAGACTGGGGTGTCTTTTGAGCACTAGGAGCCTTGGCACGAAGGGAAAGGTGCGAGAAACTTCGCTCGATCGCAGAAGAGTCGACACTGCCATCTTGGAGGATGGTCAAAATGAGGCTGATCACCTCGCTTCGGTTCTGGCGATTCTCGCAAACATTATGAAGGATGTCGTTGAGCAAGTGACGTGCATTGCCTTGGAGGGGCATGAACATGAGCCGCAGGAGGGTTGCGACACCCGCCTTCTCCAACATCTGAACAACTGGACGTCTCTGGTTCTTCTTGGCCTCCGAGTCCTCAGCTGCCTCCCCTCTGGGACGGTGGTCCACTCCGGTTCCTGTGATGTCACCAAACTGCGCAATACGACGACCACCCAAAGCTCGGGCTTCGGATATGTATTCTGGACCCAAGCTTGCAAGCACATCCTCGGGTTGATCAGCTAGGACGGCCTGACGCAAGGATGGATCCAATGTGGCTAGAAAACTGGCAGCATCCATATCCTCGGCGCGCGGTATGGCAGCGCTGGGAGCAGCTTGTCGGCGAGCAGTGTCTCGTTCTCGCCGGCGCCGATCAGCGGCTTCTTGCTGCAACAACTCTTGGCGAATCTCCGCTGGCAGGGCTTCAAGGAACTCCTGGTTGATCTCAGTTGTATCTTCGCCAGCAGCAGCAGCCTGGGATCGCTGCTCGGCAAGTTGCTGCATGATCACTTCCTCCCTCAGATCCTCGGGTAGTGCCTCGAGATACTCTGGATCAATTTCTAGGCCAGTGATGTCAAGCTGACGGCCGTTAATTGTCGTGTGAACACGCCGAGCTGGCTCAGTGGAAACTGGTTCGGGTTGCGCAGTAGCAGCTTCGGTAGCAGTAGTCTGCTGAATGTCTTCCATTGGCTCAGCGTTCTCAGTGGTATCACGCTCTGCTTCTTGCTGATCTCTTTCAGCCTGCAGTCGCGCTTTTTCTTCTTCTTCCTTACGCTTCCGTTCACGCTCCTCTTCTTCGCGCGCCGCCTGCTCCTGACGTTCCTTTTCTGCGCGTTTTTGCTCAATGCGCTTCCTCTCTTCCTCCAAGTGCTTGCGGCGCAATTTCTCTTCCTCCATGGCGGGAGGGACCATGACCTTGAGCAAGGAAGGGACGACCCGCACAGACTTTTCAGCGAACGCTCCGCTGAAGAGAATGCGCGCTTCTTCCTGCCAGCGATGGCGCGTAGTGGACAAGTTGAACTTGACAGCGTTGTGTGGGTCGTTGCGGCGAGATTGCGAGGTTTGCTGCTGAACATTGGCAAAGAGATCGTTCAATCGATTGGGAAGAATTGAGCGACGATCGACATGGACGTGAATACCATCAGGACGGGTGATGACCCCCAGACCCGGTGTTTGTGGGCCGCCGCCAATGGCAGCCATGATAGCATTCATAAAGCTCATTGGGCTGTCCACATGAACGAAACGACTACCACTTCCGCTTTCGAGTTGGGCCCAGTCGGCAAACATATCAGCTCCTGGTCCACGAGGATGGGCGCTGCTGTCAGTGCCACGATCGTTTCGGAGGAGGAGTGGGTTCGTGCCATCGTCATTTCCACGACCGCCCACTTGATTCCGGTGCACACGGTGGAATGGGGTGATGGGAACAAGGCCCCCGTGACGACTGGGCATGATCTCGGTGACTGGAGCCCAAGCGGAAGGTGGGCCTCCACGCATACGGTGGTGGTGATGGCGGGCTGGCATGAGTTCATCACCATCCCAGCCCCAGGGATCCATAACATGGTGTTCCTCTGAAAGTAAGTAATATATCAGCATTGAATTAGATGCTTCAGAATTCGGATACAGCGTGTTCGTACCTTCCATGTCACCTTCAGATCCTTCTATGTCATACTCGTCATAGTCATCGGCTTCGTCTTCCAGCTCGTCCATCTCGTCTTCCTCTATAGTCTAGATTAGCAACTTTCGCAAGAAACACTTTGAGTCTTCAGGTTCACATACCGCCATCCTCCTCCATATCATCAAGGATTTCATCATGAAGATCGCCACCAAGACCATGATCATGAAGGTCATCATCACCAGTAGCTTGATTGAGAGCGCGGAAGATCTCGTCAATGCGGCTTTGCGCATCGCCGGAACGATTGGCTTGACGCATATCGGCCAGTTCATCCTCGAACTGGTTCATCATTTCGGTCTCCTCTTCATCGTCGGTGATCTCCTCGCTCTCCCACTCATTCTCTTCGCCATCATGCAAACTCTCATTGTCACGATCACCTGTGATTTCACCGGCGTAGATGTCATCATCATCTTCCTCCATGTCCGAGTCATCGTCCAGATCTTCGTCGTCTTCGTCATCCTCATCATCATCCTCGTCGTCGTCATCGTCAATGATAACTTCGACGGCGTCACCTGGGAGACCTTCGATTGGACCGACACCGTCCACTTCGTCGTCCTCATCGCTGACTACTTCACCGTCATCCTCGGGACCTTCTTCATCATAGTCCATCTCATCGTCATACTCGTCATACTCGTCCTCGTACATCTCATCATCCTCCCGCTCGGACTCTTCCGAGGAGGTCTCTTCCTCATGACGAGGTTCGAGCATTCCGAGTGTGGAATGACGGAAAAGATCGGGAGTTTCTTCCCGTTCGTCCTCCATATCAGAGACAGAGGTGGCAGATGAGATTTCGTCATCCTCCTCGCCAGACGTGGACGCGGTAATTTCTCCATTGTCACTGAGCATGACGGCGGTTTGTGTCAGCTTATTGATCGGGCGGAGGATATACTTGATGACTCGCTTAGAAGAGGGGAAGTTCAAGTCGATTTCAGCGACCGAAGCGGTCAAGGCAGGAATGAAGTGTTTTTCGAACATGGCTTTGGCAATCTGCCTGGCCGAGTTCGGGAAGCCGGCGTCCTGTGAGAAAGAGTAGCCGCTGAGCATTTTATCAAAGAGGTCAGCCAGCGACATCAACTTCGCGTACTTTGAGTCAAGTGGCTCTGTCGAGGCATTCGCTTCCTTGAAAGACCGCAATGCATGTTCGAGGACAAATCGACGAACAAAAGCGACTTCTGGCTCGTCATCCTCATTCGGTTTTGGCTCATTGCGGCGTCTTGAGCCAGGCGTTTCGTATGTCTTCGTGCAGAGTGCCACAAGGGCCTGCATGGTCCACGTGGATGTGATACTGCGTTTCTTAAAAGCGAGCGATTCATCATGCTCCATGGTACCGAGAGGAACCAGAGCATTGAGCATATAGTTCAAGATACCTGACCGAGGCTTGGAAGGCGTGCTTGCCAATGGATCAGCCTTGCGTGAAAAATTGATAAATTCGACTTTCGCGCGAGTGTAGGAGCCCAGCAACTCTGTAAGACACTGAAGAAGGAAGCATCGATATATGTAGATAGGGTGATGTTCCGCATCAAAGGATGGTTTCTCCCCTTTCTTTATGGGGCGTGCAGTAGGAGCATCAGCACTACTAGTTACTGATGGTGTGGGCTCGTCCATGGACATCTCGACATCTGCTTGGGGCTCTGCTTGTTCCCGGGCGGGGGTTTCGGAAGGCTCGACAGCCGGTAGCTCCTTATCATCCACATCCTTGTATGAGAGCAGCTCAGAAAGTAGATAATGAATGACACCATCAGGATGCTCAACGACGGGAGGCTTCATTTCCGTCACCTTGTCCTTGTCCTTCTCCTTTTCCTTATCCTCAGTCTCAGTCGCAGTCTCGCCAGTAGATGGCTCGGTATTGGCTGTTTGTGCATCTTGACTCTGGCGAGCGTTACGATCCTCTTTAAGAGCAAGGGCATGTGTACGATGGGTGGGGTCGTATCGAGCTAGACGCAGCTTCTCGTTGGACACCTCGACAAAAATTTCCGGGTTTCTGATCACGAGGTGGGACATCTGCCGGACGTAGCCTGCGGCGTCAATCTGACGAGAGGGTTTGCTTTCGAAATTGCCGACAATCTCCGTGGTCATGATGTGTCGAATTGTAGCTTCATCCTCGACAATGTGCCTCAGGATTAACATGAACGCACTCTGTAGCTTTTCGTTGGTCGCATTGGCCAATTGCTTGATCATAAGGAACAGACGCTGCAAGTTTCGCTTGGGGGCGAAGCGAACGGCGATACTGCGATGGCGAGTCAAGATGACCAGAATTCGGCACACGGATAGTGCAAGACTGTCGTCCTTGCCGATGCGGGGGAGAATCTCAACGATAGCCTCGAAGAGCTGCGTCCGCTGGTCAAGTGATACAAGCGGCTCCGCAAGATGTGCTGGTCCACTTGTGTTCCGATAAGGATCATCCATGCTGGGGGGTTGCCAAAGGATATGCGGGGGCTGACAATCATCGGACAACAACTTCTCAAGAATGAGCAGAACGTGGCCAATCCAAGGGAAGGATTCGGGTGCGGATTTCTCTGCTGGGGGCAGCTTGATGAAACCAAGGAATGTAGTGAAGCAATCCTTCAGCTCCGGCACTGTGGCGGCGTACATTTTGGGATCCTGAAGAACCAGCGCAAGAATGTGTGCATAAGCGGCCACCTTCTTACCAGCGGTCTGGAAGTTCTCCATTTGAAGAGATACGAGAGACTGCACTAGCGTTTCACCAACATCTCGTCGGGAGCTGTCGAGCTCTGCCTGATTCTTGAGCGCAGCGCCGATCAAGTCGGCGAGCTCGAAGGACACATCATGATGATCGTTCAGGACATCGAGGGACCGCTCGATTAAGTTGGACCGAACCTTTTCCCTTTCCTCATCCAGGTCCTCGACAGTAATGAGCTGACGTCTTTCGATTGATTCGTCCTGCTGGGGTTCCCGCTGAGGCTGACCAGTCATCGGAGGCGTTTGATCCGCAGACTCGGCGCTTGCTTGAGGACGACGGCGTTGACGCTGACGCTCGCGCTCACGCTCAGTCAAGAAGAGAGGCCCATCTTCGCCACGAAGCATGCCCGCTTCATCGTTCAAGACATTGGAAATCGCGCGAGCTAAGCCATCACGCATGGCGCCGGATTCTCCTTCGGCTGGAGTGTCGTGTATCCCGCGTCCCGCCTGGGCCAGAAGCATGGCAAGCCCTCCTTGCTCCAAGATGCCGCGATTGAGGGGAGACGCTTCACCGTGGCCACCATCCTCATTGGCATCGCCACCGGAGGCTACTTCGGGCGACCCAGTCTGAACGTCATCAGCTCCAGGAGGAGCCCTGGGAGGTGGACGAAGGAAGTTGCGTGCATTGCAGTACTCCTCGGCATAATTTGCGTTGTTGTTGCAGCGATACAGCGCCTCATGGATCAACTCGGTGTCTTCGAAGCCCTTGCCGGCCAAAATGGCGAGTCTTTCTTTGTTGATAACAAATGGTTTCTTAAGAACTTCCGACACGGCGGGTGCCTTATCAGATCTATGGGCAGCTCCCACTTCATGCTCTTCGTTCAGCGAAGACCGCAGGATATCAATCAAGCACTTGACGATCTGGCTGGAAGACTGCGTTGCAAACTCCGAATTCCACATTTCTCGGACCATGGGAAGGATTTCCATGCGCAGATCGACAATGAACTGACCAGCCTGAAAATGCTCAGAGCGATCACGGTCACGGTCGTGGCTACTGGAAAGTGCTTGCGTCTGGTTAGAGTCCATCATGCTCTTGCCTGAAGCAAGCTCAGAGAACAGTGCCAAAATGATTTTAATGCCGCCGTAAGCAGAGGTGAGCCGGTCAGATGTATCTTTATCGGGCTTTTCGACCTGCTTCTGAATCGGCTGCAAAGCCTTGACCTCGCGCATGAAAACGTCGCAAATCTCTTTCAGAACTTTCAATCCATTGTTACGCTTGAAGGCGAGGAGCACCAGGGTGAGATAGTTGTTGGCAGGACGGTCGGTGGTCACCTCGTATAGAAGATGAGAGAAAGAGGAAAGAATGACAATAAGGTAGGCAAATCGATGCCGAGAACTATCGCAAGAATTGGCGGGGCCGAACTGGAGCTGACGAAGGACGGCATCAGCGATAGCATCGGCGACCATATTGGCATTCTGCTTTGCCGTAGGGTGAGAGTCCATGCGCTTGCGTGTAATGAGCCCAAGTCCGAGATTATGGAAGAAGCCAGTGATGGAGGTGGGCAACGAGCTCAGAAGGTAGCGTAAGGTCTGGACGTTCTTGAAAGCTGCGCTCCGTTGCGTTGCGACCTTGCTCTCTTCACTCTCGGGCTCTTCGGCAGATGCAGTCTGCAAAGCTTCAGCCGCCGCCGGGCCAGCTTCCTGAGTGGCGACACTGGCTCGAGGCTCCGAGGTCGTTGCCGCCCCAGCAGCGGATCCGGGTACTGAACCAGGTTTTTCGGAAGTGTTCTTGATAGCTTGCAGCCACTTCTCAGGAACATTCTTCTCGAGCATGATTTCTTCCCAGACACACGCAGCGTGAAGATTTCCGAGTGATGTGACAAGCGCAGCATACATGTCGGCGAGGACCACCTGGCTGAAGGGGTACGACTGGGTGGCCGATCGCGTCTGGTACAGAGGCATAGCGTAAATTTCACGAAGCAAATCCGTGAGAATCAGGATCGCATTCAGATGCTTGACATAGAACGTGCCGTTGTTGACAGCGGGAGTGGGCTCGGGCGCCGGCGCCTTAGAATCGGTGGGCTTGATAAGAGGTGTAAAGAAGCCAGATTCCTTGGGAGCAGTCCAGAAAGCGTCCAAATTGTTGATCACTGATTGAGCGCGATGCAGTAGCGACGGGATGATAAGGTGCGGCTTCGTTTCAGCAAGCATGTGCACGAGAACAGTAAGCTCTTGATTGGCATCGGTATTATGGAAATCAAAGGATAAGCTTTGCAAAGTAGCGTAGTCCAGAATGAATTCAGCACCTCCGGCAAGGACGAAGGCTGAGCAATTAGGCTGGTTCTCAAAGAATGCACCAAGGAAACGGATTGCAGGGAACAGATAGTCCGTGACGGTGAGACCGTGTTCGTCTTTATCTTTGGGCTCACCGTTCGACTCGGGCGATGGCAAGAGAGCCTTCACATCCCCAAGAACAAGACTTCCTCCGTTGGGAAGAGACTGGGCATTCAGCTGAGGCACGCCAATCGCTTGCCCATCTTCAACAGATGCATCCCCAGGAGCGCCGATCTCGCGAGAAAGGGAAGATACGTCGCCAGAGAGAAACACTTGGCCGTTCACGTCCTCTTGCCAAAGCTTTGCGCCCAGGCCCAGTTCCCAGGCTTTCACCTTAGCAAGCAGATTAACGCGCGCGACCATGACGAGCACGGCAGTCATAATCGAGGTCTTGAGCTCGGGATGATGGCGAACAAGCTCATCGAAAGTAGTACCCAACGAACGAACCAGGTTGGGATCATCCTTTAAGCATTTGACATGCTCCGGGCTCTCAAAAATCTCAAAGAAACTCTCCAGGGCATCGGAGGATTGAAAGAGATCCAGTCCTGAGGCGTTCAAACAGATTGCACCAAAAGCGGAAGGAATGCAAGCGAGAGCGTCGGCCGCTGCAATGATTCCTGGGGCAAGAGGACTATCCTTCGCCCTAGCGAGAACGTACTCACGGCCCTTCTTCTTCTCTTCGACAGGGGTAGAAGGCGGATGAGAGGGCGCCTGCTCGGAAGTTTCTCCTTCCTGTGCGGGTTCAGGCTGAGGCTCCACCACTGGCGGCTTTTCCTTAGCCTGAAGCTCTCGACCCATGACAGCGCTGAGGAGGCTTCGACTGAGACCAGCCTCGGCGATGACTGCATAGCTTGTTGGCTCGTTGTGGATGAAGCTACTCAAAATATTGACAGCATTGCTCCAGACGTGCGAGCCAAAAATACGAGCGTTCTCAAAGACCAACCGCAGGGAAGTGAGCAGCTGGGGAGAATCGATGAGATTGCGCAACACGCGATCGAAACCTCCGCCGTTGTGCTGCATGATGTGATTGACAAAGCGGAACATCCATCGTAAAGTCTGCTGTTGAAAGTAGGGGATATGGTAATCAATGGATGGGTTCTTGAAGAGGCTAGGAAACCCCTCACCACTAAAGACGTTCTCGAATGCAGTCTTGGTCTCATAGTCAATCAGGTCAGAGATAGCGTCAAAGCCCTTTGCCGTTGTCAGTGTACCCAAAGCATCTCGCACAGCGTGGACAAACGTATCGAGGAACTCCATAACTCGCGAGTAGACTCGGCGAGCCTTCTCTGTTCGAAGGTTAAGAATGTCCACGAACATGGGAATCAAACCAGCAGCTACAAGCGTTTCTGGGGTTCGAGAACTTGAGCTTGGCAACGTTCGCAGCAGGGCAAGTAGTGCATCTCGCCACTCGTCATGGGCCGAATCATTGGTATGATCATCTTCGGCTGCCAGCTCATTGACAAACTTACGAGTCAAAAACATGAGCACGCCATGGTTGACATTGACACTGAGAGCAGCGCACACGTCGTTTGCGCGAGTCTTGTGTTTCGTGAGCGCATCCAGGGCTTGCAAAGCCAGGGCCTGTGTCGTTCTCGAGACCACAAGGTCGCCACTGGCGCCGAGGTGAACAATCTCGGCTAGTTGGTAGGTCAGTTGCAGACGTTTGGGTTGCTCCATGTCATACTGAAGGACTTTTTGTGGAAATGTAGATTCCGTCTGGACATAGGCGAGATTCGTCACGGCTAGTATCCGAATCGCGAGGATCTGCTCACGCGCTTCACGCGACCTGGGCAAAGCTTGCGCCACACGGACTTTGTGCAAAAGCTCGTATTTGGATTCCAAGGGCAAGTGGGGAAGATTGACCGCCAGGATGTCCTCAATCTTACTTGTGGACAGCTGAGAAAGCGGAAGCTCCAGCACTTGACCGGTGCGGGACGATTCTTCGGGCTTTGCAGCAGTACCAGGAGTCGGAACTGCTGGTGAATCTTCAACATTGGATCCACGGCTCAGACGGGGAGTCGGGTGTGTTGCGCTACGTCGAAGTGGTGTCGGTGTGGTAGGCGCATGAGGAGCTGGGTCAGATTGCCCAAAATCAGAGGATGTTCGAGTCCGCTCGGAACTTCCTGAGGGATAGTAAAGAACACGCACGTGTCCCCATTCTTCCCAGCCATCCTCATCCCGAACCAACGAGGCAAAATCATTCGCATTTAGCTTGGTCTGGACGGTGCTTTCAACTCCCTTGCCAGAAACGGCAGGCGATACCGCAAATGGCGTCCTACTCACAGCAGATGGGCGGGTGAACGGCGCGGCAATCTTTTGCAACTTTTCCAAGTCGATGTTGTAATGGGTCGCCAACAGACTCTGCTGATGCGTTCCGCGCTGGCGGGAGTGATATCGTTGAGCCAGGCAAAGTGACAAGCGCAGTGTCGATTGGAGCAGGGAAAGAGAAGTCGTGTTGAGCAAATCGCCCAGCCTTTCACTGCTGCTGTAGAGGCTTCGATTACCACATTTCTCAAGCAGAAGACGTGAGAAGTCCAGAATAGCCTCCACTAGCTGTCGGTCTCCATCAGGTCCATATTGGTGCAAGGAAGTCAGCTTCTCGTTGACGTCTTCCTTGGAAGGATTGGGCGATTCGGTTCCATATGAATCTTCCAAAACACTTCGCCCAAAAGGCAAAGTTTGCGGACCAATGTTCAAAAGGTATTTGTCGATCACCGAAGCGAGTATTTCATCAAATCGATCGAGCGCATTGATCCAATGATAGAGGTCACCACGTGGAAATGGCCATAGCCGCGGGAAGTTTTTCAAGTGCGCAGGAAGCTCTGCAATGGGACACGTTGTCGCGCGAGCGATGAACCATTTCAAGTAAGGAGACTGCAGAGGGCGAAGTGAAAAAAAGATTGGTCAGAGAGCATGCCCAGATGAGGATAGAGTTCACGATGCGGGCTGAAACTTACAACGGTAGCCTCATGCTTCTGGCTTGCCACCTTCTTAATTCTCCCCATGATGTTGATTAAGCAATCTGCCAAACATGAGGATGTGACAGAATGCCAGGAGAGAAGCCTCCTGAAAGAAGAAGTGGGGAGGTCGTCAGGACCGGCTTCGCGGAGAAGGCGCGAGAATGCCTTATGACGTTGAACGTCCTTTCCGTTCGTTCACGAATTTCAACCCTCTCACGACACAGTCTCAGACTTCGCAGACGACGGTGAGATAGAAGAGGTACTAATAGAGGCAGGGAAGTCCAATAAAGATGGCGACCATGGACTGAACTGCTGAAGGGGGCTTGATAGCTCTGCGATCGATGCAAGAATAGGTGAGACCACGGCGGATAGAGAAGAAGTCAAGCGGTCGGGGAAAACGGTGCAGGACGTTTACCCGGACTGTTGCTGACTGACTAGTTTCCAGCGGAGTCAATTCGAGTGATCAAATCGTTGAGCGTGGAATTATAGGCGATGGTGTGTGAGAGGTGAAGATGGATGTATGGAAAGAGCGAGCTTTCTAGAAGCCTGGCAGCTGGCAGAGAAAGAGCGTGACCCAAACGAGCGTCGCGCCAAAGCTCATCCTGCCGGCAGAAGAACGTAGAAAGTTGGGCGGAGTGGTCGCCGACTGGTGCCCCGCTAAGGCGGTAAGGCGCCAAGGCAGCATTTCGTCTGTCATAACCCACCACTCACGACTCAAGACTACCGACAAGGCTCACCTGGTATTGAGCTCTCCAAGTTCTATTTACAATAATGTACTCGATGTTACTACACTTTGTGCAAGCAACGGGGTTATACCACAGCTATGTTACTACTACCCGAATACGACCTGATTATTAAATAACGGCAGATGGTACTGTCAATCTGATGTCAAGTGGAGAGTACCATTGGCTCCAAAGTCAAGTGGATGGCGATCCGGTTGACACATCTATCTATCGCATTTTCTTGGCGTTCTGCGACACACGTTCCTGATTTTTGTTCGCATTACGTAGCCGCAGGTGCTGGGGCTCGGTGGATAATGGGAGCGGCTTTCTCACCGAAACAGATTGATATGTAATCGAGGGCAGAGGTGTGGGTGCGACTCGGAAATCGGGCCGCAGGAGGCGGTTCGCTGGCATTGCTACACATGATTATCCACTCTGAGTCAACTGGAAGAACGGTGTGCTACGAGTTATCTGCGCTCACAGAAGATGACATTGGCTGCCTGCGAGCGCAACACAGTATCTGGCAATGGAACAGGGTTCATACTTAAAGATGCTATGTCATTTTTTTTTGAATAGAAGACAGCTGACAGACTGTGAAATTGTGCAAGCTGCAAAGGAGATCAAACGCGAAGAAAAGAATCCACATATGTCGCAACAATCGTATCACATCGATTCATCTCATCAAACAGGAAACCCGGCTCAAGAAAATTTCGCTTGAGGCAACTCGCCGTCCCACTGAATCTTCATGGTGGAAGGGTACGGCGAGATCGCGCTGTGTTCGGCGTCCATGTACATGGTTAAGCCTCCCAAAGCAGGCAAGGTCTTCAGCTGACCCTGGGGCCCAGGAGCTCGGCGGAGATTCTGTAGTTGTCCAACAACGCGAAGCATAGTGGGCAATGCCACTTGACATACACCGAGACCGAGGCACTGGTGGGGACCGAAGCCAAAGTGTGCGTATTGATTCAGGTCACGGTCCAAACGGACCTGCTCGGGCTCGGGCCAGGCCTTGGCATCATGGCTGGCAGACACCTGGATATAGAGAAGGCTGGTTAGCTATCAGGTGTTGAAATCCATTGGCAAGAGAGAAAGTATACATACCAAGTTCAGGAAGATCACTTCGCCTGCTTTGAGGTCAACCTGTTCGCCATTATCTTCTATCACAGTGGGCTTTGCAACCACCCGAGGCAATGCAACGGACGAGCAAATACGGCCGCCCTCCATGAAGCTATAAGAGAAGTCAGCATCAAGGAGCCATAAATCGGAGGTCAGACTTGAATCGGGCAAGGATAGCTTACTATCGCAAAAGAAGATCGTCAGATTGGGGCGTGTCCTCTTTAGACAGACGCTGGATTTCTGCCAGATGATGAGCGTTTTCAGGCCGCAAATAGAAGTCCAGGCATTGGATAAATAGCTGCGCCTGGTTGGCAACCATAGAACTGGCCGAAGGAAGGATATGGGTCCAGACTATCTCCTTTGGCGGGAGACCACTATCCAGCAGACGCTGGATCATGTGCACACCATAGTTGGTCAAGTGCTCGTGTCGATGAATACGACTGATCACATCGGCAATAAATCCAGATTTCGACACAAGCTCCACGTTGGCCATGACCAGCTCACCAAGCTGCTGGGCGACCTGTCGGGAAGCCTGCTCAAGCTGGAAAGACTTTGTCACCTCGACATCATAGAAAATACACGTGAAGACCAGAGCCATGATCTCATAGAGCTCTTGTTCGGTGAAGACATCGTGAGGATTTTCATCCGTCTTCAACGGCAGCGAGAAGATATTTGCACAGAAATGGATCTGTGCAAGGTTTGACACATCCCTGACGATGTCGACTTGGTTGACGCCCCCTAGCTTGTATGATCTCTTCTGGAGAAGCTGCAATGTGATATTTTCGTAGAAAGACCGAACTTCGGACTTCCACTGGTCGCGGTACAACGCGTTGCCAACCATTTTCCGCGACTGGGCGTTTGGTGGATTATCCCCGGACAACATAAAGTCACCACCATACGAGTGACCGTCACGGCTGAGGATGAATTTCAGCTTCGGACCCCAAGTGACTTTGAAGGTTTCCTTGTCGGCCATGATGGCCATGCAAGCGCCATGTGACTTGATCATGCGGGGGGGAGGGGTGAAGGTTGGCCGACTATAGCTGTACTTCTCACTCTTTCCGAGGCTCGTCAAAATGTTCTTGTTCTCGCTCGGCACAACCATGGGGAAATGAGCGTACACTGAATCGCCGCGGACGTGATTGGGGAACGCCCTCAAGACGAGCTTGTAGAAAATGGCGCCATTATCAACAGTGTCATCCGGGCTGATCTCATTGAGACCCCAGTTGGTAAGGTGCTTCGGGGTATAGTCCACTGTGTAGAAACGGTCCCCACGAACGAGAGTTGTAGCGTCTGAAAGAATAGCTCTCGATGTTGTATAGTTTGTACACAAGCCACTGCCAGGAAGCATTGGTTCTTTGGCATCTTCGACGATGAGACCAGGATAAAGCTCAACCAGGTCTGGATGGTCGTAGAGATGTCTCAGTGAATCGGCGATCTCTGGATCAGAGTTGATCTCCTCAAAGGTCTTGTAGGGCTGCAAGTTGAAGAATGATCGGAACTCATTCAGCGTAGCCAGGTTCCATCCACGGGCTTGCTTAATACCGAGGACTTCAATGGTGCGGAAGACAGTTGGCACGTTTGAAGCGCCAAACGCACCGGCCACGTCCTCCACGCTCTCTTCAAAGAATCGAACCAGATCATCGTCACTGAAGCGTCCATCAGCTTGGCGCTGCAGTTTGGCGAATGGTCGTTCCATCGGGTCCTGAGGCAAGGTGCCCTCCCATTTCCCCACACCCATGACGAATTGTTGAGTTGAGAGTTCGTTAGGGTCCCGACCATTGAACAGCTCCCTGTAAAGATCCTCGGACCATTTCTGGTCACGGGCTGAGATGCAAGAGTGCCAGCGATAAACTAGATTGAACTCGGCAGATACCTGGTTCCCTGTTGCCTGTTTAGCGGCATGACTGAGAAGGCCATCCTTCATCTCTGCACGGGGATCCAGACTCCAGGTGCTGTCTGTCCGATTGAGGTTCAGAATTGTGCGCACATAGTCTTTCAAAATAATGTTCACATAGAGGCCACAAGTCACGAGGCGCGCAGTCTGGAACAAGTCATTGTCCCATGTAGAATAGGCTTTGGTGTTGGACTCATCCGGCTTCGTGAAGCGACCCCCCTCGTTAATCTGTGCAAGTTGTTCAGCGACGTAATTGTGGAAGCGGTTAAACATGATCAGCAAAACGCCAACGCCGGGTGGGAAGCCCAAGATTCTCTTCGAGGAGAAGCAATCGGGCTTGAGCTTTCCGTCTTTGAATGCTCGAACCACATTCTGCTCATCTTGGTTATTTCCGTACAGAGGGCCTAGATCCAGGTAGGAGGACGAAAGGGAGACTGTTGGGTTCCTGGGGTCGGTTTGAAAAAGATCTTTCGAGTGATGTCATTAGCCTCATATTGTGCTCACTGGAGCTCATGGGTATGATGTACGTACCATGAATAATGATGGATGCAAGATAAAAAAGCACGCTTGAGATTTTGTTGGGATGCTCTTTGAACGTTTTCCGAGCAAGCAGACTATCGAACAGGGTTTCTGGCTCCGGCAAAGCGCCCGGTTGCATTGTCTGAGGTCGGACAGACCGGGCATATGGCGAGCCTGCGGCGCCAATGTTTGGCCAGAATGGGTTCTGATGTACTTGTGTCAGTCCTAGCTACTAAGACTCCTTCTGGGCATTGGTAGACTCACATTGCCGGAACCATCAGCTTTACGGTAGGCAGCGTCGCGGCCAAGATACCTATCATTGAGTAAGTGAGTATTCCACCCACTGGCGGTTCTGACTCGAAGTCCACTCACGAGGTAGGAGGATGTTGCAGATCATTCCACAGCGTACTCAGGAAAGTGTTTGTCAAGTCTTTCCCGGCCTTGGAAGTGGATGGCAAGCCGGCCGCAAGCTATTAGTATGAATGGAAGACGAGAAGTCAGCGGTGAATTTCTTTCCATGCAGGCGGCAACCAAGCGGGGGTATGTGAGCTCAATGGGCGTACCTGGATCACTCGCTCCATAATATAATTGCGATCATTCATAGTCTCTCCCGTGATTGCGTTCTTGGCGACATCCGCCAACGTCTTGATATCGACCAGGTCCACGTGGCTCAGGTCCTTCGCCAGGCCCGTGAACTTGGTGTCTTTGACATAAGTGCCATCACCAGTCTCGGTGGGTAACGGTCTTAAGGCGGCCTTGAGAACCTGCTCAAGCTGCGCCATTGGAGTCTTGTCACCGTTGGTGTTGGTTTCGTGGTGTCCTAGCATAATCGACTCGTCTGAGGAACGTGAGGTCTGGCGACGAGAGAAGCCCGCACAGGTCAAGTCTTAATTCCTACAATGAATGGGACCTTTGAAAAAATGCCCATGAATCTGGTCAGTCTCTATATATAATGCCATTTGGAACGAAGAAGGCTGTGGAAAATTTCAAGCCAAGACTCCGGGACATAATGGCACACTTTCAAGTCTTCAATTCCGGACAGTGCGGGGAAGAGGTGGAAAGATAGCGGCTGAAAACCTTAAACTGGACTCTGGGATGATAGATAGTGAGACACTTGTTGTTTCTACATACCACTAATGTCAACGAGAGCTCGGAAGAGCTTTGAGAGTTCACTAGTTCTGGCGGTAGCCAAGATTGGAAATGTGTCGTGAAATGTTCGCAAGATTCAAGAAGTGTATAGAAAATCCAGACTACCATCAGGTAACCCACTCGCAGACAATGATACAATGGCGTTCGACCGAGGGTAAAGAGTAGGAAGGTAGCTTGATGGAAATATTGAACGAGTTGATCCTCCCGGGGTCTGAGTTGTTATATGGGCAGGAGGTGTCGGCAGACCCTCTCATGACATTATCTGTGTGTGCGTGCCGTACCTCCTCGCAAGATCAGGCTGATTATGCGCTCTCCTCATCTTCAATTGTTCCTCGAATCTCACCAACTAGATCCAAGGTGCCATGAACGGCTGAGCCGACGGGCTCAGCATACCAGCTTCCACAACGAGCCCAGTCCTTCCACAAGTCTGCATGAACTAGACTGAAATGGTACTAATTCGGTATCCTAGCGTCTCAGCCCTAAAGTGCAGCGATGCAGCTGTGTGGTGAGTGGAGCAGGTCCCATAGCGTGGACTGTAATCAGCAATCAGCATCATAAGCCAAGATATGAAGCAATTCCAGTACTTGAATACTGTACAGTAGAAGAGTTGAGACGAGAGACCAGACTCTGTAGAGTGTGGTACCGTGACTACAGTCTCTCGACCATACAGTCGTCTCATGTCTCAAACCTCAATCGTGTAGCCCCGTGACGGCGGAAAAGACTGCCACGTTCCGCAATTTACGGGCACAGAACCAAGCTTTATCACAGAGTCCAACAAACAATCATGGTGTACAGCCTAGCTCCGGCACCTGTGGAAAACTGATGTGGAAATGGCTTTGCGACCGAACGGTAGAGCGGGCCTTTGGTAATTACAACCATGAGGTGGACCTCAATTCTCAGGTAGCCACAACAACCCGTCGGCTGGGATCTCCTCAGAAAGCGCCGCGCGTAACGAGGCGGACTCGGCTTTCGCCGTTTGAACTGCATCTTCCGGGCTGCGTCTGACATTTTCAGCTGCAGTCATTGAAGCGTATGAGTGGTCCAAGGTGTGCCCGGTGGACCCAAGCGTCTCAGTCCGTCGTTCGGCGGAGTTTCCACAGAAAGAGTTTCAGCAGTCCTGGGTGAAGAACAGTGGAGTCGTGGACCAGTACGAAACTCTGTTTGCTGAACCGTCGACTTTGCAGCAAATCGCATGTACGCGCTCAGATATACTGGAAGCATGGAAGGCTTGATCCGCTAGGTTCGGGTAACGTTTTCCACCATTTTGGTCCGTGTACGAGGAGAGCGAGGTTTTTAGACCGAGCGCGGGGCAATGGGCAGGTGCCATGGAGCACTTCCAGTGCCGAAAAGCCCAAGTGCAAATCTCTAGGTAGTCGTATACGCCCAGAGAGGGCGGTTGTTCACTTGACTCTCGATCGTAAAAAGGTCGAGGATCTGGTGGGTCCCCAAGAAAACACATGGTAAGCCATCGGCCTCGATGACCTGATCTTGATTGGTGTGTGAGGAGCGGATGACAGGCTTGGGACTTTGACGCCATGTACTTGATTGTCCAATGTCCAATGTCCAGACTCCAGAGGCCAGGATGCGCTTCGGGATACGGACAACAAGTAGCAAGTGAAATCTGGATGTTGAATCAGGTGCAGACAGCGCCGGGCGGGATGCCCGTCTTGGCTAAGCTGAGACGCTGAGTCAAGTTAGACAGGTTGAGGCTATGAACCCATTTCGAGTCAGCATAGATCGACTTGGTAGCTGAATCACATGTGATAGGAAATGGAAGTCTCGCTATTTCTTTGGTGGATCCTCGATCGATCGGTTGAACTTGATCATGACCGCTACACTACTGAGCCGCGCTGAAACAATAATATGCCATTATCAGTCGTAGTTATTAGGCAGTGCAAAGCCTGAGTCGATAGATTGGTGGTTGCTATGAAGAATACAGTCGATGTAATGTCTGATGATCCTGTCTCAAGCCCAAACTTACTACACAATGTGACAATATAATTACACTGTATGTCGAGCGGTTGCTGATCTCCCTACAATATTTGTATTCCATAGCATACCAGCGAATGCGAACCGGCCGCCAGAGCTATGAGACCAAATGCTGTGAGAGAAATTCAAGTCGCAAGACTATGCAAGTCTGCATCCATAAGGCATAACATGAGCAAACAATGACTAGTACAGTAATATATTTCAACGGCACAGCCCAGCCAAAACTACACCGTCGGAATGAACAAGGGTCTCGGCCCCCAAGGATCAACTACAGATTGGGGGCGGAGTGATTCAGCTCGGCTATCGCGACAGACGCATAGTCACAGGCTCACAGCTGGGCCCGATCCTTGTCAAAATCTCAAGCCCCGTTGCCCTAGTCAGCGTGTCACTGAACGCAAGTCCCTGGTCATAAGTGTGATGCACCTTTACTCTGGGGCTTTCTCCCTATTTCTGGGCGTGTGAGCTATAGCAACTAGGTGACCTTGTACTTTCTGACGTCCGGGCTGACCACCCAAGCCGTATACAATATACACTACACTCCTGATTCTGACTGGTTTTAGTCTACTCAGTGTCACAAGGTGTGAGGTAGAGGGCCATGGCCATATCCATACCTTACCTACCTAATTGCCTCAAAGAATTGGCAACCCCAAGAGTACAGCGAGAAAGTCACGTCACGATGTCGGGGAGACATGACACAAGTTCATTTTTCAAAGATGACTCTCAGCCAGAAGCCCATCGACCTGAAGGTGAACAGTTGAAAACTTGGCATATTCACGTTCAACGCAATGGCGAGATGACCTCGCGTAAGGCGAGATACTGGTCGGCTGCCAGCACGAAATGCGCGGGTCGTCTACAGGCAATGGGTGGGTCTTATATGCGCGCTTTTTAATAATCCAAGAACGTCTCTCCGAATATACAATACATACTCAGCTCTGTCATCAAAAAAGCCGAGTTTCTGTAGACCACCTGAATCAGACATGTGCCTGGCCACACTCACCCGCCTACGAGAAGACAGACGGACTGGAGGATGAGCCTCTGCCTCAGGTGTCATGATCACGTGAATTGTACCGAGGTCGTTAGCTTGTCCGTTGAGGGCCCAACAGATGCGGCGCACGATAATTATCTTGGAGCTGCTACTACTGTTGTCACGTTGTGGGTGCTCTTTCAATTGCGGTCAATTTCCCCCGAGACAGCTCTTTCGCTCTGGTCCTGTCAGCTCACAAAACATGGCGACACCAATTTCTCTCGTAGTCCAGCCTCGAGGTACGAACATCAAGTTCTTGTGAACGCAACGTGTGAAACCAAATCAATGGATGCGGGAGAAATTCGAGGTTGACAAATTCCCTAGGCAAACCCATCGGGAAGCTCCCCAAGGAAATCAATCTTGACCCCACCACATCCGGTGAAGAGCTGTACAATTCCATCGCTCAGATTTCGGGTGCCTCGGTGCACCGTCTGCGCATCACCAAGGGAAGCGATCGTTCCCTGGTGCCCAACTCCAAGGATGTCACTGTCGGGGCCACTGGGTTGAAGCAGTCGAGTGTGATTCACGTCAAAGATTTGGGTATGTGGTGATTCGCATTGCATTTCTGCTCTCGTAGAGATATCGGCTGGGGAGCACATGCGCAAGTTACTAATATCTCGTCCGTCACCCATTTAGGTCCTCAGATCGCGTGGCGCACTGTCTTCATCATTGAATATTTGGGACCGCTTCTGATTCCTGCCCTCTTCCTCTTCCCGCTCCGCAACTTGGTCTACTTCAACTTCGACAAGCCTCTCCCTGAGCCCTCCAATGTCCAGCTCCTAGTCTGCCTCCTCCTTACTCTGCACTTCCTCAAGCGCGAGTATGAGACCCTTTTCGTGCACCGATTCAGCAATGCCACCATGCCCGCCCGAAACATATTCAAGAACAGCGCTCACTACTGGGCTCTCGCCGGTTTCAACATCGCCTACTGGGTCTTCCGTCCCGACGCGGCTGCTGCCTCCGAGAACCACAGCTCCCTGCTCGTCTGGATCGGTACTTCGCTCTTCGTCTTCAGTGAGATCGCCAACTTCAATGCTCATTTGATTCTGCGTGACTTGCGCCGTCCTGGTACCACCGAGCGAGGCATTCCCTCCGGCTTTGGCTTCAACTGGGTCACTTGCCCCAACTACATGTTTGAGATTTTGGCCTGGATTGGTGTCTACCTAGTCAGCCAGCTGAGCTGGAGTGTACTGATCTTCACCCTGGTCGGTGGTGTTCAAATGTGGAGCTGGGCGTGGAAGAAGGAGATTCGGTATCGCAAGGACTTTGGCGACAAGTACAAGAAGAAGCGGACCGTTCTCATGGCTGGTCTATTCTAGATGAGTCGAAGTGGTGTTGCCCTGTGGAATGAACTTTTGTCCTTGCCGGTGACTTACACATATCTCAGTTGGGTCGTGCGCGACTCGTGAGAATGGATCGCCTTTGGACCGTTCGAGGCACTACAGCTGCACGTTCCAGCAGGATGAGAGTCAGCCTCAAGGACTTGTCTTGTAATATAAGCTTGTTGGGGGATTGTAAGATGAGAAGCACCCTTAGTTGAATGCTATCAAAAGCATGTCGCTTATTTTATATCAAATTTGTATTTCATAATAGATTAGTCTAATGATACATGATGGCAACGGAAGTAAAGATGATGAAAGTTTAAAGCGCATGCCAAGTCTAAAGAATTGTCCGGTGCCGTCTATTGTCTGCCATATGACTTCCCAACGTACACATCCAACCATAATACATGAGAACAATGAAAAGAATTCCAATCACACCTCGAACCGACCATTCTATCGAACGCTAATACATTCGCCAGGTGGAAAACACCTCAAGAGCCCTTGACTTTCTTCAACCACTGTTCGTAGTATGTATGAAACTCCTGGCAGTCTCGAGTGCCGGCCTTATCGCACGCAGGGAAGGAAATTATCAGGTCGCCATCTCTATACGTTCCGTTCGGCGACGCGCCAGACGAATCCTTGCTGTAGGCATTCAGGGTTCGCTGAGGAATTAGTGCCATACGAGCAAGTACCGTAGGATGCCATTGTAAAATATGATCCTGAACCGAGAGAGCATAGCCCTCGTTGTCAGCAGCCGTTGAATTTGAGCAACCCCCCAGAACTTCAGGACTAGATCACTTACTAGGGCATGCGTCTCAGCTTTGACGAAATTATAGGACCGGAACAGTGGATCAAACCAAAGATCCAAGAAGAAGCGTGCAAACTCCCTGTTCTTCAGAATAAAGCTCGTTGAACGCAAACCTTCACTGTCTTGTGTGATGACCAGATCAGTATTCTGCTCTTTCAGATGTGGAAAGGTCTTGATGATTCCGTTAGGCGGTACGATAGAAGCATCTTTCATCATCAGTGATTCGAGGCGCTTTTGGTCGAGAATGTGTGAGGTGAGCGAGGTAGTAGGATTCATGATGAGGGCGTGAGGGCTCATGTGGAAGAAGTATTTGGCCTTGGGATACGTTGCCAGCGCATGGCGCATGGTTGGAACTAGGGCCCAGCTTTTTGGAGCGTCGCCTACAGCTTCTTTGTAGTCGGAGACGCTTGCGAAGAAGTTCGTGTAGCCTGGACAAGGGCGAAATATTAGTGACGCCTTTCAAGACGACCCGTCCTCGGTTGATTGAGGCCAATTGAAGAGCAGTCCAATAACACCGCAAGTTACTTCATCATCTTACCATGACGCTTAGCATAGTCCTCCCTATTCGCGATGATCTTGCTGATGTAACCTTCGCTGAAGCTTTGGCGATCTAGCACGGTCACGATCACCACACCAGCTGTTCCTGCCGACGCTGAGAGAGAATCCGAGCTCGAAGAGAAGATGTGAGACAATATATAGAGAAATGCAAATATTGAAATGCCGATCACAGCCACAGTCTTCAGCTGCTTCCTCCGGTACAATGGGAGCCGAGTAGAGTGGTGACCTGGTAGCTCGTGTGGGCTCTTCCGCGGAGGTAATGCGAATTGCATTCTGAGGTTCTCGTCCCCCAAGCGCTAGACCTGCGAAGTCGCGCGTCAGGAACTCGGAAGATTTCTGCCTAGCTCTTGGATGGGTGTGTGAATAGGCAAGTTTGCCTTCGAGTGACCACCGCAGTCGTGGCTAGGAGGTTCATCGAGGTCCGCATTGGACGCAAGGTTGACAGGTACCGTGCCGCAAGTGACGCACGTATGTTCTGGGCGCTCTCCGAATCCGGCGGATCGCCCGTCCGCGTGCATTCCTTGAACAACCCTATCCGACTTCCTACTCATCAGATAGGCTAAATGATCGAAGTTTGCGTATCATTGTCCCAAATGTAAGGTGACATTGCACAGTATTGCGCCGACTTCCTGTAATATCAATCGTTGCCGCTGGCATGTGAAATGGATATAATTCTAAGCACTCGAGTATCTAAACGAGGCCTCTCCACCGAAATTCATATCTTCCGGACTAAGCGCACAACTGCGATTGCTTGTGAATCAGTAGCAGGGGCATCATCGTATCTTTCCAAGCCGAGGCTCAGATACCTTAATGCTGGCGCTTCGTCAGCGAACGGTCGGCTTGGATCAGCAACACTGCGCGCAAACATTGAGATATGCGAGCCAGTCCATGGCCCGTATAGGTGCAGTCAGGTTCATGAAGATGATAGTATATTGGAGTATAAGTACATTGAAGAGACCCATAGTACAGACGCAGCAAATCCAGTACCTGTGCGAGGCATACCACCTTTGCACTGGCTCAATATCAGATTGGGTTGTCGCAAGGGTCCAATGACAGGTCGAAGAAAAGCATAGCTTAGTAATGCGAACTGTGTCGTCGCAATAATAGTACAATGATGAATTGAGGCGCCAATCTCCATGAAACGCCTCGGCCGATTCCAAAGTATCGACGAAGCGCGAAACGAGAAAAAACAAATCCGTGAAAGAGTCGCAAGAGCTTTCATCTCAAAAAGCTTTTCAAGGCAATGCCTCAGCAGCCGCAATCTTGCGGGCATCATTCTGAGGATCAGCCTGACCCTTGGGTCGAGGCTTGGTGAGGGGCTTGATGTTGAGCCTCTCCTCGACGGTGGCTTCGATTTCTTCCTCCTTGGCCTTCATCCACTCCTCAAAAGTCATGGGTTCCGGGAGACCCATCTTCTCTCGTTGCTGCCGGAATTGCTCCTTGATGGCTGGGCTTTGCATGACCTGATATCGTAGATGCCATCCAAACACTCCAAGCTCCTTCAGACGGGCTGGTCGGTCTGAGAGCAGGTATTTGTCCAAGCCACCTTCACTGATAATCGTTCGTAGCGCTCGGCGAGTGACCTTAATGAAAAGGTGTTGTTGAAGGGCCTCACTCCACATCTTCTTGCGGCGAACATTGGGCTTCCAGCTTCTTCGCGTCTTGCCCTCGTTGCGACCTTTGGAGATTTTGTTACCGAAGCGGATCATGGAACCACCGTACAGACCAGTATCGGCCTGCTTGTACCACTGTCGAGGGCCATAGGGATAGGCTGGGACGTCTGCGGGAAGTTTGGGTGCGGATTGTGCTGCCGAAGTCGTTGTGAAGGCCCGCTTGGGTGTAGAGACGGACAAAGCGCGGAAGGCCGCAGTGAGTGAAAATGGAGTGGCCATGGCCGACCTTAACTGCAAGCCTGCCATTGTGGAAAGAAACAGACAAGCAAAGTGTCTTAGCTTTATCGACAGGGACGGTGCAAGTTGGTTCTGGTCGTATACAGCGGGAAGAATTTGGGGACCGGCTTACCGCCTTTGGCGCAGGTCCGTGACTGGCGCAGATCCCTTGCTCGCGAATTTCGGCCAGAGGACTCTTGAGTGATCGCAACTATCTAAGCCATCCTATACCCATTCTTTCTTTGTTTCCAGCACCCTCGCTGTCAACTGGTACTGCCTGTAGAGCTACCTCCTTGTCGACATTCATCAATCGCACTTGTTGCGCCAGAATCTTCCTTGGCTTATTTTGGCCGTAACCCGAAACCATGGTCCAGATCAGTGAAGTCAAAGGCAACTCGCGCGAGAACAGAACAGCTGCGCATACGCATATTAAGGGTCTGGGTCTTCGATCCGACGGAACAGCAGAAGTCACTGGAGATGGTTTCACAGGGCAAGCTGCCGCCCGTGAGGTAAGTGGATGCTATCTGGAGAAATACTTGCGCCAAGCATCAAGCTTGCAACCCTCAGTTCTAAGTACACCCTCATTTTGCTAAAAAAAAAATCAATGCTCAATATATAGGCATGCGGTGTCGTCGTCGATTTGATCAAGGCGAAGAAGATGGCTGGACGCGCTGTTCTGCTTGCTGGCGGCCCCGGTACTGGAAAGACTGCTCTGGCTCTTGCAGTTTCGCAAGAACTAGGAACCAAGGTGCCATTCTGCCCTATCGTTGGCAGCGAAATCTATTCTGCGGAGGTCAAGAAAACGGAAGCTTTGATGGAAAACTTCCGACGGGCCATCGGTATGCACACATTGGCGATTGGATAGGCTCGGGTTACAGTGACTTATGATTCGAGCAGGTTTGCGAGTCCGGGAGACAAAGGAGGTTTATGAAGGTGAAGTCACAGAATTAACGCCCGAGGAGACTGAAAACCCTCTTGGCGGTTACGGACGTACTATCAGCCATCTTATCATCGGGCTGAAATCTGCCAAGGGTACCAAGAAGCTTCGTCTCGACCCCAGCATCTACGAGGCTATTCAAAAGGAGCGCGTTACGGTCGGAGACGTGATCTACATCGAGGCCAACACGGGTGCCTGCAAGCGTGTCGGTCGTTCTGATGCCTACGCGACTGAGTTTGATTTGGAGGCTGAGGAATACGTGCCTGTTCCCAAGGGCGAAGTGCACAAGAAGAAAGAGATTGTCCAGGATGTAACGCTGCACGATCTCGACGTGGCCAATGCCCGGCCACAGGGTGGACAGGATGTGATGAGCATGATGGGCCAGTTGATGAAGCCGAAGAAAACAGAGATCACAGAGAAGCTGCGCCAAGAGATCAACAAGGTGGTCAACCGATACATCGACCAGGGTGTCGCTGAACTTGTGCCCGGTGTGCTCTTCATCGACGAGGTCCACATGCTGGATATTGAGTGCTTCACATATCTGAACCGGGCCCTCGAGTCAAGCATCTCCCCGATCGTCATTCTTGCTTCGAACCGCGGCCACACCGTCATTCGTGGCACTGACGGTATTGCCGCTGCGCACGGCATCCCTCCTGATTTGCTAGCCAGACTACTCATCGTTCCCACCACACCATACTCATCTGACGAAATCAAGACAATCATCCGACTTCGTGCAAAGACAGAAGGCCTCAACATCACGGAGCCGGCTCTGGACAAGGTTGCTGAGCACGGTAGCAAGGTCAGTCTGCGGTACGCACTGCAGCTCTTGACGCCTGCGAGCATTCTCGCTCGTGTCAATGGCCGACCCGGTGGCATTGATGTGGCCGATGTGGCCGAGTGCGAGGACCTGTTCCTTGATGCCAAAAGAAGCGCCAGCATTGTCAACCAGGATAGCAGCAAGTTCCTGCAATAGGTGGAATTTTTGGTGGGTCTGGGCTAATGGGGGAGTTTCTATGATTATGTACACCATGAAAGAGTCTCTGTTTCTTCGTTGTTTGAAAAGGCGAATATCTATTCTTTAGGACCAATTTTTGGATGAAGTTGCTTTCTTGATCGCCACGGTGTTGAGCCCGAAGATGCCTTGAGTCGCGTCAAGCTAATTCCCTTTCTAATCCATATCGCCATCACCTGCCGATCCACCCAAATTGCCATTCACCGAACCCTATTTCTGGGATTCATGCTGTTTCAGTTTATGGAGAGCTGCGACTTTAACTCATTCAAAGTAACCTACCAGACATTCTACTCGGTCATCTTTGCTTGCAATTTCATTTTCATTCCAGTGGCAATGCTGAGCATCAAAGTCGCCATTTCCATCTCAGGGACATCAAACCCGCTTTCATCTGACTGGGAAGGTACCCAAACGAGTGGAGCAACAGGATCCCCGCAGCCTTCCCTCGCCTTGGGTATTGTAAGGTCGCAGCTCAGTCTCGGGATCGTCGGGACATTGATCATTGTCTCTCGCCACGCCTTGCTTAGTGGCTGCAGAACAAGCCTAGAAGGCTATTTGCACACGGGAGTCGGTGCGAGCTGTTTGTGCTGTGCTTGCATGCGGCTCAATATGGGTTCGACGCATGCTCTGGCTAGAGGCGTGTCGATGGGCCCCGATGAAGTCTGTGATGACAGACTCTTTCAAGGCAGAGGCTTCCAAGGCGGAGTCTTTATGCGCAGAAGCCCGTTCTTCTTGCATTTTATGGCAAACTTGCAGGATCCTGGCATTGGTAAGAGGCTGAAGGAAGACCAGCCATGCCATTTGTGTACGGGGCCGATGATTCAAGTGCTGGACTGGGTGACAGGGTAGGTGCTGATTCGGTTGGAGCCTCGAACGATCTGATGCTGGCGACAGAGAGATCGTATCCGATGAGATATTCATCGAGAATGTGCGAGAATCAATTCACGATCTCCGCCTCGGACATGCTGAAAACCTCAGGTAGACTGATCTGACGATACGGAATTGAGCGATGCAGAAGTAAAAACGTACGCAGGATCAACCTCAGTCTCTAATCAGTGAACCCTGACTTGACGGCTGGTCGGGGAGGGTATCATAAGATTTCACATTGATGATTGGAACTAAGTCCCTGACGAAGAGGGTGAGTTCCCCGAGGGGTGTTTGCTTGCAAGGTCAAGACAAGCCCGGTGTTGCTGTACCGCGTCGAAGATACTTGTATGAGTGTAGGACAGCGGTGATCTGACCTCACCTTTGACAGCGATGTCGGGGTAAGCGGATAAGAGAATGGAGCTGGTCAGACCTGGGGAGTCCTGAGTATCAGAACTGAGCATAGCGACAACATTAAGGGTCCTCATTACGAAGCGTAGTATAAAATAGGGTTTCTTCCGGGTCACACCTACTGATGGACATGGGTTCATTGACTATCCTTGAAAGGAGACTCAGAGTATGATTTGAGATTCAAGCTAGCTCGGTGGAGGATAAGTTTCTTCCTTCATTTTGAACGAATCACATATGCGGCAAAAGTTCAAATACTGCACTGTCAATGTGATAGAGATGTAAAATCAGGCTCTGGGTACATTACTACTTGGTACTAAGAGCAAGTATAAGTAAATCTATAATTCAACCCCGTAGTAAGAAAATGGCTCTGAAAGTTGTACGGTAGAGGAAGTCATTTCGTTGCCACAATCGATACTTTTTCAGCTTTGCGAAATCCAATCAAATCATTATACGGAGTTTTTGACACGGCATCCTTTTCGCCTCTGGTGATCACAACCTCTGAAGATATCAAATATTCTCAGACGCATTCTGTGGTGCTGACAGCTACTTCGAGCCAAGGGTGTGTCAATGCATACTTCAATCACGATCACGTGGAGCGAGCGGCGTCATCCGCCCAGGTCCCAGCCTCCAAAGGCTTATCTCCGACTCCGACTCAACAGATTCAACAACGCGCTCTTCCAACGATTTCTTTTGCTGCGACCTTTCTTGGGTGTTGAATTCCATATTCAAGAAAGAACGTGTCTAACGGTTGCTACTACTCGAGCTGCTGGGCTACCTGGCGCAACCTCATTCCGGACCATCCAGTCCGTCCCCAGATCCCAGTGGACCCTTCCCTGCGGCCCGGGCCCAACATCACACCCACCAGACCGACGCCGACACAGGTAGCCTTGAAACTCTCGGGCGCTTTCCAACTCTTGCAAATAACAAAGTATATCTAAAAACCATCATCATGTCGAACCCCTTGGATACAGATGCAGGCTCGGAAATGTTCGCCAGCTATGAGAACGAGCTGAAGCTCGTCCAGGCGGACCTCAGTCAGAAGCTGGATCAGATCGCCGAGGCAAGCGGCGAGCAGCGCAAGTCTGCAATCCGACAAGCGGAGCAGGTCCTCGACGAGGCCACAGAATTGGTGGGTATCTCTTCAAGTTGGACCATATTGTCCTCCCGGTTATCAGGTTGCCTGTACTGACACCTCGTCCCCTTGTCGCATAGCTCGATCAAATGCGCCTGGAAAAGCAGAACATCCCCTCCGCCTCGCGATCCAAGGTCAACATTCGCTTCCGCAATTACTCCACTGATATCGACGAGACCAAGCGCAAGCTCAAGTCTCTTTCAGACGATCGCAAAGCTCTCTTTGGCGATCGCTACACCGATGAGCCCGTTGACGAACACCTCGAACAGCGCCAGCAACTGTTGTCGGGCACCGAGCGCCTCGAGCGCAGTTCCGCCCGTATCCAAGGTGCCCAACGAACCGCATTAGAGACAGAGGATATCGGGCGGGGTGTTCTGGCCGATCTGCATCAACAGGGCGAGACGCTGCGGCACACTCGTGCGACACTTCAAGGGAGTGAGGGGTACGTCGACAACAGTATCAAGACCCTGAGGGGGATGGCTCGTAGGTAAAGTGCTCTCCGTACCATTCTGTTTTTTTTTCGCATTTTGTTTTGCAGGACCCGTAACTGACGGGTTTGCAGGATGGCTACGAATCGGATAATCACGATTGCGATTATCACCGTCCTTGTTCTATTGATTTTCGCGGTCATTTTTAGCAAGTTCCACTAGCGACGCGGTGCTGATTCCATTGTAACGCTGGCGTTTTTCTTTCAATGTCGGAAGCTATTCTGCTACCGTCTTCTGAGTGGGCACTTGAGCTGGTTGGCGTGCATGCCCTAATGATCAATGTATACTGGCTAGGTGGGTATCTCTAGTCCATACAATGCAATTCTATCTGTCACTCAACGGCTATTGTCAACCGCTGTGCGGGTGTGCGTATTCTATTCATCATCATGTCAAGTTGCTAGGGGACTCGACGACAGCTGAGTCAGGTCGTATGTACTGTGTACATAGGTAGGCTTCGAGGTTCTATGTCCAGGACTTGGGGGGAATATCCCTATCTCTCCCGCGTCGTGGTGCAGACTCGGAGACGGGTATATGTGTAGTTCAAAAGCCACGAAACGCCAAAGCCATGCAAGTGTTCTCCGCAAGGAGATTGCTATATCTCACAGCACGACAACCCAGACCCCTCTCTGGATGCTCCCTAGTTCATGATCCTAAACCCCCCAAACACAGCATTCACAATCAGCCCCGCAACAACCGCCATCCCTTTCCTCCAGCTCCAAACACCTTCATTCCTCAGCCAGAACGCACATCCAATCGGCCAGAAGAACCCCATAACAGCTCCCCACAGCATATCGTCTATTGCCGTCGGCGACCCAGATCCAAACCCACCATCGTCATCACCGCCACCTCCTCCACCCGCACCACCAAGTCCCCCACCAGCTTGCGCCTGCGCTACCGTTGACCCTTCATCCATCCACCGGTCCTCGAGGTCCCGTAGCTCGTCTCCCGTGGGCATTGTGTCGCGTGTCCTAGACACAGATTGCACAGCGAGGAATTGTGATCTAAGAGCTGTCACCTCTGCGGGTGTAAACCCCGCCGCCAGTAATCGGTCGAAGCCACGTGGGGCCGGCGTGGTTGATGAGTGTTGCGCTGGTTGTGACTGGGACTGTGATGCGTCGGTTGACCGAGACGTAGAGTCATTATTTCGTGCGAGCATTGACACCTGTGATGCATCTTTTTGTTTTTCTAGTAACTGTGTCGAAGCGACTGCTGCCTCGGCGGCGAGGTCGGTTTCTGAGAGGGCGATGTCGCCGATTGAGCAGTGAATGTAAAGACGCGGCCGTGTGTCTCGAACAGGCTGTTTTCCTTTGCGCTTACGTCTCAGAAGGCTTTGCTCTGCAGTAGAGGGCTCGCCATCATCGTCATCGTGGTCAGCCCCTTGATCTTGTTCATCCTCGTCTTCATCAGCCGGACGAGGTGTCCGACTTGGAGAAGGTGGAAGTTTGAGAGAGACTGCAAGGGCGGTTGTGTCTTCAAGGCCACGGCCAGCGTAGATGAGACGCAGTCTATGATTTTTGAGCGTAGGTGGGAGTTTGGCACGGATCAATTGCTTGAGACCGGCGCCTGTTGTGGACTCTGCATTGGGTACGTCGAGGTTGAGGTCGGGTATTGATGCGGAGAAGCGGACGATGACGAGGAGATCCAGGGCGGATGATGGGGAAAGCCAGGATTGGAAGGCCATGGCGAAAGGCTTGTGAGCTCTAAAGACAGTCTTGGGGGAGCGCTGTTGGTCATGACATTTGATCTTTGAGGTATGGGTCGTTCACTCGGGCGACATGATTAGGTTGCAATCTGGTAAGTTCAGGTATACGACTGGATGCGCGTAGTCGTACCTCTTATCAATCGCCGGCTGCCCGCAGATCGGGATCCGTCATGAATGAAACACAAGGTTCGGTAGGAAAGTACCTTACTAACACCCTCAGCTGTCTGTGGGGGTGACTAATAGCACGGGTCCGCTGGCACCTGTGCGCACTCCGCAGTTCGCACCCAGCCCGTTGATGTGCATTTGCGGAATTCGCCTTGATCTTATACTACTTTCATAGATTGGATCTCCCTTGAATATCTCCCCTGACCTCTTTTGGAATGGATAATTTCTGGAATGGATTGATATGGGATGCTTATTTCTATTGCATCTCCAAGCACAACATCGATATGTCTATAATCTGGAATTGATGTCATATTCCTGCACGTCCAATTAGGCATAACTAAAATATATTGCAGCCAACATGTCCGAATCCGCCAATATCTAGTTGAAGTCTCGCACCTTGAATATCTGCCCAAATAATCAACACCCCCATCGTTGGAAGCTGACCGTCGCAGACCTCTCAGCGTAACACCCAAACGGCTGGAATAATCTCCCCCACCAAGAGACATCAGTCCTCAAACGAAAAATGACTCATGGTCATCTGCAGTATATCCTCAAGCTCCAGCTACCAATTGTCAAACCAGAAACCACATCCATCCATGCCTCTCCCGCCCGAGTACCTAAACTTGGAGCTGTGTTGGAGCTAATTGCCCTCATGAGGGATGGTCTATTGACGACATGGAAACGTCCCTCAAAAAACTATGCGTGAACACTGTCTCGCAGAGGGAGAGAAGGGAGATCAAGGAAGCAAAAATAGTCGCGCCCGGGATCGAACCGGGAACCTTCTGAGAGCATACGCCGAGACATGTGAATCAGAAGTCATGACCATTAGACCACGCGACTTTGTGGTAGTTTCCTCAAGTTCTGGCTACATGAAGCAAGGACGTATGGGCCAGGTGTGGTAATCCTCTTGTGGGCCCGTAAGTAGTTTGCATTCTATGCGCGTCATTACCCGAGGCCTTTCATCACATGCTAAGAGAATACCTATGAGGAACATATTCATTATTATGCGGTATCACTGATACTTCCCTACTCTTCAATGTTTTTGGTCAAGAAAGACTGACTGAGCTTCATAAGCATGTATCTGTGTAAAGGCTCGGTGTACGGAAAAATAGCATATTATGATTAAGAAAGGATATGGATAGGTTGAACATTCCATTCCATGTCTACTTATGCACATAAGTATCTGCGATAGGGCCAGAACTACTGGCCTTCTTATCTTTTACCCAATCTTGCCAGAAAGTGATGTAGCCAAAGTATGACCTGGAATTCAAGGAAGTCGCGTGGTCTAATGGTCATGATTTCTGATTCACATGTCTCGGCGTATGCTCTCAGAAGGTTCCCGGTTCGATCCCGGGCGCGACTATTTTTGCCGTCGTTACTTCTTTCCCGATGTATCATCACCGGTAAGTCTTGTAGGCAGTACGCACGTAAGTATTTTATGCTTAGTCGCGTGGTCTAATGGTAATGATTTCTGATTCACACTTTCGATGGTATGCTCAGAAGGTTCCCGGTTCGATCCCGGGCGCGACTATTTTTGTATATTGTTGGGGTCATGGTAGGATTTGTTGATGGTGGGTTGGAGAGTCGGGGGATCTACTTTATTTTTGGGGGTTGGATTCCATACAGTCTGTGGGTGTAAGTCCCGTGGTCCAGACTGAGGTGCAGTAGCACTAGCCAGTGAGCCACTGGGGTAAAAACACCACTACAATGATATTCTACCTGTACTTAGAGAAGTTGACATGTTTATTGGAAGATATATGACAGCAGCTGGGCTGCTTCACCGAGTGGTCATGGAATTTGTTTCGACCGTCGGCTGAGTCGAGGGTGTTTTTGATCTAGACATGAGGGAGTCACAAACCGATACAAAAAGAAATACGCCGAATTCGTGAGAGCTTCTGCTGTTCATGACACCGAAATCTTCCAATATTGCACAGGACTCGAGATGATTGAGAGTGGTGAGAAACAGGCATTATATGCCCGATATCAAATTGACAAAACGAGGCAGGTCTGACAGACCGCGGATTATGGTATCTGAGAGTAAATATAAACTTTTTTTCCCCCGACACATCTCAAGGATGCTCCATGGGCATGGAATCAAACCAACAACGATCAACAAAGAAAAGCAAATCGCTACTTCAAACAAGACAACGCAACAAACTGCGCAACAAATAAGAAACCACAATGGAACAGCCATCATCACCAGCCATCCACCCTAATGAGGAAGAAACTCTTTTGCAGAAGCCTTAAACCTCTTGACCATAAAGCCCGGGCTGCAATTCGCCTCCCAGTCCTCATCGAATCCCATATCAGGATTATACAGCGTGGCGCTGTTCTTGCGTCCAGCGGCAGAAATCATAGACACGCCCAGGGGCAGGTCTTCACCCTGGATGGAGGAGTCGGAGCCTCGGCGCTCGCCACAGGGGCATGTGGCTGTTATCCTGTCGCCGGGGGTTGTGCAAGGGCATGCGCCGAGGGAGCGATTGCAGGGCACGCACTTGTAGTAGGCGCGGCCGATGCCACTCTGGGAGCTGTCGAGACGGGAAGAGACGCGAACACCGGGGAGACCGCATTGGGAGCAGTTCCAGCCGGATGTCGGGCGTTCGAGGTATTGCATCGTCATGATGGAGGTTGGCGTGGGAAGATGTGGGATTGGGGTTGTGGATGTGGATGTGGAAATGGAAGCTAGTATATCTGGAGATGGGGGATTAGTCTGGTGTCCGAGGTCATACAAAGTGAGGATGAGTGTAGCAGGATGGGAATGTCTTACGTTTTCAAGCTCGATATTTCAATGACTTGATAATAAATTGAATGATGAAGCTTGTAGTAGCTTTGCCTTGCGCAGTGAAGATAAGAGAGGGAGGTGTCTTGATAATAATGAATCAGATAGTAATGTTTATGATTGAAAGTGATGCTGTTGACCAGAATCCGGGGAAAGCCACGCCTTTTATAGAAGAATGGATGAAAATTTTGATTTTGCGGGGGAGGAATGAACGTCGATCCTCATGACGCTATTTTGAGAATAAATGTCTCCATTCTCAACAATTCCACTTTCATCTCAGGGGAATTACTGGATCCGATGGCCCGCAAAGGGAGACATTCTCTGGAAAATGCCTAATAAAAACTTGAATCAATCGAGAAGAATCAGAGTGGAAAAAAAAAAAAAAAAAGGTGGAAAATCCCCCAGAAATGCCCCCAAAGACATCACAAGACGAACGAATGATGCAAAGCTCTCCATGAGTGATTAAAACTGGCATCGTCCATGTCTCGTTGGCATGGATGATGGCCCTTTCCCTGGGTTCCATGTTCCACTCGATCCCACCTGCAGACGGGAGGATCTTCCAGATGTTGCAAGAAATCACGTAAAAAGTATGGGGTTGAACCGTTCTAGAACCCGCCGGGCTAGCCTGACTCGCCTGACGGATGGGCACGGGGGTCACCTGGCCCCCGGGCCGGTCTTTGCCCAGCGTTGCCTCCCCAGCCTTTAAGGAAGGCGCGACTGGGCAGACCGCCGAATGACTGGACGTCGAGGCTGGGGAAGGGCCTCTGGCCCCGCCGACGCCAGCCGAGCCATTAGGTAATATCGCGCAAAACGGGACGGTCAAGTGACTCGAGCGAGGTTTGGCATTGGTTTATTTGTTTCGACTTACGTGTTGAGGAGTGGAGTGTGAAAGTAAGGGTTACTTTTTTTTTCGCTCATTTTTTGGAAAATTGTCGTCTTGTTTTTGATGGATGGTCTCCTTGTGGAATATCGTGGGGAAATAATGATGCAAATGGATCGTTGTTGCGGCATTCTGATCCAGTCGGTGCGCGGTGTGGCGTGAGGTCTGGCTTATTGGATGTTCAACGCCGAGTATCACGCGATAGACAGGAGGAATGCTGTATCGAGTCGACGAGACCGCCTGCGATGCAGCTTCCTGGGATAGGACTTCATACGCTGTAGCTGAATGAGCTGAATGATGCACTCATTCAGTACTTGAATAGTTAGTTAACTAAATAACTAGTTAACAGTTAACTAATTAGTTAACTATATGTAGGTGCTTAATAATAGATCTATCTGATTATGTTTGATTATGAGGGTGAGTTAGGGCAATTGCTAGGGATTCGTCTAGGGCGTATAATGTGCGCATGATAGACCATGTGCTAACGATCACGCTATGCAAACAACATGCCAATGGTACCTCGCCTAGTGCCTACAGACCGCAACAAGTGTTGATAGAAGGAGTGGATTGCCTTCCAAATTTGCAGGAGAATTATTCCATGTACTTGTATATTACTATTCACATACCCATGGTACATACCTACATGCATACCTAATTCGTTCGGGGGCATCGGCGACTTTTGACATGTTTATTACCAGTCAGTAGTACAGTTATACAGTAGGACAGTAGGTTATACAGTAGGACAGTAGGACAGTAGTCTCCGGAGTGCCACTGCCAAGACACTTTCGACGTGGAAAGGGCGTCATCACCTGACCGGGTACGAGTCATTTGCCGCCATGTCTAGAAATGGTGACCTCTGGACCATAATGGACATGTAGCCATGCAGGCATGCACCAAGTTACCAGTCTACCAGTCCCAAGGTGCCAGTCGTCCAGTATTACTGCACCATAAGGGTTGCTCCCTGCCCATTCTGCCCATTCTGCCCATTACATGGTGCATTTAATATTCGTTGAGAATGAGATTCGAGCGTCAGATTCTCCGCTTCAAGATGGACACCGACAGAGCGTCCGATCCTCGGGACGTGTCCGATTTGACTAAGTAGGAAAGTGGCTCTCACTCCGGTGTTCCACTGTTCACTGTCACTGTCACTATACAGTATCATACCTATAGTCGATATCAAAAAAGTATTCAGGGATAGACACGCGGACTCCTCATCCGAGATGCGTCGTGCCTGGATCCACCGGAATCGGATCACGCGGATGACGAATTTCTAGAAACGAGGGCGAGTGGAACGTCTGCAAGCGTCTTTGCCAAGAGGGGGAAAGTCGACGGCGGATTGTTGTAGCAATGGGATATAGACAACCACAGCATGAGCACAGGGCTCGGAATTGAGTCCTCGAAAAGGTATATACTAGACCTGGACCATAAGGTATGTTTTATGTGGTTAGTGGTGGTGTCAACTAAGTACGACTCCTTTGGTACTGGTTCGCTGTTGGACCTCGGCCATAAACGGGGTTTCTATTCCGACGTTACAGTGAGAGCTGTCTTGCGATAAGTAGATTGCTACTTTCCAAAAAGGAGGAATTGTCGTTACATACGGCCTGTGAGCCTTGCAATTGCTTCACATAAATCGTGCTGATTACCTTCTACTATGTACAAACTCGGTGGTGTGTGATGTGCAGACGTAGGTACCGAGCCCGGTAGCAATCTTCAGCTCCGCCTGCCGTCTCTTTCCAGAGGGCAACAGCACTTAATCGAACTGGAATTGATGGGTCACGTTACACAAAAAAGAAAATCTATATACAGATAATGGAGGTCGCGACAACATTAACGAGACCCTTCAAGAGTGAGCCAATATCATGCGTCCAGGATTGGTACTCTGTCGCTATAAGTGAAGTGACTGGATCGCACAGTGTGTCATGAGTACGGCTGAAGGCGCGCAGTTTCCGTGACCCTCGTGAGTTCTCTCCTGTGCGCCGCTCTTAGATCAGATCCGTCGAGGAAGGATTCTGCATGTGAAGGAAGACACGGAACTCAAGAGTCGTCCATTAGAGGAAGCACTTTTTCATGGTCATCGTCGATATCGAATGGTAAAGTCTATGCCACGCTATGAGATACAGGCTTGACTGTGACAAGGCAAAAGTTGACGAGATGCCGAGCAGTGAGCAGCGGTAAGGCAGATCTCTGCTGCGCAAAAGTGAACCCTCCCCCAATCATACTCGACAGCCCAACTGTGCTCGTAAGATCATTCCACCGAGGGAATGCTAATGACCAAAGGTGACGGTCAGGCGAGATGGGAATGTCAAAAGTTAAACAGGTGTATCAACTGGATATTGGGAATATGAACCGGCCCCCCACAAAGAATCATCATGCAGGCAAAGGCCGAATGAGAAAGATAGAGAATGAACGAGTTGAAGCAAGAACGCCACCCAATGCACCGTAAATGACCAACGCCAATAAGCCGAAGCAACAAGTCGAATTCAAAAAATTGGCCAGGCCGTCTTAGACCATGAAGGATTCACCGCATCCGCATTCCTCCTCTGTTGGTGGAAATGGTTAGTAAGAGAGACATCACGCAGCACAAGTACCGAAGGAATTCACATACTAATGTTGGGGTTGCGGAATACGAAGCGTTGGCTGAGTGGATCTTCGTGCCAGTCCATCTCGCTTCCGATGATGCTGAACAGAGCCTTGCTATCGATCAAGACCTTGACACCGTCTTGCTCGACAATCTCGTCGAACTTGCCTGGCTTTTCTACGTATTCGAGATGGTACGCCAGGCCTGAGCAGCCACGGTTCTTGACTCCCACACGAATGAATTTGGGATCCGGCTGGTCCATCAACTTTCGTAGTTGCACAGTCGCGAGAGGTGTCAGCTTCATCGCGGCTTTCCGTGCCCGCAGGGGTCGACGGGGCTTGGACGTCTTGGTTGCGCCATTTGTAGTAGTGGAAGTGTTGGAGACTGGCTTGGTGACATGGGCCTCGCGCTCTGGTTGTGGGGTAGTTGCAGAGCTTGGTGTTGAGCCATTCTTTGCAGGTCCGCTGGGCAGAGGGAAGTCGGCGGTGATTGACACGTCCGAACCTGCGCCGCCGCTCGGCTTGGGGAAGGTGGTCGGAAAGGATGAAGGTAGGGTGTGCGGACGGTAGGCTGTTGCCGTCTGCATGTCTCGTTTAGAAGACATGTATGAGTTTCCTGCCGAGGAGAAGCAGCGCATCGATTGAGCACCGCGCTGCACGGCCGAGGCCTGCACCCATCGGAGAAAGGTGGCGGATGATGTCACAGGACGCGGCATGTTTGCGCAGACGCTCATGTTCTGTGAGCAGCAGGAAGTGTGATGAGCAGTCAAGATAAGTGTAGAGACGAGATTCGCAAAAACCGAGTTCTGCTCAAATTGAGAGTGTGGTCCTGTGTATTGTAAAATGTCAATGAGTCGAGTGAGAGCGAAGAAACTATCACTGTGATGGACACTTTTCCCGCGGCGGAGCCAAGTCAGAGGATTAGCTAACCCAGTTGCATGACTGCATGTGACTTCCACCAATCAGAGATTAGACATTTCCACGCATCAAAAATGGTGCCACCTCCCGCACTGCACGATTTACTTCGGTCAATGTGGACAGGAGCTAGACGATGATCATCAATATGATGGGTTTTTCATGAGGACACTCGTGTAGCCAGAGACTGTCATGTCTCACTTATAGGTTCGTGCGATACAAGGGAATACTGTCACCAGCCACAAGCATCAATCATAGCTTCTATCAACAAACTCAGGTCATCGACAGTCCATTCAGGGGAGTCCCTCGGACAACAACGCCGACGGAACCCGGGCTGCGGAGCGGGTTCAACCACAGGCTCCAGCAGACGGCAGATGAGTCAGCCGGCTGCCACGCGCCTGAGCCTCGAGGTATTGGGGCCTAAGGTTTCAACAAGCTCAGCACGGCAACGCGTGGCAGTTGACACTCGACAGAAATCAGCCGACATGTTGGAGCAGGACTCGCGACTTGTCTCGTTGCGTCATATTTCGATCCTGTAAAAAATAATATTCACATCCAGCTGCCACAATCTTGACAGCAATAATTAACGGTTATGCACCGCCTGGCTTACCTCTGGCTCTCTTCACTCAAGCTTAACCCCCATCTCCGTAGTCTGTGCTGCATGCGGTTCTTGAAAGGACATGTGGCTGGACCCGCCGACGAGTGGCTGGTGCCCGAGTGCCAGGCATGCCGAGGCGTCAAAGAAGCATCCCCCTCGACGTCTGGCACATGACATAAATCCCAGGAATCTCTCAAATCAAGACTATCTGTGTGAGTGAACAATGGAGGCCTCACCTCTCACGCAGCAAAGTCGGCCCGAAACGTTCAAGCCGAAGATTGTAGAGCTCTATGAGACTCTAGTCAAGGTATCCTGCCGCTCCTCATCAAGAAGCTCATGTATAATGCTTTCTAACGCATGTTGACAGGCAGCCGATCACGAGGATGTGGAATTCCCCGAGGGGTTTTGGAGAGAGTTCTTCCTTCTCCCTCCAGATCGCACTCAGTTGCACTCCCTGCTGGACGGGTTGAGTGCTGACGAGATGCTGGGCTTGCAGGTCTGTCTGCTTGCCCTTTCAACCCATCTTGAACGTGCATCTCGAGTTCACCAAGCTAACATCTGATAAAAAAGTCGCAAACAAATGCTTTGTTTGCTCGTGCGATGCACGTAGCCTCGGCCGGGAATGCCCCTGCAGACTCTTACGCTCTGGATGTGTGTATCACGGCACCAATGCTTTAGCCCCGTCGTGCCAAATTAATGCACAGAATAAGCTAATACCACCAACCAGACTCTCACAATGTTCTTGACCAGTATTCTGAGTAAGAAGTACACAAATCCGAGTTCAGATGTGATTGCCGTTCTTGCTGGCCTGGACGAGGTAGACCGAGTCATATCTGAATTCGTCGCTATTCTGGACGGGATCGTGCGTGGAGGTCACAGTCGTAAGTTGTCACGGTCTCGGAGCAAAACTTGATCAAAGGCAGGTTCTGACACAACTTGATCCAAGTTGAGCTTCGCCAAAAAGCAATTCGAGTCGCTGTTGCCATGACGAGCGGTGCATACAAGACAAGCCTGGTCTCCTACTTTACCCACCGGGACCTCTTCCCGTCATTGATGAAGGTAAGTCATCCAAAAGTGCGGCAAACATTGATTCACATCTGACATACCACCCAGTATGTCAATGACTCTGACAATCCGGCGGACATTTTTGATCCCTTCTTACTCTTGGGTTTGCTGGCAAACTACAACAAGTTTGAGTTTCAAAATCCCTATCAGCTACGGCTTGACGATTTTGTAAACGAAGGCAGCATTAAGAAGATCGTCAAAGGTGTTGGCATGGCCTGCGGCCATCTACGCGACGGATACGTCGACATTCAAGACGATATTCCAGAAGGCTGGACGCTGAGCAATACTTTGGGCTTCCTCGGACTTCGAGCCCTTACTCCCGGGACAAAAGGCAAAGCAAGTCAACCTACAGCAGAGGAAGCTAAAATTCTGTTCACAGAGCTGTAAGCAACCCCAATCAATCTGAGTTCCTGTGTTTTTGCGCTGTTGCTGGACCAACACTAACTCCTTTGCTAGTCCATCGCGAGAAGCCGCCATTCTTATGGCAACATATGACTTTACAAACTCGAACAAGCTCTTCGGCTTTCACTTGGTGCATATGATACCCGAGAAACATGAAGAATCGCCCTTCGCCAGCTTTCTCTCGTTGACTTCTTACCTTTTGCAACACGCTTATCGCTCGCCACGTGTAGCACATTACGCTGAACTGGGTCTCTTCACCCTTCGGATCATCGTTGAGGATCCCACTCTGTGCAAGCGTATCTGCAGTGAAGATGGAAAACGTCGAGTCAGGCTTTGCCGCCAACGCCAACCTTATCTCCCCGTCGTGAGTGGGGATCGTGTTATGGCGACGGTCATTCTTGACATGATGATTGACACTACCACACATAACCTCCGACGGCGTCTGGACGTCAACATTTACAGGTGGGTTCAATCTCCACCACGTTTGGGGAGCTATGCACATCTCAAAAGTAGAGTACTCCGTCACTAACTCTACAATCCAGCCACACTATCGCCATCACCCTCCGTCTCCTCACTTACCTCTCCATGAACAAAATCCGACTAACCTACCACTGGTCCGAACTATGGCGCACACTCCTCTCACTGATGCGCTTCCTAACAACCTACGCCACCGATCTATCCTCCACCACCAACATCTCGACTCTGACGTCCTCCCTCGTCGACCTACTCGCCTTTTGCGTTTCCGCAGGCGACACCTTCCTTCCTGACCCATCATCATACGACGACCTCTTCTACAAGTTGGTCGAGATCGGACCCGCCATTCCCAAATTCAGAGATCTCTACGGCTTCGCTACCACCCGCACAGGAGCACCGTCGGATTTCTCAACGCCCAACTCCAAAGATAAGGATATTCATGCTGCAGCCATCAATACGCTCTTATCGGTATCTACGCATTTTCACACACTGCTCTTCCAATCCGATGGTAAAGAAGTCGCCGCTCCGGTCGCAGCGGCCGTGGTGGCTAGTCCCAAGACGGAGGGGGACGCTGCGCCTGTCGCACTGCCATCCATCAAGAAGAAGAACTTGAGTCCGCGCGAAGTGCATCGGATCATCAAGCAGGGGTACGATACGCTGAGCATTCAACCACCGGAAGGGTTGACGACGTGGTCGCGGTGGAGAGAGACGGAGTGGAAGAGCGAGTTGAAAAGAGCGGCGCGATACGCGGTTGATGACGCGCGGCTTCTGGTGCTAGAAGATGGGCGGAAGAAGGATTGATGAGTGTTCACTCAGTGAGTGGGATGCAGCATATGAGAAAGGGATGGACTGGCCAGCGAGCGAGACAGGCCGGTTGCGCGGTCCCTTGACGTGGGTGTTCATGTAGTATAGGCTATAGTCTATTTCGGTTTCAGGTGGTTTACAAAAAGCACACCAGACTGATGAGAAAGCATGGTTCAAAATGAGTCTGGAATTGTAGGAAGCTAGATCTTTGGGAACTCCGAATGAATCCTGTTTTCTGGGGGCTCAGACGCAAAACCAGAATGACATATAACCTAGTTTGCTCAAACACAATTTCCACAGCCCAAGAATGCGAGACTGAACACCACTCCACAAACAAGACACAAGGAATAAGAAAAACGCACCGCGGCGCGCGAGGTTCGCCCTCACGTCGGCCGTGCATCGGACAGAATGGACCAGAAAGGACAGAAGTAGTGTTCATCAGCAGCGTACCAGTCTCAATATGCTGTGCAGGGTGTCGATGCACAGAGAAGGTTAGAAGGGAGGCAAAATAGGGAGGCGCAAGGCACTTTCGACGCCTTTGATCGACGGGATGTGGATGTGAAAAGGAGACATGGAGGCGGAGAAGAGGCACGGGGTTGGGATACTAATTCCAAAGGCTTTAACGAGCGGCCTTGACAGATTTCTCAACAACAGCATCTTCAGCTGAGATGTACTCAGTGCGGAAGTACTTTTCAGAGTTCTTTGACAACCACAGCGAGAACTTTGACAGCTCCTCGCGCAGGCGCTGCGTAGCCTGGAGGTCCATGTTTGTCTGAGCGAGCAGCTCCGGGAGGAGACCTGTACGAGAAGTTAATGAGCCACATACACTTCTTCAATCGGGGCCGAGATCAATCAGACAGGGATCATGCACGTACTGAATAGGCGGACAAGATGCTCCGCGCCATAAACATCGTTGGGGAGTCTTGCTGGGTCGCCGAGAAATTTATCGCGCAGTAGACGGTATTGGGGTCGCTCGTAACGGTAGAGCAGAAGCTTGTCGAGCATGACATCGAAATATTCGAGAATACCCACAATCACCTCGTCCAGAACGTCAACGTCGATGCGGCTCTCGACACGCTTCGGGGCCTCCTCATCTCGCCAATCTTGGAGGATCTGGCGGACGGGCTTCGGCGCAGGAAGGAGAACAACGGAGCCATTCTTGGTCACGCGTTCCCAGTCATCAACAAGCAACGCTTTCAAGTTATCGGGAATCACGATGCGAATGGATGGGCGCGCGTGGAATGTTTCTTCCTGTTCATGAGAGATAGAGCCTTGATCAGCAGCTGTTCCACGGGAGATAGCAAGCCTGGTGCGAGGACCGGCTTCAACAGGTTCTACAGCGTCCGCTTCTTGAGGAAAAAGTTCAAGAATGACTCTCATTTCGACAACGACCCACGGATTTGGGCGAGACATGGTGATCCGCAGTGTCGTAGTGAAAGGCTCAACCGATTTGGAGAGAAATCCACTCGACGTGAACGACATGTATGATTGAAACAAGGAATTGCAGAGGAGGGGAAGATATGTGTGTATGTTTGTGTGTGCACGTGCGTGTGGCCTGGGGTGAGACGAGACACAAACAGCAGCATAAAAAAACATCCGTACCTTTTCGATATCGGTCTCTCCACGAGCTCGCTTGCTTGCGCGCCCAGGTACGGAGTTGCCACGCTCTTCGCTATCACGTACCGAGCTGCGCTCGGACATGGCGCGCTTTTTGGACGTAGGCTTTGCATTCTTTTGGCGAGCAGCGGCTTCTACTTCACGGCGCAAATTGGCCGCCAGCTCGCGATTCTCCTCAGTTGCTTTTCGAAGGCGATCCTCGAGAACCCAGTCATCCCAACTAGATGGAGATGTAAGCGAAGAGTCTCGCAGACCCGTGCGTGGGCTTTCAACAACAGAGGCACGATGGGCTGTTGAAGGGATAGAGCTCAAGTAAAACAGTGTAGTCATCAAAAGCTCACGCTGACAAAAGGCCTGCAGATGGAGCTCCAAGTCTGACCATCATCCACAGTGATGGCTTGCATACTTGAAGCGTCTTGAGGGCAGGTATCGGAAGGGAAGCAGCAAATATTGCAACAAGGGAAACAAGGGATACAGGGAGCAAGCGACAACTTACGTGTTTTTCCACCCTTTATAATGAACCAGGTACTCGAGAACGCTCTTTTTATCGGCTGCATCTTTGTGACGGACCTCTAGGATTTTGGCGTCATAGAGAATGTCGTGATGGAAGCACAAGACCTTTTCGTCCTTGCTGTACATGGCAGGCATGATGGAGGATTGTGCAAAGAATAGGAAGAAGTGAGAAGAGACGTGCAAGAATTATACTTATATAGACAGACAGTGATAACCAGACTGCTAGACTCGAGCGTTTTTGAGCATGAAAGAAATCTGATCATGCAAGCCTCGCAGGGTCATCGACTCAATTGACAGACTAAAATGACCGGGTGCGGAACAGCTTGTTGCCTGCGCAAGCAACTTTTCCTCGCCCGACCAAGTCGATAGTACGAGGGTCTGAACCTGACAGCCGCTTCCCTGATCAAGACCGTGGACAACCTGGTTCGCTCCAAGCTAAGCTGGGCAGAGTCACGTAAAGCAGGCCTCAGCCGGACAAGGTCACCGAAAGAGAGAGTACCGATCAGCCGCGAGAAATGACGGACAGACCCTTTCTTCAAGACTTTGAAAGTGCGCAAAATCTGCGAGATTGTCAGTTGAGAGCTTGTAATTTCCAGTGTACGAGTCACGCACCTGAAATTCTCTTATCGAGTCACTATTTTGGTCTTGTGATCTGGATTTTGGTTGCGAAGCAGCAGAAGACATCCATCTCCCTGGGACTATCCCATCTGGACGGAAGACACGTGATGCCCACGCGCTTCAAACGGGCGACGCGACGCGGCCGCTTCTCCTTTGGGAAATATCCAACGGCATTGTTGAAAGCGCAAGGCACACAGTAAGGAAAAGCAATACATGCATTTGAACAACTCATCCAGATAAAATGCAGCGCAGAACAATGGCTCCGTCGGAAGAATTTATTCTGTCCAACTTTTTACTGGCGCCGGCTCCCCTGCCGACAGTCATGTCACTACAAAAGTTTACTGAGCTGTTTCCCAGACGGCTACGGGCCCATCCGCATATTCGAACACTGTATCGAGAATTACAGCAGATTCGAGAGCATGACATGGACCGAGTCAATGAGAATATTGATCAAGAGCTGAAGCTCGGTGAGCGACAAAAAGCCGAGCTGCGCAAAGCTATTCGCGCGGCAGGTGTCGAAGCCGCGACAGCTGATGAGCAGCGTGAAATGGAAGTCGACCTTCAGCTTTTCGGTCAGAAGCAGACTGCCAATGCTGATGACTATCACTCGGTGGACAGTCTTTTGCTGGCGATGGAGTCTGCTTGTACTCATGTGGAGCGAGAGATTAACGATATCGATCAGGAGGCTGCGGATCTTTTAAAAGAACTCGGTACTACAATCGGTGACCTGAGTGACCTTCGATATGGCAAATTGCAGGGCCCGGCAGGCACTAAAAACACAGTGGGCATTGAAACCGTCCACGCCTTACAGAATCTTGAGGAAGCCTGCTACAGAAACATGGACGCCGACGCTGCATGATTGCAAGAAGCGTCCTCGAGTTGATTCACATCTTGATAAGGCAAACTCGGATGAGCCCCTTCATGCTCTCTGCATTCACACCAGTGATGCACTTCTTGTCCTGGGCGGAGCTGCTCGTTGTCAGAACACCTGTCATTTGCGACCATCGCATCCGCGCACTGAAAGACTTGCTGTCGAGAAATACAGGATGACCAGATGATGAATTTTATTCCACAACTTTCGGCGACTTTGAGCCGATAATTCGCCCTTGCGTGTTAATCGTATCCACAACTCTCAATCGGTGAACAAAGCAGTCGTTTGATACTCGGCTGTGAGATTGAAGACGTGTCCGGTGGTTGAACCACGATTTGGAAGTCTCTCCTTTCCAGAATGTCCACCGAGCCTTTATCCTGGAGCAGGGTTTCCTACTTATATGCGGCCCTTTTCCGCATTTCACCCGCCGACCGCAGAGGCACAGTCTAGCCAAAGAGGAGCACAACTTGTGAGGCATCATGTGTGATCAGGTTGGTCCTCAAGTAGGGTCCAGACTCCAGACAAGACCCGTGTGCAAGCTGAGGCGTGCACCAGAACGATCAGAATACAGCGGCTTAACCCGAACATCAGGCACTGCCCTTACGTATCCCGGGACTTGGAGAAGTTGATGCTTTGGCTGAGTGTAAGGCATAATTCACCTTGGTCAACTGTGAGGGGGACCTGAAATATTCTCTCACCGACGCTGCGATCAAACATTTGAGCCTCTACATGAAATATCCTCTACGGTCGCCCAGGAAATAGGTCGAGGCTGTTTAGTGGCCGAGAGGACCACGAGAATTCCCGATGAGCATAACGAGAGTACTCAAGTTCTATGCGAACAATCCTTATGAGCATATGAACCGTAAGAGTATCGCTTTCATCAACTTCACGTTTCGTTGCGTAAAATGAAAACATCTTTGGTACTCGAAACTGTTGCTGTACAATAGCATTGTTCCCCGAAGGAGTGTGGGGAAAGAGGATGGATCTGCGGAACCCGATGCGCGTCGCGTTTCTTCACTTGACTCTCTCCCACCTCGACTTTTTCATCCACTGGAATTGATCCCAAGACCTCATATCTCACAAACGCCTCGAGACTTGCATCATTCATTGGAAGTTTGCCATGCCATCGATACCCCTTCACCCACGATCGGCTCGGGGTACTCAAAGTGGCGCCGCAGACCCCGCGCACAATCCTCTACCGCAACTATTGCAGACGCCCTCCGGACTCGCCCTGTTAGAACTCCAAGGAACCATCAACGTGCCCACACCCGAGACCGAGAGCGATGATGACATCCATGGTAGTTTCGCACAACCTGCCACATACGAGACGCCGATCGGCAAGCTCATGTTTCCCGACTACTCGGTCCACAACCCAGACGACACCCAGTGGATGAAACGTGTGTACTTGTACATTGGGCGATATCAACGGATGACCGGAGAAGTGAAGAAACTTCCACGACCGATCGCGGTACTACGCAAGAGATGCGACAACGAGATTAAGACTGCTGGATCCGAGGAGCTGGAAGTGGTGGAAATTGTTCGGTACAAGGTGTTTTTCAAGAATCGCCCGGAGCCGGTGAATGATGTGTGAAGCGCTGGCTCCACGTTCTGCGGCAGGCTGGCTTTATCGTGGCTTGTTGACCTGTCTGTGGGCTTTTGCCATGATCGGCAAAAGTCCCCTGACATTTCAAGATGCCAAACGCAGCCCCCCGACCTCTCCTTTTGCCGACAAATCAGACTGCGCGTCGAGACCTGGAATGAGCTTTCGCTGTCTCGCAAGTGTGTATTCGGATGCTCCAGCACCTTCTAGTCCAGGAGTCGAAGCTATGGCCCTGGAGGCCTCCGGACGGCCGTAGGACGGCTGTCCAAAGACATTTTTACTTCATGGTGAAGGTCGTTGTCATCATCAAGATTCATTGATGCCTTCACGACTTTCGGCCTCGTCAGCCAAGCTACAGGGCTAAGGGCTGCATCGGACCCTGCCCCCATACTGCAGACCAAGAGGCAAGAGAGAAGGTCCGGGTGAATGATATCGCGTATCTCGTCATCTGTCCAACAGAGCAAATGAGCTTGCAAGGCAGGGACTTTTTGAGTCGCCAAGTATGGGTACGGAGATGTTCGTGTCGGAAGCAACCTGGATGTCTCAAGCAAAAGCTGTCTTTTGACGGGACTTTCCGGTGATTGAAGTGGTCAGAAGATAAGCGACGAAGCTCAGGAACCAGAAAGATGCGTGCAGACTTTGTGACAGCTTGGCGAAAGCGCTTTTCCCCTTCTCGTTCATACCAGATTAAGCTCGCGGCGCTCTGGAGGAGCTGTCAAGCCAGCTGTAGACCCCTTCGGCCCTATACCTCAAGACTTACACAAGCTCTCCCATGTTTCGGAGTTTGTCTTTTTGCCATAGCATCAATCAAAGCTTGACGATGCATACATGCGGTTGACCATGGGAGTTCCCCCTCTGGTTGTCCGCAGCTAAATGACTACTTTTTCCTTTTTCCGGAGTGAGGATCACTTATCATCTACCTACAACGCGGTCAATCTGTTGTGCCTGAAGAGCGACATACTTCCAGGTGACTACTACCTTACTCGGTCACACGTGTGGTAATCTCTCGTGCGGATATTCGCGCTCTGCCGATCGCGGAATTGGAGGCCTTGCAATCGGCCCTTTTCCGCACTGTCTCCTGCGCCGATGTCAACTCAGCACTTCCGATCAGACAATATCAGTGCAGCGTCGAGAGTCCGCTCCTTTACATGAAAGTGCAATTGCGACCGAGAGCTGCTCATCTCTCAACATTTCGTACAGCAATGCGGCTCATATTCACTGCTCTCAGTACGGTGCTCTCAACCTGCCTTTGATATCCGAGCATATCCACGGCACGATTCCGAGCCGACCCCGCAGCGAGGGAAATGCGGGTAGCAGCGTAGCACCAAAAGGGCACAAGTACTGGATACAGTCGGACTCAGTTCCGGCCGCGGAGTCTTTCTGATTAGTGAATTGGAGCTGAGGCTGGATCGGCAGTTGATTATTTGATTTGACATACGTAACTTAGTCGCTCTCTTCAATATTAGTGCATCAAGCTTCCTTCAGTCTCTTCTGTTCCGTTCCGTTCTCTTCATCATTGCTCATCAACCGCCACGGACATTGCCAGCGACAGTTGACTCGCAGAGAGGATTCAATACACAGTCCAACATCACCAGCATCATCATCCTTTCCTTTTCATCTTCTCACGAATCCCGCCACAACGCATCCCGAAATGGCCCCCATCGAGCGAATCACCCTCTTCAAAGTCCCCAAAGAGGAAGACCGACACCGCATCCTCGAACAATACAAAGTCCTCGCGAAGACAGCAACAAAGGTACGCCGACTCGATCGAATGCACATCAATTCCTCTGATACCAAACACCCACCCCGCTCTTCCCAACAAACGTGTCCCAAGGCAGGGAAAAAAAAACAATCAAAAGTATTACTTCTAACAAAGCCCCTGCCAGGACGGAAAACCATACATTGTCTCCGCGGCAGCAGGTCTGTCCATGGACGACCCCCGCAACAAGGGCTACAATGTGTCTGTGAAGACGACCTTTGCGTCCCTCGAGGACATGAAGTACTATGATGAGGAATGCGAGGCGCACAAGGCGTTGAAGGCGGTGGCGGGGCCGGCGAAGGAGGATGTGTTGACGACGTTTTACGAGAGTATGCTGTGAATGAGTGAGGCACTGAGCGGACTGAGGCACTGAGCGGACTGAGGAAGGAAGAGAGACGATGGGATACAATGGGCTATTTAGAGGACTGGAGTGAGTGGAATGCAATGCAATGCAAAAATTGTACGGATGGATCGCGCAATCGGTGTATGTGGTGGATTCGATGATGCTGGGAGGTATGAATAAACTTGAAACGATGCTTTGAATAGGTACATCAGGGTTGGCACGAAATGAATGGAGACCAGGACGAAGGAAAGATACTCAACGTAAGGTTACGTCAGGACCTGATGACTGAGCACCCAGAGCCAGCTGCAACAGACGGAATACCTCTGCTGTGTGTTAAAGACAAACAGAAACATGGAATAATCGTATCGATTGATTCGTCTCATGCAACAGTATGCAGGCTAAGAAGAGTATGTAAAATACAAAATGAGCCCGAAACAGCGGACTGCAGGGAGATGAGGATCAAGAGCCAGTCCTGCACCGAAGAGCGCCAATGACTTCCAAGCAGCATGGAAAGAAAAAGAAGTAGGGTCAAACAAGACATCCGGTCCCAAGGCTATCGATGGAAAACAACAGAGGCAAAGGATTCCAGATCCAGTCCAGTGCACCTGGCTTTGCACGAGAAGAGAAGATCAATATACAGGACGACAGAGGCCGAGGTCTTACAATTGCCAGACATGGGGATTCAGGCGCAGACAAAGCACGTGACACCGATCCAAGGCACACATTTCTCTCAATCGAGAGCCCGGCGCAGATCACTCCATTTCTGTCGAAGAGTCTCATGTTCTTCGGAGATCTGGAAAGACGATCATGTTAGGTTTCGTCGAACTGTATGCAGAATTTCTCTTAGCTGGAGTAGACATACCTCGGCCCATTTCATCTTCGTTGCGACTAATTCCTTCTCCATCTCCGCCATCGATTCTTCCATCGACCGGTTCTCATTCTGCACTTCAATGTTCCGCTGCATGATTCGGTCCATCTCGGTCCTCAACTTCTCCTCGACTTCACCGGGCTGCTTGTCGACCACATTCTTCAGCTGTTCGACTTGCAGCTTCAATGCATCGTTCATGTCTCGGAGTTCTTCGTTCTCGACCTTGGCGTGAACTAACTCTGAGGCTAACTGGACATGCTCCTTGTCCGAGGCCTCAGAACGCTCTTCCAATAAACGCAGGCGGGTAGCCTGTGCACTCACGGTGTGTCGCAAGTTCTCTAGCTCGGCTTCACGCTCCTTCTCGCTAAAGACCTTCTCCTCCCATTCGGCGGTGTAAGATTTGATGGTCTCTTGTGTCAATGGCACGGCACAAGCGTCCTCAACGAGGAGTTCTGCACGGTATACCTCCTTGTCAGCAGCCCCGGAGCTGCCGAAGAATCCAGATTCAAGAATCGATGAGGCAGAGGGCTGCTTGTCAATGTAGGCATCGAACAGGCGCTCTTTGAGGAAGGTGGTCAGAGCACTCATATCTTTCATCTCTAGTAGCGCCTCCGTATTACGCCGCATAATGGCAATCGAGAACTTCAACAAGGTGATCTCCAAGCCCTCCTCAAAGATGAGATCGTAGATACGCAGCACAAGCTGCAGTGGGAAGCGGTAGGCGAACAGCGTCAAGAACCACTGAGTGGCGTACAATTGTGGCGGTACTCCACGTCGCCGTAGATGACAGTATAGGGCAGGCTCCAAGTCTTCCAAAAGTCGCTCGAACTGAAACAATGAGCGGTGGAGACCAGGCATGTCCGAAATGAACATCTCACGAAGACGATACTTGTTCATCAGCTTGACAAGAAGCTCAAACGCATCGGCTTCATCCATCTGCGGTAAAAGAGAAAATCTCGTCAGTCATTTTCGGAGAACCTGCACGGAACTCGGGTAGTACTGAGCATTGACTCACATTGAAGAGCAGTGGCATGACAATAAAGTTCATGCCTTGTGCATATCCAACCGCTTCATCATACAAGGCATAGGCCTTACATAGGCCAAACAAGCTCTCTTGGCTACCTTGAGAGACGAAGTACTTCGAATAACTAGTTCGAGCACCCAAATCTCGGCGAATAGTCTTCTCCAGTTTTGACAAGGCAGAAGCATCATCCTTGGCCTTCTTCAAACGAGCCGTCTCAGCGGCAGCTTGCTCTCGCGCCATTCTCTCGGGATCGATCTCCTGAGAAGGGCTAGTCACTGTGCTCGTAGGTTGACCTCCGGAGCCCGAAGTATTCGACCGAACGGACGAGCGCGATGAAGTGACAGACTCCTTCTCATTCACTCCATTGATCTGGACGCTCGGTGTACGGCTATCCTTCTCTGTACCACGAGATACTAAATCCCGATATATTTCCTCTAGCTCACCACCCCGACAATCCGCCAGGATCTGCCAAATCACTCCCCGGATGGTCTGAGGAATACCCCGTTTGATAGCTGCATTCAGTTCCTCTGAGCTAGCAAGGGCCGACGGGCCATTATTGACCAATTGCTGCCACAGGTCCCAGTCTACTGGTGCCGCGGCATCGGTCGCAGACTGGGAGAAACCAGACACCGTCCCGGGCGCCAGGCCGGGGTTGACGGTGGACGGGGAAAAAGATCCAGGTGAAGTTGCGCCGGACGCAGCTGGAGGCACCGGCATACCGCCGTCTTGACCCTCTTCGGGAATCATCGGCGGGCTTGCAACGGAATGGCCAAGACTGCCCTGGCCTGATCGCACACTGCTCTCGTCATTCTCCGGAAGTGCCGACTCTTCTCTCATCCTCAGGATTTTGAATTGGTCTTTCAAGCTGTTCCGCCTCGGTCTCCTCGAGTGGACACTTGAGCCATCTCCTTCCACCAGGTCCAAGTTGCTGGCAACAGTTGAAACAGAGGTGGACGTATTGCGGCGGCCATTTGCGGGTGGGGACTTGACGTCTTTTGAACTTGTCGAACTGCGTGAGAACCAAGCAAAAGGACCACTGGGCTTGCGAGTCGGGGGTGGAGGGGGCGGGATCGCAGGCTGGGCTTTATTTGTGGGAGGAGCGCTCCATGGCAGTGAAGGCAGGCTTCCCATCAAACCTGAGCTCGGAGGAGAGGCAACAACATCGTCCTTCGGCGGGACAGGCGGTGACTCCGAGGCAACGGGCGCTGCTAAAACTGCTTGAGGGGAGAGATCCTCATTATCCTTGGTAGATGTCAGATTCACCTCGTCCAGCGAAGATGTTGTCGATAACCGGTGGGAAGTGAGTAAAGGAGATTTTTGCGCTACATTGCGCCTCGGAGTCTCCTCGGCGTCACCAGCGTCTCCTCCCTCCACTGGTGTAACTGCATGATTCTCATCATCCTTGTCATCCGCAACTTCTGAGGTATCTATTCTGACATGCTCGGCATTCGAGTCCGGAGCTTCGAGGTCGACCGGGGCATGAGATTCGATTGCATCCGCTTCATGCATATCTTCGTTGCTTTCGGCTTGAATTCTCAGTCGTTCAGGGGAGTCCGCGTGGGCGCCTATCTCGTCCTTGTGCTCGTCCTGCGAACCAGTGGGAGGGAACGACTTCTCCGGTGTTTGAGGAGAAGCTCCTGAACCGATCGGCGGGCTGTCAGTTAAAGACCGGGCTGAAGATGACTTGGGTATGGAGATATTCAAGCTCTCAGGGGCTTCAGAGACGTCTTCGAAGGAGTCCTAGTGATAATTTGAGGTCAGCGGCGTGCTGGGCAAGGGATGGTTGGATCACGATCACTCGCGTCATGACTTACCCCTGCGTACTCGCCGCTGTTCTGACCCGACATCCTGGATTCAGTATAGGGGGCAATCGGGTAGTCAAAGAGCAAGACACTCCTTTAAGCCCGGAGCTCTTTGTCAGTCCTAGGTCATGAAAGAGGAGACAGGGAGACTAAGATGTAGAATCAGAGCAAGAGTGACTGAGAATGAGCCAGCGTGGAAGGAATTTGGGAGATGTTTAATTTGGGGAAACAATTAGAGGGTCAGGCACGTCCGAATGTGATTGGACTGATTGCCCTTTGCAGGTGGGGTAGACCTTTTGGATATGTACTTTCTACTTCCTTTTCGGGCGAAGTGAATACTACCACAGGTACCTCGTACATCATCACATGAACAGTACTGGCCCTCTTATAATTAACTTGACTGACCATATAATCCGCCGAGACCGAGGCAGAAAGCAATGGCATACTGCACCTGAGTATCCCAGATTGAACTCATGCGTTGGGCTCAACCTCGCTCAAGAAGGACCAATGCCCTTTCCAGTCATTTAACCTTCAAGAATGGCATTCCGACAGCCGCCAAGAGCGTTGAGGAATGCATGTACTGTGGGATACCTAGTGAAGTGACACGCTGGGTTTTACAAGCAAAATTTCTGGATTTGCGGACTATAAGAGCGCTCATAGACTTGAGACAATAGTCTGGTCTCCTGACAGAATTCCTTTGGACACCAAAGCAAGCCGGAAAAGTAGTATGTATGAAGCGATGTTACGAATCTGCGACAAGCTGTAACTATGTAGTTCTATGGGCAGTATGGATAAGGGCGGATTCCGTGATTTGGTCAATGTAACAATGGGCGGGTCGGCACGTGCTTCGATAGTCTTACTCCTGGTCTTAAAGGACAGGTAGAATTACAATCTTGGTATTCATGTAGACGGATTGTTTTGTATCAAAGACTCTCACTATTTTATGAATCACATTCGTGCAGCATGCCATCATAATGTTGCAAGGGTTTTCTCAAAGTCCAACCAACGATTCTTCCGCAATGGGTCAAGCTGCTTTACTTCCGAGAGCCAGCTCAATATTTGTGATCGGTCTTCTGTGGAAAGCTGTCCGACCACCTTTGCAATCGAGAGCATACACTCGATCAAGGCTTGGTAGATATACTTGCAGTCCTCAGCTCCATCAAGCATCTCCTCAATGTAGACAATCTCATTACGAAGATATTCAACGCGCTCTGAGACGCTGAGGTTCGGCGCCATCGTCCGAGGCGCAAGCGTTGGATCAAACACGCACATTAAGTTCTGGTGATAGAACCATAGAGATTGGTCGTAAGGGTCGATCAAAGCTTGATGGATCAGTTCCAATTCTGTTGCATGATGAATCATCCAGAGCCGATCAGTCATAAATTGCATTGCAGAAATCAGTGACCCTAATCCTCGAGAAAATCAAACTTACCATCGTTCAACATCCTTCTTCGCTCCTCATCACTGGCCGACTGCTCTTCGAGCAGCTGAAGGATGAGCTTTGTGCGATAGTGCCACGCGGAAAAATTGGACAGGTTGGCTCCGATCATCTTCTTTGCGTATTCGAACTCCTGCTTTGACAGGCTGGCAGCTTCTGTGGGAGTCCCTATCTGCTGCAAGGTGCTGACCACTAAACGCCGATAGCCCCAGCCATGAAAGTTGCGACTGTCCAAAGTCAACATCTTACTGACGAGAGCAAGCTCTTGCTGCCAAAATTGGCGAGACATGTCCAAGGGAAGCAATCGTCTTGCTTCATCCAGAAGCCATACACGGTAATTCCAGATCCAGTAGCATTTAGGGAAGCTGCGCAATAAAGGCAGGAGAAACGTCAAGTCGTCACTAATAAGCTCTGCGATCTCGCTGCTCGATAGCTCTTCCTTTGAAAAGCGGTGTTGAAGAACTTGACGCCGATAATTCCAGACCGTGTAGTACTCAGGGTTGCGACTCAACAAGTCGGAAATCTCCTGGAGTGTTTCGGCTGAATATTCTTTTGCGGTCACCTGAGTTGCAAAATGAAATGGAAAGCAAATGTGAGAATGAGTCTTACGCAGCAAGCAGCGATGCGGCATGGACCAACCTTTTCCGCGACCTGGCGTTCCAGGGACTTGTATTCATTGATCTTCCTCAGCTCACGCTCCTTTTCTTCTGGAGTCTTCTCCGTGATCTTGTAGCGACGAACGCCATGCTATGATACGTCACAATAGAGGTCAAATGCAAGGAGGGAGATGCTAAACTCACGCTTGCCATCTTAGAGTTTGCTATTATCGTCTGATGCCCTTCAAACAGCTGGAATCAGAGGAGAAAGAGAGCCTCCGCTTGACATGGATATATCAGGGTGCATGGAGCCTGAAACTGAGTTGGTCCCAACCTGGCGAGTGGATATACTGCCGGAACGCCTCTTGCGGTGCGCGACCGATGGATCACCGCAGGCACTGCAGCGGTGATCACGTAATCACTAGATGGCGACGGAATGGGCCCTTGGGCAAGCTACTCGCGCAGCTCTTGTCTGGAACTGTCACATCAGGAAGTCGTTCTGCCAAAGGCGCGATGATATGAAGTGACTCGAGGTTTTCTTAAAGTTTACACTGCTGGGAGGTACATATTACTGGGCTAGTCGTGTACTGGATGGTGCTTGTAACGAGGTGCAAGATTCGAGGTACCTTGCATGTACTACACACTTACACAGTACACACTACACACTCACAGAGGCACACGATCCCAGGCACCTCCAGAGCTACTTGTCAGGTACAGTCGTACACTCAGCAGTCAGCTCTCAGCGTTGCATCAATGCGTGGTTTCCGAGGCATATGGCCATGAGTCAACAATGGCCCGATTGGGAAGGAGGTCAGGTGCCTCCATACTTCCACCGTCCTGAGTCGTGATTGACAACTCTATTCTTCTAAATGTCTATATTGTTACACTGCTATGCATTTGCATGATGGGTGTTTTGGACGTTCCTTTTCCATTTCCTGCTTGAACTGTTAAATCACAGGGAAGCTCTATCGAGAAGTCTTCCACATATTCTGCATCAGCGATGGACTGCTCGTATCGTCATTCTTTTGAGCCCTCCTCTTCCTCGCATAGCCAAGAAGCTTACTCGACGAATTCGTCTTCTTTTCAGTCCTGTGATGATGGCAAAGCCATTGAATTCACCGAATTCGCGACAATCACTTTACGATTAACTGATTCTCCATCTAGCTCCGAAGTTTCTCCCTCGTTAGAGGCTCCCATGGAAGAAAGACAGAACGGAACTTATCCAGATACTAGCCCAATCCTCGCCAGGTTCCCTCAGAGAGTTGCAGAGCGGGACCAGAGCGCAGAAACAAGAAACAAACAATGCCCTCTCCGGCGGACAGTCTTTCCTCACCCAACCACACCAGACAGGTTCATCCCGAAGCGAGGATTTGATTTCCATTCAACAGCCTCGTACCATATGAACAAGAGCCCATGTCAACTCTCACCCCAAGAGAAAGCCACGAGAAAAAGGCTCTTTTGGGAGGATCCTTTTGATTCTCCGTCTCGTCGGAATGCCGAGTCTTCTACGCCTAGTCCAACCCAGCCCTGGGGCCACCATTCCCCCCCACCCCGTCGTCGGCCTCGCCTTGTGGCTGATGCTGTCATACTGAGTCGTCCGCTGGCTTCAGATGCCGCAAGACGAGTCAGTGCGGGCGGTGTCTGGAATGTTGGGGGGCCTTCTGCGTCAGTTGGTCAATCCGCCGCAATTGACGTGGTTCCAAGACCACATGTCTCTCGGAGGAGCCCAGTATTCACATCTTTCAAAGCACAATTTCTGCCTCATGTCAGCCCACATGATGACGCGACTCGGCATGAAGCGAGACTTGCACTCGCTCTGGACGTCGATCAAACTACAAGGCTTCTAGAGACGCGTGCGATATCTCATGAAAACTCGCCTAGTCCTACCTCACCAGACTACGAGCGGTATTCATCCATCGTCTGGAAAGATAGTGCCTGGAAGAAAAATGAGAGAAGTCACTGTAAGTTCTGAATTGGAGTTGCCCTGTTCCTCTGCACACCTTGCTGTCTCTTCATTTCGGTCGAACGTCAGATGGAATGGCTCGGGTTTGACTGATTCAACTTGCCTAAAACCACCGCCCTTTGATTGCCTGCGACCAAAAACGGACAGCAGGTTGTACCACGACTAGCTAATACGGTCACTGATACATTTTCTTAGGGTCACCAAAGTCTGCAAGACCCGCAGAGGTCGTGCCAGCTCAACCCTTCCGACTCCTTGAGGCACCTGGGCTTCGTGACGATTACTATTGCTCACCACTGGCCTACTGCTACACTCTAGGGGTATTGGCTGTTGCCCTTGGACATCAAGTTTACGTATGGGCTGAAGAAGAACTGGGTCTGCCTTCTCCTCCCTTTGGAGACATCCATCCGTCGAACTATGTGAGGAGTCTTTCCTTCTCCTCTCAAGATGGACAAAAGAGTATTCTTGCGATAGGACGTCAGCGTGGTCATTTATCTCTTTGGAGCGCTCGTGAAACTACTGTGAGATTCGAGATCGGCCACCCTAACGCAGTCACTTGCGTGTCTTTCAAGCCTAAGAGCGCTCGCAGGCCTTCGGAGAGATTCCCCGACGAGATTGTGAGTGTTGAGGAACTGGTCGTCGGTGATGAAATGGGAGTCATCTGGCTCTACTCTGTTGAATGGCCAGAGATTCACGAGGAACAGAGTTGGACGGGTTCAATGACGTTGCTTGCGAAGATTCATGCGCACACTCAGCAGGTATGCGGAATGGCGTGGTCTCCAGAGAGCCAGTTCCTTGCTACTGGAGCCAATGACAATGCCTGTCTTCTCTTTGAGCTAAATAAAGTTGTTGGGTCCGCATTCAAAGACACAGATGACCTACTCACCCCACCAGCGGTTCCAGCACAAGGCCGAAGCTCGTCTCGAGCAAAGGCAGCTTTGCGGCCTCCCATGCCCGCCCCTCTTCTCAATTATCGGGGCACTTTGATCTCGGGGAAAGGGCGCTCTGTTTTGGTCCCGGCGGGTCAGGAAAAGTATTGCTTTCTTCATTCAGCGGCTGTCAAGGCCATCGCATTTGCTCCCTGGCAGCCGTCACTTGTAGCCACTGGGGGAGGAAGCCATGACCGGGCCATTCATTTCTGGCATACCCGCACAGGGACGTGTCTGGCGACAATTGATGTTCTAGCGCAAGTCACCAGTCTCATCTGGAGTACAACCCGCCGTGAGATTGCCGCAACCTTTGGCTATGCTACGCCTGATCACCCCATCCGCATCGCGGTATTTGCATGGCCTAGTTGCGCTCAAATATCCGCCATTCCGCAGCCGATTGATCAGATCCATGACGAGATTCATCCGTCCCCAAACTACCGATGCATTCGCGCACTTTGGGCAATCAGTTATCCTGGTTGGGTACCACGACTGGATATAGATGTGCCAAAGATGACCCCACCACCTGCGTCACGATCACCTAGCCCGTCGCCGATTGCACTTCATACCCTGCAGAATGAGGACGGGCCTGGCCAGACACGTACAAGAAGTAATTCACGATCAACGCAGCCCAGGGCAAAAGAGGGTGGGACATGGTGCTCGCGCACCGTTGAAGAGGGTTGTATTGTTGTTGCTTGCAGCGACCAGAGGATCAAATTTCATGAAATCTGGACAAACCGTCGTCTGAGCTTTGGAATGCTACCCTCTGGTAACCTGGGCGGCAGTGATATTCTGGAGGGGATTGAGGGCATTGAGACTTCTGCCAGTGAAATCATCCGGTAAACCTTGGAAAGGCAGTTCACCGTTTCGGACCTGAGTGCATGACCGACCTCGGTCACCTGACGCTTAAGGGCTGAACTGTCTTTCCTCTGACTTGTCTTTATCTTCTTTCTCTTGTTTTTCAGTTGAGTGAGGAAAAGTCATTGTTGTACTTTATTGATCCCTCTACAACGCGCCTCCAGTGGTTGTTACCCAAGTGTATCCAATCTCTTAGTTAGGGGTCCAGTGCTATTCCAATTATTCTTACCTACATTGAATTGCAACCGGACAACCCCGATCCAGTAGGAGGCAACATCGATCGCCCCCGGCCATCTTATCATTCTTGACATGTGCATAGATCCCCTCACTGCATCTTTGAGCAACCTTCCTCTTCGTGAGATCCTTGAGATCAAATTCCCACAAACCTTCAGTCATTCACCTTCCTGAAACAACCTTTCAAAACCAACACCATGCGCCCAATACTCAACCTCGTGCTTCTTCTCTCTGAATCCCTAGCCCTAGCCACCTCAGTCCCATTGTCCCAGAACTGGACACCAACCCTAAACATCACAGTCATCAGTGCACACAATGGCCGATCCACACTCGAATTTTGGGGCCTTGAGCCAGGTTTCCAGATATCTTCGGAATCGGGAACCTCAGGGGCTTTGGTTTTGGATCTCGGTGCTCTGGGTGGTGGTGGCGGCGGTGGTAGTAGTATAAATATGGGCAACATGTCGTACTCGATTATTCCGGGGAAGTTTGATGGAGGCAGACGTAATGCACCTGCAAGACAGTGAGTATCTCATCAATTGATTTTCTTCTTTGGCTATTTTGTCTTCTGTGAATGCTAGCTGTGAGTCAGGCTTCGAATTCAGGGAGGAATCTATGTTCATGTCCTTACAAGTTACCGCCAGACCTAACACATAATGATTAACATCATGGCACAACACAAACCGCTAATAGAGTCCTCTCAACCCCCAATAGATGGGTCATCTTTCTCTCGGGCCAAGCCCACATAACTCTCTCCAACACAACGACCGAGGCCTGGATCACCGGCGGTTCCTACGGCGCTATCCTGGCGCTCGACACGACGGACGTCAGTGGACTGGGCCATTACACTTCGTATCCGTCCACGGGGCAGACGGTTGTTTTGCAGATTCCGCTGGGTGAGAGGGATCCAGTGGCGGGACATGAGGTTTTATATGGGGGTGGGTGTCCACGTGGGGAGGGAAGTTTCTGGGTTGGAGGTCTAGATGGATGGATAGGCTTCCGAGTTGATAGTTCGGGCTTTCGCTGGATGGAAGACTGGTGCCGAGGCTGGTGGGTTCTTTGGAACGGATGGAGGTGTGTTTGTGCTTTACTGATGTTTTGGGGTTCCGGGGTATGATCTGCTGTGAACATTGTCGATGGACTTGGTTGATCGAAAGGCGGCATCGGGGAAATAGATCGAGGCATATCTAAATGCATGCATGACACCTGGATATCTGGTGTCCGAGCCAGGGGTTTCCTCAAGGCTAGCAACGATATGACTCTCACGATGGGATGCGAGTTTATACTGATTTTGTGACAGCCCGACTGGGGCCCTATACACATACAACGAAAGCTGCAGTCGTCACCAGTGTCACCAGTGAGAGAGTTAACGGAAAAGATCAGACCAGTCCAAGTGTTCCAAGAAAAAAAAGGTAGAATAATCATGCAAGCATCTCATGCATCCGAGTATATATAAACACAAAAAAATATTTTTAGGCAAGTGACAATGGAGAGAAAAGACACAGCACATGATATAGTGTCGCAGCAGGTCCTCTCTAAACACACAAAGTACAAGACGAGGGTCGTAGAGACTTAGATTCCAACATCGACGCCAACATCACATTCGCTTATTTCTTCCCAGTCTTCTTCTTGCTCGCGGTGGTTTTGGTCTTCTTTGAAGGAGGGGGCGCCTCGATCATCTCGTCGTCGGAGTCCTCGTCCTCGGTATCGGCGACAAAGTCAGCCAAAGAACCTTCACTATCCTCGTCTTCGTCGTCCTCATTCTCCTCGAGAGACTCCTCGGCATCGGATGAATCAGCTGATTCCTCAGCCTCAATATCCAAAATACCCTCATAGCCGTCCTCGTCCTCCTCATCCTCATCCTCATCGTCGTCGGACTCGTCATCCACGCCGTTCATCATTGACTCGTCTTCGTCTTGCTCAAAGGCGGAATCGCGGATGGACTTGGTTCGAGGCTTACCCTCGTCGTCTTCCTCGTCGTCTTGGCCCTCAACATAAATGACATTGTCCTCGTCCTCGCTGTCCATCTCGTCGCCGCCGCGAATTGACTGTCGGAGACCGAGCTGTGCATCTAGCATATCCAGCTTGCCCTTCAACAAGAGCAGAGATGGCAGGCTTGATGAACGTTGGTCCATGACCTTATAAAGAGTCGCCATGCGATTCAAGAGCTCGGGATGACCGGCCAACGCACCTCCGTGCGCGACACAGGTCCACTGCACCCAGACGAGAAGGTGACCATAGCGACCCGGGCGAGAGGAAAGACGCTCGGCGAGCTTTTGAAGAAGAGTCGCGGCCAAGGGAGACTCGAGACGTTGAATGGTAGTGCGGATAATGGAGGTGTCGGCGGTGTGGAAGCAGGACTCAAGCATGTCCTTATCGTTGGTCTTGAGGGACTGAGTGAGAACGGTGGCGAGTGAAACGCCAGTAGGGATTTGCTGAACAGCGGTCGTCGGCTTGCCGGGCACAAGAGCACCCATCAAGTTATCCTCGTCCAGCTCCGCTTCGACATCGACTTCTTGACCAGCGTTGGCGCGCATGATCTCGCCGAACGAGGGCTCAACACCATCCTCCTCCTCTTCGTCTTCATCCTCTGATGCGACATTGTTCATTTCAACATCTGCGTCGGCGGGAGCAGCTTGCTTGGCGGACTTGGTCTTCTTTTCATTGGTGGGCTTGGCTGAGTTCTCAACGTCGGAGTCAACATCGCTACCATATTCAGAGTCGGCGCCATTGTCGCCATCGTTCATCTCAACATCATTATCCATAATGTTACCGGCGGCAACAACGACATGTGTCTCATCCACACGACCCTCTGTGGCGTTCTTCGCGCCGTTGACAGCCGCTGATGCGATAGCAGAGCTAGACTTGGTCTTCACAACTGCCTTGACCCCTGTGAAAGACAACTCCTCGCTCGAGTCGTCGAGCAACTTCACCCGCTGGAAAACGGGAACCACGCCACCCTCGGCATATGCAACTACGATGTCAGAACCAACAAACGCGGTTGACACTACCGGTACACAAGAGTCTGATTCACCGGTGCGCAAAACCTTCAAAGAAGCGTTTGCCTTTTGAGTCATTTGCTTGCGACTGGCTTTGGCGCTCGCAGCAGCCGGGGCAGCCGGGGCAAACGGTTTCGTGAAGAATTCGATCGTTCCATTCTCGGTGACAGCGGCAAGAATCTGCTTCTCGGGAATGGCATTGTCGAGAAGCGAGACGGAGGTGACGTCCTGATCAGCAACAAGGTTGCGAACCAGCTTCTGGGTAGAAGCTTGGAAGACGTTCACGAATCGCTCGCCATCGGCAGCAAGGAATGAGTCGGATGATGCGATGACGGTGTGAATCTGGTTGCGCATCGCCGGAAACTTGACTGGTTGCTCCTCGGAGTTTTCGACATTGACAAGGTAGGGGGTTTGCGAAGCGCACACGATGGGTGTGTTGGAGGAGACGGGTCGGGAGAGAGCAGTGAAAGTGGATGAGGCGGGCAAGTGAATTGTCCTAAATTCAATTCAGGGTCAGCTATTAGGAAAGTCATGCTTCAACAAAGAGGCGCAGATCGTGCTTGAGAAGCCAGCCGCGACAGTCATACCTTACACTCTGCCCAGTGCGGAGATCCCACTGGACAAGCTTGTTATCTCCACCAATACTCCAAGCCTCTTGACCGGGCTTCTCCGCGCTGAACTTGAAATCCTTGATACCCTTGTCATGGGCGCCGGTGAGTGTACCGACAACTTTGTCCTCGGAAGGTGAGAACATTCGAATATCCGAAGTGCTGGTTCCAAACGCAACCACGACGTCGCCCTGATCCAATCCATCGATGTCACCATTGACATCAGATCCGCGCTTGCGCTTCTTCTTCGACTGGTCCTTATTCTTGCCGCCATAATACCCCCAGTCCAAAGAGGTGACTGTCTCCTTCGGTCCCAGGGCATGTTCGCATTGTAGGCGGCCAGTGTTCACGTCGTGAATTCGGAGGTGCTGCGCATCCAGACCTTGGATGACAGAGGCAAAGAGCGCCAATTGATACTCTGAGGGGGAAAACACAGCTCGAAGAATGGACGATTTGCTGCTTGCACCAGCGAGATCCGCAGCTGACGAAGCGGATGTGCCGACCTTGGCCGACGGGCGAGATGTCTTCTTGCCCATAATTTTTGGGGAGGTTCAAGCGCTTTGCCTTGAACTTTTTATCCGCGATGATTCGTGTCGCTTTCGAGGGACGATGCTGGTTCCCTTGGTTTGAGATTCAATCCTCTATTGTCGAAAGATTCTCAGTATCAGTGTTCCGAATGTTCTAGCCCGTGAGCGTTTGACTGGGCAGGTACTGTGACTGACAATCCTGTCGTTGCGGAAAGGAAAAAAATGTTCTGTAGACTCTCCGCCAGGCGCTAATCCATTTCTGGAATCCAGAGATAGAGACCCCCGATATGGTCTTATCTAATCGGCGGGCAGGATATCACTAATGCCTGGAGACTCAGGCATTCACATGCTGCTTTTCGTCTCTCACGTGAGTAGCCGGGTCTAATATGATCCGGACAGTGCCACAGCTTGAGACGGCACGGCACCGTCGTGATCCACAATCTGGAGAGGACATTTGCCCAGTAATCACATGGAACATAGGAATCTACGCCTTACAAGGATCGGGCTTTGATCACAGTATCATCAGATGATGAATGATCTGGCTATAAAAATATTTGTGCCACTTTGAGTGCTCTTCACCAGGTACTTCAACGACTGATATTCAGTTAGACTCCAACCTCGAAATGGACGGATCAAGGTCGGGTTCGGAGGCTTGTCCAGGCAGTTGATACCCAGAGTATATGTCTACCCAACGCATCCATAGAGGTGGTCGTATCTTCTCAGTTCCATCTTCATCCGTGCATAGCTCAAGTTTGCTGTGGGCATACATATTATTTTCTTTCATCCGTCATATCTGGAAATGTTTGTATGTCCATCAAACACGGCACTCCAATCTCAGTTACCTCCATGAAATAGATATTGGTGGACGTGGTGTAGATAAAGTATGCGACTGTGCACATGCACGGGGCCACTGTCCGAAAGAGGTAGCTAATGAGTTAGGTATGATCCTGGATATTCCTTACATACTACAGCTCATTCAAAAGCAGGCGACAGGACCCGACGGGACTCAGTAGGCAAGAGGCGCAGGCGGAACCCATACTTAGCATTGACCTTACCGCTAATCAAGTTGTATCCGTGACAGCCTTTCTAGGTAGGACTACACATGTGATTGGGACTGACAGTTCCAAATGTCTATGAGACTATCTTGAAGATACTTCGAAGATATCTTCCAACTTTTCGAGTCAATAGGCGAGACTGGGTAATTGAACCATCGAACCAAGAGGCCTAGAAGAACCTGCACATCGATTTAGGTCTATTGTTCCGTCTTCTGATCTGTTCCAATTACGAATTCTACTGTATTCGGTTTAACAAAGGCCAAGGGATATATATCCATGTACAATTGTCCAGACGGCAGATCGGACAACTGGTTTCCCGACAGCCACAGGCTGAGCAGCAGTAGTAATGGCCCTCCACGTGACACAGGCTAGGTACGTCGTCTGCCTGATCTGTAAGGGCCCGCGCCTCTTGTGCATTGGGCTGTGACTGAGGGCTGGAGGTTCTCCTACTGGACTCGGTGGACTGGACTCAGGGACTGGAGTTCAACAGTACGATCAGTCAGCCGCCTCTCTCCGGGTGGATTTGAATCCGGCACTAGCGCCATTTTGATCTTCTCGGCAGTAATTTACTCCTGGCATGTCGAGAAAACCCACTCCTCTCAGCTCTGTCGCTTGTTGCATATCCCTCGCGATCATCTTCCAATATTCGCGATGTGACTGCAGGATCTCACCTCTACGCTCTTCTGATTACGCTGGTCACCATCAGCGGGCCTGTTCCTAGCTTTCCATCGACTTCTTTGTTGGATCTTTCGATGAGGGAGACTGCCTGACCTGGCCGAAAGACCAGTCGCACAAGCCGATATGATGGGACCCTGTGTTCTGTACTGTACCAGACCAAACTTACCGCGCTAACCCGAGTGCAGCCAACCCTAGGGTTCAAGCAGGAGCCCAAGGGGGCTAGAGCGATGACACCGTGTTCCTCTTCGAGTGATTTCATTCCGAAGACAAACAGGAACTAAAGCTCGGTGGGTATCGTTGACTCACCTGTGTCATCATTGTCATTCTCCCTTCTTTCTTGGGGAGACAGGGGAGATGCACCACCACTACCTATCCTTGAGAATGAGCAGTTTGGGATTCCCATGAATGTGTGAGAGAATGATCATTGCTACGTCAAGCACCACACCCAGTGCTCGGTGCCTAAAACTCCATGCAGATCTTCACAGAACTCAATGAGAATGGAACTTCACCACGCGCAGCTTTCTGATCCTTTCTCCCGATGATTGATTCTTCATTGTACATTACAGTACAGTATTACTGTACTGTATGTGAATTGCGTACAGTACCACAGTACCGTCGTCCGTTTGTGAACCGAAGAGTACACGTCGACTCGGTATGATACCAACGACGAAGAAGACCAATCACCATGGTGAACTGGGTTCTAGGCGTTATAGAGCCAATCACGGGACTGTATTGACAGGCGGTGGAGTGGACGGTGGCAGTGAGTGACCAGCCATGGAGCGTCCTTCTTCTCCTGCGCCGAACTGACCCTTGGCCCGGTTCGCGCGCGATGGAAACGATGGAACGGCCACGCCCGCTGTACTTAAGCCAAATGGCGCCCGCCTCCGTAAATTCTCTCGCGACCGTCCTTTTTTGCCCTGACCGCCCCCCCTTTTTTCTTTCCATTTTGACCCTTTACCTCCCTTTCTTCCGCCCCGAGCTGGCCGTCCCGCCCGGTGATTGGCCATTGCTCCCTTCCGTGGCTACATACTAGAGCTCCCATCCCTTCTCTTCACCAAACAACGCGTCGCGTCGCGTCATCCTTGATCGACGGGCGTTCCAAGACTCGCGCAGTTCGTTAATATATACTGGAGCTACCCACCTATGGGAGCAGCCTCGGTGAATTTTGGACCTTTTGCTTCTCGTGGTTCCTGCCTTGTGATCTGGTCACTCTGGAGTGGAAGTGCGTGGGTTTTACACTTTTCAGCAGCTTAGGCAGACCCTAAGGTGTTGGTGATTCAGCCAGCAACCATCCAGACTTAGGGCTAACACCCGGTTCATAGTCACCGCCTCAGTTCCATCCCTTTACACCGCCCCTGCACGTGACTCTCGGGCACCATAGTTCCACACCGCCACAGCTGTGTCAATCACCACGACTGATCATACACAACCACGTGATTCAACAGCCACCACAGCCGCATCATCATCACCACTCTGACCGCCCAAGAGGATAAGTCACTTCCTGCTGGCAATCTACCATCTAGACCTCCATCGCAGTATCGTCACCGCCCACGTGATATTCAAAATTCTTGGCACTATATATACTTCGCCTCCCCGGTCGCATTCTCCACTCTTCAAATATCACCGTCGCCAAGCTTGACCAGCTCCACGACCATACAGCGCGGCACTGTTTCTCATTGCACAACCACACAAGGATCCACGCATTCTTTTCGCAGCACCAGAGCCATCAATCCTCTCGAGTTTCCCGATCACGCAAGTTTCGGCGCGTCTTCTGGTCGCAGAAACCACCCAGCACCCATCGCTCTCAGTCGACGCGACAAGGTCGCCGAGCTTGCTTAGCTACCTTATCTCACCACTTACGCGCCTCTTTGGATTGCAGCATCAAGTAAGCATTGCATAATTCTCAGACGTCTGTCTGACCTACAAGAGTTATCCACTTCCAGACGTGGCTCCACAACCGAGTTTCGCAACGCGTCACTTTGATCCATCTCTCAAAAGTTACTGTTCGGCTCGTCTGGGGAACGTTGCGCAAACCAGTCTTTGATGGCCACCCCGCCTCCCGAGGTGCCTGCGGCCCTGAAGCAGGAGCAGCTGCAGTTACCTCCCTCCCCCACTGGAGGTTCTGGATCTGAACTTGCGCCTAGCAGGTAAGCGTTCCCCCCCTCAATACTCATCAATCTGGCATTTCTCTCCCGTCCCCTTCCCATCAACTTTGACGTTCATTTGACGTTGCACTGCCGTCGCGATCCTGCCACTCGTTCTTGCGAGCTTGAGAGAGATCTGGTGGCCTGCACGGGTGGCGTTGTTGATGCCGGGCGCGTCTGCTTGCGCCATCCTTGCAAACACACCACTAACTTTTACTACGTACTAGTGCCCCCGCGATCAGTCCCGATCAGGCTACAATGGAAGGTTCCTCTTTCAAAGCCAACGGTGATCACTCTCATACCCCAGCGCCCACCAATGGCACCGATTCTGCAGTCTCCCCCAAGTCTCCTCCCCACGACGTCTCTGGAAAGACTGCTACCGATGACAATGACCCTGCCGTATCCACCAACCACGAATCTCCATCCGCCACAGGGATTCTGCCTGTATCTGCGCCAGCCGCTTCGGTTGCGGCCCATACCCTTCCACTTTCTGCTGTCCCAGGTGCAGTGAACGGCTCCTCCATGGGCACAGAATCCAAATCACCTCGATCTCCTGGTGGTTCCTCAATGGCCGATCTGGGTGGCAGCGGCGGTGTGAAGGAGGAGAAGCAGATCCCCCCAGATACACCCGGTCTCCAGTCACTATCAGTCAAGAGGGAGCTTCCTCATCATCCATCGGTTGCCCATGGGCTGTCCACCGACGGGGCTGACGACGAGATGGAAGATGTGTTCAGTCCTCAGAACTCAACCTCTAAGGTATCCCGAGAGCGTGAAATGGATACGTCTGACGAGCCGGCGGCGAAGCGGGCGAAGATGAACAATGGGAATGGAACACGGGCGACGGAGAGCGCTCCAATGACGCCTGGACAGCACAAGTTTCTCACCAAGCAAATTGCCGGCCTCAGACGTGCGCATGACTCGCGCTTCTATCGGACTCCCGTCGACCCTATCGCTTTGAACATTCCAAACTACCCTTTGGTCATTAAGCAACCTATGGATTTGGGAACCATCGAACGAAAGCTGAAGAGCAAGGAGTACGCCACAGCTCAAGCGCTGCATGAGGACTTCTCGCTTATGATCCAGAATGCGCTGACATTCAACGGCCCGGATCACCTGGTGGCGCAGGAAGGTGTGAAACTGCTGGCCACATTTGAGAAACAATTGGTTCATCTGCCTCGGGCTGATGAGAGCGAGGACAAGAAGAAACCTCCTAAGAAGTCAGTTACTAAGGCTTCGCCCGCCCGTCGAGACAGAACCTCTCTTGGAGGAAATGCCGTGCCTCGTGCTCCCGCTGCTGCTGTTCCGCCTCCCGTCGCCGCCGCGGCCCCTAAAGCATCTTCCCCCCAGAGTTCTACTTTCGCCCTGGGCCCAGAGGGATTGCCTGTCATTCGACGTGATTCAGCCAATGCGGATGGGCGTCCTAAGCGTTCTATTCACCCACCCAAGCGGGATTTGCCTTACTCCACGAAGCCGAAGAAGAAGAAGTACCAGTGGGAGCTTCGATTCTGCCAAGAGGTCTTGGAGGAGCTGTACAAGACCAAGCACCAAGCTATCGCCATGGCCTTCTACTATCCCGTGGACCCCGTGGCGCTCAACATCCCCACCTACCACAGCGTCATCAAGCACCCAATGGACCTCTCGACCATCAAGGCCAAGCTCAGTACTGGTCAGTATGAGAACGCGAAGGAGTTCCACGCGGACGTAAAATTGATGTTCAAGAACTGCTATCGCTTCAACATGGTGGGAGACCCTATCTACTTGGCTGGTAAGAGCTTGGAGGAGGTGTTCGATAAGAAGTGGAGCACCAAGCAGGAATACCTGGCTCGACATGAACCCCCACCCGAGCAGCACAACTCTGAATCCTCCGAAGACGAGAGCGAGGAGGAAGCTGAGGAGAGTGATGAGGAGACTGAAAAACTCCTGGAACTCCAACGTAAGATTGCGGAAATGTCTCGCCAGGTCGAAATGATCCAGAAAAAGAAGAAGACCCCTCCCGCGAAGAAGGCTACCAGCAAGTCCGGAAAAACTACCGGCAAGAAGGAGACCAAGAAGAGCACCGGCAAGAAGGACAAGAAGACCAAGAGTGCGTCCAAGCCGGAAAAGACTCGCAACATCACCTACAACGAAAAGCAAATCATCTCCAACGGCATTAGTAGCCTTCCCGACAAGAAAATGCAGGAAGCACTGGGCATCATCCAGCAAAACGTTCCCGCTCTGAAGGTATGTCTATCCCAGATTCAACACTTTACTTCTCTGCCACCCACATGCTAACTTGTCTTGATTGCAATTAACTCCAGGGCACTCAAGAAGCTGAGATTGAGCTCGACATTGACGAGCTGCCCAACGATGTTCTGCTCATGCTGCTGAAGTTTGTTCGCAAGAACGCACCCCATGTTCTGGAAGAAGAGGAACCTGCCCCATCTGGTGGCAATGCAGCCCCTGCTGCCCCTAAGCCCAAGAAGAACAAGCCCATGAGCAAGTACGAGCAAGAAGCTCAGATCAACATGCTTGAAAGCAACTTGTCTCGATTCCAAGGTGGCAGCGGCTCTCCCAATCCCATGCCTTCGGTTGAGGCCAATGAGTCGAGTGATGATGAGTCGGATGATGACTCGGAGGAAAGTGAGGAGGAGTAATTTTCTCTCAAATCTTTCCCTCAATTCGTGTGGTCAATTTTCCCTGCTTGATTCAAATGACCGCCATGCCCGTTTTCCGCGTTCCGAGCGTTTTCCCTTACCCTTCCCTGTGCTTGACCCCTATTTCCCTCCTAGCGCTCACCTCCCTTTATTTGACCCTCTATTATCTTCATAGGTGCTTTTAACCTCTTGTGCCAGTCTCAATCAGCTCTCCCGCTTTGGACGCTCTCCTTGCACCATCAACTAACAGTATGGGCTAGGGATTTGACTTGTTATGTACATAGCTTTTGACCCTTTTCCGTCTCTCCACGGTACCTGCCGCAGTCGGTGATCGGAATGCACATCGATCTACTCGAACATCATCTTTAGTGATTGCGTCGGGTCTGATCTTGTGCCAATGCTCAAAATGATCTCCCTGGATTGACTTTTTCTCCCGTCTTGGTCCCCTCTCATTCTGGCTTTCATGAAGCGTCCATGGCTTTGATGCTCCCCTTGCAATGCTTTTTTTTTCCTCGTTTGGGAGCGACTTACTTGCGGTCATGACTTCAAGAAGTGCGAGTCGCAGGAAGGGATGTTGGCCAATTCGCCGGGCCAACGGAGCTGGCTCAGCCAACCTCCAAATGTATGATTATGAACGAAATGCTTATTTTTATCAAATGTCCACCAAGCCCTGCTAAATTAATGTAAGAATCAATCGGCCCATTCGGACGATGTAAACAGCCTGGGATCACTTGGTCCTCATTGATTCGATCATTCGGACGAGGCATTTTTTAGGCAAATGCTTCTCATAATGAACAATCTCATTCCAGAAAATCAAACTATGATGGACATTTCATACACTACAAAGTCACCTGTCACACTGCTGCACTGTAGCACATCGTCCGAACTCCGATGACCGATTGGCGGTGTATCGGGCCGACTTGATCTGTTGACCATCTTTCCAACCTCACCAGTTCCTCACCATGATCCCTCCATGTGATCCGTGCATCCTCGAACAGAACCCCCAATTTAAACGAGTCTACGAGAACATCACCAAGAACTTGCTCAATCCCGATGGCTCTTCCTGCGCTCGAACTGCCGACCCGGCACGGAAGGCCGTTGATGATGTACGTGTGGACCGTGGGTGTGGCGCGGCGTGGCAGCAGCCCGTAGCTCACCTCCCCGCACCCGTCGAGCTATGAGCTGAAGTACAAGCGGACAAAGGGCTGATTAAAACCAATATAGGAGCTGAAACAGTACCAGCTACAGCGCGCGAAGGATCAGATCAAGAAGAATGCTGTCCAGCAATTGGCGTTTGCAAAGCAGAGCGAGCTTTCCGATGAGGTAGGTGATAGCTCTGCCCGACGTCTACATAGCTCAGTCATGTTTTTTTGTTCCCTCGATTGCGCGGAATACTCATCCTTGGTTTTCTCGTTACCAGTGTCGCGACAATCTTGCTCTGATATCTCTGTATCTTGAGAATGCTTCACCTGTCGCGAATCCCTGTGAGACCGCTCGAAATGGCGAGTCGCAACCACAATCGCAAGCCCCCGACGACTCACTCGCTCTCCTCAAACCTACAATCACCTCCTTCTACACGTCCATTCCATCCCTAATCCAACCCTTCTCAACACTCCTGTCCGAGTCAGTCTCAACCCTCCGCATCCTCTCCGCAACCTCTTCAAAGCAAGATACAACCGCAGCTACAGCCACGTCCTCAACCCAACAACCCGACCCAGAGAGCTCCGCCCCAGATCACAACCAGTTTCGCACTCGCGCTCGCGCTCGAGACCATCGCGTCCGGACATCTCTCGCACCTTTGCCCAAGGTGTCAGTCCAACTTGGCCAGCGAGTCGAAGCTCTGCGCCAGAGACAAATCTCCGATCTTCCAGCCGCAAGAAGAGATTTGGCCGTGGTGGCGGCAAAGGTGATGAGTATGCGGGCTGCGGTTCTCGAGCGAATGGTTGTTATCTTGGAGAGAGCGAAACATGGGACTCTTGCGAGGGGGTGAAGGCTCGGGCGGAGAATTTGGCTGTTGTTGCGCGGGCGACGGAGGGGAAAATTGAGTATGTTTTCCTTGAGTTCCTTTTGTTCTTGGTGCTATCGCTCTTCACTTGAGATTGCTTGGCTAATATTGGAACTCAGGCTGACAAAGCTCGAAATCGCTTCGACTATTCACACGCCCGAGACTGTGGCCGCACTGCGTCGATATCAGGAACACCTGCTAGAGACTCGTTTACAACTCGACGAACGAAGAGTCGTTGCAATTGAAGACTTGAAGAAGTACGGTTTTTACGAGTCTTTAGAAGATGAAAATCAGCCTGAGAGTGATATGCGAGGAGGTTCCAAACAGACGTGGGAAGAGCTCGCCGTCAGATATGGCCGGTTGCTGAAGCAGATAGATTCCGCGAAGAAGGAGATTGCATCTGTGGGCGAGGAGAGAATGTAAGATTGGCGACTGCGACTGGCGAGAGTTGATGTCTGACACTTTTCGATGAAGTCGTTGGGACTTGGGGTGTGCTTGGTCCGAATTTGACTCGCGCAATTATCATGATCTCTATCGGTTTATCTTAATACGGCATAAAATTCCTTGGCTCTGATACTCAATTGAAGTGGAAGAGCCAGCTCCATCAAATGACCACCTGTAAGTTATCACGTTCGATCTCAACCAATTCAGCAACAGCTTCAGGTAAGATTACTGTCTCTTGTGTCAACCTCGCCTCGAAAGATCGAGCAAAGGGTGTTTTCTGCCAAATTCGTCGAACTGTGTACACGCATCCCAAAATGGATACTCTTCTGTCCGGTGATGGCCGGGCTGGGGCGGACAGCCCATGCGGAAGATATGAATATCGCTTGACGGCCTGTTAGTCTCAGGCTCATGAGGCTCAGCATCGCACTTACTAGTAATCTCGACTTCATATAAGGTTGGATGTGTACTCATCTGCACTACAATCAACATGTCGACGATATCCCCAAGGCAACCCCAAGCAAGTCGAGTCTCATGATAAAGAAATGAGCTCTCGAACGATCTATCCCTCCCGTCGCCCCCAGTCTCAAAGCAAAAAAAAAAGCCCAAATTGCGCGCAAGCTTCATCATCCACAACCACGAATCGAAGAGATCAATGACCGCAGCAAATCTGGTTTCGTGTCATCACACGTCTAACGTGCTATCTGCAAGGCACCTGGTCCAAGTCCATGCAAGTTCTCTCTGCAGAGTGATCTAGATCGCCGATCCTCGCACTATTCGTCGCACGTGTCTGTAAATACTCAGGAATAGATAGAACCCTACCGAGCCCGGGGGAACTTTGTATTCGCGACAGAGGCCTTTGACGGCTTCTCGGTGGAGCTTGGAGCTGGAACTGGAATTGGAGCTGGAGGAGCGTTTGGGGGCCATGCTGGAAGACAGTTGGGATGGTAGATGTGGGTGTAGGTACAAGTGAGCATGGAGTTTGTAGACGGCGGAACCGATGTATACGGTTGCGAGGGGATGGGTGAAATTGATGGGGTTTCGATAAGATGACTGGGATGATGAAGAGGGAGACTTGAGTGAATGTACGAGGCTAGATTGAGGAGGAAATAGCAAAGTATGTAGATGGTGTCATGTGGTGAGCTATACCTAGTCTGCGACTGATATTTCCTAATTTGGTCCGCCGCTGATTTTGTACCGGTAGGGTTTGTTCTCAGACGCTGGTCTATACACCGACAAGCCGAGGACTGATTCGGGATAAGGGAGTAGGGTCTAGGCCTTCGGTAGGTAGAGGATCATCTATCTAGTCAAATCCGACAGTTGAGGTTACTGGAAACATTGCTAATCAACCACACGTTAAATCGAAGATGCCTCTGCGAAAGCCCAGAAGGTGGTCTTTCTCCGTCACTTCAATTATCTAGGCATATATCATTATTCGAAGCCGGATGTCGTCTCTAGAAGAAATCGCATACCATGAATCGAAAGTGTCCCTGGAACAGAGTGTACCTCAAGGACGTGACGTACCAGCAACGCGGCAAGGTGAATACGGCGTCGCTTGATCTCCGGTCCCGATCGTAAGTATAGAAAATCATGTCTTGCCAGATCTGCCTGCCTCAGGAATCCGAAACGATGGGCCCTCTTATGCCGACGCCAAACTCATCATTCATTTCATTCATCACAAGTCTTAACACGAGAATGACCTCGATCCCTTTCTTCCTCAGAATGGTGCAGCAGACGAAAGTAACGTCGTGCATGTATTCAAGCAAAACCTAATGAAAAGAAGATGCGAAATATCTAATATCATACCAGAACATGTCAATGCAAAAGACCATCGTATCTCACTCATCCCTACAATAAGAACTCGGCCATCTTCGAGCCTCTTGACCAAAACATTACTTGCGAAGCCCCAAATCACTGACCATCTTGGACATTGTACAACAGCTGATCTTCTTACCAACCAGATCCACAAGCTCCTCGTATCGGCAATTAGGCCTTTGACGCATATAAGCGCGGATCAAGTCATGGTCTCCCGGAGTCAGGATCTTGGGTCTGCCCGTGCGAGGAAGGCTTTTATTGTCTTTACCACGGACTGCCTCTTGCTGGCAGGTGCGGATAATCGTGGTGCGAGGAATGTCTGGAAAAGTTTTGGCGATTTTGTTGTACGAGAAATTGGCGTGGTTGCGCAGGGCGCAGATCTTTGTTCTCGTGATTGGAGAGAGTTCTGAGTGTCTGGGCATTTTGGATATGTTGGTTGCGCAGCTTGATTGTAGAGATAGGTATTGGGCGTGTGTAGTAGGGAGATAGAATGGATGTAACTTTGGAGGGTGAGAGATTGAAATGGATATTCAGGGTTGGTAGGAGGATGTCTCATGCGTGGAAAGGAGGGAGGCCTCCAGGTTTAGTATGCGAGCTCAGTCACAGTGTGGCAATGTGCTCGAGTTCGCCACGCCTGAGACGGCATATGTGTATAGTTAACCTACAGTTGACCCTATGAGAGCTTGCTTCGATGACGAGCTATGCTCTGAGCTCCTTGCATGACAGATCATAGGCGAGACACATACTGTAGTAACAGCTGAAAGCGAGAAACACAATCCTCCGATATAAACATATGACGTATGACGCCTTGTACCTGCCCTAAACTCCGCCGATCCCCGAAGAAGGAACACGCCTGGAAGCCTGAATATCCAGGCACAGTAAGGTGTCAAAACTTCTGCGGAACAACCCCGTCAGCTCATTCCATACTCGCCGAGTCGCCACAAACTTTAAACTTTTATTGTTCAACACATTCCCTCGACCCGCATTTTCGCGATAGCCCTCGTCCGCAAATCTGCATACACCGTCGCTTTTTCTCGTCTCAACGCAAGAATATCCTATACACCCGTTCATAAACATCCACGTCTCCCTCGCAATCTCAACCAAACTCCTCTCCCAAAAACACAGCCACAAGGTTACTCCCGCTCTCCCCGCGCTACCCTCAAAATGGCCGACGACTCCCTCTCCATCTACGACGAGATCGAAATCGAAGACATGACCTTTGACCCCGCGCTCCAAATCTACACATTCCCCTGCCCCTGCGGTGACCGTTTTGAAATCGCAATCGACGACCTACGTGACGGCGAGGAGATCGCCGTCTGCCCCAGTTGCAGTCTGATGATTAGGGTGATTTTCGACGTGGTATGTTATCTTATCTGGAGGAAAAGAGACCGTCAAGGCTTGCGCGAATGGAGAGGATCAGACTAACGTTTTTTTCTTCTCTTTTATTTTTACAGGCGGATCTCCCAAAGGCAGATTAATCATAATCTGAAGAGCATATGATTTTGAGAGACATCGATCTCATATTTTCACGGTGAATCGACGAGAATGGTCTGGGTCCCAGATCCACGGCTCCGAGTGTGCCGGGGCATACAGATAGTCTGGTCTTGCTCAGGGCGTACATCTCTTGTCCTGGCGTGATGTGGACATTAGTCCCTGTTTCGACGATCTCGAGGACATTCCCGAAAGACTCGGGTTGGCCTCATTTCTCGAGATCCCTCGTGGCTTTGCTCCCCTGGGCGGTGGCGACCCGAACTCAAGTGGACTGAAGGGTGGCTACACTACTTCTACGTCGCAAGCGGTGGCTTCAGAATCCCGGTCACGCGAGTCGGGGATCGCTACTTGCGGCCGAACCCATTGACCTTGAAAATCCACCTGCGGAGCTTGAGAAATTCTCTGCGAGGGTTGTTCCGATCAATTGGCAGATGGTGAACTGGTTAGGCGCTTGCACCAGCCACGTCTGACAACAGCCTTGTGCGGGCTTGTGATTCCACACTTTGTGTGAACCCGAGATGATGTGGCTGGTTCGGCGACTCTTATAGATTGTTACATTTGTGCGTGAAGGGGCCGAACGAATGAAAGCGTCTTGTCTGTACGGCACTTCGATGGAGATTGGTTTCCATTAAAATAATTCACAGCGAAAAAAAAGTATAGAAGACCTTGTGCTTATGCCAACAAATCCGGCAGAATGTACTCCTCGGTAAAGTTCCACAGCATGGACGAATCCTGAGTGTCAAAAGCCGCTCCAGTATACCAAGTATTCCGATGACCCTGCAGCGCATACAACTTCTTATAAAAGCCACCTGCAATCTCATCCCTCGCCACCGTCAACTCGAACGGAGTGTGACTGTGGTAAGCCACGAACTCAGGCTCCCCGGGAACCTTTTCCGCGAACCCATTGGCCTGCAATTTCTTAATATAGGACAGAATCTCGCCGCGAACAAAGTCGTCAGATAGCCCCGTTGGACTGCCGTACTTGACGTCAAAGACTCCAGGGATGGCGGTTGCGCTGACGGCGTAGACGCCCGGCAGTTTAGGGATTTGGTAGGGTGTGTTTGCCCCCACAGAGGTAGAGCTAAAGTTGCCAGGCAGGCCGGTGTTCTTCACGAGACTGGTGTAGTAGCCCGTGTTCATGAATTTGCCGAAGAGGCTGGATTCGAGCTCGTCAAGGTCGAAGGGCTTGAGCTTGTCGAGTTTCTGCGGGAAGGCGATCAGGAGTTTCTTCGCCTTGACTGTTCGACGGCCGGACGGAGTCTTCACTTCGAGCTGGATGCCCTCTTTTCGTCGATGGGGAGTGGACGCCACGTGGCTGCTTGTCCAGACGTCGTGACCCAGGATTTTGGTCGCATGCTGGTAGATTTCTTGATTGTTCTGGCTAGCGGTCACGAGGAATCCCGTGCCGATGTCTTGGATGATCTCCAGGCCAAAGTTCTTGAACACGTACAACGTGGGCTGGGAAAGAAAATCGCCTAGTCCCTGTCCGAAAGTGAAGATGGTGAACGCAGCATTGCCAACGTCTGGATATTTGGCGAGAAACTCGCCAAATGGGAGGAGCAGATCTTCGGGAACAGGGTCTGGGAGGAAGAATCCGGACTCGACTTTCGGGTATTGAGCAAGATGAGCCGCGTAGGTTTGCAATGCGGCTCGGGCGTCCGGGCTGGTATAGTTGACTGGCTTGGCCGATTGATCATCTAGATACACCGGTGAGCCACTGGTAAAATGCGGGTCGGTGACGAGCCATGAGACGTTCAGTCGATCAAAGTAGTTCTTAACAAGCTGATTATCGTGAAAGACGACCACACCGTAGTCCACATGAGTCTTGGTGACCGGGTCTTCGTAGGTGTTGGTATGACCGCCCAGTCTATCTTCCTTTTCGATGAGGATGACTGATTTGCCCTGATCACGTAGTCGGATAGCAGCGTATGTGCCTGCGGCACCGCCGCCTATGATGGCGACATCGCGTGTGAGACTATTGTCTTCTCCGTGGGCAAAGGCCGCAAGGGACAGCAGACCACAGATTGCCAGTGTTCGGCGGGCGCCTGATAGGATCATGTTGAATTCGAGGATGTTCAGCGCGTGAAATAGTGCCCGATATCCAGGATCTTTTAGTCGGCCCTTCTGTGAATCTTTCGTCTGCCACGGACCCTTATAAATTGTCTCCGATCAGCGTCTTCACACTGGACCGTAGCGAAGATCCCGCGAATATGCGAGTGGAAAGTCATAAAAATGAGGGAAAAAAAGCAAAGGCAACTCGACACAGCTGACGCCTGACTTGCACAAGCCCAGATTGAACATGTTCACTCCAGTGTGAGCCCCTGTGCAGCATTCCTTGTGGTAGCCGCCAGCCAGTTGATTGGCGTTGCTCCTCGTATTCTCTTAGGATCTCCGAGCTCCATCCCGAATGGACTTGCTAGGTCCTTGAGGTCCAAACACGGCCACAGTCTATTTGTCATGCCCGTCACGTCAAGCCGAGGAAGGATGAGCTGACTATACACATCCTCTGCTCAAGCGGCCAAAGATCGGCTGTCTTGGTCAGAATAGGCTCTAGACTTGTGTAACACACCCTCATACGCAGGAAGCTGCAAGTGTGATAGGCATGCATCATCAAGATCGAACAACTTGGCTGCGGTCTGGTATTGGTTGTGCCCGTACGATCGGCCATCACGATGTCACAATCTGAGGCGTCGCAGTTGAGTGAGAGATGGTCGTGTGATCCCCGCCGTGGATGCAAGATGAGACGACCGACCACGTTTTGATTTTCATGCTGCTGCTGTAGAAGTCAGGTGTTAATTTTCCGTGGTGGGGAGAACAAGAGGCCAAGCAGGCAGCGAGGGTGCTCTCACATCGTCAAGTCCGATTGAGTTACGATCTGCTTGCCCGCTTTGGGAATTGTGCACGGCCCGAGCCGATCAGCTGCACCTCTGCATCGAAACCTCCATCTCACAACGTTACGAGAGAAGATGGAGAGTTCTCTTTTGCAACCACATCGACCGTCGATCTCACTGTGGTCATCGTACAGACCCTCTGTCGGAAATCGCGCCTGACACGAAACATGAACGAGTTGTTATAACAATGTCTGAATTCGGAAATATCGCGCATTCATTTACTTGAACAAGGTACACTTCCAAGCGTCATGCTTGACCCCCCACATGCAATACACTCAGAGGTGCAGAAAGACAGAGACCGAGGATCGGTCTATAGATTCGACAAGTCACCGCCTCTGTCCTTTGCCTGCCCCAACCTCGATCAATGCGGGCAGGATTGTGCATACCGCGCTTTATGAGTCCACCTCTTGCCCATAAACATCCTTGGGCAGGTTAATGGACAGTTCGGAGTTCAAAAGGTCCGTCAGATTTGACCCGTCGCGCAAATAGATCCACTGTCCGTGGACAAAAGGACGTGAGTCCTGCTTCTCCAGCATGCTATCCCCTTCGAGGATCCAGTCGTATCTCTTAGGACCGGAGATTGGTGAACTCAGCCAGATTTGCTTGTTAGGGGGTTGCTTATTCAGGACGTAGGTGCCAATTGAAGGGAGAGTAATGTTGAGAACCCCGGCCTACACAAATGATTAGCACGTGAGCTTGGCGAGAGTGAGGAAGCCAGGACCGAGACTCTCGATTCTGTCCTGAGTCTCCCCAATATAACTCCCGCACCAGTCTTTTCGAGAATTTCGCTTACACTGTACTCTGCCTCGATGTCCGAGCCTTCTTCCTGCGCCTTCTCAAGCTCACCGAGGAGAATGTTGAAGTAGTGTTCCGAGTATTCATAGTATTCCTGATTTGTCAGAGGCGATGGCTCGGTTACATGTGCACTCAGTCCAGCGCCCGGGGAGCTTTGAGGATCGGAGGGTTTAGGGTCCTCGGAATCAGGCTGCAGGCCCTTCGAGAAGACCGCAGACGAGGCGAATGTCCGGGGCTGCGCAGGGTAGCTACGACGAAGAGGTGCCACGACTTGACGGGATGAAGCTGGGCGCACAGAGGTACGGAGAGCTGAGCCTGCTCGAAGCAGACGAGGCGCATTGCGAGACAGCATTTGTGATGAATGTGAGCAATTGATACCGCGACTCTTTAGAAGATTGGTCTTGATAAAGTTCTCTGGAAGCTCGAGTTGCGGAGAAGGCCTACATCATTTGCATGCGATGGGATTACACCGCCTTCCCGATGGGGTAGGAGTGGAGCTGAGACACGGGAGCTTGCAGATTTTGTGGATTCAGCAAGGGAAGAGGGAATCACACCTTGGAGTGCGCTCAAGATTTCTTTCGATTTGCAGCATTGACTTGATTCTGATACTTGATAGACCTTCCAGGCTTCACCTGTAGTTTCTCGTTCTGGCCCGGCGTGAAGCATTTGCCAGGTGACTAGATGGGTGGGTCTGTTTCCGCTTTCCAATGATGCATACTCGACCCTCAATCGTGGATGGCGATGCCCAGTCTGAAATACCCTCCCACACTCACACTGTGACACTACTCGTCTACTGCGATTGTATCGGTGTATCCCGAGCTAAAGAATGGACAAGCGACCAGCCAGGAAGATCACGTGTCTGGTTTCCCGGCAATGTTGATCTCATGCAACGAGAGACCGACGTATCAAGTCAGTCTGACTCGGACCTGCTCTCATTGCATGATCCGAGAAAGATTGATTTGGGTGAGTAGTTCCATTGCTTTAGTGAGGTCATGATCCTATGCTGATCATAATTTGATTCACCCATATTCCCCACACGGTTCATGTAAAAGCCGCTCTCATGGTCGTCATGCTCTTCTTCTCATATTCCTTGAGTACCGAGCAAGCCACAACCCGGGAGGAGGAGGTCTAGATTTGAGCGACCGTTCGAGCTAGTCGGGCTGTCCCGGTGAGTTTGTTTTTTGTTTGTTTTTTGTTTTCTTTTTCTTTTCAGAAAAAGGTCAACCACCACCAGATTGAGTCATCAACATCTCGTAATGCAATGTCATCCAGGCTGGTGATCCATGTTCTTCTTTACATCATTGGGCCGGTGAAGTGCATCGGGTGAGGATAGTAGACTGTTGGCCTTGGCAGGCTCCACCACGCGTATGCCGAGCCTTTTACAGTCGCACTGCACGCTACGTCAGTGCCAGTTTCTTCCCTAAAACTGGATCGTGACGGATGGGGCCGCCGACGATGAAGTGGAAGCTCCGAAGTCTGGACGGACACACGGCGGAGAGCGGTGGCTTTCTCCAGAGACCACGAGGTCATAGCCATTTGCCCAAGCCATGGACCCTTCCCTCGCCCACCACGCTATAAATCCCGAGATGCCTCGGATTGGGATAACCGGCCTACCAGGTCAATCGCAACTCATCACCCTCGCTGGCACGGTAGCTTGTCGTCCATCCTCGCTGGCACAATGCAGTTCACCACCTTGATGCTGGCATTGACTGCCACCCCTGCGCTTGCTTCCTTCAACTTCAACCCCCTGGAGCACTCGGCGGGGATCTCGCCGTACTTTTCTCCTCACAATCCCCCAATTGCAGTCTCTCCTCCGCAGGGCTGCAATGTCACCCGCGCAGCATTCCTCATCCGGCATGCTGCCATTTATGCCAACGATTTCGATTATGAGAGCTACCTGGAGCCGCTGGTGAAAAAGTTGCGAAACACGACCCAGGACTGGGCCTCGACTCAGTCCCTGCGATTCCTGGCCAACTGGACTGCGCCCGTGGATGATGAGCACCTGGAGAGATTGACCAGATTCGGCATGCAACAGGCGATGTTGCTCGGTGCTGATATCCGTCAACGATACAATCACCTCGATCTCCCCAAGAGGGTCTGGTCATCCACTGCGGATCGGACCGTCAAGAGCGCAGAGGCCTTCCTGGCCGGGTACACCCACAACAACACCAAGCTTGTCAACTTGACTCAGATCGAGGAGAGCAAGAAGTTGGGAGCGGATTCATTGACTCCGTACAAGAGCTGCAAGGCATACAGCTCTTCTTACGGTAGCAAGCAGTCTTCGGTACGTGTTCAAGCAAGCTCTTCCTTTCAAACCGAACCACGTTCTGTTCTCCCTTGACTAAACTGAATGGTATAGAAATTCATCGATGTCTACACCAAGCCCATCATCGCTCGTCTCAAGGCTGAGGTGCCTCGCTTCAACTTCACCCAGGACGATATCACTGCCATGTTTGAGTTCTGCGGCTACGAGACCGTCATCCGCGGGGATTCGCCTTTCTGTGCTCCTACCCTCTTCAATGCCGACGAGTGGCTGGGCTTCGAGTACGCCAACGACATCATGTATTTCCACAACGCCGGTTACGGTCGCGAGCTTTCCCCCTCCCTCGGCTTCCCCTGGGTCAATGCCACCGTGTCTGCCCTGGATGACGAGTCCTCCTCCCAGGAGCTGTATGTCTCCTTCACTCACCGTGAGCTCCCACCCACTGTGATCACCGCATTGGGACTCTACAACAACAGCGCCTTCACCGGCGCCAATGATGTCAACCAGACCATGCCCAACAACACCATCAACTACAACCGAGCCTGGAAGAGCAGTGAAATCCTGCCTTTCCTGACCAACATTGCCATCGAGAAGATGTCTTGCGAGAGCCCCGGCTTCGACGAGGGTTCGTATTACCGCGTTTTGAACAACGCCAGCCCCCAGCCTCTGGTTGGATGCCGTGACGGACCGGGCGGAAGCTGCTCCCAGGACCAATTCCTCAAGTTCATGAAGACCCGAGGAGAGTCGTATGGTGATTTCAACAAGGCCTGTGATGGCGATAATCTTCCCTCGTCGCTGTCTATCTATGAGGCTTGAAGTTACATCTGACAGTGCGAGTCCCGAGATTGACAGGTCACGAGGTGATGAGACTCCTTGAACGATTCGCATGAATGACGATCATGTTCTTGTAAAGATAGATTATACTTTTAATCCATATACCATTTCCAATATCTTGCATCAAGGTTGAAAAGTCGACATTAGGTGATAAGAAAGACCATTACTCAAACATCAGCCCTAACCAACCCCAGCCCGTTGAATCGATCGCGCATGCCGATTTGGGCTCTACGTGACCTCCCCACACATACCTCCCGTAGCCTGGAATCTGACAATTGACAGTCCCTGGAGATCACATTGATATACGGGAGCCCAACTGCCGCGCCAGACAAGCTTGAAGCAACAACCGTGGAACCGAGCAACGTGCTAGTCAAACCCGATTCCCGAACCACGTCTCGAACGATTCTGAATCGTTCAAGGACCCGATCGAACGCTCGGGTTTGACCAGACATTGAGCAAGAGATCTTTGACTACGTAAACAGCCCACAAGATAGGATTTGAAATAGGGGACGAAGGTAAATTCTTCCGACTGGACCTTTCATCCTCGTGGGTATCCATTTTATGCCCGCCTGGATCAATGGATGGATCCGGGCCTCACGAGGTATATCTTGTAGACGTTTGCCCACTTTTTGACCTTCATTTCATCCGACTATTGTCATTCCTCTAATATACCGTGCTATTATACCTCTATAATTCCTTACTACACTCAACATTCCCCTTTTCTCTTCCTCACCATCCAATCTCGAAACCCTTCATCTCTCCCTCTACCAATACAAACCGCCATGCCATCTACTACCACGCCTTCCACCACCCCCTCCTCCACTCCTCAATACAAACTCATCTTCCGCGTGCCCCCCTCCCACCTCGAACCCTGCAAACAAGCCGTTTTCGACGCCGGCGCCGGCGCCTACCCCGGCGGCATGTACGCCGACTGCTGCTGGGAAGTCCTGGGCATGGACCAATTCCGACCAACCGACAAGGCCTCCCCTTTCATCGGGCAACCGGGCCGACTGGAGCGCGTGGCCGAGTATCGGGTGGAGACGCTGTGCGTGGGCGAGGATGTGATGCGGGAGTCGGTGAAGGCGTTGCGCAAGGTGCATCCGTACGAGCAGATTGTGATTGAGGTGGTGCAGTTGATTGATATTGATGGGAAGGAGTTTTGGTGAGCTAGGTTGATGATGATGGGAATTGATCTTTGGAACCTCCGGGCTTGGAGAGGAGATTGGTGCTGATGAGAAGAAGATGGTAGTCGGGTAGGGCATGCATGCAAATGTGGCGTTGGAGGGTTGTTTTGTTTTGCGTTTGATCTTCAAATCTTAGCCGCGAATCTATGCTTCTGCGTTTTGATCCGGACTCTCCTTCCATTCTGGACTTCACTTCCTCACCACGCTCTGACACAGCAATGCCGAGCCGATCTCAACGGAGCGGTTACAGACCAAGTTCGGAAACGGCTCGGGTTTGGCCTGCTAACGATTGATCGGGAATTCGACGGATGATACCTTCAAAGGCGCTATTCAGGATAAGGTTTGGGGTAAACTCTAGCGATCGGCTTTGAGCGTTCAGGGCGAGCAGATGGAACAGCTCCATCATCTCGACTTCGACGGGAGCAATTGATTAAAGGAAAGCGAGGAGCCTCTGGTGTCATCGTAGTGGAGGTCGTCAATCAATAGTATCAGTTACCCATTCACATGTCGCGTTTATACAACTGGATCAAGACCGTTGCTAGCGTGTGTCAAGACTGGAATGTTGAATCAGCTGAGCGTGAGCTTGATTGTACAACTACCCAGTGCCCAGTGCCCTCAGATTGAGCTTCTGGAATCATTAGCGCCGATCTCGGGTCTGGATCACCGAGGGATGCATGAACCATACGCACCGTGGGAACGATGGCGCAGAAGGGGCCAAGGGCAGGGAGACCTTCCTTTCTTCAGCGTCGCGCAGTTTTAAGCCCCCCCTCTCCTTGTCTGAGCTCTGACATTTCCCCAGCTCTTGAGCTTCCTCGGCTGTCATTTCGTTTGCCGCCATCTCTCCAATCTCCATCGTCCTTGTATGACACCCGCACCACCATGGCCCCATCTGCCTCACCCCAAGAGACTCTGCCAGCAGCAGGCGCATGTGCTCAGGTCTCCGCCATTGACTCGGCCAGCCTCAGCAATCTACCTCTGGAGCCATATTTCCACTGCGATCTCCCCCGATTGCAGCGGGTGACCATTCCCGCCTTTTCTTTCATCATCACCAATGCCCGAGGCCGCCGGGTCTTGTTTGATCTGGGGCTGCGTAAGGACTGGACCAAGCTGTCGCCGACCGCGGTCGCCGAGGTCTATCATGATGAGCTGGGGATCAGATGCGAGCAGGATGTCCGGGACATTCTCGAAGCGCACGACGTGAGGGCAGAGGGGGTGGAAGCAATCATCTTGAGGTAATGCACTTTTTATCTGCTCCAGATAAAAGCGAGATCATCTCCAAGTCTCAGATCGTATCCACATATACTAAGGCATTGATCCAACAGTCATCACCATTTTGATCACATCGGCGACCCCTCTCGCTTTCCATCATCCACAGCTTTGGTTGTGGGACCTGGAGTCTGCGACGCTTTGATGCCGGGTTATCCAGACCAAGAAAACGCGGAAATTCTCACCTCGGACTACTTGTATGTTTGCCGCACACTCTCTCTCACCTCAAGATGTATTATCGGACGTCCATCTAATCCAGGATGGGATCTCTTCTATGCAGAAATCGCCCAGTCCGCGAGATTGACTTCACCCAGAGTGATCTCTCCCTCTTAGGTCTACCCGCTTTGGACTACTTTGGCGATGGCTCGCTGTATCTGTTGAGTACTCCCGGCCACGCAGTGGGCCACATGGCTGCATTAGTCCGCACCACCGCCGACGGCACCGAGTCATCCTTTGTACTGTTGGGCGGCGATGCCTGCCATCATTGCGGCGAGCTTCGTCCGTCGACGAGACGGCCCCTGCCTTCTTCTCGATCATCGTGTGTTGCCAGCTTCCTCGAAACTCACGACATGGACGGAACGCAACCTTTCTTCCAGATCCAGCGGGATCCACAGTACGCTGCGTACTGCAATGACAGTGACGAAGCACAGCGGACCATCTTTCAGTTGCAGCGCTTTGACGCCCTGGATAGTGTCTTGATCATTTTCGCCCACGATCTCACTTTGAAGACAATCATCGACGAGTTCCCAGCGACGCTGAACGATTGGCGTGCAAAGGGCTGGGGAGACAGCGGTCGATGGCGTTTCCTTCAGGATTTTGAACCCATGGAAAATCTGTAAATAATCGACCATTGTCTGCCCCTGCCCTGTCCCCTGTTGGGAGTGGACGGTTACCGATCGCATGGGGTGGTTTTGCACTTTGTACGGAGCGGCTCGGGTTAGACTCGTCTTGGCACGATTCCCTTCTCCAACTATACCCGCCTCGGAGTATAGAGTACAGCGACCATCAGCTTGAGTATCATTGACTTGACACCTGGAGGAAAAATGTCAAAGCTCCCGCCTTATTACTCAAACACCTGGCCTAGCCGGAACTGTGCTGTCATAGATTCAAAATCTGTCATGTGGTGGAGTACCTCCATCGCTTGACACCCCTCGGCTTTGAATACCCGGGGCATCAGAGCCTTCAAACCCGAAATCCGAGGCCGGCTCAACACGGCCATAGAGTGACACTCGAGATCATTGAAAGGTGCATGAGTTACCCCGAGAAAGAAAGCAGAACAGCAAGAAGCAGATTTTCAATTCCTTGATGCAGATTCTCTTTCTCAACACACCGGTGGAAGCCTGCAAGATGGATCACGAAAAACAGACGCACGAACCAACAATGACAACGGAAACAAACCAGCAGGTACTTGACTCAGACTCGGAACGAGACCAACAACATACCGGCCTGAGCAAGCAACCATCAATATGTGAAAAAGAAGATCAAGACCTAGATGGCTGGCGAGGATGGCTAGTAGTCACCGCGGCTGCGTGTTCGCTTTTTATCTATCTCGGCGAGATCTATTCATGGGGTGTTTTGCAGTCTGAGCTTGTCAAGACTACGACATTTTCAATGACGACGTTGACTTTTGTCGGTTCGCTGGCTACTTCGTTCATGGTGTCTTTGAGCATATTGGTGGGCATGACTATCCGCCGATTCGGATATCAAAAAACGGCATTTGCGGGTGCGGTTCTCATGGGCCTGGGTGAATTTCTGGCCAGTTGGGTTACGGACAATCTGGCTGGCTTGTTCATTTGTCATAGTGTATTGTTTGGAGTGGGAGGAGGGTTGACCATCATGGTATGTAGTACATCAAGGTCTTCATTTGAGAAGGGGTTCCCGTCCGTGAACAGTGGCAGGGACGCATCGAGGCCGGAGTACACGAACCGAACCATTTGCTGACTCGTCCTAGCCCTGTTCGACCGCACCTCTCAGGTGGTTTCGAAAGCACCGTGGTCTTGCGACCGGCATTGTATTTGGGGGAGGTAGTCTTGGAGCTGCAACCATGAGCGTGGCCGCAAATTTGCTTGTCACCTCTGTTGGTGTTGCATGGACTCTGCGAATCTTTGGTCTTCTTGCCTGGGCAGTTTGCGTTCCTGCAGCATGTCTGATTCGACAACCAGAAAGTGCCGCAGCAGCTGTACCTCAGCTCCAATGGTAAGTTCTTGGACCTGTCAGTTTTAGGACTTGAACTCTCCGACTAATAACCGTCAATTACCTTTCATCGCCCTCTAGGTACCGATTCAGAGAACGTCAATTCATCCTCCTCTTTATCGGCAGTGCCCTTGGCTGTTTCCCGCTCTTCATCCCCTCATACTTCATTCCAATCTACGCCCGCACCGTGTCCACCCAACGCGTGGCCGTCATCATCCTCGCAATGTGGAACATTGCATCCACGATCGGACGAGTCCTCGCCGGCTTCCTCGCCGACGCCATGCTCGGCCCATTGAACAGTCTCATTTTGTCTCTCTTACTGGCCGGCATCAGCGCCCTTGCCATTTGGCCATTTGCCAGCTCCGTGGCGGTTCTCTCCGTCTTTGTCGTGCTGAATGGCCTCGGATGCGGGGCCTTTTTCAGTCTTATCCCTGCTACTGTTGGATCGATGTTTGGTGCGAAGAATACGATGGGTGTTTTGCCGGTGTTGTGGGCTGGATGGTTCTTTGGCTATTTCTTTGTGAGTGTCGCCTTTTCTTTGCGCCAGTAACTTCCGTCTTTGACGATATGGGCGAGTGCCATTTCAAGCCCCCCCAAAAAAGCCGGGCTAATCAAGCGTCCAGGGCTCACCTATCGCCGCTGGAATCTATTCCCTCTCTGACAAGGAGGCCGACACCGCTGCATACAGACCAGCGGCATATTATGCAGGAGGTATGTCTCTCGTCGGTCTAGCATTTATCGTGGTTATTCGGTGTCTATATTCCTGCAAGATCCTGGCGCGTGTGTGAGACAGTCATGAACACGACCATGACTATACAGGGGGAGGGTGCTTTTCACATGGTACTGTACATACTAGAGATCCAAGCATTAGAGGGATTTTAGAAATCTAGACTTGCATGACGGACCTTGACTCTCAAAATTTCAAGGCGATTTCTTCGCTCATTTGAACTTGTAGATTTCACTGTACCAAAATGTCTGCGTCAAGGTGAATATCACTCCCATTCCGTCTATCTCTCCTCCTTGAAGGCCTTCCCTTAGCTGCCCGGGTCCAAACTCTACCTACTTAGTACCTACCCGTCAAAAGAAATGAACCCGTTCCCCAAACCATCCAGAAACTCCCGAACCTGGTCGATTCGATGCTAGTCCAGCCCCGTAACCATCGAACTCCACAGCCCGAGCTTCCAAATGAGGAATGGAAGAAATGCGCTGCGAACCCTCTGCACTCGCCGAATGGTTAAACTACGCCCTGGCGTCTTTTCAAAAAGGATACTGGGCAGTGCGCACTGTGCACATTATCCTCGGGAGAGAAATCTCATTCTCTGCATATTGGCCCGGACGTTCGAATCTCCGAGGTGCATGTTCGGTGGAAATGGACCTTGCTCGGACCCGGTAGTTGCAATGGTTGGGTTCTCGGAAATTCCGAATCGGCAACTTGACGGCTTTCGCGTTATGTACATGTCCATGTAGTATATGTATGGCACTAGCTCGAGACCATGTGTGTGTACGGTAGCATTCTTCTGTAAACTCTCCCACATTCGAATGTTGACTTGACTGCCAATTATTGTGTCTCGTCAGAGACACTACAACAGTAGTTTAGGCTAACTTCTTTGGGATATACGCTTAGGGGGGGGGGGGGGGGCCCATATAATAGTATTCTTTTTTTCCCTAGGGGGAGAGGCGTTCTGCCATAGCGGTCTGCGAAGTACAAATCATGTGACTTACGATCTATCAACCTGGCTTTTACGGCCGCAACGCTAGCCCATAATTGGCTAGAATCGACGGATCTAGCTGCCAGTTGATACAACTAGCGACGATACTACTAGCTACAGCCTACGATGCTGGCTGCGTTCCTGGCTGCGTTCCTGGCTGCGTTCCTGGCTGCGTTCCTAGCTGCGTTCCTAGCTGCGTTACTGGCTATGTTCCTGGCTGCGTTACTAGCTGCGTTCCTAGCTGCGTTACTGGCTACGGATCTGGCTGCGGATCTGGCTGCGATACTGGCTGCGTTCCTAGCTGCGTTCCTGGCTGCGATGCTGGCTGCGATGCTGGTGCGGATCTGGCTACGATGCTGGCTACGATGCGAGCTCGGCGTATAGGATTTAGAATGTTGTCGTGGCCTCTGACGAGGCACATTTTCAGTCCTAAGACCACTTTGATCCTAGGACAGCTAGTATATGGATGATATCTCATTTTCGCTACTCACGGGACCAGCAGATACTGTGAATCACTCCACGACATAAAACACAATCTACCTAGCTAGGTAGCAGGTATGTACAGTCCTAAGAGCAATGTCTTCGACCGTCTTTCTACCACTCTGTGCTACCTAAGTACCTTCCAATGAACCTACATTACCGAGGACGGGCCCCCGACAGGTCCAAGGCGTAAGGTTCTCCGTAAGAAATACATACAAATCAATGGAAATCAAACCCCCTCCCACCCCTCGATATCCCCAAAGCAGCGAAACCCGTCCGAAAGCTTCATCCGACTTTATCCCGTGCAGGTGGGGGCCGTCCCCGACTCCCCGAGCCTCTAAAGTTTTTCACTGTATCTAAGTAAACTCTGGAAGGTCGTGGGACATCCGAGTCTCCATCCCCATCCCCATCCCATCCGAAGAACGTCCGCGGGAGACCGGAAGAGCCGAGAGATATCATGTTCCCTTTGTTTATAAGCGGATATCCCAATACTTGTGCTTTGATGCGTACTTCATCCATTTATGGAAAAGGCCATGTGTTTCCCGCTCTGGGTCCGGAAATCGGTGTAGAATGCGGGGAATATGGGGAAATATACCTCCTTTATCTCGGAACTCGGAATCCACAATCGAGGATGTAGCTGGAGGTAGTAGGTCCCAAGGCTGGCTATGTCCATCTTGGTAGGAGGTTGCTACAGTATGAGGGTGGACTTCTTCGGCTTGGAAGTCACTAAATAGTAAGGTACCTTAGCTTTGCACTGCGCACTGCGCACTATGCGGTAGGTGAGATGGTAGATACCGTGTATTAGGTACTAGGTACTAGGTAATGGGCAGATTTCCATGTCTCGTGGTCTGCTCAAGCTTCACCTTCGCCAATGTGGGGAATGACATGACTGTTCAGCCAAGCGTTGATGAGCGGAAGGAGCTACCTAGTTGGGTCCGTGGTATTCTGCGCGATAGGACGGGGAATTCACCGTTAGAAATGAGTAAATGGGCCTGGTCACAGCAGAAACCTGTCAGGTGGCTCAATCCTGAAAATTAAGGTCAAATCTAGTGACCGCGTGCGTGGGGACATCAAAGCGAGAAAAACAAAGGCCCGGGTACGGGTTAAAATAGTCCGGGGTACGTCAAAAGACTGCCATGAACCTCGGAAAAGGAGAGAGCGAACCGGTATCTTGGCAGGTATATAATGGTTGGTGATACTTTGATCTAGAAAGGAAAAAAAAAAACAGCCTGCTTTTCTCTCCACCTTTCCCTATCGCAACATGCGTCCTCTCTCACCTTCTCTTGCCCTGCTGGCGTTTTTCCACCTAGCCCTCGCCTCACCGATCAATACCTCCTCTGGATCATCCTGCGACCCACCAAGCGAGAAGCACAAGCCCGGGTCAACAGATGACTACATCAACTGGCGCACGTTTTCTGGCCACGGCGTCAATCTAGGCGGCTGGCTCGAGCAAGAGTCCACCATCGACACCACATGGTGGTCCACCTATGGAGCCAACGCCGCCGACGAATGGACCATTTGTGCAAATCTAGGACCCGAGGAATGTTCGCGGGTCTTTGAAGCTCGATACAGAACTTTCATCACAACGTCCGATATCGATCGGCTCGCTGGCGCGGGGGTCTCGATTCTTCGCATCCCCACGACCTACGCCGCCTGGGTGCGAGTTCCGGGGTCACAATTGTACTCGGGTCATCAGCAGGAGTATCTGCGAAAAGTCGCGGACCATGCGATCAAGAAGCATGGGATGCATATCATATTGGACCTTCATTCACTTCCTGGCGGGACGAACGGTTTGGATATTGGTGAAAAGGTGGGCAATTGGGGCTGGTGGCATAATGAGACCGCGCTGGAATGGTCACTTCGCGCCGTGGACGCGGTCGTCGCCTTTGTACAGTCGTCGACGAGACCGCAGAGCTACACCATTGAACCGATAAATGAGCCGGTTGATAATCGGGATTTTGCGACTTTCGGCACGCCTGCTGCTTTGTCGGATCTCGGCGCGCAATGGCTGCTCCTGTACTTCCGCGAGGTGATTGCGCGGGTGAAGAAAGTGAATCCGCGGATTCCCGTGATGTTGCAGGGAAGTTTCCAGACGGAGGAGTTCTGGTCGCCGCATTTTGAAGCCTCGGAGAACATTGTCTTCGACTTGCATCATTACTATTTCCAATTCCCGCAGGCGACAAGCGCAAACGTGTCGACGTATATTTGCAGGGATGCCAGAGCTTCGGCGGGTGATGGCAAGTTTCCTACTTTCGTGGGCGAATGGGCGATTGAGACTGGAGGTCGGAATGAACTGGCATTGCGTGGACAGAATTTGCAGGCGGGTCTGTCGGCGTGGTCGCAATTCACTCGTGGTAGTACTTATTGGACGGCCAAGTTCTGGAACAATGCGACCGTGGTAGGTGAGGGGATCAAGCAGGATTATTGGAATTATGAGGAGATGATCGCGGAGGGCACGTTCAAGGGAAAGTCCCTGATCAAGGATTTCTGTAGTTAGAGGAAGCGTTCAACCTGTGATAAATGTCTGTACATACAACTTTTCAATTGGAGAGACAAATCTCAGTGTCTGAAAGAAGGCTGAGAGTGTCCTCCTGCCGTCTCGTGTTTCTCTCGTGTTTCTCTCTTCTTGTCTGGAAGCCCACATATATCAAAAGATCAAGGCTCGCATCGAAGGCGGCAAAAGTTCTCTGGGACCCCGGCCCGTCGAGCAGACCCGGCAATCATCAGCACCGAGAGGAATACGTCGGACGAGGAAGAGACGGCCTTCTGTAGATAACCATACCCAATCTTGTTGAAGGTATCCCCAAAAGACTTTTGCAGAGTGTTCTTGCGTTTTGCAAAGAGACGCGTTGAAGTCTTAAGCAGACAGATGAGATCAATTGTCAGGACAATCGATGCGTCCTCTCGTCCAGATGAGCGACTGGTCGGAACGGTCTTCACTTTGGCACAGAGAAAACATATGCGAGTGTGCGAGTTTTGGATACACCAGGGCTGAAGGAGAAAGGTATCATATTTTGGATAAAACGAGTCACATGGTAACGTAACAAGGTAAGGACGAACCACATCTCATGAATAATGGGAGGTCAGGGCAATCGCACCAGTCGCAGGAAACACATATGCGAACAAACATTGCAAACGTTGACTCAAGTACAAGTATGCCATAGTCGAGTTGGCCAAAAATACAACGCTCGATAAAAAAAAAACAGAACAAAATGCGAATCGTAGACATCTGACATGGACGGTAGAGAAGAAAGACAGGACTCAAATTGGTGTGCCATCACAGCACATCAGAGAGACGTATTATCGGATGAGAACCCGACGACCAGAGAGACGAGAGAGTATGTGTGCGAGAGAGAGAGACACGAGAGGGTGTGTGTGCGAGGGAGAGAGAGAGAGAGAGAGAGAAGGTCAATTCCACAAGATACAACAGAGTCATATAATTATATGGCAATAACTCTAGTTGAGCTCACCATCGCGCATACGCAGAATAAAGTTGACGACGACAGCAGCCAGCAGCGCAATGGCCAGGACAGTGGGACCGAAGCGATCGTCGAAGCCGCTCTGCCCACGACGACGAATACTTCGTGCACGCCAGTGGAATGTGACGACGGCGTAGATCATCGCGGCCATGGCGATGATGGTGAAGAGACCGGCCGAGATGCGACCGATGCGGTCACCAAAGTTGAGCAGACCGACGGCGAGACCGCCGAGAATGACGGTGAAGTTCAGCCATGAGAGAAAGGTACGCTCGTTGGCGAAGAAGACCTTAGGCTCGACGCGGGTGGGGAGAGCAATGCGCTTGCCTGTGTAGAGAGAGAGAGAGGTGTTAGAGATGTTTGTCAATTGAGACGGGACTTCTTTCCGCAGTCCGCAGGAGATTGCTGCGATGGTCGAGGCAATTGACCATCGCCATGCAGGAACTTTTGACGACTCGGCATGGAGGACCAGGTTGCCAGGTTCAGGTTGGCTTGAAGCAGGAGGAGTTGCATACCTGGAGCGGTCTGGAGCAAAGGTTGGCTTGACATGGTGAAGATAAAGGATGGGAGAGGTTTTCAATCGGAATGTCAATCGCTGCCACGAAGATATTGGAGTACACAGTAGGATTTCAACCGCGCGGATGGAAGATGCGAAGATGGCGGTACTTTCTGGCCAACGGATTGAAGGTTTTGAGAAGAGGAGCAGAAGCAAGTGCAAAGGATGAGATTCGGCGGGAGGAAAGACAGAAGACAAAAGAGAGCGTGATCAGATTAGCGCGTCAGCAAATTGTTCGCAGCCACAGACGAAGAGAATTGCAGAGTTGAGGCCAGAACCGAGGGTGGAAGCGAAGAGGTGAATGATTCCCGTTTGGCGTCTGAAGCGGAGTCCGTAGCTCTCCAAATGACGAAGGGCTGGGTTTGGTTTTGGGAGGGGGTTTTTTTTTTTTTGGTTTTTCGGGTTTGGACGCCAGTCGAGACTCGACAAGCTCCCTCAATCTGCACGTTTGGCGCGAAAGGGTCGACTCGGCGGAGCTCCCAGGCCAAACTAGTCCGCATCCGGACTAGAGCCGTACAGGACCGCCGTTCACATGCATCGCCGCCTGCACGTGCTCAGTCCGTTTGCTACGAGGCGCTCGAAGTCACCTGACCTGCCAGGACACTCTGGACTCGGTCGAGTTGCGAGTGGACTATGACTGAACGTTAACCGTTGCAGAGTCAAGCGTACATGAACAAGGCGGGATGTGACTCTCACAAATTGAGTTTGATACTAAGGATATTGGATATCAGAATGATCTCGATGGCCGGTACTCAGGTTGTATAGTGATATCGGTTATTGAACCCCCCCCTCTACCTAGTACCTAGTACTACTAGCTACTAGCTAGGGATCGACGATTGTCCAAGCGAAGGTTGTCGCCCGTCACCCACTACTCTATTCATCCTTTTTATTTGTTCTCCTTCCTTCCTCTCGGTTACATAAATCCACGATCAACACTCACGGTCGTGGCACAATCATGTCACTACGAAGATGGGACTTTTACAGAAAAATCGACGGACGACCCACCGTGTCGAGCTTTAGGAGGTAAACAAGTCGAAACTAGCTTGCTCTCTATCCACTCATGAGACTCCGATTAGCGGTTAATGCCGCATCAAGTTGGCACAGCCGCGCCACCGGGATTTGTCCGGTAGATGACTGGTGGCAGACTAACAGGAGAAGGTGACACTACTAAGTCACTACTACTGTACTACTGTAGTTCATTCGTACTACGTGTGTAGGTATGTATGTACTAAGTAGGCCTCATCAGTCGCCCCTCGATAGTACTAATCAACCCATGCAGCCCACGCTCAATCCAACAATATCCTCATCCCAAACCTTATCTCCCCACTGCATGCCATCTGTTCCTCGTAAGCCCAAGCCCAAGCCCATCCTTGTGGACTGACCATGCATGGACCCCTTCATAGGGCTGAACAACATCCTATCGGACACTTTCCACTATTCACCCTGACAGCCTGACAGCCTGACAGCCTGACAGCCTGACAGCCATGGCCATACTTACATTCAAACTTCCACACTGTCGTCGACTGTACTCATCCTCGGCAATCTGTCAGTGTCGACTCTCCGTCCTCATCCAGCCGCCGTCTGCCGCCCCCACCTGCGGAGACTACAGAGTCGTGGAGTATCTCAAAGTGGAGGTACCGAAGCGGGCACCGGTGCTTAGTGAACTGCTGCCGGTTGAGTAACAACGTATAGTAAAAATTTCATCTCTCTCTTTTCTCTTCTCCTCTCTGATGTCGAACCGGAAGATAAAGACAAGAGTCCGGCTAGGCAGTCACCGACAGGTCGAGATTGTGTGAATCTTCACTATGCAGTGCAGGTACAGAGTGTAGGTAGTAAGGTACTAGGTTAGTAGGTACATGGTGCAGAGTGCAGACTGCAGACCACCGAGTCGTCGCGTAAAGTCTTCATAATTCTTACTCAGTACTCTCTCCAAAACTACACAAACGAGATACTATATATGTGCAAATATCGCCACCATGCCTACAAGTGAAGGTTCACGACCATTCGGCACATAACATGAATGCTATTGTTTGAGATGTCGCTTCCCAGCAGATCGGTTCTCAACTGCGGCTGCATGCCAATCACAACATGACTCGCTCAAATTATTCCCTCGATGTGGGCTTAGCTTAGTGGGTCCACAAGACCCAGTCGTCCACTGCCTTGGGAAGGCACCTGAGTCTTACAAGTTACGACTGAACCTCGATTAGTACCCGACACCACTGCAGCGGTAGAACAATTTATCTTCGGTGTATGTTGATCGCTTACTCGTTCATCCGACAACACTTCAAGTTGATGCTGCTTTGGTGGGTTTAACTTGTGCTCAGAATTCAAGAGAGTCACGTTTGCGCGTTCACTGTGCGACGCTACACCGGTGAGCTGGACTTGCTGTCACTTGTCAACACAGTACAAACTACACAGTACACACTACAGGGAAGATATACAGACTCATGACTCAACCACAATCTGTCGAGTGTCGACAAGTATGAAACGATACTAGAGCAGGTTTGACTTGACATCTTGTAATATACGATGACACGAATCAGTGTACCACATATCGACTCCTCGCAATATTAACTCCGGTATAAAAGTAGCAAGCCACAGAGTTGACGATCCAAACCATCCAATTACACGACCGTCTGCTTGGCAGCCACCCGATCCCAATCTGCTTTGATCAAGTCCGCCGCTTTCTCTGCAACCGCGTACACGCTACTCACAATGTTCCCGCTCACATTGTTCGGGAAGACCGAGGCGTCGGCAACCCGAAGTCCCTCGACGCCTTTGACACGAAGATGAGAATCTAGGGCGTCGCCCAGTGCCACAGAACCACAGACGTGGTACTCGCTCAATACATTATCATGCACGGCCTCTTTTGCCGCGGACAGGTCAGTGAGGTCAACGTTTGGGGCTGGGATTGAGCGACCTGCAATGGAGGACTTGAGGTATGACGACTGTCGCACTTTATCGGCCCAGCGGAGACCGGCTCCCAGGACGGTGATGTCTGCGTCGTGACCGCCATAGTTGGGCTGAATAATAGGGGGCTTGATGGGGTCTACAAGAAGGATTTATTAGCTCAGGAACCCGGGGAGGATTGGGGCTGAAGAAGGATATGCATCCGCCCAATTTTGGGACCTACCTGGACTGTTGATGTGGACATAGCCCCGAGCTACAGGATACTGCAAACAAATTGCAAAGGTCACGCCGGCAGGGTTTTCAGGCGAGGCAGGAGGAAAGATGATCTTCTGGTGCTCGATTCCCTTGGGATTGGCAGTTGCTGGCACCAGGACCATCTGAATATTGGCAGACGTGTCACTCTGAAGATGAGAGATGATTTGCTTGAGCTGTCGCTTGTGAAAATCACTCGTAGGCTTGACATCGCGGATACTTTGAATCGCCGCCTCAAGCTCAGCCTCGGACATGACCGACTTTGCCGGGAAAAAGCCCTGCATGGTTGACGTGCAGCTGAGTGGCCCGCCAGAAGTTTCGGCGTACTGCTTCAGCGCGTGCTGCATGGCGTCTGGGACCTGGTGAAGTGTGTCGAGTGTGATCGTGCCAGCGTGTGTGGTAAAGACAGTGAAAGTCATGGAATGATCCTGGAGATTGGCACCAACGGCTGGGTTTGCAACTTTGCATTCGACACCTGCTTTTGCCAGGACTTCAGGATCACCGATGCCAGAAAGTTCGAGGATCTGGGGGGATTTGAGAGCACCGCCGCAGACGATCACCTCGCGCTTCACGCCGACCTCATAGTCTTGTCCTTGGTGGGAGATGCTCACGCCGGTAGCCTTATTGCCGGTGAGAAGAATCTTGTTGACCAAGGTCGAACAGAGCACCTTGAGATTGGGCCTTTCTTTGTTAGCCTCGTAGTATCCACGACCTGCATAGCTTCGCTTTCCCTTGTTGGGACCCGTGCGGACGATCGAGCCGAGTGTGTGGTAGAATCCAATGTGATCCCCACTCCAGGGATCAGTGGGCTTCTTGGTGATGCCGACTGACTCGTCACATGCTTTGATGATCTCGTTCTCAATGGGAAGGACCGTGTCGTTGAAGCTCGTTCGGACTGGTCCAGTTGTGCCGTGGAATTCTCCAACGAGTGGCATCGTGGACCGGTCGGTGATTGCTTCGTCGTAGGGCTCAAGGGTCTGAGTGAGATAGTTGAGCACCAGCTTAGCGATGCAATCGAATATCCGACTCGAAGGAGTCTCACCTGATGCTTGCGCATGTATCCCTGCATGACTTCGGCACGCCAGCCATCGTCATCTGCCAACTCCGCCCAGTCATCGTAGTCTTGCGTCGACCCTCGAACGTACATCATATAGTTGATGCCACTGGAGCCGCCAACCATCTTACCCCGAGGAATGTGATGAATCCGTCCTCGATTGTGCTCCTAACATAGCAGGTTGTTCAGTGCTGTCTGACACATTTGCCCCTCGGATCTCCTGCACATCAAGGTCATCACCAAGTCTTACCTGTGGCGCACTATACAAACACCAGTCATACTCTGGATCTTCAAACATTTGGAAGAACGCAGCCGGTGTGTCCACCAAGGGATCTCCGATGCGATACTTTCCAGCCTCCACCACGCCCACAGTCACATTTGGGTTCTCACTCAGTCGAGCGGCGATGGTGCAGCCAGCCGTACCACCCCCACAGATGATATAGTCAAAGGAGGTGTTCCTGAACTCTTCCAGAGAGCAGGTAGGCGACCCGGCGCCGGTTTCAGACCCGTGTGATCCCATATTGCAGAGGAGTGATGAAAGTCAAGTATGACAGAACAGGTAAAGCAACTGTCGGAAAAGAAAAACAGCGATAACTTCACAGCCGACCATGACCTTTTGTATTGCCCTTCCCCTCGGCAAGGCAGGCACGATTGTGCAACAGAAGTCCGCCCATCTTGGCCCGCCACAGCACCAACGTTGTCGAGGGCAATTTCCCAAACCCCCTCTTCATGATGCATAGAAAAAAGTCAAAATCACGCATCCTATCAGAAAGTGCTGCGGGGGCAGTGCTTGGCTTGAACATACTTTGATAGCTCGCGATTCCGCTCATACGAGTCCTGAGGATTGGTGAATTCATTATGTTCCAACGGTTGAATCTGCGGGGAAGTCCGAAAAATGTGGTCGACTCGTTGATCGCCTCCCCCGCATGCGCGGCCGGTAATTGGCACGTTCAGTCCAGACGACTACGGACTGAGACCACTTTTACTAGACCGAAAGTATATACAATAACAATACTATATTCAGATTAGACGAGGGGAGGCCCCTAGTCTAATTTTCAGCTGAGCCACTGGTCTTTCGAGGCCTGAGTGATCAGCGCAAGGTGCTCCACCATTCAGAGCGAGCATACCCTCAGCAAGAGCAAGCTAGAGAAACCTTATAGTAGTCAGCAGGACGGAATCAGCGCGGAAAATGCTTCCGCGGACACTTCATCGCTAAAGATGTTTTCAGCTGGGCGTTGTTGGTACTTGGTAGACCGTCGGCTGCATACCTCTGTCTCGCGTGGCAGACGCTATTTGCGCCAGAACTGTCAGTCAGGCGTCCTGTTAGCTTCGTGGCCTGCATTTGAGCTCCACCATCGCGCATACTTTCCGTGGGCCCCTGATGCATCCCGAAGGACTGACGGCATATGTCAACTTGCCGGTGATGCGCCGAGCCTCGTTAGCAGAAGTAGAACAATGGAATCATGGAAACCTAACAAGGTCGAGAAATCTATTTTCTGTGCTTTGATTTGAAGATGGGAACACGTCAAGGATATGATGAATTGATCAAAATAGGAAGGGACCTTGTTCCTCTACGCTCTTGATGCGCTGTCAAAGCAGAAGCGCAGTCTGGGTCGACGAGGCCGGATGCCTGTCCCTCCAGTCCTGACCGCCTCGTCATATCCCCAGACGCAGTACAATGGATCTGACTTACTTATTAGTTGTGGACAGACTGCTCGCCTGGAGTCTGGAATCTGGACGGTTATTTGGGTCCGGCGGGCTTTATCCCGAACTTCAACCGTAACGGAAGCCACCTCTCCATTGAAAGTAATCAAATTCAGGGATGAGTTGCGAGATTTGAACAATGTTCAATAATTCGAATACAGTTGTAGCAACTATGCGTCTGTTCCGAGTTTCAATTCAAGACAACAGCCTTGTCCAGGTGAACTCGTCTATGACCTTACGCAGTTAGAAGCTCACATGATTTGGAATGACTCGTTCATCATTTCCTCCTCTGTTCCAACAAGCACACAGGATGAACTTTTGTTGAATCATATTTTGGTGCTGGAAGATGTGACACTACTGCAATAAGCCCTTGGCTCAGGAATCCCTACCAATAGTGGTGAAGGCAATGTCGAAGGGGCTACGAGTTTTATAGAAGCCTTGGGTCTCAACCCGCGAGGTTCCAATGACCATCTCACCAAGGGAAGTTCTGTGTTTCATTTCGTACTGGGCCATCAATTTCTCAGGCAACAGGACATTGCATTCGAACAAAGACAGTCAGTACTAACTAGTAGTTAGTAACTAGTAGTCCCGTAGACTGTAGACTGTAGAGTGCAGACACGCGACAGTCCAGCTTCCTCTCGTCATCCCGATTTCCGGGCCCAGACTCGGCCCGAAAAGCAGAGTCAACGCTGATTAGCCAATGGAGGTGAGAGCATCGGCCCGAATTCACCGAATCCACCAAATTGAGAAGCAAGGTAAATTCTTTTTTTTTTCTTAAAAAAATCAAGAAAAAAAGAAAAGCTTAAGCTTGTTTACCACATGGGCCAGCATTTTCGATCTGCATAGACATTATCCAACACTTGATGGCATGCGTTCTTCACGCATCAGGTTCATACAGACTCTGCCGACTTCAGTCAGGACCCTGTTCAGTCCATAGAGTGTCCTCAAAGCCTTGGTTACCAAATGCCAAGCTGCAACCCACACAAGTAGCTATAAGTCAAAGGAGCGAGTCAAAGTCCTTTCTCCAGACTCTCGTGGACTTGGCATCTCGTAACAACTCCAACTCTGTGAATCAGCCTGGAATCACGCAATCGCCCCCACTCGCTGCAATAGTAGGATAATGGAATATCTTCGAAGAAAATCTTGGAAAGCTCTGACCATCGCTGCTTGGTTCCTTCATATGATTGTCTTCCTGCTTTGTTGACCTGCATCTTTTTTCGCATCTCCTGCTTATTTATTTTTGCTCTCAAAGTGAAAAGTGAGACCTGCATATACATTTTACCGCAGCGATGGGTGCCACTAGTCCCCAGCCCGAGACGGAGGGTGAGCAAGACGCTCCATCAGTGGTGGAATCGATCCAGCCCAAGACCGGTCAGTCGATCTTTCGGTCAATCCCATTTCAGATCGCCATCGCCAGCGGTGTGTCCTTTACGGCGCCGGGTATGTGGGATGCCCTGAACAATCTGGGTGCAGGTGGTGCAGCTGAGCCATATGCTGTCTCGGCCGCGAATGCTCTCGTCTACGGTCTCTTTGCGATTGTGTGTGTGGCAGCGGGTGCTATCAACAACCGCATTGGTCTGCGATATGGCTTGACGCTCGGTGCTATCGGTTATCCCATCTATGGTGCTGGTCTTTACACCAACAATTACTCGGCCAACACGTGGTTTATGCTGTTTGGTAGTGCCTTGTGTGGTATTTCGGCGGGTTTCTTCTGGGCAGCCGAGGCGGCCATTATCATCGGATATCCTAGCCCTCACGAGCGCGCTTTCTACCTTGGTGAGTTCGATCGTCCATCCGAAACAAAGCGTGATGGATCGCCATGTCTAACACTGTGTCCTTCGTAGCTATATGGCAAACTGCCAAAGCGGCTGGTCCTATCGTCGGAGGTGCAATCAACTTGGGCATCAATGCACACGCCTCAGGCAAAGGATCTATCAGCTCCAGCACATACATTGTCTTCATCGTCATCATGTGCCTTGGATTCCCCATCGCGCTGCTCCTGAGCCCAGCAGAGAAGGTCCAACGCAAGGATCGCACCCTGGTCATTGTTCACAAGCAGCCCACCTGGGCCGCCGAGTTCAAGGCGGCCGTCTCTCTGCTAGCCACTCGTCGCATTCTCCTTCTCCTCCCTTCCTTCTTCATCAGCTACTTCTACAACGGTTTCTTGAGCACCTGGCTCACGACCTATTTCTCCGTCCGCGCCCGTGCCTTCTCTTCCTTCTTCACCAACTTTGCCGGCATCGCCTCCTCCTTCATCATCGCGGGCCTCCTCGACCGTCAGGGAATCCACATCAAGACCCGCGCCAGGATCGCCTTCATCTCCATCATCGCCATCCTCACCGGCACCTGGATCTGGGCCTCCATCCTTCAGAACCAATTCTACAACGCCCCCGAGTCCCCCGTCTTTGACTGGTTCTCCGGCGGTTTCGGCAAATCCTACGCTCTCGTCTTCTTCTGGACCTTTGGCGGCCAGGCCTTCCAACAATTCTTGTACTGGCTCATCGGTCAATACACCACCGACCTCTCCTCACTATCCTATCACTGCGGTATCCTTCGAGGATTCGAAGCTCTAGGCCAGACCGTTGCCTGGGCTATGCAGTCGGAAGGTGGTGCGAACCATTTCGTCAGCATTGGTCTCAACTTTGGCATTACTCTACTTGCTGTCGTTCCTACATGGATCGTCTTGTCTGAACTTGAGCACAGTCACGAGGTACAAGTGACGGCTGAGACTTTGGCCGGCAAAACTGCCGATGAAGACCACGCGGAGACGGAGACAACTGTTTAAACTCAACAAATGAACAGTTCAAACCAAAAAGAAAAGAAAATGAGGACCTGCAAGTGCAGCCCTCTTGCATGATTGCGTCTACATTCTATTCTCCTTGGATGGATGATGCATGGCAACGCGCTTATATGATTTCAACATGACTTATGATACCCATTCAACATATTACTAGCGATCTTTTTTTTGCGGGAATAATGGCCGGCAGTGCAAACGAATGCACGTCCGTGTTATGTTCATTACTACGATTTTAGCCCGACAAGAATTCTCAGTCTTGTTCGAATTTAATTCCAACTCTTGGAGAGTCATCACAAAATCCATGATAATCACATCAACTTCCATCTTCCGAGCTCTTGCACTCCATACTAGTAAGCCCATGCAAGACAGAGCTAGCAATTGCGCCATCAGCTCATCCTCAGCTAGTACTTGTGGGTTTCCGCTCTTAAATATATGACGTAGCACAATTATGTCTGGTATAGAGTCGAGGCGTATTCGAGTCCATTCACTTCTTGCTCAACCCGCGCAAACCCCTACATGAAGTTCATCCTACCCTAAACCTTGACCCCAACACTGCCCAATCTCACCCCGCTCGTGCCTCCACACCTCCATGTCTCAAAGAACCAGACAGCACCAGGTAAACAGCTGACACCTACCCAGCTCATCCTTCTTCACCGGACGGTCTTAGACAGGATTCCCATGACAAATCTTCACATGCAAATCCTTCGACACTACAACCAGAGACACGCACGATTAGCAATGAGATAGCGCAGGCATCAATAGCAGAGAATCTAAACCCCGACATCGAACTCATCGCATGCGAGGGTTTTCCCACGCAGGATAACTCACTCTTAACATCCGCTGCATCACAATGAGCCGACAGGCACGTGTTCAGCGCCAAAACGAACGGGTCGCTCGGACAAGTACATTCGATATTAAGATATGTACCGCAGCCGACTTGTTCGGCGGCTTCTTGGTTGCATTTGAGCTGCGGGAGGCACGCAAGAGGGAGGTTTGGTTAGTCATTGACAGTGACAGGCAGGGTGAAGGTAGGAGTCATTGTGAATATGACAGGACGGGAATCGACTCGATTCGGTGGAGAGACTTTTTCTCAATAGGTAGGAGGAGCTTACCAGGCAGGGGGTCATGTTTTCGGGGTTATCGGGGGTTCCGGCGATGGCAGCGGAGAGGAGCATCGCGATGGGGGCGAGAATTGAGGACTTCATTTTGGGACTTGATGGCACTGAGAAGAGTGTGGATGTTTTACGCGGTCGTTGTGTCACTTGAATGGTGATTTCCAAGAGTGACAAGGGCAAGATCTGGTGTCTTTAAATAGAGCTCGACGGAGGATCGTCTGTCTCGTATCTGAACACTATCAAGAGCGCAGCTGGCCGTCCGTGGGAAGATGTCTCCAACATACAATTCATGATGAGGAGGGGACCCGCATCTAGATCCATGCAGGTAGAGTAATCACCCATCAGGGCGCTCCTTGAATCGAATGTGATGCATACCTTATGTCAACGTTCCAGACGATTTCCGTTGCTACGGTCCACCGTCCCCCGACAAGTACGATGCGAGGCCGACAAGTCCGTCCAGTGAACGACGCATGCTAATAGGAGGGCAATGTCCATGAGGACCCAGCTCCTCGATTGTGTGATTCTCGATATAGAAGTTTGTGCAACTTTATCATTACCCGGAGATGTCAATCCTGCCTGCCGGAACGCCCAAGCTCTGTCGTTCGATCTGTGCAACAGCGCGCCGATTTTACCAGTCTTAGTCATGCTGCAGTACGCGACCCAGAGTATGATCTGTGCAGTAATGAAAATCACTCAATTTGTGCACGGCAAAAGACATGATGTTTTGAAAAAGTCTGGGGCAGTATCTACTTGTGCAACAGAGATCGTTGAAGATCCCTCTGCGAAGAGTAGTCTTGATGACCCACCCTGGAGATTCACAAGTGACACCAATCGAACTGAAACATGAATTAATACTGGCATGATGCCCGTGGGCTCACAAGGTTTGATCCGCCTGTTGATGACAGCCGATTCCCAAGATGTGTTCGTGTCTATTATTCACCCACTTCGGCCTCTACCAACTCGGAACGCTCAAGGGTGGCACCCTCCAAAGGCCCCGGATGTACTTGAAGTTGTCGGCGGAACGATGATATCCAGGCGGGATTATCTGCAATCGACTGATTCCAGGAATCTTCCGAGTCATAGAGTAGCCTTCTGGATTCTTGCTGGAACATTTCATCCGTGGGAATGATTCCCAGGCTCATTTTCTGACGAGCGTAGCGGCTCAGATGCTGGGTGAGAATGCCTGTGAAAGTTCCAAGGGGAACCATCGTCTCTTCCACAGCAGGCAGGGTCGAGTCATTCTCCCGTGGCACCGCCGGCTCAATCATTTGTGTTGGGGTACTTTGAGCAGCCATTGAGTTCACTCTGGCAGAAAGCAAATTCAAATGGTCCTGCGCGGTCTTGTCTGATGCCCTGAATGGTACCAGTGTACCGGCTTCCCAGCTCAGAATGTACGGTGGGAGAGAATTGATTACTTGGGCGGCGATCTCCGGGGCAAAGTCATGTTCACCCTGCCAGTCCTTCATGGTCATTCCTTGACGGAAGTGGGTCGCCAGGTGATCCGCCCTTTCGTCCCAAGTCTCCAGTCTTTGATCGCAAAAGCCACAACGCGAGGTGATGGGTGGGCCGGGAATTTCCCAGTCATCTAGCGGTGGTAGAGCGTCTAGGGCGTGCACAAGTCGAAGATGTTGAACTAGATGATCCTTTCGGCGAAACAAGTGAGTCGATTCGGAGCATTGGAAGTGATTATGCGTCTCCAAATGCTGCAGCGTAGGATTCTCCGCTCCACAGTAGACACACTGGGGTCGCCCATCGAATTTCGACGACACGATACCGCCGTTGGGTGTGCATGCCCAGCCGCCCAGGTTGAGATGGAGGGACTTCTCGTGCCTGGACCAATCGTATTTGTTCTTGAATGTATCACAACAAAACGTGCAGCAAAAGACTCTCTCGGTGTCCAGACCACTCGGTTTCTTGGACTTTCTCTTGCCCTTTTGAACTTTAGAGCCCGCTGGCTGTGATTGAGAATTCCACGACGACGCCACTGGGGATCGCCCCGACATCGAGGACTGCCATGATGAGACGCTGTTGGCGCTTATGGAGCTATTGATTGACGCTGGTCGACGGTGGTGTCGGAATGAAGCTGGCACAGTCATCGAGATCGCTCGGTCGGAGGACGAATCTCGTGAGTCATCAATAGCTCGCATAATTGCAGATAAAGAGGCCGGTTCGTCCTCGGGAGGAGACTCTTGCCATCTTTGCATTGGGTCCCGCGAGTGGGGGCTTAAAGGAGTCGAATATCCACTGCCGTACTGTCTGTTCTTCGTGAAGGAATATTGACTTCTTTTTCTTGGGAGGCCAACGGGCCGGTTCATAGGTTTTGCCATCGATGTTGGTTGAGTATTGGAATCCGCTGGGACTGAGGATTCCAACGATAGTCCACTGCCCAAGAAAGGCGAGCCCCAGGGTTGGTTCTGCTCGGCCATACGATGATAATCAGGAGGAGGCAATGGTGGTGTTGTGGGGTACGAAAGCCCAGCAATCCCGGCTTGAACGTTCAAGTATTCAGGCAAGAGACCCCTGGTGACATTGGGATCGTAGTCACCCAAGCCCGAGTTCGCCATATTCCAAGCGTCAAGGTTACTGGGATAATGCACCCAATCTGACATGGAACCCAATGCGTCATTGTTCTCTTGTGAGTAACTGGTCGAGTCATAATTGTTCTCGTGCAGATTGTAGGCCTCCTCTTCAACAGCCGAGCCTTGCACTTGATCATAATCGTAGAGAAATGCAATTTCACTGTCCCCAACGTTGTTGACTTGATAAATCCCTTAGTTTCCTCCTTTTGGTAGTAGAAGACTTCGTTTCGGCAGTCTCCGATGCGACGTAACTGACTCACCTGATGCCGAATGGAAGTCAAGCCCTCCGCCAGGATGCTCTGAGGAGTTGACATCCGCCGTACGGAGATGACACGAATCTTGTTGGTCTAGCATGGTGCCTTTTTCATCAGCTTCTGCCCACTTATGTAAAGCATCAGTCGGGATGGTTTACAGTTGTCCAGGAGGGGGATCCGAGTGTTGTCGAAGGGCGTGACTCCCCCGAAGTCGGCTCCGCAGACCCGCCCATCGATTCGGCCAGACTTCCGGGTTGTGGAGGGCTGCTTGTGGAGGTAGTTCGACCTTCCCACGCAGCCACCCATAGGGGCAACTGTATCCGATTCCGTCTATTCTTTTTGAAGAAAGCTTGAAAGTATCTTGAGGGTGTTTAAAGTGCTTTCACTCTGCCCTCAAGAGGCCTGGCAAGGTAGTGCCCAATTTGGCCTCGCAAGGATGTGACGAATCACGAACTGTCACGTGGTGATTGCCGTGCAGATACCACGTTGTCGAATTCAATGGGGGAATCTTCTATATTGCTGCAGCATAGACCACTACAAAGTACAACCAGATCTGTGCGATATTGATGCAAAGAGCAACCTGAAGAATAAGCTGGACGGTGACTTTTCGCTTATCAGATCGACACCTCGGATCTCAGGCCGCAGCTGCCGATAAAGCAAGCTGGATTACATCAGCATATCTGCGGGTTGCGATTGATTATTGATGACAACATCACACCCCACACCACCTCTTGAGCAGAGTAACACCTGAGGCATCAAATTCAGTTCACACCAGCAATCTCAGAACAATACAAAATCAAGCATCCCCGCGGCCTCTTGTCCGAACTATCTATTTTGGAAACATCCAAGACCAACCCTGTTGAGCCAACCAGTCAAGTCATGTCTGAAGCTGTACATAAACTCGACGTGTCGCTCCCAGACTCGTCAGCCCCAGCCGACTCCAAGATTGACCACGCGGCATCCATCCGATACTGGAGCAGCCTTCCAAGTACCTCAAGCAACATGCTTGGCATGCTAGGTCAATATCCCTGGTATTCTCGCATCGAGCTACAAGGATCCAAAAATTTCCTGAGCAAAGTCCGTCGGCTCCTGCCTGCAGTTCCAGCGGGTGGCCAATTCCACCAGGGCGTGGACTGTGGTGCTGGCGTCGGACGTGTGACGGAGGGTTTTCTCCGTCATGTCTGCACCGTGGTTGATGCGGTCGAGCCCGTGGCCAAGTTCACTCAGGTGCTTCAAGAATCCCAACTCAAGAAAGACGGTGTGGTGGGTGACATTTACACCGTTGGACTTGAGGATTGGTATCCCGGGAAACAATACGATCTGATTTGGACCCAGTGGTGTGTGGGTCATCTCACGGATGCGCAGTTAATTCAGTATGTCTCGCGATGTCGGGATGCGCTGACGGAGACGGGGATTATGGTGGTAAAGGAGAATCTTTCTACCGCGCCCAATGGTCTGGATATGTATGATGAGGAGGATTCTAGCGTCACCAGAACGGACGCCAAATTCAAGCTTGTTTTCGAACAGGCTGGGATGAATGTGATCAAGTCGGAGATTCAGACCGGGTTTCCCAAGAACTTCAAGCTTCTGCCTGTCAAGTCATATGCCTTGCGACCAAAGGTCTGAGAAAAGCTCCGTAACTGCTTGATCGCAGTGAGCTCTTCTCTCCGTGTGCCCTTTGTGGAGCGAACACCATCATGCGACGAGTGGCTTTTCATGTCCTGCCATACCCTGTCATGCCCTACAAGTATGAATCGGCCAATGGGCAAGCGAACGGGGTTAGGGCATCAAGATTTTCCCTTGATACCACGACGTCTCACGACGTCTGAGTAGGTCAGATCAAAGCTGAGCAACGGGCATCACGTCCTGTGAATACGACAATTTGGTCTCGCTTTTCTGGCCTCCCTTCTCTTTCCCCGCCAAGCCTATGCCCGGACAAGCAATATTCTCTGAATGGCCCCCTGAATGTCTGGCTTCGAGAATGCCGTGCATCGGTCCGACTTCAAAGCCGGTTGTGTTGGGCTCAAGAATTGACAATCACTGGGGTCAATTGAGAGGTGAAAACTCGCTTCTGGAAGGAGGGAGACCCGGTTTAGATCCTGTGGAATCATCATGCCATGGAAAAGATGGGATACTTTGCGAATATGAGTGAGCCAGACAAAGTCATGGCGCGTCGTGTTGTCAAACTCCGACATGGATACGGGACTTACGCAGCCAGCAAAACTTTTCACAATATCAATCGATGTTCAAGAACCCTCTATGTGTTCCACTTCTGTCTGCTATCTTCCAAGGGTGTTACTCGGCACGTGCCTGTGAATTGGTGTAAGCTCTACGAATACTTCTTCTACTCGTAAAGGAGATGAAGAAAAATCAGCTCTGTCTGGTTGAATTGGACCAAGAATAACCGTACAGATGAACAACACAGTTGTTCTGATTAAAAATACGCTGACACGCCAAACATGAAAGCAGCAGCACAAACAAACGCTCAATGCAAATCGCACTTTTTGAACACCTTTACCAACACTCCCAATCCTTCTCGTCAAAGTAGCAAGCGTTATACGCGAGCAACTCCTTGACTTCCAACAAGCGCACTCTTTCAATCTCGACCCGATGCAGCTTCTCAATCTGCTTCAGGTGCATCCTCTCGAGCCGCTTCTCCCTCCACTCCGCAATGCCCGTCTTGACTTTCCGAACAAGACGCTCAGACAGCTTCGCGAGAGCCGACTTTTTCTGCGGCTCAAAGAAGGCATCTGCCATCTTGACAAGATACTCTGGGTCTCTGCTATGCAGACTATCCCCCAGAATATCAATCATCTCGGCTCTCCTCTCGGTCGTCACCCACCACTCGCCGGTCTTCGCACAGCAGTGACAAGCACTGGTGCAGTGGCCCAGCCCGTGGCCCTTTGACCGATCCAGAGACCGATTCTCACAACACCCGCACCGACGAGCACAGCATCCACCGCGCGCAATACACTCGCGCACAAGCTCCTTGCGAAGCCACCAAGACGGGTCCTCGCGCAGCGTCTCATACGCCCCTTTCACATTCCCCTCGGGCAGCATGTTCTCCGTGACGAGCATGCCTTGCTCGAGGTCCGCAAATTCCTCTCTGGTCTCCGCGAGGAGGTCGTCGCAGCTCTTGAGCAGAGCAGGGTCCAGGTCTCGTCGCTGGAGACACTTCTTGCGCTTCTTGACGAGCGCGGCCTCTATCTGCGAAAGATAGCGGAGGGCGTAGTCGAACCAGATGATCTGGCCGAGTACGAAGGCGGAGCAGGGGGTCGAGTCGGGACCGTAGAGGAGCTTTCGGTCCACGAGATGTGTTTGGCTGTAGCCCTTCACGGGCGTGAAGCCGGAGGTTTGCTTGTCCGACCACATGGTGAAGTGGATATGGTGGAAAGTGAGAAGGCCGGAAAAGGCGAGAGAGATGAGGATGGAAGTGTGGTGATGGGAGGATTAGAGATGGGCTCTTGATAGGAACGTGAGTGTTGCTATCGATGGGAGAAAGAGCCGCGAAGGACCAGAAATGAGAGGCGGGGGAGCGGGGATCTTATAGACAAGATTGAGGACATGCTTAACGAGCGCAGAGAGCCCAAAAAGGAATAGTAGATGAGATCGGTTTGACTATGATGATGCAGTATGTGAATGAGAACCCTTCCCAGATAGGTTAAGTAGGTGATCTTCTCAGAGGGATGGCGGATGGGTTCCACGGTTCTCTGATGTGCCATTGCCTGCGGCCGATAGAGTGGTTACCGAAATAGGAAATAGTGAAGCATCACATGTGAACACTCACCAGAGTTGCAGCCCTCCGACAAATATCAGCCTATGTTAACGAATTAATGAAGTACGATTCGACCCCGTCTCGATAATAACACATATATAGTGCAGTGAAGAGTTAAAATTTCAGAGTAGAGATGAGTTGCAATCTGAATTGAGAGAAAAGATACACTCATATCCTTCGATAATCCGTCACTGCCTTCCCGCTCTTTCCTCACTTTCAGATGAGCCGCAGCTCGAAGTAGAAGTCCAATGATCTCATAGTTACATTCAGGTCGACTGACCTCATTCTTCATCCACACGACATAGCAAACCACTGTGTAAATCATAATTCCACTTGTCACTGCCTACGCCACCGACGACCCACAGACTTTCTTTCGGATCATATTTCTGCTTGATCTCAAGAAGCTTCTCATACTTGTCACCGTAAAAGTCATGCTTCCACGTAGTGCTGTACCCATTAGCAGCGTTCATATACGCACCAGCCGCGGGAGCCCAGTCTCTCCAAGCAGGCTCTTTGTTTTTCTCATACCAATCGCTGGCCGCTTGTAGTGCTGAGCTCGGGTCCTCGGTAGAATTGATCTTTGCGCCCCATGCCATGGTCAGAGAGTAAGCGGTCCGCCAGGACCAGTTCTCACTTGCCCATCGTTCCTTGGGGACTTTGGCTGTTCCTGGTCCAGCTTGAATATCGAAACGGAGCAAGGTTCCTTCCTCTGGATCTTCGGCAACAAACATCCGACGGAGATGATGGTTTAATCTCTCCCGTGGCAGGTCCGAAAGCTCAGCCCTTCCCAGAAGTCTTCCGGTGTAGAACCGAGACGCCCCTGCAAAAGGGCTACTTGCAAGTCTGGGCTTGCTGTACATCCAAAATGTCTCGGAGAAGGGCTCAGTCACGGTCAGACTCAAATTGCCACCACTGGCGTTATGAAGCTGTGTGACCAGTCTTCTGAGCTTGTGACGCATACTGCCCACTGTCGTGTTAAAGGCGACGAATTTGGCGGTCACGGCTGGACCAGAGATATTTCGAGGAATAGGCAGGTATTTCAAGGCCATCCTGCCCGACATTGAATCCACAGTGCCAGTGATGCCCGAGTCTACAAGGTCTGGCAGGCGCGAGACAAACTCTGCAAAGCCGGCCCAGAGTGCGTCTTCCATCATCTCCGAGTCATCACGAGACCAGAATGTGACAGCACTGCTGACCACGTTCTCCGGTAAGGGATGTGTACTCAGCACGTACTCAGTCACGACTCCAAACTGGCCACCCCCAGCACCCCGGACAGCCCAGAAGATATCCTGGTTTTGCTCATCATTGGCGACCAGACGACGTCCCTCGCTGGTGATGATCGTCGCTTGCAGGACCTGATCGGAGGACAAGCCGTGGTGAATAGATAAGATCCCATGGCCTCCGTTGGATATCTGACCTCCGAGACCAACAGTGACATCTTCACTGCCAACCAGGGTTCTCTTTGCCTTATACGCAGCTTCATAAGCAGACGCCCAGATGGTACCCCCACCACAGATCAGCACATCTGCAGTGTCTTTGCTGCCGGGAATTCGCCAATCGGGTCTGTGCTCAATATTTTGGAAGTTATGAGTCCAGATCAGCAGGGAATATGCTCCCGTGGCGCTGTAAGTCATGCTCTGTCAGCCTGGTCCTATCTCACACTGTCATGTTTCATAGCTCCTCAAAGACGGTACAACATACCGGCCATTGAAATCATGCCCCGTCGACTTGATCACAATTCGGATATCTCTCTCGGACGCCCAAGCCATAGCCTTTGCAATCTGATCCTCCTCCGTGGCATTCACAATATACCGAGGCAACGCCCCAATACTACACCCCCGTCTCTCATCGTACCCATTATTCCCCGGGGGCACACACGAATTGTTGGTAAAAATAGAGTAACTGATACTCTCGGGCCAATGAGCATGGTATGCCCCGAACTTCCAATGCTCCATGACTTCGGAGCAATTATGAGGCGAATTGAACGGGTTACCCTTGTAGCATGACGATGCTGCGGGAGCCGTGCGGATCAGACATCCGCCTATTGATCTGTTCAGGGCACTCCAGTCATCGTGTGATGGCCAGGTGATGCTCTGAGGAGAGGATTTGCAATGTGCAATGGTTTTGGTGCTTGTCAAGCTGGTTTGGGGAGTATTGGTCAGGAAGCCAAGGGGGAGAGTGAGCGCACTGAGAATGAGTTGATACATAGTCTGCTCCTGGGAGGATTTTCGAAACTGTCAGGGTTGAAGATCGAACTCTTCAAGATCAGAAGATGTTAGAAAGAGGTGTTGCTGAGAGGGGATCGTCTATAATTGCGAGAGCTGTTAAGAAAGAGTGTTCGCTCGTCATGATGATAGCTTGGGGTCTGGCGGAGTACGAATCCGTCGGACAAGTTCGGGAATGAGGAGTGCCGTCAATCGTCAGACGAAACTCAAGAGGGACTTTACTGAAATGGAATTACATTCAACTATATCAGTCTCTCAGCTGAACCTTCCAGCGAAGGGTGCGTTGCTTCGGGGGATCTTCGCCGAGATGAATGGGAGGGAAAATGATCTACATCTTATATCTCCCAACCGCAGCTCTTATTCAGAATGACCCACGTTTCCTCCATCCAACGCTTTTTCGGTAGCACTTCCACTGTGCAATGGGAGTATCTTACCTTTCTCAATTGTTCTCGTCTCCCCCATCTTCTTACCTTACTTTCTCAGCTTTATATCATCCTATATCTGTTTCCATTCTATAGGCCTGTGGCTTGAGAGGAATGATAATATAGATCGAGCACTTCGCACCCGACTACTTAATCTTCTCTCCGCGTACTTCTTATTTAGCCTCTCCTGATCAAGCAACTTGATTGCCATACCCCATTGTTACCATTATTTTGACTCAAGAATAAGCCCTGTCACGTTCTTTTTCCTTGGAGACGTCCATCTTTATCAATCGCATCCGATCAATACAAGGCTTGTCTCACCGCAACGGCCGGGAAATTACCTCATGCGGATAAGGGCCGGTCAATGAGTCACGAAGATAAGATGATGTATCGCCTGGAATGGAATGTATCACAAGTGCAGGGCGGTAGTCACTCCATTTCTACAAGGAATTGACTTGATTCAAACCTATTCAAATCGAAGTCAATCCAACAGAAAAGTTCACTGACAGCCATGGCTCCGAACGACCACATCCTCATCGTCGGGTAAGGCAACCTCAAGCTTCGACCGATAATGAAACAACCACTAATTTTCCACCCTCTACCTCAGGGCCGGCGTCCTCGGCCTAACAACCGCCATTCAAATCTCTCTGGCCGGCCGCAAAGTCACTCTCCTCGCGCGCGATCTCCCCGGCGACTTCACCATCGACTACGCCTCTCCCTGGGCTGGCGCACACTTCCGGCCCTCCCCTGCACGCACAGGCCCCGAACAACTCGAGCAGCAGCTCATGCGCACCACATACGCGCAATTCGAGGAGCTGGCGACGACTCGTCCCGAGTGCGGCGTGCAGTTCGTGCCTGCGATTGAGTACTTTGACGTTGCGGATAAGGAGACCTTCCTGGCCAAGGAGAACGGGTATATCGATTGGCCTGATTTTGAGGTTTTGGGGGGAGGAGGAGATTCCGTCGGGACAGAGATTGGGGTTGAGAGGTGAGGGAATCACCTTGGGAGTGAGGTATAGGAGTTGGATTCTGAATTCGCCGGTCTATTTGGAGTGGTGTCGAAGGTGGGCGGTGGAGCTGGGGGTTGAGGTGATTCGTGCGGGAGTGGCGTCCTTGGATGAGGCTGTGGAGGTGTTTCGAAAAGAGAGGCAGAGGACGGTGAACACGAAGGAAGGAGAAGATGGTGGTGGTGGTGGTGGTGGTGGTGGTGGTGGTAGGAGTGATGTGAATGTTGATGTTTCTGTTTGCGCGGTGGTGAATGCGACGGGGAGGGGATTCGATGACCCGGATTCCTTCCCTTCAAAGGGACAGTTCATCATCGTTTCGAATCCCTGCGCGCAGACGATCAGTCATCACTGGGCCGATGGTTCTTCAACGGTGATTGTTCCTCGTCCGCTGGGCGGGGAAACGGTCATCGGCGGCACCAAGGAGCCGAATAATTGGTGAGTACTTTACTATCTTTCACGGCCGATTGAACAGTGAGAGTATCTTGCTCATGTGGGATTCGTCCACAGGTCCGAGGAAGTATCCGACGAGGCGACCGAGACCATTCTCAAGCGCGTCGCGAGTCTCTGTCCACAGATGGTCGAGCAGAGCAATTCCTCGACGGCCAAGACACATAGATTCGACATCAAACAGGTGTACGTGGCTCGTCGTCCGATGCGACGCGGTGGTCTGCGTCTGGAAAGGGAGACTCTCCGTGATGGATTGCCGGTTGTCCACTGCTATGGTGCGGGCGCCAGCGGGTTCAAGATCAGTTGGGGAGTGGCTCAGCATGTCGAGGCTTTGCTTGAGCAGGTGTTGGACCAGAGCTCTGCTTCAGGGCACTAACTGCTCGCACAGTCTGTAGATTCATCGTGAGAGGACGTGACGTATTCCCCGTGCTGGTGCAACATCAAGTGGGATTGGACATGGGTTGTTTTCGATGCACGTCCAGAGATAGAATTCGAACGGGCTGAGTGAAATGTGAGATCTATTCATGGGTATTTTCTTCGGTGTCTATGTCTATAATAAATCACATGAAAATCAACGGGTTGCTTTTTTTTTCCTCTTAAGAATCTCGGGAGGGACGTGGGGGAAGAAGCAAATCGAAAAAGAGAAGATGGCCAAAAGGTATCTCCCGAATTCATCCGGAGATTACCCATTCGGAATCCTCCTAATTCTGCTTCTTGGCCTCCGCCTCAGGAAGCTTCCAGTGAAGCACCCCATCCGAGTTCACATCGGACACCACCTTGCAAGTGTTGAAGGTGTCCACCAGTGACTTGAGGAACATCCCCTCGTCGAGGTGATACTGGTTACCGAGGTAAGGGACAATGGCGTTGGTGGCCTCCTCGGCATGGTAGAAGGGGATCTTGGGGAACAAGTGGTGCACAACGTGGTAATCGATGATCTCATGGAAGAAGTGGCGGCCGATGAAGCCAAAGCGGCGGTCCACGGTGGACAGAGCGCCCTTGACGAAGGTCCAGGCATCGGCGTCGTAGTGAGGGACGGTGGGGTGAGTGTGGTGCAGGTAAGTGATGGCAACTGAGTCAAACAGAGAAGCGTTAGCGGTGATGCTCGGGTCAGATGATCTCACTTGGTGTCATGTGGCTCGACTCTGGAGCCCATGGAGTTGAAGTCAGGTGTATGCTTACCAAGCCAGTGGTGAACCCACATGTAGGGCACCACGTAAAGCAGAGCAATCTTCCATGCGCCCATCTGTGTCGCCAGATAGTACAGCGAGCCACCCACAATCAGCAGACCAAGATCGGTGATGGCAATCAAATGAGCCTGGGAGTCGGTGAACAGCGAGCCCAGGGGGTCAAAGTGGCTGTTACGGAGCATCTTGGGGCCGTTGGGCTTCTCGGGCAGACTCTTGGCTCCAGCGCTGACATTGAACATCAGATACGTCTGCCATCCCAGAAGCTGGTGGGACAGCAGAGCGGCAGCATTGTAGAAGGGAGTCTCCTCGAACAGCTCTTGGACTTTGTTGAGCAAGGAAGGCACCTTGGTCTTCAGGTACTCGTCGGTGGGAGGCACAAAGACGGTGTCCTTCTCAATGTGGCAGTGGTAGCGGTGGTGGCGGGCGTGGGTGATCTTCCAGGAGAAGTAGGGCACCATGAGCAGCGAGTGAGTGGCCCAGCCAACAACATCGTTCAGCATGGGGTAAGGGGAGAAGGCACCATGTCCACACTCATGACCCAGGATCCAGATTCCAACGCCCACACAGCCCTGAACAAAGGTATAAGCTGTCCACGCAGCGACACGCATCCATGTGGAGGGCAGAAGCTCAATGTAGGTGGACGCGTAGACCAGAAGAGAGGCATAGACGAGATCACGACCCAGATAGGCGAGGGACTTGGTCGCCGAGCGTTCGAAGCAATGCGCGGGAATCTTGCTTCGGATAAAACCATAGGTGAGGTCTTCGGGCTATGACAAACACCAAGGGAGGTGATCTGTTAGCCTCGAGATTCCCTCATCTTGATCTTGCTGTTCTTGTACTCGGTTGTTGTATGTTCCGAGTCCAACAATTCACATACCTGGGCTTCAGCCTTCAGCCGATAGGTGACGGGTTCAACCGTCTGAACTTTGGACGATGCCATTGCGATGGGGACTTGAATTTGGAAGGGTCCTGTACTGTACAACAACCACAGCACTACACAAGAAGCACTGAAGCAGAGTTGTCAAAGTTCAAAGCTCCCTCTTCGTTGCAGATTCAAATAGTTCAAGAAAAGGAAAAGAGAAAAAAAAAATTCCCGATGGCCTTTCCTCTTTTGCCCCCCTTCCCCCCCCCCCCCTAGTCCCCCCAGAATTTAATATGTAAAGACCACACTCATCAACACACATTCCATGATTGGTTAGCTCCAAAGGAAGAAGTCTGTAACAATGCTCCTCAAGCCCTATGCGCAGCCCTTTAACTTGCCCCTTTCTGTGCTGTGGCGCAGCATGTTTCCTATGGATGAAGCATGCCGACTCGCCGAGTGTCTCCAAGTGGAACATGCACCAATACAAAGAAGAGTGATGGATCGAGTCCCCTTCCACCGCATGTTCCAAGACCATTCGCCTAATGGTCCACTCTGGCCCTCGTTACAGAAAGAGACCAGAGAGAGTCCCAAAAATGGTTGAGATTGCGACGATGGACGGTGGAGACGGGGGACTATCAACTTTCTGGATCTGGAAGGTTTGGTTTGGAAATGGAGATTGGAGCCGTTTTGGAAATCGGTGGTTGGTCGGTTGGAGGTGAGCATAATCGTTAGCGCTGATGCAGCCGGACCCGCTGATTTTCGTTGGATTCGAATTTTTTTTTTGGGAGTTTCTTTTTGGGGAGATACAGTATGGACGTTAGTCCCCTTTTCGTTAGTCCACTTTTCTTTTCCAATCGGTGAACTCGTTGGACATTCACATGCAGCCCTTGGAATTAACTTTCGATCTCGTTTATTTTTTTCTGGAAGACATTGATCCAGTGGTTTACACGGAAGAAACTCCAGGTACGCGTCTGCAGTGACATTGACGGTAATACTCATACTTCTAGTCGCCTACGGTATGACCTTTGTGTTGAATTCAGGGTTCACGTTCTCAGAGCATTCTACATGGTAGGTACTAGGTGAGTAGGTAGGGTATAAGTATACCCCCTCAAAGCCTCAACTAGGAAAGAAGATTGAGTCAAGAGAAAACAGAAGTCCAAAAAGTCCAAGACCCCGATAACGGGGAGAATCGGACAGACAACAAAATCCGTTGAGAAAAGTTTTGAAATAGGAAAGAATCCACCGCGGGTAATGGAGGAGCTCGTTCTGACATATGGAGCAACTAATCCAGATCGAGAGACGGGACCACGACTCTCGGCTCAACAAATCACTACAGAGTACAGGACTGACTCGGTATGAGGAGGGTATCTTACTCAGTTACTACACTCAGTTAGTGGTAACTAACAACAACTACACTAACTACACGAGTACGCTCACACTCGGCGATTTTGGTATGTAAGGACGCGGAGTTATGTGAAGGACTTTATCAAATGGTGGCTAATCACATGTCAACGAATTGACCAGCACATGCTTGAGTCGTCACTATGAGTACTTAGTCAACTCCAGGATGAAAGCACCATGCACTGATGCAGTGGATGCACTGCAGTACTGCACTATGTAATATATTTCAATTTTCAGCACGATTTGACGGTTACATCCAAACATGAAGGGACTCGTTCTACCAAAGAATCGTGTTAGACTTAGAAGTGTTCTACCACGCATGAAAGGCGCCACACACCTGACTCAGACAGACCTACAGTACATGCTAGGTACGACGGGTATGTGCAGATTCATGTAAATTGCAAACCTTTTTCAACCAAGCCAGAGGCATAGATTCACCGAACTTCAACCTTAGTCCTGTGCAAGCGGTAAGGACACCCGTGCAAGCCACCCCTTGGCTAAAAAATAAACAGCCGTACTAATCATACCGAATAAGTACGACGGGAGCGAAGGTTTACGGGCTCGATTGGGTAAATTTGTAATGCGAAGATACAAGGTTTGAAAAAAAAAAAAAAAAAAAAAAGAATTCAAGCGACCATTCAAACTGCCGAAAAAAAGAGCAAACTTCGATCACAATATCAGATACACAGCATGAAGCATTCAAAATACATATAGGCTCTTTTCGTTCCAACCCTTGTCAAGGCCTCTAACCAGGTCAAGCACGTCTCGTCAAAAAGGTCGGAGAAAAAGAATTCGATGAGGCTCACGGACCACATCAAAGAGGCAATGCCAAGGTCGTCCTTGCGCGGGAGTAGACCAATAATGATGGTTGAAATACAACATGATCCATTCGACGGTGCTGTCTCGAAATACGACAGCTCTTGGGATCTGTGGACTCGGGGACTGTAGGAGCTAAGGAGACTAGGAGTAGGAGTCTAGCAGGTGCTTGTGAAAGGAGCTCGGTTCGCGAAATAAAAATAACTTCTTATCTATCAGCCCTGGTTGACGTTAAGGTTTGAAGAGGTTTCACACTACAATACTCGATGAGATTACTAGACCAGTGGACCTCAGGGACTGTGCAAACTGCAAATTGCAAAGTACTACCAAATGACTGTAGAATGAAGAATAGAGCATAGACGGGACTTCAAATGCCTAAATGGAATTGGTTTCCAAGTCATATGTAATGACTGATGCCTTGAAGCCTGCCAACAACTGGACACACGTTTGTATGTACTTGCGCAAGGCAGATCTTGTCAATTTGCAAATCGTGGATCTACTGTAGTTTCCGAGATATCATGGACACCAGTCCATGCGGTCTGCATCTTCAAGTTGAAATAAAAAACATTGTAGGCCCGTCCATGCATGCCCGCGTGCCCTGCAATTCTTTGCGTCAACAACAGAACGTGCCTTTGACTTCCAGTACATCGGGCTCACATACATGCATGGCGGATACTCAAGCTCACAGTGTCACGACAATGCTCCGCCTCTCTGGATATCCGGTACTGACTCGTAAAGGAGTGTACACTCAACACTGTACCCTGTAGGCCTGCACAACCGAAGTGTATATCTCCCAGCGACTCAGCAGTCTCCAATGAGTTCATAAAGTCCGTCGGACTCTGCAAGACACACACGCACCAGACTTCGCTGGTGCTCTGTTGCTGACTGGCCATAAAAGGTATGCAAGTATTTCCACTCACAGAATACCAAGTCTCAAAAGAGCTATTCAGGAAGAAGAATCCTGCATTAGAGACCTAGACCTTGAGTGTAGATGCATGCATGTAGCCATGTACGACCCTCGGGCGGAACCTCGGGCGGAACCTCGAGACCAGACGCACGTTTCATGCAGTCGGTGGGGAGCGAGGAAGGCAACTGAAGATACGTAAATTACATCATTGTGTTGCCGTCATCCATTGATGTCTCCATGATGCCCAGTACGCTGACCCTCGGAACGGTCGAAGAGTAGCATGGTATGAATACTCGGCGACCGCTGACCGCAATGTTTAGGAGCCCTCTGTCTGGTGGGTGCAATATCAATGTTCGAAGGATGACTATTGGATAGGATATGGTATCGAAGATCAAGAAACTCATCGCGCCGAGCAACATTGTGTAGCAGACCCGACGCAATCGAACTCGCAAAGGTGAAAATAAACTAGCATGGATGATCGAGCCCAGACAATGATCTTTGAAATAACAAGTTGTTAAATGTCATTAAGGATAAAGTGCGCTATCATGGTATGTAGCTTCGTGTCTCGTCTGGATGATCTCTCGGCTCATGCCAGCCGACGGCTGGATCCTCACGTTGGATAATATGGGGTGCTCATCCACGAAAATGAGCGCATGACTGCTCATAATCAAGCGTTGATGGACATCTCGAGGAGAGACAGAAAGAATGATATGAAAGAAAATAAGGGATGAAGACTCAAAAATACACCCTTGACACCTGTGATGTGCACGCATAATTACAACTTTAAGAATAGTCAAGCTTGCGAAGGAGAACAAGCACTGGCTATGTCTCAGTTTCACCTCGACGAAGAGCCAACAGAGCTCGAACATCAGTCACGTACTGCAAAGCTTCCAACATGGGTACCAGATGTAGCAGGCCATTGTCCGTGGGATCATTGATCCATCCTTCAATGGGAATGGCATTGTCTATCAAGAGACCGTTAGAGACCCGCTTCCTTGCTTCGAATGAGAAGGAATATGCTGCAACATACCTTCATGGAACAGATAGCTCATGGGACTGTTGTCCAGAATCATGACCTTACTCAGATCAGGTTCAACAGAGCTGAGATCTTTAATATAGGCACCGTTGCGGAAAGTGCAGTGTTGCCGATAATAGCGGCCCTGGAAGTACTTCCGCTCCTGCTCGAGCCAGTCGATCACAGGGTCGGCATACTCTTGCACCGAGGCAGTGAAGACAACCAGCTTGTACCACCTGGAAATCTTCCGTAAAAAGTCGTCGCAGTGAGGTCGTTTATGGACATAGTACAGAATGGGGTGCTGAGGGCCCAGGGTAGTTTGCGGGCCTCCAGGTGTGAGTGCAGTGCTGACAGGCATCGAGAGTTTGACCTCCACCATATGTCCACTGGACATACGACCCCCCTTTGCGAGCGAGTGGATGAGCGTTTCATCCAAATCCAAGACTAACGTCTTTTGAGGCAAGTTTGAGCTGCGCGTGGCAGCTGTATATGAAGGTACCCGGGCCGGGAGAAGCGGGCGTGGAGGAGCTGGAGCATGAGGATACTTGGTGATACGGTGGACAGAGGGGGATGTGGGCGACTTCAAGCTGTCAAGATTAACAGCGCCTTGAACTCGAGACACGCCTTCGGGCAATTTTCCGCCCGAGTCTGTGCTCTGGTTCCGGCGATGCTGTCTCTGTCTCTTGAGTGCCTCTTCATTATGCAACTTGATGCGTATCGAACGTCGCGGTGTGGCTTCGTCCTGGTTGCCATCCAAATCCTGGATTTGACCTTTGACCGATCGAGTCTTCTTCTTCCCCGTCCCACTCCCGGGCCCATGGTCGCCCTCGGACTCAGATGTGTTTGAATATATGGAATCACGCGATGCCTGCGATTTGATCTGACGAGTTGAACCACTTCTCCGCCTTGTTTGTATTCGAGAAGCATCTTTATTTGGTTGCAAGCTTGAGTCGGAAGATGTTTGCCAGAACCTTCGGATAGGCGCAAACAGTGAAAACCTTCCATCGCTATCTTGGAACAACTGGGCGATAAAGATACCGGGTGCAGCAAGCGTGGAGAGAATCCATTGAATGCTCTCGGTTATTGCGTCAACGATTCGTTTGGTGAGAAGACGCCATGAGCCCTTTGAAGTCAGAACCTCATCTGTCTGCAATCCATGCATCAATGGTGTCTTTTCGTCAATGTTCTGGTTCGTAGCATCGTAGGCGTCATCTTCCGCATCGGGTACCGTATGATCATAACTCTGATCCGAGCCAGCCGCGCCTGACCGGGGAAAGTTGCTTTCGCTGTAGGATCGGTGTTTGCTAAAATCAAATCCTGCTGGTGCTGCAAGGCGCCGCTTTTCGCTTTGCGATTGCGATCGTGGGCGCGAAGAGTTGGTGGACTGCCCTATGACCCGCGAGGAGAGGATGTTCAGAGAGTTCATTTTCGCTCCGGGCGCATAAGCGACAGGGGCGACGGGAATTCAGTCTATATGACTCGGTCGTGAGTGAAGTGTTCCAGCCGCTTGAAGCAGTCCGGTAAGAGGAGCAATATGCGGTAAATGCTCAGAGTGCAGGAAGAGGAGACGTGACGAGAAGGCTGTTGGCTGGATTCATCGCTCGTGAAATCGGACCTCAAGGCGCAAGTCTTACCCGTGCCTCGGAAGTATTTCCGCGCTCAACCCTTAGTCAAGTATTGTCGCAACCCCAAGACAGGTCAGACTGAAGCAAAAGCCCAAAAAAGGAACAAAATTATATGAGATAAAAGAGAGATAAATGTAATTGTTTTGGAGTGCCAAAAGGAGATGGTAGCAGGGCAGTGACGGAGGTACCAAAGTGTGGGGAAGCGGACAAACGTCGAACGGCAGAAAATCGATTGCTTTGTCGCGCCCACTTTATCTTCAAAGTTTCACACGACTGTGACCATTTGGATTGAGGAGCTCTTGCCAACTCTAGGCTTTTTCTCGAAGGTGAGTCCAGTGGCTTTATATCATGCACTATCTTTCATATGACCGTCGAAGCAAGATCTACCATGCTAATCCAGTCCAACAGGCTGATCCGCGCTAGCGTGCCAAACATCCCACTTTCTAATGCCGTCAACATCGCTCGCCCTGACGCCGGGGCTAGGGTCTTTTCTCAAGTCCCTGAAGACCAACCCAGTCGAAACATCGATTGAGAACCTCATCTCGTGCGCTTATCTTAAGCTCCCTTCTGTGACCGACTTGAAGCAAAGACCTCTTCAAATGCTCACATTTAGACTGCCATACTTAGATTACTCAAACGACGCCAAATTCGTCATTCGCGATCATGCGCTACAGCAACTGCCTACCTTCTTCGCCATGTTGTTTCAGTCTGCAAGACATCCGACCCACTCAAGCTCATTGAGCGAGTGCAGACTGTAGGAAGGCGGCTCGTTGCGGCCCAGCCACGAGAAATGGTGGTGGGCAACGTTGTGCGACGAGTGCTCGGCCTTATCCGGGACGAAGCTGAAGATGATCATGATGCAGAATTTGCTTTGAGTGAAGCTGGTTCTGAGAGCCAACCCCACACACCGCGGGCTTTTGATGGTCAGTTTCCCTCCGTCAATAACTCATATTCTACCACGTGTGATTAACCGTTGATTTCGAACAAAGACCCATCGTCATCATTGCCTTTGGACAGGGACGCCCTTTCTCTTCGTGGAGACGGCGCAGAGCGTCAAACATCACGACCCACACTTCACTCTATGTTCAGCCTCCTGTCGCATCCCGAAGCGGAATTTTCGCCAATCAGCACCCCCGGTACACAGTCTCCGAATGGGCGGATGCCGCCTCATGGCGCTGGCGGGAAGGATGTCAAGGCCGAGGTCCTGGAAGGTATCGGTGAGATCATTGATGAACTCGGACAAGTTGACGACCAAATCGCGTCCTACGCTTTGGAGCACATTCACTCCAACGAGATCATCCTGACTCATACATCATCTACAACGGTGCAAAAATTCCTGGTCAAAGCTGCGACCAAGCGAAAATTCACGGTGATTCATGCCGAGTCCTTCCCGAACAATCATGAGGCTACTCACGCTACCGTCAGCGGCAAGTCTGTCAATGACGAGGAGAATTTGAGTACCGAGGCCTTCCAGAAGCCCTTGATTGCCCTTGGAATCACTGTCATCTTGATTCCAGACTCGGCTGTCTTTGCTCTCATGTCCCGGGTCAACAAGGTCATTCTGGGTACACATTCCGTCCTCGCAAATGGCGGTCTGGTCGCTGCGGCCGGTACTCGGGTCATTGCACGCGCTGCCAAGGTTCACCAAACTCCTGTTGTCGTCGTCAGCGGCGTCTACAAACTAAGCCCGGTCTATCCCTTCGACTTCGAATCCCTCATCGAGTATGGCGACGCCAGTAAGGTTCTCCCTTACGAGGACGGTGATCTGGTTGACCAGATTGACGTTCAGAACCCAATCTACGACTATGTCCCAGCTGAGCTGGTCGATCTTTACATCACCAACTTGTGAGTTTCGAATTTCGAGAGGGCCGTTTACTTGCAGAGCTGACATATTGTTCTCTATTTTCACAGGGGAGGTCACGCTCCGTCATATCTCTACCGTATTGTGTCCGATCATTACAGGAAGGAGGACATCAGCTTCTGATGTGGTTCCCTAGCAGTGTTTCAAATCTCGAGTCATATGCACCTCGAAGGTGAGATCAACGATGCTCAAAAAAAATATACCCGAAGGATAATGTGTGTGATGATCATCATGCGGAACCCTTTGTCTGGCTACGTTCTCCGGCTTTCAGTTCAGATATAGAAATAAAGGAAGGGCTTCATCAGTTTGTTTTTCAAAGCTCGGAGGTTAAAGGTCAACAAACTCGCGCATAAGAATTATCAACCCTGACTGTTTATGGAACGGACAAACGTAGCTGTGATCAAAAACTGGAAGTACGCTCTGAGGAGTTGTCGGTTCGCTCCGGAGTGCTGTCTTCGAGATACAAGAGCCTGGTTGTCAACTCTTTAGCCCATCATTCAAGGATTGATTCTCCGGAGGACTCTCCGGCTTCCATTGCCTCGGTTTGCAGAGATTGGATCAGAATTCCCATAATCCAGACGACTTGATCTGGTATGCCAGGGTGACCGTCGACATACATCAAGGCTGTCATTGAGCGCACGCTACCTTGGATGCTACGATTAAATCGAAAGGTCTAGAAATCTACACGATAGGAATTGGATGAGGATAAAATAGCAAAGGCATGGCTGAAGTTGTATACTTTGAATGTCAGGAGAAGCAAAAGTGCTGTGCTAAATCGTACATGCCGGACACCGGCGCACAGTTGAGATAAGGATATACAAAACATTGCAGGAGGATATCAGTTAAAAAAGCCATTTTGGAGAATTGTTGGCTCAGGGAATAATCGACAGGCAGAACGGTGCTTTGTGTGAACGTTATAAACGTTACTGTCAATGGACACTACCTTATGCAAGCAACTCTGGCAGAATACGTCGGTCTGTGGTGGATGATGGGTATACGATTGAGGTTATCAAAATGCAATATAACCAATCCAGTTGGTTCCATTACTCGGACATGAACATGCTAGGTTTTGATATTCGTAGGCAGGAGCCACAAGCACAAGGAAATTATCATAGCGCCATCTTTTTGGAATTGTTTCTCAAGTCGTGTTAATTTGCACACATGAATCCAGACGAAAGCCCGCCCGGGTAAAAAAAAGATCTCATGAAATTCCGGCGCTGATGAAGACGGGCTTTCGGTCTGTCGCCGACCCCAGAAGACTCCATTCTCCTTCCCTTCATCCACCAGATTTTGGTTTTGATGGGTATACTCTGCTTAAGAGCGGGGCTTCTCCTTCTTCTCCTTCCAGAGGGCAGCAAGGCCGACACCGGAAACCTTGACGACCTTGAAGCGAACACCGGGAATATCACCCTTGGCCTTGCCCTTACGACCGAAACCGGCCAAGAGGACCTCGTCGTTCTCGTCGATGAAGTTCAAGCAACCGTCATTGGGGACTGAGGGAGAGATGGGGGTTAGTATCTATCGTTGCAAGATTCCCAGGTTGTAGTGTCCATTTATGGTCGAATAGTGATGAACGAGTCGATGCAGAAATGTGGAAGTTGACGGGCGACTCACCGAAAGCAGCGACCTTCTTGCCGTTCTTGATGAGCTGGACCTTGACACACTTGCGAATGGCGGAGTTGGGCTGCTTGGCCTCAACACCGACCTTCTCGAGGACGATACCCTTGGCGTGGGAAGCACCACCGAAGGGAGAGGACTTGAAGGCAGTGCCGAGCAGGCGCTTCTTGTAGTGGAGATCGGCCCAGCGCTGCTCCTTGCGGTGCGCCTGGAGCTTGCGGGCGGCGTTGAGACCACGGGGCTTGCCTTTACCCATCTTGAATTATTTTGGTCTGAGGCAAAAAATGCATGTTAGTTCCCGATCTCGAATTATCTGAATGCCAAGACAATCCCAAATTGTCGCGCCACTTGTTCGAAAGAAATATGTGAAAGATATGCGACGGTGGTGACGGAGATTTTCGAACATTGGAATGTCGTCAGGTGTTTGTAGGCTGGTCATGCAGATCGGTAATTATCGCTTCGTGAACCGATGATGTTGAGGTCGAATCGTCCGCCATCCGTGCCGTCGACATATAACACAATTTCAAGTATCGATTGGCGCATGTTGAAAGGAATAGTAGGTGCGCAAGGGTCGAATACGTACCGACTGAAAATGGGGATGTCGAGAAGGTGAGGGTCGTGGGGTGTCGAAAAGTCGAGAGTTTCGGAATACCCTTGAACGCCGGCACACTCGCTTGGTTTGGAACACTGCCTCACCTGACTTTGTGCGCATGCCCTAAGCGAGTCACGGGATCGGACAAACCCCCAGCCGTCTTGTCCTTGCCGCCAAGCTCACGTGGTACCGGAATAAGGGCGATAAGCATCGTCCGTCATATTTATCGATAAGGGATAAGATAAGCCAGCTCTGACAGTGGAATGTTATCATTGTCCATCGACATAGTGCTGCTCTTGCTTCGGTCCCCCCAACTCCGTCAAATTTGCTGCTGTACTTCCGCTACTGCTTTTGGATCGCCATGGACTCGACTAAAAGGCCGCAAGGCTCCCAGCGACTGCCGCCTCCGTCTCTGTTCCAGGGACCGCCATCACATAATGCTTCGAATCTTTCCTTGTCTGTGCCGCCTGCTGGGACTCCTCTCCCACCGGGCAACCAGCCTCCACTCCTTCCCCGCAGGACTTCTTACCGCGACAAGGATCAAAGCTCCTCAGATCGTCGCGGTTCATTCTCCCCCTTTGCCTCAAAGCGTCTTTCCAACCTGGACGCAGATGGCTCTGATGCCATCTGGCAGGAGATGCAAAGCGCTCTATCCGAGGTTGAGTTAAGCGCTGTTGCAAGTCAGAATGTTTTTGGTGAGAAGCACGCCCAAGCGCTGGAAGACCTCCGCACGAAACAACTGAAACTCGCACAAGCATGGGCTCGCAGCGATGCAGAAGATATACCTGTGGACATGGAACCAGTTACTGCCGACAAGGCCAGCTCTGCAAAGGGATCCAAGCCTTCTGAGTCGCGCGAAGGCAACTTTACCGAGGGACGGGCCAAGAACCAACCGACAATGCGCGAGCGCGGTCCTCATAGGAATCTCAACGAGGAAACAGAAAAAGATATCATTCTTGCCAGAAAGCGCCGCGAGGCTAATGACCGCTTTTTCAATCAAGTCAATCAGGGCGTCCTCGATGTCGTTGCTAAATTGGAAGAAGTCTCCCAGGCGATTCGTGCTGTGGAGAAAGAAAGTAAAGACATATGGAGTGATTCAGACAGCGTTACAACAGCCGGACCGTCATCGGCCATATCTGGCTGAGCTACTGTGCAACCTGCCACCAGTTTGTCTCACTCGCAACTGCATTTCAAAAAAAAAGACTCTTACCTTGCGCTGGACGCAAACCCCGCCCATTAATTGTCATCGAAGACTAAGGTTGAAAACTCTACCGAAAGAAAGCGCACTAATGAATAAATCACAATCATTTGAATCGACTCTCAGAAATTTCGATGAATTTTGGATGTTTCCACTCAAGAAGCTCCGGGGTATCCTTGACGCCGCGCACCATGAAAAGCCGCTCGCAATAGAAGTATGAATATACAGAAGTCGATGAAGCCAAAGAAATCGATGAGCGCCAGGCTCATCTAGGACTTTTTCACGAATTGCAAAATATCATTCCATCCTCGGGAAGCAGCATTCTTGACGACCTCCCAGCGATTTCCATTTGCATTTCGGGCAAAGTTTCCCACCTCTTGATTCCATCTATGTTTCAGGACATCTTTGATGGTGATCTGAGTCTCTTCGGGTCGCTTCGTCGTTTCAATGCTTCGAGGCTTGTGCTGTGGAAGGAAACGTCGATCGTAGGCCCCGGCAGAGGCCGCAAGCCAGTTGATTTGATGCACCTGTTCACGAATTTGCCGGCGCTGTTCGAGTCGCGTCGCGCGGTGCTTTGTGATGGTGATGTAGAGGACAGAGGTCGTTAGGGCAAAGCCACCCGCCTATGGACATTTACCAGTATCAGCTAAAGCCTCCTTGCGAACTCGTGGTAGAAGAACTAGAACCATACAAATCCGGAGACGAAATTCATTTCGGTCTTGCGCGAAGCTTGGTGGTCTGAAGACTTCACATGAAATCCCGGATCAAGAGGCGCAATGCGTTCTGAAAGCTTGCCAAGGGCACAAACGTCGTGAATGTGCCTGTTGACCAAGCAGTAGCGCAAGGAAACGAGGAATGTTGTTAACTGTTTCGTTGCGATGAGAAGGTCGGACGTCGGTCAAGGCGGTGGAAGCTCTCCGATTGGGTGAACGTACCCGTCGAATCTTTTGATCCCGACCTTCCTCCCTCGCGATCTCCAACGAGTCAAATTCCTGGATCTGGGCCACATCTGAGCGACTCTGGCTAAGAGAGAAGAAACATTTGCTCAATCCACGCTCAATAAGCCTTTATTACGTCCAACTCATCTCACAGACAATGGCCGGCGGTGGTGGCAAATACCGGCATCTGGGCCGGAAGTCCTCTCATCGACAGGCGCTCCTCCGCAATCTTGTCACCTCACTTTTCGAGAACGAATCGATTACGACGACATGGGCCAAGGCCAAAGAGGCACAGAGACTGGCAGACAAACTGATCACACTTGGCAAAAAGAATTCAGAGGCTAGTCGGAGACGGGCTCTGGAGATTTTCTACGTATGTGATTACACGCCCGCATCTTCTACGAAATGCACCGGAGTAGCGTGATGACAGTGGACTGTTGAAACACAACACATCGACTCTTTTGGACTGTCTGGCTTACATTCTTCGTCTGGCCAGAAACCCCACGACATCATCCCTAAGCTGTTCGGTCCCCTCCGCGAGCGGTACGCCGAGCGACCTGGTGGCTACACACGTGTGCTCCGTGTCGAGCCCAAGGAGAAATTCGAATACTACAACGTCCGCAAGGGTGACAAGAATGCCGTTCCAGAGCGCAAGCCTGCTGATCAAGCACCCAGTGCGATCCTGGAACTCGTGGATGGACCCAAGGATATGCGGTTCGCCATGACGGCGCGCGCAATTGCGCGTCAACGTGAGGAAGGCTTGACGGAACATGAACTGACAGCCTTGAACAAGATGAAAGTGACACGGTACCGCAAGGGCGGTGTTGATGAACTTGAAGCCGCGGTCCAGCAGTTGCAGATTCGCGACTCTGAAACTGAGCTGGAGGTTCCGTCCGCTCTTCCCAAGAGTGAGGAGTCTAAGGCTGCTCAGGTGGAGGCGCAGCGAAGTGCGTCTGAGGCTGAGCGTATTGCCAAGAATATCCGTGCTTGAAGTGCTGATGCTTAAATTCTCTTACTGGGAATCGTTAACAACATCCTTGTGCTCCACATGTCATTTCCCTGACTCGATGGAGGCACCTCTTGTCGCAAAGAACAACTGTCTGTTCCCCCGTGGGATTCGCTCTGCATTTTCCCTTCCGTTTCTCTGTTCTTATAGGAGTTTCTGCTGCTTTCTCATGCCTGCTCACCTTTATCTGCCCCGACCGCACCATGGCAGAGAGCCTCTGTACAGTACAAGACCATTGATACCTCATAAAAATTGTCCATCACCTAAGACTAATTTTCGCTGTCGAAATTTAGAGGGTGGAATACTGAAATTTGCTGCTTATGACGCAGCTTGAAGGCGAGTCAGTCCACAACCTCGCGAAGGTCGGAGGTGATTTCCCAACGATCATGTAACTACAGTGTGTATTTCGAATCAGCCCCGGCGTAGTATCAAATATCTCAGCCCTTTGCTTACGAGGTATCAACCTAGTCCCAGGCCTGCCAGAGAAAACCTTGATTGCTTTCCTGGTTTGACTTGATCCCTTTTGTCGGCCTTTGGCTAAAAGCTGTGTGGACCATCAGAAGAATACCTAGCACGTATCGCAAGGCGTGTTACGCCTCGTTGCCTACAATTTCACCTTCTACAAATCGTCCTTTCAAAAAACTAAGAAAATTTCTCGATGCAGGTCGTTTTGACGTGAAATCGCTGATTATACTCGAGAAACCTGGGCTACGACTCATGTCTAGGAGCTGGTTGGTGAACTACCGGGAATTTGGCGTACGTTAATCAAACATGAGCTAGGAATTCAGTTGTTTTTCCAGGTCTAGTCTGCAATTTTCATTTGGGCCCGCACGAGCACCGGCTATGCTGTTTCACTAGCGAGGAGGAGCTAAGACATGAGCTCCGGAGACCCATTGATGATCAGCCTTCCGATTGACTTATCAGTGCATCTTCGCAGTTGATCCTCCGGACACAACGAAAGGGCCATTGTTGACCACACCGGATATTCCGTTGCTGTTGGCAGTTGCACCTGCGATATTGACCGACCCTGATCGATTCTTGATGTCGAAGTCGGACGATACCTCGGATGGGGGAGGTTTGGGAGGTAAATGGGACGGTGTACCCCATCTGGCGATAGAAGTCTGGGAGGCTGGGCTCGAATTCCGAGGAGGGTTGGCATTGGAGAAAGACTCGAAAGATTGATTTGGAGCAGGATCCGGAAACCTGGACCAGTTAGGCTGAGCCACAGGCGGTGCCCTGTTGCCATAGGCTTGCATTCTGGATGACACGCCTTTGACAGGATGTCTTTGCGCGCCGGTATCCCCAGGGACGAATGAGCGCGTTTGTGGGTTGAAGTGCGACCTTGCATGGGGAGCGCCACTGTTGTTAAACGAGGAGTTTAGATGCTGTCCAGGATATTGGGCATACGAGTAGGTAGCAACGTGCGGCGTGACAGTTGCACTGTTTGCGTTTTGAGCGGGATAATTGGGCCACGACGGTGTTTGCGGGGTACGTTGATGTACAGCATGCTGCGGTGGGTGACCCATGTAAGTAGGGTTGGCCCAATTGGTATTCTGGGCGAACTGTGGTGAATTTGGGGTCATGTAATTTCCAGTTGTTTGCGGAGATTTGATAGCGGCTTGTTGAAGCCCCGTTGAGGTCTGATTCATTGAGGAATATCCTTGGTAGGGAGACTGCTGCGGAGTGCCCGTGCCTTGCCAAGACTGAACGCCGTTCATTTGGGGAGTCATCCTTGCTGGGTATTGGGACAAGCCGTTGGCACTCATTTGTCCTGAATACATCATGTTCTGGTTGGTTGGAGTGTAACCTCCATTGGGAGGGGCCACTCCCGGTCCCACCATGTATGGGACATTGTTAGAATACGAGCCATCGGACACGGATGAGTTGTAACCTGACATGTTGTTGCCGTAGGGATTGCCGGGGTAGTAGACATTGAATTGCGAGCGGGCTTCGAAGCCGTCATCGAGGGGTGTGCGCTGTTTAGCAGCTTTCTTTCGTCCTGTTGTAGAACTTGATCGAGACATGCTAGTCGAATCACCGCTAGTTTCCGATTTGGCGCTTTCGGGAAAGTCGCGGAAGATGCGCTCACGAACTTCGGCATATTTTGCCTCTCTCTCCTCTCGTGTCATTGCCATGCGATCCTTTGCGGACATAGAACCGGCGGACCCAGTTCTATCTCCGTCCTGGTCTGTCGAACCTGCTTCAGACGCGGCTTTCGATGCCACGGATGAGCTAGCCGCTATGCTCCCTTCGGCCGAAGGACGTCCGTCTGTTCGGCGCATGATCTTTGTCGGCATAGGATGCACAGGCTTCTCGTTGGATACTGGGTACAGCTCCGACAAAGGAGTTGGTCTACTGAAGTAAGTAATGGATCAAGCGAAGTGTGTCACTCAAGGTTAAAAACTCACAGTCTCGAAAAAGGCGTCCGGTGGAGGCGCACAGACGTCACATTATTGTCCACAAAATGCGTCAAATGGTAGTAATCACCTAGCCTATGCGCAAGTAGTCGCCCATAAGAATTGTTCGGCGGAAGTTCCAAGGATTGTTCACTGATTCTTCTTGTTAGCATCATCGAAGCATCTTGGAGAGAAGAAATGAACTCGAAGCAGGTCCGTCGTACCTCGAATACTTGATGAACGCGCGAACCTTCTCCTCAATTGTGAGGACCACGAGCCGGTCTTTGGGGCTTTCCATGGCAGTAGCAAGCTTCTCGTCGGGATGAAGTGGAAACGGATGAACAACGTGAGCGCTTGTCGATGTCTCGAGGTTGATCGGGTTGGCGAAGTTACTAGCAACAGAGTCTGGAGACATGACATTTGCATCTTGAGGATTTCCCTCACCGTAGCCGGGAGCCATCTCCCGAGAGCGGATACCAACATTATCGCGGAAATGATCACGGAAGAGCCGAACCCCTGCTTCAGAGCCTGTCACGGAGTTTGGAGCCCCGGAGGCAACACCGGAAAGTGATTCATCTTCGTCGACAGCTTGCACACTAGCACTATCATCGGGTCTGACCGAATCTTTCTCATCCATCGCAAAAGTGGTCACCGATGCCAAGCTTTTCGTATCGAAGTTGGTCATCTTAGTCGAAGACGTGGAGAGATGGGTTCTATCGTCGTCAAACGAGTTTTCACGTTTCAGAATACCATTCACAGAGACACCATTTGATAGAGTGCAACCTTGACTCGAATTGCGAGGATCGAGATTGATACCTTGCATGGCTGCTGTGAGACCATGGCAAGTGCGGTCGGAGGAGGAGTGTCTCTCGCCATCTGGGCTCGGACGTCGTTCGGCGAGTTCCACGCTCTCATAATCGTGATCCACGGTGGACTGAGTCGAATTCGCGGTATTGGCCGCGCCACTTTCACCTGAAACCATCGACGGTTGAGACATTGAAGGTGCAGGCATAGCAGCAATCTAGCAAAAAATCTTGTTAACAAAACAGCTTCCGGAACACACTGAATTCAGCTTACCTTGGCAAATGAGAAGTGTCCGTCCGCACTGTTCGTATTAGAGGATGCCATGTCCAGGAGTATTTCTTGCTCTTTTGCTTGTCTTTCAAATGTCAAGTACAGGTACTCGGTCCCTCAAAAGCTTTTCGGAGATAGAGGGCTCAAGAATGACGTTAGGTTCGTGAGGTTACTGGTAGGTCCCGTTTCAGACAAGCCAAAAAAGAGAGGCATTTCTCTGTGGCAGCGCGTTCGCCATTGAATGAGTCTACCACGGGATATCATAATTAGTGCAGGGTTCTTTGGGCGCTTTGGAATAATGCTTGTTTATGTTTGAGGCCCTGTATGGGTTCCCTCATGGCGATTGTTCAGTAGGGAAAGCGGGTCTCACGGAATGTTAAAGTTGGTTCATGTCAACGAAAAGATCAACGTCAGTTCGAGATGATGGTTAGACGCAAAGAAGAAGTCTCGAGGCCGAAATTGAAGGTTCTGTGAAGCCCACGACAGCCAAGACCCTCAAAATTTGGAGTCGACTTTCGTGAGAGATAGTGGACTGTCGTTTGACAGGAAGCAAAGCGTAGATTATTCTTCCAACGTCCACAGGTTCGTGGGTGCTATTTTGCCGTGTTGGACCGTCTTCACCGCCTGCCATCAATTTCCATCTCATCAGAAGACTACGACCATCCAGGCCTTCAACCCAAAGTTTGATTGAAGGGGTAACTATCAGGGACAGGGTATTCGTACATTTATGAAAGCGTCGTTATCTTAGTGGGAACATTACACAACTTGCGACGACGCCATGAACCGCTACCGGAATGCTCCAGGACTTCGAGCTGGACCTAGCAAAGCCTCTCCGACGACACTATGCCAAAAGTGCTTGAAACGAGATATGTAGCCTTGCCTAGAGAATGGCGCCACGCATGTTACTGACTGGCAATATACGACACTATAGCTACGAATGCAAAGCTACGGCGCAAGAGCGCCCCTACAAGGCTCGGCCCTCAAGAACCCAGCAACTGTTGAATCCGACACTGGTGCCTAAACTATCAGAGGACGTGCAGCGGGAACCAGGAGATACGTATGTTTTGTTGGTGATCCCCTGATTAATCACTTTGAGACTGACCCCTGCCTTAGGGCTGGTTTGGCCGACAAGATCCTCGCTGGCCGAGAGGCGGACAGAGGCACGACGAGACACTCGGCCGAAATCCCCGGAGACCTTCAAGAGAAATCACCAAGACGGGCCAGATCACTATCATCAAATTCGGTAGATTCAGTCTCGACGATATCTACCAACCGGTCTGCATCTGCCTCCCGCGAGCGTTCCAGCAGACGTGCCTCAGACGCGCTTGACCGCGGTGGCTCTGCTTCACCTCTGCCAACTGGGTCAAGGAAAAGACGCTACAGTGATGCCTCGGAAGATGCTTCAGCAAAGTCATATTCATCGCACGAAAAACAGCGATCTTTGTCGAGAGAGTGGACTGAGGATAGAAACATCCGACGGCGACGCCGGGAGAGCAGCCCCGAGGAAAGGGGTCGACATCGAGCCACGGGGACACATGACTCTCGAAAATCCGACCGGCGCAGCAGAAGCCTTGAGAAAAGTCGCATCGCAAAGCAGCGACGATCAATGACGCCCGATGCCGCGTACGAGCATTCTGACAAACGTACGTATAGGGACCGAGGCTCCCTTGAACGACAATCCCAAGCAGACCGTGCCAGACAAACCCCCCGAACACGAGGAGGACCACCACGCGAGCGAAGTTTGAGTCCTTACAGCAAACGGATTGCCTTGACGCAATCAATGAATCTCGGCCGGTGAATGGTATTATCCCGAAGGCGCAGTGCGAGAAACGTCCAGCCCGTTTGTCCTACTGAGGAAGTATGCAACGAACGACTGCAGGCAAGCAGCGAGTCCATTAGTATTCCCATTATGAGCCTCTCAACTCGAAGAGAGACTTCTTGTAAAATAGTTTGCATCAGAGCTTCGTCGATGATGGATGAGTTGTTTTCATGACTATGAACACAGAGTCAGTTTCAGCTTGACGCTGACATCGCTTTTAGTAGAATCATGGAGACAAGGTAGCAAAACTGGGGTGTCGAAGTGGCTTGGAGCTAAGAACTTGAAAAGGAGAAAGCAGGCAGTAATGTACAGGGCCATTCCTAAGAGAGGAGTAAAAACAAGCGAAGGAAAGGAATCGTAAAGCTTGCCTTTCAGCAGCACGGGGTATCAGTTCAAATCGTATCTTCGTCATTGTCGACTTCCTGCTCCCGCATATGAATGCCCTCAACTAGAGCATCTCCCTCGATGCCCACCTCTTCACCCTCTTCGCCAGTGGATTTTGAACCCCGTGCCTTAGCCGCGCGCTGCGCGCTCTCTATCCGTTCTCGTACCAGTCGAGCAATAGCGTTCTCCGTCCGTACATTCAGAATCTTGAGTTTTTCGTCGAGGTCGCGTCGGAGATCCCAATTCGGTTTCTTCGGCTGTAGCTTGAACAGATCGATCGGTTGATCGGCTTCCGCATCCTTCTGCGCTTGATCCTTCACAGTTTCCGCAATCTCTGCTGCTTGAGCTTCCACCGTCACTTTGCCTTCTTGCGGCCCTTGCTCGAAGCCAAGTTTTGGCCCGCGCGTCTCAGCGTCGTAATTACGACCTGAAAGAAACTTGGTCGTCACATCAGAAGCGGCTTGCTCTCGGTCTGCCGATTCAGCGTTGAGGTCGGCGATTGATGGTTCCTCGGGTTCAGGTTGTTTGCGCTTCAACGCAGCGAGCTTAGCCAGGCGGGCTTTGCGATCGTTGGAAGCTGCATCTAGTGAAGCGTGGGAGGAAGACATGGTTTTGAGCAGCTGGAAAAGCTCAAGAAGCCTCAAATGCCAAAAAATCGATTTTGAGTATGATTGCTTCCCGTTATTATTGCCGTGGGTACAGCCCCGAATCTTTCACTTTCCAGGTAAAAAGTCGTGAATGTTGGTGATGGAGGCCAGACGATGTTCAGGCGATAAGGATTAAGGACGCTATGCGCCACTCTCCAGCCACAGCAAACTCGGCCGTTCTCCGCCTTCAAACTTTCCGGGTCTCCGCATTGTTGCGCGCCCGGGCTCCTCCTAGCGACCGCTAATGGGCTTCGATATTTTTGCGACTCGAAATCTTCGATGCGGGCTACTGCAGGATCCTGAATGTTGTTTTGTCCGAAAGAGCTTGCTCGGGCTCGCCTCCAGGCCCTGCTCCGGAGCCCCGGCCATTTACATCGGACTTTTCGGACGCCTAACAATCGGCATACTTTGCGGTGCGCTTTGAACCACACCTCGACAGCTGTCCAGCAAAGTCAAGAACAACACCAGTCCCGAATCGCAAATAATACCCCGGAGGGTGACTCGCAAAAACATGGCGTTTTATCTGCATCATCTGCGGACGCTGGCGCTCCTCGCACATCTAACAAGGTCACGGGCCCGCGGTTAGTCTCCAAACGATCAATCAAAAATATCATGACCGCGAATGGTCTCGATCCCTCAGACGCTTCGACAGTACAGCAACGGCTCAATTTCGAAATTCAACGCGAGAAAAGAAATTTGAGTAAAAGCTCGATTGCCATAGCAGCTATCACTCGGGGGAGGTCTTTATACAATGCCTCTGGTAATTCGCTTCGTACATGGCAACGGGCCTACGAAGAACTCTACAAGGCAAAACATTACCAACGCCAAATCAACAGCGACAACATCATACCCTCTCTGAACCCGACTGGGGAGAAGATACTTGCAAAGATTCAAGAAGATTGCAATGGCGCTTTTCGGAAATTCTGGGAAACTTGCAGGCGGGATGTCAAAGCCCAGCATTGGCAGCCTCTGGCGTTCTGGCTGCTGCAGAACGATCCCAAGCTTTTCCTGAACTTCTTGATTGTCACAATGAAGGGCAAAGATACACCGGATTTCACAATGGTCACGGACTCGCTTCTGTACATTGACAATTTCTACTATGAGGAATTGAAAGACTGGACGACCGGGCCCCGTTCGCACGGATACTCCTGGATGATTGAGTATTGTCTGCGACCAGCCACTTGGCCAATCATCTCACCACCGCAGAAGGGCATTCGCCTTTACATTCGACGAGCTCGTCCCTATGGGGTCCGATTGGCTTTCCGCACGCTGAAAGCAAGAGGAGTCCAATGGCAAGCGGAAACCCAGCTGTGTTTCGTCTACAGATTCACTCAATTGGGTGATGTCGATCGGGCACTCAAGGCGCTCAAACTTCTTCCGCGACTGAATGATCCCACTTTTACAATGAACTCGCAAGGCGTTCTCCGGCACTGCTGCAAACTTCTGACATTGGACACCGTCGAGGACGGTGAATCAGGCCGCAATTTCCGCATTCTACCACAGCTCCTGGAGATGGGAGTACGTCCGGACCGAGATATGATGAATGTGGTTCTCTCCAATGCCTACAAGACCGGTGACCACCAACTTGGTGCCGACATGCTTCAATTCATGACGAGTCAAGATTACAAATTTGACTCATATACCTACGTTACACTACTCACAGACGCTGTTTCTCGTGGGGATCAATCACGTGTGCATGAGCTTATTCGAGAAGTTGATGCGCAGGAGGAGATTCGCAAAAACCCATACGTCGCAAACAAAATCTTCCATTCGCATTATGTCTTCACTGCCAAGAACTTGGACGCCGATGCTGACCCATCGGGTGTCTTTTACGCTATGCTCGACATGTATAACAAACTTCATGATATTACTCCGCTCAAAGAACTCCTCATCATTCCTCCTCATTATACGCCTCGAGAAGACGGTGCGAACACCCCACCCACTCCCATGGCCTTGTACATCATGATCGCAACATACTTCCGTTGCGGCAGCTCCGTCATGAATGTGCAACGCATCTATCAAAGGTTTCACGAACTTGTCAGGAAAGGCCATCCAACAATAGCTCCCTTGGCGGGCACGGACCACACATACAACGAATTCCTAATCGCTCTCCGCAAAAGCTCGCGTGCCATGCATACTTGCGTCCGCATAGTAGAAGACATGCTGCACGCTTCTAGCAACGGGCCTGTGACACATACGAAACCAAGCTATCGCACCTGGGCCATCCTTCTCAGCGTTTTCCTGTGGCATCGGCGGCCTGCTGCTGCGGAGAAGATTCGAGAGATGATGGCCAAGCACCAAGTACCTTACAATGACGTGACCTGGAATCTGATCATCAACGGCTACGCCAACGCACAACAAGTGCAGGAAACTGCCGCTGCTATGAAGGCTATGGAAGCCGAAGGATTCGCTCTCGATTCATACACCATGAAGTCTCTGCGGTACCTTCGGGATCCAGAACGTCTATGGGTTGCCGTCGATGAGCTTGACCGGGCTGCGCAGGATGCCGAGTCTGCGAGATTCGCCTCGGCGGAGAAAAGTGGACCTGTTGAGAAGAGCCCACAAGACGACTTGATGGAGGAAGGGTTGCGGAAACTTGGAGATAAAACCAAGTCGAAACCTTGAAGTTGGATACCCCTGTTGAACTTGTTCTCTCTCATGTCTTATGTGTCTTATCTCAGTACTTTGCATAACTGGTGCCTAAGGGCCTGGACTTGGGAGCACGCGTAGGTGTTGAACCGTTCACTAGACCTTGACACCTTTGTAATATCCTTTGAACCCATTTTGAATATCTGGAATTTTTGAATCTTCAATTGCGCTAAATGTAAATGTGACATAACTTGGAAGGTGAACATGAGGACTCTGACGATCGTACGATTACACGTACGTCCCATGAACTCTGGACAGGTTCGGTGCTTGTCTCGTTAACACTCCCACTGGGTAATTTGGGGTTAGAATAGCTCAGCCGCCGAAGAAAATCGAACCCTATTAATTGAAGGGGATGTTAGATATTTCCGTAAACGATTCTGACGTGATCTAGCGACACGGGAGTTGTGGGTTCTCACAGCCATCAGAATGCAGCATATGCTGACATATGGACTCAGTCGTTCCCCTACACGTGCACATTTCCAGAATATGCCGAGTACTCTATTAGACGCATGTATCAGCCTTCATTCTTCTCTTGAAGTATAGTCATTCTTGGCAAAGTCATCGTTGATGCTCACCCATTCTGGTTCCGGTCCATTATACCCGGCATGATCGAGTGCGCATAGCTACTCGTGCAGATGATGAGTAGGATCACCAGCAATAAAGACTGGAAGTTGAAGAGGGCGGACTGGAATAAAGACATCCCGGTTAGCTAGTTGCCAGACAGCACAAGTATATTTTGATGCGACTGAGGCAGTGGCGATGAACTGATCACTCCTTCTAGACGACCGCGAAGCCATGCAAGACCACGACCACCAGGCAGCGCCCAACACACTCACCATCTTGAAACCAAAACAAACAATGCCACGCCTTCGTTCCCAAAACAACAAGAAAAGTGCCCAAATTTGAGACAATAGGCAACGACTTTGTTGAATTAGGACGAATAGCTATCCGAAGTAGTGCACAAGTGCCACTGCACCGGTGCACCCACATTATTCTGCCCACCATGTCCGCTCCGCGTGGGGAAACCCCCAGTCTCGGCGACGCGCAGCCGCCCGCGGCTGCTGCGGCTGAGGAACAGGCAACGGCTGAACTTTCTGTCGAAGAAAAAGTCTTGGCCTACATCTAAGCAAACCTCCGTGAACCCTCTGTCACAGTAATTCCATCTTCCTACGAAGACCCAACTAGCCAAATTTCTGCGCCTGAAGATACTCTGTCGTGTGATCTCTCGGAAACTCAGTCTCAACCGCCCAACTACGCTCCTGCTGAAACTCAATCATCGCCTGCATCGACCTCGGCCTTGATCACACGCAAGCGAGCCACGAAGCGTGCCCCTCGCGCCACATCGTCCGAAGCCGAAGCCAAGCAGCCCAAGAAGTGCGGCCGTCTTCGCGAAGTCACCCTTGACCGTTCTGCTGAGTCCCAATCAGCAACCGTAACAAGCTCGATTTTGGGTCAAGGCTAGCAGCCAGAGAAGTGCGGCAGTCCTCGCAGAGTCGTGACTGAAGCTTCTGCTGAGCCCAAGTCAACCGAGTCATCGATCGCGACCAAGGTCAACGGCAAGCGAGCCAAGCAGGTCTCCAGCACTGCCTCGTCACCAGCGACTGAGGCGAAGTGAATCAAGAAGCGAGCGGCTCGCGATACCTCGGCTGAACGTGAAGACCGCTAGTCTGAGAAACGCCCACTTCACACGATCATGGCGGAACCTCGTGCGCGTGCGGCCCGGCACAAGGGTCAAATGAATTTCGCCTCCGAACGTGAGTGTCACGAGCTCTTTCATCGAATCATCTCACGGTGACTTTCAGCTAACGCCTTGTTCATAATTGACAGTCCGGCTCTTGCTTCTCGCCTACGGTGATCCAAGCCCCGACCCCTCGTTCCCCGCAGAGCCCCTGCCTGAAACGGTTCGCGTCCTGGATGAAGTTGTTACCGACTTTATCCTTGAACTTTGCCACGGTGCAGCCCAGGTGGCGCATCATGCGAATCGTCAGAAAGTCAAGGTTGATGACTTTCGCTTTGCTCTTCGCCGGGATCCTAACAAGCTCGGTCGTGTGCAAGAACTGCTTCATATGGAACGGGAATTGAAGGAAGCGCGCAAGGCTTTCGATCAAAACGACGACCAAGTGGCCAAGGATGCCGGCAAGAAGGGCGCTGCTGCATCGCCCGATGACCTGGATGGATCCGAGAGCGTGACGGGCGCCGATAAGGCTAGCAAGAAGGGCAAGGGCAAGGGCAAGAGAGCTGCTGCGCCCCGCCGCGAATCCGACGCTACGGAGGATTCGGTCCCAAAGAAGCGGAAGACTGTGGGTTGAGGCATCATGGACGTTGGGCAACGTGATGAGGTTGTGCCATGCCCGCATAGCGTGGCGTTTGGAGGTGGGGTTATGGGGTTTTTTCGTTTTTGTCTGAATATCTATATTCTTGTGTTCTTTTCATGTTGCATTTTAGGCGTTGGTTGCGCAAAGAGATACCCCGGTGAATTGAATAGGAGTGAACCACCTATTGTTACGGACTCATTACCTGATTTAGTAGGAAGGTTATATTTTCATCTCTGTATATGGTGTTTTATGAGGAAATTGAGTCTTTTGACAAGAAGCAACTCATTGATGACGTCAAAACCTCAAGAGCGCATCAAGCTCGCCTAAAAAGGCCCCTGTGCCGGGGCTTTTCGGATTCACAGCACTTTCCCCATTCCCGTTCATTGCGATCAAACCGAAAGGCCCAGGTCTCGTAGCCGCTGTATTCCACGTCTCACCTGCTGTCCATCTCGTCTTATCCTCTGTGGGGATGTGTTGCACATGTCGAGCAGAGATGGCCTCGTATATTGAGCAGCTTTTCTTTCTTGGCCTCGAGGGTTTGTCTTCTTCGCTGTCTGTCCCCCTTCCTTCTGGTTCGTTGTCTGTTTCTGTGTCTGTTTGATCACGTTCATCCTCTTCATCTCGTTCAGATGCGGGACGTTTGCGCGATAGTGGATCGCTAAGAGAATCCTCTGGTGGAATAAGGCGCAGCGCTTCCGAGACCATCGAGTACATTGCGCTCCACGGTGGGACCTCCGTTTCAAGATACGGTCGACGTATGTTGCAATCCTGGGCAGTCGTAACAACAGATGTAGAAACGGGAGCCTTGTGGGTGTTGGTGTTGGACCGAGACTGTGAATTCGTCTGTCTGAAAAACGGTTAGCCAAAGAGAACCGTGGATTCTAAATGAGCGATCGCAATCTGCTTCCTGTAGGCGCAGGGAGGTGATTGTGTAGATTCGGTCCATTGTAGGTTCCGATCACGTACTTTGTAGGTCGCTTTCTTGGCAGACAGTCCTGGCCTTCTCGGAAACAATATGTGCATTGAGAATGGTTGGGACTTGTCACGCATCGCTTTTTGCGAAGATAGCATGCTTGGCACGCTTGGAAAGTTGCATTTTGTGTTGATGAGGAGGAGTAGGGAGGCTTGGTGGACATTGATGTGGTAAGCGCTTGTGGTGCTGTTGATACTGATGTTGATGCCGATGCCGATGTCGATGCTGATGCTGATGCCGATGCGATGGTGTCTGAGTGTCGTTGTTCGTTGGTGGAGCTGTTGGTCGTCTCCAGCTGTTTTGTATCATGTGTCGTTGGCATTGCTGACCGGTATCACGAAGATTGTGTCGCAGTTGGGTTGAGTGTATCTTGGACTGAAGGGGAGAGTTCTTCCAAGTCTTTAACTGTGCAGATAAAGACAGTGAAATACAAGCAAAATTAGTGATATCGAGAAGAAAGGAGGAATGTGGTCCCAAAAGAAGAGACGTAAATGATTCAACGTGGATCCTGAGGAATAGTTAATTCGGCCTTTGTCACGAATTAAGGTTTTATCTCCGGCGGGCAAATGGAACCGCAAAAGATGAAGATGGGGGGTAATGGCAAATGCTTCGATACTCGGTAGATGATTAGACAGAAACTCCCAGGATCTTCTTGAGAAATTCATGAGCCTAGCTTTGATTACACGATTCTATACGGTTCTCTGTAGGATCGATTCATGCAGTTCTGTACGTATGGGATCGACTAATGTGCTTCACCGATGTCGATCGCCGGGTCGCCGCAATCATTGCATGATGCTATCTGGCGATCTTATTAAGCTTACCTACTTCTCTGCGGTTTTGAGAAACAGTAGATAACTGTACATGCTGTATGTGCTACGTCATCTATATCACTGCGGTATTGTTCGCTTCATATCTAATGACGACTATGTAGAGCCTCTACTACCTTTGTAGTTTGTACCGTCCCAATGATATTTCTGTAGTAGCGATGCCAGGAAATAGAAATACGTGCAGGTTTTAGCTTCAGCGGATCCAAATTTGCGGGGCGCAACTCATTGTGTTGATGTGTTCAAACTCACTATTTGCCTTATGTACCACTCAAACACATCGTCAGTCCTATGGTAGTCGAGTATCATGTAGTTCTAGTGTTCCAGTTATCAATGAAATGCCCCCCTTTGGCCCGGCATCCCGAGTCTCCCGAACATCCAGTGATAGACTGCGGAGTACGGACGAAAGTCGGCGTTGGTGTGATGATCGACATGACCGGCATGGGTTCCTCCAAGGTTCACACCGCCCGGCTCCGGTGATTACCAATTTGCGCCTAGGGCAGTCCATTTACAAGGTGGTGGTTGATGATGTCGATCGTCGTGTCCTGGCACAGTGGTGCAGTGCTACATCAGTGGCTGTTGCTTTTGGTGGCGAGACTGGGATTTCTTGGAACTAAGGCCATGTTTGCTTGCTTGACTTGCTTCGATAGCCGAGCTGACGGATGGTGGGCTTGTGTAGTCCTTTGTTGGAAGAAGACGAAAGGATGATCGAGTGGAACCTGAGACCGTCAACCGGATATATAAGGTACTGGCAGAGCTTCCAAGTATAGGTGCGGCTTGGTGTAGATGGATCACCCAAGCTTCTGTTAGGTTTGCCGTGTATAGCGAATCTGCGATTGGGTAGGATAAGTTGGATGACCTACGATAATGAATGATACAATCACCTGAAATATGCGTTCATAAGCCCGACCGAGTATTTTGAAAGCCCAGCCTTGCGGTGAAACCGATGCCTCAGAAGATACGAGCAATGGAGATAGAGTGGATAGGTACAACAACTGAGAGATTTATATATCGATGACCAACTGCCACGAAGTTGGAAGTACAAGCTGGGAGTCGGCTGATATGGAAGAACATGGAGGTAAGTAATGGAAGCAATACCACGCGCTGCACAGATTGACGGAGTAGTATTAGACAGGCCCTGCTATGCAAATGCCGTCTAGTTTCCAAACTAGCCCACATGCCGATGCTCCATGATCTGAGCCCTCAACAGCCAGTAAACAGTCTCCACCATGAACACCTCCACACTCGGTCGAGGTTGTTTCTAGTCCCTGCAAACCTTAGGCATAGAGAACAGTAACTAAAGCGTCTCGAACAGGGTATATTACATCCATGATCCAACAATATAGGGAAGAGATGTGCGCCCGGAGCCACTTTGGAACCTACAAGCGGTAATCAACACATACTAGAAGCCTCTAGCATTTTTATGTGCATTTCATCATAACTAAAACGCCGCGCTCAAGTGAGATGCGACTTTCATAATGCCGGGTCCTGATCAACCCGAGAGATTTCCGCCTCATGATTCTCTCACAGCGTTTATTTCGTGCGGCCGGCCAAACTTCTGCTCCTTGTGTTTGGTGCAGCGGTCCAACCGGTTCTCGCCTCCTGGTGCAGGCGTAATTCTATTCATGCTTCGAGCCAAGATTGACTCCCCGATATACCAAAATGCGCTTGGCAATGACGGAAGAGACGTCATAAACATAAGGATGCGAGGGAAGAGGTCCAGGGGTCAGAGCAGCGTGCTCAAACTTTTTATGTATCTTTCCTGCTCCGTAACTGGGAAAGGTAAGAAGAAGTCGATGTAGCAAAATGTAGGGGGAAATCGAGGTGGAGATTCAAGAGAAAGGGTACCCAAGAGACAGGTAGAGGGAAGAGGGAAGAGGGAAAGAAAAAACATAGAATGCACCCCGAACAGCGTCAAAGTAAGGCAGGAAGAAGAAAACGAGACATCCAGGAAAGATCAATGAACAAGTTCGTAACCTCGCGAAAAAGGTGTTGTCACATCATTGCAAGATTTGTTCCGCCCCTATAGCTCTTCCCTAAGCGCGAGCCTCCTCAGGGGCAGCGCGCTCCTGGCGCTGCTGGCGACCACCCTTGCCACCGCGCTGGTTGCGCTGGTTGCCTTCACCGGAGGCACCGCTGGCCTCACCACCACCAAGGGTGAGCTGAGCAGTTGCTAGTCGGTTGGACAATTCCATCTGTGTGCGGATCGTGTTGGCCAAGTAGGAGACGACCAGGACATCCTGGATGTGGTTGTTGCTGCGAGAGTATTAGTTTTATATATCGTCAAGTAACGCGCTGGGATAGGAGAGGAGTCAAAACGTACAAGTCACGCTCAATATCCGCAGGCTCAACCTTGGGAGCAAGAGCAAGAGCATTAAGCAGGAATTGACCCATCGCAGTAGAGGCCGGGGCCTCCTCATCGATCACAGACTCAACATATCGGGAGACACGGTCAATCATGCCCAGAACCTCCTCGATAGCACGCTCAAGGGCCTCCACGTCGGACATGACGGTTGTGGAACGATCCTCCGAATCCTTAGCATTGGCAATAGCCTCGAGACCGCTCTTGTCAGCCTCGCCATATCGAAGCTCATAGGGGACGGGAATGAAAGCAGCGCTGTCGGCAGCCCGCTCAGCGGTAACACCGACGGGGGCAGAGATGTAGGCGCGAGTCTCAAGGTCCTTGCCGGCCTCGGTCGAGACAGTCAAGTGCACAGCGGGGTGAGGCCAGGTACCGTCACCCTGGCCACTGTAGAAGTTTTGGATCAAGGCGGAGAAGGTGTTGAGCTCGGAGGAAGTCGCGTACCAACCGACGAGGACCTCGCGCGGGTTAGCCTTCAGGTGGAGAGCGAGCATCTGCTTGTGATATTCCATGTCGACCTCGACCTGATCCTCGGCCTCCGAGTGGCCAACGGCGAACGCAGAGCGCACTTCGACTTCACCTCCATCTTCAGATCGTGTTCCCAACAAAGTACCGATGACACGTTCTTGATCGGCATTGCGGCGAAGGGAGTGGTCCAGAATAGAGAAGATGGCCTAGCAGAAAGCGGTAATGCACCGTTAGAGACTCGCTTCTCAAATGTCAGAGCAAATATAACAGGGTCGGCTCTGCAATCGTACCTGCGGCTGGATCACCACGTTAAGAGGGGCAGTAGTGGGAGCGGTCCCCACAGAGACGGGACCCAAAGGGCGGGCAAGGTGCAGGAATGAATCTTCGGCCATGGTGTGATATGAAGGCGATGCAAAAGGGGCGGAGGGAAGGGGAGAGATTCACGGAACTGGTTACGAGTTGTTGAGTGTCTCTCCAAACGGGCGATTCGACTTCTTCGGAGGGACAATTTTTCCAGCAAAGAAAGTGGAGTTGCCCGCGCGCTGAGGCCGATTCTCTTTGTGTGTGACTGTGTGGGAATTTTCGCGCTAAGATAAGAGATAAGCCCGTTGCTCTCAGCTTTTTGTTTTCAAGTCCAGCAACAAAAAAGATGACCCTCCGTAGTCAAGACTCAGAACATCACCTATTTCACTCGACATTTAGACTTTAATCATGGCTCCACCAAGAGGTCGAGGCCGCGGTCGTGGTCGCGGTGGTCAGTCTACAAGAGGAAGAAGAGGTCGCATCACAGGCCGAGGAAATGATTTTGCGACATCCCGCTTGCGAGAGGTGGAGTGAGTGCTGCCGGAAAGGCTTGCGCAAGTTATACATGTGAAGCTAATTATGCCGCAGTTCAGACGAGTCGTCAGGTGAAGAAGTGGCGAACAATGCGCCTTTGGACGAGGTGGATGTGGGCGACGACGCAATGGTGGATGATCTCTCATCGGATAGTGAGGTGGAAGAAGAAAACGCCGCCCGACCATACAACGAACTACTGGAAATTCTACAAGCCAATTCCGATAACAAAGGACCAGCGCGCAAGAAGAGAAAGCTGGAGAGCGACACGAAACGCGACCAATCTGTGACTTCAGCAGCCATGGTGGAGGAAGTGCAGGCGGATCACGCACTTCAAGAACAAGCTCCATCCGAAGACGAGGAAGACGACCAGGAAGACAATGACGATGACGACGATGATGATGAAGCTTTGGGTCCGTTCGAGAAGCATTTCAACTCATCAGAGGGAGCAGATCTAGCGCAAAGGATACATTCGATCGAGGCCAACAAATGGTCATCAGTGAAGAAGGAGATAGACGGGCTGCGGGTGGTTCAGTCAGTTCCCGAGGCGGGTGATCTGAAACCGGCGCTATTCCCACCCATGAAGAGTACCGGTGGATTGAAGGTGAGAAACTACTCATGGCAAGGCTTGCAATATTTGCGACTAACTAGCACTCACATACGTAGATCAAAAATAAGTTGAAGCCTCGCGCCGCCGAGCTCCTCCCCAACATCAACGGGCCTGCACAGCAAGTGGCGCCCTATATTTTCGACTATCAGGATGTCCTCTATGGTGCACGCACTGCGTCAATGGCCGAAGACATGCGCGATATCATGGCTCTTCACTGCGTCAACCACATCATCAAGACTCGGGATCAAGTGCTCAAGAACAATGCCCGGTTAGCAAAAGACCCAGACACCGATGTTGAGTACCGCGACCAGGGCTTCACTCGTCCCAAGGTTCTCTACATCATTCCCACGAGACAGGCATGCGTTCGTGCAGTCAATGCCATCACACGATTCTACCAAGTCGAGCAACAAGAGAACAAGAAGCGATTCACAGACACCTTCTCCGGGCCCGATGACGCTGGATGGGAAAACAAGCCGGACGACTTCCGTGATCTTTTCGGCGGTAATGACGACGATATGTTCCGCCTCGGGTTGAAATTCACTCGCAAGACAGTCAAGTACTTTGCCCAGTTCTATAGCTCCGATATTATTCTGTGCAGCCCTTTGGGTCTTCGAACAATCATGGATCAAGCCGAGTAAGTTAGCGCTTGCCAGTGAGTTATGATCACAGACAACTAATGTGAAACAACCCCCTCCCTGACACAGTGAGAAAAAGCGCGATCACGACTTTCTCTCCTCCATTGAGGTCGTCCTGGTTGATCACGCCGATGCCCTTCTGATGCAACTTTGGGACAATGTCCCATACATATTCAAACACCTTAATCTTCAACCTAAGGAGGCACATGGATGTGATTTCAGCCGCGTCCGGAACTGGTATCTTGACAACCATGCGCGCTACGTACGGCAAACCGTTCTGTTGACGTCTTTCATTACCCCGGAGATCAACTCTCTATTCTCTCAGTCCATGCAAAATGCCAACGGACGTGTCAAATTCAATCCCACATACGCCGGTGCTATCACCGAGATTCCCATGCCAGTGCCTGTCAAACAAACCTTCTCACGCATTGACAGCCTGTCCCCTCTCAAGGACCCGGACACCCGTTTCAAGCACTTTACCACGACTATTTTGTCCACGCTAGTCAAAAATATCACCACAGGCCGGGGTAAGGGTGGTGCTGGCACTATCATCTTCATACCTTCCTATCTTGATTTTGTCCGTGTGCGCAATCACTTCGCCCAGTCTGCTCAGACGACGAATGTCTCTTTCGGTGCGATATCGGAGTACACAGAGGCTCGAGAGGTCAGTCGGGCTCGCAGTTACTTTATGAATGGGCGGTACTCTGTCTTGCTCTATACCGAGCGCGCCCACCATTTCCGTCGATACCAGATCCGCGGGGTGCGCCGAGTCATCATGTACGGTCTGCCCGAGAATCCAACTTTCTACGGGGAACTTGTTGGATTCCTGGGTCTAGACCCTGCTGCGGTGGTAGAAGCCGCCGAGGGAGGCGTCCGCGCCTTATTCTCGAAGTGGGATGCACTTAAGCTCGAGCGGACCGTAGGGACATCTCGAGTTGGGAACATGCTACGCGAGAAGGGCGGCGACACTTTCACCTTTGTATAAAAAAATGTGATTTTTTTTCTCTCGACTGCATAAAGACATATCAGAACAACTGTTACCTGGCGATGTGTGGGAATCGTTGTCACTTGGAGATTCCTCTCGTGAAGGCTGTTGTTCATACCCTGTGTCTTGTTTTTAGGGGTCTACTACCTATCTTAGCGAATTGTCTGTACCAGAGAGGTGCTTTGAAAGAACTTCAGTTCAATTTTCTTTTTCAACGCTTAGGATGAAAGTGTCAGGGCATCCTCCGTTCACATCATGAAAGGCTCGCTGCGGACTGTAAATTTTTATTCATGGACGCGAACAGATCCGTCGAATATCTAGCCCTTCAGTGTAGGGCGACAACCGGACCTTCGCACCCGCAGAACTGGTAGTTCGTGACCCGAGAGCCAGCCAAGGATGGAAGTATCCTGCGTCTCCGTCAATCGTACTGCTGCATAGTACATGACTGCATCAGTACATGAATGTATGTAGTATATAGTATATACTATAATACTACTAGTACTGGGGACTTCATAGCTCACCTTCGATCTCACATCGGCAAATCCGTTCCTGACCCTGCCCGTGATCTCTGCAATCGGAGGCCCACTTTTCCCGGTTGCCGACCACGGATGGACGGTTTGACCACCCGATGTTCTAATCTGAAACACGTCAGGCTCGTCAACTTGTGTCATGTTGATGATTCCTGAACATACTCTAGCCGCCTTCCTCACAACGCCTCGTATTTTGGTTATCCGCTCCGAGTCAGGACCATCGACCCTTCTGCCAAGAATAATCTAGTGTATCGGACCCTGCATGGCAGTCCATATCAGTGAAGGCCGTGGACCCTCTCATGACCAGTGGTGCCAAGACACGGGCAATCTACCGTACTCGGTTTTATCTTCGGCTTCCATGAAGTTCACCTGCAGTTTCTGTCAACGAAGCATGAAGCAAGTGATCAGGATTCCAATGACAAGAGAAAGGAGTGGGCACAGATCATGATTGCTCTTGCAGTTATGTTCACTCTGCATCATCATCAAGTCATATGCGCAGCCTTGTACTATCGGCAAAGCTATTTGTTCGAGGGCAGCTGCCTTCTACTTGTATAAGGTGCCGGCCAAGACCTCCACGGCAGTGAGACATCTACCCGAAGCTGTCACAAAAAGATGAGTCCCACGCGCCGAGTCTACACTATTGAATCGAGCGGACTTGGCCATCCTGGACAACAGCCTCACGCATTCTCTTCTCCTGTCACGGAGTTGCGCGACCTTCGTGTCGCGGAAACATCAAAGTGCTTGATGAGCACCAGAAACATTGATTGCGCTTTGGCATTCAGAGATCCAATAGTAATCAATAGCGGAGCCCGCCTCATATCAATGCACGAACGTCTCTACGGAAATCCATTCCAGATGAGTCTCCGAATAGGCGAGCCTTGATCATAGGCCTGTCCAGGGAAATTCCACTGTGCGGACAGAGCAACATTCAGGGTCTCTGATGGCCAGACTCCATCGTGAAACCACATCAGGCTTGGCGCAGGGTCCCGGTTCCACTATCAAGCTTGAACGGTATATCGCCGAAGGAATCTATTTCTCATGGTGGCCAACGGTGTTTCAAGGAGGTTCTTGGGAGCTTTGATGGTAAGAGCTGACACAACAGAGTCGTTATTCTGTGATGGATAAGATCGAGCATCTTAATCTCAGTCCATAAATACTCAGCCTTCTTCCTGCGCAAGTACAATCTTCGTTCTTCTCTTTTCGATATCATCGCATACTTTCTTTCTTGATCATTCTCTTCAATCCCACCCCTGCCGGCCAGGTTTCTTCATTCTTTGCTCGTTTCATTATACAAAAAACAACACTTCTTCAATCTCTTCCAATCTTTTTTCAATCTTCAACAACAAGATGCATTTCACTACTCTCGTTGGTGTCGCCGCTGTGCTGGCTGAGTCCGCCTCGGCCCACTACATCTTCAGCAAGCTCGTTGTGAACAACCAGGTCTCCAACGACTGGGAGTACATCCGCCAGACCACCCGTCAGGTGAACTACTACCCTACCAAGTTCTACAAGACCTTCGACAACCTCACCCCCAACGACAACGACTTCCGTTGCAACTTGGGCTCCTTCCAGAATGCTGGCAAGACCAAGGTTGCCACTGTTGCCGCTGGCGACACTCTTGGCATGAAGCTCTTCTACGACGCCAAGGTCCAGCACCCCGGTCCCGGTCAAGTGTGTAAGTTTCAATGGTCGATCACATTCACCCTTCTTATATGTGCTCCACGAGGATATGTGAAGGAAGAAATGCATCCTATATCGGCACCACTCGATCGATATCAAAAAGAACATACCACTGACAAAGTTCTTTTACGTCGAACACAGGGATGTCCAAGGCTCCTTCCGGCAACGTTAAGGAGTACGAGGGTGACGGCGAATGGTTCAAGATCTGGGAGAAGACCCTTTGCAACGAGAACGGTGATCTCACCAAGGACGCCTGGTGCACCTACGGCATGGACCGCTTCGAGTTCCAGATCCCCAAGGACACTCCTGCCGGCGAGTACCTTGTTCGTGCTGAGCACATGGGTCTCCACGGTGCTCAGGCCAACGAGGCCGAGTTCTACTACAGCTGCGCTCAGGTCAAGGTGACCGGTGACGGCAACGGCGCTCCCGCCCAGACCTATAAGATCCCCGGTCTGTACAACGACAACATGGTTCTCTTCAACGGTCTCAACCTGTGGGTCGACAAGGCTGCCCAAATCAACGCCGATATTGCCAAGACCCCCATCGGTGATGCTCCCTGGACTGGCGGTGGTAGCGCCCAGCAGTCCAGCAGCGGCAACGACAAGAACCAGAACCAGAACCAGAACCAGAACCAGAACCAGAACCAGAACCAGAATCAGAACCAGGGTGCTTCTGCTCCCTCTAACGGTAACTCCTGGAACTCCTGGAACCCCTGGAGCAAGCAGAACGCTGCTGCTCAGGGCTCTGACGCCACTCACACCGATGCCAATTGCAACGGCGGCATGCACTAAGCGGTTCAGGCGTTGAGCTATCGAATGTGCACGGAGGGCTGTTCATCTTCTTGTCCGTGCTTTGACCGTGGAGCCGCTTCCGAGGCTTTTTCTTCGCGACGGATGAGATCCCTTGACAGCGAGGTGTGTGTTCACAAACCATGTTGCAGTCTGTAACAAGATTCATGAGTCAATCATTCATTAGATTTTATACAGACTTGTATATCTACATATTGAGCCTTTTTCCGCTTGTATTCAATTGTTGCACTTTGCAAAGTCACTCGTCTCTAAAAAAAAGTTACGAGCTAGTCCGAGCCGAAATTCGTATTTGTAACTTATATGCTGCCGCTATCATAGCGTAATGGATGTCAAAGAAGGATATAGGGTATTAAGTATGGATACAGATGCGAATCTTTCTTACCTCGAAGATGTCGGGAGTTTCTGCAACTACTGGCTAGTGGCGTGCTGGTCTCCGAGATCGGGTTGTGTTGAAATGGATAGGGTCTGTATATTGCGAGAGCAGATTCAATAATGATTCTCCTTGTCTTTTTGTTGGACTATGGTGGCTAGTTCTCAAAGACAATCCAGGTCGCGTCTCCAGTCTATGACTTCGATCTATCCCGGTCATCCTCACCCGCTGTTTCTTGCACCCGAATTCATCTACCTCGATATCTGTCTCCGCGCTCTCGGGTACTTCAGTACCTTTTGGAGACTCCACTTGCGGCCTCCCCACTTCCTCCGCACGGAACCAACCGAACGGAAAAGTCATGCGCACCGTCTCGTTTCTCCAAATTTTGAGAATCGCTGTCTTTCTTTTTCTCGAAAAAAAAAAATGATTCTTACTGTCCAGAGCAGGGGCACAGAAGACAACTTATCATTTCATTCTTTCATGTCCCGTACATAGCACTTTACTTTCTTCCCACCGGAAACCTCAAGTTCTCGAGGCGGACTCTATATTCATCCCACCATGTCCCCGCCAGACTCGAAACCATCCTCTGGATTTCCTCCCCAAGACAAGTCGAAAAGAGGGCAATCGTCACTCGCCTGCGACTCCCGACCTTTGACCGACGAAAACCAGCCACTTCTCTCACCCTCCAAACACTCCTCCGAAGGTGGTCATGAGCTGCGATATTCCGACGAAGCAGATCACCCCGATGCGCCTCTTCGACAAGCATCTCCATTATCAGTGCCGGCCCCTCATCAGCCCTACCGCGATGATCCTGACGAGACCCCCGATCATCTTGTGCGGTATGAACCGCGACCCATCGACGATACTGCCGACACAGACGATCGGGATCTGGCTGCGGAGAGAGCGCGGCCGAGAAAAGCATGGCGCGCATCATTACGAATCTTCTGGTTGAGGAATATGGGCATGTTCCTGGTCTTGTTGGCTCAGATGTTTGGCGCCAGTATGAATGTGATGACGCAGATTCTGGAGATTCACAGTTCGATGCATCCATTCCAGGTATGAAAAACTCGAGCGCAGCTGGTCTTGTCACTTGAATATCGACATCCACGTTTCACCCTTGAGCCTCGGCTGATCCAATTTTGATAGGTCCTCTTCGCCCGCATGTCCATCACCGCCGTCGCCAGCTACCTCTACATGTGGTATGCCCAAGTACCCGCACCGTTTGGCATTCGACCGGTGCGGAAACTGCTCCTTCTCCGAGCCACCTTCGGCTTTCTGGGAGTCTACGGTCTCTACTACTCCGTCCAGTATCTCCCTCTCTCCGAAGCCACTGTGATCACCTTCCTGGCGCCAATCCTCACCTGCTACGCGTGTTCACTCCTCATCCCCGGAGAAACCTTTTCCGGACGACAACAATTCGCGGCCCTGGTCTCCCTCATCGGCGTCGTCCTCATCGCCCGCCCATTCTCATCCCGCCCCGGTAAACCCCACAGCACTACCCCCGCGGACGACGGAACCGAAACCCCCAACGACACAGACTCCTTCCACCACATCCTCGCCACAATCGTCGCCTTCGCCGGTGTTCTCGGCGCATCAGGCGCATACACCACCATCCGCGTCATCGGACGACGTGCCCACCCCCTCGTCTCAGTAACCTACTTCTCCAGCGTCACGACCATCATCTCGCTCGCCGCCATGCTGCTCGTTCCCGGCGTGCCGTTCCGTCTCCCGTCCACGCCCACAGAATGGATCCTACTCACCGGACTCGGTGTGTGCGGCTTCCTGCTGCAGTTCCTATTAACCGCAGGGCTGAGCTACGTGGCCCCGAGGAGTGTGCAAGCCCAGGGCGTCAAGGCGAGACAGGGGAACAAGGCGACGAACATGGTGTATACGCAGATGTTGTTCGCCGTGTTCTATGATAAGGTGGTGTGGGGGGTGACGATGGCGCCGGTGAGCTGGGCTGGGTCGGTGCTGATCCTGGCGTGTGCGGTTTATGTGGCTGTTGCGCAGGAGGGGCCTCGTGCTGTGCCGAAAGAGGATGGCGAAGGAGAGGCGGCAGAGGTAGTCGGGCAGGAGCAGGGGTCTTCGGGTGTCGAGGAGAGCGGGCGTGTAGAGTGTTAATCTGGGAATTGAAAAATTGGAGATTCGTTTCGACAGATATAAGATAGACGTATAGAAATAAAGATCGGATGCTCGAGTGAAACATACCAAACTCGTACAGTGTGGTATATACCACGTACAGACTACAGACATGCAGAGCACAATATCAGAACGCACTATTACACTACACACCCAACTCTACACCCAGCAAAAGCAACATCTTAGCACGAGCGCATCCATACACAGCGTCAATCGACAAGTCCAATAGATCGGCACTTACGGGAGATTTGGTACCCCCCGACCAGCGCTCAAGCGGACGTCTCATCCATTTACCGTTTGATCGAAGCACAGATCAGATCGACCGGAACAAAAAACGTCTAACCTATAGATCAACCGGCCGTGCATCATAGATTTCTTCTATACTCGAGTATCCAGTCCTCCGAATAATCTGAATCAAGCAATAAGACAAGAAGAGAAGGTAATGAGCTCCGTACAAGAAGAGGGCAGAAAAGAAAGCACAAAGCATAAGCACGGACAATTCACCACGAGGCACTGTGGCGGCAGCGCCAAAGTAACATAATACCACAGGGAGTTTCGAGACCAAACGGATGGCCAGGCGAAGTGGGAATAGCATTGGAAAGGAAGGAAAAAGACGAAGACGAAGCAAGGTCGGGATCAAGATAGATCATAGGTAGGTGGTGCGAATAGGTGTATAGCTTCTGCTAATGTCATGCAATTTGTCATCATGGGGACCGCATAATCCTCTCTCAAACATGGCACGCGATACAAAACACGTAGTGTGGATAGAGAGATGAAATTCGAAAGAAACAAAGGGAAAAATTCCGAACCCAGGGCTGTGCTTTCCGAGGAGACGACTTTCCCAACGTGTTTCTGGTGATCGTATGCCTTCCTTTTCCATCCCTCATCTCTCCCACCGTCGAGTTTTGCTTCCTATCTTGCTCATTAAATCTGCGCGACCAGCTTGGTAGATCTGGCCAACTCGGAGATGAAAAAAAGAGTGAAGTAGTGACAAGAAGGATAGTAATGGAAAGGAATTGTATCAGAACAAGAAGTAAGGAATACATAACAGTGATGAGTGGCTGGTCTTTTTTTTTCTGGTGTGATTATTTCTGCAGGCAGCAGTGCTGTGGACGCCTGCAAATTCCTTATTCAGCCATCGCCGTCTTGCGGCCACGAATATCATTCTCATCAAATCCATTTTGCTCCGACTCGTCTTCGTCCGTTGGCGAGTGAGGGTGGCTAGGGGTCTCTGCGAGGGAGAGGCGACTACGGGCCATCTGATTCAAAGGAAAGGGGGACGTGTTAGCTTTCGGAGTTTCAGAACAAAAAAATTTTACAGGAAGAGGACGTTGCCCAAACTCCACATGTTCACGAAATGCGAGCGCCGTGGGAGAACTCATGTAGGTCAAGACTCACCCATGCTCGCACACCTCCAATCAATCCCAGACTATAGCCCGTCGCAAAGTCCTCATTCCGACCCACACCAGGACTGTCAGGTCGAGTCAGCGCCTCTACGCGAGACAGATGACTCTTGTTCCCACCCGTTGGGCTGGCCAGCGGTCCACGGGCAGTGGTGTAATCCACGCTGTTGCGTGCAGAAGGCGCAGGACTTCCGGGTCGGCTGTTCTGCCAAATTTGACGCAACTCACGTCCAAGCTCCTGGCCAGTCATGGTCCAGTTGCTTCGGATGTTGTCTCGGATCTCTGCAACATGACGTTTAATTTCGAGCTCGTTCTTCTTCAACCATGAGACGTTCAATTCCTGGCGCGATGCGCCACGCTTGAATTGTCGGGAAATGTACTGGTCATAGTCGCGAACAATGCTGGAAGAAGAATCGAGTATTAGAGCCTGTCACTGCAACGACGATTCAGGGCACAACGCTCAACCAAGGGCCGATTTTCTTACCGAGTGATGATGCCGGTTGTGCTCACACCTTCCGTGCGCTGAGTGACCAGGAACTTGCCCTGGGCCTTGATGGGCGCGTAGATGTCGTCGCCCTCGGCGGCCTCGTAAGGTAGATCGTCATGGGCAACATAGTCGATCTGGTGCTCGGAGAGAAACTCCGGAGTCACGATCCATGGGCAATTGGGGATCACCTCATCGACCCACTTGCAATGCCGAATCGTCTCGGCGCGCTCTGCACCGCTGAGGACAGTTAACCCCTTGCGCTTGTGTGTCTCTTCATCACCGGTGACGCCCACGATCAAATACACATCTGGGAAGGCCTTTTTCGCTTGCTCGAGCTGTCTCATGTGGCTAAACGCAGGATAATTGTCAGGTTAGCGGTGTGACACCAATCAATGTTTGCGCGTCGCATTCATCATTCCGCCAATCCAATTCCTCACTGGTGACAAAGTGTAACTTTCGTTCTCTCCGGGGTCAAGGGAGTGCCAGAACCGCTCTCGCACATTGTACGGGGCAAATCCATCGCTCAAGAACTCCCTTCCACTCCGACAAGCAATTCCAGATGTAAACGTACCCAAGGTGGAACAAGTCAAAGACTCCATCCGCGTAGACTCGCACCGCCCGACCCTCAGGCGGGGGGTTTGTCTTATATCCGACCGGATCTTGTAAGCCTCCACGCTGCGGCGGCAGCATTGTCCGAGCATCCTCCTCCTCCTCCTCCTCCTCCTCCTCCTCCTCCTCCTCCTCCTCCTCTTCCTCTCCGCCATTAGGCAGCTTGATGTGCAAGCCGGGCCGACTCCGGGGTCGACTCTCGACGTCACTGCTGGCGACGGTAGTCTCGGAAGGTTCACCGGGATCTTCACGTTGGATATCGGTTCCATTGGAGGTACCGGTCGCGTTGGCAGTTCCGGCACTCTTCCGGGCGCGTTTCGATGGTGGATCCGACTCGGTAGTGGTGTGATTGAGGCTGTTTTGGTTCTTGTGTCGAGCAATGGCGGCAGTGGCCGGTCCAGTGGAGTCTTCACCGTCCTCGCTGGACGCGTCGCGCGAGGATGGTTGAAGCTCTGCTGCTGGGACAGGTGCTGCTGCTGCTGCTGCCACCGCCGCCGCCGTGGCGGGCAAAAGCGAGCCGCTGCGTTTGCGCTTGCCGGAGGGTGATGTGGAGGTGGTCATGATGGAATGTGTGTGCTGAAGAAATGGAAAGGGAGTCTTGTTGATGGAATTTCAAGACGCGAGACCAACGACAACGGATCGGAGATGAGACACCTCAATGCGGGCCAGATGGGAGGGATGGAAAAGGGTTGAGCCTGGGGGGTGTTCAGGAGGAGAGAGATTCCACAAAAGGCTGGAGATGAGATCCCCTGGGAATCACCGCAGTTAATAATAATCTCTGGGGCGGGCCGGGAGCTGAAACGGCCACCACCTGAGCGGACTGAGCGGACTGAGCGGAGAGCAGCCGCTCGGCTTGAGAGCACGTCGTGGCTCGTGGCTCGTGGCTCGTGGCTGAGAGGTGCTTTGGTTCCTAAAGCGAGCTCTTCTAGCGAGGTACCTTTTGATTTGGGACAGGGGCGGACATTGTCTTACACTTTAATCTGAGTTTTTGTCCATCACGCAGATAAAGCAATTGGTCGAAGAGTGTAGATTGCATCAACCGTTAGTCGGCACCGAGTCGAAGAGCTGCACTGTACAACTAGACGATATACAGATAGTACAATCGCTACAATACAATTGCCATTCTGATACTCAGCTATCATATATATAAGGTAGGCTCTGGATCTGACAATAGACACAGAATCATAATTTGAAGCCCGATAGAACGCATGTTGATGAGAACACGATAACAATACCGTAAGTCCTCGTCATCTGCCGCCTCGAACTACGATTTTAAGCCACATGCATACTGCGCTAAACACGTAGCTGCTGACATGCAAACATGCAACTCGCAAGATAAGAGAGAAAGAAGCGTAATGTACATAACATGAGAACACTGCTCGACCAACCAAAACACTATACGACATTGACAACCAGAAATCAGAAGAGGCAACGTCCAAGCCCTAAGTTACCAGCAATGTCCATAAGGATGTCTGCCTAAAAGTGTCACCTCGAAGTCCTGGTTTGAAACTAAGGTTTACCCTGCGGCCGCGATTGAGGGCCCCCGTCGTATGCGTGGAAGTATGCGAAACCGGTTTTGATGACATCAACTGCAAACGAGATCCCTCGGCTTGCGAGGACAAAGCTTGGCCTGCAGTATAAGTGGCGCATTGATCGATCTCCAACTAGGAAGTTGGAACAGACTGTAACACTGACTGGTAACACTCACTACCATTAGCCTAATTTCTACTATTGTTCATCTTGGCTTTGAAAGACGGGCTGACTTGGAGACTGGCTCTCATCATTGTGCTCAATCTTTTTGTAGCCTATTGACATCCGATCTCTTCAGGGACATGAGGACCGATTGAGAGGATGCGGTGGAATGGTGCATAGGTTCGTTTTGAATACATACCTGCACGCCAGTGCTGAGCGCAGTACTGAATACTTGAGGTAATACATACGTTGAAGTCATCCAGCAGGTGACTCGGGCATCAGCAAAATACCTCAGGATGGTCTGAATCACACAAGAATCATCAACGATATTCTGTTAGATGATACCCAGACGCAAGCATTTACCTTGCGGTAAGAGTCACAAGTGCTGTCTGGACTGGAAGCCTGGATCGCAGATTGGGTTTCCATCGAGTGCAGTTTAGAGTACGCCTCTCACCCTGAACTGGACTTTTAAAACTCATATCCGAACATTGATCGAGCATCGGCCCGGAGACTAGATATTATTAGGCACAGCCATCACCCCGCAAGGGTTCCAGAAGGTCTCAACGGAAGGAGAAGAACGGGCGCTGGCCACCAAGTGTCAGATAGCAAGACCACGTAAATCAAAGACCCATTACCTAAAGAAGAGTCTGCGGGAAACACGGTCGCTTCGCATCCAGTAGGGCATAGGTCATGCTATACCACCAATCAAATGCGACGTGGAAAAGGGAGTCAGGATGTAAATGAGTTCGTCAATAGCAGGGCAGTTTCTGCGGTATCTCGTATGGGCATAACATGTGAATCAAAGAAAAGAAATTCCAAAGCTCGTGAAGGGGATGCCCGCCATCGCTCCCGACATTGTGGGACACACCCTCAATATTTCCATACACTTCCCAAGTACCCCCTACGAATCATGCTCGGAAATCCCGCCCAAAGTCCTTCACAGACCACTTGTTGTCCGACTTCTTTCCCATGCTGCCACTTGAAGAATCAGCTGTTGAGCGATTGCGCTCACTCTCGTCTTTGAAGCCCATCAAGAGATTCATATGCGCGCTTGGGCCTAGACTGGTAGGACGGATCCTCTTCAAAAGCGAAAAGGCCGCACAGTAAATAAAAGAGGAGGGGAGGAGGACAAGGCGAGATACAACAACTGATCGTCAAATCAGGGCAAACCATAGCAAAGCAGAGTATGTCGGAGGAAGGCGGAGACATGGAACAGTCCGAGGAAGACCGCACTGGACGCCGCAAGCACGAGGAAGAGAGAGACAGGGATTCGAGGAATGCGACGGTGCGAAAGGAGGAGGATCAGGCCGAGACGATAAACGGGAGGAGGGTGTGTGCGCGGACGTGTGCGCGGACGTGTGCACTGAAGAAGCAGAGACCAGAATAACAAAAGGCGTAGAAGGTTTCCAGGAAGAGAGTCAATAGTCGAGGAGGGGGGAGGGGAGGCATCATTTGAGGGATCACGCAATGTGTTTCTTCTCCTGCTCCTCGGTAGCGGCTGGAGATTCGGATATTTGAACGGTTCCGCTGCCTTCATCTTGCTGACCCTGGGGGCCGGGTGTGGCTTCCCGGTCGCTTCGTGAATTGGTCGGATGGATCTGGTTGGTAAGGTCCTGATCTTCTGTCTGATTGAACAGCTCCTCCTCGTTCTGGTCCGAGATAATCTCAGTACCGTCTCCCAAAAGAATGATTCGACCCTGACGCACGCTAAAAGCCCGCGAACGCTCCATTTCCAACTCATAATCATCGGTTTGATCCTCAAACTGATTCCGGATTCCAGGACCGCGGAACTCGGCTAATCGACAAGAATTGACCGTCAGCACGACGAAGAAGGACTTCCTTCGGGTTCCTCGTGAGACTTGCCGTACTCGGGCGGAGCACAAGGCCCGTCTCCATTCGCAACTCGCTCTGCGATCTTGTTGTACCACTCCTCCTTGGTCTGGCCGTTGAGCAGGCCGATGACAGTCATGGTCATGTTGTCACAGCCAACGCCACCGGTCTCGCTGTTGGAAGCCAGGCAGTTGTCCATCATGTTCTCACAAATTCGGTACAGATCCTGCTTGGCGGCAATTCCTCGGCGCACAAATTCCACGACAGCTTGGGAAGACTGGCAGTCCCAGATACCTAGAACACGGGGGAACTTGTGTGAATATCAAAAGTCATGGGAAAAATAGTGAAAGCTCACTAGTGAGAAGGGAGGAAACGTACCGTCGCAGGCGATCACAAGGAATTCATCGTCATCAGTAACATCGTGTACAGTAACATCGGGGAAAGCAGTGACGATCTGCTGTTCAGGAGACAACTCAGGGCTCTTCTTGAACTCAAAGTCTCCAATGGCACGAGACAGGGCAAGGTTGCCATTCACACGGCCAAAGTCGACGAAACCACCGGCAGCGTTAATACGCGCCTTCTCGCCTGGAAGTTCATGTCAGCAACGCAAGTATGGAGGACTTGTGGGCATCCTGAGTGAGCCCTTACCTTCGTTCTGCGGCTTGTGGTCAAACGACAAAGGCTTGGCGCGGCCCTTGACTCCGAGGACCGATCGCGAGTCACCAGCATTGGCCTATTCAATCGGTCAAGATCATGTTCATTGTTTTTCCGTTCCAAGGATCTTCTCCGCAAATTTTCCACCTACCACCCAGATCTTGTGTTTCGAGATGATCGCAGTTGAGGCCGTGCAACCGGACACTTCTTCCTCATACTTCGGATCTGGAGAAAAGGCATCGGCGTCAGTACAAACCTTGCATCCAAGTTTTTTTTCTTCTTTTTTTGCAATGTCCTGGCATTCCACATGGTTTCAAGGCCGCCAGATGCACACCATGTCTGACGATTTTCTTTGTATTGCAGCTTTCCCGCCAGAAGGAGTCACGAACCTTCCAGAATTGCGCGGTCAGTCGCCAGGAAACCGTCCTTCAGAGCCTGCTCAATGTCACCCTTGAGGAATGACTCCTGCTTGGAGACGATCTTGTGGAGGTTCTCTCCAGTGAAGAGCGCAACTTTATCGCCACCGTGACCATCGTAAACGCCGAAGAAGGCCATACGCTGGGCAGGGTCGGTCGGTTCGCGATCGCTAGGGCCGTTATATTTGGCGTGGAGATCTAGAATGGCCGCGTGTGCGTCTTCCATGCTGATACGCCAGCCCTGCATGGCGGAAACACCATAGATACAGCAGTCATCTCCACCCTCGGACGAGGTCTAAGAAGGTCGCACAACCCCAGAACGTCAGTATCATAGAAGGATAATAGACAAATTGCAGAATCATGGTGAGTCAGAGACCAGGCTCTTCATCGGAGACGAGAACACGTGTTGTGGATGCCGCACAGTCCAAACAGCCTCCTTTTCATCCGTCGGCTCGTGAACCCCCTCCATGGTCAGCACCACCCCCGCATGGGCCGGTGCAGGAGAAGACGAAGCTGGCACGACACTCATGCCTGGGTGATTCCCTAACGAAGGTCTTCTAGAGTCGAAGCTCATGCGCAGCAGTCATGAAGTGTCATTCCAACGTCGCTGTCTTGACCGAGGCCGAATGGGAATGGATCTCTCCGGGCCACTGGGCGTCACATCGCAGTGTGGGGAGGGGCAGAACAAGCGGAACAAACTGGGAAATTCGGGAACTCACCTTCTCGACCACCGGCTCCGACAAGGTCTGACCCATAATGGCACGGATTGAATAAAAGGACAAGAAAGGTCAAGGGAGACGGGAGGTCAGAAAACCGAAGATGAATGGCAGAAGGAGTGAAGGGGAAGGGAAGATCAGGTGAGGTGCAAATGCAGGTCTTTCAGCGCGTCTCTCTCGTCTGTCCTTGGGTCCCGCGATAAGTCGCCAGCCAAAAAGTGGGGAATCAATGACGATGTTGTTAGGGCTCGTTTACCAAGGGAGATGGTTGTAGGAGAGAGAGAGTCGGTGGAACGGACAGTCAAGAGCAAGAGTATTGAGAAGTATCTATTTCGAGGAGAAAGCTTCACCAACTTGGAGATGGTATTCAGTGTGTGGGATTCGATTCCAGTCCAATGTTGAACAAGCGCAGCTAGGCAGAGATTTCTCTTGTGGTCATCTGGTGTAATCCCGGTATCTTAAAGTACCTGTATAGTGTATAGCACTTACAATACGGTGATTACAGCTCAGCGCCTCAGCTTGAGCTTGCGCGGAGTCACGTGACTTGGGTCCAGCTATAACTTACTTTCTTATGCTGCATAAACTGTCAGCCGCTGCTATCGTAGGAGTACTGTGGCTTCAGGCTTGTCTCCAGTTGTCACCTTGCAATACGAGCAATGTCTATCTGCGACACGTGCACCGCAGGTCATTCTACTTCTGTCTCTCGAGAGGGCGGCGATCAGGTGTGACATCCGCAGGACTTCATATACTATACTATTACGCAGTATACTGTACGTGGTGATAGAACCAAGAGGCTCTATACAGTATACAGTCGACCCCAGCCCGGTGTTGAATAGGGATACGTCTGTCACGCGTCACTTGCTCTACTTGCTTATATCGGCCCATACCCCAGTCCCAGGTGGCTTGACATCCCTGTTCAATTACTCGGAAGGACTGACTCAACTCGAACGGCCGTCAATTGAGACAGGCACGCCAAGTTCCTTGTTGTGAAGGACTCCAGCCACTGCCGATGTGGCCCGTGGAGTGTGGCAATGGAAGTTTTCAATGCTTCGGTCCAACCTTGGTAAGTACTAAGTAATAAGTTAGTATAGATGTCGTCGTACATGAGCAGGATCCTGCCATGCTCAATTCAAGTTATCGCTCATTCACCAGTATCGCCGGCTTCTATATCCTCAACCACATTCAAGGGAAGAATTTGGTCCACCCTCGACTGTATAACACAGCAGCCAAGAACCCGGAGCGAACTTTGATCGTACAATCAGATTAAGCGTAACACCACTTTTCAATACAGTGTGTATTGAATTCCCCCTGTTGGGCCAGATCGTCACGCATGGGCCCTTAAAAGAGTAGACCATCCGAGGCTGGCTGGCTACTAGCTAGTTTCTGGTTGTAAGTTAGTGAGCTTCGAAACAGCCTTTTCGTGGTAGAGTTTTATCTCTCCCCCAATCTGCAGGGTCGAAGTCGGTGTAGGAATGAAAACCAACTTTGCTAATATGCTGCTCTTGAGTCACGTCGTGTGTATTACAACAGTCTCCCTTGGCTTCAGACGAGAGTCTGTGCTTTTCAAAGTGATACGGATCTCCGAGACGCCTCCAGATCTCTCGCCGAGATGCCTGGAAGACTAGAAGTAATATTCAACATTGCATGCCGAAATTGTAGGCATGGCACGTGCCAAATTCTGGTCTGGGCGGGGTGAGCTCCGATCGGAAACGCTTCTCGACTTGACAAAACCCGACACTTTGGGATTGTTGGGTCGAGTCTATTGTTAGATAATACGGTAGATGCCAGACGGGATGATAATCAGGATACTCGTGAATACATGTTGATGCCTCGACGCCTGCCTCGAAACGCTAAGGATCCTTTCTTCGTTGTTGTGGCTTTGCTGTTCTAGCGGAGACGTAGGACTTGTTGCTCGCTCGGTGACCTCAGATGTCAAATGTCGATTTCCGTGCCTCTCTTCTCTGAATAATTGTAAAACACTCGCTGAGGAGATCTACGCGATGGCCGTACATGAATCAACGCCACAGACTGAAAAGAAGCAGGCAGATGCTGAAGAGAGGAAACATAACTTTGACTCCTGGCACATATACCGGGCGATAACAGTACAAGTAGTAGTCCTTTCGAGCTTGACAGGCGGAGGTTACAGTACCTACTGCCTGGTAGGCTGGTAGTGGTACTCTCTTTGACGCGAGGACCTAGAGGGCAGGTATCATCGAGGTACCCCCAGGGCCTGAGCCCGCTAAGAAGAGCAGGCAGCAGGCAAGAGTGTACACTTTCAGGACCCGCCGAGCCAGACATGGAACTTTGACCCCACCCCAAAACACATCCATTGAGGCATCCGACTACTAACTAACGACATCAAATCTACCCATTCAACGATCAGTCAAGTTCCCTCCAAATGTAAGTGCTGAAGCTCTAGACACTGCGCAATCTACGCCTGTTGTTCAATCACGAACGATTGCCAGGAAAGACTCAGCTCAACCTCATATTTAGCGATTTCGCTCAAGGCCGCCGTTTCAAGCGCATCGCGTCCCCCTACAGCCACAAGACGCCAAACTTTCAATCTAGAAAATGCCACCACAAGACCCCGTCGACAAGCGCCAAGCCGCCCGCGAAGTCATTGATATTCTCCAGGAAATTTCCGATCTGCTTGTATGTAGTTGACCCTTTCTTCCAGTCAGCTAGGATGATGTCCACCGTCCACCTTTCTTTTTCTTGTCTGCAGTGCTTGCACTCGCAGCCCTTTCACCTCAAGAGCTCGAGCTCCACCTTGGAAAATGAATTGGGACATGACATGACCTTAAACTCATAGTCCTTGAATCTCAAGCTAATCATCGACATGGCTCATCCACAGAACACAAATCTAGACCGCACAGAGCTATCGCTATGCGTGTCGCTGATTGAGAATGGGGTCAACCCCGATGCACTTGCGGTACGCGTCTACCGGACCCTTGAGAGGGTCCTCGCGCCTGCACCCAGGCAATGACTATCGCAAGGGGCACATATTCGAGCATTCTCTTACTGACTTTTATGCAACAGACTGTGATCAAGGATCTTCGAAAAGAGGCTGCCAACAATAAACGGTTTTCGCATGCGCCTGCTCCTGCTACGGCGGATTGAGGGATGATTGATGCCAGATGCACAGCGAGTTCTCGGTGCGGGTCTTTCACGCCGAAAGAAATCGGCTACTTTCAACGAGGTGTCGGATCTTGAAATCGGAGTTTTGCGGCGTTATTTGAGTTGTCCTTCTGCCCTTACGCTACTTTCGGTACATTGTCTGGTGCAACTATGTCCCTTACGATCCATTTTCTTCCCGTCGGTACAGTGTGAGATTCGTGCTCATGCACATGCACATGACTAAACCACGTCAAACCCAGCGACCCAGTTCCTCCGTAGAAGACGGTTATACTCATCGAAACGGACACAGAAGAAAACATCGGCTTCATGAAAAATAATAAAAAATCAACAAAAGGGGGAATTACAGGGCGCGACATCGGACCCGTACAAAAATTGGATAATACGACAGATTGAGAGTAAAAAAAGCAAACGGACGCATGTCCACCTTCGCCAACCACTCTACTTCGATGAGTCCTTCTTCTGATTGTCCGCTGCGGATCCGATCTCGCCGGACATGGCCTCGGCCGTGGCCTTCTTGATCTGATCGCTCTCCGAGACGGTGGTCTGCTCCTTAGCTTTGACGTCCTTCTCATCATCACTGTCTCCGAGACTGAATGGATCATTCTCAGCGACTGGCGATGGCTCGACGGTGGCCAAGGGCTGCCACTTGCTCGGCTTACCACTGGGAGTGGGATTACGTTTAATAGGGGCGGACGCATCGTACAAGTTATCAATCTCGGTGGCCGGGCCCTCTTGGAATGATACTCTCCTTCCTGAAGAAGGCGAGGGAGCTTTGTTCAAATTTGCGCCACCGGGGCGTGGAGGACGCGCGGGAGGAGCTAGTGATCGTGTAAGCGATGATCGAACACAAACATAGCGCATGACGGTAACGTACCTTCACCATCCCTTAATTCCAGCGCGGAAAAATCGTCGCTCAACAACTGCGGATCCGCATCGTAGCGTTCGCGGTCCCCACTGCGACGACCTAGCTCGCCACTACGACGCGGCCGCCCGAATGTCGACGTTTGCTGCTCGTATCGTTGACTGGCTCGGGCGTGCTCTTCTTCCTCGTCATCCTCGCCATTCAGTTGCTTCTTCAAGTTACCAAACCATGCATTAACTTTGGTCTGCGTTTCCATAAAGCCTTTCTTGAAATTCTCGCGGATCACGGGGAGGTCGTCTGTGAAAGATATTGAAGTCAGTCCATGTTTGCGCTTCTCCAAAATCATGACAGGAAAGTAGCGAACCGTACCGTCGAAAAAGCTGTAATCCTTATCATTCGAGTCCTCACTACCCCGGGGCTGGCGATATCGTGGATCATTTTCCCACCCAGGGGCTGGACGGCGCCGGCCGTCGCCTGGGGTATTGTAGTGCTCAGCTAGTTGGCGCGCATATCGCTCATCGTCTTCTAATTGTCGCTGAGTAGTAGAGGTGGGTACGCGCTGGGGACGAGGCGGCTTTGGAGGAGGGACCATTTCTTCTTGGGCAGCGGGGTCGGTCATTCCTGTAGAGGGAACAGACCATGATTAGCTTCAAGTTTCCAGCCGAGTTCAGGAACAAGTGAAAACGTACCGAGCAGTGCATTGAATGCGCGTTCGACATTCCAATTACTAGCAGTGAGAACTGCCTTGACAACTGCAGGGTCGATTGAGGGAAAAGCTTCCTTCAAGGTGTTCAGTGACTGTTCACGGGGACTCAAGGGTCTTGGAGGCTTTGGCGGGGCAGCTGGGGGCGTCTCGGTCGTGGTCTGCGAAGCCTGTTGCCCTGAGGAAGCATTGGTACCACTCGTGACAACACCAGATTCTTGGGGTTCATCGTCAAAATCCAAAGGCCGCGCGGTGGTTGGCGATTCCGCGCGAGGGCTCGTGGGAACAATCGCCGCTGAGGGCTTGCTCGGAGGGGGCTGTGATAGTGAGTTTCCGGAAGAAAAAGCCGCAGGGTATTAGATGGACACTCACACTTTTGTTTTCTTCTGCCATATTTGCGATCTCTCTCAGACTCGAAGTAGGAAGAGAGAGGTGTCTTCAGAAATATTGTTGAAAAAGTGTTGCCTGCGACCAACAACAGTAAAGGAGGCGAAGCAGATGTAAATTGATTGGGGAAGCTCCTACAAGTGACGTGGGGTCGCACGTGATGGGCGGGTCACTTTTGATAGACACATCCTGCCGGGCCTGGAATAATTAAAGTTGCCGCGGTCTATCACTTGTATAGCATCGAGACGAAAGGGTTGCTGTTTTTTCTACCCGTTGCACAGGATGATGCAACAATGTTGCATAAGGCTTCAACTACCCTGAGTTAGACACTCTCACATAAGGAAAGAACGACCTCAGATTCTTTTCAGTTACATAACCCCCACGTCTTTCGCTAGACTGGTCCGCTTCAAATGGCTTCCGAACTGGAACTTTCCAGTGGGTTTATTCCTGCACTATATAAGCCCACAACCTTATTGCCAATTGCCCGACACAAGCAAAGCCTATTATATCTGGTAGAGACTTACCAGGTCACGATTGTCGTTGGTCAGACTGGTAGTGGAAAAACAACACAACTCCCACAATACCTTGACCAAGGCGGCTGGTGTGAAAATGGCAAGGCTATTGCTATTACGCAAGTGAGTATCCCGATCACCCCGTTCCTTAAAGTATAGTACATTAACAAATTCCAAGCCTCGGCGGGTGGCTGCCACTACTGTTGCGACGCGAGTGGCAGAAGAGATGCGCTGCAAAATTGGCGAAGATGTGGGATACTCCATTCGGTTCGAAGATGTTACCTCGGCCGCGACGAGGATCAAATTCTTGACAGACGGAATGCTTCTACGAGAGGCGCTGGTTGATCCGTTGCTCTCCCGGTATTCTGTGATCATGGTTGACGAGGCCCATGAACGATCCCTAAGCACCGATGTTCTGCTCGGAATTCTCAAGAAAATCATGAAGAAAAGACGAGAGCTGCGCATAATTATCAGCAGCGCGACCTTACAAGCAGAGGATTTCCTCCAATTTTTTGCCGCAGATGAGTATAAGCCCGATGCTGAGCCAGCCGAACGAGGTGGTCAGGTGGGAAGAATCATCAGCCTGGAAGGACGGATGTACCCGGTCGATACACTTTTTCTGGAAAATCCTGCTGAAGACTATGTCGAACGAGCAGCGAAAACAGTCTTTGATATTCACACTCAAGAAGCCGAAGGCGACATACTTCTTTTCTTGACTGGCCGTGAAGAGATCGACCGTGCTATCCAATTGATCACTGAACGTGCCGCATACCTCAATCCAAAGGCACAGTCGCTATTGACTCTCCCACTCTATGCTGGTCTTACTACGGATCAGCAGATGTATGTCTTTGAGCCTGCGCCGGAGAATACTCGAAAAGTCATTGTGTCAACCAACATTGCGGAAGCATCAGTCACAATTGACGGTATCGTTTATGTGATTGACTGTGGTTATGCCAAGTTGCGAGCCTACAATCCCAATACTGGCATTGAAACATTGACGGCGGTGCCTATATCCAAGGCCTCAGCCACCCAACGCGCTGGCCGTGCCGGTCGAACTAAGCCCGGAAAGTGCTTTCGGTTGTACACGCAACAAACGTACGAGCAGCTTCCCGAGGCCACAATCCCGGAAATTCAGCGTTCGAACCTTGCTCCAATTGTTATGCAGCTCAAAGCGCTAGGTATTGACAACATTGTCCGCTTTGACTTTCTGACGTCGCCCCCGGCTGAGCTTGTGATCCGTGCCTTCGAACTTTTATATTCCCTTGGGGCGGTCGACGACTACGCCAAACTCACCAAGCCATTGGGAACACGAATGGCCGAGCTTGCCGTTGACCCAATGATGGCGAAAGTGCTTCTAGCTGCACCCACTTTCCAGTGTTTGAGTGAGGTGCTCTCCATTGCGGCCATGGTCAGTCTCCAGGGGACTGTGTGGGTGCAGCACGATGGTGACAAAAAGGGTGCTGAGAGTCACCGCCGCAAATTTGCCGTTGAAGAAGGCGATCATCTCACTTATCTGAATGTTTACCAAGGCTTCGTCACTAAGGGCAAGAAAGATTCCAAATGGTGCCGCGACAATCTGCTGAATTACCGGGCCCTTCTGCGCGCCGTCAGTATTCGGGGTCAGCTCAAACGATACTTGGAGCGCTTCGGTATTCAAGTTGATGAGAGCCTTTCATCGCGACCCGGCGGTGCTGGCAGAACAACGACATCGGAGCAGATTCAACGATGTCTGACTACAGGTTACTTTGCACATGCAGCGAAGATGCAACCCGACGGCACCTTCAAGACGGTCAGCGGTGGACTGACGCTTCATGCTCATCCGAGCTCATTAATGTTTGTAAGGGCTTCATGCTTATCAGGGCCGCCGGTGGCCGGTTCTTTCTAATTCGGGTTACTAATTATCTTTTATTAGAATCGCAAAGCGGATTGGGTCATCTTTCACGAAATCATGCAGACCGGAGACAAGACGTACATTCGCGACATTTCCAAGATCGAAAAGAGCTATCTCCTCGAATATGCCCCGGAATACTATCGAGTATCCTGAGAAGTGGAGACCTTTGGAGCAGATCATCGCTTTCTAGTCGCACAAAAACTCAATAGCAACGACAAAACAAAGTTCTCAAAAACTCGAGGTAAATGCCATCAAAACCAGCGAGCCAGAGCTGGGACTTACATGGCGCCCAATGTGCTGAAAACATCTAATACCACTCCTCGTACATTTCCCCAGCCGCTCGCCCATAGCCTCTCTTCGTAGTTCGTGCCATTGACCGCTCGCATAGGCATTCATAACTTCCTACTCGTGTTGATGATATGCGGGGAACCCACCTGCAGCGCCACAGGCGCGGAGTAACGCCGACGCCGCTATTAGCTACGGTGCCTGGCAGCGGCCACATTCAATTAGTCATTCGTTCATAGAGCTGCCACTGGACTCCAATTCGGTACGGTGTACGCCAGGTCGCAGTAGAAGATTAGAAGGCCCACAAACATTAGAGGAGAGCCTAATCCCTGGGGTCGTAGTACAGGTCACAGCTGAAATCTGCGAAAGGTCAAACCTGCAGAACATTGTATGGGAAAACTCGGGTCGTCTAATATGATAGTATCTACTCAAGTATATTTAGTTCTCTACATAGTACATCCACAGTAACAGTACTTCAAGTGCAAACTTGAAAGCACACTTCCCGACAGTGGACGCTCTGAGTTGCAGTACCCGAGCGCGGAACCTGAAGTGTAACAGAACTGTAATTTTGTTTGCATTTCGCATTGTATGATTGTACTGTATTGCACCCATTGCACCCAATGAGGGAAAGGCTCTCAATGCCTCGGTCTTCTTTACATCTCTCACCTTTCACCACAACTACACGCGCTACAGCATATGTGAAAGAATAGACACATTCAAGTTCCTTTGCCCAGTATGTCCGGCCATCATCATCATCATGGAGGCGACGGACATGGCCACTGCCATGACGAACATGATCACTCCAACGATATCACTCCGGCGCTTCAGTCGCTGCTCTATTCGCAGATTGATTTTGACTCGGTCACCACGCTGAATGGTATGTCAATCCGAAGTTCTCAGTGTTGTGGTAGATTCGTGCAGTGACTAACAGATTGTAGAGGCAAGACCCAAGAGCGGCGCTGCTATTCTCAAGAAAACCTGGGCCGAACGACTGAACGACCAACCCGAGCTTGAGAGCGACGCCGATGAGCAGCTTCTAATGCACATCCCGTAAGATGTCCTGCCCGCAGAATCAATCTTTGTAGTCTCTGTGATTTGAAATTTCCACCTCAAGTCAACATCACTCGATCAAAAGTGCTCAAGAAAGCCTAACACTCATCAATCATCGACAGGTTCACCGGTCAAGTCAAGCTACACTCTATTCTCATCTATACTGCGCCCACCCCTGCTGCGCCGAAGACTCTCAAATTATTCAAGAATCGTGATGATCTGGACTTCTCAACAGCGTCAGATCTTTCTCCAACACAAACCATCGAGGTACCACAGCCTGTTGCCGGCGAAGATGTGTTTGAGCTTCCACTGAATCGCGCCCACTGGAATACTACTACATCCATTACCGTCTTCGTCGAGGAGAACTGGAGCGACGGTGACGAAGACGTCACCAAAGTCGGATATGTTGGCTTCAAGGGCCAATTCATGGCTTTGAACCGCGAACCGATCAGCTTCCTTTACGAGGCAGCTGCCAACCCCAGCGATCATGTGTCCATCCCGGGAATTAGCGACTCCGGGGCTCGCACAATGCCTGGCCAGTGAGAAGGGACAGTTGGAATAGAAATATTCGATTGAAGAAGTGGAATGTCCTGAAGATACTGGCTGTGGTTATGAATAATGAGCAATATGCAATCGAGAAGAATATTTCAACAACGCCAGGCCATGCTTTATATACTCAAATTCACCCACGAAATGAACTTTCTCCCTGCTCCGAGTCAAGACCTCCTTGAAATGTTTTCGAGCGCAGCGCTCTTTACGACGCGAGGACGGGGGTTCGAGTCGGCTCCTGTGACTCTTCTTGCACCTCCACTGGTGGTTGAGGTCGCTCCGGTAGAGGGTCGCTGGGCACAGCAGGTAATTGCACCGGTCCTGCGACCTCCCGTTCAAGTGCTTCCAGTTCGTCCTCAACGTCTTCCTCATCCTGGGTGGATAAACTGCCTTCGAGCATTTGGCTCACCTCCTGGAACTATTTGTCAGCGTTAGGGCGTCAAACGCAGACTTCCACATCTCTCACCTCTTGATAGGCGCGAGCCTCTGCTGTCTCCTCCATCAACCGATCTACAGCCTCAATCCCGCCGATCTCCTTATTGATCGCCTGCAGCACCTTGGTCCCTTGCTGCAGGCCAAACAGCACGTCCTTTTGCACCAGTGCAAATTCAACCTGTCCCGTCAACTGTTCCAACTGCGCAAGTTGGCTGTCGGTTTTGGAAAGGAGGGTCTCCTGGTACTTCTTGCGCCGAAGCGCAAGTAGCGCCCGACGCTTGTCATTGCGTGCAAGGCATTCCCGAGCGATTTCTGTTTCTCGATCTGTGAGGGCCGTGATCCGTTTCTGATACTGATATATCTTATCGCGCTGGATTTTCAGATCGAGGATTGCTCTAATTTGTGGCGGTCAATGTCAGTCCATCACCAATCTAGCAGGAGCAGCGTCATCGCAATAGTGGGTTATCTGGAGTCTTGTGAGGGGCAACACTCGGACAGTGGAGTTGTGTCATGTTTTTGGACGTGAATTGTTACAAGCATGAGAGTAGCCCGGCTATGAAAACAAAGCATATACTCACCGATCTTGCGACGAGACTTTTTGCGAACTGCCCGTATTCCCCATTGCAACTCTTGCGATGTTGACGGTGCATCTAATGCTCCAGCAAGATCGGTGGCAGATGACGTGACTGGTCGCATGCACGCAAAGTCGCCCGCTACCGCCTCCGAGGCTCCGATACCGATAAGAAGATTACCGTAAACGATACGAGTAATTTTACCCCGGTTGTCCGCTTTCTGTAGCCCCGAGTTCTGCTGCTTTTTTTTTGTGCAATTTAGACCGATCGCGATAACGTTTTTCGCAAGGCAATTGCAATGGCGCCCAGAAATCGCGGGGGTCGACCGACCCTCAGCCAAGGTTTAGATCGTGAGGTCAGCGCTCGTGTTTCGAAAATATGTATCTGGAGAGAGGCGGCGCTGACAGTCGAGAACAGGTCTACCAGGTTGTGCGCAAAATTATCGATGACGAGCCCGACGGAGTTGATCGAGTCCGATTGACGGTCCCAGTTATTTATGGCCGAATCCGAGGATCAAATTCCAGCTTGAACAGGAAGCCCAAGCGTCTGTTGGAAGATAGTCTTGAACGGGTCCTGGAAGTCATCAAGGCCGACTTATTTGGAGACGAGGAGGAAGACTCGGTGGAGGGAGATTTCGAAGGATTGGAAGAGCCTCCGGTCGTGGTATGTGTCTCTCTTGCGTTTTTGCAGCACAGGCATTCCAAATTCCGCCGCAGTTTGACTGATTTCGCCTCCGCTATTGCAGGAGCCCAATGGCGTGAATCAAAGTATTGTTGGCGCGTGGACAACGACAACAGCTTCCAAAACGACAGCTACGCCCAAAGCCGAGTCCACGACCACCTCCAAGTCTTCTAAGCGTCGGCAACATGGGAGCGAGTCGGCCTCGAAGCGGCGCAAGGCCGATGCTGCGGTTGATCGGTCACCACCAACCCATGTCAGTCTCGCCGACTTGGGTGGCCTAGACGAAGTCATTCAGGAACTGGGCGACTTGGTTATTTTGCCAATGACACGGCCACAAGTATATCTGTCATCGAACGTGCAGCCCCCGCGAGGTGTTCTGCTCCATGGACCGCCTGGTTGCGGTAAGACCATGATTGCCAATGCGTTCGCGGCAGAACTTGGTGTACCTTTTATTGCCATTTCCGCCCCTTCAATCGTCTCTGGCATGTCCGGTGAATCTGAAAAGGCTTTGCGTGAGCATTTCGAAGAAGCCAAGCGTCTTGCGCCTTGCCTGATTTTCATCGACGAGATCGATGCGATTACACCCAAGCGTGAGAGTGCGCAAAGGGAGATGGAGAAGCGAATTGTGGCTCAGCTCCTGACATGTATGGACGAGATCGCGCTCGAAAAGACGGATGGCAAGCCCGTCATTGTTCTCGCGGCAACCAACCGGCCCGACAGCTTGGATGCTGCTCTGCGTCGAGGTGGACGCTTTGACAAGGAAATCAACATGACTGTGCCTTCGGAGCCCGTGCGAGAGCAGATTCTGCGAGCATTGACTCGCAAGCTGAGATTAGCAGACGATCTTGATTTCAAAACGCTCGCCAAGCGTACACCTGGGTTTGTTGGTGCGGATCTGAACGATCTTGTCTCGACGGCCGGTGCGGCCGCTATCAAGAGATACCTTGATATTCTCAAATCGAACAGTGGCGACGACATGGAAATGGAAATCGAGACAGATGAGGCCGAGGACATTCTCAGCCCCAAGGTTCGGGAATTGCGCCGTCTCATCTCTCATGCCAAGGAGAATCCAATTGGCGACGAGACAGAAACGGTGTTCGTCTCCAACGCCGACTTTTTCACTGCGCTGCCCAAGATCCAGCCCTCATCCAAGCGTGAAGGCTTTGCCACCATACCCGACACGACCTGGGCAGACATTGGTGCCCTGGGCGGCATTCGCGAAGAACTATCAACTGCCATCGTGGAACCGATCAAGAACCCTGATGTTTATGCTAAGGTGGGTATCACCGCGCCTACAGGCGTGCTCCTCTGGGGACCACCAGGTTGTGGTAAGACACTTCTGGCCAAGGCCGTGGCCAACGAGTCGCGCGCCAACTTCATCAGCGTCAAGGGACCCGAGCTGCTCAACAAATTCGTCGGAGAGTCGGAACGGGCCGTTCGCCAAGTATTTGTTCGCGCGCGCTCATCAATCCCCTGTGTCATTTTCTTCGACGAGCTGGATGCCCTCGTACCTCGTCGTGACGACACCCTGTCCGAGGCCTCCGCCCGCGTCGTCAATACCCTTCTCACCGAGCTGGACGGCCTCGGTAGCAGTCGCCAGGGCATCTACGTGATTGCCGCGACCAACCGGCCCGATATTATCGATCCGGCGATGCTTCGACCCGGTCGTCTGGAGACACTCCTGTTCGTCAATCTGCCCTCGCCGCTCGAACGCGTGGAAATCCTCCAGACACTGGTGCGCAAGTTGCCCATCGAATTCACCGAGGACATGCGCCGACTCGCAGAGGAGTGTGAGGGATACAGTGGTGCGGATCTGGGCAGCTTACTCCGTCGGGCGGGTTACTCGGCGATCAAGCGTCGCGATACTATTCACCTGGAGGACTTTGTTGCCGCCAAGGCGTTTATTCGTCCTAGTGTGACGGATATGAAGAAATATGAGCGTCTGCGGAGGGACTGGGGTAGTGGAGCTCCTTGAGATATACAGTCTGCATAGGCCATCATCATCTAAGACACCAGCACAACATTCCAGTATAGCGTGAAGCAGTATACCTTGAGTCGAGAGACACAGCTGTACATATACCCATCTTAACACAGTGACAAGACGAAGCTTCAGCATGCATGCAATCCACCCCGATGTACACAAGGATAAGCAAAAATACCAAAGCTTGATAGGGAGATCAAATGACGTGACAATCAAACCCCACAGTCATCTTTTTCTTATACCTTTTCCTCTTTTCCGAAATATACAAATCCCCAAAAGCAAGAAGCTCCCTACCCCCTCCCCTCCTTGCCAAAAACAAAAGATAGCCGCACTACTTTGCCGCCGCGAACACGCAACCAACACCCGAGCGTATACCTAGAACTCAGCACATCCCCTAATTTGAACCCCTCGACATCCAGCAGCAAAGCGCCAATCTCAACTGTCGTACCTTGTCTTACCTTCTCATCCCACACCAATTACGCTCCTTCTAAAGCCAACATCTACTCTAGCAAGACGGTAAAAAGTCCCGCCTACCCTACCTTGCTTCGGCTCCCGTCTTCGCGGTTCCGTCACGGCGTCCACCTAATTGCTCTTTTCCGAGCCCTTGTCGCGGGCAGGGCTGTCATCCCTTGATCGGCATGGGCAGTATAGCTTAATTGGATATGCGTTCGCGCTCGCGCATCGTTCTGTGCGTGCCACGTGGCGTTTGCTGAGGGTCCTGTCCGGGTGGATTTGAGACGTGTTTGAGCACGTTGGCCCTTTCAGGTTGGGACGGTGGTATGTTACTTGTTCGTGGTTTGGGTAGAAGGGAAGGGGGGGGAGTCGTTGGACGCGGGTGTCTTTTTTTTTGCTTTGTGGGCATGGGATGGGGAGATACTTTGAGGGATTGTGGCTAATGGATGAATTGGTCGATCCTATACATCGCAGTATGTACAACGCATATTGAAAAAGTGAAAAGGGAAGATGAGATGGAAACTCCTTCGAAACACCAGAAATGATTCCTCTCCGCGAGTACGGAGTCAACAAAATCACGGAAAAAGAGGAAGATACAATCTTCCATTGTCCACACTCCACAGTGGACGAGAGTTGTCGAGAGCCAAGTGCTCACTCTCACTCTCTCATACACACCATCTCTCTGTCTCTGTCTCAGCCTCGGGCTCGAGCTCTTTTCCAACACTAGATCGCAGCATACGCCATCATTGCAGCCCAGGTCACAGCCAGCACGACCGTCAAGATTCCCGCGCCGGCTTTGTCACCCGTGGAGATGGGGTCCGGCCCCTTCTTAACAACTGGGTTTGTCAGACCGGCATCTGGATTACTTTGACTATCACCACCTGTGCTGGAGGTCACCGGCGCGACTGACTTGCTGGTCTGCACAAACGGCAACAAGTTGGCGCTGAGCACCTGGCTCACGCTGATCTGTTGCTCCATGCCCGGGTGACCGTCGTATTTGGATTCGTACCAGCGCACACCGCAGGCATTGTTGCCCTGTCCAGTGCAGGAGGCGGCGGCGGCGACGGCGGCGATTTGGAGTTTGGGCATGATGCGGTCGTATGTGCTGGGGACGATGATTGCGATGTAGGAAAACCAGGTGGAGAGGAGGCCCTTGAAAAGAACCTCGTTGTTGTTGCAGATTTGGCGAGGCTCGCAGAGAATTTCCTCCATGACGTAGCCGGTTTTCTCGGGGAAGAAGGTGGCAAGGGTGCGATTGAGGAGACCGTCCAGCGCGGTGTACCATTGTTGATCGCCGGTCTTGGTGCGGAAAGAGAAGAGGATGATGTCAGCACGGTACAGTTCAAAAATGTCGGAGGGGCATCGGGTCCAGAATTCCAAAAGCCATCTTGGCTCCGCTGTGACTTCCTCGACCGGGACAAGCAAATACTCACAAGATTGTACATATACGCCACGCCCATCATATACGTGCCGTAGTTGTACGTCCAGGGCCAGTTCGCACCATTCTTACAGCCATCCGTTCCCTCGGTCGAATCCAATACCAGCCAAGTTTGGTTGTTGACCAGCGGCGTGCTGCACGACCAGTCCCATGTCTTCTTCGCCCAGTCTGAGTATTCCGAATCGCCCGTATACCGGGCCAATCGAGCCGCAAGCTGGAAGAAGCCGCCATTCGAAATGGCGTTCTTCATTGTGTATCCACCACCTTGATAGGGAAACATCTGCCACGTCAAACCCCCGCCGCACATTGTCGTGTTCCAGCGGCCCTTTTGCGAGTTGAAGACTCCCTGGGCAAGCGAGAGCCAGGAGAAGCCGTGTTTAACGTCGGGGAATTTGAGCTCGGCTGCAGTCATGGCGGCGAGACCCCAGAACATTTGGTCGTCATTTCCCTAGAGAGCACATGTCAGAATACATCGCCCACATGCGGGGGGAACAGTCGTGTTGCGCTCCGGCAACGATAGTACTCACCAGGAAATGACTGTAGTTACTCGGTAAGTAGTCGCCATTGGACCCAGACTGCCACTGTAATCCGACACTCAATTCGTCATTGTAGGTTGTGTCGCCGGTAAAATGCCAGTAATTCAGAAGCGCATAGAACAGGGCTGACCCCTCCCACCATTTGTCAGGAAATGCGCCGGGAATCTGTCCCGTCTCATTACCGTGGTAATATGTCATCATCCCCCATGTTGCTGTTGCCGCGGCATCTTTGATCGATTCTGCGGGTCATCCACGTAGCATCCAAGTATTAGTCGAGACTCTTTAGTTCGGTGCCACTCCCCTCTTTCGGACTGGGCTCTTTATAGTCGGTAGATGCGACTCACGTTCATTATGGATATCCAGTTGGATGGCGTGAGCTGAGTAGCCTCCGAGGGTCAGCGCATAGAGGACAGCTGCGCATATTGAAAAAGAACCAGGCATATGCATCGCCGATGGAGAAGGGATCCGGATGAATAGGGAAGCTTGATCCGCCCCGCAAAGATGGACGTTGCGGAGAAGCAAACGTGAGTATGTTAGGAGAGAGTCTCGGGGTTAATCATCGATTGAGGTGCAGACGAGGGCGCTGGCTCGGGCTTCAGCGGACAGACTCGTGCAGTCCAGAGGAGAGCGAGAGCGAGAGAATTGGTGGTGAGCACTAGAAAGGATCAATGAGGGCGCAGTGTCGGAGTCGAGATTGGCTTGATTAAGCGTCAGTGGAGGAGGAGGAGGTGGTGGTGGTGGTGGTGGTGGTGCAGGCGCAAGTCAGCAAATGTGAAGCTGAAGGGTTCGGTCTCGTCGAACTGCGCAGTGCTCTCTGTACCTGAGATGGTGACCAAGCGAAGTGGGTATGGGGAACAGCAAAAGGAGGTGGGAATTGTACGATCACCAAGCCACAGACAAAAAAGAAAGGATGAGGCAGCAATGGGGGCAGTGGTCTCCAAGCGTCAATTGTACGAGTGGATTACTCGACGGACCATTCGGTCATTGCCGTTGAATGGCACAGCATAAGCAGGCTCCATCCAAAAGGTCTTGGACCCACGTGAGACGGGGTCGTGGTCCAAGACTCCAAGTACATCAGTACCTGAGTACCTTACCTACTCTGTACACTAGTGTACAGTATCAGGTACCTGCTGTAGGACTAGTAGACTTCATAGATGGTAGGGCCAGTTACTATCTTACAGCGATTCGATCGCTGATCGACGGATGTCCAGTATGTCTGTGCCTGCTCAGCATGCGCAAGTGTCTGAGTGTATCAGTGTTGACTCGTTAAAGGTCCTGCTTTGCCTGGTTCCGGAGGGCTTTTGAGGCCGAGACATAGAATACTTGGAAAAAGTATAGTAACCGGCCATGTGCAATGATATAATCACCACGAGTATCAGTCTAGTGCTGTGGCTCAGGCCCCCCCCGTAGGTCATGTATTTTAGAGATGGCAACTTGAAAAGCACTGGGGGTTTCTGCAATTTACTCGTGACGGGCGACTACAGCAGTACATTCATACATTGAAGTTGTCGTTCATACTCCATAGTTCAAGGAATCGGCACCGGGTAGAGGTATTATCCGAGTCATGATCTTTAGCATAAAGAAGTTGCCATTTTTACCTGAAGTGACGGGGGGAGAAGGGGGCTGGAGTGGGGTGTACCTTTGATCGATCTTGGCAGACTCAGAGTCATGCAAATAGGGGAGCTTCAGCCTTCGACGCTCCGATGCACAGCTGTCGAATGCACAGATACACACTGACACCGCACCCCGTCGAGTGGTCTTTTCAAACCTGATCGGCCACATGAGTTCAACATCAATCCGGGGAAGGCTATCTTGCCCTAGCCAGCCACGCAGATTGCATGATGGTGATGCTCCCTCGGATGGACGGTAACGTCAGCTCACGTTTGGAATGTATCGGGACGGTGGATTACCGTATCGATAATCATCTACATATGTACGGCTCAGGATCTTTACTCTTTACTTTTACCTTGAGAGCCCAAGAACCATTACGATCAGAGATTTCAGATGGCAATATCCTGAGGCTGTAACTAGGTTCGACATTGCTCTGTTGAAAGTTTCTGTAACAGGAAGCGCTCATTTCGCTCATGTCTGAGATACAGTATCGTATTGTAGCTTGCGTATCTGTCGTACCATACCGGCGAGGCCTAGGCGCGCTCTCGGCTGATCAGGTGGGGAACAACTTGAACTATTTCTGTCGCAGATTCCACAAGTTACGACTGCCACACTACGGGTCTTGCGCTTGATAGCTCGAAAGCCTTTTTAACACGAAGCCATGAGTCTCAGCGAGTCAACAGGCCTCTCTGTACTCTGTAGTCTGTACGAGGGTGAAACTCCTTTTATATAAGGGAAACACCCAATTGAGATCACGTGGCCCCTAACTGGTGCAGTCTGCGCTCAGCACTCGGCACGAGCAGTGTGAGTGGTGTACTTTCCATGAATCTATCTAGTGATCTACTACTAATCTAGTGCCTGCCACGGGAATAGTACGGTATTTTTAAGCGGGCGGTATAGGGTCACGGTGTATTTCAATTCCAACTTTCTTAACTTTATGCACCGGATCGCCGCGGATCCTATTCCCCCACGTGGTCTGGTCAAGTCCATCAGTCGACAACTCGACACTCGACACTCGACGCTCGAGAAACTAGTACAGCGCGTTGCCACGTACAGCACTACTACTCTTGTAAAAAGCAAGAAACATGAGTGTCCTTCGTTCCAACTGACTACCTGAATTAAGTTGAACCCAGTTGTGTGGCTCACTGGTTACCAACCCAGTCACCTGATGACCTATCACTGCAATCACGTGGTTTCCGACCCATTCTTCTCTGTCTGGCTACACACTGTACATAGTAGTAGAATACTGGCCTCGGATGATTTCAGGGCAGGCAAGCTATGACTTATAATGCGGGAAAACAAGCGCCCACCTGAGATGCTTCAGGTCTTTTGGGAGCCTGCATACATGACTTTCTCACTGGAGTAGTCTCTCACCTCATGCTTCCGCCTTGGCACCTACTGGATTACCTTGCTGATTGCTGGATAAAAATCTCTAAGTATGTCGATGATGACGACGACGATGATGTAAACTTTATCATGGCCAGCATATGCCAAGCACAAACCAACGGGGTAATTCAGGGTTTTGGACCCTTTTAGACTTCCGTTGGACAACAGCCGTGCGGGAACCTTTATTTGAGCTAGATGATAACTGCCGATGTTAGAATTGATGTGAAAGGTGTACTAATCAGTATCACCAGGTATACACAGGATTATACGTATGAACTTATCAAGTAACCTAGTGACTGGTTAACTACATAGTAGTTAGTACTACTAGTTACTAGTCGGCACTTGGTAGTCATTAAGTTACTCCATGAGTCCATCCATGTCTTCGTAGTGATACTTGGACCTGCCCCACGCTATCAAAAATTAAAGCCACCTGGACAGTACCTGATTACGAGATCCAGACTTCCATAAATGTACACGCGGTACCTACCTCAAGGACTGGAGCAACAGCTGGCGCTAACCGAGAAAGCGTCCCAGTTCCAAAAAAATATATCTCAGCGCGTCGCCGTGAACATACTTGTACCCGCCCAACCAGTGGAATTGCATCAAGATCGGGGTAAAATAGCAGACTAGATACCAACCTAGAACTTCCAGCGATCGGTCAAAGTATATGCAACTTTGACACCCTACCTCATCACATATCAAATCCAGGAGACCCTGTACTCGCTGTCCAAGAGGCTTTCTCCAAGTCCACCGGCAGTCGGGCACTGCCCGTGAAAATGCGACCCCATTCCACGTATTCGCACATGAGCCTTGGCTTCTTGGCGCGCGTTGCTACCAGACCGTGGCGGCGCTTACAGAGTGCTGGGAGTTGGCACTCGTTCCCATCCAGTGATCAAGAAAGACACGTCTACCACCTGCGTCCATATTGTCAGACATTTGAAACTCCCATGTCAGCCCGACTTGCCTGAAATCTTTGGTGAGCAACCTCAAATCTAGAGAGAAATAAATTAAAGTCGGATCCGTCTCCATCTTTGCCCTACACTATCAGTGTTGGGTAGTAGGAACTTAGGAAGGGTTAACATGTGGGTCGAGGCGAGTCTAGTACATGACGAACGAGGAGCAGTACGGAACAATCAAAGGGCCGACTAAGCTTATCGAGCCTGTACATGCTTACATGGAGATTTTTGTTCCGAATAATGCTCTCGAACCCGAATCTGCATGACACGAGCGGTAATCACACAATCACCACCAAGGTCTAGGACCACACCATCGGACAGATCCGGCTTGTTCAAGATCAACTTTTATAGAAGTATGGCTATACAGAGTTCTTATGCACAAGCACACACATACATGCAGCACAAGAAAAGAAAGAGAAGGAACGCCTAGAAGAGTATCATGCATCATCTGAGACCGCAAGAGAGAAGGGGGAAAAAACGACAGAGATGGGAAAGAAAATGTAAAAGAGAAGAATCAATCTACATCCACAAGCGACATGTGCCATCGGCACCGGCACTGACACACCAAGCCTCCCGAGGATGCCAGTCGATGTCGAGGACACCGAGCTCACCGGTGATCTTGTGACCCTTGAGAACCTTGAGAGGGACGATGCTGGCGTTGCTGAGCATGTCACCCGTAACACTGCCGTGGAAGATCTGCAATGAGCCGTCGTCACTGGCATCAGCAAACAGCGGGTAGCGACCGCCAGGGTGGAATTTGACGGCACGAATGGCCTTGCGATGGTACCGTAGAGTCTTGTACGGACGCTGTGAAAGGTCGAGATCGTGCCAGAGGAGGCGGCGGTCGTAAGAACCGACGATGATGTTGTCGCCACCGGAAGCAGTCGACGAGGTAGGGTGAATGTCAAAGGAAGAGATCCAGCGGGCACCGGGCTGGACAATCTTGACCAGCAGTTGGCGGGAAAGATCGTATCCACGAATGGATCGCTGGTTGGCAACGAACAGAATGGGCTTGGAGGGATGGAAGTGAGCAGTCTGAGGAGGACCGCCACCCTTGAGACGTCGGCGGAAGGGATACTGGGTGAGGTGCTTGGAAACAGTGTGAATAGAGATGGCCACAGAGGCAGGAGTGGAGGCCCCCGAGCAGACGGTGACAAAGTAGTCACCGCGACGGTGCCAGGAGATGGACTTGGCCACATAGCGAAGAGGAATGACAGCACAAACACCAGCATCCGCCAGCTCAGACGACGGTCGAATCCATTGAGGAGGGTTGTTCTTTTTGAGAGCATCCGCTCCACTTGGCGCAGGGTTCGAGGCCGCGTAACCCCAACCAGCATCAAGAAGATCTAAGCTGGCCCTCTCGATCTCCGGGGCGGCGATCGTGGGAGGAACTATCAGGAACAGATCATCACCTGCAGCAGCAGCGAGAACCACCGCATCCTTACCTGGGCGCCAGCGGACAACGTTGACCGCGTCCTCATCGCTGAGCTTGGCACTCCAGAGTTGACGACCAGTGAGAATTTCCCAAACACGCACAGTACCGTCATCACCACCAGTGGCCAGCCAAATTCCGGTAGGATCGACATGGAGAGAGCGGACACGACCCTTGTGACCGCGGAAGACGGTCGCACAAGTTGTAGGGAAGGGCTTGAGCTCCTCAGGGCTGGGCAACTTGGGCAAGAGGCTCTCGGGATCAATGTTGAGTTTGCTGCGACGCACACGAGGAGCCAGGTAAAGATCCAAACATCTCTCAAACTTCTCCTGAACAAAGTTATCATACCCAGGAACACGGCGAAGGGAACCAAAGTCATTTGGCAGGAATTCCTTCTCACGATCCTCGGGATCAGTCTGCTCCCACTCCTTGCGCTCCTTCTTGTCAGGAAGATACTCTGGAGGGGGATGATAACTCTCCTCGTAGCCCGGAGGAGGCAGCTTGGGTGCCGGAATATGCATCACATGGTCCGCACGAGGAACCTCGTCGGCCCACAGATCGTAGTTGATAAGAGTCTCATCCTTCTCTTCGCGCTCCTCTGGAGGTCTATAGGGAAGAATGCGACCTTCGCGGATAGCCTTGACAATCTTCATCACTCGCTTGGCCTCGTGCTTGGACGGCACGAAGCGACGCTTCGGTTCAGGGGCAGCACTGAGAGGCATAATTTCAAGTTGACTAGAGAAGGATTCCACCAACGGCTCGTAAGGGTTGTAGCCGTCGACGGTCGACTCATTCATCTGCACCTTCTTCAAGAGCTCAAGTTCCTCTTGACTCAATTCCAATGGTTTGCCAGTCGAAGGATCGGTAAGGCCAGTCCAGCCCTTAGGGACCTCGATACTGTCAAGCAGCGCATCGAGAGCCTCGCCCTTGGCTGGGCGCATGATCTTCTTGCCATTGATGTCGTATCCGATATGAGGGTACTGGTCGTAAAATGTCAAGGGGATATCACCAATGGTGTTAGCATTCTCGTCCGCTTCGGAGTAGTCAGAATTGTCGTCTGGGTTGATCTCGTCGTAGAGGTAGCGATCGTTGCCGTTGGCGTCCTTGACGACTCGGAAGTTTGGCTCATGATCGGTGAGTATGGACTTGGACAGTTTTGGCGTCTCGGGCTCAGTATCGGACGGAAGTTCGTCACTGTCAAGCTCGTCTTCATCCTCTTCATCATCCTCGTCGCTGAAGTCGTCAATCAATTCAATCTCGGAATCGCTGTCTTCTTCCTCGCTCCCCGACAGCTCGTTGTTGTTGTCTGAGAGAGCTCCATCCAAATTCTCGGCGCTCAATTCATCGCCTGAAAAAACACCCGCCTCCTCCTCGACATCGCGAGTAATCGCCTTGCGCTTTTTGGAAGCTTTCCGGGCATCCATTATTATTGCTGGCCAGTATTCTCCCGGAGTTCTTGCTCGCTCATGCTCTCGGGATTTTTTTTCTTCGCCATTCAATCAGTCTCACCGCCCACATGACTTACCGCCCGCGGTCCTTATCGCCTATCGATGACGGGCCAAAGCGCCCCGCCTAGAATCTGGAGATTATACACCCATTCGCCGCTGAGCAAGCAAATGAGAAGGAAATGGCGGCATTGATGGCAGAGCCTGCAGGACCTCCGCTGGCCGAGGACTTGGAGTTGTCGAAGCTCGAGGGCAAGAGACATTCTGCATGTGATGAATGCAGTAAGTGCTCGCCCAAACCAGAATTGCGCTGTAAAAATGCATGTTAACCACATTCTCGTTTCCAGGAAAACGGAAGCTCAAATGCTCAGGAGAGTTGAGTGGATGTGTGCGCTGCTCGAAGCAGTCGATACACTGTGTCTACTCATTACAGAAGCCCATGGGACGACCGCCAAAGAAAAGAGCACGATCAGATGAAGAAAGCGGGGATGTCTCTGTTCAAGGCAACACCATATGGCCTACGCCCCAATTAACACCTCCGGAATCTCTCTCATCCGAAAACGATGCGAACATGCCAACAGACGCCAGCTACATATGCCCTCAATTTTTCATGCATCCAAGCGGCCAGTCACAATCACCAGAGTCAAATCCATCTGCTGACGACGAAGAGACCAGCCCCAACTGGCGACCGGAACGTTCGAAGAACCGCAACTTGCCAGTACCCGGAACGTCCAGTCCTTGGCCGGATTTTACCACTGTATCTCAATCCTCCTCAATGCTCTTTCCAGCACCAACAAATTCTCTCGATCCAACTTCCTTAATGATGACGCCTCCCATGTCAAACCTCATTGATCCCCTCGGCCCAAAATGCACATGTTTGTCGTACCTTTACCTATGCCTTTCTCACATCTCCTCTCTCGCCTCTTTCCCCGTCAACTCCCATACTCTTTGCTCCCTATACATCGCAGCTCGAACTGCGCTGGACGTGATTCGCTGCGACTCCTGCCCCAAGTCTTTCGCCACTGGAGTTCAGAACGTGATGTTCACTGGAACGTTGCTCACGGTGGTGGCGGATGCTTGGCTTCGCGTTTACAACAGCGACCCCATGGAACTTGGCAAGCAGTCTGCGCCGCCAGAATTTGTAAGCAAAGCTGCGCAATGCCCTGATCAACCGGAAGTTTGGAGAAATTGGCTACGTCAAATCGTTCGACAGGCTGTCGTCGGCGGATACCTTGACCCCGAGGCTGGTACTCGATGTTCCAAGCAGCGTGACCTTCTGTCTTTGATTAGAGAACTGGAGGAGCGCCAGCGTCGATGGCATACGCCAGGGCAGCATCCCTTGAGCGAGTGCAATCCGATGCATTCTAAGGCTGCTGGCCAGCCTCGGGCAGACCCCGATGAAGATAATGACGAAAAAGAGCTGCTCTGTATTCGTGTCGTGGGCAGCGCGCGATCAGTCCTTACAAAGTTCAACTTTAAGCCTCAGGACTTCCCTGGAGGTGTGATACCCGATGACATGGCACGCTTAATGAACTCGTGACGCAAGTAATGGAGTACAGGGAATGCAAGATTTGTTGTTTCAAGCTTAAACTAGTGAATGTGCTTGGCACTTTAATTGTAGTTATTGTCATATGCCCGGCAGGATTGACACCGGGTGTTCGCTTGCAAGTCGCCGTGGTCATGGTTCAAGGCCATGGGAAAATGTTCGTCCGCAAAGTGGAATCAGGAGAAAGTATTCAGCACAAAGTTATTTATTATGTTAATGTGGTATCTCAAGATCGCAGGCATCAGGTGCTGGCCTGTTGAATCACCGCGGTGCCGCACATGGCTGCTGGCTCCGGTGAACACGCTTTAGAAACTACCTATCTCAGCAGATTCAAAACTTCTCTCTCGTTACTCGTCTTCCTCATCATCATCGTCGACCACGTAACGATTCTTCTTTCGGGCTGGAGGCGTTCCGTCCCGGGCGACCTCGGGTTTCTTGGCAGGCTTCGAGGGCGCAACTTCATCGTCGTCTTCACCCTCGGCATCCATGTCTTCATCCTCCAGCTCCTCCTCGTCATCATCGTCGCCTTCCTCCTCGATTTCCTCGTCGCTTCCCACCAGGAACCCGTCATCTTCGTCGTATTCGTCCTCGCGTGTACGACCGAGGCCACGACCGTAGTCTTCTTCTTCATCCGTCATGATCTCACCGCGACGGTTTGTGCGACGCGGCTTGGCGCGAGGACGGGCCGGACGTGAACCATCATCTTCCAATCCACCGACACTGAGACCATTGCCCATTGTGCGAGGTGCAGCCACGCGTCGAGATCGGTCAGCCTCGCGGTCGGCCAGTTGCTGCCGGCGTCGCTCTGCTCGCGTTGCTTCCTTCTCCATCTGCTCTGCCTTGCGGGCCGCGAGCTCAGGATCCTCTGCGAGATTGATGGCTACCAGACCCAGGCCCCCGTCGGTATTCGTCTTGCCAGCGCGCGTGGCTGCAGCCAAAGACTCCTGTAGTCTTTGAACTGCTTCGTCTGACTCCAAAGCCGTTGGCAGCACGGTCAACCCATGCGTAACATGTGATGTGAGACGGAAAAGCTCAGCTTGTTCAAGACCAGCGCCGAGATAGACGTGCGAGTCCAGCTTGGTGTTGTATTCGCCAGATTTGGAAAGAGGCGCAAGAGGTTTTGATGACACATGGTATTGTTCCGTGGGGTTGGAGGCGAGCTGAAGTGTGATAGACCCATCCTCCCACTGGATAATGCGAGCATTCGATTGGAGTTTATTCTCGTCTTCCGGGTCTCGACGCCAACACAGCGAAGTGGATGCGGTGGAGTAGGCGGGCGCAATGTATGTCTCTGGATTGAATTCCTCCGATTCAATGGATAGGAAATCAGGCACGCGCATCGTGTAGACCTACTTTGTTGTTAGTTGTATGGCCGTGTTACTCTCAAGATCATTGTGCGGCTAACCTCCGGGCCACTCGTAGCTGGTACTGGGGCGCGAGCAATGGTCATCTCAGCAATTGTGAGGCTGCGAGGCTCTTCATCAAATGCCCCATCCGTCTTATGGTGTCGGTCGTACCGACCCTCGTCATCTCCAGAGTCCAGCTGCTCATCATCCAGATTGCGATGAGGTTGGCTACATACGTTTAGCGTGGGTGTTTTTTTTCCAACTAAGCCAGGACAAGGATCATGGACTACTCACTCAGTATCACCAAACCCGCCATCTGAACCGTCCGATCCAAAGAGATCAGCATCATCGTCCAGCGCATCGACGGCGCCAAGACCAGTATTTTCGGCACCGGAGTCATTGCCAGCATCACTCATATCAGGGCTTTGGTTCACAGCATTTCGTCCGGGGCGTCGGACCGCTTCCTCATCTGATGAGGACATTTTCTTCGACAAATAAGAGACGGGCGTGTGTTGGAAAAGCGAAAAACGGAGCTGGAAGTTATGTGAGATTTTTGGATGTAGAAGAAGGGCAAGCGTGTTGAAGTGAGAGTTTTGAAAAGGTTGGTGGGAAAGAAAAGAATGTGTGTTCGAGGTGATTGTTGTTTGGAGCTTGCTTTAGCAAGCACATGAGATACGGCGATCTCAGTCAACCGACCTTCACTCACACTGCAATCACCTCCGTTGCGGATAAGCGGAATTATTTGATTATCCGATCCGGCCCACCTAAAGGAGTTAAGTCGGCGGGCCAGACCAAGAGGGTCTCTCCTAGACCTCCTCACCGTCTCTCTTTCATCTAAGCTTCAGCGTTGTTTGATTGTACCTTTTTGTGACGAATCTAGCAAGCTCTGTTGCCTTTGATCACAATGGCGACTTTTTTCCAGAGTGTGTAAGTCTTGTAGGCAACGGTGGCTGCCTGGAGGTGTTTCTTTCCAATGTTTACAACCCCTCGCCTCTCCGTGATCCTGAAACTCCCCCTCTATGCTGCATTGATCAGGACGACCAGCACGCCGCCAACACAACACAGCATTTTAGCTTTCTTGACGGTCTTTCTTTGTTCACTGCACTTATTCCCGCCACATTGCGCTCGTGCATCACCCATCTGCCTCGACACAAAGATCCCAACCATTCCCGATTCAAATAACTTCACTTTCAGGAGCTAATCATTCAATCATGAATAGGCGCCAAGGGTTTGGCCGTGGAGGAAACAATAAGAATAACCCTCCCAAAAGCCCAGCACAGCCGCCTCAGGCCCCGCAATCTCCCGCGCCGAGCAACATGCCTACCTCACCCTCATTTCCAAATCACGCCAGTGCGGATAATGCTGTCGCCAATGACGCCGATGCCCCCAAGTACTTCTTTCAGGAGAAGTATGCGCCGCTGAACGTGAGGGGTAACTTCCTGACCCTTTGCGCCTGTCCGAAGAACGTGGAGCTGGGAGAATGGCTGGCCCATCAAAGTAAGATCTTCGAAAGACCGTTGAGAAACATTCAAACAAGAAAATAGAGCGTGCTAATGCGAGTGCACAGTCGTCGAGCAATACCGCCTTCTTCATGGCATGCTTCAGGTCATCCAGGAGACCAACAGTGTCACGGGTCTGCCAATATGCAATGAAAGCACATGTCCGACCATGTCGGCTGGCAGGTATGTGAAATTGGCCGGGCCAGCATCCAACCTGAATACAGTCCGTCAAGCTGATCGTCCTATCTGAATCTAGATTGACCTACACCTGGCTTGTCGACGGTCGTGCTGCCAAGATTTCCGCTCCCAAATTCATCAACCGCGTTGAGAAGTGGATTGTCAGCAAGATCCATGACCCTGTCATGTTCCCCACCGAGAAAGTCAACGGTATCCCCGAAACTGCCTCCATGAGAGACGCTGGTGCTGCTCCTGCAGCAGGACCCCCTGCTACATCATCAGAAGCTGGCGCTCCATCGGGAAACAGCGGCGCCACGGCTGACGAGTGGATTGGCCAATCCAGCGGTTTCCCCCAGACCTTCTACAAGGACTGCCAGGGTATTATGAAGCAGATGTTCCGATGCTATGCTCATCTGTACCATGCCCACTGGCTTAACCCATTCTGGCACATCAATAAGCACGACATCCTCAATATGTGCTTCGTCCACTTTGTCACAGTTGCCAAGTACTACCAGCTTGTATCGGACAAGGAAATGGAGCCTATGCAGCCCCTGATTGACTTGTTCATCAAGCAGCAGCGGGTACCACCCGAGGCGCTGAATGGCGGCCACTGGGCTCAACAGCCGGCTGCAGCCTGATTGAGCTTTAATCGGGTAATGGGCAGGGAAATGGATCGCATCGCATCATCATACGAAAATACTTCAGCGGGCCGGGAGCCCAGCGCTTGTCTCTATGTTTGACTTACTTTTTCTTTGTTTATGTTTGACGATACATGACATGTTCCTCGACCGGGCGTTGGGATCATAACAAAATGCCATTTGCCCCTTTTCCTGCCTTCCATCAATTCGAGGAAAACGAACTGAGTTCATCCTGCGATTGGCACGGCTGGTTGCCGATGATGAAATGCATATCTCCGGCCTTCGAGCATTTAGCATGCGGTGTGGAAGTTTTATTTGGAGGACATCAATTTGAATTGACCGCATTCTTTCCATCGACACGATGATGTATCTTGCATATCCTCTGTCACGCATCGTATTGAGATTGTGTAATGGACGGCCCATCAGCACCGAGTGATCTCGTGATCATCTCATCGTAGACTATGCATCGAGCTTGAGAAGGGTGATTGATTCCAAGCACAGGGCTTGCGTCTGGCTCTGGGCCATTCGGTACCTACTTGAGCAATGCTTCAAGCGTCTTTCGGTCTCGTTAATTCATAGCTTCGTCGTCTCGCATGTCTTGATCATGTCAAGTCTCAAAGGTAGACGCCCTCATCACCATCAGGCGCTTGCCGTTGTTGCACATTACCGCCGGCACCCGCCTCGTCACCACCATGTCTAGTCCCATTCACAACCGAGGGCTGTTCCTCGTCTCCATCCTCCTGCCCAGCTTTTTTCGGATCAATCCAAATTTGACCGCGATCCTCTACCTCGCGCTTGAGAAGCTCAATCCGCTCTTCTTTCCATTTCACCACGCCTTCGTTCTCGACAATCACATCATCCAGGAACTTGATCCCGTCTTCCGTCTCCACGGCCTTTTCAGCTTCCAGGGCTGCGTTGGACTCGAGTAATTTTGCAATATCGTTGGTCAGTTTGACGGCTTCGGCGTGGAGGGATTCAAGAGGGAGCTCTTTGATGGCTTCGGCGAAGACGGTGGGGGAGATTGGTCGGTCTGAGGTGGACATTTTTGCTGTGTAGAGGTGGAGAGGTGGAGAGGTGAGATGCGGGTGAAAGTGGAGTGGATATGACAGACAAGGCGGTTGAAAGAGCGATAATGATAGAGATGCTCGGTTTGCAATGGAGAAGGGCGGATTTATTTGAAGTTTGGAGAGATGAGTTGGGGATTTCGCATAAGCTGGCTTGGATTAAGTTGAGTTGCCGCTTCCCCACGGCGGAGCTCCCGCCCGTACAAGGCTTACCACATGCAGTAAGTCAGTAGCAGACTAGCAGTAAGGCAAGTAGTAGTTTGTTTATATGAGCGGCCAGTAATTACTTCAGCGTTCTGGAAGATTTGATGATTGATTGACTAGTCGAAGCTAAGACCAAAAGAGAAGACTTTCCCCACATGCAGATGAGTACCTAGTATAGCATCAATATGCTAAAATCTGCGAGTGCAGTAGACCGGTTGCCTACTATTAGCCACAGAAGCGCGTGGTACCTGAATGCCGAGGACTAACTCAACCCTACCAACAGTGTCCTGGCCCATACAGTTTCAAAGATGCCATTGGACTCCACGTTATGGTGAGAGCGGCGGAAGCTAAGCTCACTGTACCATCTTTGAATACCCAGATTTCTGCAAGTGCCGATCACAATTTGAATTGAGTACTCAGACGACTTGTGCGTGGCTAGGTACTAAATGTATCAAATGGGTCGATGGACATTGAGACTCACAACATTCGCCCGTTGAGGCCTTGAAAACTAAAGAACAGTAGGGCTGATATCACATTTTCCGTACCGCACGCTTGAAGATGATATCTACTGTGCTTTGAAAGTCGGTCAGTGTGTGCATTGGTAAGAAGTGCTTACTGCATAGTGCACCGGCACCCTGGTGAGCAGGCACTTCGACTTGATTTTCCTGCCTTGACTGTTTGTCGAAAAATAAAGGGTGCGGAGGTAAAGGCATTGTTCGAGTCTCGACTGTCTCTACCTCGAGAATGTCTTTGTATGACTTTGTTTCACATCCTCGCATGTCAATTTGATCTCTTTGTCTAGAGAAACAATGTTCAAACAAAACGCTCGGGAAAAGACTCGCTTTTCTCGAAAATAGATTCCACACTCGAGGACAGTCTTGCATGAGGCCGAGATTCTTTGTCCCCATAAGAAATATCTACGATCTACATTTGAAAGGTCAGCATCCATTGAGATGTTATCATCTTATTCCCGGGTGTCTATGCCACGACAATGCCTTTGGCAACTCGCTTTGAGCAACGCCATAGCCCTCGACAATGGAATGTCATGTAGAACGGAAAACGCAGTCTATTTTCGTCGCTGGGCGGAACTTACCAACTATTTTCCAGCAGGTTGAGAAAGCTCTTATAAAGATGCTCGTCGCTGTTGTTTTCGATGCTCCCATTCAATCATCCAGTGTCTTCTCTGACAACAATAACTTCCTATATACTACAACATCTGCTGCTCGTTTGTTTCCTCTTGTACACTTCAACTCGAGCAAAAAAAAAACACCACTTGCATCATATCTCACACATACTCACTAGAAGTACACTCTTCTCTATCATTCATTCAAGTCTCATAGCTCCGCTACGACTTCAATCACGATGGGTTCGTTCACACTCAACACATTCCCTGGCAAGCTCTCCCTAACGCAAGAACCCCCCATCAACTATCAGATGCATATCAAGCCCATGGACTGGAGCACAAATACCGACATAACCACTTGCGCACCCCATGAGCCAAACCCACTCCGTCGCTCCCGATGCGAAGGTGACTCCCTCGCATACGACGCCTTCTGGGCCTCACGCCATCCGTGGGATCTAGTGGACTACTACCTCTTTCTCATCTTGATCGAAAAGAAACTCCAGCACCGCGAGATTCGGCTCTCCCGCAGCTGGGTCATTGAAAGTGATGGGTCTCGATGTGAGAACTTTGGCCGGATCATTGACTCAGATGACCAGATGTGTCAGGTTGGGTGGGTTGATCCAATCGTTATCTTCACTTCACTTCCTGTGCCGCATGCGGTGGGATTTGAAAATCGGCGGATTGCGCTGGGGATGAATTTGAGAAGTCAGAGCCTGGTGGGATATCTGTTGGATTCTGCGCCGGAAGATATCACTGAGGTGGTGTTGTCGCCGGCGTGGGAAGATAGAGAAGTCCTGATCGATTTGCCGCTGCAAAGATTTGTGGATATTCTTGGTCATAGTGTTGAGCCGGGTCAGAAGCCAGGTGAGATCCTCAGAGAAGGATTACTCAATTACTTCCGCGAGTCTTCGCGGAGATTGCATGCGGGGATGGATCTGGTGATTGTGATCCAATTCATTCAATTCCTTCGCGATGCTTTCTTCGGAGGCCAGATGAGCGCTGGCATAGACTACAATGCCACGACAGAGTGTCTGTCGTATCTGGTCGAACAGGAAGAACATTTGAGAGACATTCTCTGTCGAGAGTCCAACCGCGCCTGGATGGGTGCGCATACAGGCGTCACAGTGAACGATCTCCACCGGCGCGGACAGACACCGAGCGAGCCCTTGTATGATCTCTTCGTGGATCAGGTCGTTGCATCGCCTATTGTCAATGAATTTTCTTTCGGGGCAGCTCGGATGCTGCCCGTCCAAGATACTTCGGCTGTTCTCAAGTCTCAGATCCGTGTCACTACTACGTCGTGGTTTGACTCCACCGATATGATCTCGCTGAACGAAGACACCGTCAGTGAGTGCGACAGCACTCGACAATTGACTTCGAATATTGTGGTTTTGCTGGGTCTGTTTTGCTCAGAGTGTACGTGGATGATGGGAAGTGAGAGATGGGAAAGCTAAAGCGAGTCAAGCTCTGGGCTGGGCTTTTTCGAGAGCGAGAATTAAAAGGAGCGAGAGGATTCCAGGTGTAGCGATGTGCTACACCATGGACGAAGAAGAACTTGTCTTGATGCATTGTACAGTTAGAAATCAAAGCGTTGTGCCAGCAGACGTACTGCAATTTGCTATGGTTGAACTCCTACATATAGTCAAGGAAGGTCCCGCTGCAGTCCAGAGTCAAGACTGTACTCAACTTGATCTGTAGTAACCACTCATATGGGGCGACAATAGTATACAGTATACACTATAGTCTATGCAGTACACACTAGCTCAATTGGTGAGACTTTCGAGGGCAGAGAAGAACTCACGTACTCGTTGTCTGGTACAAACTAGGCACCTTCATTTTCGATATGATAGGTAGTAGTATACACTGAGTAGTGATACTATACTGTAAGTAGTTAGGTGGGTATAGTAGTGAAGAATAGCCGAGTCAGTAATCACTGACTCAGTTGTCAGCAGACAAGTCGGGGTCAACGCGAATTTTCTGATTATTTGCGAGTCAGGAATCGAATGCGTCTTTGGTGGTAATCCACTCCTATGCCAATACCATCTATTACCTACTACCTACTACCTACCTTCTCCTATTATCTACTTAGACGGTGCTCCATTGCAGGCACCACTCGGTCTCCTACTCAAGTGGGCCGACATGTAGTAAGGTACCCTATCGAGTGCACCGCCACGCCCGAGATCCATTCTCTCGAGTACGGAGAATTCAGAACTAGGCCTCCACATTCACCGATGTATAACCTCTCCCATGTTTGTGTCTCCTATATGCAGGAGCCGTACACAACTACCCATGCATTGCCCAAGAAACCGGTTTCATGTGGCGCGATAGGGGCAGCGTGGCTGGGTTCAAGTGGTTGCAGCTGCAACTTCCGCACGATTGGCAAGATTAACAAATCACATGCCAGCGGATTCCGTGCTTCGCAGCGAATCTCGTGACGAAGTGGAGGACAGCCGAAGCCGGTCCACCGCGGGTCGTCTGCAGCCTCTGATTGGATCCGTGCATGGTCCTCTGGGCGGTTGGGTGGTCTTGGCAGCGTCATGTGTTTGGAAGCGCGAACGGGCGTGTCGACCGTCAAGTCGCGGAGCTTCTCTCTAGGAGAAAGATTCCCTCGAGAGAACAGACTGCAGCTATAAGATGAGCCTAGTGCTGTAGTGTCTGTACTAAAAGAGCGATCGAAACGAAGGGACCAGGATACTCTTCAGGAATGACATCTGCGGCGGACTGCGAGCATCCGAGTCATGGGCGGAGCCGGAGATACGACCTTGGCTCTGTTAGTAGTACAGTCGTAGTGGGGGCATAGCCACACTCTTGAGCTTCTGAAGTGCAATTCCCCAAGGGATGCCCACTCGACTGTGAATTGCAGGGGTGGGAAAGGTCAGTGAGGCTAGGGGACTGGCGCCCCCTCCCCACCCCCGTGGATTATGATTGTCATGCGATTCCACTTCAGCTGGAAATGGGAACGAGCTCGCTACTCTTTTTGCGTTCTCGGCTCCAGCCCTACCGTCAACTCTCCTAGTCCCCATAGCTGGTCATCGCGCGCCACTTGCCTTTCAAATCACTTTCCCTTCAACAACCAAGGAGGGCGCACCGTGGTTGATCTACGACTGGACACAGCCAGTCTATAAAACCTACCTGAGCTCTTCCGACAGCTCCTGGTGGACTGTTCTCGTCGCCACCTCTGAGCGCTTTGCATCATGGCGAACGCTGCTGCAGTCCCTGTCAACGGTACGTTGGTCTCAAGCCGAGCCGACTCAGCTGCGATCTCGAGAGGCCCAGAGCTGGACTTTCACAGCCACCATGATCCCCCAGACTAACAGACTGCGACTGCCGCGACAGATACAGGGACAATGATGACCAATGGTCACGACGCCGCGCCGGCGAGCGATCATATCGGCTTGATCTCCGGTCCCTTGATCAATTTCAAAAACATGCACTTTGGCCATCCTAGTCCGACTGCGGTGTGGCACGGGAGTGTCTTGATCGTGACAAAGCCCGGTCAACATCTTCAGCCGCAGCTCCACTTGCGCCAGTCGGGCCCCGTCATGGGTCAGGAACAGCCTCGGTCACCCACAGAGCAGACCGTGCAGGGCTTGAAGCTGTACGAAGACCTCCAGAAGACCTTTTGGCGATTCTCGCTGGCGGTTCCCGTCGAGACGTACGAAGCGCGTTGGGAATATTTCGTCCCGGGTCTGATTGAGGAGTCGGGAGCCCCCGTGCAGCAGCCATGGGATTTCGTCGTCCCTGCCGAGAATCAATCCATGCGGATGATGTTTCACTCTTGCAACGGCTTCTCCGTGGGCACCGACATGGACGCCTGGGTTGGCCCGACACTGTGGAAGGATGTGCTGCGCGTCCATGAGCAAAAGCCCTTCCATGTGATGGTGGGTGGTGGTGATCAGCTCTACAACGATGGAATCCGGGTGGATGGACCATTGAAGCCGTGGACGGCCATTGGAAATCCACACAAGCGCCGGAATCACGACTTTAACAATCAAATGCGCGCGGACTGCGATGAGTACTATTACGCCAACTACGTGCGCTGGTATAATACGGATCCCTTCCGCGCGGCGAATGGCCGCATTCCCCAGGTCAATATCTGGGACGACCATGACATCATTGACGGCTTTGGCTCATACACCGATCATTTCATGAAGTGCGCGGTGTTTCGCGGCATCGGTGGTGTGGCGTTCAAATACTACTGTCTCTTCCAGCACCATATTGCGCCGCCCAAGTCGACCTTCACCACCGATGCCCCGGCGACAATGCAAGCAGTCAACGGTACGGCTGGTGTCGATCCCCGTCAGCTGGAGAACACGTTTGTCTTGGAGAATCAGCCAGTCGACGACAGTTGGATCATTGGGAAGCGTCCCGGTCCATATGTCGAGGAGAGAAGTCGAAACCTGTACATGCGGTTCGGTAAGCGTATTGCGTTTATCGGAGTGGATGCTCGCACGGAGCGCACGCGCCATCAGATCAACTACCCGGACACCTATGAACTGATCTTTCAGCGCCTGCAGCAAGAGATCAACGCCGCGAATGGTGATATCAAGCATCTGGTGGTATTGCTCGGCGTGCCGATTGCCTACCCTCGACTGGCCTGGCTGGAGAACATTCTCTCGTCGCCCTTTATCGCGCCCATTCGGCTTCTGAACAAGCGATTCGGCGTGGCCGGTGGTCTCTTCAACGAATTCGACGGCCAGGTCGATCTGCTGGACGATCTGGACGACCACTACACGGCCCGACAGCACAAGCGGGAACGCAAAATCCTCATCCAGCGATTGCAGGAGCTCGCTCGCGCCAACTCCATCCGAGTGACCATCCTCGGTGGCGACGTGCATCTCGCCGCCGTCGGTCGTTTCTACTCTCACCCTAAGCTCAACCTTGCCGGCGAGAATGACCACCGCTTCATTGTGAATGTGGTCAGCTCGGCCATCACCAACAAGCCACCCCCGAAGGCGGTTGCCAATCTCCTCGCCCGTCGAAACAAGATCCATCATCTGGACCACAGCTGCGACGAGACCCTGATGCCCATCTTTGACAAGCAGCCGGGTGGCGTGGAGAAGAGCGCGACGTGGAACAATGTGACCATGCCGTCGCGCAATTTTGCCATCTTGACCGAGGTGGTTGCACCGGCGTCAAATGGTCATGTCGCAGAGCCTGTCAGTGCCAAACTGGACCAATTGCCCAAAGATGGCCACGCACCTCTGCATCGGGGTGAAGTGGACGCGGGTTCGACTCATAGTGCGGCCGATGGCATCAGTGTGAATAGTGGCATGTATGGTGGTCTGGATGTGTCGATTCGTGTGGAGATTGACCCCCATGATCTTAAGGGCACAACCGAGGGATATGGATTCAGCAGTAAGTGATTCCCACGCGGAGGCATTGTTCTCAGCAACGAGTCGGTGTTTCAGAGCTAACATGTGTTCTTCCCTTCAGTTCCCCCGCTGTTCGCTACCGAAGGCCCACAGGCATCTTCCGGGATGAGTGTCTACTCTCGCGTGTCTCGTCACAACTCGCGCGAAGAGCAACCCGGACGGCCATCGACAGCACGTTAAATTGAACTGCACACGACGACCTTTTGGACAAGTGCTTCTTGAAGCCTCTCCCCTTCTCAATTATTGTTTATTCGTCCTTTTCAATTACTCGTCGAATGATCTTGTTGTCCTCGCCCTGCTTTTGTGACCTGATTCCCCACTATGTTTGATTCTCTTCTGCTAACTTTCGTCTTCTTTGCCTGGTCGCTTCTGCGAGGACGAGCACCGCGTCTTTTTCCCTGACAAGTATTTCTTTATGCAAATACTCTCCACTATAGACCGGACTGCCCCCGAAGATTATTTTTAATGTCTTTTACAAGCAGATGTCTGCTGGAATGAGTTTCGTATTCGTTTTCGTGGATTTGTCCGAATATGTGCCTATATACACAGGATAATGTCCGCCGGGTGGGGCTTTCCTGTCTGGGCTGCCGCCGCTTTTATGGGGGGATCAGCCTCAGGCTCACTGAGTGAATGTCAGCACGGGCTCAAACTCAGTGATCACTGTCACAACTAGTTAAGTATTTCAGTTAAGTATTTCACGCGACGGCAGGTCAGCACCTTTCTACCCACCTATCGCATCTGACCGCCTGCCCTAGACTGACGTCACATAGAAGTACTCCTATCGCGAACGTTTCTACTGTGTAGTACTTCCGCTCCATCCTTCATCAATAGCTATCTTACTTCTCTAGTTCTGCCTCCTCCCCCTTCCTCGCATATCCCTATTCGGCCAACATGCTACCTCTATCCCCATCAACAGTATTATCCTCCTCCTTGGATACAAAGGACGCCGAGTCGGCGAAGACTATCGGTAGTCCCGAGTCACTCTCACCGGACGAGGTAGCGAGGGACTGTGATTCGCACCTGCCATTCGAAATTCCGGGTGCTATGGTGTTATCTAACCCCTCCATTTCTGTTATTCGACAGGCTGCGGACGATATCTATCGTCAAATCAACTCCGATATATCTTACTCGAACCAGTTTATTATCGTGTCAAATCTATCCCAGCCTCTACAGGAGCTCTTAGGTCGAGATCGAGATCGAAATCCTCTTGAGGTTTCCTACAGATTAACCCTCGATACACGGTATCAGCAAGCGCTTATTCGAATAATACCCTCAAAAGCTCATGAGCGCGTAACGCAGTCATTTTTAAACGAACTTATCCTGAAATTATTCGAAATGGGAATTCGTCCAAGAGACTATACAATGAACGCGGCCTCCCGGTACCACGGAAAATCATGCGATAAAGAAGCCGACCAGTCTCTCACTCCGTCAGGGAATCCTCCTGACGATGACGACTGGCCTTCGCTCGTTCTTGAAACTGGTCTCTCTGAGTCAGAAGCACAACTACGAGCCGACGCATATTGGTGGTTCTCAAATTCCGACTACAAAGTCAACATGGTTATACTCTTTCATATCCAAAGATCCCCCGAGCGTAGAGTTATCTTGAAACTCTACAACCTCAGATCCGCCAACCCTAGAGTCACCCGTGGACTACAGGCAGAGGTCGGGCGTACCCTGCTCTCTGATCTTGCCTTATCTCAAATAGTTCAAACAGTCTCCCCGACAGTGTTACGACCTCACTTAGTGGCCAAAGAGATCATCGTCACCTTCGGCAATGTTGAGAATGCTCCACTGGAGCTAGAATTCGAATCTTTGATGCGCCGCCCACCAGCCCCTAACACAAGTGAAGGAAATATTATATTCACAGCTGAGGATCTTGCCCTGTGTTGTCGCTACGCGTTTCCAATACCTTGAGCATGTCATATCCTTAAGGAATACTAGGATTACTCCACCGAGGACCTTGCTGTGTGCTGCTGCCCTGTCTTTGTGGAAACCTGAGTATCATCACTATATGTATTATGAGAAAACTGAATTCTTTCTTCCGTTTTAACAGTTATCCACAAAGTATTCTATGCGACAGAAAGTCAGCACACCTACTGCTGCTTACCGCCTGCCCTAGACTGACGTTATATGAAAGTGCTCCTGTTGTACAGTAACGTTTCTATTTTGTACTCTTTATCGATTCCAGTTCTGCTTCCTGCCCCCTTCCTCACACAGCCCTATTCAGCCAATATACTGTCTCTGTCCCATCAACAGTATCTGTTGAGAACATGAGTATTGGGGACTTGGATTTCTTCTGAAGAAGACTTGGGGGCATGGGTGTTGCGGAGTTGGATTTCTTCTGCGGAAGAAAACCGTATCAGAAGGGAGACGCAGCACCACGCCAGCACCACCTCAAAACTTAGGATACCACTGTAGCTTCTTCTTCTTCTTCTTCTTCTTCTTCTTCTTCTTCTTCTTCTTCTTCTTCTTCTTCTTCTTCTTCTTCTTCTTCTTCTTCTTCTTCTTCTTCTTCTTCTTCTTCTTCTTCTTCTTCTTCTTCTTTCTCCTCTCCAGCTCTTGAGATTCTCGATACCACGCAGTCAAGTTGAATGAATAGTTTCTGAGTCCTTCTAAAACTTTTCTTAAACTGCCGTACAACATTAGAGACTCGTCGGCTTCTTTGTCGTATGTATTATACGCCAGTTTAGGAAAAGTTTCAGAAGGACTTATAAACTATTTATTCAACTTGACTGCGTGGTATCGAGAATCTCAGGAGCTGGAGAGGAAAAAGAAGAAGAGGAAGCTACAGAGAGGTCCTAGGTTTTGGGGTGGTGTACGGGGTACTGGCGTGGTGCTGCGTCTCCCTTCTGCAGAAGAAATCCAAGTCCGCCCGGTCGGTTTTCTTCCGCAGAAGAAATCCAACTCCGCAACACCCATGCCCCCAAGTCTTCTGCAGAAGAAATCCAGCTCCGCAATACCCATGTCTTCAACATCTAACTCCGGCAAGGGGTCGTAGTGCTATTAAAAGGTAGCCGTCGGTCGTTATTTAAACAGGTCTTCCCGAATCAGAAGCACAACTACAAACTGACGTATATTGGTGGTTCACAAATTCCGACTACCAAGCCAACGTAGTTATACTCTTGTACGTCAAGAGATCCCCCGAGCCTAGAGTCATCTTGAAACCCTACAGTCTCGGACCTTCTATTCCTAGAATCACGCGTGGACTGTTATAGGTCATTCGAAAAGAGATCGACTCGGTACCAAGGACGAAAGTATCAAAGCTACAGACAGAAAAGAGGAGAGACCAGAGCCGTGGGGGATTCTGCTGAAATGTTGCCCACGGTTTACCATGTTTGTTTCTATGTCAAACTTCCTCCATCTTCTATCAAACCTCTCATCGCTAAGTCCCGCAGCAACGCCTCCTCAACCGTCACATGGACTAGAGGCGGAGACCGAGCGAACTCTGCTATCTAATCCTACGCCATCTCAAACAGACTCACCAACAATACTACGACCTCACTTAGAGCTAAAGAGATAATCGCGGCCTCTAGAAATGTTGAGAATGCTCCGCTAGAGCTAGAGTTCGAATCTATCATACGCCGCCCGCCCGCTCCTAACACGAATGAATGGAATATCACATTCACGGCTAAGGATCTTACTGCGTGCTGCGACTATGCCTTTCCGGAGGCCTTAATATTATCGCTATCGCCATGGGAGTTGAATACCAAGCTTGCTTTTTAACAGATACCTATACAGTGGTTTTTGGGGTGGGGTTGTTGTTGTTATTTAAGAATTCCGTGACAAATTCCGTGACAAATTACTAGCAAATCGACAGCCTAGATCGGCCTCACTTACGGTCGTTTGTTACAGCCTACTTACCATCTGCTACTTTCATGGAGTACTATCAATATATTTAATTTTGGGGTTCAGACTTCGTCTACCTACCCGCTAACGTTGTGCGCTACTTATATTGGTCCCGGGCATGCCACTCTAGAACATAGCGTTCTAGCATGTGGTCTTCTTGGCTAGTCTGGTTATGTGGGCCCGGGCACGTGCCGTAACATATAAGTAGTTAAACACTATTTGAGCGGTCAGATTGTTAGTGTTAATTGAAACTTCGATTGAATTACGATGAGACGAAGATAAATAGGTTAGTATTACACTCATCTTACTGGGTTAAATATTTCGCCTTATCTAGTATGTTAGGTCAATCTCTAAGGGTGTCGGTGTAGGGAGCATTTGTTTAAATGCTTATCTCTATTAAGAATAAGCAATAATAGCATTATTGTTACGGGACAAGCCGTCAGCAACCTGCGGGGGATGACGACAGCCAACCAAACCTTCAAGATCGACAACACATGCAGGAGTCACGTGCAGCCAATCGGGTCCCCAACTGATGAGTTCCCAGGAGCTGAACATGCAGCACGATAAGCTTCTAGGAGCAAGAAGGAACTTTGTAAAACGGCAGTTTTACACGATCAGGACCAGTGATCAGTCAGGGTGACTCAAAGACAACGTGCCTTTGTGGCGGACAAACTTCGGTGTGTATAGGTACCTATATTGCTAAAGTATCTACTTTACAGGGTAGAAGGCCTGCCAGTCAGGTAGGGAAGAAGGTACCAAGTCAGATTGTGGCAAGACTGCTTCTTGAGGAACCCTCCAAGAATGCATCCCGAAGCACATTGTGGTTTCACATGTAGCCTTCCCAAGGAAACTCTAGGCCCTCACCAAGCGTTATCGATGATTTGGGATTACATGCGAGGACAGCTCATCAGCTGAACGATCGGCACAAGAGATATAAAAGAAGGGGGGGATAAAAGAAGGGGGGAGTACGAGCCTGTGTGATAGATCAAGTCGCATCACCGATTCCCCCGCGGAAAGAAGCCGCTTCACTAGGACAATGAGCCTTCCATGTGCCCACCGAATTGCACGGTTACTGGAGGAAAAGCAGCCTCTTCCACTAACGGAAATTCATCCCTTTTGGAGGCAAAATATAGCATTAGACGATCAATCTGAGTACCAGCCACTACTCGAACCTCGACTGCCCATACCGAAGGCAAAACGATCGTACAAGAAGGGTGGAGATTCAGATGAATTAGGTGTTGAGAAGGGGACTCCAGGTACAACTGCACCAGGCAAGAAAACGGCGCCGTCCAAATGCTCAAACTGCGCGGAAATTGGACATACATCAGGTCATGTAAATTAAAGTAAATTCAGCCGTATCTGCATGCACACTTGAGACATCTTAATCATATGAAAATTGATCAAGCTATCAAGTCAATTGCGAGGTTGTGTGGTTGTGGTGAGATTACATAACAACTGATATGAACTAACTAGTTAGTTAACTCAACTAGTTAGATGGGAATCACGTAACTAGTTAACTAACCAGTTGTGGTGTGGTTAGTTACTAAAAACCTGTGGTGTCCCTAGTGATTCCCTGACCAGGTCAGGCTACTCAGGGGCGTGCTCAATCCTGCTCAGTGAGCAAAAGCGGCAAGAGGGTGAGCACTAGAATGGAAGGAGAACGCCCAGAGTTGACATATATATTCTCCGGTATATATGTGTTGAATGGCGCGAGGAATCGGAAACTCTCCATTCTACTTCGGGAATACTTGGATGACTTGACAAGGTCGTGCACACTGCATAACTGCACGATACACTTACACTCTACAATTTACAGTCTTCAGTCTACAATACTTGGGTCGGTGACCCTGATTCCTAGCTTATACCATTCATTGTCATTCGTTTTCGGTGTGCTGCGCAGAGGGCAATACAGTGTCTAGAATTGTCGTCACTCGAGCCAGTCCATTAGAGTTGAGTAGTTATAGTTTCTCTGTTCATTTCCCCGCGCTGTCCATTCAGTTCTTCCCTCTCTCGCCGACCCTGACACATTGCCCCTTCCATTTAGCAACGCACTCGAACTGGTCTTGAAGGGGAGAGACACCGTACCCCATCTCTTCTAACTCATAGCGGCAATGCGATCCGAGCGAAGCCAAGGCATCCGCATATAACTGCCAAATGCAATCCGACGCAATGTCCTCCTTCTACGAATGAACCCACGACAAGCAAGTAAAGCAACGGGGTGATTTCTTATCGTTCCAAGAATTTCGTTCCTCTAACGAGTCTTTCTACACTCCTCTCCCTCTTTCATCCAAAAAGACTAAAATCTTCAGCGTGAGCCACCTATATCTCAACCAATCGGCATTCCAAATCGCAGGTCAAAGCCAACACCGAGGCCTGCTTTCTATCTGCAGAACTCCCTTTTTCTCGCACTCGGGATCTTATATCTTGGTAATGGCGGATTTGCTCGAAAAAGGCTATCCATGTGAGGTGAATTGGAACCTCACGGACCCTTGTTCCCGATTGTCGAACGCTGCAGTGCATGTGTAGCTCCCCGCATACAGATGGCGATAGGGGCTGATGCTGCATATGCTGGTATGCAGGGTCGTGTTACTTCCTCGACAGACTTGCCTTCTCTCGCAGTCGCTAGCAGACGCTGCTACTGGTGAACGTGGCTATCCCGACCTCCAGGTCTTTCTTCGAAGACCCTCGCGATCAGTGTCTCGGAATTGTTGCACTGGCCCAAGAGGCTCAAATACTCAACAAGGAGGAGTCGCCAGTGTCAAAACAAAGGGGGTGCTTTCGAGGGCCATCTCCCTAGTTCACGAGGATTTCTTATAGTTTATCCTCTTCGTCTAAGAGAAATCGCGAATTGCCTCAATATGGAAGTTGAGATAGCAAAAGAGAAAAGTGGCAACACCGCCCACAATACCGAGGCAGACGAGCATCAAGCCGGCACAGAAGCGATCACTGGCGAACTCGACGAGCTACACCACCTGGGATACGAGCAACAACTCAAACGCAACCGATCACTTCTCACACTACTCTTTCAATCCCTCGCCATCGCCGCCATTCCTTATGGAGAAGGCAGCGCGCTCATCAGTGCCATCTACGGCAGCGGACCTCTCTCCATCTTTGTCGGATGGATCGTCGTGTGTGTTCTTGATCAGAGTATCGCCATGTCGCTCGCAGAACTGGCTTCACGGTATCCCACGTCGGCGGGACTTTACTACTGGTCATTCCAAATTGCGCGTAGCAACAAAGTGACCGTATCGTTTATCAATGCTTGGATCTGGCTCATCGGGAATTGGACCATCACTCTATCGGTCAACTTTGGCTTTGCATCTCTATTGTCTGCTACCGTCTCCATGTACCATCCCGACTGGAGCGCAAACGCATGGCAACTCTTATTGATCTTTTACGCTATCTGTCTGGGCAGTCTCACAATCTGCACCTTTGCCAATCGATATCTCCCTCAAGTGGACATTGCCTGTGCCACCTGGACGGCTCTGACCATCATCGTCGTCCTCATTGCCGTCTCTGTAAAAGCAGAGACCGGCCGGCACTCCGCCGCCTACGCGCTCTCCCACTACGATAAATCGTTCGCTGGCTGGGGCAGTTTTACCTTTTTCATCGGCCTTCTCCCTGCAGCATACGTGTTTTCCGCCATGGGCATGGTCTCTTCCATGGCCGAAGAGGTCGCTCATCCGACGGTCCAGGTCCCCCGAGCCATCTCACTTGCTATCCCCGTCGGCGCCATTGCCGGTCTACTCTTCATCATCCCAATCACCGTGACCCTACCTCCCCTCGAAGACATTATCAACAGTCCCGGCGGCCAAGCCCTCCCTTACATCTTCCAGCACGTGATGGGCTCCCCGGGCGGCGGTTTCGCCCTCGTTTTCCTTGTCCTCATCATCACCCCTCTTCTGCAGCATCAGCATCACCGTCGCCGCCAGTCGCGCAACCTGGGCCGCAGCCCGCGACGACGCCATTCCACTCTCATCCCTGTGGTCCCGTGTTCACCCTGGCCTCGATGTCCCTGTCTGGTCCCTCCTCCTCACCACTATCATCCAACTGCTCCTGGGCCTGATCAATCTCGGCTCCACGAGCGCATTCACCGCATTTGCCTCAGTAGGCGTTATTGCACTGGCCGTGGCCTATGCCGTGCCGATCACATTGAGCTTGTGTCATGGACGGAAGGAAGTCTCCAAGGCGCCGTGGAACTGTGGGCCGATTTTGGGGACGGCGGTTAATGTGATTGCGTTGGCGTAAATCGTGTTCGAGTTGGTACTATTTAGTATTTGCCAGTGACAGCGTCGTCGATGAATTATGCCTCGGTGGTATTCGTGGGGTTTATGGTGATATCGGCGGTTTGGTATGCTGTCTATGCTAGGAAGCGTGAGTCTTTTGCTACCCTGGCCCACCTCTATTTCTCGCTCGTACCCCGGGCGCTATCTATACGGGGACATTTTCCAGGATTCGATCAGTTCCCCGAGGAGCTGAACAATATGGGAACATGAGAATCGGATATACTAACAATCTGAACCACAGACTACAAGGGCTCGCCAGAAACAGACGCTCTATGACTCTGTCGACAACAAAAGACATGATCTGTTCCATTTCAGCAGTACATGAGGAACAACCTACATACAAATGTCTCCAAGTCGCAGATGTTGCGCAAAAAAGCTAATGCATGCACTAGCGCTATGACCATGTTCCGTAATGCATTGTCCACGCTATATGCGAATTCCTCAAGCCCGCAGAACCAGGGAAACCACCTTTTTTTTCGCCTCAGACAGAGATTCTCTAATAGGTAGCTATTCGCTACGGATTTAAACCCAGTTCTTTGCATTGTTCTCCTTGCCTTTTCGTTGACTCTTCTGTTCTCACTCGAACTCGGTTATCCGGATCTCTGGAATCTAACCCTAATGAGCAGGTCTCCCAGGAATTCAATCCACAAGCACTTTGTATACTCTACTCTAACGCTACTATGAAACTCAAGTTCCATCCGCCACTTACCTGCTACAGAAGAGAAGGATCCAGGAGATTCGATTGTACCTTGCGTAATTTAAGGCCGAGACTGGGGTTTCGCTTTAAACGGAAACGTACTCATCTCGTCAAATATTAGACTACGTTGTATTTCGTAGAACTAGTCCCCTGCTAAGGTCAGTAGTTTACCAAAAAAAAAAAAAAAAAAACCCTCCGGTGATTCATGCAGGAGAACTATCATAGCCCCCATTCTGCAGGAGCTGCTGTACCTTTTCTACTGCACTATGGCGGACTGGCGTACCCCCGGAAGCGCCGTCTACGCCCAGCATCTTTACCCGTCCCTTCGAACTTACTTGCATGTGTAACATCTACTTACGTTTACAGTTGACAAGTAGACACACGGATCTATTAGTGGGCCCAGATCTAGTGATCTCCTGATACAAACACATGACGCAGGTCGCAGAAGCGCATAGGGGGGAGGTGCATACTTGGAAGTCCTTGACTGAGCTACTCGGTACTCAGTGCTGAACAAGCAACAAAAAAAAGCAAAAGCAAAAACTTGACGAGTCAGGTGCTAAGCTGATGCAATTGGATTTAGCCTTCTGCTAGATCCCGACATCGATCCAGATCCAGATCCAGACCCAGATGCAGATGCAGATAATGCGAATTCGGTGTCTACAAGTGGTCGATGTACACGTCATAACCCGGGCTTACGGCGAAGCTGAAAAGTCAAGGGCTCTATATTTGCGAGGATCACATGTAGATGGGAAGTCGAAGCCTAGAATTCACAGTACTGATAACTTCCAGTAATCAACAAACACCAGATAGGGACACCTGACCCCGCCAAACAAGTATCAAAGACACGAGATGCCCCCCCCGCACTACGATAAGACCGTTCCCTCTGAGACTACTTTAACCTTCTGACCTGGCATCTTCCTACTCAACTTGCTTTCTCTCTTCATCAATTTTCCATCGCTGAATTTAATCAAATATCATCATCCATCACCCATCACCCATCACTCAGCATGCCTCAGGGAAAGGGTTACAACATTACTAGCTCCGGCACTAATAGCCAGGTAAGTAAATCTCGCTTCACAAAAGAAAAACCACATCCTCCACCGTTCCACGAAGCACGATCGAGCTAAACACCCCCTCTATCCCCACGACCAGGGCAACCACTACTGTTCCCGAGACTACGGCTCCAGCGGGTCCAACTCCAACAGCTACCACTATTCCAACACGTAAGTCCCCGTCCCCCTTGTCCCCCGTCATGAAACAGCCACATCCTGCACCGCTGCACTGCCCTTCAAGCCTGTCCGCGGTGTGCACGACCAGGCAATATAAGCTACATAGGCTGAATTGCTATCTCTGACAGCAATGGATCCTACTACTATTCCAACCCCAATGGGAGCACCTACTACAATAGTGGAAGTGGTAGCTCGACCTACACTGCTCCTTCGGGAAAGAGCTCCGGCTCGGGCTCCGGCAAGAAGTGAGGATTTGGGCATTCCGGAGTGAGGAATGGAAAGGGAGGGATGGGGGCTTAATGTCTGGAGGTGGTGGCTTGGGTGGGCGAGATTGAGGTAGCGGATGATGTTGTGGATGGTTTGCGTCTTTGCCAGTTGCACTTGCGTTTGCGTTTGGGTCTGGAATTGGGCTCTTGAGTTGAATCGAGGATTTGCCTTTGATGGTGCTTCGTAATGGGTATTCTTGTTCTTTCCGGGTAGAGGTAAAACCATGCGCGTACAGAAGAACAGCTTTGCAGTTCTTCATGATCATACTCTGTCTTCATTTGCCGTATCTCTGTAACTTAGTAGATCAACCACCCGCCCCGTTCTCACGCTCATGCTCAGGCTCATTCTCATTCCCACTCCCCCGACGTCTCTGACGCATCATCTCCTCGCTTCCACTTGCCTTCCCAGGGAACGATCGCGTATTCGTATGCGCATTCACCGAGACATCACTCGGCCGTCGTCGACGAACAAGCTGATACCCTCTATCCAGTTCAATTTCAATCGCCTCACGCACCTTCAAGGCGCTAATTGCGGGCCAGACGCCCCGTTCGCCTTTCAAAATCCACTCACTGACTCTTGCCCGAGTGGGCTGCTGGAAGATCCTGAGAAAGTCTCTAACCGACAGGTCCGGGACAAGGGTCAAGTTGGGGCCCGGAATGGTTTCCCCAATGAGAAGACGGCTGCAAGAGCCCGGTAGGAAGCCGAGATAATCCAGTTGACGGAGTCGGTGGCGTAGTTCGGCGAGGGCAAGCCGTGTGAGTGAGCGGGTGATGTTGCTCCAGCCCGTTTGGCGGCGGTCGAGGAGGTTGAGGTCGGAGCGCAGGAAGGGGACTAGGAAGGGCCGTGCTTGAGAGACGATAAAGTGGTTGACGTTGAAGAGTTCGGCAATTCGTGTGAGGGGGGATTCGCTGTCATGATAATGCACTTGGTTCCAGGGGTGAAAGGTGGCGTCTTGGGTGTGTGGCCAGGGGACAATAGAGCCAGTTTCGTCTTTGCAGTAGATGGTGACTGGTGTCCCGGTGGACATGGATGACACTGCCGAGGCATTGGATGCGGCGGCCGCAGACCAGATCAGCTGAGCACTTGTAGCATTAGCCAAATCCCAATGGACGATGGTTTCTTCTCCAATGCTGGAACTCCCCGACTCTTGGGGGGAGAGACAGAGAGAGAGAGAGAGAGAGAGAGTGTGTAGGCGGTTGGTGACCTACCACATTCGGTGCTGTCAAATAATTCAACAGATTTGGCGTCCCCGTCTTCCCAGCCGTCGCAATGGTAATGTTCAAGATGCGTTTTGACCTGGCATACGCCTCTTCAAACGTCAAATCACCCACATTCGCCCGCACACATTCCTCCAACAGATCCATATCATACAAATGACCCTTCAAGAGCAACCGCGTCATTCTCCTCACTCCTGTCCACACCCAACTCTCCCGTGCGTGCTTTTTCCGCCGCTCATCAAAAGCCGACAAATCGACAGTATTGCCATCGACCATGGCCAGCAATTCACTCTCGGTCCGAATTCCCACCAGCGCTGCAATCATCGCCCCTGTCGCCGTCCCCGTGATGATCCGAGGTAGTAAACCCTGCAAGTGCAAAGCCTTGACCACCCCAAGATGACATACCCCGAAGGCCGAGCCGCCCTGGAGTAACAGTGTCGTGCGTCCAAACGCTTGTCGAGTATCGTGTAGAAGCTCCAATTTCGCTTGCGATGTAAATCCACTCGTTTGCATCGGCAATGGCTGGAGTGAGGCTACATATTGGATCGACAAGGCCACCTGAGTAATGTAGTCGTCGATGAGAAGTTTCGTTCCCGCGTACGCATGCGTGAAGAGCTTGGTGGATGTAATGTTGCCCAGATTCCGCACGAGACCGGATCGAAGCAGGTTCACAAGAGTGAGAATATCCTCGGACTCGCGGGCATTCATCAATGCCTCCAGACGTCCGAGGATGAGTCGATAGTCGTAATGACGACTTGCTGGATTTTGACGCCTGTGATGAAATTCCGACGAATGATCGAGATTAGCTTTGCTCGGTTTCCCATCTTCTCCTCGTGCCTTCTGAGGATTTTTTTTCCCTTTTTTCTTCTCACCACATATCCTTGCTTAGCAGCTCATCCAGCTCAAATGCAGCTTCCTCCCATTGCTCGTAGGACTGCGCCGTAGCTAGTGCATGAACGAGTCGTTTCTTCGGAGACTTGGATCGCCACCACGAGAAGACTTTCTGATCATTTTCCAAGATTAGCTTCTCTGCCGGGCATCTTATCCAGCATAACGCTACCCTCCTTGAACACGACGAAAATTCTTCGCAGAATCGCCGTAACAGGACCGATTCATCCCCACGCCGCGCTCGACGGACCTCACACCAATTCAGCTCTGCCTTCTACCAGGTAAACAACTTACGTGGTTCCAGAACTGAACAACGTCCAAAATCAAACCAAAGACCCCTGAGATGACAGCCCACAGACCGAACATCTGGGATGCTATTGCGCGGCAATGCGAAAATATTCAGGTCGGAGTTTAGAGAGGGAAGGGGGCTGTTGTCGCAATGGTCCCGTGCAGCGGGCACTTTCACATGCGAATGCGATTACGTCGTCACGGGTTGGCTTGGGGATCGAGGGCGACGCCCCATGCAGGATGGGTCCCATGCGGAAAATGTTTTTATTTGCTTTTGCCCTTTGAACCTATGGACATGATAGACGATATTTTTGTGAATGTTTGCTTTGAATGGGCATGGTGGAGGGTACGTGTCTCGTAACGATGTGACATTCCCGAGACTATGCCGAGTCCGACGCTTTGATTGAAGACGCCCGAGTCCCCGAGTCCCGGATCCGCGGGCAGTCAGTGACTCGTAGATTGGTGAGGTGCAAGACTAAGTAGTGCCACTGCATATGCCGATTTCTAGATGTGATAGCAGAGATTGAATGGGTTTACTCCATAGTCATACTCATAGTATATCCTTCGACCTTGACACCCGAGAATCAACAGTGAGCTTTTCTTCCCACGCGGCACTAACGACCTGTCATTGTTCTCACCGTCGAACAAGGGACGAGTGGTTACCGTCGAGTCAGAGAAGAATCGCATAGTAGTGGACGAGCAACATCACGGAAACCGTGTTGCTCTGTTTTGCTTGTGACCAAGAAGGTACTCATTCATTACATGTTCTCGTTACAAAATGGGAAACGCGAAAAGTTTTGGAAGAGAACTTTCTGAAAAAGAGAAATTGTGAATTTTGCAAGATCGTTTGATTTTTGTCATTTCGCTTTGCTTCCCTAATATGCAAGTAGGCGAAATTAAAAAAGAAAGCTTCTCCCGGACACCCGAACCCAATTCAAAGAGATGTCATTTACTCCTCAATGATGTTGGTCCGCTCAGAAACGTACAGACCATCCAAGAACTGTAGAAGAGGAGAAAGTTAGTAGGTAATTAAATGACAAGACGAAGGGAATGCGGCTTGCAAGGAGAGTTATCTGTGGCAAAAACGATTGCACTCCCAATTTGAATTGCTTTCTTCGCAATACGTACCTTACGGATATCCTTGTTGCGGACACGGCAGATCTGTTGGATATCGGCGGCGCTCTGGGAGACATCCTCCAGGGAGTTACCGGAGAGCTGGAGCTCATCCTTGACGTTGGCGGAGGTGATGATATCAACACCGGGGCGGGCGTGAACGCGGCGGACATACTTCTCACCCAGGAAGTTACGGATCTCGACATCGGTACCGCCGGTCTCGGGGTTCTTCTCGAGGTTGACGTTGATGGGGAAATGGGCGTAGACGTAACGCATCTTGTAGAGGAAGCCACGGGTAACACCGATGATCAGGTTGTTGATGATGGTGCGGACGGTGCGGAGGGTAGCGACACCCTTGCGAGCACCGTGGTGCAGCTCGATCGAGATAACATTCTTCTCGGGAAGGCCGAAGGTGACGGCGATGTGGGACAGGTCCTTGACGAGCTTGCCGCGGGGGCCCTCGACGGTCACAACCCGCGAACGAATGTGAACCTTCACTGTAGAGCGAGAAAAAAAATCACAGTCAGCCGATATGGACTTTTTTTGGTTCCTGTGTGCTTCATAACAAAATTTTGTGTGCTTTCGACTCGCGGCAAGCAGCTCGTAGCAAATTTGTGTCCCAGTATGAATCCAGAGTCGCGAAGATATGTGTGTGCATGTGTGTATGTGCAACTCTGCAGGAGAGTAACCGGTCCACCTCTTGCTGTTGAAAAAGATTGGCAGCCATGTCGCATTGTCGTTGTGAGCTGCGTTCCAGTCTGACAAGTCCATTCGCATGTCAAAGTTTCGCTTTGAAAGTGCAAAGCCAGAGGTCGTGCTATATCCGCGGTCCACAAGAATGCAGCGCTGCCATCGCTCACCACCATCCCATCGCACACACAACATATCGCCGCGACCCTAGAACTCGAAAATCCTCCAACAAAGAAGTGGAAATCGATAGCTCACCATTGTCCGGAATGGGCAGCCGTTCCTCGGAGTGAATGTACCGCATCTTGACTGCGTGGGTGGAATTGGCCGAGGGGGTTGAATTGTCGTTGTCGGGAGAGTCGAAATTCGGGATGGACTTGATGGTGGAGCGAAATTGAACGTCACGGGATTGTGCGTCGCTTAGGGCCTGTTGTGGATTAGCGTAGGGTTGCTTATCAGACGGTGATTATCACCACGTGATCTGAGCACAGATCATGCAGGATGTCTTCTTCCTTAGGCAGCAAGCACGGAAGGATCCGGTCCCACTTGTTGGATCACGTGCCAGATCGCCTCGTCGATATCGGGTTCAAAGGTATGACTTTCTCCATAGCCTAGTTTCTTTCGAGCCTTGCGCAAGTGATTGTCAATCGAATATAGGTATCAATACAATGTACATAATAACGTGACCACACATCGTAACCTGAACATGCATGCAGATCATGATGAAGCCTTGCGCACCGCACTTGACAGCCACTTTCCACCCATTTGACGGAGCTTCGAAGCCAGTTCGTCGCTCTGATCCAACGCAGCCATGTCATCTCCGCCGCCGATACTCTTCCCATTCACCATCACGTTGGGTACCGTACCCCGGCCGGTGGTCTCTCTCAAGAGTTGTTGCAACGCCGGACCGATCGGGTGGTGATCCAGCTCGACAACGAAAGGCGCTGGAGAGATGTCGTAGTGGCTCAGCAGGATATCCTTGGCTCTTTTGCTGTGCGGGCAATATGATTTCGAAAAGATGATCACTGTAGAGCGCGCTCTAGAATTAGCCTGGAATCTGCAACGCGGAAGTCGGAAGAAGAATCGTAACGCATACCTGGCGCTCTCTTCAAAATATCATTCAACTCGGTCTTCGCATCAAGTTCCTCTGGCGTCTCCTTGTCCTCCCCATTCTCCTTCGTCTTCTCTCCCCCATCAACCTGTCCACCCTTCGCCTTGGGGAGCGTCATTTTCGTCCGACCCGCAATAGAAATCTCCTCAACCTCGTCGCCCTTGCTATCCGCCGCTTTTGCAGCCGGCACCGCAGGTCTCTCCACATCGTCGACAATGACTTTTGCACCAGCGCCGGGCTTCTGTGCGCCCTCAAGATGAGTCCCTCCCTTTGAGTCTGTGTGTTTCGCTTCTTCCTTGGCTCGCATGGCGGCGAGTGTGGACCGGTAGAATTTCTGGTTTTGGATCTTGCTGGCTTCGCCCTGTGACATGGGGGAAGACAGGTCATTAGCTTTCAATGTCAATTGATCAAACCACATTCTCCTTGGCTTCTGCAAGCGGGAGGTAGTGCTCGGGATAGAGATAACATCAGAGATGGAAAGAGCTCTTTGCGCGCATATAACTGTACGTTGTGGACAGTGGACGACAACTGGACACATACCGAGTAATAGAACATCATCACCAGAATCGCCGCGACCGCGATGGCGATCAATCGAACGCGGCGTTGCGAGACCATCGCGAACACTTGTGCAGCGAAACACTATCCTCTCAAAGCTTCGGTCTAGTGTCGAGGTGAGATCTCTTGCTCGTGGTGCCACTTCAGCGAGAACAATAATAGCGGGACTGGACTGAAGAAGACTGGTCAGGAGAACTAAGCGTTTCTCTGTCGGCCTCGGCCAAAACAGAAGTTCAGATCGACCTAGTCGGGGCGGCTACCTAAGTAAGCTGGCCGCTCGGATGGAGTGCCACACCAGGGCTACAGCACCACTGAAGCCTTGGTTCTCGTGTTGTTTCTTTTGAGGTTGTCTGTCATACGCTACACGGACACCGTGGGATTTCTGATGATGAGTAGATGCCGTATTCGCTGTGAAGGTACAGTAACTTGCAGCTTCCAGCATTGGGTTCATCATTACAGTGCCACCATTTAATTGTTCCATCCACATCTGACGCTAGTAAGGAAAGATAAGCATTACGTAGTACGTACATGCTGTTAATACGTTACGGCTATATCGCAGCTATCGCTCAGTCAGACGGAGCGGAAGTCTCTCTGTAAGAGTAACGGTGTCTTAAAATGTTGCAAATCCAGCAGGACACGATTAGTTAGATGTCTTACCAAAGAGTTTAGTGTCAAAAGTGGGCTGAACAATAATCTGGTATACACAGACTTATCCCACTCTCTTCTCTCTTACCTCTTTGCCCTCCTCGTTATCTTTCCATCAACAATAACATACTGAACTCCTAAACTAGTCTGTCCTTTCTATCATGGATTTACACTCTCCCGAGGAGCGTTTCACCTCTCTTATGTCTGTCGAGACCCCAACTACTGAATACGATCCAGGTGACGCTACTGAGACCTGGTAGTTCACCAGCGAGCAAGACCTACACACGGAGATAATTGGAAGCTACGACAACAGGCTCCATTAAAGGATGAGACACGCAATCAATATCTGCTGATCACAGCTGTTCCCCCGGTCGTGATTTCCCGCCTGTTGGAAGGCGAGGTTTATCGCCTTACATTCAACAGTTGAACACACAGTGCGGTATACTCACAAAGTTATGCCATTCGTGGGACACAAGCGTGCTATTGTTGAGTTCAGACATCTTCTACATAAGATGACTCTGAATATGGAGATCGAGGACGAGCTGTGTGGGAACAGTCCCACCCAATACAATCGGTAACTAGGTCAAGCAATCTGATTCGTGCTGGGCAACCTTCGCAGGTTCCTCGATCGACTCGCCCAATCTTGTCCTTGAAGCCGGATTATCGACTCCCAATCGGCAACTTGCTCACGATGCTCGAGAGTAGCTAGAGATACCCGGCTCGACGGTAAAGGTGGTCAATACAATGGATATCAGCCAAAAGACCCCTAAGATAACTATCCGCAGATGGGAATGAGTCCCTAGAGGTCGTCATCCTACAAGCGCATATCCTTGCTCGGCTGATTGCATATCAATCCTAGAGATGATTCGAAATAATAACATGACGATTGTCACGGGGCAAAATTCCGTTGGTGGCACAGCCGCAGCCACAGCACAGCTGGTCCTGCCATTTGAGACGTGGCTGGCCGTCAACCCGAAGCACCTCTACAACGAGATTCCATGATAGCCGAGCAAGATCTCCGAAGACTCGCCGAGAGGGTTTGGCACGCTCAGCGGCTCATCTGCGCGGGGCCCTTTTGTAGGGAAGATTTTGAATGCTGGTATTGCAAGGATACGCTCGGTCGAGAAGCTTGCGAGGCCGTCGCGCGGCGCCGGCCCTGCACGATGGTAGTCCAATCCTCCCACTCCTTCGCGATCTCGGTCAGAACATTTCCCATCACCTTCGCGGACGCCATGAGACCGTGTGCTTCACCCTCAAGTATCCGCACCTCGCAACGTCGCATGGTCTTGCCCAGCCACTGGACATTCTCAACCGGCACACGCGTGTCTTTGCTACCGTGGTGAATAACGGTTGACCGTGTGATATCCACGTACCGGAACCCGATTGTCTGACGACGCTCCAGGCAGACCAGAAGGTCTACGGTCGGGTTGGCATTGGCAGTGGCAAGCGCCCAGATTTTGTGTGTCAGTCGTGTGTCATAATCTCTTTGTCGTTCCAGTTCTTCCTCAGCAGATTTTGCCTTAGTGTCGAGACTTGCGTCGCTATGTCGGTACGTTTCGTAGCCGACGTTGGACGGCTTGAATGGCTCAAGAAGGGTGGGTGAGATCAGTTGGGAAGCATTGGCCTCGGCCGCGGGAACTGCGATGGCAGGAGTAGAGGTATCTTCCTTCGCGATCTCCTTGGTAGGCTTTTTCTTCGCTCGTCGAGTAGACTTGGGTAGACTTGCGGTAATGCTGGCACTTGTGGCGCTCATAAAACTCGTATTGGCGACTTTGAGAAGAGATGTCGGGAGGGCGCGCAGGATGCGCTGTGAATAAGGAACGGCATGAGCCGGCACGGGCTCCTTTTGAGACCCGATGGTGGATAGCTGAGACGGAGGGATCCAAGGAGCGAGTAGGTGGATCCGTCCTCGAATATGCTGAGGGATTCGCAAGGCCGTCGCGAGGGCGTAGATGGCGCCAGCCGAATGAGCGAGAATGGAGAACTTGGTCACTCGCAAATGATTACACACAATAGCAACATCATCTAGAAAAGGTTAAGGGTCGGTGCCTCCTGATTATTGAAAGACATGCAGATCACATAGAAGTGTTTGCTTACCTGGCCAGCTTAGTGGGGTATTGGGCTCATCTGGAGAATACTGCCCACTTTCGCCCACTCCAGGACGGTCCAATGTCACCAAGCGCAGATTCAGCGTCCGTGCCAATTCATCGTAAAATGCCATCAAATACCGCGTCAGTCCCATACCCAGACAACAGAGTACCACATGACCCTTGGGATCCCCAACTTCCGAAAAGGCGATTGTCCGCCCCGTCGTTGGGTGAGGTACCCTCTGCGTGAGCTTAGGTGAGATGGTGTAGGCCTCAACGGCCAGATCGATGGAGTCTGCACTAGATGGTCGTTCATTGTGAAGGGATGGGCGGCCGACGGCTGGCGGACTCGATGGTGTACGACGATGAGAAGGTCTGGGAGAGACGGGGTCCATTGATTGCCTCTGTTCCAATTTCTCATACCCCGGTTTGCCAGACAATTGTCCTTGGATATGTGGTGGAAAAGTGGGAGGCTTGGCGGACAATCCAGGGCTGCCCGTCAAAGTGCGGGGTTTCCCTGTCTTTACTAATGGTGATGGCGCGCTCTCGTGGAAGAACGAGGAAAAGTCATCGATAGGACTTGTTTGCTGTTGGAGAGGGGGGGTTTGTTCAATGTGGCTGCGAGAGCGCGAAGACCGTGACGGTCTCACCGGCGACGTCCCAGACCGGCCAGCCAGACTGTCAACGGCTGCCATTTCAATTGTGTTCTTCTGGTGTCGGTCTTTGACCTCTTGTATTTTCTGTATTACCTGCGCCGCGTCGTTTCTCGACCCCGGTAAACCATTCTCAGCTGGCGCAACATCTTGGCTAGCCGTTGAAGAGTATCGACTGTGGCGTACAGATTGACGCCGCCTCGAGCTCGACGACTGACTGTGTCGGTGACGAAGGGACGAGGCTCGTGTGGGAATCGCTCGTCCGCTGCCTATTCCACCTGGCTGTTGAGCCGCGTCCGGAGAGGTCTGGCTCGACGGCAATTCTCGGTTTGGCGGGGTGTTGGATGTTGGGGGTTGTGCCGACATATCCTCCTCCTCCTCCTCCTTCTTCTCCTCAAGCAACCCTTTCTGCAATACTTCCATTGGTGCCATTTCCTCGGCTACATTCGCCATGGAATACATTGATCGCAGACTGGGTCGGTGTCGGGGCGTATTATGCCACAGACTGTCAGTGTAGCTACTCGACCGACGCAGGCGATCCGCTGAAGTCTCCTGGTCAGAGCGCAGTTCACGCGACGACTTGCGCAATAGACCCAGGTGATCCTTCAGACTCTTGGCCCGTCCAGTCGAACTTGTCGACGCGACACTCGGTGTCTTAGTAGAGAGCGGCGCGGGTTCAGTGCTGATGGTTCCAAACACGGCGGTTTCTGACGGGGTCCGTACCGAGGTATGCGATTCCTGAGACGGCGGTCGCGACAGGGGTTCTCCTGACTTGAACGGTTTGTATCTGGGAGAGCGAGGCGATCTTTGCACTTTGGGAGAAGGGGGCGCTCTGGCCATTCGAATGACCGGGGGTGAAGCAGCATCATCTGGGTGCAAAAGGCCTTGCGAATGGTCCTCGGCAGTGGCGCAGGTGCTCACGCTCATTCGGGAGCCATTCTTAATCAATGGAGGCCGGGTTGGGGTTGGTTTAAGAGGTGTGGTCTCGTGGTGAACGGGGGTCGGGGGGTCTTCCGAGTCAATGCGCGGGATGCTGTCAAAATGGGAATTCAAAGGGACTGAGATCGCCGAGAGCGATGAAATGAGGGACGAGATGACTTCCGGGGACGTGGGATCGGATGGAAGATTCGAGGGTTGATCCCGCTGCGAGACGGACTTGTGACGGCGGCGCCGGTTGAGTAGAGCCGAATCCGCCTGCTGGGCCAAGGTTGGAAAGGGCTCCTCAAGATGCATGGCGTTCAATAGTCTGGTTTTCCTCCCGGGGGTCTCTGGTGCACCCGCCCGCGAGTCAGGATGCCAACACGGGGGAAGGCCAGAGGGGGGGGGGGGGGTACGGGCAGGGGGGAGCAGAATCAAGGACCACGGCGCAAAAGGAGTCAATCGGCAGCGCGCATGATCTGCAATGAGATGTGAGGGTGCACTGTAGTAATTGGACTGAAATTCAGCAATTGCACCTGTGAGTGTTCCGACAGCTGGGAGCAGAGAATGAGTGACTGAGAGGAGGGGCGGCGACTCGATAGATCGAGTCGGCTTCAAATTGCGCGTGACGAAACCCCCCTTACGTTGTTGGCGATTAGGTCTGATAACGACCCGCGGGCTGAACAGCAAGCGAAAAGAGTTTCAAGGAGAGACAATTGGAACCTTTCTCACGGTTCCTCCGGGTTGGATTTAAAAGGCCTGAGCAGCAAAGGAGTGGCTGGTGTATTCAAGAGGCTGCGCCGTTCGGAGGCAAGGCGCCACGAGCATGGAAGTGCTGGCGCATCAAAAAAATCCGAAAAGATGGGCCGACCTCCGCGTGTGATATGCAATTAAGGTCGGTCCTGTGATTTGTGAAAGTTCCCAGCAAGGCCCCATGGAGTCCCCTTTCTCCACATGATATAAGCAAATCGTGACAAGGTTACGGCATTGGACAGCGTCGCTATTCACAGCAGGTGGGCCGGTGGAGGGAGATTAGCGTTCGCGTGTTAAGCTCCACCAGCATGGAGCCATGGACTATGAATATGGACTAGGTATGGAGTCCACTAACTCCAATTGCCTCAGTGCAGCACATGGAGTACGGTAGCTGCAGAGATGGCATGGTCTATGCGGATGAACAGTGCTATGGGACAATTGAAATGACTATCTTGGCTCCAACTCCTCGCACATCATGTCGCGCAGAGCATAGATCCTCTTCAATCAACCATCATGACTATTGTTGATGCCCTGCCATGTTTATCATTGAATAAGGTACCTCCTAGCATCTGTACCTCTCCTAGTGTGTGGATGTACTGTGGGGTCCGCATAACACACGGCATGGAATGGAACCGTTCCTGGTTGGATCCAAGGAAAAGTTGGTTAGCCGGCGTTAACTGAAGATAAATAGCCGACTGTGTAAGTGTGATTCGAGTATGCTACTACCATGATGGGTAAGTTACCTGCTTCCCCCTCGTGACCAGTTTATACATACACCACATAGTACACACTCCATTAATTTAGAGGATGATACATTCCATCTTCCATCTTCTTTGATCCACATCTGCACACATCTGACGAATGATGTTTTGACTACTCTCTGCCGAGTTTATCTGACTTTCGAACCAGTAGCCGTCAAGGTAACATGGCCTTAGGACACAAGTATGTATGCTATAAAATTCCAAGCACTTACATGAGAAGCAACTTCTCGTTCCACTCCAATTTGCAATCAAGTCAATATCAAGCTGACCGTCCCAAATATAAGACAATGCGATTCAGATGAAAGACATACTGAAATAGGGATGATCGACGGTCTCACTAGGCCGGCCCTACCCATGGACATAGTATGCACGGTGTCCCCCATCAATGGCACGGGTGTTGTCTGCTCTCTCAAGACTTTGATGAACGCGGGAAAACTTACTGATGGTCTCTTGTCTTGAGACTGCAACCGAGAAAAAGATATATATTTCATACCGTTTACCTAGGTTGTGGCCCAACGGACGTTAAACAATACTACTACTACTACTACTACTACTACTACTACTACTACTACTACTACTACCACCACCACCTAGGTTGTGGCTGCGCAGTGCGCATTGGGCACTGGAACACGATGGGACTCTTCTGCCGAGGCCCACGCAAAGGGTCAGGCCGGTAGTCTTCATCGAGTCGTGTCAAGTTGTCAACAGTTCTTCACGAATGCCCCACATATTTCTGTCATCAAGGGCTATCATTGGTCGTGAGCTCTCACGCATTCAGGTTCTCTGCCGCGCTGCAGCGGCTGTTGAATGGCCTTAGCAATCGGTAAACTCTGGAATTTCCGATGCACACTTGCACAGTATGATTAACCATCGCTCGTCCGAATCAATAAATCAACACGGGCACATATAGCACGTGCAATGTCCAGTCATGTAATAATCTACAACACATAGCCACATACTACTTGATAGCTTCAGGTTCTTGCAAATTCTAGGCCTTCGTGTATGTCCGAGAGCTTGTATGTATTATGTAATGGTGTATAAGTCGACCTAGGAACAGCTTGTAGGTATACATTCGATATCGAATCCATGATGGGTCAAGCTGAGAGAAAGAATAATGTGATGGCTCTCGATTGTATCAACTCCATCATTAGTAATTACTGCCATGCTTTTACATGTATACAATTGCTTTGATAAATAATTTAAGAATAGATACATATTGGAGAAAAAGTAGATGTCCATGTGCTTCGATCAACTACGCTCGTTCAACCTCGAATTATATTTCAACGAAACCCGACCAAGCGGTCAACTGCACCTGATTCAGTAACCTTGAAAACGGCAATATCAGAGGATCATTTTGGAGGGTGTCTGGAACTCTTAATGCGTGCAACAAGGGATCTAGAAGAGCAGTTCAAGACCGCCTGTCAAATCAAACAATTGAATTTCCATCCCAGTGATGACCCTGATCCAACTTTTGTTTGGACCGCAAACCGGTCCAGCATGTGCCCTGACTTTTTTGGGTGGGACGGACTGTACCCTCCAAGATATTTTAATAGTTCAAGTGGGGCCCCACTCACCGTATCGGCTGTAAGAAATGCTGTACTGTTTCACACTTACCTCGTGGTTTCAGGCAGAAATTGAGCGTATGTTATAAAGCTGATACTGCAGAGCTAAGACATAATAGGACTGACTCACAAGACCCACTTTCACTATTATCATGGAGGGTCGCAGGGTACAATAGCTTGGCCACGTCTGACCGCCTGGCGGATGCTGGCTGGCAGAACATGACAGCACGAAGCAGCCTACTGGTGGCAGGTAGACAATCGCTGGGACTCGCAACAGAGCTGATAAGCTCCTCTTTTGTGTATATTTTTCCCTCTGCGGGGGCGATAATCCGAACAAATTGCTTTATTCAGAGCCTGTTCTGTGAATCAAGGCTGTCTTTAATCGGAGGTTCCGTTCTCAAACATCTTTCTCAGCCCTCTAATTCAACTCGCGATGCGGTGACCATCCCACGCATTGCTCCCCAATTGTCCACCATGGACGCTTATCCGCAAGACTACGTCGCCCACAATCTTCCCCTGGTCCTGCTTTCAGGACTTCAGCCAGACAATGAATATGACTCAAAAGCCCCGGCGCGATATCCTCTCCTGGAAGAGAAGGGTACCAAGATCGTCTCAGACTTTCCTCCACTGAGCGGGGCTATTGCGGAGGAATTGCGGAGAGCGCTGCTCGCGGAAGACGGCTCTCATAGACCCTGGAAAGCAGACAGCCCAGCTGGAGCTGGCGCGACATCCTCAATGCGCCTGAGGTTCCGTATCAAAAATTGCGATCGGGTAGGCCTCTCTTACTTTCCACGCATTTCAAGAAAATTGCATTACGCCCTCGGCGCTAATATCGCACGCGAATTCCTGCTAATCCCTGCTATTGTTCTTCTGCCCGCCAACAGACATATCAATTGCCCCCTCGAAAAGCCAACCCCCCCTGAACAGTCCGCCAACCAGTCCTATCGTTGATTCGAGCGATTCCTCATCTACAATACCATACATCCTCCACTCCCCAATCTCTCCGCTGTCTCCAGGCTCTCCCACCTTCCCTGACGGGCTGCTCACGCCACTATGGGTTACAAAACACCAAGATCTGGTCCCAGCGGCGGCATTGAACTTCTTTCCCTTCTCGCTGGACCCGAATATGAACTCCCTGCGTGATAATCAGTTGAAAATCGAGATCAATAGCTTGAAGAACGAATGGACAGTGTCAGGCTTCAAGACTCGTTTCCTCGTGGTGCTAGTCTCAGAAGAAGGTGTTGGGGGTTACGAAGGAGAGATTGATGACCGTATAGCTGGCATTCGCAGGGCCACGAATCTGGACCAGAAATCCATCTTTGTCATTCCTCCCGACGCAACATCAACCGAGCTTCGAGATTTTGTCCAGTCACTATTCTCACTCCTGCAACCATCGGTTGTGGAATACTATCGGGATCTGTCCAAGCACGCGCGCCGAAAACGCAACCGCAGCACGATTCCTCCTCCCACAGCTCCTCCGACAACCGGTACCTCCCAGACATTGTCGTTACAAGGGTGGAATGTGCGATACGAGTTCAAGCTCGGAATCTTTGCCGAGTTTCGACAAGAAATGGACGCAGCTTGTCGCAATTATGAGAGCGCATACGAAACCTTGTTTGGACAAGAGGTTTTCGAGACCATTGCGGGATGGGACCCCCGCTTCAATGATGCACGTCTTTTAGGAGATACACTCGCTATTCGGATCATGCGTTGTTTGTTCTGGACAGGTCAAACGACCGCTGCAGTCCGGTTCTGGGTAGACCACAGAATTCGAACAAATGATATCGTCAACCGTCGGGGCAAAGGAAGTAAGAACTACGGGTGGGAGGCGTGGGAGGCACGGTGGTCGTTAGTGATGGCCGAGCTCATACGCCGCTGTGAGATCTACTTGTCAATCCCTGAAGGACCAGGAGAGACGACACTCTCTCCCTTAATATTTCTTCCCCCAGAAAAGTCAATTTCCGTGGGCGAACGAGTCAATCCGTGGGAGCACCTACATCATCAAGGATACTGGCTCTATCGATCGGCCAAGCATAGCATGGCGCGCAAGTCTCTTGCTCTGCAAATACCGACCGAAGATCGTTTGTCTCCCGGACAATTGCCCGCTTCTCAGCTTGCAAACAAGTCCTACTTGTATGATACCTATCTGGTGCCTGAGACGTATCTTGAATATCCACAATCTGGCCAAGGCGGGACCAATCACTCCGAGATTATTCTCCTCGCCTTGAAAGCCGCTGTGGAAGAGTTCTCGAAGCGCAACCAGCAGAGACAAGTCGAAAGATTGAGCCTCGAGATTGCCCAAGAGTACATGCGTAATGCTTCATGGAAAGAAGCGTTTGAAGTACTGAGCCCACTTTGGTCAACTCTTAGCTGGCGACGATCAGGCTGGTGGTCATTAATGGAAAGTTTTGGGTGGGCACTGCGGGAAAGTGCTGCGCGAGCGCATGAGACCGAGACCGTCTTGCGAATCGACTGGGAACTGGCCAACAGGGGTAGGGGATACGACTTGATATTTGCTTTGAGCATTCAGTTCTAACATTTGTGCTTCCCAGTGTTTACGCCGAGGTCGGGTTGGCAGTACGATATCCACGGAAGTCTCGAGAACCTTCCGGCAGAGAAACCAAAACCATCGGTCGTGCTTCGTGCGGAAGACGTTGTCACAAGTCGTAAGACTCTCTCTCTCTCTCTCTCTCTCTCCTTCTCTCTGAATAACGCAGACATCGAGGGGACAATGCTAACACCGACCGCTATTGCTAGTCACGGCCTCTGTCGTGTTTGAAAATGCAGAGGGGAATGTAGGCGAGCCGCTACAGGCCCAGCTCATCATCTCGTCTTGCGCGCAGCTTACATCGGCGCCTATACGATTATCAGAGGTAAAACTTGTCTTTGAAGGCTGTCTCCGACCCTTGAAGCTGCAGTCTGGCTCTGCGAACAAGTCCGATACCAAATCGCCTTGCCTTGTATTTTCATCATCACTTCAAGAAGTAACTCCCACTGCCGATATTCATTCTCCTACACATGGACTGTCTGCACTGGTCGGTGAGGCAGACCTGACGATAGGGCCCTCACAAACCAAGGTGTACAATTTGACTTGCATTCCTCGCGAAGCAGGAGAGGCTCAGATTGCTTCAATCACTATGCTCATTGAGGAGGATAGATTCGATCTAGCCTACGTTGTCACTCATCAGCCGATCCAAACAGCATACTGGTGGCAAGAGACCAACAAAGGCCCGTCTCGACGACGAGTCGGCAAAGGTCGTGACACTACGAAATGCAGAATCATGCCGAAGCCACCTAAGATCCGCATCTCGCTCCCAAACATCAAAGAAATATATTACACCAATGAGCGCGTCCTGATGAAGATCGACCTTCATAATGAAGAGGACGAGGGCGCGGATGTGTCTGCCGAAATCAGACTATTCGGGAGTCCCGAATCATCTGCTCAACTCCAATGGCTTGATGGAAGCTCAGATCCAATGGAGTCAGGGACCAGCTCTCCGACTGAGGCCCCGTCACACCTTCTTACGGAAAGAATCGGTGTCATGGAACGTGGCTCTCACAAGGAGCTTATTGTGGTGCTTGCCGATACCCAAGACACTGCGAAGTATGCCTTGGAGATCTCTGCAGTCTACCACCTTGTGTCTGATGCTCAAACTCCTATCATGAAGACCATCAGCGTGGATCTCTCCTTTATTCGGCCATTTGAGGCCAATTACGAATTCAAGCCCTGTGTCCATCCCGTTCCTTGGCCTGACTTTTTCTCGGTCAGTGATGAACTGATCGGTGATGACCACGCGACCGCACCTGGCGGACAGGTGCAAAGATGGTGTCTCAATTCCAAGTTGGTTTCCTTCGCACAAGAGGCCTTGGTCATTGAGCAGATGTCTTTGAAGCTCCTGACCGTCACCGGCGGTGCCGTATCAACGATTGAGCCGGAAGTCCTCGTCAGCCCGGAATCCCACCAGATCAATCCGGAAGAGTTGCGAGAGTCGAACTTTGCCGTCGACATTCAAAAGACTTCGCTGGGCGATCGTCGACCCGTGGCGCTCAACGTGGCGCTAGACATTACCTGGCACCGCAAGGCCGACGAAGTTGAAAATGATCCCGACTCGAATCACACCACTACGACTATCCTCGAGGTTCCACGCTTTGTTGCAGCGATGGGCGAGCCGCGAGTCCTTGCCTCGTCTTCGACATCTGCCTCTCTGCCGGGCCTGCTTCACCTAGACTACACGCTCGAAAACCCATCCACGCATTTCCTGACATTCAACTTGATCATGGAAGCCAATGAGCAATTTGTGTTTAGTGGTCCCAAAACAACAGTGATACAACTCGTGCCATTATCGCGGCACACGGTGCGGTACAACCTCCTCCCTGCGAAACGCGGTCTATGGATTCAGCCGCAGCTGGTCGTTGTTGATACTTACTTCAACAAAACGCTACGGGTGCTTCCAACGGGTGAAATGCGCGCTGATAAAAAGGGCATTCTGGTTTGGGTGGATGCTGAGGATTAGATTGGTAGGTCTTAGCGAGTCGCGACAACCGGTCGTTTAGAACGGCCCTGTAATTGCATAGTTGATATTAACGGCCAACGTTGCGCACGAGGGCAAACCATGTATGACATAATTCTAAGGATGCAGTCGATCCCCGGTGAATGTGATTGTCAGATGAGCTTCCAGGCCCAATCAACCTATTGCAGCATACCATTGTACTCTATTCGAGATCCATCAACATTCGTATCTCTCCGACTGGAAGCTTGCACTGTATGATGTAATTATTTTGTCCCGCTTCTCCTCAAAGCCGATAAATCACGTGGAGTGTCTTATCAGCCCGTATCCGAACGCGGCTAGCGGCGATCGGCCAACGCAGCGCTCTCCGCGAGCTTTTGTCACGTCGTTAGTTGTTCTGCTTAGCATCGTTGGCAATTTTTGCTCAGACTCTCTTTAAAAGTACTTGCGATTCCTCATATAGGTGTAACTACCACCGGACTTGGCTTTTTCAGCCTGACCAACGACTTCTACATCACCCCAAACCGAGCGATACCGTCGCAGAATCAGAGGTCATGGCGACCCAAGCAGCGCTGATTGCCGACACGATCGTGGGTATGAAGCGTGCTCTTCGCAGAGAACGCGATGGTAAGTGTTTCCAATTTGTTGTGGAACTGGATCTGATGTCTCTTTTGTGTGAGCTAACATTGAATCAAATCTTTCTCTCTAGACTCTGGACCAGACGATGCGATTACGCAGCCAACCAATCGAGGCAACAAGATGCGGGCAAACGCAAAGTATGTTCGCGAAGGAGCGCTAGGATATGTTAATGCTGAAGATCTCTATAAGGAGGTGAGTTGATGCGCCAGCAGGCATGGCATGGCGGGGGCGGCGAACTGTCTCTCTTTCTCTGTCATGCTTGGGGTTTTGGGTCAGAGCAAAATCAGACTGACGGGTATGGCCATTTGTGTTGGGCAGAAAATTGAGCATGCTGGCTATACGCGCCATATTTTGCGCCGGAATCCCATTCGCTATGATTCCGAGGGAGAGGAGCTTGATGAGGAGGACGAAGATTCCGAGGCCGACGCTGCGGCCGCAGAGGATAATCCATTTTCGGGAATTGCGTTAGAAAGTAGGTGTCCCCACGATTGAAATGCCGTTACTCATGTGGGAGGCATCGACTAACTTTCGGCAAATTTTTGTCGCTTGCAGCGCTGCTATGCCCATTGAAACACCCGTCCGAACTACCGGTTCACCCCTCACTATCCCATGCATATACGTCACGCGCGCTTGAACAAATGACAGATGCTGTGGAAGAGAAATTGAGGCAAGAGAAGGCGCTCTTGTGGCGAGCAAGAAATCTACATCGAAGATTCCTCGGAGATGGGACGTGGATGCCCTGTGGCGTAGTGGAGACGGCCGACGATCGTCATATCTTCGAAGCGCAGCTGAGAGATGATCATCGCATTGTGCCCGTCAACGAATACAGTCAGGATAGCCTTGCGTCTCGAGAGGCTAGTCCAGCAGCGAACGGGCAGCCCTCACAACAGGCGGACGCGGGCAACTTTCAAGGCGAGACAGGTGACGTGGAGATGGGAGAAGACTCGGCGACGACCGGCGGGCCAGCAGCGAATACCAGTAACTCCCAAGAGCCCGTCACACAATTTAAATCAGAAGAAATCGACGAGGGGGTGAAAGACCTACCACAGCACCCAACCGAGGAAACAGGACCCCACGAGAATGCATCGTTTGACCGAAACGGCGTCGCCGCGACCCAGCAACCGGCAATGCCAAGCAACGGCGCCACAACCAACGGAGACTCGCACACACACGCAGAGCACGACGGGGACACGAACGAAGAAGATGCAGAAATGCACGATGGATCTTCACCAGAGCCCCCACGACGAATGACCACTCGAGCACAAGCAAACGCAAACAACCCTTCCGATGACGCGCACTCATCGGCGCTATCACATGATCTAGACCATCTTCAGAACGCGCCTCACCCTCTCTTCATGATCCCAGAGACCGTCCGCCCCGACGCAAATTTCGGCCTTCCTGCCAACGAGGCGGAAGAAACGCGGCGCTTACTATGGTCATACATCCAAAAGCAGGAAGAAACGGTGCGCGGCTTCGAGCACATGCTGGAATGCCTCCTTCGAGCCGCACACATGAAAGCCAACGTCATGGAATGGTGCAAGGCAGAAGGCCACGTTGGCGAGATGAGCGACGGGGAGGACTGGTACGATCGTGAAAAATGGGGACTTGCCGAGGGCGAGGATCTCAAAAAGGGCACGGACGAGGATGAAGTCGAGACAGTTGACGAGAGTCGGACAACGGCAAAGAGAGGCCGCGGACGACGGCAATAGACAGAGAGCTTGAAAGGCCAGAAGGTCTGGGAGTTTTTTTCTTATCGCAGATACAGATCGCTGAAGATACAGATGCCGCATCCAGAATCCTTTGGCTTCTGTTTGCCGATCTCATGGAAGAAACTGCAGTGTCAATCTTTTTCTTTTCTCCGGGCAATCGTTTGAGAATATTTTCTTCATAGCGTGGAGTTGGGCGTGTTTACTTGCTACATAGGTGGAATGGAACGTCCTTCTAGGCAGTGCCGCTCCATTAAATTTTTTGTTTCCCCCCTCTACGAATTGATCGTGACCTAGGCGAAGGGCGTTTTTTTTTTCGGTTGATCAAGGTGGGAGGTTCTCCCATTCAGCAGATCCACCGAGAACAAGTCAAGAGAACGGTTCCGTCGTCTGTCCTCTCCAGTCATTTCCGATGTCCTACGTACAGCCGAGAATACCTTTCTCCAGCCCAAATCCTACTAGTCATCCCACTCGAAATATGATCTTCACCAAACATCCCAACCAAAGCCCTATCATCGGAACACCTCGGAGCTCGTCATATTCTTAACAACCCCGGATTCGGAGCTTCTCCATACCGGACGGGACTACCGCCCAGTTACCACGAGATTCCCTGATCGGGCAATCCCCAGGCCCGACCCGACGGATCGAAAGCGAGCGCCAAGACCCAGAAAGCGCCTTGTTCCGCGCTGAAAGCCGTGCTTGTGGATCCTATCGTTTGGCGCTTGCGCTGATTTACGTCGACAAGACCCGTGCCCGTGGTCTCTTTTACCGCCTCCTTCTTCCTTGACGACTCCAGCATGGGGACGGGCCAGGAATGTGCCCGCGACGAAGTTTCTGTTCTGTTTCGATTGTCACACTGGACGTTGGACTCGATGATGTCGCCGTGTCCTGGTTGAGTCGTCCCGTAGAGCAAAAGAAATTGAAAATCGCAGTTTGACTTCTTAACGCGGTCTTTCCTCGTACCGATTCACAGATCACTGTATGACTATGCAAAAGTGGCTCAGATTTTCATCGATCGCTATACCTAGGACTTCCGATGAAGACCATCAGCGCCTGATCTGCCGTAGTCCCGCGAAATGGATCGTACCTTTGATTAGGTTAGCGTGGGAGATTGGTGCTTCTTGCAGACCAAGTGGTCCGAGTCCTCTGATGACAGATAAGGGGGTTGAAAGACGGGAGTTGCTCGATTAGTCTCGCTGGAGAGTCCGCTGGGATTACGAACAGTGTATAGCTGTCAGTGTGTAGCTGAAGGGTGAGATAGCCCCAGAGACGCAGGGATGTGGTAGGAAGGAGAAAGACATATCACGAACCAAGCATCTTCCAAGAAAGACGAGCAAAGCCTGGTGCAGCTACACCCACAGACAGGGAAAATCCATGAATCCACAATCACCTCGTCTATTGAAAATTCCACCGAGCCAATTCCACGAGGAATTGCTTGACGAAACCGACCGTGTCAAGCTTGGTCTCGCCTAGGTCTTTTTTTCCGAGCCCGAGGCACCAAGTTTGACTCCGTCGAGCTACAGGTGCGCGAGTCTGGACGTGGGAGCTCGCATTGCATGCGCGAGTCAGTTTTGGTTCGTCTGGGGCATGACTTTCGGTGGTATCGGCTCCTCTACATCGATACTAGGTGTACTTACTAGGTGTACTGGAGAAGTCGTGGGGACTTGTGTCGATGGAACACGGTTAGTTTTGGGTCGCACTGTCGCCTATCTTGCTGGAGTCGATATTTCTCAGGGTGTGATAGCACTCGATCAGTTGTGTTGCATCTCTGTCGTTGTCTGGTGATGGAGTTGTTAGTCGAGTCCAAGCTTGAGGGCTGTGGGGTCGCTCGATGCGACCCACCCTCAGTATTTAAGTCCTACTAGTGTGTTCATCCTGGGTTGATGTGTTCATGTTGAGGGTTCCTGAGTGGGCATCTATTCTGGCCGATCGTCCGGTCTCGATGGTCGGAAAAGTACAATGCACTTGACTCGAGATGGATTAGTGGATGTGGTGGACGGAATGTGGGGACGGAGGCGTTTGTATCTCTTCTCTTGACGCACTGCGTGTGCGTAGTATAGAGTATAGATGGATGCTCATACGAAAGAGTACACAGTACACAGTACACACTATGATCAGTCCCCAGAGGTTATCTACTAGTAGGTCATGACTAGTCGAGCATCAAGCACGGGAATGGCGCTCCCAAGGCATTGCTCTGCCGATGTTCGTAATGAGGGCAGCCTTGTGGGTAGACTGCCCATGATCGCTCTGCAAATGGGCTGATTCGGAGTCCCGGGACGGTCGCGTGTGCATTTCATGACATCAGGTGATGGTCTGCTCAGGATGTACCCTTCCGTACGTTGTACCACCCCCCGACATCAGTTGCAAACAGGCCACCTCCCATGTCCATGTACATGAGACGGGCAGTCATGTGAGATGCGAGAGTCGACCTTGCGGTCCAGTTGCCTCACCATTCTGGCGTCGCATCTCCTCGAGAAGGCTCGTTGCCCCAGGCCCAGGGCCCTGGACTAGTCTCCGGGAATGACTCTACCACCCTCAAGTTCCGGGGACGCCATGGACCGAGTGGAGTGAACGTGGTGGAGCGTGGGAATTAGAGTCGGTGGAGCACTGGGCCAGCAACCGGAATGCGGGGTGCAGCTCCAGACTGTCCAGCGACTGTCGCCAGTGGCTCCCGTTGGCTACACTACTTAGCGCAAGTTGGGATCGCCCCGCTTGGCTCGCCTCGTTCTGATGTCAACTTGGCTCGTGTGATCCGAAACTGCCGAACGTTGAGAAGAGAGTGCCAGTGGTGACGATGGGATTGGAATGTACCGAGAGGGGAGGGGAGATGCGTATCACGGGGGGAAGGGAGGGGGGAAAGTAGACAGACTCATTCTGGAGAGATGGAGGGATTCCAGATGGATTCCATCTGGAGCTTCTGGGGAACCCCCAAAGTCATAGAGTCTGGAGACTCAAGGGAGAGATCAGGAGTAGTCAAATCACCGAGCTCAATAGCTCGTCAAAGTTCATCCCCGTACCTCCATCGCAGTCAGCTCAAGCCGGCTCCCGCAGGGACATGGCGGAGTACAACAACTACTCCACGTTGCGCGCGTCTCATCATCAAGAATGGTGTCGTCCAAGACCTCCCACGTCTCGTTCCGTTGTATCTGTACTGCGGCTTCCCGCATGTCGGGTACGACCAGAGAGGTACTGGGAGGGACTTGACTCCGCTCGATTTGGGTTTCTGCGAGACGCGGAATGACATCCATGACTTTTGACAAATCTCCTCCCTGACTCGTCTGTTCCCCTCTTTTGGGACGCAGATGGAACCATGTCTGGGGGAGGAAACAAGACCTGCAAGATCATCTCTTCTGCGCAACGCTCGGTTTCATGTTGGCCGAAGTCCAACGTGAGTCGTCATGATTGGTGTGGTGGTCGTGTGTTCATGGTAATGAGAGGCAGTTCCCCTCACACGATGGATCAACCCATTCGCCCATGGCATGCTTCTGGGATCGCCTGGTCACCTGCTCTGCTTCCCTCTCTCCCTTCTTTATCTACTGTGCTTCTTCTCTTTCTCTTCCTCTTCCTCCTCCTCTTTCTTCCTTTCCTGCTTTCCATCAATCACTTGCTGATCGATATCTCTCGCCGAGTATCTCAACTCCTTCCCTCCCCCCAACCTTCACCATTACTTACTCCAAGCTTCTCAATCCACTTCCACCATGACTGTCCCTCTCACCAAGGTTGACTCGGCCATCGCCGGTCTCTCCATACATGATGAAAAACCCCCTGCCACCACCGAGAAAGAAGTCAAGGGCTCCAAGAAGGAGAAGGGGCATCGACGTGCCTCGTCTGCTGCCGAAGCCGGTGTCTGGCGAATTGAGGATCTAGGTATGGGATATCATCGACAGCATCAACCTCAAGAGTCCCCGTTGCGGACCAGGCAAGCGAAAGGAGTATCCACTGACCAGATACATTCATTTCATAGAGGAGAAGAAGATTGAAATCACTCTGCCAATCGAGACACAAAAGACGGGATGGTAAGCATAAGACCCTGGACTCTGATAAGAGTCATCCCCATCATCGACATCCTCACTTGTATTACCTACTTCCTCTCTTGTGCATCAAGCAATATCTTGTCCATAGCTCACAGCGGGACAGGAAACTCAACACTTCACCATCAACAATCGAAGACAAGGACATTCTCAAACTGCATCTCGTCAACCCTCCCGTCAAGAGGATCGACCTGCACTTCCCCCTCGGTCTAGAGGTCACCGCCAGGAATTCCAAAGGTGTCACAATCAAGGACGCTCTGGACGCCATCCACAAGCAATTCAAGAAGAAGGTAGCTTCCCTTACTCTCCATCAAGATTGGTGTCTTCATTTCGTGATCATCGTGATCATCGTTGTCATGTGGTTTTTCCAAACCATCACTCACACTTTTTCCCTCTCAGGCGGACGATGAACTCGACAAGCCCTACCTCGCTGGCTTCGAGTGGGACAAGGATGAGTGCTGGACACGCCTCATTGTCCACCAGACCCACGTCAGCACAATCCCCAAAGAGCCCAGCAGCAAGAAGTCCAAGAAGAAGAACAAGGACGAGGCATAGATCTCACGCTTAGCGGGCATTGCTCGTTTGTCGGGGACACGACGGACCCACTATCACTCAGGGCCACATGATTACGATTGACGATCTGGCCCTTTTTCTTCTTCTCTATCTTTTTATTGACTGCCCTTGTATTGATTTTACGTCCACGACATTCTCTCCGTCCTCGTCCCAGACAACAACTTCAGGATGCGTTTTGGATCTCTGACGGTCCAGCAAGCGATGAAAGATTTCAATTCGCTGGCCCATCATCTCTCCGGAAACCCCGCACTCCTCCACGACGTTCCCTCTTTTATTCACACTCTATCATTGACTATCACGTCTCTCCCCTCCCTGGTCTCAAGGCCCCAATCCTCTTCCTCTTCCAACGCCCCCCAGCGGGCTGATCTATTCTTTTCCCAAATTCAACTTCGTACACCCTAACCCGATGATTCCGAGCACAGCGTGCCCGCCATTCATCATTTCTATCTTTTTACCAATGACCTTTTCCCCCTCCCTATCTCTTACCATCTCACGGTAGAACATGGACTCTGGCCCGGAACTTGAGAAATCGCAAGAAGAGAGACTTCCATATTCCAACGATAACTAATTTATCCCCAAAGCACAAACCACACTTCCCCTAACTTTCCCCTTCATTAAATTCCCGTAGACTCAAGTCCTCGCAGTCCCATCCATCATCCGTACGAAATCCCGCCTCCTATGCTTCCAAAGGAAAACCCTCAGCCCATATCCTCCGTAAATCATATACTCAACGCCCATCCAGACAATTTTTTTTCCCACCCAAAAACGGACCTCGCGCATCATCGTCCACACATAGACTCGGAGGTGGAGGCAAAGGTCCCGCAGTTCCATTCCGCAAAGCACCTCCAACCTTATCACCAACCTCCACAGCCTCGGCCCTCACGTACTACCTTGCCTGCACGCTTGCACCTATCTACACAAGCAACCAGCAAGACACCACGGAGACAACATGTCCGCGTGGAAGGCGCCCCAATATACTCCGGAGATCAACAATTCGACCATCTGTGGGACGGACGGATAGGATCTTATGTATAGCAGGGAGAACGGAGACGGGACCTTCAAGTCGTACTGTGCTGGGAAATTTCATACGGAGAACGGGTCCGGTCCGGTGCGGTCGTGGGATATGAATGTCCGAGAGTCCAGGAGATGGAATTACGAAACGGTAGAGGGAGGGTGGGCGACTACAGCGTTGGGAAGAGTGGGTGGTTAACTGGATGTTCGCTTTGATAGAGGATCTGATTTTCCCCTTTGGATAGAGGTGTATATGTACATTGCTACGTGCCTTGCTGGAAAATTCAACGAGGTCCACCTCTGGCTTGACCACATTCATCTCTCATGTTCCTGTCTGTGTCCATCTCCGATCTCCCACATACAATCCACAACCAGGACACGGTGCACATTTCGAGTCGCGCTCATCGCGACGATCTCCCCCCGCCAAATAAAACCAACACAATCTCATCCAACACCGTGAATGCCAAATGCGTATTCAATGGCTTGTTATTCAGCGTGGCAAACGTCCGTCTCGCGGCAGCCTGTGCGTTGGCCCTCCCCACCACATTGCCCGCGAGATCCGGGATTAGCGTAGCAAGTACAATGGTTGCCTCGGCGCGACTCTTCAGTCGCTCCTGCGGCGATCGGGTCACGAATTGCCGCATGACTCCGTTCGGGAAGAGATTGTCCCGTGCAGAATTGATATATCGCAGCAGAGAGTCATCTTGGAATAAGGAGCGCGCGCTGTCGCGGACTTTGCGCTCGATGGTCCCGCCGAGGAGCTGGTGGAGGACAACGACGACAGCTCGGCCGCGCAGCCAGTTATTGCCGCGGTTGAGTTCGAAGACTTCGAGGAAGAGGTCGCAGATCGGTTTGATGAAGGGTTCGAGTTCGCGGTCTTCAAAGGCGTTGAGCTCGGCTTCGGCCTCGGCCGAGGTTACTGCGTCTTCGCTGGCGAGGGCCGGATCGTGGGTCGTGCTGGTATTGGTGGTGGTGCCCGTGCTCGTGCCTGTAAGAGCGTGGGTCGCGCTGGCCTGGGCGGTAGCGGCCGAGATGAGATTCTGGCCTGCGGTGGATAATTGATCCAGGACTCCAAAGTTGCCCAAAAAGTCATCCATGCCGTCGGCGACGGAATTGTAGATACGAGTGACGAGGTCCTTGGTCTCGCCTTCGCCACTGCGGGAAGTGGTTTGTTCGCGCGGGAGAATTGCCTGCTGGGAGAGAAAGGCTCGTAGATCGCGGCTGCGGCACACTTCGGGTAGAAGGAGCAGTTTCTGCATATATGATTCCAGAGCGATGCGTCGCTTCTGGAGAAATTCTTTCTGGAGCTTCATCACTACTCGGCGGCGAGGGAACTCGAGATGGCGCACGGACGGGTAGCTCATGCGTAGTTTTTGATGCAATTCGTGGAATTCGCTGTATCGACGAGCAACCGCCCATGAAGCGGCGGGCATCTGTTCGCCCGCATTTCGCTTCACTTCTATGACATCTGCGACGTAGGTCAGCATTGCCGAATTATATACAGCCCGCAGGAGCCACACTTACACATGGCGAATTCTCGTCCGTCATCCTCGTCCTTGCCAACAACTATTGATTTGATACTGACTGTCGAGCGACCATACAGACTGTTATCGCTTTCCTGAACAATGTACTGCTGGCGTTGCATCTCCTTTCGATGAATCTCGCGTTGAATGCTCGCCTTGGACTTGCGCAGAATACGCAACTCCGCCGTGTTGTTGGTCAATTCGGCTTTGCGGGTCAGCGCTTCAACAACCGAGTCTTGTGCAGTGAGCTTGTCAATATCGGCGGTCAGAACTTCAATGGCCTCGGTGAGACCGAGATCGCCAGGCGCGGCTTTGTGAATCTCGTCCGCCGGGTCCTTCTCATCGTCGTCCGGAGGCTCCTCATATTCATCCTCGATGAATTTTTCTTGGTCCGGGAAGAGGTCATCTTCAAAGACTCCAAGACGGGATCGATGATCCACCAGCCCGAGTGAGGCCAGACTTTTTCTGGCCTTATCCGCAGCGCTACCCTTATCTCCACGTAGGCCCTCGGATAAAGGCTGCCCATCCATCTCAAGACGCTCGGAGCTGAAGAGAGATGAGCCTGAGCAACCGTCGCTACTTCTCATCTCGCTATTTCGTAAGTCATCAATTTTGCCATTCTTTGGCTCATTCGTAATAATGTCATTCAAGGCTGCCCCCATGGTCTCCAGGACCTTCTTCTGGGTAGCTTCATTATCATTACCATTCTGAGATTGTGCGCCCAGACTGGCGGTCGACATGGCAAGCTGGTCGGTGTCGTAATCGTCATCAAACAACGGCGCAGATCTTTCAGAATCGATGGACCGTCTGGGTATGTCATCATCGTCAAACAATTTGCCCATACCACGCACGTCGCTCGAGGAGACCGCAGCTCGTCGAAGGTCCCTCGGCGGCTTGCTCCCTGGCTGCGAGCTCGTCCGGACAAGGAGCTGGGGGAGAGGTCGTCTTTCGGGTGCTTCGAATGTCACCGCAGACGGTGACTGCGGAGCTGCTGGGGGCTGAGAACTGGAGCTCTCGTCCGAAGCCAGATACTTCCAGTACAGATCCGACTTTTTAAATTTGGGGTAGTAAATGCTCTCGAGTTCCTCCAATACCGCAGACTGTGTAGTTAATACCACCATCCGCGCCTTGCGGTATTGTTCTGGAGTCGCTCGCTTTCCAGCACTCAAGAAGTTCTTGACCGTCCGCCGAGATTCCTCGGAGACTTTGAGCTCGGTCTTGTTGAGATAGGTTGCACTTAGCAGCGCCAGATCGTTGCGGTCGGCAGCCGTCCAGGTCGAGGAGTCTGAAGTGGTGTCATCACCAAAGTCATCTTCGAGAGGGTTGCGGAATCCGTCCACTACGATCCAATACTGTACAAGAGACATCAGACCTTGACGATCCATGAACTCCATAAAGTACGAGAGACCCGAAGCGCTGTGCATGACATCCACCAGGGACGTTTCCGAAGGCGCAGGAGCGCTACTACGGCGGGTATGAACGGCGACCGGAGGCAACGAGGCTGTCTCGCCATGCGTGGACAACTTGGCCACCTTCTGATCGAGAACGCGTTTCCCAGTCTCTAGCCGTCGAAGGTAAACCTGGTCTTGTCCTTCCACCATACTCTCCCGTTTCAATTGACTCGCGACCAGGGCACGGAAACGGCGTGCATCAGAGAGATTGTTGCAGCGTCGAATCGCCCGCACAAATCGTTCAAAGGCACGCTCGCTGTCGTTGGGCGAGAGTTTGGGAAAGGATTGAGCATGTTTGGATCGAGGCGCAGGAGAGGCATGTTCATCCAAGGCAGCGCGCAGTCTCCGTACAGTCTTCCGGTCTTGTAACGCTGTCCGTCCAAAGGCCTCTGTCAATTGATTCCACGTGTCCGGGTCAGAAATGGCATTGACGATCGGCAACAAAATGGCGCAAGCGATGATTTCCCTGATCAGGACAGTCACGATCCGGCTGTTGAGAACCGATTTGGGAAAGAGTTGCGGAAGCAGTCCAACGGCGACCTTGCGCAGATATTCCTGCTGGACAGCTTTGGGATCTGAGGCCAACAGACCAACTGCAGGGTGCACCCGGCCCTCGCGAAACTTTTTCGCAATTGCCAGATCGAGCTCCTCTGATTCAGTGACATTGCGATTCAGATTCTTCCCACGCACCGAGCGCTCCGCAATGTCAAACTCCCGTAAGTGTGAAGTCAAAATCGGGAAGATCCTCGACACTATCAACGAAATAAAGTCCTCTGCCTGCATCCTGTCCTTCAGATTGCCCAGCGCCACGCGCGTGACTCGATCAATGTCATTGGCAAACGCAGGATTTGGCGTGATGTTGTGATACCATGATGTCACAAACTGTCGGTTCACAAGCGCCAAAAGCTCGTCAATGGCTTCTGATACAACAAAAGACTGCGGGTATAGAGGCTTGGGTCGATATCGGGCGAGTTTCCGAGCATTCAGTCCCTCTTTTCGCCAGGCGGTCGGTTTGAGGAAGGCGATAGGAATCTTGTCTGGGCTCTGGCGGGCTGGATATCTGCTTCGCGACGTCAAAAGTAGCAGACCAAGAATTCCACTTGTCGCCAGTAAGGCCCCCAACACCAGCGCATATCCGAGATATCGGAGGATTGGCAACCAGCGCACAACTAGACCCCAGGCAATAAAGCTGCCAATGCCTGCTATCGCTAATTCTCGACGTTGAAGGACCATTCTCCCCAGGAAATGTTTAGAGCTCCAGGTCGCATGTCGATCACCCAACGAAGCTTGAGAATGAGTTGCGCCTTGACAAGCAGAGAGCTTGATCCAGAAACGAGATGCCGAAAGGTGAGATTATTCGAAAGACCAGCTTCAGGATATTGTCGGTCTTTAATCACCACTTCAACGGAGAGAGGATCCCCGTCGCCGATGGAGAAGGGGAATGAAGCTGTTGGCCAACCAGCAACGCGACTTGGGTGAACCGAACGGGCCTGCGACAACCCGCATACAGATCCCGTGACTATGCGGAGATCCACCACAGGTCGGGTCTTCGTGTCGGCCGGAACGTCATCGTGTTTACTTAAGCTGCTTTCCAGCAGCCAACGTACCTTTAGTGACCCTCCCCCCATCGAATCCCCTTCTTCTTCCTTTCTGAACAACCTGTCTTTCTCGCACACACGATATTTGCGCCATGGCCAGCCTTGCAAATTTTGTCGATTTCTCGCCCAGGTCATTGACCTGTATGTGTTCAACTTCAATGTCACCTTGAACGGAAGCATTTCTACAATTTGCATGTGATAATGACTAACTGGGCTATAGTGGCCGCTGCGTCTATCGCTTTTAATCCAATTTTCTGGAAGTATGTTGACCAGCCTGGAGAGTGAATTTTTTTTTTTCGGAGCAATAGATGAATAGGTGGCCCAGGAACTAACCTTCTCTCTCAAATAGTATCGTTGCTCGTGCTGGTCAGTGATACCCGGCTCTGAAAGTCGCGAAGAGGAACCCAATGGCAGCCATCTGTTAGCTAACCGAGCTTTGTCTTTCAGAGTACAACAACCATGTTCTGACACGGCTGTTTGGCGGCCCTTATCGAGGATGCTACGCTTTGGCTGTCACCATCTTTTCTCTCGGTATCCTGCGAGACCACCTGTATCAGGTTGCCCTCGATGAGCAACCGTTCTACGCGCCTGTGCACCAGCCTCTCATTGGCGGTGTCCTGTTCGTTGTCGGATCAGTCCTGGTGTTGTCGAGTATGTGGGCTTTGGGCGTGACTGGAACCTACCTCGGCGATTACTTTGGCATTCTTATGGACGCTCCCGTTACTGGGTTCCCATTCAACGTGACTGGCTCCCCCATGTACTGGGGAAGCACCTTGAACTTCCTTGGTGTCGCTCTGTACAAGGGCAAAGTTGCCGGGCTTCTTCTTACAGCCCAGGTGTTTGTGCTGTACTGGTTCGCCCTCAAGTGGGAGGAGTATGTTTCCAACCGCCCTTGGAGTCAGCGTGTGTTGTCATCTTTGGCTGACCTTCTCTTGCAGCCCTTTCACTGCCGAAATCTACGCCAAGCGCGAGCGCGAGCGTGCCAAGAAGGCCGGCGGCAAGAAGCTGTAGGACTATGGTCAAAAGCCTGGGGTTAGAATGGCACGGTCAAATCGTCTGCTCGCCTGTTCTTGCATGCCTCTGCTCGTCCAGTAAGGAATGGCGAGCACCCTCGCAGCAATTACCCCGGACCTTGCGTCCTGCTTCCTCACAAGCTTTCGACCTCGCCAACGCCCAGACAATGTAATTGAGTGAACCACCCGGCCATAATTCCCAAGTGGACATCAGCTCCCGAAGATGATGTCCCCAGCCAGATCGAGGAGTAGAGAGCCGACCGACTCCGTCATTCATTCTTCAAACCCGCGTCGCCATTAATAGGTTGACTATAGCACTGCCGTTAACCTGATTCTTCTCCCAATGCGACCACCAACACTTATTCTCCAACCACCCAATGCGACCGAGCTATGAATGCTGTTGATGAGCAATCTCAGACATTGCTTATTGCTCAACGTGAGACTTGTAAATATGAGGCTATGTTTATCATTGATAATGTCAAATTTAGTTTTATTGGAGCTATCTTCCGGTAATCAAAGCCTTAGTGTAGCTATCTGCTGGTGACTCAAGCCTTAGTATAGCGACGAGCGATCCTCCGTCCCACACTGATCCAATTGTCACGAATGTATCGCCTACCTCGCAATGTCCTTTGTCTTGTGAGCTATCTAATTAGGAATCCTTCGACTTTCTCGCTACGTTACAATCCCCGCTTAACCCTCGAAACTTCTTTGAATAGAGACTGGCCAGTGGCCACACTGCTACAGCGCCACAACAAGCTTAGTATCATTCGATTTCCCACGAATCCAGAGTATACTCACTACCCACAAATGACTTCCCACCAGACAACAAGAGTCACATCATCCTTCACCACCCCAGTCTCGCACAATCCAGCCCTATTCGGCAAAAGAAAGCAGTCGGCTAAATCTTGCCACACCTTTGCCGTTCTTCAGGCCCCGACCCGATCTGATTGGCACCTCTCACCAACGGGACATAGCCGTCCCACCGCAAATACGAGGATGTAAGACTCAGATGTGGGGAGGGGGTCGTAGTGATCGGCGTCATTGTGCAACGGGACCCTGAGGAATCGGACCTTTGGAACTTTATTTGACGGCGCGGCGCACGTGGGGGGTGGAACAGGAACGCTGATGCAATCGAGTGGAATGGTCGGAGAGCACATGGTGGTAGTGAGGTGTGGAGAGGGGATCGGGTCGGACGTAGGAGGATGGAGCTGGAGGTTATTCTACGGTGGGGAGACTGAGATGGGACATGCAGTATGCAGTATGCAGTATGTTCTCGACAGTGGCAATGTCGTTGTGCAGTTTGTACATATGATGTTCTGAGTCTGACTGGATTTTCCCGATTAGGTTGAGAATTGCGAGAAGTGAGCCTTGGCGGACGTGTTTTGGACTATCGAAGTGCCTGGATCGACTGTTCTGGTGAGTGAGGTTTACGCTTTCATTCGCGAACTTATCTGCTTTGAGAAGAAGTTAGATCGTTTGGTGTATATACTATATAGAGGTGTCCTGAAAGAGGCGTCTGTCAATTGCGTGGTCTTCTTTGCCGTTGGCGATACATGGTGAGAAAATGCTTCATATGCTCATACTTTCCACAGAATGAAAGGTAGTTTATTTGATATCAGCGGTGGCGTTTCCTGATCTCGCTGCCACTAATCATTTATCAGTTCCTGTTGTCGCGCTTTGGCTTCAAATCCCTGTCTCCTAAAATACGACATCGGTCTAAGCTTCTAACAATCATCGAGCATTGGGGCCAAAGCCAAATGGTCCACTTGGTCTTTTTTCCACCTACTCAGACATCACTATTACAAACCGGGTGATATCCCACGACGACTGCACAATGTAGCGCTATACGAGATAGTCAACCTAGCAGAATGAAGCCTCTTTCAGTTAGTTCGATATGCATCCCTCCTTGTAGATCTCGTATACGACCTTTGTACTTTCATTCAATCTACTCGAGAACCACCATGGCTTCCAATGCATTCCCGTCAAGGGCAAGTATATAAAAGCCAAGAGAAATCGCCTCGAACAAGCATCATCAGATCCGCTGGGTTTCATACTCAAAACACCAAAGTCGACTTCCATATATTCCTTCCAATCTATTGACTCTTCACATCGCATTCACAATGTACTTGTCAATCCTCACTCTGTCCGCCACTTTGGCCCTCCCCCTGGTCAGCGCCTACCCCGTCAAAACCGACGGTCTTCACTGCCGTTCCGGCCCCGGCACCAGCTACAGCATCATCAGGAGCTACAACACAGGCACCGACCTCACCATCACCTGCCAAACCCCCGGAACAGTCATCAACGGCGACGAGCTCTGGGACAAGACCTCGGACGGCTGCTACGTGAGCGACTACTACGTCAAGACCGGCACCAGCGGCTATGTGACGGCGCATTGCGGTAGCGGGAGCAGTGGTAACCTGCCCGGTCTCAGCGCGACGCAGTCCAAGCATGCGCGCGATATCATCGCCGAGGCGAAAAGCGAGGGACTCGGGTTGCAGGGTTGTTCAGCGGGTATCGCGACTGCGCTTGTCGAGGTAAGTCCTGACTTGAGGACGGATGTGATTTGAAGAAGCGGATGGCTTCGGGATTGGGATTGGCAACACGCCGGACTAAATCCATGGCCCTTCCATTTAGTCGAGCATCCTCATCTACGCCAACAATGCGGTCCCCGCATCTCTGAACTACCCCCACGACGCGGTGGGCTCGGACAGTGACAGCGTCGGCATCTTCCAGCAGCGCGCCAGGTACTATCCTAATATTGCGGCTGATATGGACGCGGCCCGGTCTGCGGCCCAGTTCTTCGCGAAGATGAAGAGTATCAGCGGGTGGCAGACGATGGCGGTGGGCACGCTCTGCCAGAAGGTGCAGGTTTCGGCGTATCCGGATCGCTATGCTGCGCGTGTGACTGAGGCGCAGAATATTTGCAAGGCTGGTGGGATTTGAGAGGTGGAAGTTGAGTCTGAACATTGGAGTGATGAGTGGTGAGCTTTGATTGGGGGGTTTGGACGTTCTAGGAAGTTAGATGATAAGCGAGATGATCAGTAGCTGAATATGGAATATATATGTGACATTGGCATGCTGATGTTCTTGTTTCAACATTACAAGGGACAGAATGGTGAAATTCCTGTTTGACAACCGGGTTATATCAAGGATAGATCGGTGTACCTTACCACATGACCTGATGTCTCGGCCAGTGGCTTCAATTGAACCTCTCTGATTCGGGTTCATTTTTCATTCTCACGGGGGTTGTCTCCCATTTCTGGTAGGTAGACCTCTGCTGGAAACCTTTCGATCTCATTCATCCGCATTCAGCATCACGAATGATCAATATTTGGCGCTTGGAACAATTTCGAGACGTAAATCTTCTCCAAGGCCCGACCATATCACGGTTCCTTGACAAGGGAAAAAAAAGTTCAGCCGTACCAGAACATTCTGCCAAGTCTCGGTCTCGTATTCTCTGTGTACTCTGCCGTGGTCTGTAGCAAGGATAGAAACTGGAGAGTCGCGGTCAACAGGGGCATGGTGATTGTCAAGGCGTCGTGTAAGCTTTGATCTTGTTGCATAGTAAGTCACTACAGTAGGTAGTACCTAGTAGGTACTACCTAGTGAGTAGTGAGTAGTGAGTAGTGAGTAGTGAGTAGTGAGTAGTGAGTAGTGAGTAGTGAGTAGTGAGTAGTGAGTAGTGAGTAGTGAGTAGTGATTACAATGAGTACCTAGTGAGTATGATGAGCATATGCGACTTTGCATACTGTATGAGGATTATGGACTGTCAACTTATCAAGTACCGAGGGTCCGAGGCTAGTGTGTCTCGCGACGCAGATTACAGTCAGTGGGACTGAGCTCTCGATATATGATGTAGACTGTAAATTATAGACTGTAAATTTTAGACTGTAAATTATGGGTGTAGACACCACTGAAGTACAAATTCAAGGCTGCCACGCACCGTCGCCCAGATGAGCGTCGAGAGTCGTCGAGCATAGAGGTCACGTGTATGTGTGGACCTCGATGGCAGTAGCCCGCGAAGAGCGTCCGGAGCTGACTTGGACCGGCAGATTGATAGTAGTACCATAGTATGTACTATGTAGTGCAGTTGCGACCAGCTACCAGCTACCAGCTACCAGCTACGAACTCAATTGACGCATAACTACAGTCCAGACATGAGTAAGAAAAAACAAGGTATGCTTGTATCACAGGACATCTATCCAACTATACCAGCCTGATCATGGTCATGGTGGCACGATGCTTGGCCGAAAAGGAGGCCGAGGGAGTCTGGCGGCCAGTCAGTGGCTGTGTTCCTCCTCCCCCTGGGCTTCTATATTGTAGTTTGCAAAATTTGGAGGGAGAATGTTGACTTGGTCCCACGATCTCTGTGTGTTTACCTCGGCCTGCGCCTCGATCTAGGGTCAGAAAAGTCGGTAACTTTGGGCCTTGGGGTCGGGACTCGGCGTGTAAGTGTGGCGAAAAGGAAAAGTGCCCCGACCAGCTGGAAATACGTCCTGGGAGTGGACACTGGACACTACTGAACACCGTGGACAGTCCCGAGTCCGACTCCCGACGAGGCGAAAACGGACTAGGCTGCAGCCATTCAGTGGGTGAAACGATGTCCGAAAGAGGAGAAGAAAGGGTGGATCTCGGGTGAAGCTGTCGGGGGACCCAATCGTCCGATGACTACTGGACCCGGACGGTACACTCTGTAGTTTCTGGACCAAGTGACCATGTCCACTTGTCCAGACCATGTTTCCCCTCGGGACTGGACAGTCTCAGCTGTGGGTGGATCTGGCGTTTGCCGACTTGGCTCGCCTTGCCAAGTGGCGATCCTTGAGCTTGACCTCCCTTGGCGGTCAGTGACACCTGTGTTCCTGTTGATACTCATGGGAATACTACGATGTACGTGCGAGGAATCTGGGGGAGGATGTAGCAGAGGTGCAGGAGACTCTGGATGCTCCATTCAAGAGGTCCGACTATCATCCTGGTCTGATTGGGTCTCATCTCTCGCCTGGAAGCTCCATCTCTGCCAGGGTCCTCTGTCGGGGGTTTCTCCTCTCGAGGTGAACCCCGCTTCTACCGGATGATGATGATGATGATGGTATTATGATTATTCTCTCCCCTGACGCGTGGATGTGGTCTTTCGATCGGGAAGAGGGCCATGCCGGTGGACCAATGCTCGGCGTCCGGTACAGTTTACTTGGGTCAGGTCAACTGCAGTCCCATTGTATCACCACCCATGGAGGTATTGTTTCGGGAGTTTCCAATTTTGGTTCAGCGCTTCCGCCGGCGGTTAACCCGATTTCATCTCGGGGATCTCACATCGATGATCATCACAGGGCACCGCAAGTGACCACACCAATAGCCCACTCCAGCTCGACGATCTCCACGTCGCAGCCCCTCCCATCGTTTCCAATCCAGGACGACGGATCTGCTGCGATCAGACGTACGATAGGCGCATTATTGACTCGGCTGGGTCGGTCTCAAGCCCGTGCTGGCGGCGGTCCAGAGTCCAGAGGGTATGGAAGTACCGTAACTACTAGCGAACGACGTGTTCGGGGGTGTCCCACATGGACTCTCATCGAGGGGGTCCTCGAGCTCCATTCCCAAACCAGAAGACCCAAGCCGAAGACGCGATGGGCAACATGGGATGATGGGACCCTCGGAGACTCGTCGAGAGAGAGAAAGAGGGGCTGAGTTGATCCTTTCCAGCCACGGTGCCACGTCGCCTCCAATTGACCCATGATGATTCGTGCATCACGGGAAATGCCCCGTGAATCGGATGCTGCGCATTGTGGCGTCGGGAATAGAAAAGGAAGAAAGCTGAGGAAGCTGAGGAAGCTGAGGAAGCTGAGGAAGCCCCAGGGAGACGGTTTGGTGTTGGGTTCCCACCGACTAGTATTTAGATACCCCTCATCCCCCGTTCACCAGCCGTCCCACATTCCTTCTTTCTCAACCACACTCTTCTCCATCAACACTTCCCCCTCCATTTTCCATCACTAAAACACACATCACCGTCACAATGGGTTGGTTCTCTGGTGAGTGCCGTATTCCTATAATGTCGCACAAGCTACATCCTCTTCCACGGACTGGAGCATCTCACTGACGCTCCCTCTCTCTCTCTCTCTCTCTCTCCGATTCCATAGACGACTCTCCTCACGCCGATGCCTATCAGCAGTACCAGAGCGAAGGCATTCAGCCCCAACACGAGGCCTCCTTTGCCCACGAGCTGCTCGCCGGCGCTGCTTCCTTTGAGGCCGCCAAGGCCTACGAGGACCACGTTGCCCGCAACGGTATGAGATAACCTTTCTTGCATCACCCTCATTGAATTCCTTCCCCTGGTCCTATCACCTTCGAATCTTCTCCACAGTCCTACACGCAAGCATCACATGTTGCACACCGTGCCACGTATCCCCCCCTGTACTCATTGCGCGACAATGAACATATCCACTAACCTCGCTCCGGGTTTGGAAAGGCCCCCCTCCCAACCACGCCATGGCCAAGGAGCTCATGGCCGGTTTCGCCGCCGCTTTCATCGACCGCGAGGTCGAGACCCGGGGTATGGACTTTGTTGACAAGGAGCGGGCCAAGCGCCAGGCTCGGGAGCACATTGAGCGGGAAGACGAGAGCCGCTTCAACTACTAAGTGCTGGACATCTCGTGAATGAAGCGATTTCTGATGTATTCTTGCCGTGATGAAATTTGAATGCATAAATCTGACAACATATTGCCATTCACGTGGATGTTGGTGGTAGACTGGTAGCGCGGAGACGTGGCATAGAATTTATACAAGAGGGTACGAGTACCGTAGGTATACGGGGATCGTCCAGGTATCACAGCACATATCCCCGATCTCAACAGCACCTCCCTCAACAGGCTGCACTATGAATTAAATTATGTTGTCCATTCTACTGCACGCGAGAGACCAATTCGCCCAGCATCCCACCACCATATCAGTATCAATCTCGGCAAAACCAACGTCTGCCAATAGCACCAGTACCTGGGCCCCCAACCCAGAAGAATGCAAGTCTGCTGCGTCCTCGACCCAAGCCCAAATCACCCAAGGACCTTACGTACAGAAACGTACCTCCAAGTGAAAGAGCGTCGCTGAAGTGACCTACCCGCTTTCGCGACAAACCCCTCAAACTTACTTACCTCCTAGCCTCAAGCGCTCACTTTCCTAACCCCCGATGACATGGAGACGTGGAGCTGGAGATGGAAGATACATCATCCACAAAGACGGAAGACGTGGCTATCATTCTACGACTCAGGCTTCTCTTCGAAGAAAAGAACCAAAAGATTGATCGAGAGGGTAATGCTTCAATCAGGTCATCAACGGGTCTTATCAACCTCACTCCATCAGCTTCTCCACGCCACACTCGCATCCAACGAGCTGGAGGCGAGACGGCGCCTGGTCAAACAGTCTTCGGGACTAAGGCCCGTCGCTAGTGCCCGATCTTCACTCTCTACTCCAGCGGTCATCTTTCCTGTAGGACCTACTTAGTAGGTAGGGTAGTAGGTAGTAGGTAGTAGGTAGTAGGGAGTAGGTACTAACGTTAACTAGCTAGACGAAACGGACCGTCTAGCTAATTTATGTACTATCATCCTATGTACCATGTTGTATATACTGTACGAACCCGCCCTGAGCCATTCTCGTGCAAAGGCCTGCTTGAGCCTCATAGACTTGCGGGGGCCACTCTTTAGCCTCGAAAGGCATTCCGCATATTGCCATAGATCAAGCTGCTGAGCCGGCTGCGTCAGGTAGATCCCGTCATCCCATCTCTACCCTTATCACCTGCATCAGTAAGCAAGGATTTGATCTCAGAGACCAAGTCTTCACTCTTTTATCCGCGTTGCACCACCCTCAAACCCCTCCCCCGCTCCCACTGCAAATCATGGCAGAGACCATCATGACGCCTAACGCCATAACCCCAACCCCAAATCCGTCCCAAAACCCGCCTCGTCCTGTCCAGAAAAAACTCGACAGCTTAGTATACCAGCTGGAGAGTCTAGCTTGATTACCAGCTCCAGATGAACAGAGGAATCGTAGTGTCGATCATCGCCCCTTCGTTATTGGAGCTTGAACTAGACTGCGGATTGTCTCCGGTTGTACATTGGAACTAGGTAGTGTCCCTGTCTCCCTGGTGATATATGTATGGATAAGCTTGGAACACACTAGAATACGAGGAACTGATATCAAATTGATAACAGAAGGAAATAAGTGTTTGAGTGCTTCTACTTTAACAAGCGTGAGCTGTCCAGGACGATGAGCAGGTGAAAATCCTACCCGTTAGAATGGTCTATTAACTCGATAAGATAGTCTTTGGATCTTGTTGCTTTCTTATCGAGCGCGGTGATGGCGCAGGGATTCACGTTTTGACTTGTGATGGTTGACGGGTACTTGAAACAGAGACACAACTGTGTTCAGTATTCGCTATTCACTAGAACAGAATTACCTGTACATTTTTCATCATGACGATAGAGATGACAATCCAATAGAGCCATTTCATCGCCTGTCTACCACGGGAACTCTATAGATGGCCCTGGCTTCTCTGCCTCAGTGTCTATCAACGAACCAGACTTGCAATATGTGTGACTTGCTATTTTTAACCTCCTGCTCCACCTCTCCCCACGTTCACGTGGGGGAATCCACGAGTGACTGCGAGGATGCTCTGTCCGCGTAATTCAGACCTGAAGGCCCGGTCGGCCGGGTTGACCCTGAAGAATCTAGCTGAGAGTCAACTGAACAAGTTAACTAGACACTAGTCACTGTCTAGTAGACAGTGACTCGGCTGTCTTGATCTCCGAGAATGGAGACTTGGGCCTTGGCATGGCGCGGTGAAGGGAAGAGGATCTTCAGATGTTTGTGAGAAAATGGTCCGCTTTTCTTCTGCACCACTTCCCGGGGAAATTCTTCCATTCTATCATCAAAGCGAGAACAAGATTGAGTTTCGGGCTTTGACTTTTGACCGTCGGAAAAAGTTGGCCACATGGCGAATCCAGTGATCTATAAGGACAATCCGTTTAATGTGTTGATTAATGACTCTCATGATGATCCTGTACGTGACTACGTTCGCTTTATCGTCTCCCCGCATCGCATCACCGGCAATGGAATCATAGGAGCGGCTCTGCGCTCTCTCCTAGGGGACTTCTTCCCTACAGACTTACCACATCCATACGTTGGGGCCCACTCCGATCCTAACAACTCATATCATGTCATCAGACTCAGATCCAAGCGCGGTACGAGACTCACCGCGTCAATCGCAACGCCCAGCAAAGGGAAAAGATCCTAGCCGACGATTTCCCCGGCTGGACACTGGACACAATCCTGCAACGTCTGGATGGACCCGCCAAAGAAGAGGGATTCGTCGATCCCCGCAATTGCCTCGTCTTTTGGGCGAGACCGCCACCGCATATTCGCCAAGTGGTTGCCTTTGTGCAGAACGAACTGAAAGCTGTTGCGCCATGTAAGTTGTTCCGCCCATATCAGATCACCTGTCAAGCCGCGGCGATGGAATGAATCCCCATGCTCTTACTTCAAGCGCGGGAATATCTGCTCACATGAATGATCTGCAACGATAGCCCTTTGGCTCATGCCCCAGCCAAACCTCCACACCACAGTCCTGGAGGTCGCCCACTCACTGACCGAGCCGGAAATTGCACGCCTGGTGCAAACCCTCAAATCATCTGAAAAAGTCACCCAGCAAACCATCTCCGACTATCCACTCACCCACCAAAGCCGCCTGCTCAGGCCAATGGTGAGCTTCGACGCTTCTGCTCTCGCATTGAGCTTTGCCCCCGCCGCAGAGGAGAACCAGACTCAAAGCCACGGCGAGAGTTCTGCCGAACCTCTTGACCCGCGGTATACATACCATCACCTGCGAAGAGACGTCTTTGATCTAGTCCGGCAGACTGGCCTCCCCGTGGCGTCGAGGTATATTGCCCCCTCGGCTCATGTGACGATTGCACGATTCATCAACCAGGAGGGGTTTGAAGTTCAGGGGCAAGATGGTGCGAAGAAGGTGGATTCGGAGCGGGTGCAGATGCTGATGGAGAGGATTGAGAGTGTGAATGCGACTTTGCGGAGCAAGTATTGGCCTCGGGAGGATGGGAGCTGTGCGCGTGAGGGAGAGTGGATTGTAGGTCAGGAGGGGGGATTGGTGGTTCGAAGAGGTCGGCTTTGGTATGGAGATGGTGAGGATGTATGAGGTGGGTTGGACGAGTCTGTGAGTGATTACTGGTTACCTGGCCATAGTCAATACACCGGATTGAAATTATCCTTTAAACTATTTTTAAGTGCATACCTTTTCATTAGAAGCGAAGTGTATGCAATGTACTCTACGCAGCTTTTGACGAACAATGAACTAGATATCCTCTCGAAGATCCTCCAACATCCAAATCCCACGTACCTGGCTTGACCCTGTGCTCCTATATCCAGCCGTATCAAGACTCTGCCTCGGTGTTCATCGATCTTCATCTCACAGAAACCACATCTCTCTCGCTTTATGTCACTCAGATATGACAGCGAATCCTACCACTGGATGATCTTGTCTTGTCATGTTCTCAGGGACCACTCTCTTCAAGCTTGATTGTCGCAATGCAAAATTCTCTGACGCCAGGACGATAACAACATTCTCCCTCTGCGGCTACTTGTCTGCTGTCCCTCAAAGTTCGCTCAGATCTTACTTTGATATTTACCTTTAACCTTATTGAAACCTCGATGAAATCCTTCTCAACTTCATGTCTTATCTCTCATATCTCTACGACTTCCAGACAAATGCAGAGATAATTCACGAGCGTGCATAAAAGCAGGTATTTCCAAGTAAGGCGTTATCTCTTGCGGTCCAAGTTCCAACCCTGTGGTGCTTACGAGCATTAGCTCGGCCTTCCTGAAGCCAAACGACCTGGGTATGAAACCCGGTTGGAATTAAGACTACAATAACAGGTGCAGCCAGATAAGGACATAGAAAGGACCTACGATTTTCTCGCGGTCTTCCTGGTGGTATCACCTGCTACTTCGCTCAAGGCCCGGGCACCAGGTTCCCCAGACGACAAAGTCGATACTGTCCTACTGATAGTGAGAGGGAGGCCTGCGTGAGCTGGGCTGCAGGGGTAGGCAATTCCACGCCAGTACCTAGGAAAGATATGAATGCAAGATCAATATCGAAACGATTTGCAGTCCGATCTATTGGACTTTCAAAGCAGTCTAAAGGAGTCGTGCATGCAGAGTACCCGATCAAGATTGACATGTGCTGGCACTCGGTAGTCGGTGGAATATGAACTTGCATCGTCCACGAGCGGGAAATCGCCCAAAGAATATGAGTTAAATGACACGGTCAACTTTGGGTTTAGGTTCGTGATAAAGTCAATGATTTCGGTCTCGGCTCTTTTACATTCCATATTTGGTTGATCGAAGCTTTCAAGAACTGTAGATAGTCGTTGGTTTTTTTGGGGGTGACAATTGGAGTAGAACTAGAGAACTGAATGTGGAATCGTGGATGGCTTGTGTCTGAGCGCCCTCGGTTATAATTATCTCGAAAAGAAGGTCGAATTTCGTCATTCTTCGTGCATTACTTAGTTTTCTTTCTTTTTTTTTTTTTTTTTTCGAAAAAAGGTGCAAGCATCATATCTGGGGCGGACGTCATGATACCTCAAAGCTTAATGAAGAATGGTCGCAGATTAGTTACAGTCATGGTGACTTGAGTTAGTTAGTGGAGATCGCAAAGTCATAGTACCTGACTACCTGTACGGGGCTACGGGCCTCACCAGGCGGTGAGAATCAGCTTTTCTGCCTGAGGACGGAAGCACATCGCGCATCCTCAAGCGTCTCCCAAATCAAAAGCATCGCGAATTCCTTCAATCAACCCATTCCCACCCCCAACCCTCCCTTTCCGACCTTCTGCTCCTTCTCTTGATCACATAGCACGAGCTGCAGGATTCTGAGCGCGTCGCGACCAACCTGCTCGGGTCGAACCTCTGTCTCACACCTGGCGATCAGAGCTCCAACGCTTGACTCAATTTCACAAAGCTCTTCGGCGCGCCCTTTCCCCGATGTCTCTCTTCGGCAGCGTGGCCACGTCCACGACGACCACGTCGGCAGGCCAGACCAACACGACTGGGGATATCTCCAAAGATGTGACTCTCAACCAGCCTCCCGAGGATAGCATCTCAGATCTTCGTTTCTCGCCAGCGTCGGAGCACTTGGCTGTCGCATCGTGGGACAAGAAGGTCCGCATCTACGAGATTAATGAGCAGGGCCAGAGCGAGGGAAAGGCTCTTTTTGAACATGAAGCCCCTGTGCTAAATTGCTGCTGGTCTCCGGTAAGCTTTAGAAGTCTTCCAAGACGATTTGATTTGCGGAGTGACATTGTCTCATGCTAACCACTATCTCGTTCTGCTGCACAGGATGGAAAACAAGTCGTTGGCGCCGGTGCAGACAAAGCTGCACGTATGTTGGATCTCGGCTCTGGGGGTACGACCGCTACTCAAGTCGCCGCTCATGATGCGCCAATTCGAAGCTGTCACATGGTCCCCCACACCAACTCGCCCCTTCTGATCACCGGCTCATGGGACAAGACGGTCAAATACTGGGATTTGCGACAACAAGCGCCGATCGGGTCCGTGGAGTGTCAAGAACGTGTGTACACCATGGACGTCAAGAACAAGCTGCTCGTGATTGGTACCGCAGATCGCTACATCAACGTGATCAATCTCGACCAACCGACCAAATTCTACAAAACCATGCAATCCCCTCTCAAGTGGCAGACGCGGGTAGTCAGCTGCTTTGCCGACGCCTCTGGGTTTGCCGTCGGCAGTATCGAAGGTCGATGCGCGATTCAGTATGTCGAGGAGAAAGACTCCGCCTCCAACTTCTCTTTCAAGTGTCATCGTGAGAACCCCCCTGCCACCCGCGATGTCTGCAACATCTACTCTGTCAACTCGATCCAATTCCACCCCGTTCATGGCACATTCAGCACCGCCGGAAGTGACGGCACTTTCCACTTCTGGGACAAGGATGCCAAGCACCGTTTGAAGGGCTACCCAGCTGTCGGTGGACCCATTTCCAGCTCAGCCTTCAACCGCAATGGAAATATCTTCGCCTACGCCGTCAGCTACGACTGGAGTAAGGGCTATTCGGCGAATACTCAACAAACCCCTAATAAGGTCATGCTGCACCCAGTTGGACCAGACGAGTGCAAACCTCGACCCGGCACTCGCAAGCGATAGATCGATAATAAAGAGGGAGAAATCGGAAGCGAGGAAAGAAAATCAAAGAACAAAGCAGACGAGAGATTCGAAACAAAGGGAGTCATGGAATATCAAGGAATATCAACAGTCAGAACATCTTTCAGCGAGGAAGGACCGAATGCAACGAACTTAACTTTTGTTTTTCTTCCTTTCATATTTAATACCCGAAGCTGGAGCATCGTCGCGCTGACTGACACAATGAGCATGTAAGTAATACCAACAAGCACCCTTTTGGGTTTATTCTATTTCTGTTCCTTCCTCTTCAACCATCACGATGTACATCATTTGGCGCCTCCGTCTTTCTTATGAAGTTTCAATTTTTTTCTTTTTTTCTTTTTTTGAAAAAAAAAAGTCCTTGAAATGCTGTCAATTGGACCGCAACTGCATCCTCAAAAACATGATCAGCATGTGGAATCCTCGAAGATAATTGAACTTTGCACCTCAGCGCATCGCCAAGTCTACTCATCCAGGAAAAAAGCTGGAGGTTTCTGAACGTGTGGCGGGGCATCGCCTTAAAATGCACCTGGAACTGTACCTCGCATGTCTACACTTTGATCGACTCGGGACTTTCGCAGATTTTTCCAGCGATCACTTGCTCGAGTTCTTATTTTTTGTTACACTTATAACGGTGTGGGTTCGGATTAGTCTAGCTGCTTTTTTCTTTGTGACATCTGCGCCGTTCACGATGATGTACGTAATGTTGAATCATGTCTTTGTGTTTCATTCGAATAGTAGGGTCTGTCATTCTATTCGACATCCGGTATCAGATCTTGCCTTTTTTTTCTAAATGGTGTTTCTTCATTTGCATCATCTCCCATCTCATTTCTTTAAGAAGTGGGAAGAGTGACCTGGGCGACACCATCGGCAATCTTCTGCACGGCCTCGTCCTGAGGTCCGTCGGTTGTCACGCTGGGACTCTCGGCTCCACCTTTGGCCGTGGCCTCAACGCCACCGGGAGCCTTGGTCTTATCCTTCTTCTCCTTCTTCTTGGCCTTGGCGGCGGCCTTCTTGGCCGCGAGTTTGGCCGCGTCTTCGGCCTTCTTGGCCCGTTCGGCTTGAGAGCCACCGAAGACCTCGCGCCACTCGTCGGCCTTCTTGGGGTCAATGCGAGAAAAGAGGTACTGCGCCTTGCCGATCTTGTGGCCGGCCTTGAGGCTATCGGGCTTCCAGCCAGACTCGAGTTCCTTAAGGGAGGGGATCAGGAGGAAGGAAGCGTTGAGCTGCTCAAGGATGGAATCGGAGGTTCCGGGCATGTAGGGAGCAAAGACACTGGCGAGCAAGTGGATCAGGTTCAGGACGGTACCGACGACGGCGGCGGCTCGCTCGGGCTCGTTGGCAATCAGAGCGTTGTCGAGACGGTTGGCCTGAATCAGTCCGTTACCAGCTTCGGCGAGACGCATAGCGGTGTTGACACCGGCACGCAGGTGCACGCTCTCCATCTCGTCGATGTATTGCTTGAGTAGAGTGGTGACCTCCTCCTCGAAGGGCTGGAAGCTCTCGGGCACAGTGAACTCTGGGATGACGCCGCCAAAGGAGGCATTCACAAGCTTGATGACACGGTTGACCAGGTTACCAAGCTTGGCGAGCAGCTCGCTATTGTTGGCATCCACGAAGGGCCGCCACTCGAACTGAGTGTCACCTGTCTCGGGGCGGTTCTTCAGCAGGTAGTAGCGCCACACATCGGGGCCGACGCCGGTCTCCTTGGCGTTTGTTCCAAAGACACCGATCCCACGAGACTTGCTGAACTTGCCGCTCTCGTAGTTCAAATATTCCGTGGCACTCAGGTGGTGGCACATGGTCCACTTGTCACCGGTACCGATCTGAGTCGCAGGGAAAATGACACTGTGGAATGGGACATTGTCCTTGCCCAGGAACTGGTAAAGTTGAACATTTTCGGGGTTACGCCACCACTGTTCCCACTTATCGGTGTAGTTGGCAGTGATTGAGGGGTACCCAATACAAGCCTCAAACCACACGTAAAGAACCTTCTTGTCAAAGCCTTCCAGAGGAACTGGGACACCCCACTTCAAGTCACGGGTGATACCACGATCCTTCAGACCCTCCTTCAACCAGGACTCGGTGATGACTCGAGAGTTCTTGGGCCAGTCGCCCTTGCTGATCGACTCGGCGGACCACTTCTCAACCTCGGGCTGGAGCTTATCCAAAAGCAAATGAATGTGTTTCGTCTCGCGACGGACCGGGGTGGCTCCGTCGAGCTTGCAGCGGGGGTTGATCAAGTCGAAGGGATCGAGGAGATGGCCGCACTTGTCGCACTGGTCACCTCGGGCGTCGTCGTAGTGGCATCGGGGGCATTCGCCCTCGACATAGCGGTCAGCCAGGAAGGAGTTGTGCTTCTCACAGAAAGGTTGCTCGGCCGTGCGCTCGTCTAGGAAGCCGTTTTCATGAAGGCGCTTGAAGATGCTCTGGGAAATTTCGGTGTGCTTGGGGGTCGGAGTGCGACCAAAATGGTCAAATCCAATATTGAACCATTTATAGACCTCCTGGTGAATCTTGTTATACTTGGCGCAGAGCTCCTCCGGTGACACCTTCTCCTCTAATGCCTTGGTCTCTGTCGCTGTGCCGTATTCGTCTGTTCCACAGATGTATAGTGTTGGCCGTCCGCAAGCCTTGTGATATCTGCAAAACAAAAAAACATGTGTCAGTTCACAGTCAATGCCACCAGTTTCGAGTCCGAGACAGTGCGCGCAGAGTGATCGAGCGGGTTTTCCACTGAGTCATACCTTGAGAACACATCGGCACTCAGGACAGAGCCAACAACGTTACCGAGATGGGGGACATTGTTCACGTAAGGAAGAGCACTGGTAATGAGGATATTACGCTCGCCCTCTTTGGGCAAGATTGGGTTTGAGGCCATTGTGGTTTGTGTAGCTTGGAGGAATCGCAAATCGAGGGGTCGGCGGGAAATTCAAACGAAGGTGGGCATCTCGTGACACACCCGCCGGCCGCCCCGCATGGAAATTTATCGTCTCCTGCGGCAATTCTTTTAGGTTTCAAAAAGGTTTCTGTGATCTCACTTGATCGAATCTCTAACACCCCCAAATTGCTTCAGGGGCAGATCTGCTTCACTACAGCAGTCATGGATACGAGTCTACTTGACAGTCTCCTCGATATTGAAGAGCAATTCTACAATGAAGGCTATAATCTGGGCATGACCGACGGAGCCGCAGCGGGCTATACCGAAGGCAGTGTCTTTGCGGTCGAGAAGGGCTACGAGAAATTTGTGGAGATGGGCCGCTTGTATGGCAAAGCCCTCGTCTGGTCTCAAAGGCTAGCTGATTCCAATGCACCTGAGATATCTACACAGGCAGTGGCCGAGGCCGAGAGTCTTTCTCTCGACCCGTCAATCTGCAACATCATGGCCAAGCTTCCAGCTCACAGCGCACGGTTGACCAAGAATCTTTCTACGCTGTTGGAACTGTCTGATCCCGCTTCCTTGGACATGAATAATACCGAAGAAGCCGTCAACGACGTGGATGAGCGTTTGAAAGGCGCTGCAGTCAAAGCCAAGCTCATTCAACGTGCCATGGGAGAAAGTGAAGAGCCCTTGGACGCTCAATCCGTCGCAACGGATGTCCAAAAGCCTGGCGATGGCACAGGCAGCATCGAAGACATTAGCTCACTGAGTATTCGTCACTGAAGTTATCGTCAATTCTAATACTTTCCAAAACAGTTGGCTTCGGTGCAATGCGGCCAAGTTTGCAGATCTCCTTGCTGCGGCAACATCTGCCACCGGTGGTCATACCACTATCATTGCGATTCTTGGATGACTTCCGATTCATGGTTCTAGTGATCCCTACCGAAACATCTTCACGTCCGGGTCAAACCCAAGGGGAATTGTGCGAAAGCCGTGGAAGACGGACGGCCCTGGAAGGAGAGATTCTCAACGACACAATCCTGTGGTTGACATTCAATTGGGTACATTTGAGACGTATGTGCCCTTCGTAACCTTGTACCTCAGTACCTTTACATGGCATGCGAATCAATCGAGTCGAAGAGATTGTACTCTTATCAATGGTTGCGCGGTCTAATTGTCGGGCAGCGTTGCAGTGAACACCTCAAACCCAGAATTTTCGCCCTTTACCATACAACATGTGGCAATTTTTTTTTTTTCAATCATGCACATGACACCTTGAATGTCAACAAAGTTAACGACACGTACGAAGGAAAAGGCCTTGCACAAGCGAGGAAGTTTGGCCCACTGTTTGCATTGGTTATTTCTTTTGTTTTATGATAAGTCGAACTTATTCAAGGCTGCGAACAGCCATGGCCATAGCACCTTCCTTGGTCTTGTGTCCACCAATGAAACCACTAGCATGAACGAAGATAGCTCCCTCGGGAAGCTTAGCCTGTCCATTCTTCTCAGACTCCGAGGCAATCAGACCATCCAAGTCCTGGTCACGCACGCCACGCCACGCCTCGGGAAGCGGCTTGCGGGATTCGAAGCTGCTCTCGGAGGTAGACACGCATTGCACACGCCACTTGGAGTCCTCTGCGGCGCTCTCGGGGTACAACACGTAGTAGACCTGAGAGTCCGCGGCGGCAGAGTTCTCACGCTCAAAGTTGTAGAGGTGCTCCTTCCAGGGCACACCGCCCTTGGGCAGCACCATGATGCGGCCCGAGGGGTGGACCTCGGTGCGGGAGGCGTAGGCATTGCCGACGGTGGTGCGGGCAGGCAGCCATGATTTGGCCGCGTGGTGCAACTTGCGTGTGAAAACCTTGCCGATCAAGGTGCTAGCGCGACCGAAGAGGCTGTCCTCATCTTGGGGCTCGCCAGGAGGGCTGGTAGGGTCGGGGTTGTTCATGTCGCCCACGATGGAGGCCAAGGTGACACCGTAGTCCTTGAAGCGCTTCTCTAGGCCGGCGGCGGCCACGGCGGACTGGTCATAGGCGGAGATGCCGTTGTCGTTGGCATCAATGGCCTCGATGAAGTCAGCATAGAGCTTCTTATACAAGAGGTCCACGTCGGCGTGGTCTTCGGGGAGGGACATGTGCTGGGCGATAATAGCACGGCCAAAGTGCATATAGACGAGACCGGCGGAGGAGAGCTTGGTCTTGTGCTGGGGGAAGACAGTGTCGAAGGTGCGCTGATGGTGATCATAGCGGTTGATGGAGGCATCATACACGCCGCCGACATCGACGACAGTGTGGCATGTTTCCAATTGAGCTGCGTCGCGAGTACGGAGGAGCGGCGAGGAAGCGTAGGTGGGCAGCAGACGCAACAGATAGACAGCCAAAGCCTCGTCGGCGTGGAAATGACCACTGAGGAAAGATCCAGCTTAGCGCGGGAACTCTTGGAAAGGTTTCTTCTTCAGATCGCAAAACATAAAATCAAGACAAGCGCTTACCTGTGAGTGCCGATCAAGGGGGAGGAAGTCTTGAGCTTCTTGGTCGCTGTCTCTTCGGCCATTTTGAATACTTGTCTCAGACGGAACATCCACTGAATCTGGTCGATCTCATCATAAGAAAAAGTCCCAGCTTCCGCAGCTCTGATCCCCGCTCTCTGCCCGCTCCGCCCGCTCTTATCGATACCATATCGGGAAAGTAGGGCTGTGACCAGGGCCTGGGCACATCACCTGATGGAGCTTTCTGTCAGCAAGCTTAGCTTCAGCCTTCAACCGTAATTTGGAACGATGCCTCTTTATCCATGGATGGCCCTGAGCACACTGTCACATGATGTCCTGTCATCTTCAATCTCCCGCGGTACGAGAAAAGCTCCATGCTGTATTTATATCTATGCGAACTGAAGTGCCTCTAAGAAGCAGTAGCCCAGTCCGTCCGTATATCATGACGAGGAGCGATGTCGTGTATATTTGATATGGCTGAAATAGAATATAGACTGGTGGCAAATCATGATAGCCGATATTACTGGGCCTGTCAGTCTGGGCCTTGCCTTGGCCCCATCGCGTATACAGTAACTTGCCTACCTCACGTTTGTTAATTTCCGCTGAGCTTCTTTCTCCATACAGTTTCACAGCTGTTTTCGAGAAGCTCTACAATACCTGAAAATCTATATTGACACAGTTCTTGATTTCCTATTTTCTTCTGCCTCGTTCACCACAAGAAGTATACATACTAACGTTCGCGACGAGAGCTTGGAGCTCAGGCAGCTTTGCGTCTAGTAACTCGGCTCAACGTACCTACAATATCGTACCTAGGTACGGTAGTCATATTCCATAGATCTTTAGATATGTACCACCCCCAGCCACATCATAGTGAACGCCTCAACTTCATATCTGACATGATGGAATATTGAAACAGAATACGTCAACCAAAGGTCGGAACCCGCCTTCCCTTCGCGGCTTGTGGCGAGTCTGGCGACTACCGCCCTCAGGCGACGGGAGATTTCCATCCTATGAAGGAGGTATAGCACTAAGGCTGCACGATGATGTTCCTACTAGTCTCGTTGGCTGCTAAATCAAGGTTATCTGCAAAGCTCTCGCCATGATGTAGGCCATCATGTAGAATTGCCAAGAAATGAGTGGAAAACCGACTTATTGCCAACATTGTATGAACGCGTTTGCTCTGTGCCAAGATGATGACATTATTAAGGCATCCCCGCGCCCATGAGTGTGGAGATCCTATCCAGTGGACACCAGCACCTCATCGTAACGGTTGCGATTCGGGGCTTGGACCATCCGTCTTAACTCTTTTCGGTTGTTCTTTTGAGCTCGGCTCAGACTTCACGTCTCGGAAATGAGGAGCGTCTCTCCTACCGACTTTGCTTTACACCATGACGGCGCTAACGCATAATATATACCGGGCAAGGTAGTCGCCCACTGAAAGACCGAGATGGGATGGGATTTCGGGACAATTAATGATACGTATATGGTCGTCACTATGGTCTTTCTATCATATGCGCAAGACAATTGTACCATCTTTGTAAAAGTATCCACCGCCTCTGGTACAGACTACGGAGTGGTGATGGTCTATTGTCGGTGTGACTCTCCATTCCACACTAAGCCCTCGTCTCTCTTCTGCCACGCCCCCCATTTTAGCGGGTCCACGAGAAAAAAAAACAACAACAGATGATAAGCTCAAAGGAGCAAGAGATAAAACGAATATCAGAAAATCAAGATTAATCTTTGACCCCCCCCCAAAAAAAAGTCGTGTGCGCTCCCCTCCTCTTCCCTTTTCAACACCCACCCTCGATAACCGTCTGTCCTTCAGACTCTCGTATTTCAACCCAACTCGACTTTGGTATCGTTCTGTCGCGCGCTGCGCGTCGACAACCCCCTAACCTCCCCGATGTGGCTTCTCCGCGCCTTCTCGTCGGCCATCTTCCTGACGGTAGTCGTCTCGTCGATACCTCTCGCCTTCGATGTTGGTGGCAGAGTATGCGGTCTGGCCTTTTCGCTGTCACTAGCGACCTTCTATTTCCTCTTCTCGCTACTGAAGCTCTCCACACCTGAGCGATCATGGATTCGGTCATCTCTGGTGCTGGTCGTGCAATACACTCAATGGATTATTATCCCTATCTTGTTGATATGGTCTCTGAATCGCTTCTCGGTCGATATGGATAACGGTCCTGGATGGGTAGAGCGCACCTTTTCAGGTGACCGGGCGGCAGATACCTCGATTCAAGAGTGGCTATTCGGACGCGACGGGTTGGTGGAGACGGTGACTCTGGGCAACTGGGATCGACTGCTTCGCTGGTCAACCCCCGTCTTTCAGTTGGTCGAGGGATTCTGTAGTCTTCTGGTCATCCAGGCTGCAGGCCAGATTACCCGATGGCTGGTGAATCGTGGGGGACGCAGCGATAGCTGGATGGTACGTGTTTTGGTTGCACAAGAGTTATAGAGGAGCTTTCCTCTTCTCGTCGCAGCACCGTGGGCTAACATTTTTCTGTGACTAGATCGGCCTTCTGGTGCTCTCTGCGACCGTGATCTCCAGTTCGGTATACTTCCTCTGGCGTGTCCTTCAATTTCCCGAGATCTCTAATGTCGACGCGGCCTTGATCGGTGTCTCGATCACATGTGCAGTCATCTTGTGCGCGTGGGGCATTGGCAGTGGGCGCGGAAATCCGGTCGAAAGCTCTCTGCTGTTCGCTTACGTGGTGCTTTGTGTCTATCAGATCTTTACGGATTATCAGCCCTCGTATCCTGTGGAACAAGCGCCTTCGCCGTCTCAGGCGGGCGATTTCCCTCCATTCCCTCCGATCATTATGGCCTCATATTCCACTCTCATGCATGCGCTCTCGTTACTGCCTTCGGTCATCCATGCTGCATTCAATGTGATCACCGCGGTGTTTAGTGCAGTGACCCCCTCGGTGCTCATTTCGCTAGCATATCGACTGCTGGTTTTGTACGCATCAACGCGCATCATTCCTGCGGTCCGAGAGGCTGGAGCCCGTGCGCTCTCCCAGGAGGCCTCGCTCGACGACTCTGACGCGGCTGGCCAAGTCCTTGGCTTACTGAGCTACTTTTCCCCGACCATCTTGATCGCTGTCTACACGAGTCTATTGATGCAGCATTTTGCATCCGCCTCGCAAGCGATGGGCGGCAGCGGCGAGTGGTGGAGTAGTCAAGGCGGTGGCGGCGGTAACATGTGGCGATGGATCAACATTGCTTGCACTCTTGGCCTCTATGCCGTCGAACTGTGGCTTGGTGAAACCGATGACCTGGACAGCAGCTTGGCTGGACACTGGAAGACTGATTGAACAACATGAGCGGAGGGGTTTTGCACTTGGACCGCCAAGTGTGAGGTTTGCTCGCAATGAGTGAAACTTACGGACCCTTTTTCTTTTCTTCCGGTACTTGGTTGGCCGAGTCCTTTGTGTGATCATCGGCATCATCCTCGACATGCATGCGCCACCGTGATTCTGATACAAATGAGACGGTCGGGAGCTTCTCAGTGTTCACAGAGGTGGAGAGCCGTTTGTAATTAGGGGGGTCAGCTGCTCGTCACACACCTGCTGGCCGGTGAGGACCTATGTGGTGTGAGGTCATCATGCTGCCTGAATCTCTGACCTGGCGGCGATGATTGTGATTGTCCTACCTCGCTCTCGGCAGACAAGCCTCGTCAACATTCCACTCGCACAAACAGCGCTGGTGTGTGCGTCATTCAATTCGACCTCCCGTCCCCCTCTGAAGGATGCATACACCGACAACAAATGGCAGCACTCTTGCACTTTTCCCTCCCAAAAAGCACTTGCCACGCCCTTGGTCCAGCCCTTTGCAAAGTCTTACGGAAGGTGTCCGCCGAAGTCGTAAGTCTTGACAAGCAGTAGCACAACCTCGGCCTCCAGAAATCGCATAGCTCGACCTATGCTTACATTGTCCTTTGATAGACCGAATTGGCGACACAGGATGCTATGATTTTTTTGGGAATTTGTCATTGTTCGCTTCGGGATATTATTTGGACGGTGACTTTTTGTCCTCTTGATTTTGATTCTTTTTCCATACTTTGTCTATGCTTTGGCATCTTATACCCTTTGCTGTCTGTAATCTTGCCTCACGTGACCGTCTTTGACTTGACTTGAAGCTTGCCATCTGTTTATAGGTCGATTTGTTGTTCTCACTATTATCGATTTGATAGGTACTGAAATGATGGCATCGTACCTTTTCATCGGGAAACCCCCCCTTCTGTTCACCACTGATACATATAGATTGTAGGTAATTTTCAACAGTAATCGACGGAAGTTTCGCCGTGCCTACAGACGTGATATTGAATCTCACGTGCCGGGCTCTGCCCTGTCCATCTCCAGGCCCGAACTAAACGATGGCTGTCCCTGAAGGTTCGAACTTGGCACGCATCTATCCAGACAAGAATACTGTCTCGCTATAGGCCTTTGGACCTGGTCATTTTTACTTTTCTCCTCGCCGGGCTGAGCACATCACGTTGGAAGCTTTGGAGCTACGTTCCATAGCTAGCTGTCTTGTGATGTTCTGATATGATCTGCGATATCGAATGCTTTCATTCTCAAGTGAGCTCCATTCGTTTACCGTAACGGCGACTCTGCGCAGGTGTTACGCTAGATGGGGTCGAACGCTGACACGGTATATTGTTGTCGTCCCAACATACCTACTAGAAGTAGGTACTAGGTAGTGATAGTGGACCCATTTTACGTTGGCACAATAACGTCGCAGATGCGAGCAGGAATATCTATGCGCTTGGGTAAGGTTGGCTCGGTATCTTATCTGTGACCTGTGTCTGTGGATGGTGGTAGCTTTTTGATTGATCGGCCTAGTCACCTATGCACTTGATAAGGTAGTGGACGTCACTGGGTACTAGGTCGGGGTATATATAATAGTAACACGTGTAACTCATGCCAATACAATTACAGTGATGGGAGCGAGTCTCTTTTTCTTGCCAGGCAGGTCAGAGGCTTCGCTGTGACGTCCTCAATCAGGGTCAGGATACGATTGTGGAGGGCAGAGTTGCGACTCTGCTGGGTCCTGGGTAAAGCGAACTGCTTGTCGAGGTATGAGATACATGGAGATCCACGCACGGAATTTCTTCCGTTCAAGAGTCTGTCAAGGGTGACTTTGTTATCTGGTGTAGCGTGCTGAATGTTCCGTGTAGCACTCTCTTCTATTGGGCTGAGTACGGATCACATTGATGCATCGTTCGAAGGGTGCGAGGGATTCTCCGCTCGAATATTTCAAGGAAGACAGACTCTAGGATTAGGGAGTTAGCTCGTTGCTTATCTACAGGTCGCAAGCGTCTCGCGCTGAGCTATGGGGCTTCGTTACTACGGGTTTTCTTTAATTTCCTGTCTTTTTTTTTTTTTTTTTTTTTTTTTCAAAAAGGTCACCGACTGGGATGACAATGTCTCTCTCCAACTTCATGGCCGAGTAGAAGTTTTTCTTCTCAATTGTAGAGATATCTTATTCTGTCTTCCTTCCTTTGCATCCTTAGCTTACGTCCTCACAGATCATCGACGAGTTCGGTATCCGCTCTTTGCTTCCTTTGCTTTCTCTACCTTCAGGCCTAAATGACTACAATGACTATAGGATGACCGACGGCAGCTCCCAGTCTCGATCAATGCCCTAGCCCTTCCTACGGAATTTCCCCAATATCGAACGGGTTGTATCTCAATTGCGTCTGTTATATCCTTGATATTTTCCACAATCTCTCCTTCACTCCACGCTTGTTCCTGTCCCGCAGTGCACCGCCGCGCCCTTGAGAATAACAAGAATTGATGAAAAAAGACGAAGAAGAAGAAGAACGAACAAAAGACGTCATGTTACCCAGGGCGCCAGGCTTTTGAACCCGAAATAGAAGGTCAAAAGACGGAAAGGAAGATATGATAGAGGTGGACAGGGAATCTGATGATGGTCGACGGCAGTTCACAGGTTCAAAGGATGAGCCGAGCTAAATGCGGTCCTGAATCATCACGATCGATCCTCTAGATCTCCCCTATCAAATCAAGTGGTAAAAAGGTAGACAAAACCTCGAGAGAAAAAAAAGAAGAAAAGAATGGTTCATGTAGAGCTCAAAAGTAAAACAAAGCCATGCAATAGTGGAAAGAAAGATGGAACCTCAAGAAAAAGAAAAAAGAAGACATGACTCCAAATAAAACGATCCAGCCTGACCGGGTCATCACCCCGGATCAACTTCCGAGGGATCGTGAACAATCACTACCCAATTTATTTATGCACACCGTCCCTACTGGTGGATGGGCACACCTTGCCTACCAGGAGGAGGGCTCACACTAGATTCCTCGCCCTGATTCTTGACGGTATTGTTATCTCCGCCTTCGGTGTCCATGGTCGACGACTCCTCGCTCAGACTTGAGCCCCGGTGCAGGAAGCTTCCGCCTTCTTTCACGGGGGATCGGCTCTGGAAACCGATGGATCCTGGGTGTCCACTGATGCTACCGGGCATCTGCTGCCCAATGCCGGCGGTGCTACCGCCATTACCGCCGGGATTGTTGGCACCGGGTGAAGTGGCTGTGAGATGGGGGATGTTTTCTGGGACGGGATGGCGAGAGCCAATGCTGGTGACGCCGACGTCTGAGGCTTTGCCGGCTTTGCTGAGGGCGTAGTCGCCCGAGTCGAAGTACTTGCGCTCCTACATTGCGTGTGAATCGAGCAAGTTAGTCTCGACTTCGAGAGGGGATCGAGGAGACACATGCGCAAGAGTGGTAAGACCAGTGTGAAAAAATGATTTCCACAATGGGAAGATGGGATTGACAAGATTCGTTGCTTCTGACACGTACCTTGAGCTTGTTCTGAAGCAAGTCCTTTTTGGTGGGCATCTTGCCGTACATGCGCAGCAGCCGCTGCTCATCTGGGGTCATCGACTATATTGATAGAATTCGGTCAGAAGTCCGAAAGGAAAAATCACCACGCATTGGGATTCCGGTCGACTCACGCTAATGTCGACTTTGTTCTGCTGGTGAGGGTTCATCGTGAAGGTGTGTAGGTAGCGGGATCGAGCAAGAGGGGAATGTATGTAGATCGCAGCGGGGCTCTCTGGAGGGAAAGTCACCCGTTCAAGGCAGAGCGTGGACGATAGAAAAAAGGAAGTTGAGGATTGACACCGTGCTAAGCAGTGAAGAGAGTATGTGTCACACTGAAATGAAGCTGAGCAAGATGAAGGGATTGGTGGTGAGGTTGGAGCTTGTGGAAATCCCAAGGGAAATGGGGAGGATTCATGGGCTATCGATAACGCGGGGCATTGGCAGTCCACTGGCTGCGATGACTTTTGGGGAACCCACTTTGGACCACTGCAGAAGTGCAGAGGACCGAAGATCCTCACTTGGTCGGGCAGGGTTTGGGTCAAGTGATCCTTCAGTAACCTTGTCTGAAGTTGAGTCCAACAATTCTTTACAGTTTCCAATGAGTTGAGGGGACTAAGCAATTTAGCTCCAGGCGCTACTAGCATGAGTCGTGGATGAGGTAAGTAGTTAAGTACTACTATGGTTATGGTAACTAGTCGTACTACTGGTACCGGTACGATCTGTGAAGTACTTCTCAAGTACCGCGGTGGCAGTTAGGCGCCTGTAGGCAGTGGCAAGACACTGACGAACTACATCTGGAAGAAATGCAGTGGTCCCTCTGCAATCCTTTCCTCGCACAGGACTCGACTCTGTAGGCTACACTCATCGAACCATTTCCTTCTCAATCCATATGCCGACCGGACGAAGAGAGCATTTTATCTGTCGTAATTACTGCTGCAACCAGGTAACTTCATGAGACTCCCGCTCTGGTCAGTTGACCTTTTTAAAGTCCGGCACTCCTTACGTCATCTCGACCACCGGTGGGTGAATGGCAACAAACTATACCTGGGTCTATAGTAGAATCACTGAACAGACAGAACCCAGTCATTCTGTGGAATTGATGGGAGTGAGGATGGATGCCTCTTCTGAAAATCAGACATATATAACATAGTCTAAGGGGTGTCACCTCTGGTGGTCACCGGAGGCTGTTGGAAAAAGAGTTTCTGCATTCGCAACATCCTCTCGGCATCCGATTAGCTGCAGTGTCAATCATATCTAATGGGCCGTTCGGAGGAGAGAATCCATGAGGAGAATTCAATTTTCCCCTCAAACTCTAGATAATCTTATAAACAATAGGATTGAGAAGGTCAAAGATCTCACAGGGATATGACTAGGGCAATGACAAAAAAAAATACTTGCCCGTGCGTGTCTTGTGTAGTCCGCTGTGGTGGTTTCCATCGATGATCCACGGGGAACCGCCAAATTCTGCAACTCTAAGCTTCCGCTTTTTTTCTCCCCATTTCGAAGACGACGTTCTGCTTCACCCACCACACAAAGCAGGGCGTACAGTGCAAAAGCTACCCCCGATCACCTTTGCAAGTACTCCGCTCCTATCATCACTGTGATGGCTGCCCAAAAATCCCAACAGGCCAAGGCCTTTGTGGTCGAACATCTGGATCCCGAGCTCGGTCCGTGGTCAGCCTTGGAATACGCTGCCATTGCCCGCGAATCTCATGCGAGCGGCGCGCGCTTCTTGCTGAGCTCGGTTCCTGCAGAGTTGCAGATGCCTGCCGAGTTGGCCGCTACCCAGGGACTGGAGGTTGAGCAGCGCGGGGTGGAAGAGATCTTTGCGGATCGCAAAGAAAAAGTGTGTCTGCTGGATCCCTCCGCGACGACGGAATTGAGCCCGGAGGATGGTGACGCCTTTGAGGTGTTTTTGTTTGGTGGTATTCTCGGTAAGCATTTAAGCTCTTCTGGCGCAGAATTCGTGCATCTATCTGGGAGAAGAGCGAGAGCGTCCCAGGCGGAACCCCGGGGTATGAAAAGCAGATTCAGGCTGACCTTGGCTCACTCACCGTGTACCTGTGATATAGGCGATGATCCCCCACGCGGTAAGTCAATTTCCCCAGTTGCAGATCTGATCTCAGATCACCACTCAGTAGTCAAGAGTCCACCACTGACACTTTTCAGATCGCACCTCTGAGCTCCGAAAGAAGGGCTACACGGGCCGCCGCCTCGGTCCCAAGCAGATGACAACGGACACTGCTGTTCGTGTCACTCGTATGATTGTGCATGATCGAGGTAGGCGATTCCTGACTGAACGTTGAGTCTGAGCATCAAGACAGGGCTCCTAATTCGTGAAATCTGGTTCTATGCGATTGTAGTTCCCCTGGAAGAGATCCCCTACGTGGACTATCCAGAGATTTTCATCAACGAGCACGAGCGAACTGAAATGCCGTTCCGCTACGTCAAGGATGCTCAGGGCGAGCCGATCATGCCTGCAGTAAGTGGAAACTCTCGAGCAACACTCTCACATCTACCGAGTATCCTTCAACTCGGGAAGACTTGCATTTGCTGACTTTGTTTCAATCTGCAGGGCATGGTCGACCTGATCAAAAACGACGCCGACAAGGGGGTTGGCGATCTTTTCTAAGATAGAGCATCAGATGGAAAAGCAATCAATGATTTATGTCTTCGCATAAAAAAGATGCACCTGCGCCGCAAAGAGCATGATGCCTGGAGGCTGTTCCATCCATGTCCGTGCAAAAGCTCGAAACGAGTAGCCTTCGGAGTCTTGGGCTTGATTGATCTCATCATCCCCGTATCAAGTTTGGGTGATAATGAAGGTACTACCCAGACCGAGCAATATGGCCCATCTTGAACACACAGCGTGCTCGCGTCCGCGCTCGCAATCACGATGTTCTAGACTCCTTGGTATTTGTCCAGATTCAGATCTCAATAGAGAAAGTTTATTCCCATACTGCGAATCATGATCACCAATCTCAAGGGCCTACCTGGCTCCATTTTCATCTCTTTGTTTCACGGTCAAATCACGGCTCCGTGGCGTTTCGGCGTACAAAAAAGGAGAGAACATGATTTAGGGAGGATCGCCGCGGCTATGGTATTGTAAATAAGATTACGGGGATCGTTATAACAGTACACTAATGGAGATGCGAGTATCTCAATGGGTATTGGTTACAATACTGACAAGTAATAACGTAACAGGACAATGTCTCAGCTCAACTCGAGGCCACGCAGTTCACATCGTTATCGGAGGTTATCAGAGGCTCACTGACAGGCTGACGAATTTACATTGAATCAGCCCTCCGATCACATCGATTTCCTTCATCCTCGCAACATATTTCTCTGAGTTTCATCCGTCGCACGCTGAGATCCGCTCGTCTCCCCACTTTCGATGATCCTCTGAAGTGCGCCGACTCGAGGCGGTCCCTTTTGACCTGCTCTTCCCGACCTATTCTCCGGCCCCTTTGGTCGCGAAGGCCAATTCCCCTGCTTGCGCCGCGGGAGTCCCCCTCTATAAAGAGCTCGACACTTCCCTTATTCGTCCACACGGCGCTGGTTGTCAATCTCTCTCTGCACCATGCGATCATGGTCTATATCTACGCTGCTAGCTCCGACGCTAGCAGCAGCAGTAGCAGCCAAGTCAGCTGCTGACTACTTTGTCCACTCGCTGCCTGGCGCTCCAGATGGCCCATTACTGAAGATGCACGCTGGGTGAGTACAAAATATTGTATATACCGGAGCATTCGGCAGAAATAGTTTCTGAGTGCGCACGCGACTAACGTCCTTTTCCCCCTGCCCAGCCATATCGAGGTGGACGAAGAGCACAATGGCAACCTCTTCTTCTGGCACTACCAAAACCGACATATTGCGAACCGACAACGGACGGTGATCTGGTTGAATGGAGGGCCTGGGTGCAGTTCAATGGACGGCGCATTGATGGAGGTGGGACCATACCGGCTCAAGGATGACCATACGCTGGAATACAATGATGGATCATGGGATGAATTCGCCAATCTACTCTTCGTGGATCAGCCGGTCGGAACGGGCTTCAGCTACGTCAATACGGACAGCTACCTCCATGAGCTAGGGGAGATGTCGGCTCAGTTCATTGTGTTTTTGGAAAAGTTTTTCGAGCTTTTCCCAGAGTACGAGCGGGACGATGTGAGTGGTGCACGAAAGACACCGTCTATGAGGTTGTTTGACTTTATGGAAATGAGTTTGCTGACACCGCCATGTAGCTCTATCTGGCGGGAGAGTCGTATGCCGGCATGCATATCCCGCATATTGCGACAGCTATCCTCGAGCGTAACAAAAAAGCCGAGAAGGCGGAACAGACGTCATGGCCATTGAAGGGAATATTGATTGGTAATGGCTGGATCTCGCCCTACGATCAATCCCCATCCTACTTTGAGTTCAGTAAAGCTATGGGGTTGATTGAAGAAGGCACCGATGCTTATCGCCAGATCGAAGCTCTCAACACGGTCTGCCTCGCTGCGCTCGAGGACCCTCACAGCAAGGAGATGGTGAACATCGGTCAGTGCGAGGAAGTCCTACATGGAATCACAGAGTTGGGTGTCGATGAAGGGAAGTGTGTTAACACTTACGACGTTCGCTTGGAAGACACATACCCCGCTTGCGGTATGAACTGGCCGCCAGACTTGACCAATATCACACCATACCTCCGTCGCCAGGATGTGAGAAGCGCGTTGCATATCAACGCTGCAAAGACGGCGGGCTGGACTGAGTGCAGTGGCGCAGTGAGCACAGCGTTCCGTGCCAGTCACTCTGTCCCTGGTGTCCAATTACTTCCCGGGTTGCTAGAGTCGGACGTCAATGTTCTTCTCTTCAGTGGCGATCAGGATCTGATCTGCAACCACCTCGGCACTGAGACTCTGATCCATAATATGAAATGGAAGGGAGCCACTGGCTTTGAAACCGATCCGGGAGTCTGGGCCCCCCGTCACGATTGGAGCTTCGAAGGTGAATCCGCCGGACTGTACCAGTACGCTCGCAACCTGACGTACGTGCTCTTCTACAACGCCAGTCACATGGTCCCCTTCGACCAGCCGCGTCAATCGCGCGACATGCTGGACCGGTTTATGGGCGTCGACATTGCCAGTATTGGCGGCAGCCCTACCGACTCGCGCATCGATGGGGAAAAGCTGCCTCAGACATCGGTCGGGGGCCACCCCAACAGCACCGCCGCCGAAGAACAAGAATATAAAAAGGTCAAGGAGGCCGAGAACCACGCGTATGCCAAGTCCGGCGAAGCCATTCTGGTTATTGTGATTATCGGCGTGAGTGTCTGGGGCTTCTTCATCTGGCGTTCGCGCCGTTCCCACCGAGGGTATCGCGGAGTGAAGAACCCTGACAACCGAGCCCGATCTGGGTCCGGCGCGGCGACTCGGTCCGGACCTGGATCTGTGCTCGATCGTTTCCACAATCAAAGGTCAAAGAATGCGGACGTGGAGGCGGGAGACTTTGATGAGTCCGAGTTGGATACTCTGCACTCACCGGGTGTTGGGGGTCACGAGAATTACCTTGTTGGCGATGATCTCAGCGACGACGACGAGATTCATCGTTCAACAAGTAGTCGTCGACCGGCAGCGTCTTGATCCTCGAGGTTGTTACAACGAGCATTGAGTTGGCATCGGCATTGGCATTGGCATCTTTCAGCATGGCGTTTGTATTATCACTTTGCTGTACCTCGTTCATCCATCTGTATTCTCCCCCTGTATTTATTTCGCTGTAGTACACAGTACACACTACACAGCCCCAAGTTTCCAAAGATCGGCCGTGGCCCCTGGCTGCTCCAAGATCTCGGCGACCTCGATGGGCCACGGTCACATAGGCCACAAGGCCACAAGGCCACAAATATGAATCACTCTTTCTGGCGACGGTTATATTATCATACGCCCCGAGTACATGCGATTGGGACACAACAACGAAGTCCATGTGAGACTTTACATCGACGCCCTGCATCCCGTATGACCACCATCACCGAATTTTCAGTGTAGAGTCTCCAAGTGACCGAATTCAGTATCCATCCGTACCATCCCCCTGTTCCAAACTACAATGCTTTCAGAACCGGGATATCAGGCTTTACCTGTCTGATTCAGAGAACCCAAACAAGTCCTCCTAAGGTCTAGTGATATTCAAAACGGGCCGTGGAACTCCCCTCGTAAACTAGAAGCACTAAGGTTTCCGGCTGAGCTGGCGGGACTGGGATGAGTTTTTTTTTTTTTTTTTTTTTTCGTGTACGGGAGACCTCTTTCATCATTCTGAGGTGCAGGAGGACCTTGGTGGTTAGAAGATGCGTAGACATTTTGGGATCATTTGATCCGAGTGTTATGTAATAGGTAGTAGGTAGTAGGTAGTAGGTAGTAGGTAGTAGGTAGTAGGTAGTAGGTAGTTCTCTGGCACACACCAACTAGATTTATGTCCAATCTAACCAGCAGAGGGCTGGGCTGATACGATTGCATGGTTTGAATTCACATTTCCAATTTTCAATCACCCATCTAGACAATTTGTAGAGCTTTGTTTAGGTGCTTTGCGCGTGGGACCTAGATGGCTCACACAGGTATGTGAGTATCTACTTATCTATCGCAGCAGCGAAAGGGAAGCTGAGATTAGTAGAGATGGTCATTTTACCACTGATGGATCCGCCTGTTCATCAAGAATGTAGCAATGTATGCGCGTTTCATCGATATTGATTTCATCTCTAGCAAAGCTCAACTCGATCCTACATACGATTGCTTCTAAGGTACGAGGGGAATGTCTTTTATATCGACTATAACTAATGATAGTGACACATGAGAATAAAAACAACGGGGTCTGATACGACCAGGGAACATGTTTGTAAATGCGTATGGTTCTGCGGGTCTGCCAGGTCCCGTTTTCCATCGATGGCTTTGCAAGTCACAACAGCCTCGGTGTTTTTGAGTCTGCGACATGCGGCTTCACCAGCCTCGCATGTGGAAGCTCTCGTACTTGCATGGTTTCTCGTGCTCGCCAGCGAGCACTAAAGACAAAGACCGCGGTACCTCGCATGAAAATACCGGCGCAAAGTCTCAAGAGACAAACAAATAATAAGCCAGATTATCTACGGCAGGCCCAAGTACCGGTACTTATGGGGTATGTGAGCCGTGTCCCGTCGGGCCTATCTCTACTCCTTCCTTATTCTCATGCTCGTTGTCTTTGTGATGTTTTCCCGTCCGATCACATTTGCGCTATACTATCATGACACTGCCGAGGCGAATCTTCATCCACGGTCCAATTTACCCTCGCTCTCCTTTGGGGGGAGCTTTTCCCCCGCTGAATCTGGGAACGGACCAAACCTACTTTACTGTGTATGCCGAAAGCTTAAATGAGGTCTCCGTTCTTCCCCGCAATCGATCGAAGCCGAACTAATCATGTTCCACTGAGCTTCTTTTAACATGAGATATATGGTTTGTATGCCGGGCTCCAACTCGCTCTTTGGTTGGACGATTTCCCAGTTGCAGAAAACTGGTTTTGTGTCGTGGAGTTGATCTTGACAGGATTCCAGAATCACATGGAGCAGGAATTGAACGGGTTGCGTTGAGGGAGGTTTCTCTGCCCCCCCTTTCTTGCGGAGAATAGCCTCGGTAGTTGGACGGCATCTGTGATTCTTATTTCTTGACGGAGCTCAGGTTAAACTCTATCTGAAGTAGTTCTTACGCATAGATCGAGGCATGCTTCTTGAGACAGGATCGGTCAGATATGTACTCAACTCACCATCCTCCAGGTCTGGTGGTACTTGATAAAAAACTTGACAATCACAGACAATACTTTCCACTGCCGAGATGAAGAAAAGACGGATGAAGAATCTCGTCGATATCGGCGGGACAATGACATTGACCACAGTACTGCGGTAGACGGGCGTCGTTTATTGATTATTCTGACTGCTCTACCGTACTTTTCACGAAAATACCCCAACGCCTGTCGAATCGCGGGCACGAATAAGATCCTCGTAGTATGCGGGCTGCATGTGGAGAGAAAAAAAGAAGCTTTCCTCTCTGCAAGGCAAGGGCGGGAACGGAGAAGATATCCTCTCTTTCATTTGGCCGGGGCTGTTGACGAGTACAACCTACCAGGCACACGTACCGCATCCACAGGCTTTCCTGAAGAACATCTGGGAACCCTCGTGTCTTTGACCGGCGATGTTACTGCTTTTAGGGCTGTGCTCCGTGTGTGTGTATGCTGCAGAAGTATCGGTCAAGACCTCTCTCTATTGGCAGCCGCTGGGGAAGTGCGGATCGGGCAGGTGTGCCTGGATCGTGGTTGAAGCAGGAAATTGGAGTGAGCAGTGGATGAAGGTACGGATGTTCCGCGTCTCCTGTTGGACGAAGAATTAGTCTACGGGGGTGCCGGGGCGTAGTCTGTGCATCGAGCGAGGAGGTGGACGAGGTTGGTTCAAGATTCAATATTCCACTGCAGAAAGCTAGTCGCTGGTGGACATCTGAGCGTGGACTTTTGACCCCCCCCTCCTTCAAGGAAAGAGAGCGATTGAAGAGTATACTTCTATTGTGAATAAGCTGGTGCGAGGAGTAGAAGCAATAGATGCTCGCTGATCTATAAAATGCAGAGGATCGCGCACCATTCCCACACTCTTTTTCAATTCACTCAACCGCGGACTCTCAGAACTGCCTAAGATCTTCCTCCACTCACCGTGTCTATCTATTTTGTTCTCCCCAGTTCATCGCAGTCATGAAGTTCACAGCTGCCGAGATCCTGGCCCTGCTCAGTCTGGCCTCAACAGCCACTGCGGCGCCGCAGAAACGATGTACGACTAGGACGTCATGAATTCCCACAGAATCCAAACACAGACGGACCAGCCGTGCTGACCTGCTACCACTCTAGCAATCTCTTCAACAGTCCTCACTCAGTTGAGTCGATACGCCCAATGGTCCGCAGCAGCCTACTGCTCCGGCAACACCGACGGCGCCGACAAAGTCGTCGCATGCTCAGCCGGCAATTGCCCCGACGTTCAAGCTTCGGGTGCGAAGATGCTGTATGAGTTCGACGAGTGAGTCAAGATCTCCCGACTCACCTAGTCCGTTCATCAAACGGACCTGGTCAGTGGTCACCGGTTATATGCCCGATATACTGACTCTCTCCCCCGCCACCCCCAGCGCCAACTCGTACGGCGACGCCGCAGGCTTCCTCGCCGTCGACAGCACCCAGAACCAAATCGTGCTTTCATTCCGCGGCAGCCGCACAACAAGTAATTGGATCGCCAATCTCGACACCACTCTGATCTCCAGCTCGCTCTGTTCAGGCTGCCAGGTGCACCAGGGCTTCTGGCTGAACTACCAGACTGTCGCAGCGACACTGAAGAGCCAGATCGATGCGGCGAAAAGTGCGTACCCGGGCTATGCGCTTGTGATTACGGGCCACAGTCTCGGCGGCGCGTTGGCGATGCTGTGTGGAATGGACTTGCATAATCAGGGCTATGCGCCGACTATTGTAAGACAAATCGTTGATGATTATTTTTTTCCTGTTTCGTTGCTCTGCTCTTTCTTCCCCATCACCCTTTTGAGTCAGAGAGAGAGAGAGAGAGAGAGAGAGCAAAGTTCGACTCTTGCTGATCCGTGCTTTCCCCCCTTCCTCTGCCACAGTATACGTACGGCCAGCCTCGCGTCGGGAACCTCGCCATGGCCGAGTACATCACCAGCGTTGGAAACCAATGGCGCGTCACCCACACCGACGACACTGTGCCGAAGCTGCCTCCGCGCCTGTACGGCTTCAGCCACGCCAGCCCGGAATACTGGATCACCAGCGGGGACAACGTGACCGTGACGACGAACGATGTCACCGTCGTGACGGGGGTGAATTCCTTGGGTGGGAACGACGGGACGTTGACCTCGAGTGTGGCGGCGCACAATTGGTATATTGTGAACATTGATGGGTGTTCCTGAGTGCGAAGGCGATGGAGTGGTCTTTTTCCGAGATACGAGGTCTGATTTGAGTCGGAGAGTTGATGACTAGGATTCTTGTGGATTGAGTTTCTAGAGGACAGATGGGGGGCCGTGGATTGTGCTTTGAAGTGTGTCGAGATTGTCTTTTAGTATACAAGTACCCAGTTGATTGAGTGCATGTTGTGAGCTAAGACCAAGACTCGAGTCATGTGCATCGATCATTTTAGTGCTGGTTGATTTGGGGTCGCCAGGATATTCCAAATGGAGACGTCTTGATAGTAATGGGAAGCTTATTTTAATGATCACTCGACGTGATTCCGGATCAAGTAAAGGAGCTTTAATTTGAGCAAATTTGACATTGATTGGTAAGATTCTGTTCGGTGTGTTCAAATTGCAGTAAAGTATCCTGCAATTCAGGGCAGAATCCCGCTTTTTGAGTATAATGTAATAATTTGTACTATGTAGTCGGTACCATTTCACAAGACATGGTCCTCGCTACGCCAGTACTACTACAATCCGAAGCCAGAATCAAGAACGAGTCATATCATCTGAACATTCTTACAGAACCATGATCGAAATATTACTTTCCATTGCATCTATCTCATAACAACGCAGCCTCATCATTCATTTTCCCTCACATCAATCTCCAACTCAAGCAGTACCCTCCAAGCCGTCATCGTTCCAGTTGCTGTTCGAACGAGCCGGGCTCTTACCATCATAGTACTCGGAGCAAGGAGCAAACGCGCAGTTCTCGTCCTTGGAGGTCCGCAGCTGACCGAAAGGACGCCACCACTGGTCCCAGCCCTCACCGGGCAGAGTGCTCAGGTTCCAGTTTCGCTCGACGGTGACGAGTTGGGAGAAGTCTGAAGAAGGAAAGGAAAGAGAATTGGGTTAGTTCGAGCTTGAAGCGGGCGGCGGGGGGGTTTTTTTTTTTCAGAAAAAAAAAAAAGGAAGAGGGGGGATGGAGTGTCGAGGGCGACTTACGGTTGTAATAGGTCTGATCGACGCAGTCATAGCACTTGACGGTGTCGTTGCCCAGGAGAAGGGAGTAGATGGAGTTGGGGTCACCGTAGTTGTCGTTGGTGTAGACGTCTGTGGTAGAGGAGACACGTGAGCATGAGACGGTTCCGATGCCTTTCTCTTCTTCCGATGTAGGTGTTCAACTTACTGTCCTCATCAAAGGTCAGGAGGATGACGGTATCCTTCATAAAGGCCTTGTCGTTCAACATGGTGTCAATGACCTTTTGGGTGTTCTTGGCGGCGTAAGAGATGTTGGTGTCGTGGGCATCGTTGTTCAGGTTGGGCACGTAGTACATGTACATGGGGGCATCGTGACCCTTGGCCACATCCTTGGCAAAGTGTTCCTCGGCGTTGACGATGTTTTGGCAACGAGCGGTGTTGTTGCGGATGTTGTCAAAGGACATGAAGGGGTTGTGCTTGCTGTGTCGAAGGAATGAGCGGAGCTGTTCGACCCGTGAAACTGGGCCTATGGAGCTTTTCCGTGACGGATACTCACCGAACGTAAAGAGTCTCCTTATCCTCGTGGTAAGGGTTGCAATCACCGTTGGCCTTGGGCTTGTAGCCCTCCATGTAAGCCTTCCAGGTGATCCCTGGGGAAATTTTCGGTCAGCATCGGTAGGTACTTTCGGATCCTCGCCAGAATCTTGAACCAAAGTTTCTCTTTCAAAGTTGCACTTACCGGCAGGCTCCAACAGATCAACCAAGTTGTAAGCAGTGCTGTTGTGGTCCGAGTCATCATACACACCGGCAGCGATGGTGTTGGTGATCATGGTGATATAGTTGGGCTGATTTTCATGTGAGTCAGGAATTTCCCATGGCCTTTTGATAGCCCTAGAGTCATGGCGGATAGGTTTACCTGCGAGGGATGGGTGCTTCCTGTGTGTGTTCGACATGCTGTCAGTCTTCCCTTGCAGCGATATAAAAGTCCTGGGCAAAAGCAATCACGTACCGTGATAACCATTCAGCAGCATTCCCCAATGGGTGAGGTTCAGGAAATAAGGGTCACCCATGGTCACACCCCTGTTGGTGTTTTCCAGGACAATGACCACGAAACCTGTACAAGACGTGGGTTAGGGTATGAGCTTCCGGAGGGCTCTTCAATCCTTGTCTGCCGAACATGTAATCATGAACGGCATCAAGTTGGGCCGGGCGGACTCACGTTCAAACCATCTTCCCTTGACGGGCTTCACATGGTTTTTGGCCTCGACGCTGGTCGCAACCTCCACAGGAACGGCCGCAGCCAGAGACAAGCTGGCCAAAAGGGCTCCGACGGCAAACTTCATCTTGTTCTACAACCAGGACAACAATTGACACAGATTGAATGTCACAATGTCTCGAGCAAGCTTCTTGAACGATGTCCGACAGGAAAAAACCCCCTCAACCACCGAGGAGATTGGCGGGGCATGCTCGCATTTAAGTATCTTCCCAGGACGCGCGACTACTGCTAGTCCTGCGCCTGTCCGTCAATCCAACCTTTTGCACGTGCAGTTGCAGGAGCAGGAGCAGCTCCAGCTCCAGCTCCAGCTCCAGCTTCAGCTCCATGTTCGCCCCCAGAGAACTACTCCAATCCCAACATTGCCGGTCTTCCGAACAAGACCGACCGGAGTCAACATATGGAGTCCAGGTTCCCGTCCACATCCACATCACGATTCTGGTCCCTCCCGCGTTGCCTCTGAGCTAAAGCGAAGCCCTAGGCTGAGCGGAGAACCCGACCCAAAGCGCCCACGTGCATCGACCGTTCAGTATGGATCGTCCACCGTAGAGCAGTCCGCCAGTTGGATTTGGCAGTTTTGTCAAAAGGAACCCGCCACTAGCGGCTGGAGTGGAGTCCACGCTTCCAGGCACTAGAGACTCAGCATGGCTTGTCCGAATCATCGGCCAGCAAAGCGAGCCAGCAGATTGACACGGTGCGAGCACGGGAGCGGGTGAGTGGGAAGTTATTGGCTGGGTGGGTTCGGGTGTGGGATGAGAGGAGAAGCTTGGAGAGCTTGATTTGCCTTGGGGTTCCTTACTGGAGTAGGAAGGCAGGAAGGCAGCGCAGTCAGCAGGAAGCAATTAAATCACGAGTGGGGGGGCTCTCGCAAGGTAGAGTAAAGTAATGTGTAGGATTGTAGTCTGATCACTGCGACAGGACTGAGAGGTATGGAATATGTATTCACTATTCACGACTTAAGGGACATGTCAGGACTTGAGGACTACAATACTATCGGTACCAGCGATCTACAAATACCTTCGTAGAGTGTGGCTGTAGGTAGTAGGTACTCTGGAGGTAGTGGGAACATTGGACTTATCGCTGCATAAGAAAATCCGCCTCTAGTCAGATAGCACTCCATGATAAGCGCAGCAATGACCAACATGATTGGCACTTGCAAAGCTCAGATATAAAAAAAAGAAAAAAGAAAAAAAAAAAAAAAAGCTTTCCAGCAGGCGCATAAGTTCCGAGCCTGTCTCACTCGAGCCAATGCAGTATTGTTCGGAGTTCTGCATTCCTCCGATATACCGTGGGCACTGGGTCAGTAGTGGTACTGGGTATGTGATCTCATTCGTATTGCCGCTATTGCGAGGCGAAGCGGAGAAATCACCGGAGTTATCCCGGTACTCTACTCTAGCGTAAACCCTAGTAGATAGCCTGGTAAGTTAGTAGTCATCGACTCATCCTTGGAGACTTTAGAGGATATCCGCGAGAGAGGTCCAGGTGACTGGAGACTGATTTCAATGACGAATGTCAACAAATTTCCCAGTCAGGATACGAGGAAACTACTGCTGACGACCGAGTGCCTATCAAGTCCCCTCGAGGACTTCAAGGTTGGTTCCTCGTCAAGGATCTTTACATTGTACAATCAGTGAGGTAGACGCCTAGACCTGTTGGCTCGGCTGGAAGCAGAGACGGCCAGGTGGAGAACGTACACCATGGAACCCTATGTGATCCTGCTACACCAGGTGGTGACATCGAGTCATTCCGAGCTCGATTCCATTCACGACATCCACGACATCAGCAATCCCTCATTTCTTTTCATTTGGGTCATAAGCTCTAGCTCTACATGTACAGATTTTAATCCTGATCTTCCCTCAAGCTCGTAGGGATACCACTACCTTTACAACACCAACATCATCCAAAAGTAGATCTGGTAAATCAACTATCGCTCGAATGTCCACACTTTCACACTGCCGTCATCGGCGGTCGTCACAAGCACCTCCTCCGCCGCCTCTCGTCCTGCTGCTGATCCACGATCCGCTCGTTTGGCCCACGCAACGTGGTTGATCTCGTAGATTCCGTGTGCGCCATCCATGACCGCCAAAATGGTCCATTCCGTTTGAAGGGGAGGTGCAGACTTCTGCTGAGTTATCTCGGTATCCACGGTATCCACGGTATCAGCAGGATCATCGGTGGTCGAAGTGGATTTGGTCTGCTTTGAATCTTGAACCAGACGTTCCTCATACACCACAATTCGTCCGTCCGCACCAGCAGATGCAACGAGTCCCGTGCGACGACTCCATGCCACGGCATAGATGGTCAATTCGTGCGCATGGGGCAGCACCGCATCCTCCACCCAGCTCTCGTCAGACCCCGTAGGCCGAATGATACTTGGGATCCCGGTCGTCGCGGACGCGTTCGCCCCAAACGCATGACCTTCCTTTGGCAACCGGCGCCAAACTCGAACGGTACGATCGTCTGAGCACGAAATCAAACGAGGTCCGGACATGGCATGGTGTTCTCGCCACTGCTTCGCCAACTCTGTCGGCTTCTCCTCGTCCATTTCCCCATTTATGTTCGTATTCGTCGACGACGACGGCACATTCTCCACGCTCTCCCAATCCAAAAACCACACCGTCCCGCCATGTCCCTTGAGACACGCCACTTGACCCCAGTCATCCAGATCCTCCCTCCAGATCCGAATCGTGTCATCGTAAGCACCACTCGCAAGACACTCCTCCGCAGGATGCCACGCCACACATTTCACATCCCCGCCATGCTCTTGCATCACAGCCACCGTCTCAAAGTTATTATCCCCGTCGTCAAGATCCTCCCAGATCCAAATCGACTTGTCGCGCGCACATGTCGCCAGAAGCATTCCGGATGCTGACCACGATACCGACTTTACCTCGCTGTCGTGGCCGTCCAGAAGCACAGCAAATCGCCATTCCTCGTCATCATCATCCTCGTCCGTGCCATTCCGAGCCGCCGCTGCACGACTGGACCCATTGGCTCCAGCGCCAACATCAACCTCAGTATTGGCATTGGCGTGGCTATCCCAGGCGACACTTCCCCCTTCAGCACGGCCGTAGCTATCCCAGCGTCGCCAGACACCGACGGTAGCGTCGAAGGAGCCCGTGGCGAGCACGCTTTCACCTTGCACGTGGGGCTTCCATGCTGCAGTTCGGACACTGCGCTTGTGTCCGCCCGTGATGGTGGAGAGGAGTTTGAAATTGGTAAGAGAGTATATCCGGACGGTTTTGTCGGAGCTGCAGGTTGCGACGATGGGGAGGGTGGGGTGCGGAGCTGTGAGCCAGGCTCGTTCGAGGGAGGGTGGGGTGAGGTCGGACAGGAGGGTGATGGATGACTGGGCCATGGTGTATATGTGCAGCGTAGGTATGCGACGCTGCAATGGCCTCTTGCCCCAGTTCTGATTTATTATAAAGACGAAGAAAGCGAAGGAGACCGGAGGAAAGAAGGAATTGAAAGGAATGGGGAAACAGTCATCAAGCGGATATCCGCTCAGGTGGGGTGATTGTAATGACGGGCTGATAAGATAGCAAAAGTACTTTTTCTGCAGTCCCCAAACTCTCTAGACTCCCCAGAGTTAGGCTAATAGTCCATTCATACTGCTTACTCTTAGTCTGCATAGACACTCCGAGACCACGGGGGAAACACAACGCCCAGAAAACGTTCAAGCCCGAGATCCATGATAATCGCTTGCTTCTTCTCGCAAACGGCTTCGTGACTTTACCGAGTAGTAATGACAACTGCAGATTACTGGGGGCGCCAATATTTTGCTACTGTACAAAATTGAAACATTACAGCATATGCGTGGCTACGAAGTATAGAATCAATTGTCCTGGAACAGTCTATGGATTTGTCCCCTATTGCCAACGACTCGGGTTGTGTACCAGCTCACGAGAAAGAGCAACGAGAAGAGCAAGGGAAACGAAAAGAAGCAAGTATCACAAAGTACAAAACGCCGTTCAAGCCACTCACGCGAGCCCAGGTATTCGAAAAATGGGATCAGAGCAAGTGTAATGATGCACCCCACGAACGCCGCAACCCCCTTGTTCGAAGCAAAGAAAAAGTGCAGCCAGAATAGCTGCCCACATCGGAATGACTTCACGCACTCGAAGTCCCTTCATTATAAAGTCGTTCATACACATGGCTGTGGCAAAGCCAATCCACCTCGCGCACTTTCTCCAACTCTTCGACCAATTTGCCAACTTCCCCCACAAATTCAGGCATGCCAGCACTAGCAAGACTCTGACTGGCAGAACTGGTTGTTCGCACCCGCTCAGATGCACTTGATGCACTCATTCTAGCAAGGATGTGGCTTCGAAGGCGAGAGAGAATGAGCTTCGCCACTGGGTCTGTGAAGCTCAAGGCGGGGGAGCTGGTTGCTGAATGATCAGCCGATGACCAGTCCGACGTTATTTCCGTCCGAACGTGAACGCTCACTTGCTCCGCGGCCGAGGAGCTTGCTGTCGCAACGGGTCCAAGCACACGTCTGATTGTCGCCGCAAGTTGTGCGCTGGCAGAGGACGGCATCGGGTGCGTCGATTCGAGGATCGACTGCACACGCTCAGCGGCGATTTCGTTGAAGTCAAGTGATAAAATTCGATCGGCCTCGGTCTTCCACTGCGACCGACCATCCCGCTTCAGCAGATTCTTGGCTGTCAAAAGAATGGACGCTGTTGCCACAATCTGAAACGCTCGTGCGTGCAGACGTTCCAGACGTTGCTGATCGAGCGCGAGGGTTTCTGGAACAAGATCCTCAGAGACCAGGGCATTACTCAAAATCAGGTCGACGAGACCATGAGCATATACACGTGACGACGGAGGTCGAGGCTCCCCGTGGACATTCTCGGGATCTCGCTTCTTCATTTCATCGACAGTGACTTTCCAGTTCGTGCGCCAGAATCGTCTAGTCTTGCCAAGTGTAATAGAGCCATCGGCAATTCCCTTATCGAATGTTCGCTTCTCATACCCCGGTGCTTCTTCAATTAGCTGGGGTGCAGCTACTTGTATCATGAAATTAGTGTGGTCCAGCGAGAGCAGATCGATGATGCCCATGAGCTTTGCCAACCGGTCAATCGCATCACCGGACAAGTCCTCTGCGAATTCCTTGACGATGGGATCCCGGTAGGGTGCGCAAAGCCTAGGCAAGATAGTGTTCATGAAATTGAAGAAGTTCTCGTAGGAGAACGTGCCTGCCTGACATTGGTTCTCCACCAGTTTCGGGTCCAGCACTTCACCGATCAGCACATGGAGTGAATTCCCGGGTTGAAGCGACCGCAAAAGTCGATCCTGGATCACCGTGGCCATGGCGACGGTCCAAGCGGTACCTTGCCCTGCTTCGACATCCCGTCTCATCTGCTCACACATGTACTCCATGACCTGCCGTCGTGGCTTCGTGTACGACGACTCTGCGATCTTGTACTCTTTGTTCAGGAGCAGCTCATGGACCAAAGCCCGATTCTCGGGAAGCGCCGTCATGATCTTTGTGAATCGCTCATGGGGAGAAGCTCGTTGCTCATCCAGCTCTTGAAGAACGGTTGCATCCGCATTACTCAAGGGTTCATTCGCTGGAGATGATATACCGTCACTCAGCACCCCTGTTGAGGAAGCAGCTGCAGGCTCGGTCGAGCGCGGAATGGCCTGATTCGAGGCCAACCGTTTCTTCTCCCTTTTCGCCTTTTTGAGCGACTGTCGGACCAATTCCATGGCTTTGTCCGAACCTGCAAGTCGCTTGAGTCGGGCCAGGAGAAGGATTTGATTCTGCCGAATGCCCTGACGATAGTCATCTGCGGCGCCTCCCGCTTCATCATTCTTGACCGTCTGCCAGATAAGCTCTAATTCGACAAATTGTGCCAGCATGATGTCGATGAGGACCGTCGAATCCTGGGACTTCCAGGCGTGAAATGCAGAGAAAAAGACACTGTGTGATTCACGAAGAGCCTGCAAATCCGAGGTAATAACAGTTGGGGAGCAACAGCCGGACAATAGCAGCGCAGCGACCTGGTCAAACACGGCCAGGAGCTCTTGCGCTTTGTTGATCAAATCCTGCTCCTGCTCACCGTCTCCGCTCAGCACATCGGCCGGATGGGTAGCGATCAGGTAACTGCTCAAGAAGGTGCGTACTGCGCCTCGTGCACCCATAGCACCGCCCTCCATATCTTGCAGGCCACAGATGAGGAGAATCTTCGTTGTCGTCTCGAGCACGGTCTTGTTTGACAGTAGCGCGCCAACCTTCTCAAAAGACATTTCGCGGACCTGGTCGACAGATAGACCCAGGGCGCGGAATTCTTTCATAACCGTCTTAGCGTGATACGCCTTCCACGTTCGCTGAATCTTCTGAGCAGCAGCTTCTTGTGTCATGCCCGTCACGACGGCTCGTCCGATCTTCTTTTCCACTGCGACCGGCAAGCTGCTTGTGCGACGCCGATGAGATTGCTGGTATAAAGCCCGGCGTTTCTCCGCCTCGGCACACTTCTCCGCAATCTCGAGCCGTAGCCGAGCATGTTCCGCAGCCAGTTTCTCCCGTTGATCCTCGGCTTTCTTCTTGGCCCGTTTGACATGATCCTCACACTTGGCCGTAATCTCTGCGAGGAGGCGCTCGCGTGCCTGCTGGGCGGCCAAGGCACGCTCCTCACTGTAAAGATTTCTTGTCGCAGCTTTTGCCAGTGCGGCTCGCAGCCGCACCTTCTCGGCGTGCAGTGCACGATCTGCGAGCCTGGCTTTGCGGGATTCAATAATAGAAGTGCGTCGAAGATGTTGGGCAAGATTATCTGCATTCGAGGGGCCATTTGACGACGCGTTCGAGTGGTGTGAATGGAGGGACGAGACAGAGCTGCGTCGAGAAGACGCTGTGGAGGATCGTCGGAACTTGCTATTACGGCGATAGAAACGAGCGGCGATGTGCGGCGGGAGGGTGAGCGGGCTTGCTACTTCTGTGGGAGTCATTTCAACATCATCGATTTCCGCCAGCACGACTGGCGAAAGGGGCGTTGCTCCCATGTCGGGCAGCTGAATCTCGATATCGGAGTTGCGACGCAGCATCTTCAACTCCGTATGTTGGGCGGACAGAGGATGAGCACCACGATGAAAGGTGGAAAGTACAAGCCCGGTGGGGCTGTTGTGTACTGATAAGCGATTAGCAATAGACTCGGCTGGTAGTTGTGCACACGGAAGCCTCGTCGGCTGACGTGAATCACAGGTGCATGCGGTCGAGATGAAAGGGCTGCAGGAGGCGAGGAGGCGAGGAGGCAACTCGGCGAGACGAGTGACCAATGTATGTCGTCGTCGAGCTTAGATGCGGAGGTGCATGCTCATGCCAGGGACTGCTGGCAAGGTTGGTGGGGAGATCCGTGCTTCGTTTCAGGATGGAACAGGAGTAGCATTCATGAGTTGGAAGTCAGGGCGGAAAGAGAGTAAGAATAGGCGAAGTGAAGCGAGCGGCCGACCGCAATAGTTTCGTCCTTTCCATTCACGGAAGCGGGCAGATCTGGAGAATCGTGCAAATTACTGATGCGATGGAACCTCGTGGCCGCAATCAGAAACGGAAGGCCCGTGACCATGATGAACGTCAGCCAAGCTTAGCTAAGCTGAGGGGGAGGCTCAACTTAATCTTGGGAGGCATCCCAGTCCCCGACGCGGACGCGGCTGAATCTGACTATTCCAAGGTCCTTTCAACTGTGACGTTCTCATTCAACTCGTTCTGAATCAAGAAGGTGAACCTTCGAAGGTACAACAGCCTTTCGTCAACAGGCAACATTAAGTAAGCATGGATATTGCCCGACGTTTTGATGAGTCGGCCCCAAGTGTTTACTAACTCGCCGGCTATAGATGTGGACCAGCAATATAGGGGGAGTCCCGGATAGTGGAGGTTAACCTTAGGTTGCAAATAGGTGTGCCTTCGATCGGGGTCTTAGAGCCAGAGCTGGAGGTCCTCCACCCGATCTATCAGATCCTAACCTACACGATAATTTAGAAGGTTCAAGTTCCCATGCCAAATCAAAAGGAAATATTAGATCAAATCGAGGACGGGCTTAGATGGAACCCGATACACATGATACGGCGGCTGAGAATCTTCGTGGATCTGGGAACTACCTAACGAAACTTCAGGGTATATTCATCCAGCTTAGACGCTAAGGTAGTGGTACTACCATAGGTCAGTACTTAGTAGGTAGTAAGTACTGTAGGGACGGCGTTATGTAGCTGCAGTCATCAGGATCATGATCTCAAGTTCAGTGATCTACAAAGTTGGAATGTTGCGTATTTATTTGGACGGCCTTATTGATAGCACAGGTCCTCCAAAATACTGTCCAACAGTCACTCCATTACTTTTCGAATCACGCCTTCTTCATCAACTTTTGCATTCACTCATGTGAGTGTCGACTCGTTCAAAATGACACCACAGACGGTGCAGGCCAGGAATAAATCCCGGACTGGGAACTCCTTTGAGTTGAAAACTTCCCTAAAAGCTTCTGGTCAAAAACGCATTGCTCTCGCTATTTTCTGCACGGTCTGACTCGCCTGCTTGTAGATGTTTAAGTTTAACCACGCCTTTTTTGGAGTCCTATCGAGCTATATCGGCAAGATAATGACCAGGATTGTACTCGAAAATGAGTTGTCAAGTGCTACGGGTACCCTCAGAGCCGCGTTTCTTAAAGTCCCGGGATCCTCAACGTGGACTTGTATCTATTGACGAAAATAACGTCGAATCAAACCCTCTTAGGAAGATGTTTTGCTTCATGCTTTTGCGTCTTACAACCTGATCACAGACTGAGTGAGTATCACCTCGCAATTGGCGGTTTCAGATGCTAGCTTGATTCAAAAAATCACGGACTCACTTTGTCGAGAGCTCCCATGAGCTGGTGGCCAGCCTAGAGGTGAGACTAGTAGGGACACTTTTTCTGCAAGGTTGGATTTAAGGAGTCCATAGATATGGACAGGGAGCTAAGATGGACTTTTGCTTTGTGCTTTAATGCCAAAGGAAGAACTAAGAAGCATCATTGCTGCACACAAATATGGTACTTGATCGTGCGCAGAATGAGATATTCGACACTTGGCTGCACACCTTACCTTTAGAGCCTACGGCATGAGTGACCTACAAGATGATAGAGGACAGCCCCATTCCTGCCGCTGAAGCAATCTTACTGATATAGATACAGGCGTGGGTTTGGTGCAAGCACCCTGAAGTTGAATTTGGTATTCATTTTTTGTAGCTGCAATGTAAGGGCCAACCCCCGGAAATCTGCACTAGCAGACCGGTGTTAGGATATGTTCTCAAGTTCTCCCGCGCTTGAAATCTTATAAGAGTATAGCCTGGTATCTGCTTCTGTGGCCAAATTCGCGAGATGGTCTTCTTTCGGGTCTTTGTTGAGCCAGCTGAGGTGCATCTACAATTCGATGACCACGTTTGGAATTGATATCCTTGTAGGCCTCACCATACATCACTCGCTCAGGAAATGGAGTTTATGATGGCATGGAAGGCCCAAAGGTAGTGGCGCGGGGATGCGGTATGCAGACGTCGTGCAACAACACCGGCAACATCAGTAAGTCTTTCAGCAAGATGAGAACACCAATTGGCCCGTCACAGGCCAGTCCCAGTCAAGACGTAACTTTCAGCCTTATCGCGCGCCGGCAGGACATTCTCTCTTGATATCAAGATGGTCAATATATTGATAAGGGCTCATCGATGACCGAAAATGTCCATGTACTCGTCACCATCATCTTCGTCTTCCTCGTTACCCTCGCGATCACAAATTGAAGATTCTGATGATGAGGTTGACCCGTCATCGCTATCCTCATCCTCCTCTTCCTCGTCTTCCTCCGCAATTGCCGCGGAGTGCTCAGCATTCGAAGATTCACCTGCCAGGAATCCATACCGGTCACGTAGCTTTTTGCTCAGGAAATTCAGAGCCCCATAATCAGTTTCCCCTTCAGCTCTGAAAGCATTGCCAAAAAATGGCAATGATGAAGGCTTCTCTGGTTCACGATCAGTGGGCAGTCCAAAATAATTGCGAACGACAGGCGAAATAGCCCGTCCATGAGTTATGTTGTAAGAGACAAATCTTGGATTCTGAGCTGAGACGGTGGATAGCGAAGAGCTCAGCTGAAGTGGGTCTGGTACTGCATCCAGGTTCAGACCAGCCAAAGAGCTGACAGTCTCAGCTTGTAGGGTCAACGATGCTGGGCGGGGTCGCGGTGGCAGTGATTCAACATCCATGTTTTCTGTTATGTCAGGAACGTCATCGCCTTGCAGGACCCGAATCTGGGCGGTGTTGTACGATTCACATCTGAAGTGACGTCAGTTTAGGCTATGTTGAGAAAGATGTGTCGTGACTCACAGATCGCACTTGAGGCCTAACCAATGGTACTTGACAACTGATTTAGCACCACAATCATTGCAGTAAACCAAGGCTTTCGTATCCGTGAACTCTGCAGGCATAGGTTGGCTTTCAATGGTGCGGTCCAAATTTCTGAAGGTAGACTCCATGTTTGTGATCGTTTTGCTGCAAATCGGACATCGGAATGACGTCTTTGAGTATTCGGCTAAGCATCTGTGGTGAATGCTATGGCCGCATCGCATTACAACAACGGTTTCGGGAGATGTGAACATGTAGTCTCCGCAAATGGGACAGTCGCATTGCGTTGAGCGTTCGATACAACGATGGGTATCCTCAATTGAAATCGGAAGGCATACCGAACATGTCTGTCGTAGGTCAGGCTTAGGTTCAGAATCTTGATGGGTACTTTGTGCGTGCTGCATACCTGACAGTGAAAAAAGTCCTTGCCGAGTCCCTGACCAATACGGCAGATTCCACAGTCGTGACAATGATATATGCTCTTCTTGCTGTCATTGTCCCAGAGTTTGCAAATATCGCAGTAATACTGAGCAGTGACTTGTTCACATTGCTTGCAGACTTTTGCAGCGGGCTGAGCATAGCCACATGACATGCATAGCATGTTTTCTGTGTCGCGCCGAACAAGGGGATGAGTCTCGACAGCATCATGACAAAACCGGCAGGTGTACCACTTCTTGCAAGCGAAGCACTGTAATTTGACGTTGCGGTGATAGTGCTGGCAGCCCAAAACAGCTTCGTCACACTCTTCTGTGTCGGCGTCATCATCATCTACATCATTTCCGTCATTGGCTTGTGACTCCGGCTCAACTTTTGGAGCGTATGTGGGTTGTAGATCGCTTGCGCTAAGAATGAACGAGATCTCAGACCGCGGGACTGAAGCTGCAGTGAAAGGGCTACTTGACAGGTGGCACGATAGGTCCTGCTCGTTTGCAGTATAGTAATCCGGGAAATGACCTGGCTCCTGGAGGTCTAGCGGCGCATTAATGGTTGTTGGAGAAAGGGCATGCCCTACGTGACAGGACTTGTAGTTTGCAGTCATCAGCTCGTGTACCATACGGGCCTTTTCGTTGCTACTAAGATCCAAGTCACGAATGGCATGAATTTGCTTCCTTAACCATCCCATGCCATCGTCAGCAGGCAACATGGCTTGGCTGAGTCCGCCCACAGTCTGTGCTGTCTCTTCTGATTGCTCTGTCCCGTCGATTCTTGTTGCCTCGATGTGTGGTGCCAAAGTATCGGTCTGTGAGAGCTGACGGTTTCCTTCATTTGCCACTAGAGCATTCGCTCCTTCATCATCGCCATGGTGAATTGGCACGACGCTGGTGGCCGCCGACGGCTCATTGTCGAAGACTAGGCCTTGGATGAATCGAGTCCGAGTCCGAGAACTCTCCAGCTCTGGGGTTCGACTATCCATGTCTTTGGGTAAACTTGCGAAGAAGACACAGTCAGGTATGAGGTCGGCATTTCCATTGGGAGGCTCAATGCTGATGTGATTCTTTGGAAGGTTGTGCGTTTCGGAGTCTCCGCTCACACTTGTAGGCGACGTTATTTCTTCTCCATTGGGTAATGCCTGGCCTTGTTCTCGAGTCTCTGCTGTGTATGGCACACGCGCACGAAATCCAAGCTCGATCAAAATTGAGGCTAAAAAATTGCTCATGAAGGGCCTGAGCGAGAGAAGTGGCGTGTGGTCAGCTTAGGCCTCTTCACACGGCGATCAAGCAGCCTGTGAAATGCGGAGGTAACGTTGTTGGCATGTGACGTCGAAGCTGCTGAATCATCATTCCGCCCCGCCCCGCGGAAAGTCTATCGAGGTACCAGGAACCAGTGAACCACTAAATTAGCTACACAATATAGAAATACTACATTTACTGCCTAGCTCGTCGAGGACAGAGCTATTTATTCATTCACTTATTGCGCTTTAGACGGTGTTTTGATTGGATTTGTCAGTGGATACACAAGTTGGCGTACCTTCAACCTTCTAGTCATGTTCAATATGGTCGCCTCTTGGCCACTGCTATCAGCAATAAGTGGTGTATTGGTGTGACTGTGACATGCAAAGCGACTCAGTGATACAGGGAACAAGTATCTTCTTATCAATCCGTCATGAAGACCTGATGTTGATCATATGGATATCAGCACTGGTTTCCTTGACTATGATCAGGCGAGTACGAGGCGGCGTAGCATGTGGGTAAGCTCGAACATGCAGAGGCATTGATGAACAAAGTGCTCGTAAATCTTTCAAACGCCTAGCCGGTGTGATGAAGCTGGGTAAACATCCTGCGGAGAAGTAAATCGTTCGATGCTTGAACCCAAATGCGGAAGTTCACTATGGGACTGCAAAAGGCTCTCAATGTCTGCCCGACCTCAAGTACTGAGGCCCAACATAAGGCGCGCACATTGGCAGCGCGACAACAACATCCTGTGGACGACAAGCAGCGTATAACGTCTGCATGATTTCGTTCATTTCAGACAAGTACCCAAGCTCTCGTTGAGTCGTTTGAGTGTCAAGCTCAGCTGATTGTAGGCAACTTTTCGAAGCTTTTGCTCTTCTTTCCCAAGTCCTAAGCTTCGCAACCTGTATTCGACCAGTAAGCTCACTGTCCCTATACCAGGACTCATGATCAAGATATCACTTACACTCGACTCTCTTTTGCAATATTGGGCAATTCCCAGTACCGGGACAAGAGAAGATTCTTTAAGATCTTGTGTTCAAGACCTGCCACATTGCAGGCTCGCTCAAGAAAGCGGAGTGTGTTGGAAATTCTCAGCGAGTCAAATTCCGTGGGTGGAGAATCGCGAAACGAAGCGCGCAATGAGGTACGGAGGACATGTCTGCTAGGCGTGGAATATCGAATAGCCTTGAGACCCTGTCGGTAGAGGTGACGGTATGCATGAACTACATCCTGTCGAGAAACAATTTGCCTAATATGGGATGAACCCATCGTGTGAAAAACCGCTGCTTGAACTGAATGAGTACCCAATAACTATAGTGAAAGTCTTGGAAGTCTGTTTGGCTGATTTGGGCGGTGACAGCTTCACTTTCCCGGGCCTCAGGCAGCACTAGTCCTGTTTGAGGCATGTGACTTTTGGGCCGCAATCGCTTCGTCTTCATACATCTTCCCCACTTAGTTTTGGGGGGAAAACCTGCAGTTGCAGTATTTATCCTTTCATATTGACCAGATATCAGGCAACTTGCAAGGGGTCTTTGCTCTGCAAGGTGCTGTTATTTGACTTCGGTTCGGTGCCTCTATGAGCAACGTTCTACGCAGGGAAATTCAGACCCGGGATTAATGATTTCTATCCACCGGCCACCCGTCCCTGCTGACTTGGTATTCCACTCAATACCATACTCTCATCCGAGCCATCCAGCTAGCCCTGCGATGATGTGTTGAACTGAAACTTACCACCAGGCTTCGTCTTAAGCCAACGAAAGAAGAGATGGCTAGGGTTGTGAGACGGGCCGCTGCAGCTCGAAGTGCGCCCAGCAGTTTTGCTAGAAGACGAGCTCGCAAGCACAAGGTCATTATGGAGGCAATCACGCAGGAGAAGAAAAAGCTGCGAAGTGTGGTATGTATCTCCATGTCATGAACGTGTAGTCGATGGGACATTCTCTGATCAGGCAATAATAGATATGCTTTGAGGCTCAAGCTCCGAGTGGATTCACATTCATTCCAGCAGGTAACCCGCTTTTGACAACCTCGTGCAAGGAGCGATGTCGAAAGGACGGGCTGCAGGTCTTTGCTGTCTCAGTGAGTTCTCCCGCGATTTACATGCAATGATTCGCAGGGGTTGTGTGCTCATCGGCGACCAGACAACACCACACATGGGCACGCACAACCTATCGCAGCACGTTCATAGGATCGGTTACCACTTCCCAAGTACCGTTGTAGCTGCTGTCTGTTCTGAGCTTGGTCTCTATCTCACTAGCGCTGGGAAGGCTGTTCCATTCCATTCGCTAGGTAGTCTACGAAAGGACTCTCCGGAGAAAACCGAAGTGGATCAGATCACAATCAACACCGAGGCAAGAGACGCGATCCGGGACTTGTTCCCCAATATTCCGGACAATGATCTGAATCAGATCATCAAAACGGCATTTCAAAAGGTGAGTGCACTGAACATCTTGGGCAGCTGTTCGAACAAGGGAGACACCAGGAGCCTGATAACTGTTTCTCTGGTATCAGGGTCAACGAAAAGTCGGTACAGCATCTACTCTACCTCTTGCTCGTCGAGCGCAACTGGCAGTCGTGGCTCATATTCGTCACGTCTACACTGATTACGATCGTCTCTTAAAGCAGAAATCGTTTCATGAGGCAAGATCAGAGGTGGAGCATCTGACACTGAACAAGGTCATCGCTTGGCGCGGAGATGACGAGAATGGGCAGACTGCTCTCGAAGATGTCTTCCGCGAAGTCATCGTTATTTCAGATGACGATGATAGTGAGCTGGAAGAAGATGAAGTTATGGAGGTGAACATGCGCGACCGCGGTGTCGAAATTCTTCCAGAAACCGGCCGAATTCACCAGGTGGAGACTCGGCCCGTTAGAGCTACACCAATGTCTTATCACAACCCAGCACGCGAGCATTCTGAAGAGGCCTCCGCTGAATTCAGGATCATAGCCAGGGCCCCTGCTCAGAGTTCTATCAACCGCCGCGGATTTAGCAGATATCAAGCCTGGAATCGCGCATTGAATCGTTATCGGGCAGAAGCTACAGCCACTCAACCAGTGCCCGTTGGCGGTGCTCCTTTTGCCGAAAGGCAGGGTAGAGCAGACATCAACAGACCGGTCACCATTCACAGGATTCCGGAGCCTCCAGCTAGCGCCTCGGCGGACAAGGTTCCAACATCCGGTTCAGGAAATCATTTTGTTCGGGGGCCCGGACAGCAAGCTTCTAGCTTCGGACCAGCAGATCCCAGGCCTGGAAACATCCTTCCGGGGCCGCACGGAAGACGCTTCCAGATGGAATTCGAACCTAATGTGACCCATGAGAGATCAACTGCAAGGTCAGTAACACTAACTCTACAGAAATCTCCTCGAGCTCAACATCTCAGCACTAGAGTTTACCCCTCTACTCGTTCTGCGCGCATTGCAGACACAAACCAACACCCTCTGAGCTCTCATGGTTGTCCAGAAGGATGTCTTGCCCCATCTGTGGACAGGAAGATCGCACCAGGTCTATCACATAACCCCGACGGATTTCATTTGGAACAAAAGGCCGAACCCAATTCTCGTTCTGACTGCCCAGAGCCTTTCATCCCAAGGGCGGTATCACATCGTGAGGAGCCAATCCCTTCTATTGAGACAACGGAAACCACGGCTCTTACAGAAAAGCGCCCCGCAGAGGGCCGTTTAGTTCATTTGACCCAGGGGATGTCCCTTCGCTCCGTTACTCCAATTCACACCCAGGGTGAGACATCTCGCCATCTTCTCACAACAGGTACTGAAGATCCGGAGAATCCCAAGCCCAAGCGGAGACGCCTGGCGCATCTGGAGCCAAACAACAATCCAGCTTATCATGGGCGCAATTCTAGGACTGGTGAGGAATCAGGTTTCACAGGACTGCAAAGGATCCAGTGCCAGGAAGAGACTCGAGGTTCTCAGCCTCACCCTCTGAACAGGCTGCACCTCCGCCGTGATCATTCACCTCATATGCAGCATGCTCCGGCTTCGATTTACCCACTGCAGAGGAATGCCCCGGCGGAAGGATTTCCGGCCAGCTCGAGTGCTAAGCCAATCCCGGATCGACCACATCTGCATGAATCCCATGCAACATATCCCACAGCCACTCAGTCTGGCTTTGTAAACCACTGCCGGATTGTGCACCCTACAGATCGTACGGCTGGGCCCCCAGCCGGTGCCACTCGGGCAGAGATACGGCCCATTTACCTCAGTGATCGTAGTCCTGGATTTGATCGCCCTCGCCCTGCGCGAATGGAAGGATACATGCCCGAGTTGAGGTCCTATTCCAACGCGGATCATCCTGTTGTGTACACTGCTCCTGCTCATGGTAGACAATATGCAAACGGCTTTGTTCGTGCTGTCGATGTTCGCGAGGCTCGTGCCACTGCTTTGGACCCTCCTCCTCCTCCTCCGGTGAGGGATCGGCAATTGTTCCATGTGGAAGCGGATCGTACCCAGCCAGCAGGGGGGCGGACTTCTGACTACCAGGTTCTTTATGACTCGTCGCGTGCTACAGGCTTCGTTGAGAACCGACACCCGCGGAGCCCGCATCTGCTGCTAGCCTCTTCGGAGCAGGCAGTTCGGCCAACTCATACCAGCCCTCGCGAAATCCACAGTAAACCCAGTGGTGCTCCGCGGGACAGGCGCCCCAGTAACGGAGTTAACGCACCACGGTGAGTTTTTGTGAGACAACTGGGCTCTGCTGCGAAGAACGGACTCACCCCGAAATGGAGATCGCTGTCTACATCATGATAACTATTCTAACAATTCACCGCAGGCGCTATCATGATCCAAGGGCTTTCCAGATGGCCGAGTCCAACCGTCCAATCTATGTCCAGCGTGTCGAACAACGACTGCCTCCTCAACATCCAGTACCAGGAGGTCGCCCAGTCATTATTGTGGATTGAGGGGAGCTGCCATTTATTTTCCTAGCATTCTTCATCTTTGTTCATTGCGGCACCATCCCGCCGCAGCATGTTTATTTGCCTTGGGCATTTGATCTGTCTATGATACCCTTTCCTTGTCGAGTTGTATCTCTAGAGTGTCTTCATTCAAACATGTTTTCACCCACACTCGGTGCCATCATCCGCAATTTTCTACAGATCATTGTGCCTTTTCTTTCATTATTAATCTCTCATTGATCGATAGCTTTGGTCATACGCAGACCACCCGACCTTCGGCGTCGATTTTATCTAGACGATTTTGAACTCAGCTTCGCCTATAAATCTATCTAAACCCAGCCAAGGGGTACTTATCGTGGCATGGCCAACAAATTATAATCGTTTGATGGAGTGCAAGGCTGCATATTCAATTCGTTGGAAACATCATCTTCTTCTCACGACAAACACCCGAGACCTCAACGAGTGAGGTCATCTCCAGCATGCCTTCCACTTTCTATTCGGTCACCACGTCACACGTAACGCCAAACCCGACCGACAACAGGACGCCATGAGAGTCGCTCATGATGGCGCGCGCAAATGTGCAACGCCCTGCCTCATTCTTTCCTAAGAGCGTCTGACTCTCAAACTTCCATCGTTTGACCGTCCGCCTCGCCGCTGTTCACAGTCTTTCCGGTCTTCTTGATCGTGGCCAGCACAGTTTCGTAGGAAAGGGTAGGTTCGGTGACCACGTTCGCGGTCTGAGTATCGAGACTCACATCGAAGGATTTGACACCTGCAATTTGCGGAATTCAAGATCAGGTCAGTATTAGCCTTGACATCTAAATGTTCAAAGATGCTCGGGGGAAACGCCGGGCAGTGTCCAGAGTAGCGTGACAGGGCAGGACCACGGCGGTGAAGATGTCTTCGGTCCCATATCGAAGGAAGAAGGGAGCGAAGGTGTAGAGATAAAGTATCAAAACGAACCTTCCAAGCGCTTAAGAACACGCTCAATAGCACCGGAGCATCCGCCGCAGCTCATGGCAACGTTGAACTTGTATTGGTGTTCGGACATAGTGAATGTGAATGCGCTCTATAATTGCGACTGCGACAATATGGAAAAGGTAGGCTGAGGAGAAGGATCTGAAGAGGAAAACCCGACAGGACGATGGTAAAGAAGTATATGAGTGGAATTTTCGGCTGGAGTCTTCTTTATTTGCTCCTTCTCGGGGTTTTCTGGTTTTGCTCGGCGTGACCAAGCAGAGTGAAGTTGTACAGCAGCTGCGGGGACCGGAGCGGAGTGGAGGTGAGGGGCAGATTGATGATACGAGCGGAGACGGAGACAGATTTCGAGGCTCGGCCAAGTGTCAGGATGAAGATGTGAGGTGCAGGTGGAAACGTGAAAAGGGGAAGTAGCGCAATATATATATATTGTTAGAGAAAAAGCAACTTAGTCATGAGACGGCTGGATTCAAGATGGCATCATTCCCAGGAATCTATGGCTGGATTACTAAGAAATTCCGCACAAGTCGCTCATCGCTTACTTATTCAGAGGATATAAAACGGATTAATTTGAGTTTTAGTGAGAGGTAATAAGAAGAAAAGAAGGCAGTCAAGAGACTGCGCTTGTGGTAAATTAATAATACCTATCACAGGCACATCGTTACATTCAACGCCTTCTAATAGCTTCACATGGCGGTATATTTGTATCAGTCTTTACTTTCATTCGAGAATTTAGCCCTAGAAGTAGATAGTAGCATCATATAGGCCTGGTCACATCCAGCCCCAGATGGATACTATATATATGAAGTATGTCCCATGCAAGACGGACGACCGTGAAACAATAGAATGGTATAGGTAGAGGTAGACTCTCAAGTCTCTAAAAACCTGCGGCCCGTCGCTTTTTCTTTGGCTTGGGAGTTTTCCTGACTTCTCGCGCGCCAAATTGCCCACGCTCCATTTGCGTCATCGGCAACTCGTCAAGAGTCGGTTGGCTGCTAGCAACGGGTGCTGTTGAAAGAGGGTCGGCAGGTTGGCTGCCCCAAGTTCGAATGAACGGCGCGACAGGGGTATCGGGCAAACTCATGCCCTGGGACATGGCCGGTTGCTGCGATTTCCGGCGCGACCGGCTTCGCCGAGGTAGAATTGGTCCACCTTGACGATGTGCTTCTTCTGCGTCAATTCTGCCCGAGATCCTTAGCCAATCGTAATTGTTGGGGTCGGCGCCAGGTTCCCAATGAGAAAGCAAGTTCGCGACATTGCGAGCCATTGGACGTGGATTTTTGAATGTGGTAAAGGCCGACAATGCAGTGTACTGATGAGACTGAGCTTGTTTGGAGATATGATCCGATGAGACCTGAGAGCTTGCCACTGCCGAGGCGGTGATTTGACTGCTAGGCAGTTGAGATGAAGGTAACGTCGGTGTGAATATTTGTGATGAAGTGAGACCCTTGACATCCAGTTGGTCGTTTGCTGAAGGTTCCACAATCTCGTCAAACCCTTTGGTCACTGCCGTCACTGCCGTATTAGAGACGCGAATGATACGGGACAGAAGAACTTCAAGAGCAAGTCCGCGGACGATGCGCTCTTTCATCACACGTGTGTAATGAGGAACTTCGTGGGGAATACTGCTCAACCATTCCTCCACAAGACGATCATATGTGCTGAGAAAGTCAATCGAGGACAAAATGTCCGCCTCCGGCTGGGGAACCGGCATGCCGTGCAGGGCAGATGAAAATATGCCGGGCAGAACCATGTACCGATAGCGAGACTGGGCCTTGCTATGGTCTGCAAAAAGGGCAGAAACAAACTCGGAGAGCCGGTGCGCAGTATCATCGATGTCTTCGAGAACGGGACGCCCTTGATTTAGCTCGAGCCTGTGTGGGTTCGCGGTCAGTCTAATACATCTCGCAAGACAGGTGAGCCTGTGAGGCTGTTTCTTTCACTCACATTGTCTCGGAACCTTTCCATTCCAACTGACTGACTGGATCACTCAACCTTTCGATCAGATGATCAAAGGTTGACCCCACAGAATGGACGTTTTCTGGACTTCTGCCGACCGTGATTCTGGCTACAGCGGAGTCGTAGATTGACGTGAAGTCCAATGTCCATTGGAGATCAGGCTCCGAGTCCTTAGCGAGCTTTTGATGAACAGCAGCCAGCGGGGGCGCAACTGTTTCATCCCAATCATCGACGATAAAATCTTCATCGACATCATTATACTTCTTCCTGGTAATGTGATGACGCTTCTTCAAGCGAAGGACTTTGCTCGTCTCAAGGAACATTTCCTCCTCCACTTCGGCGTGCCCATCTGGAAGCTTGAATACGCTCTCATGTACAGCACGTGCAGAATCCATCCAGAAGAGCTTCGCAAGTTTGATGGTGGGACCGTTCTCTGGCTTGCCATAAATTATGGAAGAGTGTTCAATCTCACGGAAAGTCAAAGTTGAGTAGTGAACAGGAATGTCTTCTTCGGTGACTGAGGGCTGAATTGTTGTCGGTACATCCAATATGAAAGGATCGGGCAATGGGATCATTTCTGTAAGGCCGTCCGCAGTAAAGGGGCACGGAAAAGTTTGAACGAGTTCAGTAAGCCTGGAATAGAGGATCAAATGTAAATCTACTGGAATCAGTGGCTCGCTCGTCCTATTTCTTAATTGCCTCAGTATTTCATGACTTACCGGTCCCTATCATTAGATCGCCCAGATGCAAAGTCGTGTCTTCTGGATCACGATAATGGAGCCAAGTAACACGCGGACGTAGCGGCACACGCGTTCCATATGCGGACGAAGAGAAGCTGGCTATATCGTACCACAGCAGCCGTGAGGTAGTCAAAACAAAGAAGTGGGAGACAACTTGAGTGCTCCTCTGAACATCCAATATCCATTCAGATTGCCTCGTCATTCCAAGTTCAACAAGATCACTTTCCACTTGCCCATCGACAAGTCGATAAAGCATCAGACATCTTCGATCCGACACCAATATTGTGGAGAAATCAGCCACCCATTCGATGGAGGCCCAGCCGTCATGTCGAGACTTTGTAGAATCAGGCTTATCGTCCATTTGCGGTAACGCACCGTGTTTCGTACAAGCGACCGCCCAAGTGGCTCTTCGTCGCCGCTGCCGGCCGGATATCTCCCATATGCTCCAATTGCCTCGGGTGTCCACAATGGCAAACTGCCTTGGATACCAAGGATTGAAAGTCACGTCTGCATGCGGGAACCCGCCCGTTTGTGATTGATCAATCTCGATGATTGGATTCGCATCGAGCCGGGAGTTGCGAAGCGGCGCAGAAAATGCAGTGTCATCATCTGGCACGTACATCGGTACTGGCACGCGGCGATATAATGGTCTGAAAATGGTTGTCCCCTGTTGAAGCCGTGCAGCCATCCACGTACTCTTTTCTTCTAGCGGCTTCGCAAAGCCAATGTGCTGGATAGGCGCTCCTCGTTTTGACCATTCCGTGATTTCAGCCTGCCCTATACTCGGCACGCGGTGGGCTGCATCTTCAATTGGGAGCTCGCTCACCTCGTCCGTCACGACGTGGAATGAAATTGTATTCCCGCATTCACCGGTCACGGCGGCGGCGATGGCGACAGGATAACGGCCCCTGGTGTCGTCCACGCCGTGATATGATGCGTATCCAAGATCCAGCAGGGTGCCTATCTGGGGGTCACAGATACTGCTTACGTCCTGCACTATCCTAGAAAAGGTGTCATCTCTGTAGCAGGACCATTGAGGCGCAAGCTCGGGAAGAACGTGTGGAAGGAGCTGCGGACCAGCTGTTCGAATAGGTTTCGATCGATTCAAAGGTTGCGAGTCACGCTTCGGTGGAACAATTGTCGTTTTGGTAACTCCCGTATAAGATATTGGGATTCTCTGATCAAATGAGCGTGAAAAAACCCACGATTGAGTCTCGGTGAGGTATGTTGCTCTTCCTACGTGCCCATATAGAAGAGCACTCTCCGAATATTCATCCATCGGGCGTGACTTTCCTCCTTGTATCATGTGCCGGCTCGGAGCAGAGCATGTCGACAGTCTTAGCTATACTGATCAACGTCGATCACTGCACAGCTTAGCATGTCATTGAATTTCTGACGTAACATTAAAATGTGAGGAATTCATTCGATGCCGGAAGTTTTTCGAGCAGCTTATCGATAAGCGTACTACTTTAATGCGCCCACTGCTCTCATAGCCCGCCGTATGGCCGTCAAGCTTCTTCAAGCCAGACCCACTCAAAGCGGTGAAAGGAGGGAGGTGCGTCCGATTGTTGATAAGAATGCGGCAGAGTAATCTGTTGCGCCGCAACCCCAAACAAATCGAGTCAGTGTTCTTTATCGCGTCAAAGTTGCCGTCCATCTGCCCCTCAGACGCAAGACTCGATCACTCAGGTAAAACAACATCACTCGAGAAATAGCAGTGCTCGGTCTGAAAATCATGGCCGCCTCATTTGAACCTTCTCTCTCCACGAGTGGCATGCGCCCGCCGCTTGCATCAGCAGATGCGCCCTCCATGGCGGACTCCCTACCAAGCATCAATTTCGGCTTTGAGGATCTACGCAATCGCATGGCACAATTTAGCGCTAAATTTGATGCGTTCATTGAGAAAGGTCGCAAAAGAGTTCTAGAAGAACGGAACCAGTTTCACATCAACCTCGCAGAATTGCAAGGTACGGTTGGCGCAAAGTTCAATCTGAGGTATGCGACTCTGGACAAGTCGGATAGCTGACACGAATACAGAGGATGAGCGTATGCGCCAACGGGATATTGAAATCCTCAATCTGAAAGTTCAAACACACGACCAGACCCTTCAGAAAGAGGCCGCCGAGGCCGCCGAGATGCACGCTGCAATTTCCACAATCACATTGGAGCGCGACACCCGACTCGCCAAGCGTGATCGTCTCAAACAGCAGATCGCTGAAACACAAAAGGCGATTAATCAAAAGCTTGAAGCACAAAAGCAGCACGCGAAACAACTCGACGCACAGTCTCGGTTGAATATGCCTGAGCTAGAATTTTGGCAAGACTATTTGTGTCTACGGATTGAGGGAGCTGGACGGGAAGATCGGTTGAAATTTGTCTACAGTCACTTACTGGAGAAAGATTGGGAGGCTGAGGCTTGGTTTGAGCTGGGCACTGCGAGTCGCGACTACGAGGTTTATCATACGCGACCCAAGGTTGACAAGGATGCCTTGGAGCGTGAGGTGGACTTGGTCAATGAAGACCGAGACTTTGGTGCCTTTCTCAAGCGCATGCGGAAGCTTTTCACGGAAACAATGAATAAGTAAGAGCGTGCTTGGATTTGTTGACCACGGGTTAAGACCTGGTTGTTTTATGAGATTCATGAGAGTGCCTAATGGATAATAATCAATGAGGCTGTTGTCGTTCAGATCATAAAATATGGTAGACCGAGCATGGCATAATGTGGTAATACTTCATGCGAGCCACAATCAACCTCCGGTGGCCTCGCGGTAGAAAGCCACACTCCTATTGGCACCTGCGGTGGCAAAGCTCTCCGAGCGGGCAGTCTTTGGAAGCCACTTGACGCTCCATACTGCTTTCTCGGTCTCAGAATGCGTAGCGACACACATCTTAGTGTCAATAGACCAGACTTTGACCTTGCCGTCAAAGGAACTATTCAGCCAGTCAGCTTTTGAACATTCTATGCACATCCAGTTCCTATTTTAAGCTCACCTGCTAAGAAGAAACTCGCCAGAGCTACTCCAAGAAAGAGACAGAACCCAGGCTGAATGACCTGACAGATTGGCGATCTGTTCGCCTGATGAAGTATCGTAGAGCACGATAACCTTCGAATCGCCAGCGGCAGCCAGGATTTTTCCACCGGGTGAAAATGCAACTGCACGGACGGGTTTCACCAAGCCTGAATCATCCGTTAGAACTGTCCTATTTTAACACAGGGGGGCCTCGCAGTACCTGATAGAGAAAATGGCATGCGACCAGTGTCGGTGAGAAAAATGTACACCGCACCATTTTCGTGACCACTCGCAATAAATCGCCCATCGGCAGACTAAATCGGAGTCAGGGAGAGCTTCAAGTCTGAGAACCGCTGTAAGCGCATGAACTGACCAGATCGATGCAAGTGCCAAAGCTTCCCTTGGTCTCGTGGTCTCGAATTTGAGCGCCCTCGTTGTTCAGATCCCAAACGCCAACATGGCCACTCTCGGAGACACCAGCTAGATATTGACCATCTCCAGACAAGGCGATGGCCCACGGGTGGATGCTTGCGAGAGAAGCTGCCGTTGTCTTGGATTAGAAAATAGTTTCTATTGTATAGTAAATCAGAAGGCAGATGTGTACCTGTTGTAGTAGCGTCTGCAGCCCAATGACCATCATTACACGCCCAGACTTTGAGGTTTCCATCAAAGCCAGCACTCACGGCGCGGGTACCACTGGAGTCGGTCACGATGTGGTGGCAACCTAAGGTGTGGGCTTGATCGATTGACTGAACCAGCGGGAATTCCGTGTTCTCGGTTGAGTGAACCTTGATTGACGGAGCACCAGACACAGACAAGACTTGCTTCTCAGTGACTGCCAGTGAGAAGATGTCGACGGGGTGCGCTGGGAACAATGTCAGCTTTTGTCAATTTCATTTGAGATGACAACAACCCACCATTATCGGCTGAGCCCCACGCGAGATATTGTCGCGACTGGACTGGGTCAGCAACATGGTCTACTAGGAAAGCTCTTGGGAGAAGAAATATGGAAATACCATCTTGGGTATGCCGTGGAATGCGCGGAGATTGATTTAGCAACGCAACAAAGTCAAGGGCATGATCTTGGTCTGTTATGACGTTGGCTCTCTCGGGGAAGCTGTGGTTCCGCCTTCGCGCCTCAGGCGAACATAGACAGCGCTGGACACGCCTCGGACTGGAACACCTGTACAGCCCTCTATCCTTTATCGTGCTCGCGATCGACTATCTTCCAATGTGATATTTTGCAAACTTCGCTTTAACTTTCATCAAATGGAATTCTTCGAAGGGTCATTCAACGACCGTGATATAAAACATAGCGATTTCACGCTGTTTTTCCCAAGTAACCAGACGCCAGATGCCATGCAGCAGATTTATCCACAACCCAATCTCTAGAAATACACAATCCAACTAGATCTCTTTCTCAACTTCGAATATGGGTCATGAGCCCCTCCCTTCGTTTGGAACACACAGACAATGAATGTCCTGTGGTACGCGCTTTCTAAGCGGCTTGCGCGGACTTCCAAGATTGCTTGATATCTGATCCCAAGGTTAGCTTGCTGTTGTTCCGGTTGCGCATTGGACTCATTCATTTCATTCGGGAGTCTCATTCAAGACCAATTGGGAGCTCCGCGTCGAGGTTCAACCTCATGGCTTATCGTACCTTTCACGCAGTGAGGACACAACACATGGGCCCGCTTGACCTGGCCACATCCGGGACACTTGTTGAGACTCTGTACATCCTTCAAGGCCTTGCCGGCCATTTGGCGATGGCGTTTCTTCATGTGTGATGTCTTCTTCTTTGGGACTGCCCGTAGGACGGACTCCCAGAGATCGGCGAGAAGCGGCGGGATTGTGATCGAGATCGGTAGGGCAAAGGCGGCAGTCGACAGGAAGCCAAGCGGAGGCAGCTGGGGCATTGCCCGACGAAGTGAAAGAGAAAGCGCCATAATCGTCTATTGTCTGAAAAGACCCGCGGACCAGAAGGGAGCTGTCAAATCGTTTCGAGGCGGCGGAGATTTGCGGAGAAGGCGAAGGAAGCTTTTTCTGCGCGCAAGTCGAGCCTGCCTCTTTTGGGGTGGACTTTTGCACGGTTCGGCGGGCAATCACACTATACCCGATGCGGGCTAGCTTACCCCCTGAGTTCCATTATGGAAATAACAACGCCCGCAACTTAAGGGGGTTCTCCAGCATCTTCGTCTTGGGGGAATTTAGCTCATCCAGCTTTAATCGTCAATCTCGATCTTGGTTCTTTTTTTGCTTCAACTTCTCTCGTTTCAAATCTGTTCTCTGACAAAGCCACGCAACAATGGCCGCCGCTACTAGCGCTGCTTCATCTCAGCAGCCCACCGTCTTCCCCCACAGCCATGTCGGTTTCGATAGCATCACCTCCCAGATTGAGCGGAAGCTGTTGAAGCGTGGTTTCCAATTCAATGTGATGTGTGTTGGTATGGACTGATGCTACACCACTCGAGCTTTGTGAATCATAATCTGATTTTGTTTGGCTACAATCAGGACAAACTGGTCTGGGTAAATCCACACTGGTCAACACCATCTTCGCGTCCCACTTGATCGACTCCAAGGGTCGCCTCACTCCCAATGAGCCCGTGCGCTCCACAACTGAGATTCAGACAGTCTCTCACAGTACGCCTCTTGTCATCCAGGATATATCTGCTTCTGTGCGATCGAAGTTGGCTGACGGCGGACAATAGTAATCGAGGAGAACGGTGTACGCCTCCGCTTGAACATTGTTGACACTCCCGGCTATGGCGATCAGGTCAACAATGACCGATGGTACGAATGAACCTCCTTCGGGGCTTGCTATGATGCCCATTCAGAACAACTACAGTATATTCACGAAAATCGACTAACACAAAAGCTAGCTGGGACCCGATCGTCAAGTACATCAAGGATCAGCACTCAGCATACCTTCGCAAGGAGCTCACCGCTCAGCGTGAGCGCTACATTCAAGACACCCGCGTTCACTGCTGTTTGTTCTTCATCCAGCCGTCTGGACATGCGTATGTGCTTCCTCATCGCGGCCTTGACCATAGCGATTTATTTTGCTCTGAGATTGAATGCTAATCCGAGCTTTGCCCGTTAGTCTCAAGCCCATCGATATCGTTGTCCTGAAGAAGCTTTCAGACGTCGTCAATGTCGTTCCCGTCATCGCCAAGGCCGATTCCCTCACTCTAGACGAACGTCAGGCATTCAAGGAGCGCATCAAGGAAGAGTTTGCCTTCCACAACCTGAAGATGTACCCATATGACAACGATGAGCTCGACAATGAGGAGCGAGCAATCAATGCCCAGATCAAGGTAAGACTGCTCATTCGCGCACGTATTCGCACGTTGTAAACTTGACTCTGGAGACTAACCCTTGTTTAAGGACATTATTCCTTTCTCCGTTGTCGGCAGTGAGAAGACTATCGTGGTGAACGGCAAGCAGGTCCGTGGCCGTCAGAACCGATGGGGTGTCATTAACGTGGAAGACGAGACCCACTGCGAATTCGTCTATCTCCGAAACTTCCTTACTCGCACTCATCTGCAAGATTTGGTCGAGACCACTAGCCAGATTCACTACGAGACCTTCCGCGCCAAGCAACTGTTGGCCTTAAAGGAGAGCAGCGCCGCCGGTGGCCTCTCTAGTGGTAGCCGCCCCATCAGTCCATCTGCGGATCGCGAACTGAGCCGCAATTCGCAACGAGCTGCCATGAACGGTTATTAAGCCAACCCTCTTTCCTCTCAATGATTTTCTTTGGATGGCGTTGCAAGGTCACTTTTCTCGATATCAAGTGCCTCCGTACACACCCATGGCGGTAGCAGGACGGACTCTATCCCCTTCTTCTGGACAGGACGTTCACCTCCCTTGTTCCAAAAATTCACTATCTATGTTGACGCCAGCGGGCCATTTGCAGATATCCCCACCTTTTCTTCGTTTCTTTCTTGATTTGATTTTGCGTCTTGCCTTTTTGGGTACTGGAGTATGTCAGAGACTTCTGAATCCTCCCTCTTTTATTTCACCTCCTTGGCTTTTAAGCTCGTCTACTTCGATAAATTCATAATGTTGTATTGACAGAGCACAACCGCATGTCCTGCACTTCACGCTCGTGGCATATGTACCTAAATTCCTTAATCAGATAAAGGAGAAACTTTATCTCGGGAATTACTGTGCGTGCAACACCTGTGACATTTACATTACAGTGTGAATTTGTGAAGCCCTTCCGATAGTGACCTTCCAAATATCGAAGATAAGGTACAGACTGCAGATCAACGAGATCACCCCTTTTCACTCTATTGCGCAGCACCAAATCGACCACCGTCTACCACCCAGTCCCGCAGCTCCGTATACGCTTTCTCCAAATCATCATTCACAACAATCTTATCGTGCGCTCCGGGCTGCTTAGCAAACTCCAACTCATTAACAGCCTGGTCTAGGCGTTGGCGCAAACTATCTGTTAAAACAAACCAGAATCAATGAGTCAGCACTCGTATCCCATCGCAACATCCGCAACACGAACACAGAGCAGGATCAGACGCATAATTCATGGGTGGGTTCTAGTACGCACCTTCAGTCTCGGTACCCCGGGAACGCAGTCGACGTTCCAGCTCCTCCATGGAAGGAGGAGCAAGGAAGAGGAATCGAGCGTTCAGATCGCTGTTCTTGACTTGCTTGACGCCTTCCATTTCGATGTCGAGGACGCAAATGCGCTGCTTCTCGGCAACGTCTTTGACGGCTTGTTTGGAGGTTCCGTAGAAGTTGCTGCCGAATTGGGCTGTGGGTTGGACAGAATGAGTGAGAAGTTGGTATGTGAACGAGGCGAGGTGGGCTTGGGGAAGAGGAGGGCAGGAAAGCCGGTGGATAGCGATGTAGATGTTCTCTATGCATGCGTGGTATGCTCAAAGGGTTCTGGTGCTCTTCAGGCTGCAACGTACCGTGCTCGATAAAGCCGTTCTGGGCGACTAGCTCGAGGAATGCTTCCTTGGTGACGAAGTTGTAGCTTTTGGGAACAGGACGGTGTCAGTCAAGGCGCTCTTTCGAATGTTGACCAATTACTTGCAGCCGCTTGAGTCCATGTAGCCCTGTTCGTTCTTCTGCGAAAATGCACCTCGCTGCAGCTCTTCCCCTTGGAGAATGAGGGTATTGATCTCACTCTTTTCCATCGACCTCACCCGCGCGGGGTGCACGAGTTGTGTTTGAGACACTGAATCCGAATCGGTCTTGAAATTTTGAATAGCATCACAGTCAGAATCTGCGCCAGACAAAGAGAGAAGAACAAGACTCGACTTACCAGGATACTCAGCAAACAGGCGCTTAAGCAGAGTCGATTTGCCGCAACCGGAAGGGCCACTGATCACAACGGGACGGAATTGAGCTGTGAAGGGGAACTCATAGTTCATGTATTAGTTGGTCGTTCCGGGAAGTATGGTGATTTGCTTCGAGAGGACTTCATATTTCTGGGGTAGGCGAGGCAAAGGCACCAGGAGGGGTATAGAGGAATGCGAGAGGGATGATAAGGTCGAGGTGGGAGAATTTCGTACAAGGATTGGTAGCCATTGTCGCAAAAAGACGACAAGAATATTTTGAAAATCGGAGAGGACTTAACAGAGCACGAAAGGCTGCCAAATGGTTCATATGAGGAATCTATATTATCGTCTTACACCACTTGCGATTGTAAACAAATTCCGACTCCGGACTCTGTGTCGGAGATAATTGTCCGGCAGAATCCAGGCGGTGTGACTGGCGCGGCGGCTGGGGATGGTCTTCCCTTTCTATTGGGCGGCCACATTCTATACAACAGGAACGCTTTCGAAGGGACTCTCGTAGTCTGTCACGCGGAGTTCCTTTCGCGGGATAGGTGTTTGCCCTCGCAAAGCTCACTCGAGAAGACGCGCGATGCACATTGTTGTCATTTAGGGTGGCCCTAAATGACTACCACGCCTCATTGTACTGCGATCTCCAGCTTCGGCTTCTTGTTCCAGGAAGTTGGACCATAGCTCGGCCAATGTTTCCTTACTCGATGCCCCATTGTCCATGAACTCAGCCAAGTTCGGTGTACTGGGAGTACGTAGTGGTGTTCCTGGCACGCGGAGTTTCCCAGAGCTGTTGGAGCCTCCTGGGCGGGCCAGACCTGCTTGCTCGCGTTGTTCTGGAGTTCGTATTAGTACGAAGAAGAGACAGGAAAAACGATTCCGTATGACTTGCCATCATTCCAGCCCAGCAAAGCTGCAATGAGCTGAAGAATCTGGAATTTCTTCGGATCGGACCGATCGAGAGCCAGGAAATGGAGTAGATGGTTCGTAACGATTTGCCTGCCAACACCAGAGAGCTTAGTATGCAGTGTTTTCAAAGTAGGAAGAGAGCAGGTGAAGAACGACTGATCTTACCGGTCAACATTGTCCTCGGGCTTGCCCTTCTTCAAAAACCGGAGAGCCTTGGTCAAGTGGTCATTCAAGGTAACTGCTTCGTGTCGCAGCTTGCCAATGAGCAAATTCTTCTCCTTGACCTCCTTCTCAAACGGCTGGACCCTCTCAAGTTCTTCCTGGGCAGTTAGAAGGTCCTTGTCTGCAGCCTTGGCCTGTTCCTGAGCCTCACGCAGGGACTTTGTAAGCTCCTCAAGTTGAGCATCGGAAGTCTCCACCAACTCGCGAAGCTCCTGCTTCCGCGCCAGCTGTATCTCTTGCAGCGCTCGCTGCAGCCCGTCAACAGTAGACTGTTGGCTGTCACGTTCTTCCGATGCCCTTTCGTAAGCATCACGGAGATTGGAGAGCTGCTCCTCAAGGTCGGCCGCTTTCTCAGCTAGATTTTCTCGCACCGAACGCTCTTCCATTGCCAATACTTCCCAATTGTGCATTGCGTCTTTGGCTTGTTCAAACTCTGACTGAAGGAAAGCATTCTGTTCCAGCAGTTCTTCTTTCTCCTGAATCCAGTTCTGTTGTGAGAGATTCGTACGGTTCCGTAGCGTGGCAATCTCCTCGGTCTTCTGGGCGGATTCTTCGCAGACTTCGGCTAGTTCGGACAACTTTGAATCCAGCTGAGTTCGAAGTTCTGTATTCTGGTCCTCGAGCTCCTCGATCTGCGTGCGGGCTTGTGCTAATTCCTCCTGTTGTTTCCAAATCAGCGGATGCTCCGGCCACTGAGGCTTTTCGTTCTCCGGGAAACCAATAGACTATACCTCATCCTCTTTTAAGCGTGCGCCAAGCTGTGACTTGATGGCGTTGACCCGCTCCATTAATTTCTGGAACTGCGTCTCAGCGTGCTCCTTCTTGGATTCGGCATCGTCGAGTTGATTTTGCAGCGCTTGCATCTCAGCCTCGTGTTTCGACTGAATCTCCTCCAAAGACTTGCGCATATCCGTGACCTCGGCTCTGAGGAAATCTCGGTCGCGGACGAGGGCATCGAATCGATCATTGGGTTCCGGATTGCTGGCCTGTTCCTTCTCACGATTCGTTTCGGGCGCGGAGCTCTGATTTGTGGGTTCTTGAGTCGCATGGGGGTTTGATTGTGTGTCGTCGACTCCATCGGCTTCATCGACGTCCTCCACGTCCTCGGCGTGACCCTGTGATTGTGAGACTCGGGGCTGACGACCGGTGGAATCATCGGACCAGTTCGGCCACACCTACCTCGGCAGAGCCATCGTGCTTTCCATCCTCCGCGACCTCCAATGGCTCTGAATGCTGCTGCTGGGCAGCTTCTTTGGCCTTTGCATTCTTCTTCTTGTTCTTCTTGGATTTGGCGCCTAGGAATGGGATAGTGAGCGGGGTTTGGCGGGCGGGCCAGATCGACTTGATCAAGAGAGATGATGGGGTAGTGTCGCACCTTGCGCAGCTTGCGGGAGATTGTCTCCCGGCATGGTATCTGAAAGAAGAATTACGAGATCCCTGTCTTCGACAAGGTCGAGGAAGTCGAAGTGAAGGTGAAGGTTGCGTCGCGCGAGAGCCGGGCGGTTCGATGATGTCCGCACGCTTTCCTCACTTGTCGCAAGTTCACAACATCCTCCACGCTAGCGCGCGGGTTGCCGTTGTCCGCCTCCACATCAGCTCCAGAGGGTCGCGATCGATTGAACGAGTCTTTGCTTCTCGTGAGGTCTCCGCGAAGCTTTTGGGCATTTCTTAATCATCTCACTTTTACCTCACTTCTCTCTCCCACCCTCTCTTTCTTCCGTCATCCAATTGAGACTTCAGTGTCATTCTCCGAGGACTTAACCATCTAGGCAGATGTTGATTCCCTCCTCAATTAGCTCTCTTCTGTGGCTGGGGTTTGCGTCCTAGCCCAAGCCACACCTTCCGAGATTGATCGTATTGCACAGTATATCTGCCATGCATATAGCTCTGGTCGCCTTATTTTGGGCCGGTTCTGTGCATAGGGACATGACATTACGGATTCCTGGACGGGCAATCCATGCACATTGTTATATACTCGATGAGTCCCAATTACATCGAAATAGAGAATGGTCTGAATGTGCCCAGTCAGGCTTCATTCATATTGATGCGTCCAGGCTTCCAGTTCAGGTACATACCTGGTAATGCGATGTTCTATGAGACTCAAGGTTGTTTGCAGAATTGGTTGAGGTTCTCTAACCTTCCACGGAGATCTCTCACTGCCCTTTCTTTTCGTGAGTGCTCGGCGATGAACTTGATAGCCCAATGATGTCTGTATTAGAGTCATGGCTCTTAGCTTTGTGCGAGCCTATTGAGAACTCGATTATTGGGTACTAATTTCAGTGATGGTTCCCCTACAAGACAGCGGTCTCTGTTCGGCTGAGGTCGAGATCAAGATCAAGCGAGCGTGGAGGCTTTCACTGCACTAGCTAATCCAAGACTCGATAGGTAGTCGGCGACAAGTTAACCAAGTAACTAGCTTCGCGTTGCCCTCGTACAAGGCGACTTGCTACCGAGCTTCAGACTGCACTTCTTTCCGCCAGAGAATGGTTGTCCGGATTTCTACAGGCTCTCACTCGGAGTAGGCCCGTTTATGCGACAGCGACGCTCATCGCGGGTAATGAAAGGGGGTTTTAAGGTTTGGACTGCCGCTGCTAAGCGCATGGTCGAACAGTTCTCATAAATACGACCGTGTTCCAGGAGGGGTGACGATATTGTGCTCGTCAAGCAAGTGAGTCATAACGATAACTTCCAGCCGTCACTCGAAGACAATACGAAGGGGTCCTTGTCCCGTTGTAAGTTTGTGGTTGCGAGAGCCTAGATGATATGTACATTAGCAGTGAGAGTTCCCATCTCCTTTTCGTTTTACATCATCCGCGAATTTGCACAATGGATCAGTGAGAATGAAGTGGCAGGTACCTAAGTGAACTACCTAAGGTACTATGTAGTTAGATTGTAGAGTAGATTTGTACTCAGTAGGTAAGTAGGTAGTCAGTACTGTACTATGTACATTGTGCCAATGTACTGTACTATCGAGAGACTCGAGGCGAGCAGGTTGCGAGTCATGCGAGTCGAATACCTTTGGTCAGGTGCTCTCTGAAACTGCAGGTTTTGTGTTGTGCCATTCACGCAAGCAGACAAACCTCATCTTCTCGAACACCCTGCAATCGACCCTGAATCCTCAATCAATTTGCCAAACGTTGACTTCTCAGTCCCGGCTGGCTGATTGTTTCATGTGTTTTCTTCCCTTACTCCCAGAAAAGAAAATAAGGTTTACCTTGCCATAAGTCCCTGAAAATGGGACAGGAGGTGTCGAGTTGATAAAGGGAAGAACCCTGACTGTACTTTGACCGTCGGCGCATTAACCTCTCTCGGAGCAATGCAGTTCCTTCAGTCCCCAATGGACATCGCCAGACCCACGACGGACCCAGGTTACAGACACATCATTCATACTTTCAGAAATTGCAAAGACTTTGAGCATACGGGCGGCCTCCAAGGGTATTCTAAATGAATTTACACATCTGCAGTGGGCCAGACAACGTCCGGCTCTTGGTACCAGGGGGGATTTCCGAGCCCACTTTTAGGGCACTTGGCAGGTCTCCGATTTTCATGACTTCTGCCGGCGGCCTGGCAGCCGTGACAAGACCGTAGGGTCGAGATCGGATAGCCTACTGGAGTCACTTCAATATACAACTCAGAAGACGGAGCAGAAAATGTGGACAGCAGTCCCAGCATCTCACACGATTCGCGCATGTGCCTGAAAATCGGACAGGCGCCGTTTGGACAGGCTCGATTAAGAAACAGCTTGAGGCCTAGAATGCTCGAGATGGGGTGCGCTGGTGATCACAGATCGATCCTCACTTGGTGCTTACGACGACGTCGATCTTGGGCGCTCCGGAAATTCAGCCGATGGCATTCTCGGTGGCAGGAGAAAAGCCTTTGAGAAGGTCGAATTGTCCTATTCGATCAAGCTCTCAATTTTCAGGAACAGCACCAATCGGTTTTCTCGGTACTTGTACCTTGACCGGGTGAGGCAGACCTGGACCACTCGCGCGACGGGAGATGGACCGGATTCTGAAATTGAGATGCCGAGTGACTGACTGACTCTGAATTATCCGCACTTGCCTTAGTAAGTCCTTTTCGACTGAATCAGGAGGGGGGCCCGCCGAAGGGATAAACTTCGGATGATTTTCTTTTCAAGCCCAGACGGTCGGAGAACAGCCCCGATGAAGGAATGTAGCCAAATGAGAAGGTGATGGTAATTTTACTGGAACCCGATACGGTGACGATGCTGTTGTCAGGTGTTTTGATCTCATGAGGATTTCCTCCAACAAGGTCACTGCAGTCCTCTTCTGAGAACTGTGAGTTGACGTTTTTTTGAGACTCGACCTTGTAGGACGATCTTGCGAACCTTCATCGTTTGGACTAACGTGCCGGATCCGCCTGGAGCCTCGTGATGTTGGCCCAGCTCCACGACGGTCCGCCGGACAGCGTTTCACGATGGGGGAACACTCCATCTGACGATGTCCACCCAGAAAGTCAATTTTCAACCATCCAAAACAAGATTCCGCCTACCACGGCTTTTCGAGGAGCAGCAAAATCAGTGACCTCGGTCCACGGATGGTGGTGAAGACCACTTCTGAGAGTCTTGATACCAGCTATTCAAGACTACCCTACTGCTACTACAGGATGGTAGTACACTTGCAGTATGCGGCTAGCGAGGTTTTGGATAAATGCAGAGTTGCACCGTGCCCACCTGCGAGTCAGAATTAGCACCGATCTAACGCCCAATCAGACCAGGACGATGTGTCCGATCCTTGAAATTATCTCACGAACGAACCCGACACCTTGTCTCCACTGGACATCATTCTCTCGTCTCTCTACGCTTGCGAGGCGGCCATTCTCAACACGGAGAGTGGGCACTTTTCGAGCCTATGGAAGGATGGACTAGGAAGCGTGTCATAGCGAGACGGAGGAAGGATTAGAAGGGTTTCCGTCTCTGGTAATTCTCCCTATGGCCCCAGCCGTTATGCCAAGGATGCTAATGCACCATGAACGTTACCCACCACGGGCAAGCCCGTTGGCAAGCTTGTTGGCAGATTGCAAAGTCATCCAACGGATGCGCAATTGCGCATACGTAAGGGATGCCCTAGTCCAAACTCCAAACGGACAGGTCTGTCAGATCATGTTGGAATCAAACACAGCCCTCGCTGCGGCGATAGCTAATTACTGGATGAAGGTTTGCTTACTCACGAGCTGTTGATGACCTCTGCATTTCATTTCTCAAATCCCGAGATGGGGGCGCCACGATCTTCAAATACCTTTCTTCCTCGGTCTGTTACTGAGGCTGTCCTTGACCGCTTTGGGGTAAGAAAAAAAAAGAACCAACGATTTGATCAACTCCTCTTCTTGTGCAGCGGCTCTGGCCCCCGTTGAGACCTGCCTTCCATGAGGCAATATCTCCCTCTATCGAAATGGGTGCGACGAGGGTCGGCTGTCGAGGTCTCTTGTTCTTTCGGATGCGGCGCTTATTCTGTCCCATTCGACCGCCCATGAATGAATGATTCCAGGCTGTCCCCGTTGTGGGAAGTCTTGGTCTTGCCCTATCCCGTTGGAACTCCGGCTCCTCTGCCTGGAAAATCTTACACTACTGCTGCGTTTAGAGTTTCTTCTAGATCCCTCTACACTTGTTTGACCGACCCCCTAGCCCGCCTGTCTCACCATTTCTTTTGGATCCAGTTGCAAACAAGGACCCTCCTGCTAGAGAGTTCGGTGTACACCACCCACATCATCGGCCCCCTTTCCTCTTGTGATCCGGCCAAAGATTCATATCTCGCATGGGCGCATACTGACGCTGGACGGACACTAGGGGTTGTACTGTCTGTACAGTAGTGGACTGGACCCTCTCACCAGGGCATGTCCACATCAGTCCACATCAGCGCACCCACATTACGCTGCTCCACCTCGGCTTGGTGTTTTGATTCTTTTTTCCGGGTCCTTTGCTGGGACAATTGCCCATTTTAATCTAAATTTGAATATCATGATTTTCTGATGCTACATTTTGAGTTTATATGATGGTGGTCCTTTGTGCTGGCATTTCAGGATTGAAAAAGATCACGGTCGCCCTGGCTTTTCTTCCTTTCTTTTGATCGTGTGCCAACAGTCTGTTTCCAGTCTTTTCTTGTGATCTTTCCCTTAGTATTACTATCGTCATTCTTGTCCCCGCGAGGCCGAGTCCCTGGTTTTATTCCTACGCAAGGCCGTCTGACTTGGATGAGGGGCAAGCTGGCCAACTTCAGGACTGAATCTCATCTCCATTCCTTCTCTGCACCCCCCCCCCCCCCCCCCAACTCCGCCCGCTTCTTTCTTCCACGTTTGATAAGCCCAAAGTGGCCATTACGTCACCCTCCGACCAGAACGATGTCAAAAGATCTCTCAAGCGTCCGCCAGGCCTTGGACCATGCGCGCAACTGCGAAGATGGCGCCGTGGATCAACAAACCACTTTGGTGCTCGAAAATGCAATCACTGATCTCTGGACGCGCATCCAAGCCGATCCAGACCATTATGTGCTGACTCCCGATGAGTTTGCGCTCTTCAATTACTTTATGGAACGGTATCGTGGCTCAACTGTCGCGAAGCGGGCCGTCGAACGATTCTGGAACAATTACCGAGGCGGGACGAACGCTGGAGCAAAGAATTAGCCTGAATCATGTGCCGCGAGGCTTACGACGATAAGAAGCGTTTCAGCCTTCGCGGTCCGCCCTCAAATGGATGAAGGGATATTTGATGCCCTTGATTTTCTCGCGACTGGGGCTTTTTTTTTTCCATTTGACCATTTTGTTTTATTTCCCTGCCCCTTCAATATGTTCGTACACAGCTCCTCCCCTCCCTTCTCGTCTACTCTCTATCTCCGCTTCGATTGTCGTCGACTTTGCAGCTAGTCACCGCTACTTCTCCCGCCATGAAGGAACCGGGGTAACTTGGAGGTCGCTCCACAAAGGTGACGTACTGGCAAAGGTTGTGCGAGATCGATCCATCTTGCAGGGCACAGAGAGTCCTGCAACCTCTGGCTGTCGCCACTTCTCCAGCATCCTGAAAGGTGTGGATGAACGAGGACCTTCATGCGGACTGGATCGTTGACGCTATTCCAGAGCAGCCGACAACGCCGCAGTGGTCTCTCGCGCGTCTCTTCCACAAAGTAGCGAGCCTCCATGCCCGACCGACGGTGCGACGGAGGAAGAGACCACCAGCCTGATCTTCAAGTGGATCCGTGGATACAGTGGAGTCGGATTTGACACACGTCAGCCAGGCGAGAGCAGAGACTGGACCAGGAGTGCAGCGCAGAGCCGAGCTGGACTGCCAAGCGGGAGCATAGGCAGTGCTGGCCAGACCAGCACTAGACTTGCAACCGGGTCTTCTTCGTTTGTCGGGCTTCTCATTGGCGTTTCCTGTCTCTTGGAAGGGCCCAGTCTCGCCCATCGAAGCGTTCCCAACGGCGAACGGGCCGACCCAATTGTGTGTGCGTCTTGAGGAAGATGCACAGTCAGACCAATTGGGGAAATAGAGAAGCACAGAAGAGGGGGGGCGCCAGAGGAGCGGGGGGTCCGCAGGACAAGTGTGATGTCAGACGATGCACGACTAGCGAGAGGGAGAGGAAGAGAAAGAAAGAGGTAGTGGAGATCTCTTGGACGGGCGACAAGCGAAATGGAAAGAAAAGAAAAAAAAAACGGAAATCTGCACGGCGATGACTGAGCGACAAGGATTCCCCTGCTTTTTTTTCTGTTTCGCTGCTCGCCTCGGATCGGGAACACATGCATAATGGCGAGGCGCGTTTGCGCTTTCGCCTCTGAGCACCCAATGACGCTCTCAGTCTTCCTTTCGGGGGCCCGGTGGATTGTTTTTTTTTTCTTTCGTGTCTTTGCCGACTCCGTCGCCGTCCTCCTTCAAGTGCTATTCAATCCGATATAGCCGCCGAGGATGGGGTTCAGGCTCTCGGCGCTACAAGCTGGAAATGGACTGGGCTCTGATGCTCATACATACCAGGCTATCTCCCTGCGGCCTGCCAGATCGTCCGGGACGACTTGGCGGGACTGGATCTTCATCGATTCCAAGATTCACTGTGCGCATCACAGGGGCCCAAGACAGCACTTGCACGGGATGCATGACAGAAATGATTGCTTTTTTCTTTCATCCCATCGAAGCCTCATCGTCGATCTAGCTCAGAGCAGAGTATATGGTCTGCTCCACTAATGTGGACAAATACTTACCGTCAAGTCCTCCTCTCCCACTGAAGTAATCTACGGAGTTGCTTAAGAACCTTCCGCTTCCTCGCCTTTATCATCAACGAACAAAAACTACATCCGTTGCTTATAAACGCAGAGCATACTGGAGCCATCCAGACTCCCAAGGCAAACACCCTCGGGTCAATCCCAAGCGTGCACCAGTATCGTCCTTGACGGATTTCATTTCTTACACTCAGCTTCTGCCCAAGGTCCACCGCGTCGCGAGCACCACCTAGAACCTACTGTAAGTGTATGTGCCTCCTTACTTCAAGGCCCTGGCAACGCAGTGGGCGTAGTAGCATTGTAGACTAGGGAATGTGGAGAATGCTCTCGATTTTTTAGAAAAGCACAAATCATGCAAACCAGTGATGATCGATTGCATTTGCAGTCTCGAGTAGGACTGAACGAAGTCTTTGTTGAGTATGAGCCATCCAGAACGCAGATGCTAGTAGGCAAGTAGGTATACGAGATCATCGTTGCAATTACCGGATCTCATATGATTAGGTAGGTACTTTAGCTTAGCTGGGTAGTACCTAACTACCTAGTAGGTAGTAGGTAGTAGGTACTAGGTAGGTACTGGATGTGATACCGACCTTCCATCTCGGCTCCGACGGTCCAGGCCGCTTGGAGCCACTATCTTCGTGGAGTCCGAGTCGGAGCGTACCTGAATGAGGTGCAGACCCTTCAGCTTCGAACCAGTCCGCTGTACTTAGCACTTGGTACGGAGTACTCTGGGAGTCTGTCCTTTATATTTTGTACAGTATGTACTATGTTGAGTGTTATCGAACAGGTCAAGACCTGCCAAGGCCACAAAGTGCAACACTCGACAAACAGCTCTTGCATCAAGGAGAGAAGTGGCACCACGCGGCAGTCGGAAGAGGTGTATACTTGCCGAGTGCCGACAGTATTGACGATGGAGCGTGGATTAGAGATGGACTAGAGGATAGTGAACAGTGGCACTGACACTGGTCCAAATAAATAAAAACCATTGACTGTTGGTTGTGCAAGAAATTGGCATGAATCAAGCTACCCTCGAGATCGGGAGTGCATACTATAATCCCGCCACTATCGTTTTCGACCGAGCAGGTAGGAAAGACGGGTGATCATCGGTCGAAAACTAAAGTGGTAGGACTGTATAGTCACTATATTGTGTAGTGTATGGAGTGGATAGTGTAACTAACAACTGTAGCCTTTGGCAAGTCGTCACATCGAGACGCTCGATCCATCTCCGTACCGACCTTGAAATCAATGAGACCCACTTGGTCTTGGGCTCTGCGGACAAGAAAAAGCAACGTCGCAGTCAAGACCTCCAGATCCAGTTTGGACAATTTGGAGTCTTGGACTGCTCATTCTACTAGTTCGGGCTGGACGTGCGGTGGAGTGTGGAGTTGGACTGGGTATGAAAGGCCTTTCTCCCCCGTCATTGGGAACCGCTCGGACATGACAAACGTAGAATTTGTATGAAGGTGGCTTGGTATACTTTATTAGTAGGGGACTAAGTTTGACGGCTTCGCTTTGGGCGCCGTGGGCTGTCGGATATCACCGACGCGGTAGGATTAGATACGGACATCTCTAGTAATTGTCGAGACACGACTTAAAACGCACCCACGCTCATCTTGGGTGTTCCCGCTCCCTTTCCGTTCCAGCGATGGCCCAGCACGGGTCAACGGCCGTTAGCGTGGCACGTCCTCAGGCTGGGTTCATCGGACTTTGGATGCCGGCCGCCCTCGCCGGCTAATTTGAATGAAGCAGGCACGTGGACGGAGATCCGAGGCGGTAAGTTTGATCCTTTCGCTGGTCCTCGTAAACGACTGACTGAGCACAACTTGGTGTCTGGATCTGTGTGCTAAGGACTGACAGGAACATACTGGAGGAGAGAAGCTATATCGCGCAGTATTTGATACTTGATGATAAAAACGAGGAGAGTCACGGTCGTCTTGCGAGCTGTTGCTCCATGGATAATTTCCTTTCTTTTTCTTTTTCTTTCTGAGCAAGTACTATATCCTGAACGATGTAGACCGCAATTCACCACCCACGTCGTCTCCAATGCCGCGTACAGAAGGAGACGAACCCCCATCGGCATGGATTTAGTATAGATAATAGGCCAAAATAGGCCCTCAACTCAATAAAGACAAGATGTCTCCAACGAGCAGATAGAATCTCATAAATTGCATTTTGGTCCGGCAAAGTTATCATCTGTAAATCCAAGCTTCGTGACAACGTCAGATTTCCATGATGTATGTTCGATGATCATGAACATTGCTCTCCGAAGCATGCAGATACAAGCATTTCCTATCGACTGGTTCAGATACAGATCATAGGAAAAATACCTGAACTAGCATCGTACCTGAACTAACATCACATCATAAATCCAATGAACCTCAATCTCATGAGCTACCCCTGGAAAAAAGCAGATAATCAAGCCTGACCCGGAAAAAAAAAAAGGGTTTAATTAGATACGAGGACATCCGATCATAGCTTGTTTGCTTTTATCAAGAGACGTGAGATGAGACGTCCGATGTTGACATGTTGCCCGCCTCCAATACACTCAAGGCGCACGGGGTCATTTTTGGAGTCAGTGGACTTACTCAATTTGAGCGTGAGTAAATTTGTAGCGAATCGCCGACATCTATATACCCGTCTCTGTGACACACTAGTCTCAGGAACCTGAAGTAGAAAGAAAACTGCGGGTGCCGATTCTGGGGACCGTGTAGTTGTACAACGTGAGATTGGTCTCCTGGACAAACATGTACAACGTGAGATTGGTCTCCTTGACAAACACACGGCTATCAGTCAGCGCATGAAACGTCATTCTTCTGCATGAGTCACTACTCAATCTCCAATCTCGTTGAAGGACTATTGCAACAATTGAAGAGCGATCCGGTCAAATTACAATCCGTGCCTCTTGCTCATAGACTGATACATCTCAACGGTCGCGATCAAGATGGAGTCCAGATAGTTACCAATATACAGGGCTACTGCTACAGGAAGGAGCATTCTGAACAGTGGTTTGTAGTATTCGACGTATCCTCCCTCTACCTAGTACCTACCAGGTCACTGCGAAGCCTTTTGGAGAGGCTGCTTACTGCAGGATAAGAATGGGACGTAGATGCCGAGCGTTCAAAGAAGAAGCTGAATGAGGATTGAGATTAACTATTGAAAAATTAAGTAACCTGCCTTTCCAAAGGCGAATCCACAATCCCCTCCAGAGCATCGCAAAAAAAAAAGAAAAAGGAAAAGAAACGGAGAAGCATCATCCATTCAGAACGTGTCTCCGAAACAAGTGGAAGATCATGTCTGACATGCAGTAGATGCATATCAGGACCTAAATGAGAGGATAAGTCATTGTCAGTCATGCCGTCATCCAGCGTGATGTGAAGAAAGCAAAGACAGTCAAAACTTACCAGGCAGTATCCCCACAACGACAGTCCAAGCCAGAGGGCCCTACCAACGAGATCGAAATGGCGGCCTATCAAACCGGGCCATCCTTCATTCAGCCACGTCCGCACGGTGAGGGTCTAAACGATAGCGATAAGAGTTAGTCAGCTTTTGTTATCGCGATCCGATAAGGCAAGCGTTAGGGTTTCCGTGGCCAGGAACATACCAAACGACCGAGCATCATCCTTCTTCTGCGGACGCCGCCAAGCATCATCCACTGCATCAGACCGGCAGCGGCGAGGATGGCGAACAAGACAACTCGCGTAAGTGGAAAGCGAGCGAGTTGTCTGCGGACAGGTCGGGGAAGGTGGTACCGGATCATTTCGATGATCACGCTGGCGCTGATCATTGCTCCCGCGAGTAACTGGGATCGTCGACGTAAACAGTCAGCCATGACATGTTCCTCATGAAGCATGACAAAGGAAAAAAGCAGGATGACTATGAAAAGATACATACCGTGAGCCGGGAGGACCACACAGAGACCGTCTCGGAGGAGGAAACAGACGCGCTTGTGCATGCCCGCAGGGCCCAAATCGCCGCAGCCCAGATGATGATCCCGGAGATGAAGCCGGTGCGTGCTGCAGTTACGCACACCCTGTACATGTCCAGTGGTGTGGCCAGGACTCGCAACCATACCATTCTTGCGAAACAAAAAAGGTATACTCGCAAAGACCAGATCCAGACCTGTCCATGAACAGCCGTGGAATGCGCACCCCGGACGTTCAAATCCGCCGTGCCAACCATGTGGCCCAACCACCCGAATCCACCCTGGCCGTTGAAAGCCCATGCCAGAAAGATGCTGATGAGAACATCTGTAAGCGCCGCCGTGGTGCTCCCAGAGTTCATCCAGTCGAAGAGTCTGGGGTGCACCGGTTGTTGGGGCGGGCTCAAGATGAACCAGGCGACCAGTGCCCACGCAGGATAGAACAGGCTACAACCACAGCTGTATCGGTAGCATGTGGTACTGTAAGCCTGCTCCTGGTCGTGGCAAGCGGGGAGAATGACCATCAAGGCCGTGAAGGCCCATACATGAACGATCTTCATGTAGAGCGACAGGAAGGTCAAACACCGGAGGGCGCTGGCCACGGCATCTCCGTTATTCGAGTCGGTGGGGGGGCGGGGGGCAACAGAGTCTGCCTGGCGTGGGCTCGACTCGGCATCTTCAGGACCCTCATGACGTTGGTCCTCTGTCTGATCTTCCGGCTTGTCTTCCGGAGTGTCCTTCGGGACGTCCTTCGGGGCATCTTTCCGTCCGCCCTTCCGGTTGCCCTTCTGCTTGGCGGGACCTCGGTGCTGACCACCACGCTTAGCCATCTTCTCAATTTCCAGTGGAAGAGAGATGACGGTGAGGTGACGATGAAGCGGTGGTGTCGGCGGCTTCGGTCTGAAGTGAGCGGCCGCGAGCGAGAAAGAGACCGACGGCACAGAGGATGAGACCGACGACGCAGGACGAGAGAGCGACGGCACAGAGGATGAGACCGACGACGCAGAGGAAGAGAGCGAAGTCAAAGGCGAAGGCAAAGGCAGCAAGAGCGAGGCAGATGCAAAGGCAAAGGCAGCAAGAGCGAGGCAGAGGCAAGGACAGAAGCAGAGACAGTTCTGTTGATGCAGGGGAGGATGAAGAATAAAGAGAGAGGATAGAGGGAAGGGATGAGAGGAGGGGTTTTTATAATGGTGAGGACACACAAACTCGCTGACTCGGCGGCCACGTCGAACTTGGGAGAACCAACCAGAGTCAAGGACTCTTCGCTGGCTCGGCGACGATATCATACTCTCCTAGGCCGCCATCGCACTTGAGAGAACTCACCAGATATGACCGTCCTTTAGCAGACTCGCTGAATCGGCGACGAGGTCATCCAAGGCCGTAATCGAATTTGAGGGACCTCACGAAGTTCGAGCGGAGGTCATCCAAGGCCACAACCGAGCTTGAGAGGACTCTCGAAGTTCGAGCGGAGGTCATTCAATGCCATAATCGAACTATGCAGTCTACGAGTATCAACGACAAGCTTCCAATAAACTCGTTGAGTCCGCGACGAGGTCATCCCAGGCCGTATTCATACTTGAAAGAATCAACAAAGGCCGAGTATCTTCTACTAAACTGGCTGAGTCGACCACAAGGTCGTACACCGAGTGACCGGAACCAAACTCAAGAGCACTAACGAGATTCGAGCATAGGTCACCCCAGCCCACAACCGAACATGGCGAAATCTACGAGCACTAATATTCTTTTTGCCAGACTCGCTGAATCGGCGGCGAGGGCATACTAAGCTGCAATTGAGCTTGAAAGAACGATCGACGTCTGAAGGTCTTGCAACGAAACAACCTCGATGAGTCGGGGACGGGGGCATCCGAGGCTACCATCGGAGTTGAGAGAATCAACGAGGGTCAATCGTGCGCAGGTATAACTTGCTCACTTGGAGACGGTCACGCCATTAATGAATACGAGAGAACCATCATGGACCAAGTAACGAGACTGGCGTGAGATTTCTGCAGACCACGACCCGTCTCGTTATCAACCGCATCTTCCGAAGACACATTCTCATTTGGGAGGCTTTCCACAACGCTTGGACAGAAATTGCCAAGTGTATATGACTCCGCAGGACTACTGGCCGCAGTATGAAACTACCTCCCTACACTATCATAAATGAAGATCTTCTCCGCATGTCCATCAGATAAATTGAATTTCTAACATCTCACCCGCACCATCCACGAAGATGTACATTCATTGAGGACCAAGCGCCTACTACACATGGCTCCGCTGAGCACTCAGCAAGACATGGCGGGCTATTAGCGTGACAACGAGTTACCCAATGAACACCATCTGCATCGGACTATTCAATCCCCGCCATATCCCATCTTTGTATCATTAACATGCGCCATTGGAGCGTGTACTCTGCAAAATCTCACAAAAAGCAAGCCTCACATCACTCAACGGTCTCGGGGGCTCCTGGTTCGGATTATTACAAGCTACCAGGGATAGTGACCGCGACATATCAGATGAGTACCATGCCGCGGCGGGTGCAGCCGCAAGAACGAATGTACGTGCCGGATCAGCAAATGTACAGAGAAGAAGAACGTAGACTGAGAAGACGTTTAGCCACCCGTATGAGGGTATTTCATGATATGATGATGTGATGATGTGTGAGTGCTGTGGAGACCTCTGATAAGACCGCTTTGAAAGGGGACTGTCTTTTACCTGTGGGTGTCTGAATGGTTTTGATATCGATCTTGATCTTGATCTGGATAGGGCTAGTACGCAAGGCGGTAGACGGAAGACGCAAGACGGATAAGACTGTCTATGCGTGACAGCGCATACATCCCATGATCCCACACCTGAGATATACTTGCACTTGTACTTGTAGCACACGCAGACAGGGCAGTACATCAACACCAGCATGAAACGTCCACAAAGGAAAAACCAAACATTTTCTACGACATTGAGGTCAGATCAAGATCCATTCAAGACTACCATACATAATTCAGTATGATTCAATCTGTCTCCATCTCTTATATGTAAAAGCAGATGATGGATAGAGACGATACGGCCTGGACTAGGCGTTCCGTGGCAGTTGTCATGAATAGCTGGGAGAATACAAGTTCCACAACTTCTGCGGTTAAACGGTCAGGGTCGAGAGTTGAGATCGAATGAACATTGAGAGATGAATGAACTAGTGTGTCGAGATGGACATATCTCAGATGATATTCCACGATGGATGACATCCATACTGAACAGTCCAAGGTCTACTGTCCATCTCTATGGATCCAAATTCAAATTCCGAAATTTCATGCCCATAAAAGGACAAACAAATCAATCATTCAGCATTAAAACTTTCTATTTGTACAGAAACCGCTCTCTATGCTTACAGCCCATCATAAAACACAGCTCAGTCACACCAAATTTATTTGTTGGCAGGAGAGTCCTTGGAGATCAAGGGGTCGGCATTGGGGTTCTTGGTGTCACCCTCGAGGATATCGGCAGGAGGATCTAGTAGAAGAATAAAAGCAGAATGTCAGTCATATGATTCAAGAGAGGGATGAAAACAAAAGGGTTGGTGGGCATGAAGGCATCTGCGACTGTGGGGGGGTTTAACTCACCGACGCGAGAAAAGTGCTTGCGCTCCTGGCTATCCAGCTCTTTCACACGACCGTTCTGAACCTCCTCACGGGTCAAGGTCAAGAGGCTCTTGGGCAAACCCATGGAGGACAGGAAAGAGACCGACTCCTTCCACTCAACCTCCTTGCGCTTGTTGGACCACTTGAGCTCGTCGCCCATCAAGTCAATGACGCTGGGGAGAGCCTCCAGGGCCGCCTCGGCGTTGAGGAAGGCCAGGCGGGTACGGCGAGCAATCACATCGACGGCAGTCTGGGCGTACTCGTGGCGGACGGCGTAACGGACCTCACCATCAACGAAGGGATACAGGGCTGAGATACGGCATCCACGGACGGGGTAGCGGGCGCCGGTGGGCGAGGACAAGGCAGCCACTTGCCAAGCGCGGTCACCGTAAGAGGTGCACAGGTGCTTGGCAACATCGGTTTCCAACCCAAAGTGTTGGATCAGATTGATGAAGAGAGTCTGGGAGAAACCGTGGGCACCGATCAGGCGCACCTGGTGGGTCTGGCAGCTGCCGTCCAGGGTAGCACCGTCGGCCACGAGACCACTACCACCAGCACCACTGATGTCGGGCATGTTGTGCAACTCGCGAGGCTTCAGGTGGAAGGCCTCGATCGCCTCATCAACCGCCTCCTCGGCCATCTGACGGTAGGTTGTCCACTTGCCACCGGCACAGGTCAACAGACCGGAAGGCGACACGCTGATCAAGTGGTTCCGGACAAGAGCCTGGGAGGAGCTCTTGGCGGGGTCACGGACCAGAGGTCGGATACCAGACCACGCGGCCAACACGTCCTTGCGGTCCACGGTGATGTCGGGAGCAAAGTAACCGCGGATCTCGTTCAAGATCCACTGGATGTCCTTCTCGGAGGGCTCGGGCTGGTAGGTGATCTCGGTTGGGGCGTCGGTGGTACCGGCGATGGTGTTACCCTGCCAGGGCAAGAAGAAGATGACACGGCCATCGGACGTGGAGGGATCAATCAGACCCATGTTGGAGGGGCTGAAGTAACCAGGAAGGATGATGTGAACGCCGGAGCTGGGAGCGACGATTTCCTGGGTGCTGGGCTCATCCATCTTGCGGATGGAGTCGGTGAAGGGTCCGGTCGCGTTGATGATACCCTTGGCGCGAATCTTGAACTCCTCGGCTTGCTCACCGTCCTTGCCGGGAATCACGTCCCGCAGGATAGCACCGTTCAACTTGCCATCGGTATCCTTGGTCAGACCGGTGACCTCCATGTGGTTGACCACGGTACTACCGTAGAGAGCGGCGGTCATGGCTAGGGAGACGTTCATGCGCGAGTCGTTGTGGGCGCCATCTATCGAAGACAGAAAAAGAACGTGTGTCAGCTCGGTCGGATGGTTGAACAATCATCCATCAAAGAATAGGAAATTTCTTGCACATACCGTAGTAGACCATAGCACCAACCACATCGTCACGCTTCAACATGGGGAAGGCATCGATCGCCTTGCTCTTGGTGAGGAAGTAGGAGCTCTCAATGCCCTCGGATCCAGCCAGAAGGTCATACGCCTTGCAACCACCCCAGAAGTAGGGAATCTGCCACCACTTCTGGACGGGCACCATAATGGGCAGCCATTGGGAGAGATGCGGGGCGGTGTTCAAAAAGTACTTGCGCTCACGCAGCGCCTCTTTGACCAGCGCGTACCTGCGATGACATCATCGGTCAGAAATTGCCTTGACACGGAACGGTTTTGTTTTTCGCCCGCAATTTCTTTCCAATTACATAAACACATAAATTGGAATGAGAAACAGTGGGAAAGAGATGGGAAAGGGAAGTGAGAATAAAAAAATCGAGGGGAAGAGAGGTCCAACTCACTGGTTGTAGTCCAATTCCCAAAAGGCCTTCTCCAGGTAGCGCACGCCACCGTGGACCAGCTTGGTACTCTTACTACTCGTCCCGGCGCTGAAATCGTCGCGCTCGACGACCGCCACCCGCAGGCCACGGGTGGCCGCGTCCAGCGCAATCCCAGAGCCCGTCGCACCACCACCAATGACCAGGAGATCATACGGCTCCTCGGTCTGGCTTCGCTTCAGATCTTTGATCTGATCAATGCGACCCTTGATGGACGGGAAACTGGGCGGGACGAGCTTTCCCTCGTGGTAACCCGGTGGAGGGACGGCGGGGGCTTCCAAGCCCGGAATGTTGCGAGGACGGTAGGAGATGTACAACACTCCCGCACCGGCAGCCGCGGCCGCGGAAGTGTAGAGGAGTGGTCGCAGAAGCTTTCGTGAGTGACGGGCGGCCATTATGTGAGGATGGGACGCAGGGACGTCCTATGGGTGAGAGGGGGATGAAAGAGGATGAAAGAGAAGAAGAGGAAGAAGCTTAAGAAGAGTCTCTTGGATGAGAAGGATCTCAGGATGTGTGATCACTGAGATCTTTGCGCCGACGCTGGAAAAAGGGCGAGTGGGGGCGTGAGAGATGACTCCGACGCTCAATTTGGGGAGGGGGGGGGGGGGGGGGGGGGGGGTTGTGACCTGGGGAAAGTGAAGTGAGGGAAGGAGCAGAGGTGAAAGATCAGTGAGCAGACAATGATTTCAGATGGCGGAGAGTCCGGAGATGGACTGGAAGGCGGGCGTGGTGGGGAAAGTGTGGACAAGCCTTAAGAGAGGAAGAGGAGAGAGGAAGAGGAAGGGGAAAGAGAGGATGAAAAGTCAAGATCGAAGGTTCGGGGCAGACCAGAGTGATGAAGAAGGAGGAACTTCGGGCGACGATGGAGGAATATACTCTCGGCGAGGCAGAGGAATGATGTAGTGGAAAAAGTTGCAGACAACGAGGAGAAAATATGCCGGAGGGAATTGAGAGCGATGATCTTACCAACAATGCAGCAAAGGAGATCAAGTTCTGCGACTCGTTTACCCACGTCTGGGCTACTCGTGGGTATCTCGGGTACGTCTCCGTACAAATCGGCCATGCAGAAAAAGCTTCCCGGCGCGAAGGAGCGTTGAGTCAAGCCGCCGATGGAGGCAGGAATTCCGGGGCAAGGGGCCAGGTCCCGAGGCGAGTCCCTCACAGTAACTTCACAGGCGAACAGGTACTTCCGGCAGTGGTACAGAGGTCCTACCAGGCCCGTGGAGACCGCCCACGGAATCGGAATACCTTCCCAGTTTTGGTTCGTGGCTTTTTCGCCTCTCGACCCTGTGGAACGACAGTGGAAGCTGGTCCGGGGGCAGAATCGGTCGACGGCAAAGACACGCTGCTGGTTCTCGTTTGCCGCGTTTCCTGGTTGAAGCCGGTAACATGTGACCCGCGAGTGGGTTATACCCACGTCATGCCGCATTCATCAAGTGTGCAGCCCCAGGGGTTGTATGAGTCTCAGAGTCACAGGTACTCCACCACTGTAGTTGTGTTTCCCCCCATAGGGATGTAACTGTACTTCTACTGGATAGCTTGGGGCCAGTCTGACCCTGTTGCAGTGGGCAGTGGGCAGTGGGCAGTGGGCACTCCGCTCTACTTCTACAACCAGCCTCATCTTGATTCCGGAGACCCCTCCAGGCCATCCTCTCGGGTCACCACCCACGCTCTCTTGATGTGTGCTTTCCGCCTGTCATACTGCTTCCGATTCAATTGATGGATCTTCCAAGACGCAGTATGTGTTACGTCGTCGTAACCTTTTACACCTTTTGCAGCCATAACGGATGCCACATTGGCGCTATTCTCCCACCAATCAGTGTTGGAGATCGGAGGGCATGTTCAATTCACTAGTTATGAAATGCCCCAACTCCACCGCCCATGGATGATCGATCGACTGCAGTTGTTACTGGTGACTCCGAGGACAGGAGTAGTGCCTGACTGCCTGGAACTGCCTATCTGGTCAGGCCGGAATCTGACTCCGATCGGCCTCCAGCAAGGGCCCGGATCTGAGAATGGAGATGGAGTGACAGGAGAGATCCAAAACATGGATCCTGATCAACGTCTTTCGGGAAGGAGAAGTGGAGTCTCCAGGGTTGCCATGTGACATGCAAATTTTTCACGGTGCATTCTTATAGATGCCACGCAAATGAAATCAATCTGGTAAGTGCGATACTACTAGTTAGGTAGATAATTGATGATAGCGTAGTGGGAATGACCTGGGTCCCTACGGCACTTCCAAGCGAAATCTCACGCACCATATCATCCAGGTACTCTGTAGTCTGTAGTCTGTAGTCTGTAGTCTGTAGTCTGTACTGGCAATTCGCCCTTATATTGTAAAGTTCCCTCCTGGCCCGATTCACCATGCGTGACTACTGTACGGTGTACATGGTACCTTCTCGGATCCCATGTTTTAGCGCCAAAGTCTGTACTCTATACTTTGTCCTCGAGTGGCATGGCAGTATGACTATGCGCTGTACCGCTTTCACTTCCACTTCCATCAAGCGAGGGGCAAAATGCTTCGGCATACCTGACCCCGGCAAGTGAGGACCATCCCTATCGGGTTCATGCACACTCGCGCGGCCAAATGAATCGTGGAATGAAAGCCGAAGTCTCGTCTGATGAATCGGGGGCCCGATTCATCTGCGTGACATGATCTACGAGTGTGGTGCAGCCACTTTGGCCGAGTTTCTGGGCTGTTGCGATCGTTTGTTTAGTGTTCCTGCGGCTCTGATGTTGAGGACTTTGCTGTCAGTGCAGTCGATCGTGACTCCGGAAGTGGTAGTTGGCGTGCGGAGAATGTAGTGTGTAATGTGCACTATGCTTCGAGAATTGGATTCCCACGTGGGATTCAACTCATGTCTTAAGTGCAATCGAGGTATAGAAGGAGGTTTTTATGCTGCCAGCCTGCCACAAGCCGGCATTGCACGCGTCTCACTACTTTCCTCTGGAATAAGTGAACCCGATCCCCACACCCTCATGTACATTGTACGTACTACATAGTATGTTAGTACATGTCTACTCAGTAACTGAATGATTCCCCTTCAAGGATTCAAAGTATCAGGTCACTTGGGCGACCCCAGCTCTCCAGAGTGCAACACTCCCATCCTACACTTCTCTTCCAAATCGACATTACCATCAATGTTGAATGTTGGGTGAAAGGATCCACCACAGCGGCCCCATCTTCCCGGTCCCAGCTCGACTCATCGAGGCACAAACAAGTCTGGGCCGCAATCAGATGTGGGTTTATCTGTTCATCATGTTGTCATCGACATGTTCGGAACCTGAGCTCTGGGATTTTTTTTTTTTGGTGGGGGTGAGATTCAGCCGCGGGTCGCTGCTGTCAGGGAATCGTCGATGTGCGTATGTCACGACGAGATTGTACAGTAGTACTAGCCTACTAGGCAACAATGATAAAGGCACATCAACGGTCGGACCCTGCAGGAGTTGGGCCCATGAAATACAGTGGAAAGGCAAGGTGTGGGCATGTGATGATGCTGGATATCCAGGAGACTCCCTGAAAAGTTCGACCGCTTTTATCAAAGCTCCTGCGATCGACAAGGCCTGGAGGCGCTAGATTCTCAACTCTGAGCGCCGAGTCTGGACCCGATTTATCATATGGAGTTGTCTATGCCTTGCAGCCTGCGGCATCAGATCACCCAACATGGTGAGACTCGTGGTAATGTATGACTCGCGAGCAACAACTCAAACAGCGGCACGCCATACATAGCAGCCTTCACGAGGCAACTCAATCGAAGCTGAACGCTCCTCCAATGATTTGTGAACAGCCGCGCACATGCACATGGAGCCCTCCAACAACAAAGATTCACAGACATTCAACCCTAAGACTGAAGACTCAAGACACGTCTGCCGATTCGATACGATAGTCTCGGCCGGCCCGGGGGCTCAGCCTCAAGCCTCCGGCCTGGGCTCATCTGGCCCGATCAAGCCGGAGACTGGAATGCCGGTGGACGAGAGCTGACTCTTCCTGTTATTCTCGTCCCTGAATAGAAGAAGAAAAAAAAAATAAAAAATTCAATGCGGCTGAATTATCCGGGCCGCCAGCTCGTACACATTAAGTTTTTAGTTCTGTGCCAGACTGCGAGTGTTGTGCTCGGCTCGTCTCGTCTCGTCTCGTCTCGTGTTTGCGGTGGGTCCTCGTCGGACACAATGACCTTCGGTAGCGGTCGTTGGCTGCAGTCGTTCGCGTTGATTCATAGGAGGCGGAGAAGCGTGAGAAGGCTGATGTCCATCTAGCCAGCCACTGCTTGAGGAAATGTGTAGAATAACGAGTGGGAAAAAAAGCGAACCCTGTGCGGTCAGAGCTGAAATGGCAGGGAGAGCCGCGTGCTTCGGACTGGCCAAAACGGTTTGGTGAGCTGAAGGAGCTGATAATACATGAAAAGGTAGGCCCACACTCTCCCCCACGAGCTCATGGGTCATGGGCCAGGGGCCATGGCTCCTCGGTCTCGATTGCTATGGCACGGAGTGGTTCCGGTCAATGCGATGGGGCACGAGCTGCAATACGAGTAGCTCATGACTCGCGCAACTTGGGGAGTTGAATTTCGAGACTGTCAAGTCCCAGAAAGTGAGAGATGAAGGGATACAAGATTTTTGTCAAGAGAACAAGCATGAACGATTCATTAGCAGTATTACTGTATTGTAACTTATACTCCACGACCTGATACTGTACTGAATGGTGAATAGCGAATACTGACTAGTCACTAGTAAACTACTACATACTAGACTTACTCGTATTACCGTACATTACTCATACTGAATCTTCAATCTACTAGTTTCCAGACTTACCGTATGTCTGCTCCTAGTGCAAAACGGATATTTTATATTGAAATTCAAGGTTGTAAGAGGATTCAAAACAACACTTTCGATCTATGGAACATCGTTTGAGACTCTAGCTAAACACGCTCCTTCTATTCTTATCATTGATCTGGGAAATTCCTTTCCTCGCCCTCCCACCGAAACTAATTATCCATGGCCATCCATCATATCTGTCTGTGGCTTAATCTGGTGATCTTTGTTCATCCCTAGAAGACAGGACCGTGACACGCCCAGCTGATAGGGATGGTCCCGTCATAAACATGCTATAACATATCACATCGCTACAAGCGGCAGCAGTCATGCCAGGATCTCGTATCCAGATCCAATATCATGAAAGGTTTGCAAGCTTACACACAATTACAGACATGGTCGCAGTCTATCCAAGAACAAAATAAAATTATGGGGGTAGTCCAGCACGCTATGGACGTAGGAAGTTGATATTCGATTCACTGGCCTTTTAGCACAGTCCTCAATTGAATGGAAGACTGATTATTCTGACTAGGAAATCAACTGGAAGGCTGATTATTCTGACTAGGTTGTCCGACGAGGGTTAATTCCACCCTAGCCGTCTGTTCTTACACTGCCATTGTGATGATGTCGTCTTTGTTTCCCTGTGTTTGATCTCCGTACGAAAACTCTGACCACGTGCATGAAATCGAGCTTGAATCGAAATACCTCGACAACTTCAGTGCTCGCTATCAACTTTTCAACGTGAAAGCATGTACTGTCTGTGACTCCGATCCTTCCCCATTCATTCTACTATATCTCCAAGTGTAAATCCGCTGCCAAGTCTTCCAAAGTTGAATTTTCTTTTCTCCATCTTTCCTGTACCGCGGGCAGTGGCAAAGTACTGAACTAAGCACGGCCACAGCGCACGTGGTGTAAGATATGCACTGTTGTACTAATCGGGCAAAGGCCAGCTTCGCCACCACCTTTCTGCACGAGCGTCGATCAGCTGCACGTAATCCGTCGATGCCACAGTTCCGTACCTTTGACTAGTTGTACCACTACCTTCACATTGGCATTTCAAAGGGCCACCATAACGCATAGGCTCGTATTCGCCGCTTTGGCATCTATGTAATGTGTTACCGTCGTTCATGCTCGGAGGAATTCTCGGTTGAGGGTATCGACGAAATGCTGTCGTTTGACGATGTTATTTGCGCCTTGATATCAGATTCAGGGTATTGTGCGCATTCAATGGCGATCCCCTGTGACTATCGCTCTCAATCAAGTGGCGAGGATCATGTCAATCTATCCGCTAGCCCTGTCACCTGTGCTGCGGACCACGACCTTACCCAGACAAAACATCACATGTCCCAAGTGGATCGGATGGCTAGGATGTCCCTACCTAGGTAGATCTTATAACCCCACGAGCAAACTCGGATGCGGACGCAAGCTCCATGGAGATTGGTGCAAGACTCACAGATTCCGTATTTGGTTCGAGTTTTCACCTGATGAGATACCTAGTACTTTATCCTTTCACTCGGACTTTCACTGGTCGTATTCCGTAGATATGGAGATGGGCACACTTTCGGCATGCATTTGGACGTTCGGGGCCGGTTTGCGCAAGCTTGGACGCACCAACGTCTAGGACTGGACTTTATTGATACTGGGGTGGCAATGGGATAGCAGCTTGCCCTCGGGTCTATTTACTCGTTAGTACAATCTCGACATGCGTGCACTTGGAGGGGCGATGAGGGGGCGTTAAGGTAGTTTTGAATCGCTTGATTGATATTTCGACGTGATTTCGATTTGTTTATTTCAAGTGTGATTCTTTGAGTCCGTGAGACTTGACTTGGAAAAACAAGGGTGGACTCGATCTGGAGGATCCAGAGGCTGTGCATTGCTTTCCTTTGGAGTGTATAACAGTACAGATGCATGTATAAATTAGCATATCGTAGTCCGGCACTGTATTTGTGTATGCGTCTCGATGAGACAGCTTTGGTATTGAGTGAATAACCGTATCATGACAGATTGTATATTGCAACTAGTACTAGCATGATAGCATGATATTATATAAAATATGTACGTTTCCATTACAGAGTACAGACTAGTACTACAGACTACAGAGTTGAGAGTATGGCGTTGCACTGTTGACTCATTGAGTCACGATCGTAGCAGTACACTAAAAAGTACACTAGGAGGTAGGAACGATTGTATCTCCGTCGTTCTCCGCTGATCCTGCATGACCTTTTCTTTTTCAGAGAAAGTGACTCGCGCACTGCAAGGGAATCATTAGCCACCCGCGGCCAGATCAGCACTAAAACGACAGCGCTACTCCGTCAATCACTACTAGTACCCGTGCTAGTGCTAACAGAGCCTGCGGACAATAAGACACTAAAATCCATTAAGCCTCGACCGAGTCAGAATCCATCGTATTGTGGTCTGCATCGGAGACTAGTCCTCTTTCATCCACATCAAATGGGGGGAGGGAACTCGATTTCGGACTCGGAGTTGAAGGGGCCGGAGAGAGTGGGGGTTGTCCACCTCCACGCGTGATGGAAAAGTCGAGACGGGGTACGAGTCATAAGGGTTGCTTTTTTTTTCTCTTTTTTCTTTTCTTTTACTTCTTCTTACTGCAGGTTGCACTGGCAATATACTCGTCCTCGTCGATGGTGTGCTGCGATTAAAAGTTCTCACCTGGCATGGGCCCCCGCCACCTCGGCCGCTCGGACCATGTCCGCATCGTGGATGCAGTGGATGCAGTGGATGCAGTGGATGCAGTGGATGCAGTGGATATAGTGGATGATAAGACTCGCTACATCGCACCCCAGTCAGGCAGGCACTCGGACAACTGAACATCTTCAATGAATAGTTTACATCGGTACCTATCAGTGTGGACTCACTGGGTTGTTGTGTGTACTGTGCAAGTGCATCCGTAGGACCTAAATCGGTGTCCATCGTGTGGGCGCCACGTTGCACGTAAAGTGATCATAGTGCGAATTACCACAATCAAAATCAACCGTTCTTCTATTCTCCATCTTGAACCCAGTCAAGACCCATCGACCGCCAGAATCACAGCGTACCGCAGAACTCACACCGAAACCCATAGTGTAAGGCAGTCGCGCATCACAGGTATCACCAACCCAGTTTGAAGGATCTGCTCGAAGGCTCTCTACGTCTGCCCACTTCACTATCTTCCAAGGCTCTGCGGAATCGCGAAGAACAAAAACACAATCATGCGGCCTGAGTCGGGTACAGATCTCTCTTCCTCCGTTCAATTCAATCTCATGCCAAAAAAGTTAAACTTTGACCTCAGCATCCCCTCGCCCCTGGTCCCTCGCCCCTCACCCCCCGTGGCTCCCCGGGGAGACCATCAAACTTCATATTAGACTTCATTCTCCCCGTGAGCAGAGCACAGACCTTTCACGTTCGATCCGGTATAGAGTTGGGTCCTTTGGGTTTTTGGCACGAGAAATTATCATGCAGGGGATTTGAACGAGATATTGACCTGCGATGCTGGAGCTTGTGCTTATCTGATCTGTGGCTTTTGTTCTACGAAGACATGACTGATCTCATTTGCATTCACTCGGTGTGGGAAGATTGCGCTGTTGTAGACTACAAAATAGTAGACAGTAGGCACGAGACACGAGACCGTGTACATAGCTAGTATATATGATAATTCAAATGCAAATTGTAGACTGTGCATGTCCCATAACTACACAAATACATATCTACAGACACATCCAGAAACACATGAACACTAGAAAATACAACTGCAATATCAACCATGCTCGATCTAGATCAAAAACTTAGACTTCAACCCATCCCCTGAAAAAAAACCCCCCCCACCTCCACACAGACAATAAGTACCTGAATCCATGATCCATGTCATATAGCACTCTCTCTCCATCCCTCGCTTCCTCCCGCTTCTCTGCCGTTGGAATCGAGTCGAGGCCGGTCTCCTCCATCTCTCCATCTCTCCATGGACATCTCCAATGTCCCGCCAGAGCAACCCCCACTCGACCCACGGGGCCCACTCCCTTGACCCTTATTCCTAGTCCTACACTTACAGTATGTAAATACTAGATACCGGTTCAAACCTCCAGCTCTACCGTGCGCCGGTGCGGTGCTCTTGGATCCTTTTTCCTATTTTGGACTTGCTGCCCGGGAAATAGAGTGGGGACTGGGTAGTGGAGCTACACTTTACACCTGTACAGTAGTACTAGAGAGTGGAAAGTCAAAGTGGGGGGAGTGTGGAGTCAAGTCCGGGAGTTTGATTTTTGGGTTGGGTTGGGTTGGGTTGGGCATGGGAAAGGAAAGGAAATGGAGATGAAAATAGAAAGGGAAGGGTTATTTGGGATCAAGTGAGAGATAGAAGAGGAACAGAAGAGAAATGAAGAGGAGGAAAAAACCTTTCGTTCACATTGTATTATAGATAGGAAGATGGCCGAGTGTCGTTTCTGTTTCTCCGAGTCCGAGGCGGGATCCGAGGGCCGAGAGTGAGATGCCCGTTTAGTTGTGGCGGATGGCTGGAGGATTGTTGAATTGATGAGATGGCCGCGTGGTGCAAGCGGTCCCCTATTACTTGATGCTTTGTCGGACCCGATCGTGCTACATGTCCGTACTCCAGGTCCACGTCCACGTCCATGGACTAAGTAAGGTACCCAAATCACTCCAACACTGACCGTGCCACAACCAAGTGTGGGCGAATGCAAGAGGCCAGTCTTGGCTCGAGTGAAGAAAAGTTTGTTCTCTCCAAATCGACATCCCCTTTGGAATTCTCGTCTGAGGAGATAGGGAATGGGGTCCCGGAAGAGCGTGATCGTGGTGTTCATATACTTATGTTATGGAGTTCTCTTTTTTTTTTTTTTTTTGAAAATTTTGTGGACTCGGATGCGAGCCAGTGTAATATCAGAGACATGAGTTTCCGGTGTGATTCTAGATCTATAGATCTCGTGATACGAGTGCTCTCAACACTGTACAGTACAGTCTAGTGAGCTTGAGGGCTCTGACAGTGTGAGTCATTGTTATCGGATCGGGGTACGATGTCGGATGACTCAAGCTTACTACCGCTTACTCTCGGATGAAATGATCAGTAGATCTTAGAGGAAATGCAGTTTCGAAAGGGCATGTATAATGTTATGGCAAGTCATGGCCAAGAGGAAGAAAGGTGAGATATTGAAGTGGGTTGGTTCATTTCATAGTTGTTCAATTTCCCCGGGATAGATAGGCTTCTTGTCGAGACTGTTCATGTTTCATCCCTTTGCGTTCCTCCCACATGAGTTCAGAAAGTTTCCAGTATAAATAATCTACATTCTGCATTGTCCGGCCAGGCAAATTCACGCAAGAACCGAGTCCAACCGAGTTTGAGCAAAGAAAGAGAAAAGAGAAAAAAAAATCAAGAAAGAAATGTCGACCGATGACGGAGCGAGGACAATAATAGCGACAAGACCTGACGATTGGAGTTGTTCGGTTTTCTCCACAAAGGTCAGCGCCATCACATGAGTCATTCTCTCGGTTCCCCACCCAAAGAGAAACGAAACATAAAAACGATATTCAGTGATGATGAGGTAGTAGTATGACATTCTGATATTGATGATAAAGTGTGCTTTCGAGGCCCGTGTGTTTGCGGTGATTTCAAAAAAGTAGACAAAAATAATAGGTCCATGATTATCACAAGTGAAGAGAAGAGGTATAATGGCAAAAACTCCCGGTGATGCGTCACAAGATAGAACGTCGTTGGAAAGCGAAGCAAAAGAGGCAGAGGGGGTATAGTAATGATGAGAAACGCAGCAGTGACGAGACCGAGACCGAATTCAAATAATTTCAGAGGGTATTTTCATCGGGAAGGAGATTCGTGCTCCAAAAAGGACGGAGCAGGGCTCACGATCCATAAAAGATCCAAATTAGGGTCATTCATTGATGGTCAACCAAGTCGAAAAAGATCAAACGATTCGGTCCGCATGGAGGATGCCCAGTGCAAGTTTGATGATGTTGAGGTAATTTCTGTTCTCCATTTGTATGCATAAATTTTGATGTTTCGCGGTTCCGAGACAGATGAGAGGGTGGTCATAGTGCCCGAGCTTCACAAGTCGGATGATGATCAGGTTGTCGAGAGGAGCAGAGGCCGTGTTGATGGAAGTGGGTGAGTCGTAGGAGGAGGCGAGATAGTATATCGATGACGGTAGAGGTATGAGATGTCGGTCTCGAGAGACCGAACGAGAGACCAAAGGACGACGACGAGGTATGGGATGATACCCGGAAATATTAGAAACCCCCATCATGATGAAGCCATCCGTCGCTTCAAATCACGGACATGATCAAAGCTGCTGGCGTAGTCTCGCAATTCGTTTTGTAATTGTCCCGGCAGAGCGGTGGTGGAGGATTGACTTTGGAGCGAGGACAGAGACGTTTGCGAGGAAGATGCGGACAGACTGCGCCCCGGCCGAGTGTCCGTGGAGTCGACGGTGGACGATCGCGAATGCGACGAGGAGCCGCGAGAGGAAGAGGATGTTTTTGAGTCCGTGTTGGATGTGCGATCCATCTCGGCGAGCCGACAGGATTGTGTGCAGTAGGGACCGCCGGAGGTCTGGCGATCACAGACGAGGCAAAAGTCAAGAGACCACTCGGTCGACATGGTGATTGTGATTTCTGATGGAAGGATGAGGAGAGATATCGAGGGGAAGAAGAGATGATGTGTGGATGAGAGAGGGATATTCCAGAGACGAGTGATGAGTCAAGAGAAAATGGGGGAATAGAAAGTAACCTCGAGATCCCGGGGATGGAGCGAGATGAGGTGATATATAGTCTGGGGGGGGGGGGGGGGGGGGGGGGGTGGATAGAGAGGGGAGTGGGTCCACCGAGAGTATAGTTCACCAGCGGAGGAGAAGAATATGCAGCATGCAGGATGTCGACCGATCGACAAGACGGAGCAAAATAATGAAAAGCAGAAAAATGTGTATTGACAGAAATGGGAAGTCCCCAAAAAAGAGAGAGAAAAAAAAAGAATTGATAAACAACAGTGTGGCAGGCGTTGATGTTATCAAGTCTACCACGAATGACGAGGAATGTGCCAGTGCCAGGTGGGGGAGGAGCAAGAAGGAGTCCGTATGGAGAAAACAAGACGAAATGGGGGGGGGGGGAAGGAGAAACAGGCAATCTGAGAGAATTCGACACTCAACGACACGAGTGCAGCTGAGATGCAGCTGGAGGGAGCCTGCAGACCCGAGCGCCTCATGAGATCAATTGGATCCGGGCCCTGAAGGCTGAGCGGGAGCATGTAGAGTTTTTTTTGAGTTTTTGTCTTTTTTTTCTTCTCAATTTTTGTTTGAGAGTTGGATACTCACGGACGTGTACGGCAGACTTGGACAAGGTTCTGTCACTGTAAAGTGTAAGTTCGGGCACAGTACCACCACCACGACCGATTACTCTTCTCAGTGCTCAGCACCGTGGAGGGTTGACGGTGCGCTCATACAGCGCTAGACTGGTTTGAGGATAATGCAGGTGGTCCGAGTGTACAAAGTGGAGAGCTTCTGAAGCGCAGGTGCCAAGTTGGAGGGGAACAGTTGGGACATGGACCCACGAGTGGTCGATGAGGGGGGAAGAGTATCCACTTGGGTCATACACGGTAATCAGGCCACACTGGCGACTGGACGCACAGGCGGCAGTCGACAATGAACATACGATACGAAGAGCAAAGCGGTGGTGAAACCGTATCTTACCACGTTTAAATACTGTACCTTTACAGCCGCCTCATTTTCGTCCGAAGACTGGGGATGGATCTGCATTGTAATGTAAAGTATCAACCGAGTGAGCGATACACCCAAGCGGGCGATAGAGTCGCGTCAAAACGCGGCAAGACATTCAACCTGCCAACTTCAACCACCCACCATGCCTTCAAATCGGCAGGTAAGTTGCTCAAAGTTAGTGAAGCAAGAGAGTAGGCTTCTACTCACCGCTAGAGCCTACCAAGAGGACCAGATCTCATCGATTCGCACTGCTGCAAGGTGCTATCAAGTGCCGCATGCCACCTCAAGCAAGCGCCTTAAGGGTAGGCCCACGCGCGTTGATTTACGCGCAAACTCGCTCAAAATGACAGGAGAGTGCGCTTTGAAAATAGGCTCTCTCTCTCTTGACTCTCGCGGTGCTGCTCCTAGGCTTGATCAGTTACGCGATATAGCGAATCTACTGCTTGCGGCGTGTAGCCCGTCTACCGATCAGGGCCGCAGGAACGCCTACCACGCGCGCACCAAGGGGTCCGCAGAGGTGGAGTGGCTGTAGGGAGGTTGGCCATAAGGGTCATCGATTTCCCAATCGTCAAATGTAGATGATTCTAAATTTTGGTTGCGCAACTTGAATTCAAAGTTGATGCGTTGATGCAGCTGTATCGACCGCTTGGGTATATCGCTTACTCGGCTAACACGTTATCATGTATAACTAGATGCAGTGGGAATTTTGAAGACTTCAAACTCTAGTTTGATACTGTCCGGAGTATGGCTGTTCGGCCGAGTGAAGACGAAAGACAGGATATAATACACATCAAGACCAACTTGCATAGTTACTCCTGTCTGGCAGGTAGGAAAGAAGAACGCCCATGGTGAATGGTCCATACTCCATTCTAGACCCTGCCTGGACAAGGTACCATGGATATCATCTCAACGGTTGATCAAAAGTGGCAGGCAAGAGCCCTTACCCCTCGTGCCACTGCCTACCGCAGTCCTACATATGAGCATTCAAACTCTGATGTCTCATCATACGGTTCTTCATGGGACATCCTCGTGGGGTCGAATGTCCAAATGAATGGCTTGATTGTCACACCACTGCCCAGCAGAACAGGCGATACAGTATACAGAATACACTCAATACAGAATATGAAACTCCACATTACAGTAAGTACTAAAAACATAATACACCGCGGACAGCCACGATCCGAGACTAACCCCAACGGAGCCCAGGCAGGAGATCACCGCACGGATGATCTTCTGACCACTCCCTACGCCGCTAACGCGACCGTGCGGGCTTGACGGGTCTTGTCTGGGGGTGGCTGTGGATGTTGGGGATTGGGTTCCCGACCAGTGTGAAGTTGTGAACGGTGCGATGTAAATTTCTCTCAACGTGTTCAAAGTCAAAGCAGATGAGGAATGAGACCATCTCCCTGGCTGATGGTCTTATTCGACGAGTGTCAAATTGAGATTCGCTGATTATCGCCGGGATCGCGAATTCTGGGGGTGGATTGTGTCTCGTGAGGGAATTGGGATTATCGACTGGATTTCCGGGAGACAAGTGTGCCCGGTACCGAGTACCACTTCCAGTACTGCCTCTACCGAGTTTTACTTATAGAATGAGCCATTCACTGTACATGCTTGAGATGGCGAGACACGACTTGATCGCTCGTTCTGCTCATGAAGAGTCGCAGATACGCAAAGACACCAAAATTTCCTTGAATGGGCCATGCAGACTTCTAACGAGTGAGATAACAATGTAGTGTTGCAGCTGAGCACTCACGATGACAAATGAGGAGAAGAAAGATATTGTGTGGCTCGGGCGCTTAATGCGAAAAAGAAACGAGAAATGAGAGACAACCTTGAAAACTGGGAGGTGGAGACGGGCGGAAAAATCATCCCATCAATGGAAACCAGGCCGAGAGTGGAGGGTCTAGCTGGATACCAGGTAACTACAGTAGAAACGCGCCTTTACACAGCCTCTCAGCGATTAAAATTCTTATCGATGGACTACTACCCTGAATACCCTACATACTGTGACCCAGAAAGTTGTTGCTTGACATGATTGTCACCTGAATACCCCCAGTAATCTCTCGGAAGAGAAGAGAGGGGGGGATTTGGAACGAGGCAAAACACGTTTCAAGACTTGAAGTATCGAACCCACGCGTCCTGACCAGCCGTGCGGGCCGTTACCACATTCTTCGTATATGAAATTATGAACGAAACACGGGACACTCACGTGAAATCGAACTCGAATGCATCTCAGTGAGATCATTGAGATGATCTCCATCAGGCTACCACGAGAGGGGGTATTATTAGGCAATAGGCAGTGGCACTAGTCTTGAAGATAGGTACCTTGGTAGGAGTCAGACGAAGATGGCACTACATACCTTATTCCCTCCAGAAGGGCACCACTGAGAATAACTAGAACTAGCTCGACGGACAAGCGCAGGGCACATTGTTGACTTTTGATACTTGGCTCGCTTGATGAGTCGTCAAGGATGAGCCACTTTGATTCAATCCTCGATCAATGAAGAGAACGTGCAACTTGTTTAGATCCCCCTACCAGGCCTACGACGTCATGAAACCCGGTCATTGCGACTGAGCAGCCTGGAGCAACTGCTCGTCCGTCAGTCTGTAAGGAGAAATGCCGACCACCAAGAGGCAAGCATCTCGGAAACTTCCATTTCAAGCGGATCGACAGATCTCGATCGGTTTAGTGCACGTACAACATGGAAATCATGATTTTAATGCGGAGGGAGAGCGCAGGTCACACACGGAAAAGCAGCCTACCTGGTGTTCAATCGAGGCGACATGAGTCAGGTCGCAAAGTATGGTGCAGGTTAAGCGAGAGCTACGCAAGCGACGGAGTAGCCTCGTGAACGACCAGAAATTGCCTTTGGGGGGGGGGTCTTGCTGATCACTACTAGGGGGCGGGCACTAAGGTTACTTGCTCGACTTTGTTCCTGTATCGCTTAGATGCGTATCGCAAATTTAGATTATTGTGGGCTTCTTCTTCTTCTTCTCCTCCTCACTTTGGTTAGGTACCTAGGTTGTACTGTGTCCTCCAAGATAATAGTTAAAGTGGGGTCGCAGGCGTTAGGCCTGTTCTATCTTAGCGCTGTAGTTTCGGTCTTGTAATATAGGCTCTCTCTCTTCCAAATAGCGCAAGAAAGGGCGGAAACAGTACAGTATTATTTACGATCTGGTACTGGGACCCCACTTTGACTATTATCGTGGAGGGCAGAGGTACGGTAGGCCGGACCCTCAGTCCTTCCTTAGCGTGGGTCCAGTTCTGCATTCCGCACTGCGCACAGAGCGCCCAGCGCAGAATCCGGGGTAACTAGCCTCCATGACAGGCAACCATTCCGAGTCTCCTCGCCTTTCTTGTTACTCTTCGGCCGGTTTCCTGGTCTGTGTTCGCATCTTGCGCAATGTCCTCTGGTGGGGATCGAACACAATCAGACCATTAAATATGTGTTCGTTTTCAATGTCTGAGACTGTCGGCCATTTGTCATTCAGACAGAGCCCTTGCATTACATTATTTCCATAAAATCACGTCTTCAACTTCCAAAGATTCGGGGGCATTCTATCCGGTGCAAACATGGGCAGATCAATTACCTCACTCAAGCAACTAATTCGATGTCGTCGAACGTAGACTACGCCTGAAAATCACGCACATCTCATCGGATCTATTAATGATGTCAGTCTCTTAATCCCGCAGGAAAGAGAGGAAGATCAACAACTACGGTTGTGTCATTTTCCGAGGTCATTGCTCCCTCGATGGGAATCAGTTGAACGCCCTCGTGGTCGGCGCATAGAAAACAGGGTCAAGCGACCGACGTAGGTGAAAACATAATAGATTATCGTGCGGGCGTGTATTCCACCTTTGTCATTGAGCGCTGAGTTATTCCGTGAAAGACCACCGACACGAATCGTTTGACATGCCTTCCACCAGGTCCGTGTCAGTGGGAGCTTTTCAGAGTTCTTACTTATTTTTGGGTGCTCTTCGTATATATGACTTCGTAGATAATTTGTCTAGTCTTAGAAAGTTTTTATCTCGAGTTCATCATTCAATTACTAGTCCACTTCACCCCGACCATCTACTGGATCTCAATCCAGTGAGTCCACTGAGTCCAGTATTGTCCATGTTCAACTTGCTCTAATGAAGTACTGTACCAGTGTACCGTATGTATGTAATGTACTAGCCAATGCTAGAGCTTGAATGTATTGAGCCAATGAGCCATGGCCCATTCGTGACACCATTACAGTAACCTCATACAGTATCATACGCACATCACCCTCCCGCTTCTGTATGTATGTACCTCTTGCCTCTTCTCTCCCTGGAGTCCCTACCCAGACTAGACTAGGCGTGCATGAGCGAGTTTGACAGCCACCCGCTCGGGCACGATGCGACGGCCACCAACCGACGGAAAAAAAAAAGTGACTAAGCCCATAATCTACAGTGCCGCCGTGAGGAGTCTCCCCTTCCCTTTCTCATGCAGATGATAGCCTTGCCAATCGAGATGGATGCGAAACCCTCGTGGAGTGACGTATGTCTCCCTTTATATTGTTGAAATTCGTGGGGGTTGAAGGCTGAAGGCTAAGGATTGAGAATGATGAGAGGGGAGATTGAACTCTCGCACTTTTACTGAGGGTAATATACTGGCACGAGGCGATCAGAATCGAAAGTGTATCAGTGCTAAGCATCGAGATATGAAGGCGTGGATCAGCGGACTTGCGGAGATGATCGTACTGCTGACTCGGTGTTGGGTGTCTCTAGATGCCAGTAGTTGATTGTTTGTCTATTTCCATGGCAGATGGACAGATGTAGTAATAACAAGATTCATCCGCGGGAGATTCTCACCCGATCGTTCTAAGCCTGAGGTACTGGGAATGGGGGTGGAATAAGATTGGTAGCGATAGCGCTGCAGGTGGTGGATAACACAATCTTCGATGCGATGAGGATGCAAAGCGCCATATCAAGTAACTCTAACCTTTATAAGACGATGATCGTATAACGTCCCTCTGTGAGAGTCAGGGAGTTTGACCGAGGGTGTCATCGAGCCGAGATGGATACTGATGAGATACGAACAGATACCTAGTGTCAGGGATTACTTGTATGAAGGATGGAGGCACTCGTACCGTATAACATGTAAGTTACGAAGTTGGTAAGTCTTACCAACTTACTAACTAATTAACCATCACATTAATACATGCCCGCCTTATCCCTCTCTCAATTGCGACAGTGCAACACGACTAAATCGCCCAGACACTACCATTCCACCGTTCAAAGTACCAAGTAGATCAGTAGAGCAGTGACTCAATGAGTACTGAGAACAATGCAAAACCTGTCTTTGCCCACAACCCCGTGTAGTCACGTACAGCCCTCATTCAAGCGTCTGATCCGGACCCAGGACTCGTGATTAGCTATCAACCTAGCTGCCCGGGCGTCATGCGCCTGCAGGAACCCCGAACGGGTAAGTCTTCAACTCCCCCTGCAGCCTAGCACTGTAGACTGTAAAGTACCAGACTCTGAGTGTATCAGTGTAGTGTACACTATACCACAGTGTCGAGTGTCTACGAGTCCCAAGTTACTAGCCAGTAAACAGTACCACTAACTATACTCGCTCCACCGAGTATATAAGTCTTACTATTCACTATTCACAGCCTTGTACAAGGTTCACGGTGTCGGGGCGTCTTTAATCTCGTCAGTCGTGAGTGGTTACAGTAACAACGTGCGTCAGTCGTACAAGGTATCGTCCTCACGGCTATCGGTCACGAGCATCAGACGAGCTCCACTTCGAGTTCAAGGCTCGTCGCCTCTTCTCGTATCTCGTCCTTCTCCGACAACCCAAGACCACGGAGTTCTGATGTCTTAGATGGAAAATGCATAATCCTCACATTGTTGATTCCTTCGATAACAGTCTAGTACATTCAGACCCGGAAGACCGCCCAGCGCTCAGCAGTCAGCATTGGAGTCAGCACTCGAAAATCATCAGATCAAATCATCAAATCACGATACAAACACTTGAACACACCAATCTCTAAACAAATATCAAAGAACAGCCAACAAGAAGAAAACACGTCCAGAAAAGCCCCCGATGTTGAAAACGTATTCTGGCGACGAATCTCAGAACGCCTCCCTCGCTAGCCGATCATGGCCCATGTCCCAACGTTGCTCGCGGAGAATAGAGTCCGAGGGTCTGGAATGACACTCTGATTGCGTCGTTTGGCGTGCAGCGCGGCACGGTGCCTGATTCATGTGCACGTTGAGGATGGGTCGATGGGTCGGGGGCGTTCAGATTCACTTTAGGTTTGGGTACACTTGAAGTCATGGAGGTATTGTACCGGGCGGCGGGGTAACTTGGTAAGTGAGTCTTTCAAACATTCACATTGGTAGACAGAAATTGAAGGTACCTATACGAACTCGATCTGTTGAGACGCCTGCTGCCTGGTTGGACTGGTAGGAGATTACTAGGTTAGTAGGTAGTAGGTACTCGGTAGTTTGCTCGTTGCTATAATTAAGTGGGACTAAGCCTAGCCTAGGTCATCGAGGTCCAGATGCTCTAGGTCGATATCATGCATAACATATTGGTACTAATGGACAGCTCCAGCGGGAGGAATATTGAATCAGAGATCAGGGTAGGGGAGTCGAGGGAGAGATGAAACGCCCGACGCGCTGTCCCCGATCCCTGTCAGTGTCGGTGCATTGAGTTCTTTGGTAGACACTAGGCAGTTACACTGACGCAGCACCTGGACATTGGCGGGGAAAGCACGCTACTTGTGCTGGGCGCTCCACATTTCTACAGGACTTACTACCTAAGTCCTTACTCGGTTGAGTAGTAAACTGAGCAGTGACCAGAACATAGTTATAACTACGTGGCTTGATGGGTGTAGTATGCGAGCACCGTGCAATCAGGGGTAACGTTGATGAATGATTCCCATTCGAATACCCAATTCGCGATTACAAGACCGTCTCGACGGCGTAGGAATGCCCCAAAACGCTCTGCCGCATCATCCTCCTTCTATTCCTCTTCGCCTCGACAGCCCAACTCTGCCAACAATGTGTGCTCGGTCTTGAGACTCCCCGCTTTCCCGTCCGATTCCCAACCTCCCCTTTGGCACGGTAGAGACGTAGCCAGCCTAACGACTCAGGGACGCCACATCCACATGCACGGTTCCCCCTGGTCTACAGTATAAGAACGTTTGATAAGCTTGGCGTGCAACCGGCAGCAGTGCATTTGAACAGGAAATGGCGCTAGCGAGTCACGGGTGCATGACCAGCAAACCCACGCACCTCCCCCCCCCCCCTTCGTACGGGAAATTACAATCAACAACACGTTGTGGGATGGCGCATTCCTTTCGCGCGTGTTTCGGTTGGCAAAATGCGGGGAAATCCACCCTCCATCGTTGTATCGAGTAATGTGTTCAGGTGCTCGGGCCCCCCTTCACTGGACTATTCCTGATCAGGCCAAGGTCGTGGAAATGGCGTCCGCCACTTTACCCTGTTGAGGCAAGGACGCAGCTGCCAGATCTCATGCGAAAAGCGAAAGCTCTTCGCATCCACCTCCCTGGGCTTGCGTCGGCAGTCTTGCTCCGGCTGAGCCAACAGGGTCATCGCTTCCCACACTGGTTGCTCGTAATTGGACCGATGTTGAAGGACGCGAGGGAAGGTTCGTCCGGGTGATATGCAGCAGATGATCAGAGACCCCATTTCTCGATGCCAGATGACGAACAAAGATGGCCCGTTGCTTGGCGCGTGCAGGGGAAAAGAGGAGAAACTCAGACATGGCAAGATATAGAAACTGGGTGTATCTTGGGGGAGGCAAAGGCAGCGTGTGGTATAATCACGCTTATCGCACCTTCTCAAATTCACGAAACAGTCCTGCAGGAGAGATGATCCTGGGCGAGAAGACCAAGATCTTTGTTCCTCGGTTTCGGTTGGTCTCCTGCTCCTCAGTTCTCTGGGGTGCATAGATCAAAGTCGGAAGTCTACAACGGCGCTGCACTGGTTCACTCGCCAGTCTTGTCTCGGGATTCGGCCGGGATGCGAACAAGAGTTGACGGTAAGCGAGGTTCGCGCGAGGAATCTTCAGTCTCCGCGTGACCAGGATGCACGAGTCCGCTGGCTCGGGCTGTTCAAGGGTTGTTCCCACATTAGTCGAGGGTTTCACTGGTGCGATAAGAAGCCAGATCATGGCGCAGCCGATGGGCTGAAGAAAAGCTTACTGGAGGCTAAACTGATAGCACGTAACACATTTTCCCAATTGGCAAGCACGCATGCAACCGCTGGTGTCAAAAGAAGTTAGCTCACGGTTGCAGAAGACGAGAACGAGGGTCGATTTCCCCGAAAGATAAGGCAGATAGATAAGAAAGAATTGATACCTTCGGTGCCATCCTTTAATGTTCCAATCTTGCTTTCGAGCGCCTGCATTTGCATGGCCAAGGTGGCACTGAGATCCCGCAGCTGTCGCAGATTCTCCAGTTCGGCTTTTTTCGCGGCGATGCGCGCTGATAACGCGGACGAGGGTTGACTGGCCGGTTGACGAAGGCTCGAGCCGGGCAACATGGATGTCGGGCGTGATGAGTAGGCCATTGTCAAGAGGAGAGAAAGAAACTGGTCGGTCGGGCAATCACTGTAAGAGGTGACAAGGACACGGAGTAAATCGCAGTATGAGGTGTTGAGAGTGTGGACAGAGAGAGAGGTTGGCTGGCTCCAGAAGTGTGTTGATGTTGTGTTACCGCCAATCCGGCAATAAATCACTGACAAACATGATCTGCGCCCCTCCAAAAAGACATGCCAAATTGCTGGACCGGGCAAGGCAACGTGACAGCGGTCCCGGGAACTCTCACCCACTGATTGGTTCATATCCGCTGAGTCAGCGGCGACGGAAAACTAAACCCAAAGAAGACAAACGTCAACAGTCCTGTTTACCTTTGGGACCTTCATGTCAGCCCACTGACTGTTGTCCGGTTGGTCATCGCGACCGTCACTCTGAAATTGCGCTGCCGCACTGGCGACACAAGATGGCCAGACTCAATGACTATGCAGCTCCTGCAGAGTCAGTCGAAGCGCGTAAGTGTGATGTTTCTTCCCAATCACTTCCCTCTCCCCGAGGGTTCAACCGAGTCGATGACTGACGCGATCATGTCATGACCAGTGAAACGGCGCTTTGTCCGACAGAACCGCGATATCGTTCGAGTCAACTCCATGCAATCTCTCCGCATCCGCAGTCTCGAATCAGAGGTCTCGCATCTTCTGGCGGAAAACGTCACTCTACGCGAGCAAATCATCAATCTCACTCAAGAGATTGAACGCTACGAGTCGGCCAAGAAACTCAATGAGGGCATCTACGCTATCAAGGCACGACTGGATCGAAAGCTGGCCGAGATGAACGCCTTGACCTCAGAGCTGGGTATGCTGCCTCGTCGAGTGGGCCGATTGCCGGAGAGCAAATCTGAGAACGAACCCGATCGATCCAAAGGAACTGCGGCGGAGACAAGGCCACGAGCTGCGGATGGGGATGCGGATGCCAACGTGGCGGATGAAAATGGGAGACTTTCTCCCATTGTGGAAGACAAATACTATCCTCGGAAAACCTTGGAGTACGTGCTCTCCCCTTCCGTTGATTTGAGCATTTGCGAAAAAGAAGTTTCATGCCCCTGGGTAGAGGACTAACCTTCACAGGCAACAAGAAATCCGCGAACTCGTCCACAACGATGAGACTGACGAGAACCCTTCGAAACAAGATATACCCTCTGCGGACGAGGAAATGCATCATTCGGACCACGAACTCCATCATCCTGATAGTTCACCAATCACTCGTCAGACACAGGAGACGACCGATGCGACATCCCTCCCCCCAACCCTCGAAACCCGGAAAAAGAAAAAGAAGAAGAACGACTCGGTCAATTCGCTCTTCAAGCCACTGCAGGACGCCCGGTCAGAGGCCTCGATCACACTACCGCAGCCCGCAAAATCAGGGTCAAAGCGCAAGTTCAGCCCTGATGAAGACGGGTTTTTGTCCGAGGTCACCTCTGGTGATGATGAGTTCCAGTTCAGCCGGCCGAATAAGAGCCCCTCAAAGAAGGGCGACGTCTTTGGATTGACGAATTCAAGGTTGTCTCCGGTGAAAGTGGCCAATAGCGTGGAACCAGAAGCTGCTCCTGCTCCTGCGCCTGCGCCTGCGCCTGCTCTGCCAGTGATCTCGAGTCGCAAGGTCCTGGAGCCTAGTACGTGACTCTCTTCTTTACCGATCCTTCCCCACTTAAGTTCTTATCTTGATTCGATCTTGTTCTGTCTGCTAACCCGTTGAACAGAGTGCGCAAATGCCAACCTCAAATCTCCTCAAAAGGCCCGGAACTCTGTCAAAGCAGACAAACAGGTCGATCGCGTGCTGGCAAGATCCGGCGAGAACGAGAATACGTATTCTCCGCAAAAACCCAAGGTTCTAGATGTTGGCGAAGGAGAATACCTGAGTCACAAACCCCGGGTGATTCGCCTCGCCGGTATCTCCCAAAAGCCGAAGCGCTCTAGTCGAATCATCGAGCAGGAAGAGCCGAGCACGACTGAAACCCAAGCTCCCTCTGCGAGGGATTCGCCCCGAGTAAAGTCCGGAGAAGAAGCGTCAATTGCAGAAGGGGCTAACGCGTCCCGTCCATCACGGCGTCGTGGGACCGTCGTCAGCTACGCAGAGCCGAACTTGCGGGCGAAAATGCGGCGACCTTCTACAGGGTTCACGGATGCTGTGTCTGGAGCCGGTTCTCGTCGGTCGTCAAGTTTCCAATTCACCCAGACCGACGGCTCTGGTGAGGCCCATACCACGCAGTCTCGCGGCAGTCCCCAATCATCTTCAAAGGGAAACACGACGGGTGGCGAGTCCGGATCTCAAGATAGTTCCGATCTTCTGCAGGCAACCATCTCTCGGCGCCGGCGCAAGGTTTCTTCGGATGATTTGCTCGATTCAGCCCCCGCCGAAGCTTCGTCCAAAGAGAAAGACCAAGCTAGCGCTCTTAAAGAGAAGACCAGCGCAAGAGGCTTGTCGAGAAGACACTCCTCCAACATCAAGAGCGCGAGCGTCTCTCGCGATCCCTCGCGCCATGAGATGGACATGGTCAGTGATATGGATAGTAGCTTCGAGGCTGATGAATCTGCTTCTCGACGGGAGACGCGCATCGCTGCCCGGAGAAGAAGTATGATGGTTTGATTGGCTTGCTGGTTCAAAGGATCTGCGGCTTGAACTACATTGGGACCTGGGTGCATCCTCCAGGACAAGTTGGGTCGTGTGGATCGGCGTTGTTGACCTGTTCCTTCTCTTGTTCTTCTCGCTTCTTGCGCTTGCGTCTACTTTTGTTTTTAGCCAGCATCAGGCGCCGTTTTCTCGTACAGATACCCATTCTTTTGTGTTTTTCCATTGATTTTTCATCCTCGCTCATCATATATCGATTTGCGACAGATTTTTCTTTAAAAGAAAGAGTCACTTGGACTTTGGTGTTGCAATCGAACATGTTGGAAATTAAAAGATATGATTGGGCTCTATTCTTCAATGGAGAGAAGAAGGCTCCGGACCTGCAGCCTCGGCAGTTGGGCTGCCACGCTATTTATGCTATGCTATGTAATGCAATGCTAGTGTGTAAACCAAAAGAAGAATATTAATTAGGCAGCCAAATGGTTGATTGCCTCACTTTGCATGTCTGCATTGTTCTCATCCTTTTCCCCTCATTTCTTCTGAGAAGATGATCTCCGACCGCGTTCCAGCGTATCATGACAATCCACGTCACTCTCGTTAGCTGTGGAGCTGTTGCTTTTTTATCCATTTTCTCAGTTGCATGACTCGTCTCCGTATGCTTTGTGGTCAATCGAGTGTCGAGATTGGGATGCGATTCGCAATTCGCGGATTTCCTAGCGGTGACAGGAACTCATTCCAGTGTCGAGAATTTGTAATTGAGTTTCTTGGGATTCATGGCCGTGGCGCTTTCATTCTGCTTCTCTCATGTGTTGTACCTCTTTCCGCGCTTGACAGGGATATTTCCGGCTCGGGAAAAAGGAAAAGAAAAGTAAAGAGCATGGTGGTCACGATCGCTGCAAGAGACGCAGAATGTTGCATCAAGGTCCCAACACACACGCTTGCTGAATGCTCCACCCCATTTACATCCCCATCGAAGCGGAGAAGGAAAGCGGAGAATACTGTAGCTCGCCTCAAAAGGAAGATCGTTAATCAATACAGGAAGCGACAGAGTGAGGGTAAGAGGGTAATTTTATCGAGATCTCCTTGCTCGTCTGTTCCCTAGGGCATTAAACCCCGTTCCTCGATGCATAACAGGAAGAGGAACAGAACATATCCAGAATGTCCTCACTCATTCATGATTCTCGTGGTTGAGAGCTCTTCGACGGCCTCGGCATCTTTTCATACGCATTGGGGCTGGGCTTTCTCCTTGTGCGCTTGATCTTGCGTTTTGATGATGATGCTGATCCTGACGCTGCGTTACACGGGCCATCGTGACTGTGGTTGTGCTCGTGGCCGTGCTCATGGTCATGATCATGATCGTCATCTTCGCAAGGACTTCGTCCTCGCCGTCTTTGATTCGCACGGCGGGCCATGTCGTTCCGAGAGTCATAATCGCTGTCGGAGTCACTGTCTGAAGAGCTCGAGGAGGATTCTTCGGAACTGCTTTCGCCTACGGGGCGGGCTTTGTGAAAAATACAGCAGACTGATGGAGAGACGGTGGTCAGCAAGTGTATAGAATGCGCGCCGAGACGGAGATTGAAGGACATCTGCGTATGGATCCTGATGCGACACAGAGCTGCCCTTTCAAGTATCTTTGTTTCTTTTTTCTTTTTTTTTTTTTCCGATTGTGCTCGTTTTGGTATCTTTGCACTTTCATCTTCTCAATGTTCGTGGGAGAGGTGAGATTCTACCTTTTGAGCTTTTCTTGCCCATGCCCTCGTTGTCCACAACGTCTTCACTCCACCGAATTCGGCGAGATTGAGAGGGACCGGCGCCGTTCGTCGATGTGGAGGGGGATTCTTCGCCGCGCAGGCGGAGGGTGCCTGTGAGACGGAGGGTAGGTTGTCCATTGGACGTCTCGGTTGTAGATTGCGATGGTATATTGGCTGGATGGCGTGTTCGGGACATTTTAGATGTGATTATTCAAAGTCACCGAGAATTGGGAGGAGAAATTGTTCTGTGGGCGACGATGGCAGAAGGAGCGAAGTGTGTTGGAGAAGAGGGAAAAAAAGAGGGACAAAAGGGTGGAATGATGCAATTGATAAGATTGTCGGGGAAGAAGTGAGGAACGGGACCCGATTCACCGCCCGGCATGGGATCCTAAAAGTAACATCGGATCAGGTACACAGCGGTGGAATACACTGAGACACTTGCTGCTACGCGCAGGACCGGCACTGTAGTTATTCACTCTTTACTAGAAGTGACTTCAATTCTTGGATGTAAGCAATTAATCATCAGGGCCGAAATCATGTGTAGTGGGTTTGTCAAGCTCAAGTAATATCACATTCAATGCAGGTGAAGTTCTCCCACAGTTCCGTCAGACCATCGAGATTTATATTGCGTGGCGAAAGCCTAGAAACCCGACTGAAACACAACAGGAAGTGATCTCTCCTTCACCATCTAGCTACGGAACATTCAACTCAACGCACTCAGAGTAGCAACATGAAAACAGAAAACGGAATTGATTGATAGAAAGGATAAGAACCCAAGATCACTGAAGACAGGAAGATGGTTCCACCCAACCCGTGGGCTGATTCCCTGGCTGTCAGCTGACCTGCCAAGTCAGGTGCCCTTGCCTCCATCCAACTACCTAACTGTGGTCACAAAAACATATTTCCCACATGTACACGTCGAGGTATACATATTCAACAACCACCTTACCCTATGGAACCACGCGACGTGTAATATAATCAGACTAGATCCTTGCGTCCGTACCTAGTCCTACTACCTAGTGCTCTTGGCTAAAACTCCTCGCTGGAGACGATCATATATGTATCAGGATCGAGGGTAATCCTAAGCGAAAACCAAGAGCAAAACCGAGGTACGGGGGAAAAAAGAGGATAAAAAAGGATAAATTCAGACTGTTGATCAGATATTTACCGTGAATTAAGACCACCGGGCAACATGAGAGAGCACGGTGAGTGAGGTTTTATAATTGATTCTGTTTTTGTCTTCGCACCGAACCACACACGAGTAGAGAAAGACCAGGAAAGGCCACAAAGAACAAGTTCGAATCCTTTCAAGATATCCAACCCTGGGGTATTACGGGATGAATGTACCAAGTCCAAAAGCGGAGAGACGAGGGACACAAGGAAGGCACACATGGAAACAAAACAAACTTAAGTAAGAGAAAACGTGACAGAATACACACTTCCAAGTTTCCTACGCCGGGAGCAAGACCACAGGCCAAGGGGGGAAAGAAAGTCAAAAAGAAAGCACACAGGCTGGGCTTCTTCGTTGCAATGTGTGCGCACGGCTTTCTGAGCTTTGGACAGCAATGCGCCAGGTGGCGAGCGCGCTTCCAAATGCTTGTTGATGCCTCAGTCATTCAAATTTGATCTAAAGCTCGTAGAGAGACCAGCCATCGCCAAGACTATCATCCCTCGCACTTTCCGGACCTCCAGTCTTTCCCGCCGTGTCAACCGGGACCGATGGGGTGAATTCGGTGCGCAATTCTTGGTCCAGTCATAGCTCATCTTCCTGGTCCATTTCTGAAGGCTTCAACAAGCCTCCGACCTTCATGGCCCGGCTGCGCTCCGCCGCTTGTGCATCCCGAACAGCCTGCTCACGCTCCTCAGCATACAGATCAGCATTGTCGTCGGAGAACTCCTTGAGAGAGATCAAGAAGTCACGGAGGTGAGTCTTGAACTTGTTCAGATCATTGGTATAAGCGAAGAGGCCAAGGACGAATTGCTTGATCTGGGCTCTGTCGTAGTTGAAGAAAAAGAAAAATGTCAGCACCGAACAATAAAAGCGACGCGTGCGTTACAGGGGGACATGACATGAAGGAGAGAGGTTAGGGAACATGACTTACTCTTGCAAGTTCTTGAAAGCATTCTGGAGGAGGTTCGCAACGTATTCCTGCAAAAACTGCTTGTTCGACGTGCCGGCCGGAGCTTGTTCGGGGGAATAAATGGGCTCTTGGATCTTGCCAGTTTCGACGAACTCAAACATCCGTGACAATAGCATGGCTTGGGACTTGAAGCCAGCCTTGTGATCACTGTCGGTGAGGACGAAGAAGACATCCTGCAGAATCGGCAGATAGAATTGACGGAAGAAGATGCTCGAAGTCTGCGCATCCGCCTCGGCCATGTTGTTCATTAATTCAAAGCACATGGTGAGACCGGTACCCTCCACTTCGCGGTTGTCATGCTTGGAGGCCCACATGCACGAGTCGATGACAAACTTGAACTGTGTGCCATCGAGTTTGAGAAGAGCTGGGAAGCAATACAAGTTGATGGCCTGGAGAAGCTTGAAGAACTGCACCCGGTGTTCAGGGTACTCGTGGAAGTCCTTGTTGATCATCTCTAGGGTGCAGCTGAAGACACTGTCCATGATTGCGGGGATCTTGTCCTCCATTGATGTCTGCCAAGAAAAAATGTCAGCTCCAGTCTCATCGTAACCTCGTGTGGTCCAAGTGAGAAAGAGAGCGGTGAAGAGGGAAACTTACGTGAAGCTTGTGCACGATGGTCGTCATCACGTGTAGCACCTCAGCCTCTCGTGCATCAGGCACATTACGGTTGTAATCGATCAGAACCGCCTCGAGCAGGGGTGGGACCATATTCGTGTTGACCATGTCAACATCGTCGGACTTCTCCACATAGGTGTCGATCAACTTCAGGATCTCCTTCTTGATTGTGCGAAGACCGCGCACTTTGGGAGTCTTGGGCGCGATCGTGCCTAATGGTAGTCACGAATCTTGTCAGTATAACTCCATGAAAGTACGAACCAGAAAAACAAAATGGGGTGATTGTTAGATGAGACCCAAATACAGTAACACGTACCATCATTTGCCACTGCATCGTTAATCAGCTGGCTAGCAGCGCGGTACATGTTCAACATGTCGAGGTAGATGCGGCCAATCTGGGAGTAGAAGTAGGTGCCAATGGATGAGCAAGCCGCAACGTTGGTCTTCATAATGTTGCCAATGATCTTGATGGTGTTGCCATCCTGGAGAATGGCAGCGTTGAGATTGGCCTCTGCGATGATCTGATCCCAGGCCGAGTTGGGCAATGCCATCAAATTCTCGATTAGCCGGTCCTGGAGACCCTTTTGACCTTGCGCCGAGATCATGTAGCCACACGCCTCGTAGAAAGTGTGAATTTGCTGAGGCGACAAGTCCATGGTGATTTTCCGCATGTTGCGCACAATCTCCTCGATGAAGGGCTCATTCTCACCGGGCTGCAGCGCGACAAAGTGTCGCCGGCACTTGTTGGCAATCTTGATGAAGGTATCACACGCCATGTCCTGAACACCCTCGTGGGTTTCGTGCATGAACTCGAAGAGCTTGTTGACGACGGTCTTGAGGAACTTCCAGTGAGCCTTCAAGAATCGCGGGTACTGACCGACAATGTACATGATGTTACTGGCCACGACCGCCTTGTTGTCTTTGCCACGCTTCTGTTCCGTCAGACCGAGCAGATCCTTGATGACCGTAACTAGGAACCGCTTTTCCGTGTCCTCATTCATGGCGCCAGAGATAGAGCCAATGGCCCAGCAAAGAGTGTTGCAATTGGCCCAAGACCACTCAGTTCCGTCCACTTGCTTGGCCAACTTGTCGATCATGATGGTCTCGGTGTCCACCACGTCCAAGTGAGTGAGGTAGACAAGACATTCACGGATGGTCTTGTACAGCTGAATGGTGTCACTCTCTTTGACGAATTCGCGAACGATCTCGCCCTCCTCATTCTCCACGATCAATACCTCCTCAGGACGAACCATCTTCTCGATCATGACCGTGCGCAAGTTCGAAAGCACAGTCTCATACTTGTGCTTGCGAAGGGGGTAATTGGCAAGCGCACTGGGATGAGGGGCGCCGCCATTGGACATGCCGCTCACGCCCATCGTCACGAGCGGGTTCATGTCGGTAATGGGCAACTGCTGCATCTCCTCGTAGAGCTCCTGGACCAGGCGAGTCCAGTAATCCAGGCAAATCTTGAACACCTCACGGTCATCGATCTGACTGATTCGGATCAGGTAAAAGTGGGCATGCGTGAGGAAATCTTGATTGGGCAACTTCTCGATGAGCTGTTGGGGGGGAGGAGGAAAAACGGTCCCGTCAGCATACAACCTCGGAAATGACAAATTAAAGAAGAAAAAAATAAATCGAGCGACGGCTGATCGATATGATCGATGAGTTGTCTACCCATGCTTGACACTTACATCCAGGTGGGCACTGAAGAAGCTGGAGAGGAACAGAGCCAAATTGGCAACAAATTCCTGGTCGCGAGAATTGCTTCGAGCGTAAGTCTCCTTCAGATCCAGCGACAGAGGAATCACATTGGAGACGGTTGTCAGGGTCTCAGTGAACATGTGCACCAGTCTTTCGTCATAATTGTATGGAGCACCGATTTGCAAGCCACCAATCTCCGTAAGGCACTTGAGGGTCAGGTTTCGGAAGTCCGGCACGTCCAAGAACCGAGTGAGGAGTGTGTTGATGATGGGCGTTTCGAAAATGTAGCCCAAGGGAATCCAGTTCAGGAAACGGAGCAGGGTCTCGAGGGTTGCCTTGACAAGACTGGGCTGGGTGGCGGTACTGAGGACTTCGGAGCAGAGCTGGAAGATCGAGGAAAATTCCTGGGTCATGGAAGTCTTGAGGTTGCGAGCCTTGACGGACGTCATCTGGTCCTGTGAAAAATCAAAGACCTCCTCCGAGAGCAGACGGAGAATGGCCATGTTGTTCTCGCAGATCGACAAGCTCGCATGGCACGAGGAGACAATCTCATTGATAAAGGTTGGCCAGTTGTGTGGCCATTCCTGCTTCAGGATTGAAACCAAGACGAGGTTAAGTTTGTTCAAAAAGGTGCGTTCGGAGTGGAGTTTTTCTTCGGACCCGGAGCTCTCGATGATGAAATTGACAATGAAGTTTCGGATGCCTAGAGCACAGTCGTGGATCCAACGTCAGAATTGCCGTTGCCGTTACAACACAGGAGGAAGAAACAAGAGAGACCACGGCAAGTGGCGATGACGGTTGTCACACGGAACTTACCTTGACATTGGTCTCGAGGCAAGACCTTCCACCGGGTCATGATCACATCGTCAAGAACTTGCAGAGCGATGTCTAGACATTAGGGGAAAAAAGGAGATTCATTAGCACAAGCTTCCTTGTGGAATCAATGGGGGATCACGGTAAGTGGTCATCCCATTGAACAAGTTCAATTCGCATCCAACTCACATTTTGTTTGGGGGTATGTTGCCTCCTGGAGGATATTGCCCACGGTGACCCAAGCATCGGGATTTTGTTTGAACTAGGAATGAGATAGAAGTGAGCCACAGATCATGGACCGGGGATCCCGAAACATGAGCACTTGTCGCATCGTGATGTTCGTGGGAGAGGGGCACAGGGGAAAAAGCTTACCTCAGTCAAGGTCTGCTGAGCTTGTTTTTGCTGTTTGGAAAGCCGTGAGCTTCGGATTCGTCATTGACCAACAAGGAGCGACGTCTGCTTTCACAAGAAGTAGGTTAGGAGGGAGCAGTGGAAGACATGACGTACCACATCGCCTTTGCCTTCATAAAAGGCGCGGACAGTGTTGTCCAACTCTTGTACTGAGACCGACATGCCGGCGCAGAAATTGGCGCTTTCGCCCTCACGGAGTGGCCGTCACCGAGGCGTAGTGAAATGACAGGATTGGAACCCGAGCCAGAGGGCGAAGAGAGGGGTCAATCCAGAAAGCGGGGGGGGGGGAGGGGATTCCAGGTGGTGGACGGTGCGAGTCGAGAATTGAGCAAACTCCAAAGCGACACTAAAAGGATCAGCGCGATGAGGTTGTGAGGATTAGTGAAGGGTAAATGGCCAAACAGAGGTTGGAAGGTTCGATTGATGGGGTTGCTTGTCGACTGGTGGGGCACCGCGAAAGGGAACGAAGTGGAGGGGTCTTTGGGTGAGCCCAAACACCTGAGCTCTCGCTGTCTCTCTTCGGTCTTCACCACTTGACCGCCCACTACTTTAGGGGAACCCTCACTTAAGCAATCGCAATCGCGATTGCCAACTGCCAACCGCGACCGGGACCGGGACCGGGACTGGGACGTCGAGCCACGGGTTTCGGAGACACCGCGAGTTCAATGATGGAGAAAAGAACCTACGTACAGAAGCTTAGGACCAGACCGGAGATCGCGATCGAGCGAGAGACTAGCAGCGGATCGCTTTGTGGATTTGTGCAGGAAAAGAGAGGGGCAGCTCTCGTGGAAAAAGGGTCTGGAAGTGCTTCGAAGACCACAAACACTTTTTGTACTGGCGGTGAAGGCGCGTCAAGCTGAGCGGGAGAAGTTGACTTTGGGCTTGGTGAGCTTGTAAGACTAAGAACTGGCCAGCCCGACCGGGAGTAGACAGTAGTAGACAGTAGACAGTAGACACTTGACAAACTCACTACTGAACAGTAATGACTCTACTGAGTACCAGGAGTAGCAGTGGGTAGTAGTGGTGTGGCTTTACTGCCGTGCCTCGGCTGGCATAGCTCATAGCGAGTCTACTGCGACTAGCTTTTTTGAGTAATATAGCAGTGATTTGTCAGTGACAGAGGTTCGATGCGAGTCATGGTGGCAGCAGCTACTGGCTAGTCGATAGCTCCCTAGTAATACTAAGTACTAGACCTTGGAAACCATGCATTCCTCCGTTCGTAGCCAACGTCGATCAAAGATAATACTCAATACTGTGCCCTGAGGCCGTCGTATCCGTAATGAGGCGTGAGGCGTGAGGCGCCTTGCATGGCCACTAACAGAGCGGAAGAGTTTTGGAACGGGCGGCTGGTAAGCGATGACCAGTGGACCACAGTCCTGCGGTACCCGCAGGGCAAATGCTCATCCGCCGAGCAGGCGCCTACTTTAACCGGCCCAGGCGACCTACTAAGCAATTGTGAGCGGGCTGAGGTCGAGGGGCCGCCCTCACGTCAGGTCAGGCGGGACCCAAAGAGCTGAGTCAGCTCGACCTGTCACATGACCAAGTAAATCCCGTGACCTCGTAGAGAGATGAGGTCGTCTTAACAGGGGCAGTAAGAGGGCAAGCGGGATGGGCGACGAGGTCTTCATGATGAAAATTGTCGGTAGGGCTGATCTAGTCAATCTTGAAGTATGTAATTTTTTGAAACTCATCAAACTAGCAGTCATTTAGTCTTAACGTCTTCGCCGAAGGATTGTTGCAACTGCCGTCTCGTCTCGTGCTTGGAGTTGGTCCATCAACTCATGAATGGCGTGTGCCTGGTCGCGGGCGGGCGATCGTCTTGCAATCTGCATAGAGGAGCGTAATTGCTTTGCACTGTACAATGAGCATCTCGACTTTTCCACCTAGGACCTAGGAAGTGCAGTGTTTGGAGACACAATTACCGTGAATATGAGCGGATGAAAGTCCTGAGCACCGAATGGACTGCTAGTCATGATAGACACACAGTCCTCATTTTTGGAAATGCCCGCAAGCGCCCACGAGAGTTGGTCAATTGGTCGACTGGAGACAGATGTATCTAGGAGGGCGGAGAAATTGATCAGAGGTTGAATGTTGGAGTTGGAGAGATGAAAAGAGATCGAGGGGGAGAGAGAGCGATTGTTAACTTGGCAGTAATATAATGAGTATACTTAGTGAGTGACGAACTTAATCAGTTTCTTACTTAAGTGCCGTATGTCTTGCCTGCAAGCAAAGTAAAGTCACCCGACCGAACAGACTCAACCCGCCTACTTGCTGGTAATCCTACTGATTCTAGGTAACTAGGTAACTAACAATCCTGGGCTACACGACTGCGATGATTCAGAATGACTCCGAGTCCCCTACAGCCGTCGCAACATGACCGGACTAGGATCACCGCAGCGCGCGTAACTCCTTTCTCTCTCTTGTATTTTTTGCATCTGCGTCGAACTTGTCAACTTATCGAGGGCCGGGGGGGGATAAGGTGGCAGTGCCCGTTGGAAGTTACCACCTGCCAGCTAGAACCAACAGTATTTACTGTTGGGTGGATCAGATATCTATAGTTTACCTTAGTGTTCACCGTTCAACTCCTCCAGTACCTACCGTAGTCCCTGTAGGAGCCACTGAGCCAGAGTGTGTTGGAGTTCAACTTGGTGTTGAATAATCTTACTACACTAACTGCAGTAGTCATAGTCTCGTGGTCTAGGCCCACCGAGTCAGAGTACCACGTACCTAGCCAGAGGCCCCACCACCTGCAGCATTTCTCCCTGTACAAAGGGTACATCGAGGTACACCCGACACCTCGACACCGCGCAGGTCCGTCTTGGGCCAGTCATCCTCGACCGTTTGCCCTTTCGCTAGTGGAACACTTCCTGATCCCGGGGTCTCCACCCTCCTGCAGGCTCTCACTGCTCCTCCTGTCTGGGGCGTGACTCCTACCAAATAAGAAAGCCGAGCGCATCCAGGGTATTGGGGACATTCCGAAATGAACTGCCGATCCAGCCTGGCGGTATGATGGGATTATTTATTTTTTTGGGGGGTTCCTCCTTCTGATGAGGGGGTGGGCGCATAACTGTAAAGTGTAATAATTTGCTCAAAGGGCTTTCTTTCGTTATTTTTTCTTTCCTTCTTTTCGCTTTTTTTTGTCGTTGTTGTTCTTGACGTCTTTATGCAAGAGCCTTATTATTTTCGCAGTTTATCTATTTTCCGTCTGCTTTGTCGTTGCTGGGCTACTTGTTGTCCTCCCCCCCCCCCGTTGTCCTGGCCTGCGGTGCTCGAGTCCTTCACACATTCAATCACTGCATGACTCGAGATTGCAGTTCAGCGTTGTCAATTCCCCCAATGTCCCGCGCCTCATCTTGGCCCTGACCCATGGACCATGGATCATGCACCTTGTGATTGCCTCACCGTTTTCTTCGACTGGAGCAAATAGTAAATACCCCGTCGTCTTCAGAGATCTTCCTCCACCAGAGGGCCAGCGCAAGTGGGGCGCCAGCCGGAGAAAGAAAGTGGAACGGATCCCGTACCCGTCCGTCTTCGATCAGGATGCAACCCGACGCCAGGACTTGACTTTGCCCCGGGGGGGGATGGACGGGGGACAGCGGTTGGACCCGTTGGAGTGATGTGAGTGTACAGTACTGCGTTAAAGTTAGTTGGAAATGCTAGTAGGAAATGGTAGGTTGTGCCAATCTGGGAGAAGCACTATCGATGCAGAAGTGGCCATCAAGCAACATACTATTAGGACTGATCGCAGAATAATCAAAATCTACTTCATTACTGATCCATCGAGTCATGTTTATGGCTGAAGTATAAATGTACATATAAATATAAATGCAAAACTCGAATTGACATGTCTTCCAGTAGTCATAGTGAGCTCTCTTATCAACCAACCCACCACAGCACAGAAACGGATCGGCTCTGTGTTTCCGACTTTGACCTGCGATCTAACGGTTCCACGACAGTCGAACTACAGACAATTCCATGAAACGAACACAGAATGGACTCGGACCCGAGTGACAGAGACCATCAATATTCGAGGCGAATTGTGGATCCCGTCGCCGTCGAGTCTTCACGATGCACAAAGGCAAAAAAAGGATGAATTTTCACTCCTAGCCTTGACAATGGGCCGGGGTGGTTGATTAGTTAGGAACTTAGGAGTCGGACTAGGATGGTGTAGGAACAAGGGTTGGTGGTGGATCGGGGATACTGAGGATAGCGCGGTGGGAAAGCACAAAAGGGCCATGTGGGTGGCACAGTGTAGTCAGCGGACCGGGTACGCTAATCTACGAACACGCTACTGCATCAGTCGACAGTTCTACACTCTTTGACTCTGGAGAGCGAGAGGGACTTTCTCGCCCGAGAGGTTGCGTGGTGTATGGGTTCCTTGCCAGATGAGACAAACGGGATTGACGCAACGTCGCGCACATCACGGGTAGAATGGAGCGATCATCCATGATGATCCCGAGACCGGGAAGAGAGGCCGTCCTGCTGCGCAGAGGTACGGATGAAGCTTCAAGTATCTCACTCCTAGTGCTCCTGAAGGACTCGGGTCCTATGCAGGTGGCATAATCCCTACCAGTGAGTCAGTGACTAGTCAGTGGTCACTACTAATCTGGCGAGAACGAGAATATGACGTGACCATTCGGCGTTTCCTCTGATGAGCGTCTTGTGTGTGAGAAAGAGAGAGAGAGAGAGAGAGGGGTTCAGGACGAAAAAGTTTCACGGGGTGACGGGCTCACCATAAAGGACCCCCCACCTGGCCACACAAGTGTGATACTGACCTACCGTAAAGAGATGCATCGCCGTGATGCAGAAGATCAATGGAGCCACTAATTCATGCAGCAGAGGGCCAAGGAATGATGTCGAGGACAGGGGGGGGGGCCAAAGTAAGTACTCTGGGCAGGATAGTTGACTAGGTACTCACGAGTCACTCTACAGCCCGATGAAAAGCAGAGCTGGTAACGTGTGGTGGTCTGAGGGTTGGGGTTACATGGACGGATCGACTCCTCCCAGGGAACCACGGTTGAAGGAAGGGTAGATCCGCCGAGGGCGCTTTGGGGGAGGCGCGCGGGACCATGACTGGTTGGACCGGCACGGAGAGGAAACAGTCCTGACACTGGAAATTGTCCCCTTGTACAGTAGTGCGCCCTTTGCGCAGGAAGCGCATTCTCTTGGGGGTTAAGTCGAATAACGACTACGGTGCAGTCTCAGACGAGTCTACCCGATCTGCCTTGGTCAAATTGTGCGTCACACATCACACAGGTCTCCCGAAACTGGGATCTGGATCAGAGAGGGCCTGAGAGTCCGACGCAAGAGAGGCTCGAGAGCCCGAGACCCTTTGGGGAGAAGAGCCAGCTGATAAGCGATGCATAACCGCCCAACCCGCGCGGCGCCACTGTCCGCGTCACGCCCCACCGGCGCGGCGCGACTTGAGAGAGAAAATGGACCAAAAAGAAAAAGGGGAGCCTGGCGGGAAAGAATGGCCGCACAGCCGGACAGAGCAGATCTGCAGAGTATTCAGTATAGTAAAATACTGTACACTGTAGTGGACGTTCGCAGACTTTACAAGTGTATAGTAGTAGTGCGACAATCGAACCAGTTGCAACGATGGACTCTCCCGGGAGTCGAGGACGGCTAGTAGGAGCCTGTGACAATCGCTAGCGCAACCATCGCGGATTGTTCCACCTTGCTGGAAAGATTGGTCACAGTCCTGAGGTGTGAGCCTGCGAGGAACGGAGGATGAATGCCTTTACCCCGGCATTAACCGTCCTCGCCTTTTTGTCCTTTTCCCGTGACCTGATCCTGGAATAGACCGATCCTGAACAGAGAGAAAATGACCTCTTTGTTGGAAGTCACTGGATCAGTCAGCTCGCCGGGCAGAGCCAGAGCCATCCACGGCTGTGCTCGACACATGCTTGCCCCTGTCACTGATGATTGATCGTCGCTGGTGTCGCGGAACGGAATTATTTGACGGTCGAGGTCCTCCACGGATCATCCAGTCGGGAAGAGGGTAAAACGATCGAAGAACAGCAGAAAGGGTCGATGAACAGGACACATGTGTGCACTGTGGACTTCTCTATGAACATCCAGGTCGGAAAGGAAAACTGGCACGGCTCACTTTCACGAGGTAGTCGCACTGTAGTAGTCTCTCTCCGAGCCCCCCCAGAGGGCATGCATTCGCTGGTCCCACGGTGGTACCTGGAGTGACCGAGGGTACATTCAGTCCTCCAGAGAGCGCATGTCTCAGACCCGCGCGAGTTCCAGACGGGCGCGCTTCATTCATCCGATTGGCGGCCGCGGTGACGCCAGCCGTGCCGATCGCGCGCTAACTGGACGCGCCCTTTTCTCGGTTGATTCTGTGGGTGCGGCCGAAGGAGGTCCAGTCCATTTCCTGGTCTCGACGAAGTGGAGGAGGAGGAGGAGGAGGAGGAGGAGGTGGTGGTGGTGGTGGCAGGTGCGTCAATTATGCGGAAGATGCGCCTTAACGCGACGAGTGTTTCCGAGCGGGGGGGGAGGAGAAAAAGGAAGAGCGGCTGCAAAGTGCAAACGAGGTGATTTCATGAGATTCCGAGTTCGGTAATTTGGTGATTTCTCGTTCCTTCTGACCAGTACTTAAATTGTCATGCCGACACTTTGACTCGGAGTAGCGTTTGGAGTAAAGACGCTTGAAAGTGAGGACTGGATTGGAGGAAGAGTGTCACCGCGGGAGCTGATGATTGTCGTGATGATAGAATTTTAAACAAACCATATTTCGATCTCACAGTCGCTGAAGGGAAAGGCAACCGTCCACGTTGGGTAAGTCTCTCGAGGTACAATCGACAACTTGAAGCTTGTCAGAAGCTCGATTGAGGGGAGCTTCCTTCGTCCAGACTCCTTACCAACGGGTCATTGACTTGTACACAACACCGCGCTGTGACCTTCCTCCACTACTCAGGTGAGGTAGTCAAGAGGACTCACTCACTAGTAGCATGATCTCCAATCGATATCATTGCATACCACCCGACAAAAGATCGACTCTGTAACGGATTGCGACCTGCATCTCGCTGCCCTGGTCCCTTGACCAGCCCAAAATACCGTCGGTGACAAAACCATCCACCGTCGAGCCACTGAGAGGGATACACAGAGTCATAGACCCATCGGTATCTAGTACTGTATCGAGAATTCTTCTGGTAGAAACTTCAAAGTATCATGATTACAAAGAGGCTTTCCACAGTCCCGCCCATCCTGCAGGTCCGATTGATGGCCAGTTGGCCAGCGATCAAGTCTTGTGCAGCGAGGAAAAGAAGACCACTCGAAGACTCCAAGCGAGTATACTTAGTTTTGATCGCTGCCTCGGGACCGCAAGGAGTCAGCGTAAACCGTTTGGCCTCTGGACTCTTCAAGGACCTGAACCGCTCCGCATCTCGATCTTCTCGAAGCGGATGATGATCTCCTGGTCACTACTGCCCACTTATTGAGCGCGAGTTTCCATCGTCTCTCACACACACTCTCTCTCACACACGCACACATTCTCTCTCTCTCTCTCTCTCTCCCCTCTCCCTCTCCCCTTCTCCTTCTCTTTCTCTCTACTGTGCCCTCTCGCCCCCCTACTCTCTTCTCTGTCCGTCTCTTCCTTTTCCTCAATCCCACCATTCTTCTTCTTTTCCAATTCTTCTACCTTTTGCCTCTCACGAACCCACTAATTTCTTTCGGGTCCTTTCTCATACCTGCCTGCACCCACCCACCCTTTCGACCTAGTCCTACACAATTCCTTGCAGAAATTCAATTTACCGTTTTTGTTTTTCTCTTGGGGAGTGCGCTGCGTTCGAGAGTATTCAGCTCTGTTCGAGTCATCCTCGTCTGCGTCACCTGCGTCCTCTTGCATCACCTGCATCAAGTTCCGTCACCTCGACGCTTCTTCTCTGGCTAGGTCAAGTCCTCATCTTGTCGGGGTAAATCGCCCTGCTGTGCTCATTCTTTATCCTCCATCCATTGTCCAAGTCGGGCTCGGTCTACTTCTTTCAGTTCCTCCGGAGAAGAGATCTGTGACCATCGAGGTTCAGAGCCCAAAGACACCCCCTCTCTGCGCTTATCATCTTATCATTGTCGTGACCCGATCACTTCCAATCCGGTCCACTCTGTCGATTCCGTTGCAGGCGCTGTTTGCTGCATCAGGCAGCGCTTCCCGTCTTGCCAGCGATTCCTCAACGGGCCCCACCTTCAGGCGAGGTTACCGCGATCCCTCCATCTCCAAACGAAGCTGCTCCCTCCATCAGCAGCACATCTGGGCTACTCCCTCCCCACGAGACTTGTCTGGTTTGCACTGTGTGACACCACTCTTCGTGGTTCCTCAGCGCTCGCCTTGATTCACATCACGGATCGCCAAACTTGAATTCGTGTGGTTGTTGTGTGGTGTACGCCCACGGACTCTGAACATCGACTACGGCGCGGCGCTCCCCTTCCGCAGCGCGCTTTCGCCCTCTCCCACTTCTACCCGCCTCGGCAACTTTCCGCGAGTCTCGACTCTCGCGTCGCTCAGGCATCCTCCCTCCCCGAAATTTCCCCATCTGCGGCTGAGACTCTGGACTGGGGCTGCGCCTGCCACCTGGGACTGTGAGTAGTCGGGACCACCCCTGCAGGACCATCCCCCTCCTCCTCCGTCCCGCATGATTAGAGAAAACGGACTGGCCAGACAAGGTCCGTGATCAAGAATCTTTCTTGATAATTCTTTTGGTCGGAGACCTTATTTGTCCGCTCTGGTACTCTCAGATCGTCGACTCTGACCCCCACGTGTGTGTTGTCGTCGTCTATGAGAAGCGGCAATCCTTGGTGGGTTCCCACTTTGTCCATCTGCCTCTCGTGGTTTGGGTCGGCACTTTCTTGTCGTTGCACTCTCGGTGCCGTCAAAGACCGTGTCCGGAAGTGAATGTGCAGCGGGAAGCTCACCATTTGCCGGGTTCAAGATTGCTGGTCCCCAGTATTGTTTCAGAGTCTCCCGTGGGGGGAAGATACCCGCCGACACACCACGTTATTCTGCGACCCCGACCGAAGTGATGACCGCCATCGCGACCGGTCTCGTAATGAGTAACCATGACGCTGGATCAAACTCGCGACCGGATCACAGCCCATCACGTTTCACGGCTGTCAATGGCAGGGATCCGGCGCCATCGGCGGGGTCCGTGGGCCCAAATACCCTACCGTCCATGTCCATGAACCAGCCCGATCGCATGTCCACGCCGACCGTCGCATCCTCCAGCGAGCACGCGGAGCTATCGCGCGACGGGCCAGGTCTGCGGCACGAGATGTCCGGTGCTCCTTCGCAACGGACTTCACCATCCGGATCGAACAAGCACAAGCGTAAACGATCAGGGTCCGGCGACCAGGAAGCTCGACCGCCCGTGGAGCTGAGCTATCATTCTCATTCTTCCTCCCATCCTCACGCTCATCCTCACTCTCATCCTCATCCTGAATCTTCTCAACATCCCCATCAACAGCCTCACCATCACCTACACCACTACCATCACCAACACAATCAGCAAGAGCCACAGCAGCAGCAGCAGCCAACGCCGCACGTGAATCGAGGAACTCCTACCCACGCCGATGAGGTGTCTCCCCTCCATACCAATGGAAACGGCAACGGACCAGGATCAGTCTCGTCGGACATGGACTCCGTCAATGCGGTCGCAGCATCCGGTCATCGATCGGATACCAACGAAACATCACAGCCTCCATCCACGGGGCCCTGGCCGGACTACGATTCCCATCTGATAACACAGGCCCAACGGGCCCAGCAAATGGATCCCTCAGATGCGCATTTGGCAGACGCCCTGCAACGCGACGTACAGGCCTCAGAGCCATCCCGCAACGGAGCCAATGATCGACCAGGTCCCCTTCCCTCGAGTGGCCAGTCCGCCTCGTCGCCGAGCTATCTGTCTGACCGTGGCACCAATTCGGGTCAGGTCGCACCCAAGCGAAAGCGCGTCTTCAGCAATCGCACCAAGACGGGGTGCATGACCTGTCGACGCCGCAAAAGAAATGTGATGAACAACATCCAGCGTGTGAGTGGAATTCCCCCTTCAGCCTCAGTTTTTTCGTTCATCTCATCACAAGTGATTTGAATCATATTTATATGGCACCAGTGCAATCTTATGTGGGCTCGTCTGCGCTGTTTGGGCAAAGCGGCCTTCCCACCGTGTTTTTCTGTAGAGACCGCGGAAGTCTTCCGGCCTCCTAGTTCAATAATCTGTGAGCCATCGCTTGTACTGACTTTTTCTCTTCCTGCAGGTAATAACTGCATTCGGGGTGGCTTCTTGTGTGAGGGTTACACCTCGCGAAGCACGTGGCAGAAGCCATCGACAACCAAGACACCAGTCCCTCTCCAATCAAAGGAGGGATATTCAGAGCTCGGTGGACAATACCTCCCCGGACCAAGCGGGCACACGGAGCGGCCAAATCCGGGCCTGCCGGACCATCTCGATTCTCGCAAGATGAGACCTTTGGTCGAAGATAATGACCGTGTGGCCCCACCGTATAGCAGCAGCCCATCCAACAATTCTCCCAACCCCGTCCCCACGCACGCAGTGCCAACTTCCTCATCGTCGTCTTCCTGGTCGAAGCGCGCTTGGTCAGGCCCCGGTCATCCCGCCTACCCTCCCCCAGAACATCTCCCCAAGCCCGACTATCGAGAGGTGGCACCCATTCATGAGCTGCACCCACGCGAATCCCACTCAAAGCCTGATTATCCCATGGTGCCCCCAATCCGCGAGTTCACACATGCTCCTCCACCACCTCCACCTTCATCTAAACAGAGCAGTATGCCCCTTTTCCACACCACCACCCCTGAACAGCCGCGTCCCATGCCGCCGGCGCCGGCGCCCGCGTCAGTACCCACATCCATGCCTCCATCATCAATGGAGTCCAGCAGCCCGCAAACTCAAGCGCGAATGGCTTTGAAAATTGAGCATCAATTGTCAGCGCGCGCGATGGCTTCGGAAGAAACGGAAAAGGACAAGATGATGCGAGGTGACTTGTACCGCCCGTTCGATCTTCAGCTGGTGGAGGAGCGAGACCGATGCAAGCGTGCACTTTGGCGATTCAACAATGCCTGCAATCCTCACTTTGGTTTGAGCTCCAAAGAACAAAACCGGCTTTTAAAGGAGATTCTGGTGCCTTCACCGAGTTCCGCGGCGAATTCGCCATCCAGTTCTGCGGCACCTTTTGCCATGGGGTCCATCGGCCAGGGTGCGGTCGTGGAGTCGCCGTTCAACTGCCACTATGGGTATAACATACAAATCGGAGAAGATGTAATGATCCACCAAAACTGTTCCTTCGTTGACGATTGCGGGATCAGCATCGGCGCACACAGTTGGATTGGTCCCAATGTGACATTATTGAGCTCGATGGCTCATTCGAGCATGCAAGAACGAAAGGGGTCTCAGAGTCGGTATCAGGGCCGGCCTGTGATCATCGATGAGGATTGTTATTTAGGCGCCGGTTGTATCATCTACCCAGGCGTCCATTTGAATCGAGGGGCGTACGTTGCACCGGGCGAGGTGGTCAAGACCGATATTGTGGCTTATGGTTTCCAAGGATATAAACCCAGTTATATGTGAATACCCCTTTTTCGTTGGTGATTGCCGTTGTTCTCTCTTTACTTCCGCTCTTACTGTCATACACGAAGTTTCATATTCTTTCTTCATCATATTCCCTCCATCGCCACATAGCTATGTACTTTATGATTCACTTTGACTGGCGCAACTAATCTGGTCACCTAAGAAGCCCTGTTCTTATCTCTCATCGTATTGAAATGAATCCGCGAAAGCGGAAAGTTATTATCTCGCGATGCGCACTCACTTCTGTCACTGTCTGGGTCCCTCTACATCGAAAGGACACGAGACGTCTGACTCCTAGACGACAAACGCTTGTGACTGATGTATAGATATAATCTCCGGCTCAGTCCAAGCACATACGACCATAGGGTGTGGAAAATAGGGCTTCCCGTCCGCTCAGCCGTACTCAAGCCACACGCCGGTCAGTTAGTAGTATGGTGGGTGACCACATGCGAATCCTGACTGTTGTATGTTTTTGAAGTTTTATCACTGTTGAATTTTTTGTTGGTTTGAATTTTTAATGTTGTGATAATGAGGAAGGGGGAGTTTACCAGGCTCATCTAGTGTTTACTTTTTCAGTACTCAGTATTGTGTGCAGGGCAAGGTGAGTGGGAGGGATCCAACTTTTCCATGATCATTAAGCTTGATTGTTCGGCAAACGAAGTTTCTCGCAGAAGCTAGCGTCACGAAGTCTAGACGAATTTTGATTTATGGCCTTTCATGCAACAATTCGGCAGAAAGGCATGATTGTCCAAGATGATGAAGAACCATCATGGAAGCGAAGACTCAACAAATTGCAACAACTGGTTCGAGCCACGATGATATAGGTACCACGGCGAGCCTGAATTCTCGCACTGTGAAATTGGTTGAAAGTACGTTAGAATAGGTAACCACTACCTAGATCTGTCACCGACTAAGCTGATCTTAGGTCATCTTACAGATGTCAATGCTGTAATAGCGTCTCTTTATGAAACTGCTTACTTAGACCACTACTCCTTTTCCTGCCGACTGTGGCTGGGGGTTGTGTCCTCTGGAGGTCGAGATTTTTCAGCTCTCCTACGCTGGGTATCTTGAATTTGCTTGACGAGCAGTTTCAATATGCAGATCAATTAACGAGGTTCCCCCTCAACCAACCAACGACAGAAGTCGGGCAAGGAAAACTCCTATATCGCCAGTTCCGCACCGGGCCGGCCCGCACAACTTACGCCGGACGAAAGATTAGACTTATTCTGGACATCACGACATGGGATAATACCGGAGAAGATCCATGATCTCGTCAAAGCAAAAGACAGGAGGATAAACGTAGTATCCGCCCATGCAGGGATACGAAGAAATTATGTCTCGCCGTCGAGCTTATATCGCATTACTACGCAACATCAACATCCAACAGAATTCTATATGGCAATTTCGCCGCAGCAGAGCTTCAAGTCTTCCTCAAGTGGAATGCGAATCCTTTCATCAACCTCATCTCGGAAGTTGAATTTGGAGGGCGATTCATGTGCTGCGTTTAAGCCCAGATGCACGCCGTAATACTCCCGCAGGTCGGGCCCCAAGAACTTTCATGAGAGAGTAGGCTGCTCCAGCGTCTTGGTAAAGCAAACACTAAACACCGCCAACTCCTGTCATATCACGGAAGTCATGCGAAGGAGTGATCAAGTTATGTTGATGTGGCTACGAAGAAGCGGGCCAAGACGGCGAAAAATCAAATCAGACGCAACGACCCTGATAGCTCGCCGGGCTGCAGGGCAGCTCGACGGAATAATCACAAGATACTACCTACTGTTTCAACCATTGACCATTACACTATCGACGGTCCATTTGACTCGTTAAAGACAAAGCCATCTTCCACAATGTTAACTGCTGGTAGTCACGCCTACGACTTGATACCACTGCCGGCGGCGAAAGTGGTGAACGTAATCTAGACCAGAGCTTTTCTCTGTCTATGTTGTCGACAGAGATAGAACCCGAGATACGGATGCAGACTGGAACCACCATGTCGCGAATGATTCTCGTCCTCACACATTGTTCGTATGACATGTGATACTGCCGTCTCACTGCAGTCCATAGCTTAGATAGAATCTCTCTCGCTAGTCAATTTCACCCTCATCCCTCTCACACAGTCTACAGCTGCACCTACCTATGTAGCTGTAGATAATCACATATTGCATTTATGTGCCTTGAGTGAAAGCCAGTCAGCTCTACGACACCCACATAGATTAAAGTTAGCATATAGAGGTGATTCAATGGGAGACAATGACACCGTATGATATACGTGTCGACAAGTCAGTGTGACAGGTTTCTTAGTGAATACCTGTTTGGATGATTCTGCCGACTCATCACCGAGGGACCCACAAAGCCACACATTGGATAGCCTCTCTTCCTTCCCATACCTTTCACACCAATCAAGTCGTGTTTTACCTTCGTCTTTTCCTTCCTGTAGATCGATATCTACAAATAATACCTTACGCAGGTAGAATCTCTGAACACAAAGGGCAGGCGATGGTTTCAATGTCCGGAAGATTCATTTCATCTTTATATTTATATCCTTGATATACAAATCTCCCCATTTCGAAACGCGTCGCTTCCAGCAGCTATCTTTTCTTGCTTCATCCCCTTCCCTATTGGAGGAGAGGACACCTCCAATACACAACGGTGAATTGGATTTCTTGAGAAGATGAAAAAGCCAAAGAGTCACCCGAGTACCCGCCAGGAAGTCAAGTATATTTGGCATTCCGGAACGCCCCAGAATCGCGTGAGGGATCGGGCTCACATAGCCAGTCTAGATTAGGTATTCGTGGAAATGCCCAAAGTTGCGGTGTTAGTAATGACCAGGAAACTGAAGACGGATATGGCTAGGACCATATCAAAACGCTCATTCATACTAGAAGTCCTGGCGAGTCTGAAGTCTTTGCTCAATCGGGCCCAAGACGCCGAGAACCTCCAATTGATAACAGAAACTCGATAGAACATACCTGATATCAAAAATCTCTACACGCTAGCGAGTACGACTGAGCTAGCATAGACGTATCGGAAACAGGGCCGGTGGCAAAGGGTGAATCAGCTTCTGATTCAGGTTCTGGAGAGTGAGAGACGAGTAAGGCGAAGCTCGTCAAGAACCACTGTCGACACACTGATATGGGTGAACGACCTAGTCTCAATGTATTCATGTCAGTGTTGGAGGGAGAAGGCAGACTAGCTCTAGCGGCAGATGGTAAGAAAAAGAACTAAGCTTGATGGAAACGATCGGGACACGCTGGAGAGTATACTTGAGCTCGGGAATATCTGCTCGCACCACAGGAACCAAATAGTACGGTAGCAATGTGCCGAGCGGTGAGAAGTACTAGCGAGCTCCAGAAAGACCTCCGGTTCAGGTCATGTGTTCACTTCCATCATTCCTTCACTTGATGATTCTCTATAACGCTCAGGAAAGACTAATGGAGACAGAGGACATACACCAACGTGACTTCTAGGTCAAGAGAAAGTATACGGGTATAATCACGGGCCTATAGCTGCCTTAGGCATCCTAACCCTTCCTTTTCGCGATGACCAGAGCTAGATAAGCTATAATCTTACCGTACGGCTCCGTTCGGTCACGTAAGGACCCTTAGTCCTCTATATATATATAGTCACGTCCGTAGCTATACTTAGAAGAATTATATCCTATCTACCCTCTAGATCTTATCTAGTAGTAAACCCTTATATTAGCTAAGCCTCTATACTTAACTACTCGAGAGCGAGAGCTTACTTAGAACTATATTTACTAAGCTCTCGAGACTAAACGATCCCTAAAGATCTAGCTTAAATTACCGACTACTTATAGTATTAAGTAATCCTCTTCTTATTATACTAAAAATCTCGAAAATTATATATTAGTATAAGAGAGGACTCGAATCCTAAAAAACTCTACTCTACTATAGTTAGTATATAGGATATCCTTCTAGAAAAGATCTAATCTACTAGTAGTTAAGTAACCGGAAGTAAAACTAGAAGGAAGATACCCGATTAGAAATAAAAGCTTCTTTATTTAAACGAACTATAATCCTTATTAACTTATAGAATACTAAAGTATATAATCCTCTCCTAATAGAATTTAATATATAGGAAAACCTATATAGGACTTATACCCTACGCTCTAAACCCCTCGCGCTATTTCCGGAACCCCCTCGCTAGCTAACGCCTAGTATACTATAACTAGTATCGCTATTAACTAGTAATACTCTAATAATCTTATTAGCTAATATAGCTAAATCCCTTCGAGGCTCTTACTAAAGTATCCTTAATCCTATTCCTTAGAAAAAGATTATCTATCGAGCTATCTTCGACTAAATCGCGACTACTTAATATCTTCTAGGATAGATACTATAGGTATATCTACCTCTAGCTAATCGAGATAGTACTAGTATCCTCCGAGAATCTAGTATAGATACTATTATCTAAAAATAATTAGTTAAAATAGTCCCGAAAATTAAGGATTATATAGATATAATTAGGAATAATAGAGCTAGAGAGTATCTATATAACTATAAATACTTCTTTATAGAAATAAGCTAACTCTCTAACTCGATCCTCTAGGACTTAACTAAGATTATATATATATCTAGAGCTTTAGTAGATAATATATAGAAAGCCTATTATACCTAGTCTAAATATATTAATCTAATATATAGTATATAATATACTACTACTTAGGCTAAGTTCTAAGAATAGATTAAACGCGAATTCTCGGAGTATATCGGTACTAAATATAGGCTTAACTAACTTATAATCTATAAGTAAGACGGCCGGTAGGGATTTACTAAGTACGCCTATAACTTATAGTAGCTTATAGCTAATTATAAATATAAATTCCCTAAAGATCTTATTATTTAATTTCTTTACTAAGACGCTTATACTAAACTCTAGAAGAAGTAGGCCGAGGACCCTAATAAGCCTATAATCCTATATAGTATTATCGATCGGTTTATCTAATATAAGTAAGATACTATAATCGTAAATTATATTAG